CTTGCGGTGTCTACAGCTGCTGTCGGCGGCATGAAGGAAGATGAGCGACGCGACTTGGCCTGATTTGGCAGCTCGTGGCAGTCGTGTCGACTGGACTTTGCAAGATATGCGTTACTCGACGATACATGATCGGACTGGACGACTGAGCGAGAAATTGCGAAAGGAAGCTATAGCAGGGGGGCGAGTAATCTTGATGATTTATGTCGACGATCAGGAAGGATAGCGCCGCTCTGCCATTGTCGAGTAGTGAAATGCCAGGGGATTTCTTCAATCTGCTTTGCCAAAACTCAATATTGCGTAATTCATGGGAAAGTTATTAATCACCCGTGTATCTGATTGGCGTGATTTATCTAGGCGCGTTGGCAGGACATTCGCTTGACCACAGCGACTTTAGCGGAGATCCTCATACTCTTTACTTTGTCGTATTGCTGCATTTCATCGGGACGACATCCAGTCGCCATCACTGTAACGCGACATAACTTGCATTTTGAGAGATCGTCTGGCCTCCCTGCACCAATTACGACGGTTCAAAGGGACGGAGAGTCAGCCTGCGCCCTAACACAAGTGACATCCATGAGATTGTGCTTCAGAGCACACTGGAGTATCTTCACTCGCAATACCAGAGCGGAGGTCGTGCCTTGAGACGGTACCATACATCAATAGTCTCCAGGATGATATCTAGCGGACGACTGATGGATTGATTGCTCGCGCGGACGTCGACAGCAGTGGATGATTTCCCGCTGCTGAGATGCGTNTTNAATGTTGACATGATGGTCATCGCTGCGTTGAGTGGGCTCATGCAGGTGATATGTTTCATCAGATCATTGCAAGCAATAGATCGCCACTAGCTTTACAGACTCAANNNCAGGCCTGACACAGTGTCCAATATGTGACACGGCGAGGTGTACGGCTGACAGACGGCTTGGTGCGTGTGATCATCTTTCACCATATCTTTACTGTGCACTTGGAATTATCAGCGGGATAGTCTTCAGGTCCGGCTACTTGTCTCGGCCACTGCTGTCACTTCTTCGGACGTTCCTTTGTCTTCGATGAAGGTGCTCACTTGTTGCTGGATTGTTATAGGACAGATTCAAAATCCTTGGTGCCGTTCGGTTTCAAAGTACCATCGGGGGAATCGATGAGATCAGAGTCTTCAGTTGCTTGCAGCGGATGACATTCAGCTTGAGCTGCTCGTATGATGTGCACGAAGAGAGGGACATGTATCAATGAAAATCACATGCGCCAGCAAACAGATCGATGTGATAGATTCGCTTAGTGTGCATCCGCTTGACGATGATGACAGCGTGANCTGTCAGCTTGCAGTCTCCACNCCACTCGCGCGAAAGGTNTGATGGTGGCTGAGTCCGGATTGCTCTTTTCTGACCAACAAGTGGTGATAGCGCGTGGCTGGGACATGTCGAGCAGCGAATGCAAAGACGGGAGTAGTCGCAGAGAAATCAAAAAGCATGCATTGAGGCTCATCATGCACATCAAATGGCAGAGATGACACTGAAGGATCAAATATGATTGCCGATAAGTACGAGACAAGTAGCGCAAGGCCCTGGACGGTATACGCCAGACTGTCGTGAGAANCGCCAAAGGCATACGGTGTCGGCATGATCGTCAGTCTCGCCATCAGCTTGGAGCTAGCATACGACACTGGCCGAGCTTGTGGAGAGACGTGAAGGCTATGATGCTAGACGACTCCATTGGCTGCAGATCTGCAGGCGCGTGATCAATCGGACAAGGCGCGCAGATCACCGAACTCGCCCGAGCAGAAATAATCAGCACGTCTGTGCTTTTTCTCCCTCGCGCGCCAGTCTCGACCAGCACGACAACAAAGTCCGCCACTGTCTTGCGAGGATACTTGATAGCACTCAGAGATCAGCATGCTCGAGGACGGGTAGTCTATGCAGGGAGATGCAGCGAACGAAGAGTCTTGGNCGNCAACATTTGGCTAGTCGTGGTTGCTCCACGCTGTCATTTGGAGGCCTGCTCGCTCGTCAACGACGCTCTGGCGACCAAGAAACAANATCGACATGCCCGTTCAGACCCTTTGCGAAAGCTGTGATGATCTGGAGCTAGCTCGAGGCCATTCTCGCAAAATGGTCGTTTTCGATGAGGAGCTCCTTTTCTACGCGACTAGCAGCGAGAGAGCAACTGCCAATAATCCTTTTGGAACTGTTGAAGACGCTAACGAATATCGGGGAGAGGCGCCTTCACTCGTCGAGGCGAGAATCGTGGCCAACAAGAAGACAACAGCCGCTTCAGACGCTCTAATTGGGAACATGCCCGGGACCGCGGCCNNTAGGCAGGGGTNGTGAACTGTCGTCTGATGGGGAATTGCGCGTGANGTGACACAAGCGGACGAGCGTAAGCCGACGAGATTTGACCTGCTGTGCTCGCGGCCGTCAAGTTGAGGCGCGCTCGGTCGTTCAGACGAGAAGCTGGTCAGCAAGAAGACGACAACCGCCTCTGGATCTTGCTTTGCCTATGAACACTGGAGTCCGGAGGTAGCTCTGCAACCTATCAGCGATGGATAACTTCAGAGGAGGTATGCGCAGCGAACGAAGAGTATCTGCCTGCGACAAGTGCTCCACCGTATGTGGCCAGCCTTGGAGGCTTGCTCGCTCGCCGGATTTAGCTCGTGGCTCAACAGCAACCTAGCCGCCATCTGACAGCATTTATACAAGCGATCTTGGCATTTCTCAGCGCTTACNCTCTAATGCATCTAGATTATCTTATCGCNTGACAAGTCTTTGCAGTCTCATGATCCCCTCTGAATGATCACACTGAGCTGAATTGTATTGGCATCACAACAAGCTCGCATTCGCTGAAGCATTGACTAACAAAAGTAGCAATCCCTCTTACCTCGATGACGCTGACTTCGTTGCCGCCAAGCTTGTGAAGCCACGCATCGGTCGGCTTGGCTTTGGCGGTGTGATAGACACGAGTCCAGTCGGAGCCGTGGATCTCTGGCGGGGTATGAGGCAGGGTCTCATAGGCGTATAAGCCACAGTGACTCCCCAGATCTGTTCCATCACTNNCCTCGCTCGATGCTGACATAAGATGCCAAGTCGTCTGGTACTCGACGCAAGCGTCTTTCGGCAAGCCGGCAGCGACGAGGAACAGACAAGCGGNGACGCTGCTTTGCCATTGATGCATGCCGCGTCGGTAGATGCTGCTCTCGATACCGTCGACTGACGTCCCGTTGAGCCAGCATATGCAGCTTTGAATGCGTTTTGGGCGAGTACTGGCAGCGGCGACTATACGCTCGACATGCTGAGACGCGAGAACAGCACCGAGTCGGCTCGCATCGATAGCTCCGGACGCAGCGGATAAAGTAGATTCAGCGATTGACAGATCAGCAGGTCGCATGCCAATGGCGCCGGCAACGAACAGCTGCGAGCCGCATGCTACTGCTTGGGCATAAGGTCCAATATTGGCAGGCGCCCAATAGCTCAGGCTTTGAACATGTAGAATCTCGACAGTCGCTGCAGCTGGGACACCAACGCCAGTAATACGGATGCGACAACTTCCCGGCAGATCCAGCGCGATACAAGCTCGAGTGGGCGGCGAGTGTCGAAAGAAGTCTCGATACACCGCATTCATGGAAGCAAAGTCTGTCATATCGGCCAGGTGGACATCGAGATGCACCAGCCTGACGATATGTTCATTCGCTTGCGCTGTCAGTGCATGTCAGCTCAATACTCTCAGCACTGCTTCAGCGTACCTGCAAGCCGCTGCAGACAGTCTCGAGCTTGTGCAGTCACGCCTTCGCATGGGCTAGTGAGATCGCATAAGACTCGCCACGTCTTTGTATCGGCAGGCGGTGGGGCAAAAGCCGACTGCATCGCGTCTCGCATGCTTGACGGGAGCGGCATCGAGGAGCCGCCTGATGGCCTCAAAAGCTCGAGATGGTATTCGTCAAGCAGCGGAGGCACAGTGAGTGTCTCGATGCCTGGTGACTTATCGACCAGTCTCGCTCGCTTGATCCGAAGATGAGCTACCGTTGAGAANTCGTCTTCGCTGGCTGAGCTAAGCACTAGCTCTGTCTCTGTACTGTACATGACGTGAGCTTGCCTACCGCCAGAGGATAAGAGACGAACAGCTCGATGCGTTGTTTGAAANGACTGCAATCAAGCGTGAAAGTTTCATACTCGCCGCCTTCGCCGCATGGATGCAGTTCATACTTTGCGTGCAACCGTCGCAGCTCTTCTCGCATTGGTGAGCTGGTCACGCTTTGCCCGAGATGGCGCGTGCGCAGTCCGGCACCTGCGACTTTGATCAAGACGGACACGAGACCAGCTTGTGCCATTTCATCAAGCAACTCATTCTGGTCTCGCTGCCAGAGGTATGCCAGAGAAGTCAAGCCGCGGCGTGCGCAAACATCCTCTACGCGAATACGCTGATAATTGGACAGGATGGCGCCCACTGAGACCCCTCGCACATCCGGATGTTCCCTCTACAGTACGCGTTCAGCTGGACGGTCGAATCGCTGTGAGACCACTTGCTAAGACGTTTTGCAGCAGCTCATACAGATCTTCTGTCTCGTCTCCGTTTGTGGCACCTTCTGAGCCATANTGCATCGTTTGCACCAGCGCCTTGCCGGTGATGATGCGGCGATANAGCGGCAGCTGCATGGCCTGNGCTANGGTCTCNATGGCATCCTGGCCCACAGTCTGATACATGTACGAGTCGAGCTCATCTGTGCGAGTCTTGAGCTTACGATCATGTTCGTCAAGGTTGAGCGCTCGCCTGTGCCCTTGGGTGGAGCAAGACTAGCGAGACAGACGACTTGATGTCCTTGTGCAACGCAGTGACAAAGATTGAAGCACGAGTCCTTGCCGCCGCTGAGAAGGCCGACGATCTTCATTGGTCACCGAAGAGTCATGAGAGAAGGCTGCTCTTGCCAGCTGAGCGCGGTGAGCACCGGTGAGCGTGATCGCGAAAAGTTGGTATCGCGCGTCCTCGAGAGCTCCATCAGGCGGGCGTCACTGCTGCTGTGCCGCGCAATGGCAGGCGTAGTGTTTGCGCACACGTCCGAGACATCGAGTGTGTTCAACTTGCATGGCAAAAGATCGCTCTTGCCGGCGTCAGAGACAACGCCAAAGATTCAGCATGTTGATGCAAATTCGCAACGAGCTCTCCTGGCTTCGCCGGTCAAGTCCCCACTCAAGCCAAAAGACACGCCGTCCACACCCATGACAGGATCTCAATTGATGTCTGCCCACCCGGTCAGACAATTAAGCACGATCGAGCAGCTGCTCAAAGACAGAGTGCAATTTGTCGCCGCCAGCAAGCCAGACCAGCTCCAGAGCGGACCTCCGGCAGGCGCAATAGATGTATGCGCAAGTGAAGGACCTATCGCAAGCACGAGCAAGCTACCATTCACCAATGGCCACGCGCTGAAAGTCAAGCTGCAATATTCAGCTCCTGAGCCCCGTTCGCCTGCGGCAACTGCGAGAAATGTAGCGTCGACGCCCGAAATCGCTCGTGGCATATCTCTCTCATGGCCGAGACGAGTTCGGGTTGGTCCAGGTTTCAACAACGTCGGTAACACATGCTTTCTCAACTCTGCACTTCAGGTCCTCGTGCATACCGCGCCACTTGTCTCTGCTCTCACAGGCACGCACTGGCACAGCGAACGGACTTGTGGGGGCCTTCGCCTGATGAGATGAGCATCGTCCTGATTGTGATGACAGGTTACCTCACAGGACGCTCTCAATTCTGTCTCGTCTGTGTCATGCAAGATCTCATCAATCGCTGCTTTGGTCAGTCTCGATCGCCACTCACGCCGAGAGGCTTCACCGACAATCTCAAACGTGCGTGCACTTGCTTTCATGGTCTGTTCTTCCCCTGACAACAGTGACAGGCATCGCCAAGCATTTCCGCCTAGGCCGACAGGAGGACAGTCATGAGCTTTTGCGCTTCGTGATTGATGGCATGCAGCAACATGAGCTTGCCGGCGTGCCCCCGTAGGTTGCATCATGTCATATAAATCGTCGCTCACGGTCCCGCAATGCAGTGATGCGCTCAAGGCAAGGCGGGACACAACGATGATTCACCGTATCTTCGGCGGCAAGTTACGCTCGCGTGTGCTCTGCAACAAATGTGGTCATGCTTCGGACACATTCGAATCTTTCCTCGATCTGTCGCTCGACATACAAGGCCTAGACCATTTGCGGGATGCACTCCGGCGGTTCTTTCAGCCAGACGATTTACGAGGTCAGAACAAGTACAAGTGCGAAGCATGCACTAGGATGGTAGAGGCGACCAAGCAGTACACCATCCAGTCACCTCCTCAGGTCCTTACGCTGCACCTCAAACGATTCACACCTCTCGGCAAAAAGATTGGTCGCTCTATAGGATTCGATGAGGATCTCAATCTGGGTAGACATACCAGCGAGGATCACGGCAAGGTGAGCCCTAATGATCACCATTGGTAGGGCTGAAGTGCTCACATGCATTCAGGGACTGCGTTATCGCCTTTACGGCATCGTCCATCATGCAGGTGGTGGTCCTCAGTCGGGCCATTACATTGCTCACGTACGCGACTCGGTCGGCTCATGGAATCGTATGGACGACTCGCATGTCAGTCCGTCTGAGCGCATGCCTCGTCAGTCGAGCACAGCCTATGTCCTTTTCTACGCTCGAGATGTCTCACTCAGCGCTGCCATAAATGGCGCATCGCCAAGTAGTGGGACGCCTTCGGTGGCTTCGCATGCCGGCACCTCCCGCAACATGTCGCACGCTGGCAGCTCGAATGGTCACAACGAGACGCACAAGCGCAAAGCGAGTGCCGATCACGAGCATCATCCCGCTTACTTGCCGCAGAAGTATCAGAGCAATCCGTTCAAGATGGCCAGACAGCATGATCATCCTCAGGGCGCGGCTTCTCATCGAGACGATCGTTCGAGAGGACCTCCTGACTTCTCGACTGCGCCGCCGCGATTCGATTCGGCTAGACACTCTGGCGGCAAGGTCGCAAGCATGCGTCCTCGCGTCTTGGATCGACGATAGACCCTACCTGGGGCAAGCGCATTTGTTGTTGCCACCACCGCCTCGCAAGTCGAGTAGGTCGCTTGTATTTCAGCTGGTACAATCACAGCTCGCATCTAGAGATGTACATTTGCAGCTCGTCATGGTATGCAAACAAGCTAAAGATCTCTAAGCGAGTTCCGTGGGGTATCTGTGTCATGCAAGTCCAATCTGATGGCCCCGAACGCGGCCATACGCTGCAAGGAGGGCGATCGTGTAGGCTTCAAGCATGTCTTTGATGCCAAAGAGCAGCGCCTGCGAGAGCACTGCCTTGATAATTTGCGCTTGCATGCCCTGCGCCCACAAGTCAGCGTTTGATCCGTGGAGGCTAGGCTCAGATTGACCTGATACCATCCGGCGAGACCTTTGGCCTTGTAGGTCTGCGCAAGAACATCGAAAGCGCCAGTATATCTGTCCTTCTTCTTTTGTCTCTTCTGCAATGCTTTGGCTGCTGAGCTCGGATGACTGGCTGCGCCGCCGCGTGGTGTGGGAGGCGGCGTAGCAATCTCGCCATCATCGTCATACTTGGCCTGCAGCCTGACTTTGGCCATGATGTAGGGAAAGGTGACGACGGTCGCCAGTGTCTTGCTGAGCGCGCCAATGATGAACGCTTTGCCTGGTGTCATCTTTCCATCTGGTCCGAGAAGGGCCGTTTTGAGGCGAGCAAACATGCCGTAGGTTATAGCGGGATTGACGGTGAGAATGAGGGAGGGCTTGAGTCCACGCCATAGGCCTGATATGCCGTCGTCCTTGAGAATGTCGGAGGCAGTCTCGAGTAAGGTGCGGTGGGTGCTGAAGATTTCGAGCTGTTGTCGTGTTGCGATGACTGAGACTGGGATGGTGAAGAGCTGTGCGATAGCGCCAGCGATGGCACCTAGTGTGAGCTCAGTACTGTCCCATCAAAGCATCAATCAGCTTGCTGCGAAAAGGAGTCGCCGAGAAAGAGGAGACTTGCGCAGTACCGAGTGCTTTCGGAGGCGTGTTGGGGGTGCCTGGCAAAGTGGGATAGATACGTTTGACGTAGCTCTGTCTGACGAGAGTGTACCAGTAAAAGTATGCACTGCACAACGCTTAAGCAGTCAGCGAATTGCAGGCCACTGAAGCCAAAGGCGCGAGAGACGCACAATTGCATGCTGAACGTGTTGAGCATGCTGGCCGAGAAGCCTCTGTAGAAACCCTCGATGCCCTGCTCCTTGAGGATCTGTTTGAAAACGAGGCGCATGCCCGGCCTGACTGGACCGTGCAACCGTCGGGGAGCATTGTCTCTTTTGACTGACGGGGGCGGTACCGTGCTGCCGGTCGACTTCGCATCTGCTTGGATGCGGGTCTTGACGCTGTGCGCTCGTATGTCAGTATGCGAGCGTGAGTGTGCTTATGTCAGACAACGACGCACGTATCAAGAGGGTAGCTGCTCGCAAGACTATAAGCATCTGCATGATAGCCAGGGCAGGCGAGACACGCACACAATCGAGTTTGAGATGACACCGCCAAACGCTCCTGCTAGCGCCGACCCGAACGGTGTGAGCTCGGCCATTGCTTGCCGGGCTATCTCAACTGCAGCAACTTCCTGCTCGAATGCGCGAATAGCCGGCGCGCGCCTTGCCCGGTCTGATGCCACCCGTGACTCAATCTACGCGGCTTCAATCTCGGCAGCAATCCACACGCTGCGGCCCCTCAAGCCGTTTGCAGCGTGTAGATGCGAGGGGACTGGGTTGACGAGTCATGCGCACAGCGTGCGTCACACTTGACGATGCTGCGTATTCTGCATATTTGCACATACAGGTTGTACATGCAGATCAAGACAGTCTTGGCTTGCGTGAGCGGTGTTCGAAAGATCCCAGGGCGCTGTACCAGGTCAGTTGGGCGGCGCATTCGGCGGTGGAGGGGTCGGCTCATCCATGGTCTGCTTTAGCCTGCCGGACGTGCACAGATGAGCTTGTTTCTGGCTAATGAGCAGAAGCGTACCTTTCGCGTTCGGCCATGAGCTCGCCTTCTATCCTTTGCTTGGCTCGGACAATCTTTGACTGCAGATAGAAGCTGGATCCCGCCTTGGGATCGTTCTGCTTGAAAAGATGCTCATAATTCTGACAACCTTTGGGTCAGCCAACGCCTGCTGAGCTGCTTTCTGTTTGGGAGGCAGGCTCACTTTGAGCATCTGTGAAACCGAGCTGTCATCTCCGTACTTGATCGATTTGACGTTGAGGATATTGCAAGCTTCGTCCAATGACATGCGATGCCGCCGAGTGATCGCATCTCCTCCCGCACTGCTGCCTGTCGCTCCACCGACGGCTTCCCTCGCTGATGCATCTGTAGATCCCCTGTTAGACCACAATCCTGAACTGCGAGGGGCTCTGCAAACCCACTGGCGACGGTCTGCTTCCATGCTGCCACGAATGCTTTGCCGACGATCTGTGAGCCCAAGATGACGACCTGTGCGATGATGCGAGGCGCAGACTGTCTTGTGATGTCAGCAAAAGAGCGATCCTCGTCTGCACACTAAACGACTTGCCATCCACGAACAGCGACCGGTCAACCACAACTTTGCGCGCAATGTTCGCGATCGATGCCGTCCAATGACGACGGTTCAAACCCCCCTCGCAGTCTGATCCTCGTCGAGCAGGCTGCGCGATCTGCCCTCACTCCCAGTCGTGCTTTGCTTGCTCGTATGGCGCAGGCGGACCGCTCGCATTCTGACTCGAAACAACGACGAAACACGAGCGTTGACAGGTGTGAGACAATACCGACATCGTTGCGGGTACTTGGTGCCAGGGTTACATTCGCAGCCCAAACCTCCTACTCAGACTCTGCGTCGCGAGGTCCATCAGGAGTGAACAGTGTGCCTTTTGACGCTTGATCAATAGCAGCTGCGAGCGCCAAACACAAGTCAACATGAAGCTCATCGCCGCCTGGGCCATTCTCGCTTCACTCGCCTGCGTCATGGCCGGCCAGGCATCGCTCATCGTTCAGTTCAAGGATGGCAAGTCGTATACGAGCCCAAAGCTAGAATGCGGCCTTCAGACCAATCTGGTATGCTGGCCCATGCCGATCGCCTGCGAGAGCTGAGAACGCAATTCTCGCCTTAGCCAAAGTATTGGGACTCGCCTCCCGCGGCCGTCACCTACAGAGGTCCTTCCCGTGATGCCGACTTGCCTGACTACATGACCCAATATGACTGTCCGTGTCTCTACCGATGCGATCACCAGACTGACAGCCATGACAGTCGGCTCGGCTAGCTTCGTGATCTACTACAGTTATGATGGACTCATACCAAAGGTCACCGTAGTCGCACCTGGCAGACTCGGCAACACGAGTGGCATCAAGAGCGCCACGTTTGCAGGAGTCGATATCAAAGTCATCTGATCATCAGACTTGGGACCTTGATGCATTGATATTCCTGCTGCCTGCTTGCTGATACAATTCCCGCTGCCTGCTTGCTGATACAATCTGTAAAGTTCACAACATGCTGAAAAAAGGTTTCAATCACTATCGCTGCCATAATCGGCGATAGCGCCGAGGCCTGTCGTAGTCGGAGGTTTGCTCGCTGCCTGGGTTTTGAGCGAAGCGGCGTATTTCAGGCTCGCCAAGGCATTCATAGATAGTAGACCGTCCTTTGCAGCGGGCGCGATGAGTTCTGCTGTTGGCGGAGGCTCGAGGCGCATGCGTTTGCTTACTGGCTCGATCTCTTCCGGCGGCGGCGATCGAGGGGGGACGACTCCTTCGAGCTCATCGAGCTGCCTGACAGACTCGATAAATTCGGGTGTGAGCTTTGCTTGAACGCCTTCCTCGCCCAAAACTTTCAGCCGAGCGTGCTCCATGACTTTTGCAGTCGGATTGGGATCTTCGGTGGCCCAGCGAACATTGAGAACTTCGTCATTATCGAGGGATTGGTGCATCATTGCCTCTTTTGCAAACTGAGCATCGATCTCCGTCACGAAAGTGACAAATCCGACGCCTCTGCCTTGTAAGACTTTGACTGGCGCAAGTAGAGCTGTCAGCCTGGCCAGAATGCCAATGTCAAAGAAACATACTGCGTTCGATCTCGCCCCATTCATTGAAGTGTTTCTCCAGGATCTCATCCGTGTTCCGTGTCATAGTCACTCTGCCGATGTAGAGCGTCCTGTTCTGGCGAGTGAAGGAGCCGACGCCGCCCTAGAGTTGCTGTCAGTCGGAGTCAAGTCATGATCAGCGATGCACGGACCATATCGTCCCGATAGCCTGCATGTTTCTCTCGGCCGAAGCAGTCCCTGGAAGCGTCTGGTAATTTGTGCTGTGGTAGGGGCAGTCTGTGGAGGAATTCGCACTCGGACCTGAATTGCCATCAGACCAGTTCTGCCGTCTGCAAGCATTGCGCGAATGGCTTACCCGAGCGGACAGCACCCTCGAGCAAAGTAGAGACAGCAGTAATTGTTGCGTCCCCCATCTGCTCGAGTGTAGCCAGCATCTGTTGCAATGACGCATCTCGTCTGGGACTTTTCCTTGCTGCACAATCATTCCTTGTCAGCCATGGCTGCTTTGTCGGCGAGATGACGGTCCACTGACGCATTGTATTCGTCGTACTTGTCACCGCCCGCCCACTTGTGGTAGAAGATGTTGTAGACGCTGCCAGTCTGTTCGAGAGGCTTCTTCTCGATCTGTCCTGGTTTGACCTGCAGGCAAAGTCAGCATAGGACCTCGCCAAGCTGCCCAGTGTGTTCATCACCTGCTGACGAGCTGGCCGGCGTCTCACAAGCTTCTTGGGTGGAGCCGCAGCCTGCGCTTCGTCTGCCATCTTCTGCTTACGATCTACGCTGCTCACGACACAGTTGCTTTCGTTGGCTCGGCGCGGCTCCAAGACAAGAACATTCATCGCCAGGTCGCGCGCGGCAAGATCTCGAGTGGCGAGCTCGAGAAAGGCTTCGAGGTCTATGCATTGCTCGTGACATTACGTGTTCATCATGCTGGCTGTCCGCACTTATAGCAATACCTGATCGGCAAACGATCGATCCAAGCTCTTCTGAGGCAGGACGATGCAGCTGCGAATGGAGCATTCCCTTTTGACAGTCACTTCTTTGGCTGCGCGGGTAAAACGTCATTCGTAGCACCACAAGAGCAAAGACGGGCGTACCGAGAATGGCGATACTGTCTCTTGCCGCGCCGCTGTCGCTCACCAGCACGCGTCCTTCGACTCTCGCCCATTGACCGATCCTGCAATTCTCAGATACGATGGCGTGCATCACAATCGAATTGGCCTGCACGCCTGTCAGTCATTGATATCCATATGACTCAGCATGCGCACCTCGAGCACTGTGCGGTCCAGGATGATGGCATCCTTCACCCGTGCACCGAAGCCGATCTTGACATTGGCGCCAATGCTGACGTTGGGCCCTACTTTGGCGGTGGGATCGATCGTAGCAGTCTCGTCGATAAAGCAGGGTTCAACAATCTCTGCTGTCAGCCGACGATCACTCGCTGTTTGCTCAGCCGTCGGGCGTGTGATCACGGTCGGCGAGCGCTGTCGGAGCAGTTTTGGGTTGGAGTGCTTGTAAGAATTGAGCAGCAGCGTGTTGGCAGGAACCGCTGAGCCTGCAGTCTTGATCTGGCGCCAGAAGGAGCGCGACTCGTAGACAAAAAGCTTCTTCTGACTGACGAGCGGCGCGATTACATCTTGCTCGAGCCGCAACTGCTCGTCTGCCGACTCCTCGTCGCCCAGGCTGCTCGGATCCTCTCTATATGCGAGTGTGAGCTCTTTGAGCCGAAGAGGCTGGGCATGACGCACGCTGCTTGCTTGACGCGAAGATCCATGGCCGACTTGATCTCGTCAAAGATAGCGCGGTCGAAGAGATAGACACCGCCATTGATGATGTCAGAAATGAAAGTCTCTGGCTTCTCGACGTAGTGTATAGCTTGCTTGGTATCATGGTTCATAACGATACAGCCGTATTTGTTAGCTGTCTCTTTGGGTACCTGTGATGCGTCCGATGTCAGCTGCTTCTGCGCAAAGGATCAATGTTGTCATACTTTGACGGCCAAGATGGTGCCCACACCACGATGACGGTCGTGGAACGCCTTGATCTCGGCTAGCGGAAAGGAGCAGCAGATATCCGCATGAAGCACAAATACTTGCTGAGGGTTGCCCTTGAGAATCAGGTCACGGAAATGGTAGAGGCCTCCTGCAGTCCCCAGGGATTGATACTCGCGCATGTATCTGCCAGTGTCTGCGTGTCAGCCACGATGACCTGAGGCCGAGGTGACTTGCCTGATGTTGAGCGAGGGAAAGTCGCGGTTTGCTTCTTTGACGAAGGGATTGATGACGTCGTTGTCATAAAACCCGATCAGAATGACCTCCTTCAGGCCTTCCACTTTACTGAGCGCCTGGATTCCGTGCCAGATGATGGGCCTGCCCGCAATGGGAAAGAGTGGCTTGGGTATATCGAGGGAAAGAGGTCGCATGCGCGTCCCCTTTGACGGTCCGCCGATGAGCACACTGTCGTGTATCAGTTCGATCGCGAGAGATGAGCGAAAGCAAGAGAGTGCGCCATGTGAGCAACGTGACGAGCGTGAGACGAGTTTGTGGACAATTCCAGCGGTGAGCGAGATATGCAAGGCATCGTCAGCGAGGGAGCACATGACAGCAGTCGACGTACACCGCTTTGGAAGCCATCTTCTTGATTATCTATAGCTCACCGCTCGAGTGTCTATGCTTGCGAGCAGCTGCACGTTCGTTTTGCCGGCGGTTGTTATGACGCGAGTCGCGCGCGTACTCGCCGAAGCGAAGGCGAAAGCCTTCCAGGCTGCCCCCGTCAACCCCTCCCTTCTTCCTCTGACGACTTGCGCACTCTGCTCGAGTATCAAGATGCTCTACAAGCTACTTTGCGCAGTGCTCATCGCGTTCTCACTGCAGTGGGCGCAAGCTCATGTTGAGCTCCTTCACCCATTCCCACTTCGAAGCTCGTGGGATCCTGCCAACGATTGGTCAGTAGTTCGCTACGATCTGACCAACCCACTCGCACTCGACGGAAGTGACTTCCCCTGCCATGGAGATCTGTCACTCTTACGGCAAATGCACGCACGCGACGAGCAAAAGGTGTCGGCGAAGGCAGCAATCGCAGATGCTATGGTATCCCCGAGCTCAGATCTTACTCATATCACCGGACTCCTTGTGGCAGGCCAAAATAGTACGTTCGATCTGACCTGGGACACTCGTTCCGGCAGCGAGCCTTTGCATGCCGGCGGTAGCTGTCAGATCTCCATCTCCTATGATCTCGGCAAGACGTTTGTCGTGATTCACTCGATCATCGGTGATTGTCCTGTGCCGGCTCATTATGATGACACCGTCAACACGAGCGGCTACGAATATCCAGTACCCGCTGATCTGCCCCCTTCGCCTCGTGCCATCTTTTCCTGGTCCTGGCAAAACAAGGAGGGCAATCGTGAACTGTACCAGACCTGCGCGCTCGTCGAGATTCGGAATGATAGGCAAAGCCTCTCCTACACCGGACCCGTCATGTGGAAAGCCAACATCTTCGGCGATGTCCAGTGCCGAACTATTCAGGGCGATGTGATCTATACTCAACCCGGCCCTTCGCTGGCGTATGGACGTGTCTTCGCTGCCACACACGACATTGCTGCTGGCCTTGTCAAAACACTTACGACTGCGCTGTCTCCCCTCGCCACGCCGCTGACAGCACCGCTCGGTTCTCTGCTCAATCTGACAGCCCTACACGATCGACGATCTAAAGCGCTGAAGCCCCTCAGTCCTACCGTTATGAAGCCGTGTACAGCGGTCGACAACAGCCGCCTTGCGACCGTCTTTGCAAACGGAACGTCTGTCATGCTCCCCGCAGATAGTAAGCAGTTTGCCAAGAGGCGCGACGAGCTCGCATCTGCAACTACTTCCAGCACGCATGCTGCTCAGACTGGTTCGCACGCAGTCGTCGTTTCCTGGAACAGCTGTACCCAATCTTTCATCGCAGCTGCCCATCAAGCATGCCAGACTGCTTTGACGAGTCCAGGTTGCGATTCGCACTCTCTGACGGCGAGACGATAGAAATAGCAACAACATTTTGCACCCGCTCAAAAATCGTCATCATGATCATCATCCGACTGATTGCCCGAGTACCGACCACTACCACCAATGAAATCGTCCGAATCGGACTCTGAGGCGTCGCCTTCCGGGTAGTCGTTACGATAGAAATCTTCGTCTGTTATCGCATCAGTCAGTGTCTGCAACCTTCATTCAGAGTATTTACCATTGGAATCCTCGTCCATTTCATCCTGCTCCTCGGAGCTCTCGTCGTTTGCGTTGACGAGACTGTCGTTGTCGTCATCGACACCAGCTCTGCTCGCGTGTATAAGCCTATGACCGCGAGGCGTTTAGGTGGACGCACAGTGCGCCGATCCTGGTGTGACCTCCAGCAGCGCTTTTGCCTTGACTGCCACCTGCGCGTGCTTCGATAGATTCGTTCGAATAGTCGCGGTAATAGACGTCATAGACCCAGGCGCCCTCCTCTTCATCCTCATCATCGTCATTCTCTGCGGACAACAGGGGCAACGGATTGTGGTGGATCGGTCTATCGGGCAATGCGAGGCCTGGCGATGGGAAGACTTTCGCAGACTCGTCTGAATCATCGGGATCAATGTCGTTCACTACTGGTGCTGCAATCAGCATCTGTCTCGGCGAAAGCACTCCAGCGCACTCCTGAGATATTCCTGAAGCATCGGCACAAAATTGCCTAGATCATCTTCGCCATCCAGAAGTGCAGAGGGCTGTCCCGAATCCCAGAAAGATCTGCTACCCGTGCTAGTCGCTTGCCATTGAGATCGCTGAGAGGCACGAGCTGCTGCAAGCTGCCTGAGGCGTGACTTTTGCCGTGGCCTGTGAGCAGGCGCATCGCAAGCCTCGGCATCAATGATGCGCAAAGCTTGCCAATCTTGACGATGGGGCAGATGCCTCTGCGTGATCTGAGATGAGGGCACGATCTTTGGCGGCATGTCGAGCTGCGAGAAATCGTCTGTATCGAGTGGTTGAACAGGTGTCCGAAGCTTGCTGACGATCCTGAAGCGAGCTTGGCGGGCACCAACCTTCTGCGCGGCGATGCGAGACCCTATGCGATCTTCTTGCGATACTCGGCTGGTTGTTGGTAGCTTGGGGAAGCTCGAGGAAGCCGAGCGGGATATGGGTGACCGTATACTGTCTGCGAGGGCGACAGCTTCGTGGCTCGTCTGCTGAGGAGTTGCGGGATGCATGAGCGTCTGGATCGTCTGCTGGAGACTGCCGGTGCGCAGGCTGGCATCAAAAGATGAGAGTGAGGCCAGAGTTGAGGCATAGCGAAAGATGCCTGCCGACTTGTGCGGCGGTGTGGCTGCTGTCTCCTCCAAGTCTTTGTTCGATGGGGCCGTCAGCGCGGTATCCGTCCTACCGGTGTCGTGCGACTCTCCGGGCGTGCTCAGGCGAGTGTCGGACGACGGAGCATCGAGTGTGGACCTTGCTCGCTTGACTGCTCGCGCATTGTCGACGGCAGCGAAAGCTCGCTCGATGACTGCTCGAGCCATTGGTCAGACCTATACGCTCCTGCTGACAGTCTCGCCTTGCCTAAGGCATCCAGCGGCAAGTCGGTCCGCTTGCGCTTGATCCTCAGCAAAGTCGGCGCACCGTGCTGAGAAGTTAGGCCGGGGTGCATAGAGCTCGATGACGGCAGGCTTGCATTGCTGACGACAGGGCCGGAAGCAGCAATCACGGGCCCACCCTGAGCAGCAGGCATCGAGCCGGCTCGAGTCCCCGTCAAAGATTTCGGGCAGGTCGCCTCGTCTCTTCCAGGCCAGGCCGAGCCGAGCGTCGAGCTTCGAGCGTCATCGCGTCATCGGGCTGAGCGGGCAAGCCTGTCAAAAGGAGTGACAGCGATCCGAAGGCCTCTCGACCACAGACTGCAGTCTTCACAGAGCACGCACGACCTTTGTACGTGACCGCAAGGGAGAGAAGAGCGCTCGCCGGACGATTGCGGAGATCTCCAGGAGGGAGCCTGCACAATCAGGAACGATAGCGCCGCCAAGCGTTCTTGAGAGCCGAGATGACGACTGCTATAGCTTTGCGGTCCCGCTTGAGCTCGAGACTGCCAGGATCGACGCATCGCATGCATGTACCCCATGCGACACGGGCTTTCACACGACATGCGAGTACGAAATCAGGCCCTTCAGGCCCATCACGAGGCCTGTACGCGGGCTTGGGAGCTGCAGCCTGCCTCGCTGGCTCGCTGTACATGCTTCCAGGTACATCCAACGATGACCCGAATCTGCTCGCTAGTCTCCTCGGCAGACAGATTGCGCTAGATGCCCGCCTCACGCCCTCGGAGCTCGAAAGAGAGGAAAGAGAGCGACCGTCTGTGCTTTGGACGCCGCCCACACGCAAAGAGATGATCTCTGCCCTCAAGGCATCTTCCCTCGTTGCCGCCGCTTTGCCCGGCAAGGGCACCAATGACGGCAAGACTCCCGCCGCGTCTCACCAGCAACAGGCACAGACGGGCGAAGAGGGCTACGATCTGCTCATCATTGGCGGAGGCGCCACAGGCTCTGGAGTCGCACTAGATGCAGCTAGCCGTGGCCTCAAGGTCGCCATGGTCGAGCGCGACGATTGGTCCGCGGGCACCTCTTCCAAATCGACCAAGCTCGTCCACGGAGGCGTGCGGTACCTTCAGAAGGCCGTCTTCGAGCTCGACTACGAACAGTGGAAGCTTGTCAAGGAAGCTTTGCACGAACGCAAGACGTTCCTCGAGATCGCGCCTTATCTGTCAAGCCACTTGCCCATCATGCTCCCGATCTACAAGTGAGCATTCCGCGCAAGCAAGTCAACAAGGCTGATCGCATGTCTAGGTGGTGGCAAGTGCCGTATTTCTGGTCTGGCTGCAAGCTCTACGATCTTCTGGCCGGCCGCGAAAACATGGAGTCATCTTACCTCATGAGCCGAGGCAAGGCATTGGAGGCCTTTCCCATGCTCAAGCAGGACGATCTTGTGGGCGCTCTCGTTTATTACGATGGACAGCACAACGATGCTCGCATGAACATGGCACTCGTCATGACAGCGGTTCATCAAGGATGCGTTGCAGCGAATCATACCGAGGTCGTTTCGCTTCATCGTCAGAAGGATGCGAATGGCGTCGAGAGACTGTGCGGTGCACGATTGCGTGACAACATCAGCAAAGAAGAGTGGGACGTCAAGGCGAAAGGAATCATCAACGCCACCGGACCATTCAGCGACGGGATACGCAAGCTTGACGATCCTACGGTCGAGACCATCGTCTCGCCATCCGCCGGCGTTCACGTCACGCTTCCCAAGTACTACTCGCCCGGCAAGATGGGCTTGATCGATCCCGCGACATCTGACGGGAGAGTCATCTTCTTCCTGCCCTGGCTCGGCAATACGATCGCGGGCACAACCGATTCGCCCTCTGAGGTGGAGCAGCATCCACTTCCGAAGGAGGAAGAAATCCAATGGATCTTGGGCGAGGTCAGAAACTATCTCTCGCCAGACATCAAAGTCAGACGGGGCGACGTACTCTCTGCTTGGTCTGGCTTGCGGCCCCTGGTGCGCAACCCGGCTGCCAAGAACTCAGAATCGCTCGTTCGTAACCATATGATCAATGTGTCCGACTCTGGCTTGCTCACCATTGCCGGCGGCAAGTGGACCACCTACCGAGCCATGGCTGAAGAGACTGTCGACGCCGCCGTGGAGGCTTTCGGACTACAAGCGTCTGTGCAGCGGCCGTGCAGAACAGAGAAGCTGAAACTGCTTGGCTCCCATGGCTGGCATAAGAATCTTTACATCCGTCTCGTACAGCAATTCGGTCTCGAGACAGAGGTTGCCAACCATCTGACAGACACATATGGCGATCGTGCGTGGGCCGTTTGCTCGATGGCCGAGTCAACTGGCCACCGCTGGCCTGTGCATGGCAACCGGCTAGACCCAGCCTATCCTTACCTCGAGGAAGAAGTGCTATACGGCGTCCGGGTCGAATATGCGCAGACAGCGACAGACGTCATTGCTCGTCGAACGCGGCTTTCGTTCCTCAACGCGCACGCAGCCCTCGAAGCTTTGCCAAGAATCATCGACCTGATGGCGCCAGAGCTCGGCTGGGACAAGAAAAGGCAGCGCAAAGAGTTCGAAGTCGCCCAAAAGTTTTTGGCTTCGATGGGTCTACCAGAGTCCGAGCTCAAGCTGAGCCTCGAGGACGTGAGAAACGGCGCTGTTGCTCGGATGACGAACGAAGAGAATGCGGTGACTAGCCGTAACATGTTCTCTGTGAATGAGCTCAGTCGACTCCGAAAGATCTTCGATTCGTGCGATAGTAACGGAGACGGTCAAATCAGCTCTACCGACATGCGCCAGGCGCTCAACAAGATCGGCTTCTCAAATGTGCCCAGAGAAACGATCGAGGAGATTATCAGCGAAGTACACTTTGGAAGCAAAGGAGCTGTTGAGCTTTCCGAGGTATTTTTGTGTCTGTCGACCTAATAGGGCCTTGCTGACAAAGCGCCCAGTTCCTCGACGCAGTCTCAGGCATCAAAGAACTGAGTGCAGAGAACGCGTTCAACAACTTCCTCGGCGCGTTCGGCGATGCAGAGTCTAGCACAGATCAGGCTGCGCTCGGTCAGTCTGCCCAAGAGACTAGCAACAGGTCATGGTTTCGCCGCCGGATACCTGTTGAGAAATCGGGCGGCGGCGTGTAGCTTACGAGCATGTGCAGCTTTCTCACAGCGTTGTGACACAGATGTATATATTGACACAACAACTTTCTCTGCTTTGTCAGCTAGGATCTCTTCATTCGCAGGCATCTTGCCGGCAGAAGGGGCAGGACTTCTCCAAGCGTAGCCAATGATCGAGACAAGGCTCGTGCAGTGCATGGGAGCAGGCCATGTGAAGCAGCACATCTGTCGGCTTGTATTCCTCCAGACAGATTGAGCAGCGAGTCTCGCTGGGTAGCTTGACATCTGGCATGCCGGAAATGATCTCAGAATATGTAAATTTCGGCAAGGCGTTGATGCGTCGCGATGAGTAGCCCTTCAGCAATGGTGTCACTTGATCGACGCGATCTGCAAGCGCGAGCAGTGCCTCATAAGAGGTATCGAGAGAATCATCATCCTGCGTACAGTCGTTAGCAACGCCAAAGGACCAACAGCACGCAGACCATGTAATTCTCGAGATTACCGGCAATATTCGCCTCGCCTCCGAACCAGAAATCGACTTGTCTAAGTTCGTCTGCTAGACGTTGAAAGATAGCAGGCGGGCGCATCAACCAAGGTCGGATAGCACCGTCCGCGAAGGCCTCGTAGCTAGCTTCGCTGCTGCTAAGTGGCGGCTGATCTCGAAGCGCCCGACGATGTCGCTGATTGGACATGCTGCCTCGCGAACGAGAGACATCCGAGCGATATTGGCGATCGATTGCGCGCACTTGATCAAGTATCTGTGTCTCCCATCAGCTCCTTATGCGCGCCAGATCTCTGCCACAGCACCTCTTCGGAATCATCGCGAGGGCCAGGCAGGGCTAGGTCCCGAATGAGGGCGTCAAGATCTGGGTGATGGCCGCGCGTGCCATTGACTCGAGCTCTTCCGGCCCGTAGCTCGGCGAGGCGGGTGGCAATGTCATTGCTGCGTTCTTCCCGCGAACGTAAATGACGTGCCCCTTGACGGCTGGGCGAGTAATGACGCTCAGCATGCGCGCTGGCGTCGATCGACGCGGCTGCCGCCCGAGAGACGTCGTGCAATGCAGGCGTGGAGTCGCCTGTCTCAAATGAGCGGACGCGTCTGAAGTTGTGAGGTCGTTGGATGCTCGTCTGCCGATTGCCGAGATTATTGGTGTCAGCGACACGGGCGATATGCCGTCGGGGGGATACTTCTGCTGAGTTCAGGCGAGAAGTCTGAGGACGTGGCCGCTGTGTGGCCGTCTCGATGTGTGGCGCAAAGGAATATTGACGATCTGAGCGCCAAGGATTCCGCCCGTCTAGCGAAGGCGCAGTAAGCGGATCAAAGGTATCTGACGTCTGCGCAGGTGCAGGCTCCAGAGACGTGTGACCCGGCAAGGGCTCGCCACGCATCCATTGCTCGTTGCGCGATCGAGTTGGCCCGCGCAGACGTCCCAGTGTGCCTAAACCTCCAGCGCGTCGCTGCGCTGTAGATGATGCACTGACAACGCTGCTCCGAGGCCGTACAGGTGAGGCAACGTGTATGTCACCCCACAAGCCTGAATCTGACGTCTCGCTCTCTGATCTGAGTGTCCGTCTGCGCAGACTATCGCCGCTTGTGACAAGGGCAGTATTGGCCTGTTGAAGCGATACTCTTGTCGCTTGCAACGCATCTACACTGGCTTCAATCCGTCTGCGAGTCTCTGAGAGATCGCTAAGAGCAGCGGACTGCGGATGAGGTACCGCTGTCGGAGCTCCGTGACGAGGCAGGAAGGGGCTAGAAGATTCCGATGAGATCTCTTCGGGCGATGCGAGTGAGGTGGCATTGCGCCGAAGCGGCGGCCGCGGCATTGCATTCGCATGCGTCAGGTTGGGCGATATGTCGAGGCTACCAGCCGGTCGCAGCCGCCAGCCGATGACAGGCCGAGAGGAAGCCATCTCGGGTGCTGCCAGATGGGACACCGACGGTAGCCAGGTCTCCGGTGTGGACTGTTCAGGTGCAGGCTGTCCGAGTAGAAGAGGGCGTCTTTGCCACGGCCGAAGGGGGAGCGTGTGATGAACTCGCGATGGATCTGCATCGAAAGCGAACGGTGCGTCATCCTCAGAGTCGGCTGCTATCGCCACGGTGGAGTCGATGTCAATCGAATCCTCCATGGAGCTTGGGCGAGACTGAGTCGATGAAGCACTGATGGTGCGGGAATCAAAGGCAGTGCCCAGAGCGGGCGCAAACGCAGGTGTGACAGGTGCGAGCTCGTCGACTGTGTTGCTTGCAGGCAGTACGAATGCCGCTGCCAAGCGCGGCGGCGAAGATGTTCCCAGAGAGTCAGCGGGATAGCTTACGGGTGCTGTGCGACGCCAGCGCTCAGCGTCGACATCGCTGTTGATCACGGAGACATGCTCCTGGTAGCTCGAGCCGCGCCGCACTACTTGACGGTCCGTCGGGAGGTGGCGTAGGGTGCCAGTAGATCGAGAGATCCGTTCATTCGAGACAAACGGCGGGTCGCCCACGCTCGAAGTCAGCTCGGGCCGGGCCAGTGTTTGGGCTGTGAGCCTGGACATGGGAGGACTGCGACTGGGACGGAGTCCGAGTGTAGTGAGAGGTGCATGCTCTATGGATGTTGCGGTCTCGCTTTCGTCCATTGACCAATCGGGTGAATCAATTGCAAGCCTAGGCGGGGGAGGCGATTTGGATTGAACGGATCCGTACGAGGTACTTGGCGTGACCATCTCGGGCGAATTGTCGTCGCTTATCGATAGCTGCATCGCAGAAGCTCTCCTAGAGCGAGATCCTGGCACATCGAACCAGCTGGAGCCTGAGCTTGAGGCCAGGCTTGATGAATTGGCGATGGGCGAGTGCTGCCGAGTAGCGGATCTCCTTTCAGTCACACGGCTCAACAATGCTGGTGCTCTCGCTGGCCTCGCATCCTCAGCCGTTGACATGCCTGCACCGGCTGACGGCCTGTCGTGTAGCCCGCTCGCTCTGTGCGACGATCAACCCGCATGATATCACACGCGATGATATCGACGTGGCGGCAATGCGGCAACGGTGCTATCATGATCAAACAACATGATGTAATCGCGAGAAGACACCACAAAAGCTGCAGTATGCAGATGCTCTGGAAGGCATGCTCGACCGCGTGCTCTGTATCTCTCTGGGCACGAGAGTAGTTGCGTATGGTGAGGTATGACCGCCAAAGCGAAGCAGCCGTTGCCAGCGAGCCGCTCCGTTCGCCTGATGATGTAGTCGCGCTTGGGACTAGACTTTCTGAGATACTCGTCTACGCCAATGTAGAAGTGCAGCGACTTTGCATCGGCGATATTGCCTGACCATACCGGGATCGCTCCGACATACTGCGACGATCCCAAGGCGTGCATACCCATGTGTATGAGGCGACTCCAAATAATGACCGTCATCTCCTCTACTGCAGGTGACGTTCGTAGCACTTCTGTCGGTCCCAGTAGCTGGCTTGCACCACATCCTGCCTTGTTGAGGCGTGTGTATCGCTGAAGCAAATCGCTGACCTCCACTAGCGCTCACGCGGACGGCTTGCTCCACGGTAGGACTCCGCTTGGACAGGCCATCTGCACATGGGGCGGCCACAGGGATTTGGCTCTTCTCTGCAAGGTCTCGGGGTAGCAGGCTCGAGAGAAGGACGCTTGCTCGATGGGGGTGGGTACTGAGTGGTACGATGATCTAGACCAGGCGTCGCGACATGGCCATGTCGTTTCAGACAGGCAAATCATCGAGGCCTGCGAGGTCGTCGTCGAGCAAGGCATCAAATTCGTCAACGTTGTCAGTCTTTGCTTGGTTGACCGCGGTCTCGGAAGCGACAGGGACACGGCGCAGGTCAAGGATAGCCTTGATCTTGACTTCCGCGCGCTTACCCCAGCCCATCTGAGCCGAGTCATCCAAGGCAGGTCTGAAATCGGCATACAGACCGAAGCCCACCCGATTGAGCTCGTCCGGATCTGTGAAAGATTGAGCCAGCAGGCGCATAGCGCCAACGACGACGCCGGTCTGCTGTCTGCAGGCTCGTTTGATGTAATCAAAGCTCGTCTGGGGCTCGGCCATGACGCCCTTGGATACGCCGCGCCACGTGCCATCTTGGAGCGCGAGCACGTAGATGCGTCGCCCCAGTAGATCAACATAGGGCTGGGCAGGCCCACCTGCAGCCACTCTGCCCTCTGAGGCCGATATGATGCCGAGAGAAACGCCCTTGGAAGTCGCGTTAGCTTCCGTGTAGGCAGCTGCAAGGCTGAGTGCCTCTGGTCGTGAGAAATCGAGTCGCTCGGCAACGACAGTCGCCCATGCTGACATGATCGGTGCTCGGTTGACGACGACGGATGCGGTCTCGAGTCTCTGCTTTCTGATGGTCAGCGAGACCGCTAGCAAGATAGTGACGGGTGCGCTCACTTCTTCGTCGAGGATCTCTTCAAAATCGAATGCAAGTGCAGATGATCTCTGCTTTGTAGGCTGGGCCGGCAGGGGACGGTCGAGGTCGCTGTCTCGCTTCCGTTTGGAGGCACTCGATTTCGAGGAGGGTGTGCCAGCGTCGACTGTCTGCGTTCGTTGGCCCATCAAGTCGATCATGCCGGGAGGTTGATGTGCGGCCGGCTTGGGCTTCTTGCCGTTCGAGACGAGCAGCTTGCGAGCGTCCACGTTCTTGATACCGATCGAGACACACTTGCCTTCGGTGAGCTGGCTCATCTTCGCGACCGAGTCCAGCTTGGCATTGAACAATGCCTGAGCTACTGTCATAGCGTCTGCCGGTGTGAGGCCGATGCTCGAGACGAGATATTTGAGCATGCTGGCCACCTGTAGCTTCTCTTTCTCGTGGACGACGGACACGGCGGGGGCCATGCCTGCTAGCAGCAGACGAGGGACTCAGACAGCGGGCACGGCACGGCACGGCACGACACGGTAACGCGGCGATTGCACTGTCCGACTGCTTCGCACATCCCAAGGGCCAATCAGCATGCTCGTGCACCGTACTCGGCTGAGAGCGCTCGCCTGAGACGTTCCTGAACGTGCGCTGCATCAGCGAGCCGTTGCAGGATGCTCTGGTTGCTCTGGACGATGTGCCTTGTTGCAACCTGCCAAGCTGCTCATCTGTCCACATGTAGACCGCCAACGTCCAGCACACTCGAGCATGCGAGGAGTCACAGGGATGTCTGTCTGCTGACAGACTACTGCAAGGAGTCTGGCTCCCTTGCGGCAACCTCGGAGTCTGTCCTCAATGCTGACGCAACGACCAGCACATCCGTCACGGCGCCGTCTGACGAGACAGCTTCGATGAGTCTGAACGCGGCCAGCGAGGCTCCCTCTGCTTCAGCAGAGCCTGCGAGCATCACGTCCCGTCCGCCTGAGGACAAAGCAACGCCTGCGGCAGACGAGATCACACGATCCAAGACCGATGATACGGTCTCACCTACGCCGACTGCCGTGCCCCCTTTTGTCCCTTTCGACGAGTGGCGTGCTAAGAACGAGCCCAAGCCTCGTACGGTCAAGACGACCGCATCCTCGCTTGGAGCATCAGCCGTCATACAGGAGTCACGCACGGTTTCGTCCTCGCGCAGTGAAGCCACCTCGGACAGCCTCACGAGCGCAGAACAAGCGACTGGCACTGCTCAAGCTATCATCACCCCTTCTGCGATTGTGCCGATCGATCGCACCAGTAGTGAGCCGGGGGCCAAGTCGGAGGAGTATGCCATGGCTATCGCGTCCGATCTCGTCCATCCTCTTCCGGATCTGCCGACGACCGACCCCCTCTCGCCGCTCCGCAAGCTGGCTAGCCGGACGAACTATGCTTCTTTCGACTGTGCAGCTGCTGTTCACAGATCGAGCAAGCAGACAAAGGGCGCTTCCTCCATCCTGCGAGAAGCAAAGGATCGCTATATGCTCACGCCATGCAAGACCCCGAATAAATTCGTCATCATTGAGTTGTGCGAGGCGATCGAAATTGACACGCTCGTGCTGGCCAACTACGAGTTCTTCAGCTCGATGTTCAAGCTCTTCTCCGTCAAGGTGACTGATCGACTGGCCGTCTCGACCGGCGATACCGACAGTGAGCAATGGATCAATCTGGGTACCTTTCGCGCCAGAAATGTGAGAGGGCTCCAGATCTTCAAGCCGCACAAACTCAAGGGATTCTATCGCTATCTTCGCATTGACTTTGTGACCCACTACGGAACCGAGCACTTCTGTCCCGTCAGCCTACTGCGTGTTTACGGTCTCACGGAGATTGCCTCGTGGCGGGAGGAAGAGATGCGTATGCAAGCAGCAGCCAACGCCCTCGACGCATCCGCAGAAGACATTGAATACGCCGTACCGACAAATGAGGAGCTTTGGAATGGTCCGGCTCGGGTTGCCCCTCGGACTGTCGACGTCAACATTGTAGCCACTGGCTCAAGCGCTGCAGATCAAGCTACGCACACGTCTGACAATGTCTCGCGGACAAGTGTCGAGCATCCATCTGCCATTCCCACTTCTGTGCTGCTCGCATCTGAGGTCAGGCAAAGCGCGAGCGATAAGATGGCCTCGCAGCGAGATGATTCGACACCCTCATCGGCCTCAGTCACAAAGCAGCCTGTAAGCAATCTGCCGCCGGCGAATCAGACCCGCAGCGAAGACGTGGCGAATGCAGACGGCGCACAGGGCGAAGCTCGCAACGTGACTCGCGCGGCTGCCGTGTCGTCCAGTCAGCCAGCGCATACGCAACCTGGCGAATCCATCTATGGCACTATCATGAAACGACTGTCCGCGCTCGAGCACAATGCGTCGCTATCGATGCGCTACATCGAAGAGCAAGGGAAGATGCTGCGGGAGGCCTTCGCTCGCGTTGAGACGCGGTTCGAATATTATGACGCAGCGGTAGGCATCAGTCGCTGATTTGCACGCATGTCTGACTTTCTCGGGTCCACAGAGAGCCAAGCAAGATGCGATGCTGCGCAAGATCATGCTCGACGTAGATCTCCATCGGGCCAAAGTCGAAGAGGATCGCATTGCTCTGGCCTCTCAGCTCAATCATCTTAGCCAGGAAGTCATCTTTGAGCGAAGAGTGGGACTCGCACAGCTCGTGGTGCTCATGGCGATCGTTGTCTTTGTCGGACTGACACGCGGATCACCAAACGTACCGCTTCTGCAGATGCTGCCTGAGCACCCGACTCGGCACTGGCGGGGTCGCAGTCAGCTATTTGCAGACATACACGACCATAAAGGTACGTGCTTGGTCGTCAATCCCCGCTATGTGCTCAATGGGATCGCAGGCGAGCATGCAAGAGAGCGAACGTCATCAGATCGCAAGCATCTTGCGCAAGGACTCCACAGGGTGGCGTCGACTGGCAGAAATAGTCGCAAAGCCCACCTCAATGCGCCTACCTCACGTAAGACGTATTCAGTTTCTGGCAACATCAATCCTCGTCTGACTCCCGTCTTGGCCACTGGTGATCTGCCTGGCCCTCGACGGCGCAAGCGAGACGAAGAGCGACGATCTGAGTCTCCCATGTTGAGTGGTCCGACAGGCCGAAGGCGACCGGCATCGATACACGAGTCGACTGCCAAGTCCGGTAACGGGCTAGAGATGACGACGCATCGACCATTGCCGATTCGTATGCCGCCGAGCCCAGAGCCGAGCTCGGATGCCAATACCTGGCAATCTGCATCCGGCACAGATGATGAGCTCAGTGCAAGTGCGAGCGCGGATGAATCCTCGGACGCAGGCAGCGCGACCGCGGAAGCATTCACGCCCTATCTTTTGGAGACACGATCGTCTCTGGACGATTCTGATGAGGACAATGGTGCTTCAGATGGGACTAGGTTAATGACAGACGCCAACGGGCTCGGGTTCAAGCTTCATAACGCATCTTCGGCAACGCTTGTCAGTCCGGCTAACCTTGTATCTCAGTCGAATCCGCCGTCTTCACCTAGAGATCAGATGGAAGAGACCTTGCAGTAGTGGAGCGCGCTGTCTCATGTTGTAAGATCTGCTGCAGTGCATCGTAATAAATACAACAGGTGCTGTTCGCACTCGACTGCTAACGTTGCAAAAGGCGTGAATAAATAAATTGCGGGCTACAAGAGGCATAGAAATGCGAATCGTTGATCGACATGAGCGTCTAAGCGAGCAAGACCCCTAAGGTGACAGCTGATAGCATTGCCATGATGCTCGTGGTCATGGTCACGCTCTGCTTTGGCGCATCGCCGGAAATTGGAGTTTCACTGGCGCTAGGAGCGGCTTCAGTGGCTGTCACACGAATTGCACCGGTGGTAGGTACTGTGACAGTCTCGACGGTATTGCTGAGCGTGAGTGCGATGACACCGCTTGGCAAGGTGCTGCTCGCCGTCGTGAAGAGAGACGTCAGAATCTGTACTTACCTTCAGCTCAAGACAGCTACAGGTGGCAAAGAGGGCGCACTGTGAAGCCATTGAGCGAGACGACGGTGCCATAGGAAGGCGATGATGCGACAGCGCCAGTCGAGCTGGTCGCCGTCGCGGGCGTAGACGAGCCTGTTGCAAGATGAATGATAGTCAGACGACTGCGGACACCGTCTGGGCGATCAGAAGAGCTCACTCGCAAGTGCCGTGGTAGTCACAGCCGAGGAGCTGCTCGTTTGTGCGACGACGCTCGCAGCCAAGCAAGACGCTGCAAACGCAACCGACGAGGGAAATCGCATCTGAAGCTCGAGATCGTCGTCCAGCTGGCGTTGTGGCCGTCGCGCAGGCGGCAAATGTAATAAATGTTTGTAATATTGGAAGTTAAGCCTACCTGCTCCTCCAAGCAGAGAAGTCGCCCCTCCAGGTACAGACGACCATCGCTTAAGGACGGTACAGATGCCAGGTAGAGCTACAGCGATGATGAGCCTCAATCTTGCGCGCTCGCTCGCTCAGATGAACCTGGCCAGCAAAAGAGCTCTGCCAGGCTTTGTCAACACGAGCCTGAGAGCTTATGCGCCCTCTCTCGCTGCATCTGTGATGAGTCGCACATTGACCAGCACAGCTAGGGCACAAGCAGATGTCATCACCGACGCGACCTCTGCTCTGTCGACCAGCAAGCCCAAGCGATCCCGCTCCTCTGCTTCCACGGGTAGCGCGACGGCGGATGCCGTCAAGAAGGGGGCCCAGAAGGTCAAGAAGGCCGTCAAGCCCAAGGCTAAGAAGGCAGCGAAGCCCAAGAAGCCAAAGGTAGTCAAGGCCAAGAAGCCAAAGGTCGTCAAACCTAAGAAACTCAAGAGCGCCCTGCAACCGCCTAAGCCTCCAGGAGGCCCTCTGACCATCTTCGTAGCCGAGAATCTCAAGGCTCGTGTCTCCTCGTGATCAGGTGTGCATGGGCATGCTGAATCGTCTACAACCGACGTACAGGGCGAGCTTGCACAGACGCCTACCTCATCCGCCTCGGGCAAGCACTCGGTACAGGACATTCGTCAGGCGTTCGCACGCGTTGCTGAACGCTACAAATCCCTCTCGTCAAGCGAGCAAGCGGTAAGTGACCCTCTGACGCGTCTGGCTACCCCCATAAGTTGATCGCGTGACCGTAGGCCCTTGCATCGCGTGCCGCAGAGGCCCGCACGGCTTATGAGAGCCAGCTCAGCGAGTTCCGATCCTCGCTCACGCCCGAGATGATCCGACAAGAGAACAAGGTCAGATTCCAGCAACGCAAGGGTGGCAAGCGCATTGGCAACCTCAGGTCAGCCCGTCACGCATAGCTGCCAGCATCATGCTCACGCCTGATTCTCGCGCTACAGGGATCCTGATGCTCCGAAGCGACCATCGACCGCTTTCTTCCTTTTCCTGACGCGTGGCCGCAATGACCCCTCGTCGGTCGGTCTTCAGAGCCTGCCGGGCAAGACGACCGAGCAAACCGTCGTCCTTGCGGGCCGCTGGAAGGAAATGAGCGATGCCGAGAAAGAGGTTGGTCTGCCACCGTCCGTTGGACATTGCGCTCATCACTCGAGACAGCCATACGTGTCTGATGCACTAAGATTGCGCGAAGAATATAAGCAAGCGTCGGCGCGCTACGAATCTTCGCTCCAGCATGCTTGAGCGTAGCCCGGCACGATACCCTCTCAAGCACCGTCCAGGACGACGTCTAGATGTCGTTTCGTAGCCCATCTCATCGTTCCCTCAGTCTTGTACCTCAATGAAAGTGCCTCCGCGTTGACCGCGTGGTCGACGAGCCGATCAAAGCTACTTCTCATTCCGCGGAATTTCCAGGCAGGAGCGGCTGGGAGCGCTCCTGTCGAGCTTTTCATGGCCTCTGAAGACTTAGCGGCTGGCCCGCTGGAAGAGACTGCGCCGCTTCGGGCTGCGAGTCAGGCAGAGGATGACTACTACCTCGCTCCAATGACAGAGCTTGACTTGGACGCGTGGTGCAAGCTGCAATGGCAAGGATTCCCGGCGCTGTACGACTGGCTTGAGCCCAAGGAGGGACGCCCCGATGATGTGACCAGATTGCGAAGAGGCAGCAAACGTTGCCTTGCTATGCTCAGGCGGCCTCATACGATCTGCACGAAAGCAGTAGAACGCTCGTCGGGTGCGCTCGTCGGCATCGCCGTTTGGGCAGAGCCCGGCGGCCGTCTAGAGGCTCCATTCAACTACAAGACCGTGGGCGAAGACCCGGAGAGCTGGCAAGGCGTCAATATCGCTGCACACAAGAATCTGTTCGATGGGTACGACAGAGAGCGCCGCGAGATCCTGAAAGATCAACCTCATTGGGTGCGCGAACGAGTTGCATGCACGAGGATGGTGCTGATGTCAGCTGGCGCAGTATCTGGGACCCATCGTCGTCGATGAGGCGCATCAACGGCGCGGTATCGCGTCCTTGCTGCTCAAGCAAGGCACAGACCTCGCAGACTCATCAGATCCGCCGCTTCCGCATTATCTGGAAGCAACAGAGGCAGGCTGTCCTGTCTATCAGAAGCTCGGCTGGGAGCTCGCAGCTCGTCGGAAGATGGGACACATCATGATCAGACCAGCGAGAGGTCGGACACTTGCCCGAACGCTTGACGGCTGGATTGACACTGCGCCGCCCGACGACGGCAAACCCTTCTTCGCATAGAGATAGAGACGCGCAGCATATCGTAGAACAATGCATTTGCATGTCCATAGAGCTCGTTCCTGGCGAGCATATCATACCTCATGATCACATTCATCTTGCGGCCCTTGGCTATTTTTGCCACATGCCACGCGAGCGAGAAAGAACGTTGTCTTTTTATCGGGTTCCTCTGCAAGTAAGCAAGTCATGTCCTCCTTTCTGCTTCTCCGACCACTGTGCGTGACCACTGTGCGTGTGCACTCTTCGGGAGGACGTCGACATGAACTCGGCCCTCGGCGAATGGGCAAGCAAAGTTGATGCCCCAGTTGTCAGTCCCGCAACGAGCGATGGTGTTTCGAGCGATAAGCGATTGGCGCTCGAGCCATCCGTATCTGCCGCAGTAGGAGGACACCTTCCCGGTATAACGGCAAGTACACCTCGCACAAGACAGGAAAGGCTCTCGGCTGCCTTCACGATAGCATGTGCGGGGTTTGCGTTGATCTCAGACGGGTAAGCAGCCCACGCGTGCGCCGCTCGAGAGCCTCATCTGAAGCTATGACCAGCTATCAAAATAATGTTATGACATTGCTCAATGTAGTCTACAAGCGCATCTATCCAACAGTCTACACCAGCAGCGTCTCGACACGCGTCTCTAACTCGCTGCTCGTGGGCGCAATCCTAGGACAAGTCATTGTTGGTGTCGTATGCGATAGAGTCGGTAGAAAGGCAGCCATCATCGGCGCAACGCTCTGCATCGTCATCGGTGCGGCTCTATCGACTGCGGCTCATGGTGCCAATGGCTCAGCAGAGGGGCTTTTCTGGTTTCTGACTTTCAGTCGAGGCTTGACGGGTATCGGTGTCGGTGCCGAGTATCCTGCCTCGTCGACATCTGCTGCCGAAGCTGCGAACGAGTCTATGCTCTCGCAGAGAGGACCTATCTTCATTCTCGTGACCAATCTGCCCCTCTCGTTCGGCGGTCCTTTGGCAGTGTCCATATTCCTCATCGTCTATTCGTGCACGAGTATTTTGGAGACCCTGTGGAGAGTCATCTTTGGAATTGGCATTCTCTTTCCTCTCGTCGTTTTCTACTTTCGTCTCAAAATGTTACATTCCAAGCTATATCGGACCAGCGCGATCAAGCGGAGAGTGCCCTATATGCTCAGTCTCAAGCGATACTGGAGACGACTGATTGGCACAGCCGGCTGTTGGTTCCTGTACGACTTTGTTACTTTCCCGAATGGCGTATTCAGCTCGACAATCATTGCTTCCGTGGTCAAAGATGCTTCGCTGAAAAGGACAGCCGAATGGCAGCTACTCCTCGGGTCCCTGGCCCTACCTGGCGTATTCCTGGGTGCATACTTATGCAACAAATTGGGAAGGAAGTACACGATGATATTAGGATTCTCTGGGTACCTCATCTTCGGTCTCATCATCGGCTGCTCTTTCGACAGGATCATCAAGATTGTTCCACTCTTTGTGATTTTCTATGGCCTCCTGCAGTCAAGTGGAAACGCCGGCCCTGGTGACATGCTGGGGCTTGTCTCCAGTGAATTGTATCCCACGCCGATCCGCGGAACAGCTTATGGCAAGTCGAGTCTCTCTCAACGAGCGACGGGCTAACGCACAGGCCAGGTCTGTCTGCCTGCATCGGAAAGACTGGAGCTGCAGTGGGAACGCAAGTCTTCACGCCCATCCAGAATCACTGGGGCAAGAGATGGACGTTTATCGTCGCCGCCATTGTCGGCATCCTTGGTGTTCTTAACGCTTACATTTTCCTGCCAAATGTCGGAGGTGAAGATCTGGCAAAGGAGGACGAAGCTTTCGCGGAATATCTCGCTGCCAACGGATGGACAGGGGAGGTGGGCGAGGACGATGGCAAGAATCTGATAGGTGCGAAGGAGGAAGTCGTGAGAGCTTGACAAATGTATGCATTGCCTCATGATAGCCGTCAGAGCTCTACTTTGCTTCGACGAGTTTGATCGGCTCATTTGGCGGTGCTAGTTCATCAGTCTTGAGATCAGCTAGCCGCTTCCTAATGGCGTCTCGCCGTTGCTCGCCGTACATCCGCGCGTCGCGTCGAGCGTTTTGAAGCGCATCAGCAGACTGCTCGTGGTGAGCGTCGCGTGCCTGTAGGATCGAGTTGTTGGACCATATGCGTGCTGTCGAGGGATCGACGGCCAGCTCTTCGTCGGCTTTGCCTGCATTACCGAGAGACGAGACAAGCTGAGTGGGTGGCAAAACGGACACACTAGGAAACAGATTCCAGGCTTGCCAGCCGTACAGCAGGACGGTAGTCGTTGCCAGGAACATAAACACGCGACCATTTGTGCTCACAGTATTGACCTGCGCATCTCTGTTTCTGTGAAAGAAGCTTTCCTGGTGATCGTCGTATGTCGGGTCCTGCTGCCAATCCCAGCTGGCAGATGGATAGTAGCCTCTCGAACGATATGGATTTCGGGAGTTTGACCACGGATCATGCTGCCGCCACAACTCCGCTTGATCGTAGGCATGATGAGCATCAAAGCCCGCACGTGCTGATGCTGCTGCCGAGCCGGGCGCGGAACCTGACCAGCCGATACCGGCGCGCAGGTAGTCAAGGCGTCGCCGGTCATCTTTCAGTAGCTCGTAAGCCGCAACAATTTTCTTGAAACGTTCGATATAGACATCGTGCTCTGTTGCCTTCCCTTTCCCCTTTGGCGTTGCTGGGAGCGCCATGGCAGCCGGCGAGGCCGTCACAGAATCAGGATGATGCTGCCTCACGAGATCATAATATCTCGCCTTAATCTGACGCTTCGTGGCCGATCGCGGCAGGTGGAAGAGCTCGAATGGCGTAGGCTGACTGAGATGAGCTGGATAAGCGAGGTCTGGTCGGCCCGTCGACTGTGCTTCGATTGCAGATCGCTTCGTGGTCGTGTGCAGCCTCGATCGGCTACTTGACGGCTCGCTGCTGCCAAGGTAGGACTTGGGAGGCACATTCTGGCTGGTACATGTGCATGGCAGTGATCTGACTGTTGCACGAGCCAGCATGAAGCTGACTAGACGATGACGATCCACGCCGAAGTGGTGGCCTCGGGTGCTGATGGTAGAACTATTGACGGGCTAATCGAACAGCGTGGCAACGTGTGCGCAAGAAAAAATTGGATACGACGCCGACGGTGAAGCGCTCAAAAGGCAGGCTAACCGGATTCTTCAGCGCATTACAGGGTCTTATACGAGCTCTGAAGACAGTCATCAGAGAGAAACATCAGCGAAATGGCAAGCAACTACAAAGTATGCAGGCAAAGCACGTTAGCGCATCGGGTGCTCATGTTTTGCGTTCTCAGGTCGCAGACATCAGCTTGGCAGCATGGGGCCGCAAGGGTACGTCAGGAGGCACGTCAACAATGCGTCTGCAGGCTCACATTCGCTCTATCAGAGATTGAGATCAACGAGCACGAGATGCCTGGTCTGTAAGTCGTGAACCCGATCACTAGCTGACTCCATTGACGCCATCCTTTCATTCCCGTCTACAGCATGAACCTGCGCAAGAAGTATGGAGCCTCCAAGCCTCTCGCTGGTGCTCGCATCGCCGGCTGCCTTCACATGTACGCCCACAGCCACGTGCGCCTGACAGTTCTCACGCGCCGGGCAAAAACAGGACCATCCAGACTGCCATTCTCATCGAGACGCTCACTGCGCTCGGTGCACAAGTAACGTGGTCCTCTTGCAACATCTTCTCGACTCAGGTGCGCTCGCGTGTTCTTTGCCTTTGCTTGCTCTGATCGACCTTGTAATGCTGCAGGATCACGCTGCTGCTGCCATCGCTGCTTCAGGCGTTCCCGTCTTTGCCTGGAAGGGCGAGACTGAGGAGGAGTACATGTCGGTCGCTAGTGCTGGCTGTACAGAAGCTCAAACTGACCTCTACCACGCCATTCCAGCTGGTGTATCGAGCAATCGCTCGCCGCTTTCCCAGATGGCAAGCCTCTCAACATGATCCTTGACGATGTACGTGTATGCCTTGCTCTTACACAGACATTGCTGACACAGGCGCATGACAGGGTGGTGATCTGACCGCACTCGTTCATGAGAAGCACCCAGAATGGCTCGAAGGTATCAAGGGCGTCTCCGAAGAGACGACGACCGGTGTCCATCATCTCTACCGCATGATGAAGAAGGGTACCCTCAAGATCCCTGCCATCAATGTCAACGACTCGGTCACAAAGTCTAAATTCGACAACTACTACGGCTGCCGCGAGTCGCTCGTCGATGGCATCAAGCGCGCCACTGACATCATGCTGGCTGGCAAGGTTGCGGTCGTCGCTGGCTACGGCGATGTCGGCAAGGGTTGCGCAGAGTCTCTCCGCTCATACGGTGCTCGCGTTATCGTTACCGAGATCGATCCGATCAATGCCTTGCAGGCTTGCATGGCAGGTTACGAGGTCACCACAATGGAAGACGCAGCCTATAGAGCCAACTTGTTTGTCACCACGACAGGCTGCAGAGACATCATCGTCGGCAAGCACTTCGAGGCTATGCCCGAAGACGCCATTGTTTGCAACATTGGCCATTTCGACATTGAAGTCGACGTCGCATGGCTCAAGAAGACGGCCAAGGAGGCCATCAACATTAAGCCGCAAGTCGACCGTTTCACTATGCCTAGCGGTCGCCACGTCATCTTGCTTGCCGAGGGCCGTCTTGTCAACCTGGGCTGTGCCCACGGCCATCCCTCGTTCGTCATGTCCTGCTCCTTCTCCAACCAGGTGCTTGCACAGATTGCGCTCTGGACCGACACTGCCTCTTACCCGCTCGGCGTCCATGTGCTGCCAAAGGCTCTCGATGAAGAAGTTGCCATGGCGCACTTGGCGTCGCTCAACGTGAAGCTGACGACCATGACTGACGCCCAAGCCGAGTACATGGACCTGCCGATTACTGGGCCCTTCAAGGCCAATCATTACCGATACTAGGTAGCTCGCATCTCAGCCTGTACTGACTACGAAAAGAGAAAGCCTTCAACGGTGGACGCCCCCAATGCAGATCGATCGCTCGCAGTCCGTTTGCTTGTATCATCATGATAGAAAATACGAAAATCAATGCACTCAACATTGCCCCAAAGTATGCAGTTCGGCTTTAGAGCTTTTCACATTGCGCGACAAGATCGTCGGGCACCCTAGCCTGTAGTATCGCAACGAGCTGCTGAAGTGGCTGCCAGCTGAACTTCTCGACGAGCTGACCGTTGTGAAGGATGCGCGTCTGTAGACCATCTGAAGCTCGCCATACCTCAATGACGATCTGTGAGCCCAGCGCAGGCCATGCGAGCGGCGCAGGGAAGCCGAGACCTGCTGCAAGTCTGATCATCGAGCCATCGTGACCGACATAGAGCAACATTTTGGGAACATTGCCGCTGGCGTTCATTGCGAGCAAATTGTCAGCCAGTTCTTCAAACATGGCTCCAAATGTGAGGTCGACATAGTCTTGTGCAAGTGGGGAGGCTCGCCATATGTAGTCGTATTCATAGCTCCCAAGCGCATAAACTTTGTCTGCATCCTCTTGGGTGACGCATTCGCCGGTCACGGGATGGCAGGGCAGGAAATGGCTGTTGCACTGCCGCGACGTCAGTGCGTCAAAGTAGTGATCATCTGAAGTTCGCAGTCGCGTGAGCCATGTCGAGGTTCAGACGATGTCACTGACACCAATTATGCCAACTTGCGCGATTTGAGGTGCCCAGCACGCTGTCTAGGCGCCTCTGCAAGGCAGTGTTGGCAGCAAGATGATCGAGCCATGCCTGCTCGGCTTCGATGCGCTGCCTCTGAGTATCTGCGGCAGGGCAAGCGTAGGAAGGCACAATGTTGTCGATCTATTCATGCAGAATGATCAGACAGGAGCACACCAAATCATCGGGCACATACTGCGACGGGCTGAACGTAGACTGGCCACGTCTTGTCGATGCTACTCGGTTCCAAGCCAGCCAGAAAGCCAGCTGAGACCTCGAAAGTGCGAATAGCAGGCGAGGTGCGTATATGGAGATCGTCAGGCGTTATACGACCGGGAAACAGATGGGCATAGGTCGCTCGCACGTCTCTGCCGTGCTGAACAGCATCGCGCAGACCTGCAGCTGTCAGCTGGCCTTGGTCACACGTGCCGGGTAGAATGCTGTTCTTGAAAGGATGGCGAGCCGGTGTGGCGATATGTGTGTGGACGCGAGGGCCGTCGTAGCCAGCCACAGCGGCGGCATAAGTGGTCGCGATATCTTCACACGACCATGTCTCATTGAAGGTGGCCTCCCGAGGCAGCAGATTATCCGGCGTGCGCCGATGATGGCGCTGGAAGATGAGGACGTGTTCGAGTGCGGCTGTGCGTGCTTTCACCGGCGGATACGTGCTGGGTGTGACATGTGGCGCCCTGCAGAAGCTCTCTCTGTACGGAGAGATGTCTCATCTCAGCTCTATGCAAGGCCGGAGAGAATGAAGTGACTCGCAGCCAAGGTGTCGCGAAGATGTGATCGGATTCCACAGGCTCAGGTACACCGCGCGCGCCCAGGACCGGCACGAGCCAGATGCTGAGCATGAAGACGAGGGGCAGGGTGATGCGAAGGTCCAACATGCTGGCTAATGTGGTAGCAGGATGAGCAGGAGACTGCTGATTGTCATCCTCGAGGACGTCGCTTGACTCTAGCAGAGGCTCGCGCTGTTCGGCCATGACAGCATCGACTGATGATCAGCATGGCACATCTTGATGACAGTATGGCCTTTGCATCGTGAGATAGGAATTGGGAGGATGGTCCGAGTGTGCTCGGACAGCCAAGCCGGACAAGGTCAACAGCTCCTCGAGCCTCGAGCGCTCGAGCTCGAACTTCGCGCGAAAAACGGTTCCCAGCGCATCCGCAGGCCGACCGTCAGACCGCAATGTCGTACGTCATCGCAGGCCGCAAGGTCCTCAACGAGCATGTATGTGTACATGCTTGGCATCCGTGCTCAGTACTGAGTCCGTCCCGATAGCTCGCGCTGGCAACGTTTGGCGTCACCGGCTTAGGAGTCTACCTGTCCATGAGAGGCGGTCCTGCGAAAGATGCAGCGGGCAAGCCAAAGCCTATCATCACCGCAGACAGCAGGTCCGTCAATGACACTTTACGATGACACGTCAGGCTGACCCCAGCCACCGCAGTGACGAGAGCAATTACATCAAGTCTGTCAGGCCCACCTCATCCTGCGGCCTCGCTGACCTCGCTCAAATCTACAGGAGCTACGTCGAGAACATGGAACGGGAAGAAGCGGCTAAGAAGCAGCTCAAGAAATAGACGAGCCATCTTGGACATCATTTGCATTTCAGGACAGCTCCATCTTAGCCGTGCTCGCTGTCGCAGCGTTGTCTTCTTGATCGTAGCCTTCGTTCTTCTTGAGAATGACGAAGCCCTCGAGTACGTGAGTGTACGGGAACCACTCTTCTGTCGCCATCTCTGCTCGCTCTGTATTTGCGAGTCGAACAGGCGTCGTATGGGTCTGGAAACCAGTGATGGATTTCGGCTTGCCCGGCTGCCCGACAGTATCGACCGCCTGACCGACACGGACACTGACCGGCAAGACCTCGCCCTTTTCATCAAAAGTGATCAGGAAACGAGGGTACATCGCCGGCGCAAGCAGGAACAGAAGCCAGTGCGACTTGTCTAGGATGAATCCTTTCACGTCTGTGAAAGCGAGCAGAGTCGACAGCAAGCCGGCCATTGCTGCAGGCGACATCAGAGACCGATCAGTGTGGAAGGGTGCCAGCCCGATAGTGCCCTTGCCCATGTGTACCAGGCCCTACGATGTCTATATCAGCTAGCGCGGATGCAGTGGGGATCGCGACTCACTTGGGACACTCGGACCATGAACAGCGCCTCCGGATCTTTGGCATAGTAGCTCGCAAGCTGGCGCAAGAGCTGAGCGAGCCGTGCTTGATTGGTGCCTGCGCCGATGAGACCCATTGCAAAGATCGCATTCAATGCGACTTCCTGGTCGTTGTCGTGGGAATACTTTGAGAGTGTGTCCATAATCGACAGGCTCGGATTCGACGCGCTGATCAGTCCGAGGGCCAGGGGCACAGCTCGTCGTATCGCGGCATCGCCATAGTGCATCTGAAATGTGATTTGGTCAGCTGCATCCATTCGATAGACAAGTCACACACAAGATGGGAGAATTGCCGTAGACACATTTCAGCTCCCACATCCTCGCCTGTCGCAATGAGAGCGATGGCGAGAACGGCAAAGCCCTGATGGATCGCACTGTCCGAGTCTTCCTCGACATGGGGGGTGCAAGCTGTGAGCATGTCCTGGATCTTGAGGACATTGCCTGTGCCGGCAAATGCGCACATGTCGACGAGTACTTGCGCCTGCTTGCCTAGTGGCACTTCGATGGCTTTCAACGTCTCCAACGTTGCATCTGCATCATCTTGACGGCCAAGGTTGAGAAGCGCCAGGCCGAGACCCATGAAGCGAGCCCATTTGTCCGAAAGCTCCTTATCTTCGCGTTCCATCATTGTCTGCAGGATTGTGCCCGTGATGTCTCCGTTGCAAGTGCCCACGAACACGAAGCCGAGAGCAAGCGCGGTGACGGACGCGATCTCCATTGACAGCGACGTGTCGGCGATGGCAGGCAAGAGAAGCTCTAGGATATCCTCGCGCTGAGATCCGGCATAGGCAATACCGATGCCCATCGTAGCCATGATGCGTAGGGTCGGACTGCTACTTTCGATATGTTCAGACAGTAGAGCGAGCGCTGCGTCCATCTCGGTCCGAATGCCAGAGTGTATCAGGCCGTTGGCGAGGAGCGCGCCTGCTTTGATATACTCTTCCGACGAATAGGTGTACTTGTCGATCTGACTGAGACCCATGTCCGGATCCCAAAGCAGGCTCATGCCGAGCGAAGCAGCGGCTGAGAGCATGCCGTGGTCCTTGTTCTTGTAGATCCACGATTGCCCTTCTTCTGCTGCTGCCATCAATTTGTCATTGCCGAATCCTGCGTTGACAAAGGCGTTGACGAATGTGCCTGCAAGATTTTGCTTTGCAGAGTCGACTGCTGCAATCGTGCCTGGTCTAGTGTTTTCAAGGTGCGATTTGTAGATGTCTTCGAGGCTCTTCGGCTCGCTGACACTGAGCTCTTTACCGAAAAGTTTGAAATGCTCTGTCAGCTTTGCATTGTTCAGGATATCGATTAGATCTTGATCGTCAGTTTCTAGATTGATCTGTTGCCGAGCGAGGATGTATGCCATTTGTCGTTTCATGTTGCTATCAGAGACATGAGCTTCCGTGCGTTTCTGACGATGATCTACTTACGCGCTTTCTGGGCCGTTAAAGTCTGCTCGGATGGCGTCTCGATCGTTCAGTCTGATGGCGAGCGTCAAAGCTTCTGTCCATCGCCCTTGCTTTCGATAGATGTCGCGAGCGCTGCGAAGGAATTGGCGATCGTCGGGTGGTACGAGTAAATTGACGCAGGAGACCATGTAGAGGCAAACGCGTGCGTATGTGTTTTCGTCGACAAAGGGCACTATTTGCTCGATTGATTCGATTTCAAGCAGCAAGTCAACAGCATCTGCTTCGCCGTTGTGCGATAGGAAAAAGGGCACCAGCTTGAGCGCTAAATCTTCGAGCTCTTTTGTGTCCGTCGTTGTTGGTGGCTGCGTAGGTTCGATCGCATCTTTGGCTTGTGACTCCATCACCGCGCCACTCGCTGTCGGCGCGGCAGTATCCGTCGGGGCATCAAGAGTAGCTAAAGAGGCCCTCCTCCGGACTTCGTACTCTTCGCCAATCTCCGCTGCCAGATGCCGAACGTACTCGTTACCCCACGAGCCAGGATCTTCTTGGGATCCGCCTCGTAGTCGATATAGCAAGGTCTCGCGTTTGCCGTTGTCAGAATAGGTCATCGCCAGCACTGACAGTAGGTCAGCTAGCAGTGCGACGTCTGAGCCAGCCGCTTTTGGCTTGTGTGGTGGTGCAGAGGATGTCGATGGCGCCGGCTGGGAATTGGTGCCAAATGTGAAGTTGACTGCGCCTGCTGCTGCATCGCTGACGAAGGAGCTAATGCCTTGGATAGCCTGGCCGGCCAGAGTCTGCGAAGGCTCTGCAGGAGTGCCTTGTAGGGATTGTCCAGACCATTGGCTGTAGAGTGATTGCAGATCAGGATAGAGTGGTCGCAGATATTTGAGTGGCTTGGGTACGCTCGTCATGGAGGATGTCGACGTCTTGATGAGAGTTCGCATTGATTCGAGTGCCGGCCGATGCAGCTGAGCGTCATCCTCTTGCAGTCGCTCGACGAGCATCGTCAATTCTGATTTGAGCTGAGCGTCCTCCTCGCTCTGTCCGGCCACACGTCAGGAGCTGCACGACTTGTGAGTCACGATGTCAGGAAACGCACGAGCTCTTCTGCCTTGGCATCCTTGGCCCTGCCATCGGGCGCAAACCCGTTCGTCGGCCCATTGTCGATCGATTTTTTGTCCTTCTTGTCGTCCTTGGGCGCATCGTCTGATCTCACTGGATCGACGAGCGCTTCTTGTGCCTGTCTAGGCGGTGGCTCTACCATGTCTTGGCAGTCTAGCGTCTCCTCTCTCCGTCAATTCAACGCAGGCGAGGCGCTCGACCGCGTGTCGTCAGCGTGCGCGCGACGTCGAAAGACAGCACCGCACAAAGTCTCGCTTCGGGTGTATAGCGAGTGGACCGGGATGCAATGAGTCTACATGCAATGTCTATGATGAGAGACAGCTATGATGATACCCGAGTGGCCGTGAGGATGAGGTACGAAATCTAGAGGGAATGAGGAGTCATTTTGCGCATCGCCTGACGCACGCCGAGGTCGCCCAGGATCTCTTCGGAGCCACCAAGAACGGCGTCGAATTTGTATGTACGCATGTAGGCTTCTACTGAGCCAAGCATGCCGCCTTTGGTGATGCCGCGCCCGCCAGCAATCTGGACACACTGATCTGCGCATTCGGCGGCGATACGCGTCAGATAGCGCTTAAGCAAAGCAATTTGACCGGCCAGCAAGTCGGCTTGCTGGAAATAGTTGAGCTTGCACATCTGGAAGGTGATGTTCTCGAGCCAAGATTGGCCGGCTTCGATTTGCGAGAACATTGAGGCAAATTTGGCTCGGATGACAGGTTGGCCAATCAATGGCTTGCCAAAGACCTGTCGAAGGCAGGCCCAGCGGAATGTCTCGTCCACAACGGCTCTTGCGGCGCGAATGGCAGAGCAACACATCACCCAGCGCTCATGATTGAAGTTAGACAGGACGATCTTCAGGCCATCGCCCGCTTTGCCGAGAGTATTTTCGACGGGCACTTTGACGTTGTCGAAGGTGATGTAGGCAGTACCGGCCGCGGATGAATAAGCAGTCTTGATGATCTTGGTCTCGACACCCCCAAAGTCTCTTTCGATCAGGAGCATCGACAATTCGTTTTTGCCTGTCCGCACTGCAGTGGTGAAGTAGTCTGCAAAATTGCCGCCGGTGATCCACTTCTTTTGGCCAGAGACGATCCAGAAGCGACCATCTTCGGACTTGGTGGCAGTCGTCCGCAGGCCAGACACGTCAGAACCTGCTTCGGGCTCACTGACTGCGAGCGCGATGAACTTGTCGCCTGCCAGAACCGCGGGAACGATGCGCTTTTGCAGTTCCTTGCTGCCAAAATTGAGAGGCGGGAGTCCGATGACGCATCCACCCTGGAGGCCATCACCGTAGCCCTATGAATCACATATTAGCATGCAAAGCCAGCAGAAGCAAGGACCACTGACGCGTCCAACAACCCGTGCGACTTCTTGCGTGATGATCATTTCGTGAAAGTAGTCAAACTCTTCCCCTTTGACGCCGCCAGGGAGCGTGAGGCCGTGCAAGTGCTTGCCTGGTCCCATGCGCATGTGATTGATACGGTTCGCGCCCATCTTCTTGATGAGCTCAACGGTGGGTCGTTCGTTGCTGATCTCGTGCTCTGTGGCTTCTTCCCTGACTTCGTTATCGAAGAAATTGCGCATGGCCTTTTGCAGTGCACGGTGGGAATCGTTGAAGTAGGCGGATTGCATGCCTTTGACGAGCCACATAGGCTCTGCGTGTGGCACTGTAGAGATTGTTCCTACACAACATTGACGTCCGGTGAGCGCCGTCAAGTATGGACAGTCGAGGCGCTTACCTGGTGTCGGTAGGATTACCTGGGGCTTCTCGTTCTCAATCGTGCCGATGATCATTCTGGCGTACTTCGATGCCACCTCGCCGCGATGGAGGCCGAAGAAGACCTGCGTTGCATCTTTGCCGGCGATCTTCGGGTCGAGCAGGATCGATGCACCACCGGGGTGCATGTCGATCTATGCAAAAGTCAGCACAACACAGCGCAATCCGGGGTAGTGCTTACAAAGTCGCTCAGATCCTGCCAAAGGACGTCAGCCCAATTGTCATCATCATAGCTAGGAAAGCGTACATAGACCGCAGTGTCGACGATGATCCAAAGGTCGTCCTCCTTGGCGTGCTATGGCTCGTGTCAGTACAGTATAACGATGTTGTCAGGCACCGTGCTTACCTTTGCAACCTCGGCTCGGCTGAAGACCTTCTTGGAGCCTTGTACGAGATCAGGAACATAGGCGGCTGCACAGGTCATCTTGCTCTGCTCTGTTGATGTCGATCACAAGACTGACTGGCTCGTCTCGGCAATCGCGGCAGTGCGCGCCGTGAGGTCTACTCAAATTGACGCGTTTGATTGGTCGGCTGACCTGCTCAAGCGACATGCATTGCAGTGACGTCTTCTACATCTAAGAGCTGATACAGAGCCGCTGATTCTTGCTTGGCAACAACATTGACTCTCTCCTCCCATCGTATTCTGCTCACGATGAAAATTCCGCCGGAGCTGCTTAGCGTCAATGCGATCGCCATGCCTGCACATAGTCCCGTCACTTTTAGGTCGGCTTTGAAGCACAGCAGCGCGGCGAGCGGGACTGCACCGCCTAGCAAGCAAGTCATATTGAGGTAGGCGCCTAGATGAGGCAATGCTGCTCCCCTGAGAATTCCATTCGTGACACCAGTCAAGCAGTCCAGCGTGACAAAGACGGCAACGACAGGCAATGCTTCGGCGACGATGGCGACGACGACAGGATCGTCATCAAAGACCTTGCCCCACCAACTCTTGTTCGCTGCCAGTATGACGGCACTGATGAGGCCAATACAAGCAGACAGTGCAATGCTTGTCCGTGCTGAGAGCCTCGCAAGATCTGGTCTGTTGCAGCCTAGCAGATTGCCGACACGAACGGCAGCGGAGATGTTGACCGCCATTGCCGACTGATACAGCAATGAAGCGGTATTGAGACAAACGCTCATGGCTGCCAGATAGCTAGTGTCGCCTATAAGAGCTGACATGAGGATCAGACATTCCCAAGCATACCACTCCGAAATGAGCTGAGCTGTCGAAAAGAGACCAAGCCTGATGATCTGACCCAGGTTGGTGAACGCCTTGGTCGTGAAGCCTGCATGGCCATCGCGAGGCACGTATAAGTATGTGTATGTAGCCAGTAGAGCGAAAAGCAAGGTGCTGCTGATTAAGAAAGCAACGGGTCCGCCGAGGAAGCCCAGATTGACGGAGGCGGGTCCAAAGACCAGAAGGGCGGCAAGTCCGATGTTGAAGGGCACAACGCACGCAATCACAGTCGCAGGTGCTTTCATGACATTCATGCTCTGCAGATAGCGTCGCAGGGTCTCAAAGCCCACGAGCGGGATGAGGCCGAAGCATTGCACGCGTAGGTATCGGGCTGCAAGACGCGAGGTCTCCTCGCCTTGTCGCAGCAGTCGGAAAATGTGTTCGGCAGCCACAGACAAGAAGGTACATTGGACGACTGCCATGCAGAGCAGAAGGAAAGCCATCCGTTGAGCGTGCAGACTCGTTTCCTTTGGCTTTGCAGACCAGGAATGAGTGCACAGTGAATCTAGGGCACCACAGAAGCCGATCATGATGGACATTGCCAAGAAATTGAAGGTTGTGTTGCTGAGCGTGGCTGCAGCCAAGTATTTCGTCCCCAAGTGACCCAACATGAACAGATTGATGCTGTACAAGCTCCACTCGAGCAGCTGTGTGATGGCTATCGTGCGCGTGCTGCGCGCAATAATGACAGCTTCGCTCCATGCAATCGTTCTCGCATCTGTTCCCCTCGGCAGTAAGCCTTTGATGTGCGACGGGTCACTGTGAGTTTCCAGCGGATTCTTGACATCGTGCTCGTCCAACAGGCCGAGCCATTCTTCGGATTGCCTGCGCTCGTCACTGCGATCGAAGGAGTCCGCCGGACCAGGTTTGTCATCTGCATACTCTGCCATCAAGATGCCCCTCGCGATAGCATAGAGAGTTCCGGAGGTCCGATCGATTTGGGTGCCGGACGAGGGACGGGTGGAAGGACGATGATGAGCAAAAGTGAGTCATTCGCCGAACAGTGTGGACGATCGGCTTGATCGACGACAAAGTGGAGCAGTCGAGCGGAGCGCTCGATCTTCGCGAGAATCTGTGAGAGCCGGCAACACCGCAAAGTGCACCTCATGCAGAGCGAAGAGCCCCAGGATGGCGACAGGTTTGAGCCCCAGTTCATCCAGGGAGACGACGGGCAGACCTACGAGGTCCTCGACGAGTACGAGCTCGATCGAGATGCAATGGACGCGGACGAAGATGACGAAGCAGATGAACTGCCGGAAGACGGGCAACAGACAGACGAGCCTCCTCAAGAACTGCCTGAGGACACCGCGGTGCTCCACTTTGGCGGTCACGGTGCAGAGGCTTCAGTGTTTGCGCTTGCACGACATCCTACGCTCGAATTGGCCGTCTCTGGTGGCTCAGACGACATTGGGTTTGTCTTCAGGACAGACAACAGCGAACTTGTTACCGTTCTTGACAAGCACGATGATAGTATCATCGCTGCAAGCTGGAGCACAGACGGCGAGTTGCTCGCCACAGCCGGCATGGACGGAATAGTCAGAGTTTACAAAGCTACGTCTGCTGCTGCAGCAGAATCGCCGCCTACGTGGTCACCCTACAAGCGTCTAGAAGGTCCAGATGAGATCATGGTCAGCCAGAACAGAGCTTCTGCCTTGCCTGCGCTCACCAGCAGAGCAGTGGATTGCATGGAACCCCGAGCCCAAGCTCTCAAAGTTCTTAGCGGCGGGCAGCAACGATGGCTCAGTATGGTGCTGGCCAAGTGGGTTCGCAAGGCAACAGCGAGTCGTCTGCTGATGTCTGCGGCAGTATCGAACAAAGACGTATCGCCCTTTGTACTCTCATCTCACATCGCCCCGGTCACTTGTGGCTCATGGGCTCCAGACGGCAAGCGATTGGCAACCTCCTGTCAGGCTGCTCTGATACCCAGGATTGCAGGGAGACGGCTGCTCACGGGTGACGGTGAATCGGCACTATGCTTGTGGAACCCATCAGTACCGACACCGGTCCTCAAGCTCACGGGTGTAGACGTGCGGTTCCTCCTGGAGGGCGGCATTTCTGCGCTCTGCTTGAATTCTGCCGGCACATTGGCCCTCGTCGGCGGCGTCGATGGTGGTCTCAAGATTGTCAACCTGACTTCAGGGACTCTGATTGCCACACTGCAAGAAGCAGAGTCTGCGAAGGCGCCGCCGGCCAGTACTGCCCCAGCGGATGCTGCGATGGAGACCGAAGAACTCAAAGGGTACAGCATAGAGTGCGTCGGATACCTAGACGGTTATGGCTCGGGAGGCGCAGGAGGTCTGTGGTACTCTGCCGGCAGTGATGGGTACCTGCGCGTCTGGGAAGCTTCGACCGGTGCTTTACGGTGGCGAGGCGATCACAAGGTGTGCAAACTGCGATCAACCTGGGTCATGCTGACTGCTGCGGCAGCCTGCAATATCAACCGTAGCACATCACGCTGGCACGCCCTACCTCACAACAGGATCAACCTCGGCGAGTCTGAAAACCTGGGACGTCCGGACGGGTCAGCTGGTCAACGAATCCACAGGGCATACGGATGTCATTCATGTCTGCGTCGCTCTGCCTCACGGACGCATTCTCAGCGGGGGTGACGATGGCATTGTCCGGATCCATCAGCTCTCGCAGTAGACCCCGAACCGGCCGCCCATGTTGTTGTAGGCTCCTGCAGCGATGTTACAACAAGCATATCCTGCGTCCGGATCAAGCAGTCGGCTTGCCTAGCCACCGCTCGCCAAATCTAGCTCTGCATCGTCAGCAAGACCCACTCGTCAAGGCTGCCGACTGACTGCTTCAGGTCTTCTCGCGTGACTACGCCGAGCACGAATTTGCGCTCTGCAGGGATGATGCTGAGCGTCTTGATGTAGCGCGGGCGTCACGAGGCTCACCGATATCTGTGACGATGGCAAACGCGTGTACTACGAAGAATGCCTCCAGTTCTTCGAGCTCGGTCGAGGGCGTAATGACTGCAAGTAAGATTCAGCTTGTAACGCAATGTTGGCTTCCGCAGACGGACGAGTGTAATCGCGTGTGCGCTGGAAGCGAGACATGTGGTCCTTGACGAGTCCATTCGACGTATCACGCAAGGCGGCGACATCCAGAAAGCCGAGCAACGAGCGGCTCGGCGTGATGACAGGCAGGATGTTGAAGTCGCGCATCATAGCAGCTGCTGCCTTGATCAGCAGGTGACATACATGAGCAGATGTCGTGGGTACATTGTAGGGCATCTTGCACCGGCTCGTCCGGCTTGAGACAGAATGCCGGCGAGAGCTGAAGGTCATCGATGGTAGCGCCTCTCCAGTCATGCAGCTGAGCTGTCGGAGCAGTGAGCGGCATGCCGCCTGGCTGGAGGATCCTGTGCTGCGCTGGGACGCGCCCAGAATCGTTCGTCTTCACTCATTTCTGACACCTTTTTGTAGCCCTCGTGCTGGGTCAATGGCCAGTCCTACAGCTTGAAGACTCTATCAGCGTGTCTAGAACGACACAGTGCGACTAGCTGGAGTGGCCTGACGAGTTGTATTGATACTCGAACGATGGCAATTCTCCTTACCAGTCTCACGACAGCTTCAATCCGGTACACGGGTCAAGACATGTAGGGCATGCATAGCGTCTCACGATGCAAGTCAATGCACATCTACCAGCCCCACTGATGGTCGCTGTCGTCGCTGAGCTCGCTGATCTGGCTCAAGAGCTCAGGCCGATCTGTCGCGGTGGCTGATTTGCCCTCCTCTTCCTCCTCTTCCTCTTCTGTGAGCAGATCGAGCGGCCGGTGCTGCTTCTCATGTCGGCTTGTCTCGTCAACATTTACGCGAGAGGAACCGTCCGTTTCACCAATCGCATCCGCCAAGGTTTTCTCGAGATCGTTCATCAGCGAGACCGTCGCTCTCTTTGATGCCTTGAACCTGCATAAGTTTTCTCAGTCCAGGCTGCGCGAATAAGTATGTGATAACGAAGACGTACGTTTCGCTGTGCGACACCTCATTAAGTTTCTTGCTCAGACCGGCGCTCCAGTGTGAGGCTGCCGCGCCTAGCATATCAAACGTCGAACGGCGGCGCGCATGCTTCTCCGCCCTTCTCATTTCTATGCTGCTGGATGTTTCCCCTTGGACTGACGTGAAGGACGGATGCGTGGCGCTGGTGGGCGTTGCGAGTGCTTCGTCCGACAGAGCGATACTTCGCCGGCGCGTCATGACAGGCGATGTTGGCGTCGACTCGATAGCTGGATCATGCTTGACAGGCGATGCGAGGTCTGGGTCTGTCAAGTTGGTGGCGTGACTGTCGCTTGTACCCAGCGAAGCACACGACGAGTTCGTTGACGTAATGGACGAGTAGCTCTCACGTCGGGTGTCTCCTTCAGAAAGTGAGCGATTCAGATTGGGTTGTTCGATCTCTTCGTCTGGCGTGGCGAGCGTCTCGAGTGCGGCACCGATATGTCCGATCGACTTTGCTATCCAATTGCGCGCCGATTCGACCCCGTGCGATTTGCCAGGATCGTCCTCCTGTCTAGGCCGCGTGGTAGAGCCGACTCGTGGTGTAGGCAGAGCGAGAGGCGCAGCAGTGAAGAGACCGCTGGCTAGACGAGGCGAAGGTGCAGGCGCGGGCGCTGCTGTTCCAGGATTGCCGGAGCTAGATGTCCGCATGGTGACAAGTTCCCTTGCTACGGTCATCTCCCAATTGATCTTGAGCGACCGGAGCTCATCTTGCTCCCTTTGGAGTTCCTGCTTGAGGTCAAGTACACGCCGCTCTCTCGCGGCAATCTGATCAAGTAAATCCTTGTGGCTCTCCATGATCGTCTTGGGCCCTGCAGCTAGACCGACTTTGCGGACACTGTGACCTGAGACGGATGCTGGCGAAGCAATGAGCGAGGGTACGGGTGAGCAGGTAGACGACGAGAGTGGCGAGGGCGAGGGCGAGCGCGTGCGGTGTCTTGTGTCAATGGATAAGGTAGGCGTCGGCGAAAGATGTTCGAACGCGCCGAGCTCAAGTACCGGAGAGTGAGCAGGAGTGCTGTTGGGCGAAGGCTGGCTCAGCTCCAAGTCAAACGGCGAGTCATCGTCGGCTTCGGTCTGGGCTGTGTGATAGCGTGTAGGCGCGGGCCGGCGCAAATCTCTCATTGTGTTGGCACTAGACTGCCTGCTCCTTGTGGCATTGATGGATGACTGTCGACTGCGCGCCACGAGAGGTGACTCTGCTGTTGTATGCGGTGCGATGGGCTGCTTAAGGTAGCCGCTGTCGGGCGGTGTATCGATCGAATAGTACATCGACGCTCGGCGGTTGGATGCCGGCGTGCTCGTCTCCAGACTGTGACGTGCTTGACCATCCTGATAGGCAGAGAACCGGCGAGCATGATGCTTCTGCGACTGAGCGCTCAATGAGGCAGGCGAATGCAAGGCTGCGTCCAGCGAGGGACGTGATTGGCATGCACCGGCGGACACAGGCCCGGTCGAAGTCGGTGAAGAAGTGCGATAGCCAATCTGAGAGAGCGATATCCTCCTTGAATGTGGTACGGCAGCACGGCGTGACACGGGAGGGCCCGAGCGTTGATCTTGCCAAGCCGGAGTCGCTGGCAGCGATTTGTCGAGCGAGGCCATCTTGCAAGCTGGTCGTGCGTCGCTGCACGAGTGATCTGCAGATGCTCTGCCGCCCTGAGCAGTCGATCGGCGTGTCACTGCCTTTGTCGACCGGGGCGTGAGGTGACCGGATAGCGCGCTTCGAGATGTCAAAAACAACGGAAAACGAGTTCGATCGCGTTTGTCGCGTCGTCGTGCACGCCCAGCCTGCGACCTGTGCCTCGTGCCTGACGGTGACTGATAGCGACTGAAGCGAAGCGATCACGACTCGTGCTTAAGCGGGAGACACAGGCTGTCCTGCAACACCGCTTTGGCGCCCAGCTGAAACTTGTCGACGAATGCCTGTCGCACGATGAGGGGTCTCAGAGATCTATCACCGGATTCGACGTTGCTCGGTTCCCTACGGATCTTGACATCGTCCAGCGGCAAAACGGCCGTCTCTCAAGACCCAGACGCGGCAGATCACACAGACGAAAGGTGCGGGATATGCACAGAATCGCTACCTGACGCTGATGACGAGCAGCATGCGACGCACTCGTCTGCCAACGCTCAGGGAGGTCCTGTCGAGACAGACCAAGGCGCCAGTTGACCTGTACTGCTTCTACATCTATCTCCAAGTCAGCATGACCCTGTATCTCGGCCTCGACAGGGCTGACAATCAGGACAGAGGGAGAACAATGTCGATGTGCTTGATTTCTGGCTCGACGTGCAACAGCACGAGTCGCTCTTCCGTACATATCTCAAGGACTTGGCCCGTCAGACTGTCACCTCGCCTCGTATGACAAGCGAGACGCAGCACCGTGACTCAAGCGCTCAGGACCCTGCGCCAACCTCACCCCGTCTCGCCGAGCTTTCGCCCGATCAGTCCAGTAGGATAAGACAAGCGCTGCAACGAGACTGGCCAGCTTACCTGCGCTACGCTCAACAGAATGGCAGGTATGTCTTTAACTGTGACTCTCAGCGGACAATGCCTGATACAGGCCAGTTGCTACGAATCCCTGCTTGGACCGCTTTATCAGGGCAATCCCGAGAAGGACGCACACACCAAGGAACAAGCGCTGGCAGGTCTAGGCATAGGTCATGCACCTCAACCGGCATCAGGCCTTTACGTCGAGGCATTGCGAGAAGGATATGCAGGCTCGACGCCTGCCATTCGTGTCGAGAGCGACGACCAAACTGCTCGAGACGTAACACTAGCGCGTCAACCATCACAGCTTACATCGCAATCAGCTACAACGATGGGTCGCCAGGCAAGCCGCTCTTCCGTCATGTCACAGACGCTGCGAGCGCTCTATCCCGACGAAGCCAACGCAACCAATGAGCCTATCCACAACCACTCTGAGCGCCTTCAGCGCAGTCCGAGTCGGGCCGCATCCCGCTTCAGTGCATTCAGTACGGCTTCGTCACGTCTTATGCGGTCCGGATCGATTTGCAAATCAAAGACGCCGGTTCAGCCAAAAATCTATCGCAATGCCGCTCTCACTCGTGAAGATATCATCGTGTCAGCCGAACGCATCTACGCCCGCTACCTCTTGCGAGGCGCGGAGCGTGAGATCTATCTACCCGAGTATCTCAAAGTCGCCGCTCTGCCATCGGTTGACCCGGACGATGGCGACTCGGACGCGGGTGGCCGTCTTCCCGACTTGTTCCACAAGCAAAAGGCATGAGGAAACCGTTGCGCCGACTGCCTGTGCTGACAAAGCCCGGCCTGCAGACGTTCGCGTACGCACAGCTCGAGCAGGAAAGCTTTCCACGCTTCTTGCGTAGCAAAGCGTTTGGCAATCTGACGCCACTCTCAGCCTTGGTTCGCCTGCTTTTTGGCCTTCTCGCTCTCTGGATAGCTCTTTCGCTGTCATTGTCTTTCATCTTTCTCGATAGCCAGCCAAGGAGCAAGCGAATCTGGGTCGCCCTGCCCTTCAGCTGCGCATTGACACTGTTACTCAGTCATGCGTACGATCTCGATCCATTACTCATCTTTGCTGGACGATCCGAGACGGTGAGCTAGCTCACAATGCGCCAAACGGAGCTCATACGACTGCAGACACCTTTCCGTACTATCAAGATGCGAGAGAGATACGTCGTGAGCCTTTTGTTCGGACGGGCAGTATGTGTATACATTTCGGCACGGCACGGCACGGCTGATCATCGCTGCAGCTATGGGTCACATTTCTCATCGCAAGCGGCGTCACGATATTGACTGCCATCTTCGCACTCCTTCCGGGTCATCGAGTGAGTTCACTAACAAAACTACGGAGTCTATCGCTGACTGGATGCAGTTGTAATGTCATCGACAAGGTATACAGGCAGCTTCAACAACGCTCAAAGACTTTGTAGAGATTGGAAAGCGATGCGACGTGAATTATGCCCTGATCCCGCAGCGACACTGGCGCAACGAGATATGCCTTGAGTGCTGGGAAGAGGACGTGTTCGATCTGCCATCTGTACGCGGTCTCGGGCGGTAATGAGACGCCCGTCGGCATCGTCTCGAGCTCTGGCGGCAGAGGAAGTGACATCCGAGCGATCGAGCGTAGCATACTTGCGAAGCAGCCTCGCTCCGACGTCCACTCGATCTGCACTGCACCATGCAGGAAGACTGCTGAGCGTTTCAGTAATTTCAAGTTTGAGCATGGCGGGACAGACATCGCGGCAAATTCTCGAGCGGTGGCGTATAGCCAGGGAGAATCAAGGGCACGGAGACGACTCGATCGAGCTCGTCCAGGTCGATCGCGAAATACTCAGCGACCATGTCTCTGCGCTCCAGCCAGCGACGAGTGGCGCGCTATAGCCTGTTTAGCATCAATAGATATGATACTGATGTGAGCGCACTTCCTTAATCTCGTCTGGTGACAGATGGGCGTTTGTTACTTGCGGCTCGTGATCGACAGCGATCTGTATGAGTTCAGATAGCTTGGGTGGCGGATCGAGCAGCATGCGCCCCATTTGGCCAAATTGACGCAAGCCCAACTGATAGAAGAGCTCCTCCCTGTGTACGTATGTCAGCCTACGTGTGGCCAATCAGTGTTCGGACGCACAAGCATTCATCATGTCGCGCGATGTAGAGTTTAGTGGCGTGCTGAATGAGCGAGAGTCCGCGATCCGAGTCGACCACGCCCACGAAGGTATGATCGGCAAAGATCGCACTGGCGCCTGCTCACTGCATGAGCTCCTCGCCTATATTTTTGACATTAATCTTGCCTGCGTGTTTAGAGTCGCCAACTTCCGCGCGCAGCTCTTGGATAGACGTCAAATTGCAAGCCGACTCGGTGATTTTGCCCTTTCTGGCTTCAATGGGTGCTTGAGTCGGCAGCTGCGATCTTTCGAGCGCCTGTCCATCCGTGACGAGCATACTAGTGAGCGTTCGTGCTTGATGATCGGTGCGAATCTGGTGCTGTGGGACGTTTCGCGAGAGCAGACGAGCATCTTGCTGCGTCGGGTCTGTATTCGCGCTATTTCGAGGCGCAGAGATGACCTTGAAGCCACGTGATTGCCTGGATTCTTCGAGCTTCGCTTCGAGCGCTGTACATAGCGCATCTGATATGTCATCTTCGTTCATGAAGCCGACCTCGGATTTCGTAGGATGAACATTGACGTCGATCGTCGCTGGATCGAGCATGAGGGATATGTAGACAAAGGGAAAGCCGCCTTTCGGCAGTAGAGGCGCGTAGAAGATTTCGAGCGACTTGCGAATGCTCCTCGACTCAACCAAGCGATCTGGGGACCTCGCAAGGTCAGGACGAACCAATGGTTGTTGGAGCGCAACTCACTATTGACGAAGATGACGTAAACTGCCTTCTTTGCGCTAAAGTTGAGTCCTGAAAACCATCCGTGCGCGGATAGAGCCAACGTGTCTTCTTGGAGCGAAACCTCGACGAGTTCTTTCTTGATCGCTTGACCGTATATGCCGCCAATCACGTCTGATTGTTGGGAGAGGTCTTGTTGAGTCTGCGATGACGTTGCATCTGACAGAATCGACACAGACGCGGGCAGGCCGGTATTGAGATCCCATTCTCGTGCGCCGACCTTGCGACAGCTGATCGAGACTGATGCATTTTGAATCGCATATTTACCCAAGACGTCTAGAATACGAGCGTACTCGTCACTGGCTGATTTAAGCGCTCTCAGACGGGTGGGTATGTTGTAGAAAAGATCCTCAATCTGTCCCTTTGTCAGCGTCTATGCCATGCTCGCTCAGCCGACTAACGATGAATTGGGTTCCGTTGACTGCTGCAGCTCGCTTTGGCTCTGACGACGTGTCCGAGCTTGAATGTGGCACGAGGATCCCGTCAGCATACTTGGCTCTGCTGCAACACTGAGCAAACTTTGGTAATTATATCGAGCCACTGACTTCCAACCAGCGAGATCGTGGCGCGTCTTCGTGACGACGGTGAGATGCGCGACGTGGGATATGGAAGCCAGAGCCTCGCCTCTAAAGCCGTACGAGCTCAGACTAGACAGATCATCAAACGTTGAGATCTTTGATGTCGCGAATCGCTGACACAGCAGCGGCAGGTCCTCATGCTGCTCATCATTTCGCAGATGTAAGGCATGAACAGCGTGCGCATGATGGACGCACGCGTATGCCCAGACCGTCATCGACGATAACGATGCGCTTGAGACCGCCATCCTTGACTTCAACTCGGACAGTCGTCGCGCCTGCGTCGAGTGCGTTCTCGAGAAGCTCCTTCACTGCATTGGCGGGGCGTTGTACCACCTGCCCCAACTGAGCAGAAGCGGCACTGGGACGGACAAGGTGTTACCTCTCCCGCTGCTATGCGATTGACGACAGATTCTGAGAGCTGCCTGATTGGACGCGGCTCGTCAAGCAAAGGGGCAGGTTCGGCCTGGCCCGACGTTGTCGCTGGCTCGGACATGGATGCAGCATCTAAGCAACGGTAGGCGGACGCGCTGCAGACCTGAAGGAGGCGGTGGCCTGCAATCGATTGAGATATTGAAGGGGCAAGCCGGTCGCGGTGCAGCGAAACTGCGAAACCAGCAAAAGTCCCTCATCGTTTCACGATGTTTCCCCCTTTGCGTGTCCTAGACGACGTCCCCAAAGATCGACAGTCAGCCAGTTCCGACGCAGCGCACGGTGCCCTCCTCAGTGTGCTGCCCACGATGAGCTCCATCGGCACATTCTCAGGTGGTTCGTTTCAATCGGCCGAGGAGCAGAGCCAGCCTCTCGAGCCAAGCAGCTCACGCTCTGCCTCGCCATGTATGCCTGTGGCTTCGAGTATAAGCCTAGATGACAAGTCGAGCGAGAAGAGTGTCGAAGCTAGCAGCACTCCCTCGAGCTCGAGCACAGACACGACCACCGCTCTCGCCACAAGCGCAAAGGATGCAGTCGTATCCTCAAATCCCAGCACGATTGCAGACTATCCGGTCACGCAGACAAATCAGCGCCCTACACGCTCACTGGCCGATCAGCCCGGGACTGCAGCTAGTCGCTGGGCGACCAAAGAGCCGCTCGTCAGTCCTACACTGCCCACAAGCCGACCAAGCAAAGCCGTCGCGATCCGCAAGCCAGGTCAAATTTCACCCGCAACAAGCGCATCGCTCTCGCCAGTGTCTTCCATGAGCGCCTTGTCTGCAAGCAGCATGAGCTATACCTCCTCCGCGACCAGCTTCTGCAGCACTCAGTCACCCACACTGTCATCCCATCCACAAAACAGACATCAGCCCGGGCCACATCTGGCAGAGACAGTCTCACTTTTGCTGCAGCGCGTCAGACAGCTTGAAGAGGACGCAATCATGCAAAGCTACGGTCTCGAACAATGCCAGAAGACGATCGCCAAGCTCGAGGGAGACATTTCTTTTCTCTCCGGCTGCCTATCTGCTCAGACGCCTGTGCGTGACACTACGCGTGCTGAAGCCCAGGATCTTGCAACCAATGTGCTGCTCGCATCTGGACTGAACGATCCTGCTACTGCCTTTGCCCCCGGACCTGAGCATCTCGAGATGCCAGTCCCTAGCGTGACGAGTGCCCTGCCGAGCATGTTTGCCTCGAGTACTACGCCCAGCTCAGTCGGCTTCGACATCGGCGCCGAGCAGGCTGGTGATGCAGCATTCGCTGCCTTGACGCTCGGCGGACAAGTACCGGAAGTGAGCTCGCAATATCTATGAATTTGAGGATCCCTCTGATCGCGCTCGCAGATGAGCTTTCCCATACCACGCAACCAAGACGCTCCTTCCGCCAACAACGGATCTGCACAGACTGGCAAATGGGAGCAGTTGGGCATCTCGCTCGACCTGCTGCGTTCGATCACCAAGTATGGTCTTCGTCCGCCTTCAAAAGTGCTCGCGCGCGCAATTCCTTGCTTACTCGAAAGTCAAGACATCGTCGCCCAGTCGCCACCCATGCAGGAACGCATCCAAATCTACATCGTTCCTGCTATTCAGATCGTCGCCAACATCATCAGCGAGGCTCACGGATCAGTCTGGCCTCAGCAGACGATGACGAATCGACGCGCAGGCGTACTTGTTGTGGTCGTCACTGCGACTGTTGATCAAGCTACGCAAGCTGCTCGCCTCGCCTCTATCCTCGGTGGATCTCTTGGTGTCGAGACAGCTGCGCTCGTGGGGCAGCCTGATGAGCACCAGGGACTGCAGCTTCTCACGCCTCACATTGTGATCGGCACGCCTGCCCGTCTTACAGAGATCTTCGGACTCAAGACCGTCTCACTCGCCAATGTGCGCATGTTTGTCGTCGATGAGACCGACCAGATCATCGCTCGAGGAATGGCCGAATCCGTTCTCGCTTTCGCGCGATGGCTTCCCGCAAATGGAAGCGAAATGACTTCTGGAGAGCGTCAGACAGCTGTCTTGTCCTGCACTGTGCCGCAAGATGTGCTCAGCTTTGCTTCTTGCCTTCGCCTCCGCGAACCTGTCCGAGTCCTGGTTCGCCGCGATGGAGCTCAGAGCACGCCCAATGTCCGAACGACCAAGCAGTACTTTCTGTACATCGCACCGAATCCAGCACGAACGGAAGCCAACGAGTTGAGAGCCATCAAATTGGACGCCCTGCTTGATCTGTGTGACGATCCGGACTTTGATGAAGCGCTCATCTATTGCTCAAGCATTGACGCCGTTGACTCGATCTCGTACAAGCTGCAATCTGTCGGAATCGATGCGCTCGCTCTGGTTCGTCTTCGTCTCAGCACATGTACTGCTCTGACGAGCGTGTAGCGCGGCGATATGGGCTCGACGGCCCGGCAGGCTGTCTTGTCGCGCTATCGATCAGGATTCGGTGCAAAGCGCTGCCTCGTGGTGTATGATGCCCTGGCCAAAACGATGACCGATGTGACCGTCAAGTTCATCCTCAACTTCGATCTTCCACGCGCCGTCGAGGACTACTCAGCTCGGTGCGTATGCGATTGGAGGCGCAACCTTCAGACTGACGCGTCATTTGTAGCGTGCTGAGCCTTGCGAGCCATACCGCTCTGAAGGCTGTCATCTCGATCGCATGCTCGGCCGGTGATGTGGACATGTTGCGCAACTTGGAGTCGACCCATCGCTGTCGGATCCTGGAACTGCCGGCGTCGCTTAGCGAGCTTTGACTCCTGTAACATGAGAGGGGCAGAAACCCCTTTGTTGCCATGATGCATCAACCCTCATTCTTCCTCTAGCGACTTGTTGAGACATCGAAGACTCAGACTTTGCAGTCTATCGTAACATACGACAACATGTTTGCTAAATTCTTCGTCTTGCTCTGCGTGGCCTCGATGGCAATCGTTGCCTTTGCCAATGGCTCGTCCATTCTACCTCAGCAACGGCGTGTCGTTGCTGAGAGGTTCAAGCAAGCAGAGGAGGCGTACAAGATTGCAGAGCGTGCGGTCAATGCCAAATGTAAGCGCCTCATTGGTGAGCTGACTGGCACGACTGAGACGTCTTTGCCAAACAGTCGAAACCGCCGATGGCTCGCACGTCGAGCGTGGATTTGACATCAAGGAGGCTATAAAGTCAGGTAGGTGCTCCACCAGGGAGCGCACGCAGACGTTCTGATCTATGCTGTCTGTCGCCAGTCGGTGACAAGGTCAAGGCAGACTTGGGCTTCGACAAGCGCGCCGGCAAACCTATCGCCAAGAAGGGCGGTAGAGTCTACAACCCTCACACGAGCGAGATGTACAAGATGGTGCAGGAGAAGTGCAAGCCTGTTCTTCTGTCAGCGACTGATACATAGCTGACGCGGCTCGGGCCTGACAGGGCTCAGCCAAGGCAAGGGCACGCCCGTCGTCGCTGTCAAGGCCAAGCACGCATAAGTCGTGTGCTGTGTCAAGGGAGCTCGCATGCAAGCTGTACTTTGGTTCTGCATCGAGTGTTCCCGAGCTGTTTGTCGCTGAGCGTCGCCGGGTCGTGAGAGCAAGGTGACAGCAGAGGCCGATAGACCTTGGCGCCGATCTCATGAGCGCTTGAGCTCGCGCGCCTTCGTCACTTCGAGGCTGACAGCGAGATGGCCTTTCGAAGGATAGACGTGGATGCGTTTGACGACGACAGAGTGGAAGAGTCGGATCTCTACGATGCCTATCCTTACTCGCCGCAGGAGAGCGCAAGTTTGGCTAAGCGGAAAGAGAGGGATATCCGTGCATTGCTACAGAAGCGAGCCAGCCCTTGCTCATCAGCAACTTGTGCTCATGTCAGGCGTCCGGCTGCAGGGGAGACTACACAAGTAGCTTGGTCACCGTGCTGAACGAGCCGCCGTACGGTCCCGAGCACGCAGATGCAAAGGTCAGCCAATGCGGCGTAGCCATCAAGTGGTGCCTATGCTGATGTGGTCACCAACTCGACAGACAACATCACTCGCCTGCATCCTGCTCATACTGTCACAAGTCCGCTCGACAGAGATTGCAAAGACGATCAAGACACTCTCGCCCGAACAGCAAGACACGCTCATGAAGTATCTCTACAAGGGCATGTCAGAGCCCGAGGATAGCTCGAGCGGCGGTGCCATGTACGGAGCAGGCGCACCGGTTGGCAACATCATCCCTGGCAACTCTTGCGCTGTCTTGCTCAGCTGGCATGAAAAGGTGTGCCATTCTCACATGACCGCGCGTTGCCTCTGAACTGACTGGGCCTGATCTGTGAAAGCTGACAGAGATTGCCGGCACGGGCTGCATCGTCCGAGTCATGTCTGATCATCGAAGGGTGTGACGCCTCTCCTGTTGTAGCATGTCAAATCTTCAAGATCAGGATGAACAACGCGAGCTCGAGTCCGATGAGGCAGACAATGAGAAGCACCACGATATCGCCAGACGTCCGGAAGTTGCGTCCAAAGATTCTCGGCAGCTGTGACTCTTGTGGCTGTGACTGACGCGTTGGCGAATCTGACCTGCCCATCAATGACCGCCGACCAAGGGATGCGAGCGAGGTCAAAGAACCAAATCTGCGCCGCACCACCGGTATCTTGCTCGTATTCGATAGCTTCGGACTGCCAGTCCTGCCCTCGGGTATGCTCTGACTCTGCTGTAGCTCTGGCGAATCCATGAGAAAGGTCTCTTCGCCAGGCTGAGCAAGCAGATCGGGCCAAGCTGAACGCGGTCGGGCTGGCGGTGCGCTGAGACGCGCGTCCTCTGCTTCAGTGCGCAAGGCGGCCTCTCTCTGCGATTGAGTGACGAAGGAATCATCGATAAACTGATTGAGGCTGCTGCTGAGCTTGCTCTTGAATGATCTCGCTCGCCTGCTCGTGGACAGACTGCCATAGTTCTGGGGTGAGCCAGGCGCAGTCCATGAGCGAGCGAGCGCATCTCGTTCGAACGACGGCGGCATGGCGAATGAGATCATCCGGGGACTCGAGCTCGTCGGATGTAGCAGTCGAGCCGATTCGGGTGGTTGCACATCTCTCTTGAGTCGCGTTTGAGCTTTCCGAGCTGCCGCCTCGAGCTCGGCTGCTACCTCCAAGCGATGTACGTCTGCAAAGTCGTGGTTGGACCGTCGTCGTCGCAAGATGGACAGCAAGAAGATCAGGCCTGCCACGATGACATAGATCAAGCCAATGGTGATGAACGAATTGTCGAAGATCTGTATGCAAGCGTCAGCGTGAGCATATCAATCCAAGCAAACGTAGCGCACCTTCAGGATGACGAGAGCATATGATATGCTTCCGAGGGCAGTGCGAAAGTAGGCACCATCAAAAGTGCGTTGCCTGCTCGCAACGCTGAGCCAAGAAATCTGAACTTTCTACGAGCTGACAGACCTTGCACGGAGCTCTGTCAGCTCGCTGATGTCATCCGTCAGGAAGCTGCTCCTACGATGACCCTGATAGAGGTACTGCGGCCGCTCCTTGCCTCTGTGACTGCCTTTTCGTCTCGACTTTTGTCGCCTGTTGTCGCCAGAGTCATCAGACTCGACGCCTGAGCTCGTCTCGCTTTCATTGCCGAGCAGGGTCTCCTCAATGGTGGGCGAGATCGTCCTCTGCTTGCCCTTGGGGTCTGCTTGTGCCATCTGGTTGCTCGTACTGACTTCGCATGTGCATATATACGCCCACCGCTGAGATTGCCCACGTGATCGCGTGATCGATAACGACATCATTGGCCTCAGGCCTTTTGGAAATCCACCGACGTCCATCTGTTCAGCAGCGTTGACCCGGCCTGAGCGCTCGACCTACAGACATATGGCCGCTCGCAGTGGACCACCCTTCAGGGCTACGAGCCCGGACGCTGGCGAGCAAAGAAGCGTCGGCGAGCAGAGCACACCTACAAGGGAGCACAATCAGCAAAGTCCCGCCAGGGAGCCCTTACAGCAGCACTATCAGTCTTTTGCAACTCCGCACTTTTCACCTTCAGCAACGGGCCCCAAATCATCTGCCCTCGCCCGTCGCATACCTAGCCTCAGCGCAGGCTTCAAAGGCAAACAAAGAGCTATCGGCCGCTTCTTCAGCGAGTCTCACAGAACGATGCCGGATGAGGAGCCTACCAGTCCCAGAAGCGCAGATCCATCTTCGTCTAGCACATCCCAATATGGAGCTCTAAGCTTCGGACGGCCTGCTGCACCACCCAGGCGGGCACAGTCTGCTTCCCGTGCTGCGAGCGTGCCCTTGCCATCGCCATCTGCAGACGATCTAAGCTACACCCGTCGCATGCTGGAGCAAGCGCAGACGCCTAAAGACGACAGCTCGGATCCGCTGCGCTCAAGTCAAATATCGACTGCGAGCTCAAGAAGCCTCACTGCTCGGCTGAGCGAGCTTCAACTGGTCAATCTCAATCTCGCAATCTTAGCCGCACAGCTTTCTTGGTCCATCGAGCTCGGCTACGGGACGCCCTTCTTGCTCTCTCTCGGTCTTTCGAAACAGCTCACAGCTCTCGTCTGGCTAGCTGGACCTTTGGGCGGCCTCATCGTCCAGCCTCTCGTTGGCGCATATTCTGATCGCAGCCAATCCCGCTTTAGACGGAGAGCTTTCATATTGGCCTCCTACGCTCTCATCGTCATCTCGACCCTCTTTCTCGCCTTTTCAGGGGAAATCGCGAGATGGCTGATCGATCTGTTCGGCTTTGGTGTTGGTGATTGGGACCCTGCGCTGGGGGAGCATCTGCTCTCTGTCGCGCGTTGGGTAGCAGTCCCTGCCTTTTACGTCCTCGACTTTGCCCTGAATGGCTTACAAGCCTCAGCGCGTTCGCTGATCCTCGATAGAGCGCCTTCCAGGCAGCAGGGCAATGCAAATGCCTGGCATTCGCGCATGACCCAGATAGGCAACGTTGCCGGTTATGCGCTCGGCTTCACTAACCTTCAGCGAGCGCCTGTATTCCGTTGGCTTGGAGGCTCGCAATTCCGCAAGCTCTGCATAATCTCACTGGTCCTGGGTGGCCTCTGCATCTTGGTCACTTGCGTCACCCAGCCCGAGATACCTGCAAAGCCAGAAACAGATGACAAAGACGACAAGAGTGAGCACGCACGAAGAGGGATATTCAGGCAGTTTCAACACTCATTAATCGAAGTATGGGATGCTATCGTCATGCTACCGGTACCCATTCGAAAGCTATGCTCTGTCCAATTTGCGGCGTGGTCCGGCTGGTTTCCCTTCTTATTTTATGCCTCAACCTATGTTGCTCAATCGTGGAAGAACGATCATCTGCATCACTCATCGGGCGAAAGCGACGAGGAGGCCGGACGTGCTGGCGCCCTTGCGCTGCTCTTCTTCGCACTCGTCGCTGCGGGCACAGGCGCTATGCTGCCTCCCTTGCTCGCTGCAGCTCGAGGTGCGGCACTGAGCAAGCGAAGAATGCCTTTCTTGCTGAGATATTCGCTCGCTTCCGCAACGCTCAAAAACGCATGGACTGCCTCGCACCTGCTTTTCTCACTGCTCATGCTGATCACGGTCTTTGTCGATTCTGCGCGTGGCGCGACCACACTCGTCGCCCTTATTGGCGTACCTTGGGCAATCACGTGCTGGGTAAGTCAATTGCCAGCATTAAACGGATTAACTGACATTAATAGATCTAGGTGCCCTTTGCCTACCTGATGGCATATATTCGCGAGATCAAGGAGACTTTCAAGGCCGAACCGTCGGTCTCGACGCCTACACAAGGACATGCGAGATCAGGCTCTGATCAATCAGGCGTGCTCGATTATCGAGCAAGGACAAGAGCTGCTCTGGACGAGTGTCAGCCGCTACTTGAGCCCAGACATCGCCATGCTCGCCAGCAGTCGTATACTGGCGCGACTTCGACTGCACAAGAGACGGGCGGTGTGATGATCGGCATCATGAACCTATCAATCGTCCTACCTCAGCTTGTCGTCGCCGTTGTGTCGAGCATTATTTTCAAGCTTGTAGAGCTGGGCGAGGGAGACAACGAGACGAGCAGGCGGCTGACTCCTGCCAAGCAAAGCAAAGACGTCGTCTGGGTGTTCCTGTACGGAAGTGTCATGACGCTCCTTGCGGCTCGGTGGTCGCGGCAAGTCGTGCTGACGAATGAGGAGACAGATTTCCTAGACGCGCTCCAGACTGCGCATGATGAGTCCTGGACGCCAACAGACGAAGACGCATAAGCGAGAGTAAGCGACGATGTACAATTAGCCACGACAACACATAGACGAGCGCAATTGTGACACAATCAACAGTTGTTGTACAAGCACGTGCTAATTTGATTAGGCTTCTGCAAATCTATGGAGGGTGACATGTACTGCCGATTGTTCTTCTGCGATGCGCCAGAGAGACGCCGAGACGGGATAGACCTTGAGTCGCGGGGCAGATCAGCCTGTCGACGCAGGAGGATATTGCAGGATCTGCTAGATGTAGCGGCCTCCTCTCTGATGTAGACTAGCTCCTCGCGATCTAAGCTCTTTCTGAAGATGAGCTCGCGCTGGGGTTGGGGCAGCGATTGTCTAGCTTGGGCGCGCACGATGCGAATACGCAGAATGGCGTGGGCGGTAGCAGCAATGACGACGTCTTTGACTGATCGCTCAAAGACGACAGCATATCGCTTAGCGTCACCTAGGAGCTCCTCAATATTGCTAATGATGCTACTCGTCAGAGGCACATAGGGCCACTCCAGGGATTTCCTGGCTGCTTCGATATCGGCTTCTGGCGAGAAGACAGGCAGTAGATAGAGCTGCTGTATGTCGGGCCTCAACGGTGAGGTAGCCTCCTCTGAAAATGCGCGGACAGATATCCCATGACGACGCTCGAGCGCTACGACGATCGCCTCCCTGATCATGTCGAGGGTGCGCGTTCGAGCGAGCAGTTCTCCTCCCGAGATGCTTTGAGTGTTTCGTTCTTGCGTATCCTTCAGCTGAGAGCGGTAATTTTGCGCGATTGAGTTGGCAAGGTCAACACAGAACGGCACATCTCGCTTGCCAAGATCGTGAGCTAATCCCCGAGCAAAGTCTCCGCCGGTGATGGCAGCAAAGATGGTGGCAGCAATACGATTACTGAAGATATCTGCGACGAGCTTCGCCGAGTAGATATCTTGTGGCAGCCGCAGCCAGTCTTTCGCGCGCTCGACATAGGTACTGAACGCTGGCTTGTCTGTCTGGTAAAAGTCAAGTGCAAAGGAGTCGCGCACGATCACCACATCTGAGCTCAGAGGAGGATCACCGTCGAGTGGCAATCCGAGCAGCAGCGCGTCCGAGTCTGTGGTGAGGATCATGTCGATCACTTCATAGATTGCGAGCTGTATCAGGGCGACTTCTGCTTCACCCTTGGCCTTGAGAGCAGTCATGCCATAGATGTCGAGCAGCTTGAGAAAGCGATCTTGCAGGGCAATGCTGTATCCCGCGACTTGATGACCTCGCTTGACTTTGGGACGTTGAGGACCGTCGAGGACAAAGAGTGGCTGGAAGGGCGCTTTGAGGAGCGTCAACAGACGGGCGTGGAGTTTCAGCATGGCTTCGTCTGCATCATCAGACTGATGCAATGCTTCTATAAGCCAGCATGATGTGTCTGCTTGATCGTCAAGATGAAGCGCAAGGTGAGGATGTGAGGCGTACCGATTCCGATCTTGATGCTCCTTTGAGTACAACGATAGGACTCCTCGCCCAGCTTGAGCAGTGAGCGAGATTTCTTCTTCGCATCGCAGGCCTGCCAGAGGAGCCTGACGCCCATGCGAGCAATCGCTAAAGGCGGCTGCGAGCTGCGAGGCGCGTCGGTGGTCGCCAAATAGCCGTCGACGTCGACGTCCCCTCTGCATCCCCACGGTGTCCACGCACACAGCGTGCATGCTGACTCAGCGTCTGAAGACTAGCCTGCTCATCCTGGCACTCTCCCTTGCCTCCATCGCAATTCGGTCGCCTTTCCAGAAGGCCAGGCAGGCATCATCCAGGAGCATGGCGACGCAGCAAACGTCACGTACAGTGGTCAAATCTGTGCTGGCCATTGAGCAAGAAGAGGGCATTGGCGCTCGTGTGCGACGCTCAATCGGCACAGCAGCCTTGCAGAATTTGTCACCCTTCCTGATGCTCGACCACTTCCGCGTACCGCGTGGGGCCGGCTTCGGCGACCATCCCCATCGGGGGTTCAGTACGCTCACGATGATGCTCAAGGGAATGTCGAGGCATGAGGACTCAAAGGGTCACGCTGGCGAGCTCAAGACGGGTGGCGTGCAATTCATGAAAGCGGGCCGAGGGATCATGCATTCCGAAGTGCCCGTGCATGTCGAGGGTGAGCCAGACCCGGAGGGTATGCAGCTCTGGATAGACTTGCCGAAAGCCAACAAACTCGATGCGCCATCCTATCACGAGCTTGACGCAGAAGAGATACCGGCAGCCTATCCTCTCGGAAAGCATGGCGGGATTGAGATCAAGGTCCTAGCCGGTGCGAGTCCTGACCAATCGACCGCAGCCGTTGAGGGACCTATTCATGAAGTCAGCGGTGGCGGACTTGTCTATCTTGACGTGCGCTTCAGCGAGAGCCAAGTGGCGTACTTTCAATCTATGCCTGTCGGCTGGACTGCCTTTGTCTATGTCATTGCTGGCTCTGCAGAGATTGGCGGTGTTGCGACCCAGACTTATCACACAGCCGTGCTGAGCTCAGCGCAAGATCAGACCGGCATCACACTGCTCAGCAAGTCAGCAGATGCTCGGCTGCTCGTCGTGGCTGGCAAAGCGCTCAATCAGACAGTCTACCAGCATGGTCCTTTCGTCATGTGTAGTCGGGAAGATGTGATACAGACGATCTACGATTTCCAGCAAGGCAAGAACGGCTTCGAGGGCGCTGCGGAATGGCAGTCCAAGATCGGGTCTGTATTCCGCTGAGAGACTGCTACACATGACGACACTGTTGTATCGTATTGCATACCATCAACACGACCAACATGTGACCGGACGTGGCAGTCATGACCCGGCGCGAAGTCAAAATCAATAAAAGCGTGATATCTCTCTTTTAGGAAAATGACGCGCGGATGCAAGCAAGTGCCCTGGACGAGCCCTGATCAGGACACTGCCGCAGCCGGGGGCCCACGTAAGATGACACAAGAAGGTGACAGCCAGTTTTGAGCGGCAATGACGGCGATGTGGTCGGCCAAAGCAGCGGAAGTGATCGAGCGACCCGGCAAGAGATTATGGGCACACATGGCACCGGAACACTGGGCGAGACCTTATTGGAGATCAGAGCGACCCGTGAAACTCTCGAGCAACAGCAACAATACGACCAGCGATCTCTTCGACCCGAATCGCGCAGCAAGATTGTTGATCAGATCAGAGTGGGCAGACGAGACTTGCCGGCCCAGATGACGACCGAAACTGCAAGATTCTCGTCTGAACTGGCGGCAAAGACCAGGTGGACGGGCTCGCTTCTTGCGAGCATGTCATCCAGGGATCAGCATAGAATTTGTCTGCACCGCTTACACATCTGCGACATAGGCAAAGCAAGACTTGGCAGCCGGTAAACCGCGCAAAGGACTGGCTCATTCACACTCTGTCAAGTCGTCGACGTCGACGTCTCGCTCTCAGTCTCTGCAAGACAGGATCTCACTTGACCCTTGCGACCCCGAGCACGTCCGCGTGCACAGACGGACCAAGCTTACAAGTGTTCCGCCGCCTGAAGCTCGGACCTCCAGAGGCCTGTCAAGCTCGGAGATCTACGTGTGACTCCTGATATAAGCCCTTCCAGCAAGAGAAGTACACGAACAGGCACGCCCGGGCCTACTCTGTCGAGATGGTCGGATCGTCAAGCTCGCATCGCGTTGCCCGCTTGACCGACCCCGGGAACCCCTCGCTTGCGTATTACAGCTCAATGTCGTCCAGCCTGCCGGAACCCATCGCACTGCCTTGGCCATACCACCCGACAGGGCTGGACGCGCTCACTACACTCGGCCAAAGGATAAGCTTTGCTTCTCACGGCATGTCGCAACAGCATGAGCATCATCGCCGCCAATCTTTGCACCATCACCGCCAATCAGTGCCAGTGTTACATCCTCGCATGTCTGCCGAAGAGATGCCACCGCGACCGCGGGAAGAACCTCCGGTGCAGAGACACAAAGTCTATCTGCTTCATTGCGCGAAATGCGACGCGCTCCTGTCCGATCGTGGCATGCGTGCTGTATGTGCTGTTCCTCCAGGCTGGTCGGTGCCGCGCTTATCTTGATCATCAGGTCTTGCTACTCAAGCCAGACATAGTGCTATTTTCCAGCGATGCTCCGCCGTCTAACACTGCGCCGATGTACTGTGATGCGCCCGCCAACGGCGAAAAGGCCGTCGAGCGCACCTGCGAATGTCTCACTCAGTCATTGGGTGAGTGGAGTACCTGCGTCGAGATGATCGCGCTAAACAGCAACACGGACAGGTTGTCTTTGTGGCTCAACAGTCGGCTATTCGATCATCGCACCTTGCAGTAGGTGCACCCAAAGCGTTGCGCGTCATTCGCAGCGATCGAGCAGCTCACAGCCTCAGCCGAACAATCAACCCAACAATCATCGGTATGTCTACCACTACGGCGAAGTCGAAGCCAGCGAGCGGCGATACGTTCAAGGTGAACCTGGCGTGCTGGCGCGTGCAGTCGCTCGCCTACCCACTGGCGCAGTGCGATCGTCATCGCCAGCACACGGTAGCTCAGATGACGAGCGGATCCAGCGCGCTAGTCTGCAACACGATGACGGGCTTTTGAAGCCTACTTTACCGCGTCAGGTCTCGGCTCAAGCGGGTGTCTCACCAGGCCAAACGCTCTACTGGCACATGCTCAGGCATGACGGCGAGCGAATCGAGCCTGTTGACCCGAAGCTCACCTGGCAAGGCGCACCCTTTGTCATTGGCCGATGATCCGTCGGCCTCGCGGTTGCGTTTGGTCACTCAATGGCGCAACTGAAGACCTGCAGTACGCAAGGGAGCGAAACGGTTTGCATACAGCTGACAGTGATTTCAGTAAGTTGTACGATTGATTGTATCAATGCTTTGTTGCGTTTGGATCATAAGACAAGGTCAAGTGAAGCTTCTTCGTGTCGGAAGCGATTTGCGGGGCTGTCAGCTTACATAAAGCCAAATCCGTTCGAAGGTGCGCCATAGTCCATGGCGACCCCGCCAGCAGGACCATAAGGACCGTAAAGACCGCCAAGTGCAGGACTGCCGTGCGAGCCACCCATATGGGCAGCGAGACCTGGATGATGAGGGTACGGGCTGCGAGCACCAAATGCATCATTTGGCATGCCATGGTGATTGCCGTTGAAGTGATGTCCGGGCTGAGGTCCCATGTAGAAGTGACCTTGCATCATGCCAGGATGGAAGCCAGAGCCACGTGACATGTCGTTGTCGCGCGAAATCTTGGCAGAGATGCGCTTGCCATAGGGCGTGTTGCGGATCGAAGGCATAAGTGGCGTGATCATGCGAACGAGCTCTTGCTTCTGAGCAGGCTCTGCCCAGTCGAGCGCTGTCTGGACGACATAGTTGGCGAATGAGTCACGAAGCATACGTTCGAGGTTGTTGCGATTGAGGAACTCATTCACGAGCACCTTGCGACCGGCAGCATCAGCGACCCGGATACACTTCTCAACGACGTTGGACGAGAACTTCTGGGCCGACAGGGTGCAGACGTTGCCAACGAATTGACGGACAATGGCCTCGATGAAGCGGTTGTCGTTGAGATCGAGCACGTACTGCACGACATAGTTGCCGAAAGGATCGCCAACGAGAATAAGCGAATTGTACGTGATCTCTGTGACGAGCTGAATACGCTGCGATTCCGAGGCATGGTCGATGCAGCGCTGCAGGACACAGCAGCCGTGACGATGCGTGGCGACTTCAATGCAGTTTGTGGCGACCGCATTGTAGATGAACTGGTTGTCCTCTGGTGGCAAGTGATTCAGACACTTCTGAATGACATGGTTGCTGTTGAGATCTTTGATGAGCGTGACGACGTTGAGATTGAGTGCCATGATCAAAGACTGGACTTGACGGCGTGTAGTCAAGAAGTCGAGCAGCTTTTGCACAGCGCGAGTGCCATCTGATGATCACGTCAGCTCCAACATGCCAGAAGTGGGATGAGGGCGTACGCATGTTGAGTGAAATGGAAACGAGCTCGCCAGAGATCGAATCAATCAGAGCATCTCGCTGCTCGTCAGTCGCAAATTCGAAGAGCTTTTGCGATAGGTAGTTGCCGAAAGCGTCTGTAGAGGTATCAGTTGTCAGCAGATTGCAATGAGCGCTGGATACGGCACTCACCCGTCATGAGCTCAGCAAAGTGAGGGAAAATCTCAGAGAAGATCATGTCACGATATTCTGGATTGCCCTCTTCGAGCTTGCGCTGAAGGAAGCGACATCCATGCTGATCCTTGCACAAGGCAGGCATATCGCCTTGGAGATCTTCGAGGCGAAGGCCAGCAAATCGGTTGGTTTCAACATCACGCTTCGGCTTCATGCCAAAGAGGGCGTTGTTGCCATAGCCGGCTCCTGCAGCACCATCGTATGCGAAGACGCCAGAGCCATTAAGGCTATCGAGACCGCCATATTGCCCGAAGGGACCGCTCATGGAAGACGAATCAAGACCACCAAATGGACGGCTCATAAAACCATTGCCGCCTAGGGTGGAGAGACCATCAGCGTTATAGGCGCCTTGCTGCGCAGGCGTGGCCCCATTGATCTTGCGCGTCTGCTCGGGTGAGCTCGACTTGCCAGGCTGGGAAGCTTCTGTTGGGGTCGGCGCAGTGGCTCCGCCCAATGCGCTACGGGGTGCGGGCAGCGTACGAGGCAGAGGTGAGGCACGCTCGGTGACAGCCGCGGCCTTGACATTCTCGAGGGCTGCAGAGGCGGCAGCATTGTGAGTCTGACCGCGTTGTCGGCCGTCTGCCGCAACCTGACCGTTGGCAAACTGAGGCCATTCGGAGCCGCGGGGAGCATTCTCAGCGCCTGGGCGTACGCCAGCTCTTGGAGGAGTCTGCGAAAGAGGTGCGAGATCCAGGGCAGCGGATGATGCGGACAGCTACATCTGCGCGTCAATAGAGTGTTTTATTCAGATATGAGCAACGCACGATGCCAGGATAGCTGTCTCTGCGGACGAGGATGGGGAACTTGTCATCGTCAGTATTGAGTGCTAGGTACTTGCCGCCATAGGCCGAGTCTGGTCAAATGTCAGCACTAGCGTTGACCCTGCACATGGATGCACTCACTTTGCAAGTCGGAATCGAGATCGTCGTCAAAGACGAAGCCTTGAAGAAGAGGCGCGTCGCCAGGTGCAGTACCGCTGCGGATGGGGACGCCCTTTGCCTTGGCAAGGGCAGCGGCAGTAGCAGCGTTGCTACCTTCGGCAAGAGATAGCTTGTTGAGAGCAGCAGTAGCGGCGTCCGCTCCTTCAGCACTATGACGACGCGTCGCTTTGTCGTCGGTAGCAGGCGACGTGGGACGTGAGGACATGAGGGCCTTTTCTTCGCGTTCGTGCTGCTCTTCCAAGGCCTTCATCTGCGCAGCACGATGATGTCAGCGGGCACGCGCAGACTGCAGCTGTCCAGCTCGCCTTATCCTCGAACGCTTTCTTCTGTAGAGCCTTTTGCTTTTCGTGCTCAAGACGCTTTTTCTCGATTCGCTGGGCATATAGACGTTAGCCGTGCACCGCATCGCCAATTGGCGACTCACTGCAGCAAGATCGGCAGGCTTGTTGGCACCCCCGTCGGCAAGGTCAAGGGAATCCTCCATCTTGCCGGACTGAGCCTTTGAGCTCGGCAGGCCGTCTGGCGATCCGGAAGCGGTAGTCGAGCTTTGTGTAGCGTCGTGACCATCTTGCTTGCTGGCGACCGAGCTGGCGGGGAACCGTCTCGAGCTAGCCGGTGCGTCGGTCTTGCCGTTCAGAGTTGTCGTCTGATCGTTGACAGGATCTCCTGCTGATGGGATATTGGAGCTAGCCATGCTGGTGCTTGACGCTCGTGTGAGCGAGCGTGTGAGTGTAGAGCTAGCCTAGCTTCTGATCTGGATGGCCTCATGGGCTAAGCTGGGGATATATGCTGATCTCAGGGAGCTCACCTTGGGCGATTGTGGTGCGACGGTCGACGTGCTAAGCGAGATACAGCTTATGCGTGAGATAGGAGTGATAATCAGGGCTACAGTCAATGGGAGTTGTTATCGGTAGATGCGACCAGGGCGGACGAGCGAGCGAGCGAGCCAACGGAGGTCTGATGACAGCCCGTTCGGCGTTGTGAGACGTGGACGAACGGAAGTACCGTGCCAGTCAGACGGTGCAAGAGAGGGAAGCGAGGGTGACAGCGAGGCTGGGCTCCTGCTCCGGTCGAGACCGAGTCCGTTCGAGTCGAGAGGCTGACGAAGGAAAAGTGCTGGTAAGGGCTGAAAGAGGCAGAAATGCGTGCAGACAGGTCTTGCGTAGGGTATGGTCGTTCAAGCTTGGTGCACAACACAAAAGGTCTCTCCCTTTTTCGCCTCTCTTCCTCGTCTGGACAGCCTACAAGTCCCGCAGACGTTTTGTTTGCTCTTTTCGTTCACTTGGCCGGTCTTTTCTTACGATACAGACAATAACAGTCTTTGAACAGATTCGTGCCTGTCTTGTCTCAGTCAGCTCCAGCGGCTTGCCCGAGCACACTGCGCTACTCACTTGACAAGTGCAAGCGTCTTCGTGAACCGTCTGTTCGCTGCAGTTCCGAGCCACGCAGCTTTCTCTCACGCTCCGCTGACTCACGTCACGATCTCCCTTTTGCTCTGCCCATTTTCGAGCGCTTCGTTTCTATCGGCGGTAGGTCAGCATGTTTCTCTATCTACCGTCTCAGTAGCTTGATGATCCAACCTATGATAATTTGCGTTTGATCTGCGACTGTGCAACAGAGGACTGCCTCGCCGGGTGATGTCAGTACAGGCGCATGAAACCACTCTTTCACGTCTGACTCGCTCAGTCTTGGTGACGTTGGGACAGACGCTGATGCGTCAGTGATACAGGGCGTGAATACTTGCAACAACAGAAGCATAGCGTGGCTCAGTCTTCTAACGAAAGTGTCTGCTCGGTCTCCTCTCTCTTTTTTTGCCTTCTATTGCATCCAGCGCGTCCGAGACGGATCTCAGATCGCCCAGTAGGCTCACGTGGCCATGATGAGTTCTTACTTCTGCTTTGACGAGTGAAGCCCTGATCTTGTCATTCAGCACGACGCATGCACCCTGTCTGACGAGACACACCATTGGCCGGGCATGGCCTTTGTTTGACTGCTGCTATGGAGGACGATGCCATCGCCAGCGCCGAAGAGCAGTCTTGTAAAATTGCCAGAACGGATGTCCTCTTCCCCGTCGACAATGACGCCCCGCACCGTGGCAGTCTTGTTCGAGACGAGCAATGCAATAGGCGGATATGCTTTCTTAGGATCGAATGGTTCCTCGAGCTCTCGTCTGAATTGTTGCACATTTGCAAGCGTCCGCTCGAGATAGTCTTTGATGACAGCGTCTGGCGGGGCTGGCGGACCTTCCTTGGTGAGATCATTGCTGCTGTTCTCCTTCCTGAGCCGGGCACGAGGGTCGACCATACCTGCAGCTCTTCTGAATGGCGAGGTAGCAGATGAGATACGAGAGTTGCCGGATGGCCGTCTGCTCGAGTCTATAGAAATCGAAGGGCTTGTTGAGCCAGAAGCAAGTGACGCTGAAGGCTTGAGGTCTGGTCCGGAGACCGGTACAAGGCTATCGACATCCGCAGTCTGTGCCTCTTCCTTTTTGTCCATCCTTTTCTCATGCTGCTCTGCATCTTGCCGATCGTATATGCCTTCCGTCATGGGCGACAATCCGTACCGAGACCAGTCTTGCGGATTGAAGAAATCAACGGGCAGGGCATTGCCGTGCTCATCCTCAAAGCAGTCGCCATTTCCAGGCAAGAAATAGAAGGTGCTTCGCATGGAAAAGGCCACAGAAGGACTGCAAATCTCCTTGTTGAAGAGCACACCGTCGCCGTGTCGGAGAGGGCCGAGCGCGTTGACCGTCGGACCCCATGGCGTACCTGCGAAGACGATCCCTCTAAAGAGTGATGGATCATCTGTTCTGCTGAGCGCATGCAGAGCAACGAGACCGCCCATCGAGTGAGCCAGGACCATGGTGCCAAGACCTTCAGGTGATTCCTCTTTGAGTCTCTTGAGCTCTTCCAACAGCAACGCGGAGGATTTATGCAGTGACCTTCGCCAGTCGTAACCCCAGTTGACAAACTGGATCTGGCCTTTTTTATTCAGTTCGCGCAGTCGGTCCTTCAATCTCCGGCCGAGATCTATCCAGCCAGCGACGGCGGTGACCATCTTGTCGGGTCGGACAAACTCTGTCGTTGCGTCTTCGTCTGCTTCCGACAGACCAATCGAGAGATCTGGTTTGCGCAGTCCGATGCCAACCTTGAGAGGCACCCATAAGCGCTGACCGGTAGCTGTCGAGCGCAAGACGCTGCCTCGGTAGCCGCCCATGAGCAAGACCGGCCCTCTCAAGTCCGAGAAGGCGTCCTGTGAAAGCGTATCGAGCTGTAGATCCGAGGCTGATTGGCCGTTACGAGCAAATGTCGCGCCAGATGGTGAAGGGACCTGCGGATACAAGCTACTGTCGACAGGCGGTACAGCAGCGCTCAGTGAACTGGATCCAAATGTGAAGGATCGTATAGCAGTCGGCAGCGATAGGGAAGCAGTAAAAGGCCATTCAGGCATACTCGGCAAATGTGGCAACGACAGACTATCCTTGATCGCGTGCAAAGCAGTATTCTGCGTGCTCTCATCTCAGCGCTCGCCGAGGATAGTGGTGATCGACCGACCTCTCTATGATTGGGAGGAGCGATCGAGCGAGTCATACCCTCATGAAAGGTATGTGGAGCTGGCGACGTATCATCTAAGAATCTATGTAGGTTGATTTTGTGGAGCGCTTTAGACGCGCGCGGGAAGCGTCGAGCAGCGGCTACACGGAGATGCGGGAAGAGGCCCTGCTCGTGGATGCTCGAAGGTACCGAAGAAGCGACAGAGGCTCGTCGCTTCCTGGGCGAACTGAGCACGGGCGATACTGCAGTCACGGCTGCATCCTCTTCCTCATTATCGCTATCGTCTATCGCGGTGCCCGACAAGAGTGAAGCCAGCTCTGTCTGCTCGTGGAGTATGTTTGCGCCCTCGCTTGGGCTTGTCCAGCCGAGCTCTAGATCTCCCGTGGAGTGTCGTCTTGTTGTTGATGAGGCGGCTACACTCCCTTCTCTTGCGACCTCAAAGTCATAGAAAGCCTCGCTCTCGTCTTCGTCTTCGTTGTCTGTCTCTGTGCGAGTGTCGTCTGACTCGGTTGAGAGCGAGGACGTAAGGTTCGCATGCGAGGCTGTGAAGCCGGAGAGATCTGCCTCTGACTCATCTTCCTCGCCTGGCTCGATGATGATGACAGGCGGAGGCCGCTTCATGGCCATTCGTGTCACCGAGCTATTCATCTGAGTGCAGAATGCATGTTCGATTGCAGGCTGCCGGCAAAGCCGAGGGCCGTCAAAGTCGACGCGCTCTGTGAGGGGGCCCGGTCTAAAACCAGATTGAAGGTCGTCACAAGTTTTCGATGCACGCGGTAGTCGACGCGTTCAATTTGCGGACGACACGCACAGTCTCTGCTCTTAGGGGCGATGTTCAGGACGCAAGACAGAGCTGTGCTGGGCGCCAAGAGCCTCAACACAAGCTCAGACGCGCTGTCGAGCCGGAACGGTGTCAAGCAAGAGGCCTATGATGGTGTTAAACCGACTGGAGGCGCGGTCTATCGATCCAAGCAGTACCCCTTCAGACTGTCTTTCTATCGCAAGCCACCGACGCAAGAAGTGACCATCGAAGAATTCGAATGTTGGGCAATCGATCGCCTGAAAGTTCTGGCCGAGATAGAGGCCCAATCGTCTCGAAACCGATCTTATGACGATCTCAATAAGATCATTCTTGCTCGTGCGAAGCAATACCTGCCGCTCTCTTCGTCTTACGTGCCTACAACTAGCCGGTCAGCATTCAAAAACGGATTGCCGTTGCCAGGCACGCCGGAACACGCTATCGAGAGCGAACGACGTAAAGATCACTACTCTCACTTTGTGCTACGCCTAGCATTCTGTCGGTCTGATGAGCTACGAACGCGATTCGTGCGGGCCGAAGCATCGCTGTTTCGAGCGAGATTTGACTCCGATGATGCACAAGAGCGTCAGCAGTTTATCAACTCGCTCAACATGGAGTGGCAGACCGTCCGTCCTACGCGTTTCGTCGTTGGCGATGACTCACATGCCCACAGGTCTCGATGGAAGAAAAGCTAGATATAGCCGAGCACCTCATAGCGGTACACTCTCACCTCCGTACTCACGAGGATGTGCGTGCAGAGCAATTCTTCAAGGTCGGTCGGACTATCTATGGCCAAGCTTAGCTGATGGGCTTACAGGTACCGTGGACTAAAGTGGCTTCGCTGGTTGGTATGCGACGCATCTATATCAAACGCGGCGAAGCATATGTGCCCGCGAGGGATCAAGCCTCACTCGTCTTAGAAGAGTTTCAGCGCGAGCTGGCTCATAATCTCGAAGTATGTCCGACGTCTGCGAGTCAGCCGGAAGCTGAAGAGGTCTACACAGATGACCGCGCGCGCTGTGCCTCGATTGGACGAAGACGATCGATTACTGCCCGTTCTCGAGCATCTCTCGATGAGCTTCCTGGCCGGCATGACGTCCGAATATACCTCGATGCGCAAGGACGAAGACGGCAACGCGATCACTGCAGACATGATCGACGACCTGGCGAAGCGTCATTTTCCGTTATGTATGCGCAACCTGCACTCAGTACTGCGCGAGAAGAAGCATCTCCGTCATCATGCGCGTCAGCAGTACAATCTCTTCCTCAAAGTGGGTGAAGCTTTCTGTCACTGTGATCATGACTGAGCGTGTCGCTGCATCTCAGGGAGTTGGACTGTCTGTCGACGAAGCGATTGTGTTTTGGCGGAGAAGCTTCACGAGTATGTCGGCCGACAAATTCGATAAGGAGCACAAGTACAACATCCGACACAACTACGGTCTGGAAGGCAAGCGAATGAACTATCCTCCAAAGGAGTAAGCGCTGCCTTTTCATCAGATCAACGGCTGACTCGCGGTCATAGCTGCCAGCGAATCATCTCGAGCGATCAGCCTGGACCGCAAGACTCCCACGGATGTCCCTTCCGACATTTCGCAGAGCCCTCTCTTTCGTCAGCGCTTGGCTCGACGTATCGTATCACCAACGCAGTCGATCTGAGAGAGATCCTCGAGCTTGCCAAGACCGGACATCCTCACGTTGCGTGTACAAGAGTCTTCGAGATCACGCATGGCATCAAGAAAGGCGAGGGTATCGGACAATCTGCGAGCGTCAGTCATCCGAACAAATACTTTGACCGATCCATGGAGCTTGAGAAAGCATCTGAAGATCCGGCGAATGCTCAGCAAGGCATGAAGAAGATCAAGACAGATCCGGCTCCTCCTGACGCCAGGCCATCGGTCAAATCAGAGCTCCAGTCAGAGCCTAAATCGGAGCTCATCGAGGCAAGCATGGACGTCGATGTCACTGCATGATACTCTACTGTTGTACGACAACATGGTGACCTTGTTCTTTACTAGAGTCCATCTTTGCTGTTCTGGCGCCGAATTGGATCGCCCGCTTTGGCAGCTTGGATGCATGCTGCAGACCGAGTAGCTCTCGCGCAGCATAGCGTAGCACTAGCTTGTCGCCAATACCGGGCCCTAGCGCAGGGTTGCATTTCAGATTGACGGGCGTGTTTGCAAGAGCTGAGATGACATTGGCTGCCAGGAATGGGAAACGTACTTCCTTGCCATGCGAAGAGATGACGCGATCGTCTCGTCCTAGATTACGGTGACCTATTCGGTCGAGATCCAGCTGGAGCTCCTGAACAAGCGCGAGCCAGTCTTGCTTTGAGCTTGCATGATTGCGCTCAGAAGGTTCGGCCGGGCTCTGACTGATAGTGCCAAGATCGAATGCCCGACGATGACGTGCATAGCCACCTAGCTGCTCGTCTGCACCCAAGCCAGATAACAAGACCCGTGACTCGCTCGTGTAGGGCTGTGAGCTGCCATCTCTTGCCTGAAGCTGTCCTATGCCTCGCGATGCAAAGTAAAGCGCGATTGCGATGGACTACAGTGTATCAGCGGCAGGGTCTCAACATGTGTGAAAGGAACCGACGAGGTCCATTACTGAATTAGAGGGGAACATCAATTCTAGGACCGTGCTGACATGGCTCTGGTATTCGGCGAACGGGACATTGACAGCAACAAAACGCCAGTCGCGATTCGGTCTTCTATTGCGCAGCTCGGTCAGTGTTGCCAAGCCAGTGAGTCGGTCAGGCACATCCCACTGCCTGCTTGCAGATTTTGCAAGGCTGACGGTGCGAGGGTTCTCAAAAGCAACATTGAGGAGGTCGATTGGTCGGCTCGGATGGATGTATTCATCGGCTAGCAGTGCGAGCGTCGTACAGTCTAGTCCTCCTGAGAACAGTATCGCTACAGAACGTTCGCGGGCGAGGCTGGTGCATCTGGCACGCGTAGCTGCGCGCAAGCTGGCCAGTAGTGCGCGCGCCGCTTGCTCTAGCGACGTGTCGGCGGCAAGACTAATAGGTAGTTCAGTCGTTATCTGTGTCGGACCACGCCTGGGAATTTTCGTGATGGTGAAGGGGGCGCGCTGTTGGATGTCAAAGGTGAGAATGACGTCCGTGGGCACCTCCTGCCAGCTCTTGGCTTGCAGATGTTGGGGCACACACGATGTGATCAGAACGCAATCTTGGCGCTGCACGCGGCTCAGCATGCCTATGAGGATACGCTCCTGGGCTTACCACTAGCACCAGTAGAGATCGCCTTCCAAGAGGATCGCGTGCACAGAAAACTGTTTGTGAAGCTGCCTGTGATACGCTCAGCAGTGCCGGAGGAACGATCAGCCTGCGCACCGAGTAGAAGACAACTGCAAAGGGTCCGTCCAAGCTGTCAAGCATCGTCACGAGGCAAGTCGCGTCGCCTTTGCACTCGACAAGGCGTTCAAAGAGTGCGCTGCCGTCATTCGTGCTGACTTCGACCTACCGTCTTGTTTCAGCGCATCAAATGGATGCGGAGATATGCTCACCTCCAGACCGTCAAAGATCTCACCGTTCTGCGAGTCGCCATCGTCAGCAAGGCTCAGCTCGCTAGCTGCGATCAGCTTACATATAAGAGCCAGTCACCCTGAGCACTCTTGAAAGGTTGCTGAGCTAGCTCGTGACCTCTGAGATGTAGGACAGCTGCGTGGACTCTGATACGACAGCCGTCATGCTCAAATTGGTCTGATTGGTGTGCATCTGGACCTATCGACAGCTATGGTCAGGCACGGCTCGAGAACCCCAGGCTGAGGGACCAGACCTCTTGCATCGACAAAGCTGCATAGATCAGTCCACTGAGAGTCATCGTGGCTGCTCTGCGTCGATATAGAGCAGCATATGCCACACATCCAACAGCGCCAACGCGATATAAATTATTGAGGAATCACGCTAGCCAGAGCGCTGGAGCTTGGCGGTCCGTCATGAAACAACGCAACGAACGAGCGTTGCCCTGTCCTACCATTCTTGAAACCACCGTCTCTCTCTCTCTCCCTCTCTCCTCACACACTCGGCAATGCCTGCCTGGGCTTTCGGCTGCACGCTCGGCTTGCTTGCTCTGCCTTTCAGCCTTGGACAGACTGCTCAGACAGCGTCGTCCGATAATAATGCTTCGGATCCACACTGGTCGGCAGACTGGTCAGGCCAGCTGAGAGGCCAATCCACAACACCCTCAGAAGGGGCAGCGTACGGTCTCTGTCAACAGGCGTATGCTCTCTACAGCAGTGCGTGAATCGTTCATCGCGACCGGCTTGCATGATCGTTGCCGCGCAGATGTTTTCGCCGACACATCGATCCACGAGCTCAACCAGACCGCGCAAGCTCTCGGCTGTACCTCTGCCGGACTGCTCACCTGGGGCACGAGGTCTCTCCCAGCGTCGTGACGGACAGCAAGTCGCTGATGTCCATCTCAGCTTTGATTGGGAACGCGATCTCACGACGCTCAAATCTCACGCCAATGCGGCGACCAACCAGCAAGCTGCTCAAGTATGGGCATCAGCTACGACGCGAGTATTGCTGACGATCAGCAGATATCGAGCCTCGCTTCCATGCCCGCCATCTACCATTACAATCAGACAGGTGGCGACATCAATTCGAACAACCTCCTCTCGGCATGGATCGGCACTTCAGCAAGCTCACAGCAGAACGACACGTCGAGCAAGTCCGTCAGGAGCAGTGAGACGCTGTATGAGCTCATCGGTCGACAGATACGTGCTGAATATCGTCCTGTCATCCTCGGGAAACACCCTGCCTGCCGGCAATCGTTCTGCTCTCTTGAGCTCTCTCGGCACGTCCTGGAACGTCTACGAAGGTGTGTGCTCAGGCACAAACACTGTTAATCACGGGCTAGAGCGATGTGCAGCGGCCGATGACAAGTTGACAACCGTCACACTCGTCAGCGAGCGCGTCATGGTCGACGTGAGCGCAGACTTTTATGAGCTTTTCAAGTCAGTCTCGCTTGACTGAAGCGTCAGGAAGTGTTAGCTCATCAGGAGGAACGGCAGCGCGACGGTAACTGCGCTCAACATACCGTCGTCGCTGTATCTTGCGTCATTCGGTGTATGTTTGCACACCACAGTCTTTCAACATGTCTCAAGCTGCAGCAGGGCGGTGTGGAGCTATACAGCGGCTCGGGCAGCTACAACGTGTCAAGCTTTGGTGCAGGCTACTACACCGGCCCGGCAGCAAGCTGCGCCCAAGTTGATGCCTCGCTCAAGAGCGCCAGTCGACTTTGCGGCTCGCAGGACGACTCTTCCGGTGCAATCTCGCACAGACTGGGCCTCCCTCTGTTGCTCGCCTTCTCGACCGCTATCTTTGCTGCTCTGTCGATCTAGATGCATCGTTTCGCTCACCTGCGACATGTTTCTGCTTCCCATCCCGTCGCCAGCTTCGTCCTTTTCCTTAGGTACCTTCCGTGCCCGATATGATATCAATTTGGATCGCGCTAGCATTCGCCGCGTTTGCACACGCTCAGCTTACACCCGAACTCGAAGGCACAAACGGTGTAGCCAACGGTTGTAAGCGCGTCGCTCGACAACCCGTTGCCATCGAACTGATCGATCAGAACAACAGTATGTCAGCTGAATTATATCCTGCAAAGTGGTCCGTCCATTTGCTGCGGCTCAGCATGAATACACTGCAGCTCTCGTGCAGATGTCTTCGTCTCGACAGCGAATAGCAGCGGCAGCCAGCAGTTCGTTGCGCATTCCACTTGGTGACCCCAGCTGATCTCGAGCAACGCAGTGTGCAAGGACTCGATTGTACGAGTGGCCTGCTGCATTGGCACATGACCTTCGACTGGGCCAATGGCGGTGTGGTGCTCGCATATCCTAATGCTCAGATCAGCCCCGTCGGTGCAAAGGTATCAATCGGCGGCTCATTCGAGCTTATCAGCCTGACTGCATCTGGGTACTCCAGCTGAGCGATCTCAAATCAGTACCCGGCATCTATCAATATGCTACTGATGCGACCGACATGGTCGCAAGCTACGTCATCTCCATGTGGCTCAACACGAACATGAACGGCCAGACCGCCGATGCGACCTCCAAAGCGGAGCTCATCATCATCCTCGGCGCTGACGGCAACGCAGCCCCGGGCGGTGACAAAGTGGGTTCGTTCTCGGCACTCTCGGATCAATGGACCTTGTATAAAGGTAAGATGAGCGCGTCTTGCGTGCTCGGACTAAGCCATGCCATCCCTAGCCAATGGGTCTTCGTACGACACCATCACTGCAGTCTCTCGTTCAGTACACAAGAATTTCACTGGTGATCTGTTGGATGTCCTCGCTTCGACCGTGCAGACTCTCAGTATTTCTGATGACCTCTACGTGGTCTCTTATTCTGTCTGTGTGCTCTCTGCGAGCGAGGAGACAGCGCTCATCGTGCACAGGCTGGCGTATCCCTCATAGGAGGCAAGGGTAGCTTCGACGCTCACTTTGGCGGGGATCTCGTGACGAGCAACTCGTGCGACTACGTAGACGCATCTCTCAAGACGGCATCCAAGCTGTGCAGTACGAGTGGCAACAACAACGGCGCAGAGGTCAGCTCGGCCCATCGACCCGCTCTAGCTACGACGGTCATGCTGCTCGCTTTCCTTGCCGTGTTGTTCTAGCAGACGTCGCGAGGCGCAAGTGCGACGCTCGGCCCGAATGCACGCAGTCGTCATGTTTCGCCCTCTTTGCTCAGCCTTTTGCTTCGGATTCGACATGACCATGGCTTGGCGTCTCTGCCTCATACTGTGCTTGGCACATCGCAGCAGACAACAGTCGAACGGCGTGACGAGGCAACTGACAGGATCCGATGACATCGCCACCGGGCGTGCGTTCCTGAGATCTCTCCGCGACCGCATTGACACGAACGGCCAGTCTGTGCCAATCACTACATTCTTGCGAGCAGTACGTCTCGATCTGTCGGCAGAATCCCAGACTGACTCGATCCCAGACGTCATCGCCACGCCAACATCGAGAGATACAGTCCAAACGTGTGCAGCTTTGCTCACGATGACACGATGATGATGACTCCTGACTTGACGACTTGCGCAGCACTCAAGGAACCGGCTGTCATGACGGTCTACTGTCATGGCAGACCTCGTGAGCTCCTGCACTGCCGATTCGACGAGCTCCTCGTTCTTAGACATCTATATTCTGCAGATTCTCTTGGGTAGGGAGTGCCCTCGATCTCAAATCCTCGCCCACCTCTTCAGTCTCAGCTGCACCAGCTAGGGCAAAGTCAACGTCATCGACAGTCAGACGAAGCTCATGCATGCAGTCTATAGCTATCGTCAATCACATCGATTCCGACTGTGTATGCGTTCCAAGCACCATTGGCCGTGCAATCAGTCTACATGCTGGACGCCTGGCTGTCAAGTTCGGCCAGTAGCAAGCCGGGCGACTCGTCTTCAAGGTACTCGCACATGCTGACGAACGACGCCGCTGTGCTCATGGCCTAGAGGAGCACAGGATCGAAATTGTGGCGGTTCTCTCTACCGGCGGACTTGGCTTCGACTTTGGAGAGCAGAAGAGCACCATCAACGCATACGGACTCTCGTGGGCTGTCTACCAATGTCTGTGTTCGCGCAGAACCATGATGATACAGCATCGAGATGATCTGCGAGCGCAGATGACCACCCGAATTACACGACGTACAATCTCATGAGTCAGTCGACACTGATCAACGTCTCAATCGATGCGATAACCCTCATCCAGCAAGTTTCGCGATCGTCCTGCGCTCCCGCAGAGATGCTGAATGCTCTCTGCAGCGGCCTGGCCGGCGTTGCATCGTTCGCCAGCGATTTGTATCTCTCGAGTTATGGCGTACGTCGGCGGCGTTTCTGGTCGGCTGGACTAAAGAACATCACTCCGGTATAGGCCGGTGCACAGATCACTTGGGGAGACGACTCGACTCTGACCGTGCAGTCCTTCGGCGCTCAGGTCTACTTGGGTCAGGATTGTGCAGGCATCTCGTCCGAGCTCAGATCCGCATCTCTGCTATGCGAAGGGCAGAGCGGCAACATCACCAACGTGAGCAGCTCAGACAAGCTTGCGGGCATCGGCTTTGCGGCTCCGCTCGACACGCGAACAGCGAAGCGCGTCGCTCTCATCGTCTCTGGCCTGACGGTGGCAATGCTTTCATTCTTGTGAGATTCGATTACAAAGGCATCAATGCATCCTTGCCGAGCGTCGGGGCCCGAACAGCCTTTGTCAGGAGCGCGCTGAGAATCTGTTGACCTGGCGACTGCTGTCTCCGAGGCCATCTTCAGACGTTCGTGCTGACACCGCCTCGAGGAGCCGAGCTCCTCCCCTTATCCTGCTGCCGTGCCCTCTCGACACTGCCTTCTCAGCTCTCACTGACGATGTTGAGCCACGCTCGCAAAGCTGTCGTGCTGTCCATTGCCACCCGCGCACTCGCCCAAGGCGGCACGACCGCTGACCTCACAGGCATTGCAGGCATCGCGAACAATCGTACGTCGCGACTGTGACGGCGGCGTCGTCGCTTCCCCTTCTGACATGGCCGACAGTTTGCGCACTGAATTACGTGCTCTCGAGCAGTCAGTCGCTAGCTTGCCGGAGCCAGAGTCATGCTGATCGGGAGGCCAAACAGACACCTTTCAGAACGGGACGGCCACGTGAGCAGGACGCTCGAGCAACGTTGCGCCATCTGACTGAGTGTCACTCGCAGGACACATGGTTTGGGCTGCACCAATGGCCTCTTGTCGTGGAAGACCGAGCAAGTCGCTTGGCCATCGCGGGATCCCTTTGGTTAATTCGATGACACAGCTTTGACTTCGATACCGACGCCGTAGCCGCTTATCCCAACTCTGCCATCTCCGACCCAGGCGCCAAGGCGGGTGCCTCTCCGTATGCAGCCGCGCGGGAAGCTGACAAAGCGTACAGATTGCTGATCTCAAATCAGTGCCTGTCATCTTCAAGTTCCAGCCTGCTTCGGCCGCTCAGGCCAATTACATGGTCACTATCTGGCTTGGTACGAACACGAACGGTCAAGCAGGCGACAGCAGTTCCAAGTGAGCTCGACGAGCTCATGGCGCGCGCGAGGTCTGATGGCTATGCGAGTCAGGTACGAAGTTGCGTTTGTCTTCTCCAACTCGGGCACGACGACGCCTGCCGGATCCAAAACGGGCACGATCACTGCAATGGACACCAACTGGAGCGTCTACAAGTGTCAGTCGCGCGAAAATCGGGTGCTCGTTTGGCTGAAGAAACTTGTGCACATGTCAGCTGCTGCAAAGGGCTACGATCTCGTGACGGTCGTCTCACGAAGTCGCCAGTCATCCGTGTCAGGTGACTTGCTCGACGTCATCCAGTGAGTCGCTTCACTTCTTTTGTCTATGGAGCTGATGACTCTGCGGCGTGCGTTCGTCAGAGCGACGGTCAAGTCGCTGAGCATAGATCAAAACCTCTATGTCGTCTCTCTGGGCGCAGGCGCTCAGATCTTGACGGGCAAGGGCACATTCCAATGCGATGCGTTTGGTGCAGACTTGATCACCGGTGGCGCCTGCAGCACCGTCGATGCAACACTCAAATCGGCTGCTGGCATTTGTGGCAGCTCGGGTTCGAGCAACAGCACTGCTTCAGCTTCCGGCAAGTCGACGTCATCTGCCAATGTGCTCAAGGCTCCCAAGACGAGCAGTTTAGCCGGTGCAGCCACTGCTCTGGCGCTCGGATTCGTTGTCGCCTATCTCGCCTGATCTCTTGCGAGTTGCTTGATGCAGGATATGAGCACAGCGTAGAGCAGTTCATGTCTGACATGGGCCCTATCGTGGCGTTGTAGAATGCACACAATGTTCTTCTCCTATCTCTTCGCCCTTACCCCGCGCTTTGGAGCGAGCGACATTTTCCCAAAGAGGCATGTTTTCAAAGGCAGACATATCGAGGTAGAGCACGTCCATGGTGTCGCTCGACGAGTCTGTGGAGATGCGAAAGACTGCGGAAGGGGGCCCTGCACGGCCAATGGCTGCAGATCGTCAAGAACACGGAGAAGCCGCTCGTTCGGCCAGGTCGCCGTTGCCCCAATCCTCGGATGATCGCATTGTCGATTTGGATCCTGCGCTTGTCTCGTCCGGTCACGAGACATCATCTCTAGAGCGCTCGGCTCATCCAGCCCGCACGACCGCCAGCGAAGCAAGTCCTGCGCTGATGCATTATGCTCTTTCTGGCAGTGTACCGATTGCTTCGAGCAATGGCAAGAGACGACATAGTCAGGTCGATGCAGAGACCACCTATGCAGACTACAACGACAACGCTCTGAACGTGAGCGAAAGCGCCAGCGCAAGCACGAGCAGCTCGCACAAGCGAAGTCTATCCGCCAAGCCACCCCTGCCTCGCGGTAGCGCTTGTCTGACCTGCCGCAAACGCAAGCTCGTGGGTCAACGACTTGCTTGATGACACCGCTCGTGCTGAACATGTATCACGCCGGCAGAGATGCGACGGTGCGAGGCCCAAGTGTGCGACATGTGCCAGGCTACAGCATCCGTGCGGCTACGATGACGCAAGTACGTCATTCTCACATTTTTGCACCTGGGCCTATCGCCTGACGAAGAAAGCAGATGTGGCAGAAGGCCTCGATGCATATACACGCTCGCTCGAGGAAAAGGTCAATCGACTGACAGAAGAGCTTAATCGTGCGCACAACGCAGGCTCCGCACCGCCCTCACCTTTTGCCTCTGTGAATGGTGGCATGGTGCTCGATCCTGTGCCAACCGTGCATCATCCCAACAGTCTCAAGATCTCAGACTCGCATTATTCGCGAGCCATCACGCGGAGTAATCAGTCAGAGACTGCTTACCCGACCATAGCCGCCTATCCTCGCGATGACGAGCGGATGCGCATCTCTACTTCCAAAGCATCAAGTCCATCACGGCATCAGCAAGAATCATATACACGCGGTTCTGGCTTGCCGTCAGGCTATACACAATCGGACACGACGCCTTCTGCTAACAGCCTCCATTCGCCAGAAGCGATGCGCACCTTTGACACCCCCAAGAATGAAGACATGCCGCCCAGCCCTATGACCAACCCACTGTGGAAGCCTGGCTTGACCTGGCTCTACAGCCTACCAGCTGCAAAGCAACGGCTGGGCAACTTTCCGCTGCATACCTCTGAACGATTCCCGGCATCAGGAGGAGAATCTAGCGCTTCGTCATTCGGCACAGATCTGCCGGATGAGACGACGTTTTCTGAGCTCATCTACATCTATTTTGAAACCGTGCATAAGATCTTGCCATTCTTGCACGAGACTCGCTTCAAAGTCGCCCTGCGAGCATGGGACCAAGCGGAGCGCCCGTCGGCAGCGCTCATATACGCCATCATGGCTGTCGCGAGTCCGTATCACGACAGCGAGCATGTCAGAGACATGTCTTCGTTCTATCATAGACGCTTTCGCCAGTACCTCGAACGGTTCGCTGGCGCCGGTCTAGCCGAACGCGATCTCGTCAACAGCTCTTCGCCAAGGCATCGTCAAAGGTTGGATGTTGAAGTCATACAGGCCAGCTGCATTGCTAGTATAATCGAGTTCGGTAATAAACAGCACCAGAGCGCATACATCACTACAGGCATTGCTACCCGCTTGGCCTCGATGATCGGATTACATAAGATGGACGAGGAAGAGATATCTTCGCGCAGTATAGACCGCCATGGCGGCGATCAGCCGGTCAAGGAGCGTCGACAATCACTCCTTCGCTCGCCAGCAGTCGGAGAACTGCCCACAGACGCCGTCATGCGAGAAGAATGCCGCAGGACAATGTGGACGCTCCTCATACTCGATAGATGGACATCCGCCTGCGCCGCTTGGCCGGCAGCGCTAGACGAGAACCTCCTCAGACTGCTGCTACCGTGTCCTGAGCAGCTTTACGTCGATCTATCTTGCAACGTCGAACACAACGTCGAAATTTGGCCGCACGAAGACCAGCCCGATTGCGAGCTGTCCGACTTTGCCGTGCTTAGCAGAGTTTGCCTTATGGGTAGTCGAATAGCTGCGCATAAATACCGGAGCCCAGGTCATTTGCAATCATGGCTTCGTCTCAATCGCTTTGCTGATTCTGCCCGCAGGTCCTCGCCCAGGTGGCCCTCTGACATCCGAGCTGGTCAGCGAGCATAGTATCTCCCTTTTCGATGGTGCTCTGCTCGAAGAAGAGCAACGCATACTCGCTATACCGAAACCAAAATACGCTATCGATCGCGCGCTCGCGCTCATCACGATCCACGGAGTAGCACTCACCCTCCACGCACCTTCGCTCGTTCACACACAAGAACGCCACGGAATCGAACCGGTTGCGTCTCGAGAGTATAGCCTGCGGCGCTGCCTGTACAGCCTATCAGGTATCTGGCAGATCGTCACAGATCTACTCGAAGCGGAAAACCTGCCCATCCCGGCAGCCTTACGCTTGCCACCCTATTTGTCCATGATCTTCACGATTGCGATCCTATTCTTGCAAGATCGTTGGTCAGATGTCTCCATCTGTACAATCGGTGCCAGCGTAAGCTCGCCCCTGCCAGAAGACAATTTGCTCGACATCCATATACCCTGGGCGGCGATGAACATGCCCGCCTTCGCAACGCAAGACGGTCGCGAGCGCGTCATCGAGGATCTCAGTCAGATCATGCTCACCATGGGTCATCGGTGGCCCATCGCAGAATCAGTTCGATCTCAGTGCTGCAAGTGACATGACCGAAACGCGCATCATCGCATCAGCAGGCGGTATGCATTCGTGTGTGTATGTGTGCGGCTTCCTAGCTGTTACAACCTTTCTTTTTTCATTGTCTGTTGTACTGATCTACAATGCGTTCTGACTACAATGCGGATTTCTTCGTGCTACAAACCACTAAACTTGGCGGCTTTTGATGCAATCGGTATGCTCGTTGTAAAGCGCTTTGAGCTCTTGGCATTCCTTAAAGAGCTCTCCGACGAGATTGCGAAGTGCATCGTTGTGTTTCGCGAGATGATCCGCCCTTTTGCCGAGATCGCCTATAAATTCCTTCTTCTTCTGTCTTGAGCGCAGCGCAGCGATGCGATTGCGCTCGAGGAAATGTTTGCGACGGGTCTCCTCGTCGGCATCGTCCGGCAAGGTTGGCATCTCTTCGAGCATCTGCTCGTCTGATACACTGGAGCAAGGCTCGACAGCGAGATCTTTGGATGTCTGTTTGCGATACGTTCTGGCTTTAGTGACGGGGCCCAAAGCGCTCTTGCGAGGAGTTAATTTGAGTTCGTTGCTCGACGTCTGCATCGCTTGTATTGTTGCAGGCTGAGGCACGACGGGCGTGGCTGATTTCTGAACGTAGACGACAGGTTTCTGATCGCCTGACGGCGACTGTCCTTGTGAACCCGACAGCGAGTTCCGGCGACTGTGTGTATAGACTTGCTGTTGGCGCCATTGTTGCGTCGCGGCAGGTACGCGTGCTTGCAGTTCACTTTGGTATCTTGCCAGGCTCTCGTAGAGCGAATGCGCGTTTGCGGCGGGTGCGGGAGGCTCAGTCTTGTCCGTTGTCTGATCGACAGGTCTGTCTGCAGTCCGCCTGTCTTCATTGTCTATGAACCTATCTCAGCGTGGGCGATGCTAGTATTGAGCGTGAACTGACCGTAAAAACGATTCCAATAGTCCTGATCGAGGTCATCGAACGCGATGCTGTCCTTGAGCAAAAGAAGGTTGGCAGGCACGCTGACATCTTCCTGCTGATATGACTCTGTCGATTGGTGGGTGTAAGCCTGCGCAGGCTCGCTTTTGCTTGTCAAAGCGATCGCAAGCTTGTCAGAAGAGAGGGCGGGCGAGGCTGAGCTGATGGATGTGGGTACAGATGAATCAGATCGAGCGGATCCAGGCGCTGAATCTGAGCGTGAGGAAGCTGTGGACTCGGATGATGACGACTGTGTGCGCGTGGGTGGATCAACAGGCTCGCGTAGATTGGTTCCCTGCGCGATCTTATTGACAGACATGTTTGGCCTCCCGATGGAGTGAACCAACGGCGAGCTGGGCTGTGTCGACAATCCGGTGTAGCCAGAAGGTGTCCAGACGCCAGGTGAGGATCGTGCAGCTTCTTCTAGTCTGAAGAACTCGAAAGCGGCGGCATCAAAAGCCTCGCTCGGCAAGGTGAGCGACGTGGTAGCATGTCGAGCTCTTTTGGCCGATCGTGTATCCTCCTCGACCTTGCTGGCCGCACATCCTATGCTTGACCGGATGGGCGTGAGTATCTCGAGACTGGCCCTTCGTCTGATGTTGGTTCCTGAGAGCGCTGCATGGCTGCCACCGCAGAGCATCGCATCGGTCTCCATCGCCGTGTGTTCAGACAGTGGGCACAGTCTGCTCACTGCCAGTGTGCGCCCGCCGATGCTCAAGGTTCGAGAGCTGCCCGTTGACGGTCTGGCTGTCCAGCCTAAAAACGAGGGGTCGCCAAGGATCGACTGTATTCCTCCGGAGGGCTGTTGATGCTCTTTGCGGGCTCCGACTCACCAGGGACGAGACTGGCTTGCTCTTCTCTCAATGTCTTGCTGATGCGGACCGTGCAGTTCGGTTGATGATCCTGAACGGGCTGATGCTGGCCGACTGCTGTCCAGCCAATGCCAACATGGGCCTTTGCAATCTCGACGAGCACCGAAAGCTGCTTCGCTGCCAGCGATCGGCTCGGCCATCGCATTTCATCGAATTCATCGCGATGCCTTCCCGTCAGAGAATGGCGCGCGTTGCTCAGGTGACCAAGTCAACGTGGCCTAGCAATAGAGGTTCATGGGACAGGTTTGCTATGTGGATGCATACAGGTGTCTACAGGACAGAAGGAATGCGCGTGACTAGCAGGAACAGCCAGAGTATTGGTCGTTGGTCGAGTTGATCTGAATCGGATCTGGATAGTCTGCAAACATGTCGACTTCGCTCTCGGCGGCCAGTGCGCCCTTGCAGGCCGCTTGGAACGCCTGCTCGACATTGATGGCCTCCTTGGCGCTTGTCTCGAAGCTGTCGAGTGTGAGCAGGACGTCAGCGCGGGCAACACTAGCCGGTGTGACACGACGGACTATGGAATGCCGCCCTTGGCTTGACACCAGGTCATCGCTTTCTTCTGAGATACGACTCGTTTCGAGTCTTCCATGTCAATCTTGTTGCCAAGCACGATGAAGGGGAAATGATCGGGATCTCTTGGTGAAGCCTGAATCAAGAATTCGTCTCTCCAAGAGTCTAGCCTGTCCGAGATGGTGCGTCTTCAGCTGTGCTACGACGAGTTTGAGGGCATGCAGACGGACGTCTCGAATGACTTTGCGGAGTTGACGTCGTAGACGAGGACGCAGCAGTCTGCGCCTCGATAGAATGCGACCTACAATCGCGCGCTTTGAGCTCATCACATCTCACTTGATGATATAGCTGCGTACGCCGAGCGATTGGAATCGTTCCTGACCCGCTGTATCCCACAGTTGCATCGTCACGAGCCGGTCATCAATCATGACCTCCTTCGTCACTGCCAGCCGCCAAAGTACACCACCATCAGATTCATGACATCACTCTGCCTGACAGCCAGTCTGAACGGACGGAAGTCTGCACCGATAGTCGCTTTGTACTGGTTGCTGAAGCGTTTGTTGACGAACTGACCCATCAAGCTCGTCTTGCCGACGCTGCATCGCTCGGTATCTACGTCAGTCGGGCGTATCACTCGCTCGCTTGTTGTGCTTACCCGGAGTCGCCCAATATGATGATCTGCACAGGGCGAGATCAGACGTGCTGTCGTGCGACTCAAAGCGGCATACCTTGAGCAGAACTTTCTTGCGTGACGCCATGACTGTTCAATCTGCAGATGGGACGACGGCCGGCTTGATGGCGCGCGATCTCCCCCCAAGTCAATTCAAGTTGATTCCTCTCGGTAATGGGCACAGCCGGCAGAGCGACAGCAAAATTCAGCGCCCCCAGCGTTTTCTAGGAATTGTCGACAATGCCTAGCACGTCGGGCAGCCCGGCTACAGTGCGTACCTCTGGCCGCATTGGCTCAAACTCTTTCGCGCAGGCTGTGACGGCCGGCGCTGCGCACGAATCCGACGATGAGGATCAAATTGTGATCGATTTGGCACCTGCCAACACCTTGGGCTCTGCGCTCGTCAATCCCGTCATCAAATCCACACCGTCCGAGCGAGGAAAAGTCACATTTGAGACTGCGCCATCGATCAAAGGCAAGGAGAGGGCAGGAGACGACTCTGCAACGACTGCCGAGCTCGTCCAGGACACTGAGATGTCGCTCTCTTTCCCGGCTCTGTCAGCTTCGGAAACAGCCACAAAGCATGCGACCCAGACGAGAAAGGTGGCCATACCGCCTCATCGGATGACGCCGCTCAAGAAAGACTGGATGAAGATCTACTCGCCCTTGGTCGAAGAGGCAGGATTGCTGGTCAGGATGAATGTCAAACGGAGGGCGGTCGAGCTCAAGTCGAGCAAGCATACGCCAAATCCGCCCAATACGATCATGCAGAAGGCCGTCGACTTCTTGGCGGCCTACTGTCTCGGCTTTGCAGCGGAAGATGCGATCGCACTCGTTCGCCTTGACGATCTCTACGTAGAGACGTTCGAAGTAAGTTCTGCCTACTTGCTGCTATTCTCCCGTTCACACTATCGACCAGGTCAAAGACGTCAAGACGCTCCATGGAGATCATCTCAGCCGAGCGATTGGGCGAATAGCAGGCAAAGATGGCAGAACACGCTTCACGATCGAAAACGTCTCACGGACTCGTATCGTCCTGGCAGATAGCAAGATCCACATTCTTGGCTCGTTCTCGGGCATCAAGATTGCAAGAGATGCCGTCTGTCAGCTCATCTTGGGCTCGCCGCCTGGCAAAGTCTACCACGGATTGCAGAACGTAGCATCTCGCAATCGCCAGCGCATGTAACTCCTGCAGACCACCCGCTGTGTATGCATGTCTCGCATTAGATACAAGTGACTCTCAAAGAACCGGGCTGGGAGTGACTGTGGGTAGCGACATTGTAGACGCAAAGAATTCGGTGTTGCCGATCGAACCCGTCGCTGTCGGGTAGCCGAGCTGCTTAAAGTACAGCTCGTAGGTAATCGTCTGCGTCGCTCCAACTCTGACAGAGGTCGAAAAGGTATATTGCATGCTTGAGCCTCCGCCCAGAGGGAGCAGGACTGTCGTCTGTGTAGGTATCAATGTCCCGCCCAGCGTCGTCGTCGCCGGGCCGAAATCGACGACGCTGGGTACGGCTTGTGGGCTCGCGGCAAAACAGCTGCATGCCAATGTTGAGCTTTGCATATGTCAGAAGAAAGGAGTGCCTACTCGGCAGCTGCGCGTATATTGACGGGGCTCGCCGCATTGAAATTGTACTCGGCAGCGCAGGTGCCCATACAGTTCAGCATATCGTACCAGGCCTGGCAGCCACATCTAGGATCGGACGAATCGCAATGACCGATCGTCGTGTTGGAGTACAAGCCGTACAAGTCGAGGTTGATCTGTACATAACGATACTGACAAGCATTGATGATTTCTTTGCAGGGGATGTCGTCAGATGTGATCACAATAGGAAGCGCATAGGTCGACGCGGCAGGCTGAGCTGTCAGAAGTGCAGTCGTGGTCGTGATGGTGTCTGTGACATCGGAAGGAGCCCAGTGACCATTAGGCGCGCCGATGGCGATGCTCGTCGTAGTGGGCAGCTGTCGCCGCACTGGACCAGCCAGTACGCTGCCGATCAGCAGGCCGAGACAGATGCTACGCATGTGCGCAATCGTCGACTGCCTCGAGCCGGCGACTTGCACGTCAAAAGGCGGAGAAAGCTGGAGGCAATTTTAGCCAGCACCCCGGATTTTGCGCTGAGCCCAGCGAATATGTTGACAGTTGAATAGTTTCATGATGCGCCGCGCGCGCCTGCGAGAGGCACAGCTGAAGAATACAAGTAAGTCTTCATATGATCCTCATCCCACCCATTCTCGCCATGCTTGCCCATCGGATGAATCGAAATTACAGACCTGATCTGACGAGGCCTTGTCAATTGACTCGGTCGAAAGCGGATAACCGATTTATTGCCTATATAGACCTGACCCCTGTGCACCTGCGAAAAGAAGAAAAGTCTGCAGACAGATTGCTGACAAGCACAACAGATTCCTAGCGAGTACAACATCGTGTATGTCGTCTACCTCGATGGTACAATGACGACGGCGAGCCATCCGTCTGCTCCCGCGAGAGCAGCACAGAGCCAGTCCATCTCTGCATCAAAGGGGATCTTGATTCCTTGCACAAGAGCATATCCAAGCGGTTTCGACCCAACGAAGCTGGCCGTCATCGTCTCTGGCTTGGCAGGGAACAGGGAAGGCACGGCGGTCGACAGGATGTGGTAGATCGTGATCGGTTGAGCTTGTTGTAACGGCGGAACGAGGTTCTGAATGACGGGGGTGTCTGGCATGTATAGCCGTACAGCGAGTGAGCGTATGCTCTCTATGTTGTCTGGCATCAACTTGGCAGAGACGTTCGCAAAGCTGTCATAGTCATCTGCCTTTATCTATGAGCTCGGCGCGCGTGGTATGGGGGTCAATGCGCACGTCTTATGATGGCTTCCCAGAGAGCGTCTTGGTCCTGTTTTCTGAGGGCTGTGACGCGCCGGGTATTGCCATGCCGCAGGTAGTCGGCCTCTTTGATCATGTTCATGTAATTCTCCTTGCACTTCTCGACAGACGAGCTGATCAGCAGCTTGTCACTTGGCGGTGAGCTGAGGTGAAGCTTGAGCTCGAACACGGGCGGCTGGGAAGTGCTGGGGGTACTCTGCGGCTGCTTCGTGAGGACGTGATAGTCGTACAGGAGCCCAATCGGCCAATGCCTGCGTTTGTCCGAGATGAGGACGCGGTGACGAGGAGGATGATGAAAGGGATGACTTGCCATCGCATGGGCACACCTTGGCACTCAAACCAGATCTGATCATCCTTGAGAGTAGCCAATGCGCTATCGTCAAGGACCATCTCTATGAGTTGTCGTCTGGCATCTTGCAAGATCAATGGCAAATAAGACAGCCGCGGTGCTTGTACCTGCACGATTGAGAGCGATCAGATCAGTCTCGCACGCCACTCGCGATGTCTCAACGTGCATAGTAGGATGTTGGCATCGTATCTGTGCCCGCTGGGAGCTCTGCCAAGTCGAGGGAGATGCAGAGCGGTACGGATCCATTGAAAGTTGCTTGTCGACAATCGCTGATCAAGCGAGTCTGCGATCGGCCTGTCGTCGACGCAGAGCCGATGGACGTGCTTGATTGATCGTCTCTCTCCATCCCGTCATGCAAAGGTCTCTCTACAGCCAGCATGCCAACATCATCTCGGCCGAGTCTCTCGGTCGCCTGTCGCCTCGAAGTCGACGCGAATCAGGGAAAAGCAAAACGCAAGCGTCGGCGGCGGCGTTGTCTCGACGCTGCAGAAGACGGTCATGGCCAAGGCCCACGCATCGGTGGCATCCTTTGATACCAATGATGACTTTATACCGCTCGGCTTTCCTACAGAACCCTCACAGGCCGCTGCCAGACCGAACCTTGCAGCGCGAATCGCAGGCGCATCCAGGCCTCGACCGCCGCCTACTTCACCTCTCGAGAAGCGAGGCAGCCCAGCGATTGCAAAGAGCCGAGCTGCTGCAGAGAATCGGCTTGTCGCGACTACTGCTGGACCCCTCAGGCACGGCAAAGCAAAGCAAAGACCGGTTGCAGCCGACTTGAACAGCGACGGTGACAGTGATAGCAGCAGCGATTCCTCACCAGGTCAGCATGTCTGCTCAGCATGAACGTGTAGAAGCTGACATGGCGCTCCCAGGTAATCTGCTAGTACACACCGTACAGCCTTCGATGGCATCCAAACCGGTCAAGAAAGCGAGTCAGGGCGCGAGAGACCGCCGGCGCGCGCGCAGGGAGGCAGAGCTGACATCACAAGCATCTGCACAGACGTCTGATTCTAGTACACAGCCACCCGTAGCCAGTACATCTACCAGACCAGCGGCCAGCATAGAGCAGCAATCCGATTTTATCGCCTTTGCCTTTTCGCCACCTGACTCACCCTTGCCTGCGCCAGAACCTCTACCTCTGCATGCGATCGTACCTGATCAACCTCTCCTCGAGCGACTCGCTGGAAAGATAGCGCCTGTTGATCCCGACAAGGAAGAAAGATTCTCGAACAAGAAGGGAGGACGATTTCTCCTCGATCCCGACAAACAGGAGAGACTCCGGCCGAAACTGCCAGAGCCTCCCGTCGACGGTCCAACTGCGGCACGTAAGAAGGCTTTCAAGGCAAAGGCAGCAAAACTTTCGCGGACAGAGGTTCAAGCGCTACAGGAGAAGAAGTTTAAGCAGCGTCAGACACCTTGGTGTGCCAATGTCGACTGGGATGGCTGCTCCTCTGCTATTCAGATGTATGGATGGAAGCATCCTCGCAGACAAGCGCTGACATATCCCTACAGGTTGACGAAGGAGCTGCAGGCGTTCAAGGCATATGTGACGCCTTCAAGGGCCGAGCATGCATTTCGAGGTCATGTCATCGATCAGGTCCGGAATGCCTTGCGACAGATCTGGGCAGACACAGATCTGCAACCTTTTGGCTCTTATCTCACTCAACTATATCTTCCCGGAGGGCAAGTCCTCGCTCGCGTCAGCCAGTCTTGCTTCGCTTGACGCGAGCTTCTTCGTTGCAGGGACATCGATCTGGTCATGCTGTCTGCTACAGCGGCATCGCAGACGCCGAGTAGGGTGCTGCATAGGATTGCACAGATCATGCGAGACGCCAACATCGGTTACGACTTTGTCGTCATTTCCCGAGCCAAAGTTCCGATTGTCAAGTTCATCTCGACCACCGGCGGCTTCAACATCGACATCTCACTCAATCAGCCTGGTGGCATCAGGGCTGGCACAGTCGTACAGCGAATGATAGATCATAACGGAGGCGAAGCGGCAAGGACGCTCATTTACTGTATCAAGTTATACCTCAGCATCAGAGGGATGTCAGAGGTCTTCACAGGAGGCTTAGGTTCGTACAGTCTGATCTGTATGGTCATATCCTTCTTTCAGATCCATCCGAAAGTTCAGTCTGGCAGTATCGATCTCATGGAAAGCCTGGGACCGTTGCTCATCGACTTCTTCGACCTGTACGGACGCAACTTCAATTATGATCTTGTTGGCATCACCGTCAAAGAGAGCGGCTACTACAACAAATGGGATCGAGGATTCTACAATGCTATGAAGCCTTTTGCACTGAGTATAGAAGATCCCAACGATCCCACAAATGATATATCTGTCGGCTCGTTCAACATCCGACAGATCCGAATCACACTCGCAGGCGCATACGAGGTCCTGACAGCTTCAGTCTTCAATCGTCAGCTTGTGATACATGCACAAGGTGACAGAAGACAGGATGCGGCTCTATCGGCTTCGCTTCCTGCAGCGCCAGGCAGTAGCACAGACGGAAAGCTGATGCATGAGACATTACTCGGTACAATCATGGGCGTTTCTCAAGCCGTCATCGATCAGCGCGCTACCAACGCAGAGCAAGCATATCAGTCTTTAGGCGTCCGCGACACTACGCCCATTGGACCCGATCGACTTGGGGATTCGACCAGCGCAACCTCTGCCCTCGTCATGGAGAACGCAGGACTGGTCGATGGCGAACCGATCGTTGTCTCCAGCGAGTCGGAGGCTGGCGAAGAGACAGACAGTCGGTGTGCTGCTCTCAAATCTGCCCGAGCATCCTCGCGCAAACGCCAGCGCTCAAAGCAGAGCAACGAATTTACCTATGTCACGAACGATGCCGAGTCCGATTCGGAGGATGAGGTACAACGCTCAAACAAAAGGCCGTCTGTACTTGACCATCTTGGCGTAGGCGACGACGGCGGCAGTGATATCCTCCTGCCCGGGCTGAGCAAGTCTCCCAAAGTATCTGACGAGGTCAAGGCAGCGCGCAAGATGGCAGCAGAAGCCAGACAGAGCTACTGGCTTGCAAAGAGCGAGCCAGCGCAGACCGGCAGGAATGGACAGCCGAGCAAAGGCACAAGCGCACGAATTGCGCCCGAGCTCATCGTGCTCAGTGACGCATCGGACGCCGAGCTCCCCGATGAGTCCCCGTAGACATTGCATACTCGTCGCCCTGAACCGACTGCTGAAGCGGCCGAGGGGCAGACGCCTTCTCGTGCGACATACGCGTCGTGCGATTGTCCGAGTCGTCGTGGTCTTGACAAGTCCTGACGATATTTTGAGGCGATGGTCGTGCGACCAGCTCGATGGACGGACGACTATCTCGATCAAGAGCACTTGTTGGCCCTCAGGTTCGTCTGGATTGACGCCTCGCCGTCGCGCGAGCTGATCGCCCGTCTCAACAGAGAGTATCGATATTCTGCTGTCGATCTCTCGCCCGTCAGTCGGTATATCCTCAGACCGTGGTGGGAATGGGTAGCTGCTAGGATGCCGATATGGCTCGCGTAGGCTCTGAATGATGACTGAGCTCAGGATCGCTGACGATGCAGCAGGCCGAATGCAATTACACTCATTGGCTTCATGGCGATCGTCTTCAACGTCATCTGTGTCATCGTCTTCCTGCCGGATCTCGAAGGTCCTGCGCCTGCTATACTATACTTCAGGTACGCTGCATGTGACCGCGTGGAGTTTGAGAGCTTACGAACCCGCTGGTAGCTTTGCGGCTGGTCTCTTTTTCTATCAGGTCAGACGATGCTGGTGATCAGTATACATAGATGCTGATCTCTGAGTGATTTGCAGACGATGGACAGTACGCACTATCTTTGAGCGACGAAAGCAACAGGCTCATGGACCTGACAGATGTCGATGGCAAGCAAGCACGCAAGACGGGCACCTCTTCGCCCTTAGGCAAGCGCGCAACCAGCGCAAGAGACCCTCGCTGAGCGATACAGCAGGCGAACTCTTCGATCATGGCATAGACAGTCTCAATTGCGCATTAGGCGGCCTCGTGCAGGCTGCCGCGGTCGGTATGGGCCATACGCCTCTCGCGGCAGGCATGGTCGTGCTAGCATGCTGGCCAATGTATCTCGTGCGTCACCCCCTCAGCCAGAGGGCCCGCTTACCAGACTTGCAGAGCGCTTGGGAAGAATATCATACTGGCGTAAGTGCATCGTCGGACCCCACACACACGTCTGACCGAACAGCAGACACTGTATCTCGGCGTCATCAATGGACCTACAGAGGGATTGCTCCTCGCCATGGGAGTCATGCTGATCTCGGCTTTCCAAGGCAGGCTTGACATGTGACAACCATGGCATATATGCTGATTTGCAAGTTCGCTCGCGCAGGCCCTTGGTTCTGGCAGACGACTGCTGACGAGGCGCTACCGGGCTTCCTCTCGTCAATGGTCGGGGCTGACACGCGGCTCGAAGAAGTGTTCATGATCCTCGTCTTGTTAGCGCTCTTCGTCGGACACGCTCCAGCATGGTAAACATCCGGAATTTCATCGGCTATAGGGCTAATAGGCCCTGTCGCACAGTCTGTACAACGTCTACCAAGTCAGAAATAAGCACAATCTGCCCTACTTCGACGCAGTGTACCAAATCATGCCGATGCTGGTCTTTACCACGTCGAGCTTGCTCTGGATTATCTCGCCTTACTCGAGTCTGCTCGTCGACGAATATATGGTGGAATTTGCTCTACTACTTTGTCAGTCGCTCTGCTTGGGATGGCGTATGCCGCTGACAGCGACGATCAGGTCCAATCTTCGGGCAAATCTCAACAAAGATCATCCTTGCGCATCTCACCAAGGGCGAATTTCCAATGATTACGCCTGCGGTCTGGCCACTCGTTGCAGGCTGCATACTCGTCAACCTCCCCATATTGGGCCTGTGAGTCGTATCTAACGTGGCGTCTCGCGACTCATATAAGCTCATTCACAGCCCGGAATTATTCACGCCTATTCTTGAGCAGAGCTTCCTTCACATTGGCCTCGCAGTATCAGCATTGACGTACACACGATCCTCGCTAGAAATCGTGGACCGCTTCTGCAGCTTCTTAGAGATCAGTTGCCTCTCGATACCCTATCCCGGCAAACCTCCTGCGCAGCATAGAAGAGTCGCAACGATGGATCGTACCATTCACGTCCATGCGACCTAGTAGCCCCACACACTAGACATATTTGCTTGTATGTTTGTACAACGTGTAGCATGCATCAGCCTATGCGTAGACCTAGTGCAAGTCCCGCAAGGAAGGTCGCCCTTGGGCCGAAATCGGCAGTGAGAAAGTCGGCGAACCGATTGGCGATGCGTCCTAGCCGTGAGCCCGCCCAGCCTCGTGCCTGCACTGGGTTCGGACCACCGGCGGCGCGGTCGATGACGGAATTATAGCGCGTCGACATTCTGGCCCAGTCCATTTTGAGGAGCGACTGCGAACCCAGGTACTGCGTTACATCTCATGAGCATCATGTCGGGTTGAGTTTGATTATGTGCTCACTTGAGCCAGGACGAAGAGTCCGCCTAGAAAGAATGCGATGGTCTTGAGACCCTTCTTGATGAAGACGCCAGCACATATGCCGCAGACAGTCCCGAAGCCCAGCGAAGAGAGCTGTACTCGCTCTGGCTCATCCAAGCCGGAGCGAGATGAGACATAGGGCGCAGACAAGCTATCACATTTTATCCTCGATGGCGAGGTGTGAATGAGCAGACCGCCTAGCAGCACGGCAGACAGACCGAGTCCGACGCGTGAGTACGCAAGCGAGGGTGCAGCCCTCCATGAGCTAGCGACCAGACCTGACGATAGCGTCGAGTAAGAGGGCGAGGAGGTCCAAGTGGAGCGGGGTATCCACCGAGGCTGCTCTTGCAAAAAGCGAGATCGGCTCGCACTCGCTCGGGCAGATCTGTGCAGGAGGGTAGACAAAGTGCTGGGGGGAAGCGTCCGCTTTACACCACATTGGGCGATCAACATCTCCTCGCTCTGCCGATCTTTCCACGGACAAGCGCGTCAACTTACGAACAGACGCGAAGCCGCTCTGCGAGAGAGTTCTCGCTCGCAGATCCATTGTAGATCACAAAGGCGTGCAAGCAGCTCACTGCCCGTGGAGACGCTCGACATACGCTGCACCTCGTCGGCGTAGACCGAAGCAGAGACGCAGGAAGGGGCAAACGCGCAAGAAAGCGTGAGCAGGGCTGAGCGCAGTTCCGACATGCTCAGCGCAAAAGGAGCTTCGTGTCCAGTCTCGAATACGTACCGAATGCCATAGGTTGTCTCAACGACACGTCAGACATCCGCTTGAGACTTCTATCCGAGTGAGCAACGTCACATATCGCTCAACGCCAAGCATCAAACGCGCCGCAGACGATCAGTGCACGATAAGGCCGCGAGGATGTCGACGGCGATCAGCTCACGACCCACCAGACGACAGTCTATGATGGCCTTTGCACAGACTGGCTTAGATACGAGCAATGCGGGGCCAAGGCGCGGCTCGTCAGACAGCCAGGCTCCCTCCGAACCGACATCAAAGTCGACTCACCTTGCCAACGCTATAACCTCGCTCGAGCACTCTCATATAGTGCATCCAGAAGAGCTCAGTCCGACATCCTTTTCGAATGGGATGACAGGCGCGGTCGCGCCCAAATGCGGTGGCTGTCAACTCGCGCTTGAGGAGAATTCAGAAAACATCGTCGTCAGTTTCGGAGATGGCCTGTGGCATCTTGACTGGTTCGTCATTCCTTAAGCTCTCCGCGGATCTGTCTCACTGTATAGGCTATCTGTGCCGCTTGCGACGAGTAGCTTGTAAGTCTTGCGTATGCTCATGACGCGCCGTTGCTGAAAAGATAGCAGTCGATGCGCAAAATGCGGCAACCTGGTCGAACACGATACCAATCTTTTGCTGCTCTCAAACGGCTCGCCAGTGTATGTACTACTCTTGCGACGCCTTTGTGCTGTACTGAACCCTCGTAGATGCGAGAATTGCTCATACATCTGTTCCTTCTGCGGCCAAGGCATCTCGAACGAAGCTATCGTCACAGGTCCGTCTGGCAAAGAGTTTCAAAGGACGAGTGCTCACAATGAACTCGATATCATAGGTGATGATTCATATCACGCAGAATGCTTCAAATGCCGATCGTGCTCAAACAAGATCGAGGAACTCGTCTTTGCAAAGACATCGCAAGGCATCTACTGCATGTCCTGTCACAACGAACGCGTCTCTCGCAGTCGCAAGCATGCCGAACAAAAGCGCCAGCGTAATCTGCGCAGGCAATCTCAAAGTCTCGGACCGTCACGCGAGTCCACTTCTCAGCCAAAGTACAGCAGAACATATTCAGATCATTCCTCCGGTAGTAGCAGCCAGCCGAACTTGGCAGCTTTGACGTCCGAAGCGCCTTCGCCAAAGGTCAAGACGAAGTCATCTTTCAGCTCGAAGACGAACGGCGCACCGCAGTCAAGTCTGCGTCCTGTGCCCGGTTCGAGCGGCGACGAAGCGTCTTCGCCCGGCAGTGCATCATCGCATCGAGCCTTAGACCAGACAGGCAGATTTGTCCCACACTCAACGGGTAGCAATCATGCATGGCAAGCGAGGGACATCAGTACGTCTAGCCATAAGTATGCAACATCGGCCTCGCCGCAGCCTATCGAGCGCTCAGCCTATTTCACGTCAGCGAGCCCCGTCCAGAGCGCAATCGTCGAGGCGCATCAGAAGAGCCCACCAGCTCGCAATGCGTCGATGCCCAGTCCCGAAGTTCACGTCCGTTACTCGAGTATTGACGAAGAACAAGACAAGTTTGACCCGACTCAGCTGAGCGGCTACGGCAATCTGTTCGATCGTCGTGTGGATCAGGAAGAGACGCGCAACGCACTCGAGAATGGTCTGCAGTCCCCTACGCTATTGCAAGCCCAGGGATCGAGCAACAAAGCAAGTCGTCGTTCCGGCTTCTACGGGCATTTTCAGCCACCCACGACAGCCCAGACAGCTTCACAATCCTCGCAAGATGGCAACAACTCTGACAGCAAGTCGGCCGACGCAGCTAGCTCGCCTGCTCTGACTCCGCCGCCAAGGCCGAAGCGCTCGAGCCGAACCAATGTACTGCCAGAGTCAATGTCGTTCTACGATCCGGACATGCTTGTCTTCTTAGACGCTGTCCATTCACCCAATTCTCCCGCAAAGCAACGCATACCAAGTCAAAGCGGCGTGCCGAACGGTTTTGCGTTGCCACATCCCATTCCAGATAGTCCCACCTCCCCTACTCAAGCATCATCGGCTGGTCACGAGCGAGCCCCTGACCACGTAGAGCATCTCAGTCCAGACCCCGGCGCTGATGGCCTGTTTGGCGCTGCTAGCGGCGAGGACAGTGCAGACGGCGGCAAGCTTGGCTCAGATACCCTGACGAGACGAGTACGCGAGTCAATCAGAAGATCGCGCGGTAGCATGCGTACAGGTTCCGCGGAGATGTCGGTCGATGTGACGCTCGTAGAGATGCTCTTGACCGAGCTTGAGGCGACCAAAGAGAAAATGAAGGAGCTCAAGGCGAATTACGGTGCAATCCGTCGAGCCAGCCGAACAGCCTTCGAAGGCTTCAATCTGGCCCAAGAAGAGTACAACAAGGAAGTTTCAGCGCGCAGGGAAGCGCAAGCTCAGATGTCGCTCCTGAAAGAGGAGATGAAGAGTCAGGCAGCCCGACTGTTCAAGATAGACGAGGAACAGAAAGAGCGAGAAGCACTTCAGCGTCAATCGCGCGAGCTCCGTGTCGATGTTGAATCTGTCGAGCGTAAGCTGTCAAGCCTGCAGGCGGAGCGAGAGATTGCCGTTGCCGAGATCGAGGAACTACAGAGCGACAATGACAGGTAAGTGGTCTAGGGACTTTCCGCAGTGACGCTTAGGCCGTGTGACAGGCTGCAACTACCACAGGCCAAGGATCGTCTCGCATCATCCCTGAACGAGCGTCTGGATGAAGTTAAGAATCAACATCGCACAGAGGTGGCCGAACTCCGACTACAGCGTGACATACTGCAGCGCGAGATCGCTGAACTCGGCCAGACAAAAACCGCACTCGCGGAGCAGAACAACGATCTGCGAGCTAGGAACATGACCTTGCTCGAGGCGAACACTTCTGCTCAGCGACATCTCGATCAGGCTCAGACCACACTACGGCGCCTTCAGGATCAGGCCAGCACTGCTCAGCAGCAAAATGGAACGATCACGCCCAAGAATCGACACATCCTGGTACCTTCGATCAGCAGTGTATCTTCTGCCTCTACCGAAATGTCTCGAGATGGTACAATGGTCGTGAGCTCTGTGCAGACGATCGAACCTGTCACAGCAACCGCTCGCAAATTTAAGTGGGGCAAACACAAAGCAGGCGCAGACTCAAGGTCTCTGCCGGCAGGCATGCGCTTCAATTCTATTGAGGTTGGCCGACAACATACCTTGCAGCCTACCAGCATTCTCCGACCTGTCAAGTGCGAACACTGTTCGGATAAGATGTGGGGCCTCCAGGAGCTGCGATGCTCAGCTTGCGGAGTCTATTGCCATTCAAAATGCGCGCCCCATTACAACATTCTGTGCAATTCCGTGAGCGAGGAGCCGGGCGAGGCAAGCCCAGCGCCTGTACTGTTCGGCGGCGATTTAGTCGTCCAGGCAAGGAAGGATGGTAGCACTGTGCCCAAAGTCGTTAGTAGGTGTATCGAAGCGGTCGAGGCGATCGGCATGGACGTGGAGGGTATCTATCGCAAGACAGGCGGTAGCGGACTCGTCAAGCAGATCACCGCTGCATTTGAGCGAGGCGAAGATCCAGACTTGGCGAATCAAGATATCTTCCATGACGTCTCGGCCACCACTTCTGTCCTCAAGAACTACTTCCGCGCGTTGCCGAACCCGCTGTTCACGTTCGAGCTCAACGAGGAGATCCTCGCGACGACTGATATCCGGCCGCTCGATGCCAAATTAGAGGCACTCGGCAGGTTACTGCGCGCTCTACCGGAGCCTCACTTTGACACAGCGCAGATGCTCGTCATGCATTTACATCGGTTCGTTGCGTGCTTCACTTACTAATGTACGTGCTGATCATGTTGCTGAGATAGAGTGTATCAACAAGCGCAGCAGAACAAGATGACGCCACAGAATCTGGGCGTCGTGTTCGCACCAACGCTGCTTCGCTCGGAGGATCCGAACAAGGACTTTTCAGAGATGGGTCAAAAGTGTAAAGTGGTCGAGACCTTGGTTGAGCATGCTCCCAAGCTCTTTTCATGAGCATACGCACGCTTCTGTATTGTAGTGGTAGTAACATGATGCAACAACAGATACACAACATCTCGCAATTATGCGAGCTTGACCGCATCCGGATCGGGAGTGTCATCATTTCCATCAGAGGTGTCACAGCTAGACATTTCTTGGTAGACCCAGTCGGCCTTGTCGTCTACCATCTTGACAAACGATCTGCCGCATGCTACAAGCACGGTCACAAAGTCAGCTCCCTCTGAGGGTAGATTCGATCCGACATACCACAATTGTGCATGCAGTCTGTATAGTCGATTTTCGCCGCTTCGCCTGGATCGTTCGGCGAATACATGGGCAACACAAGGGATTCGACCATGCACGCGCACGATGCGAGCGATATTTCTTTGTTGATCTTCAACACTCTTGGTTTGCCTTGAGCGTTGACATACTGCACAAGACTGTATAGTCAGCCGTGCTTGCACTGATAGCCGGGCGAGCTCACTCTAATCTCGACTGCAATTTCGTGACGAACGTGAATGGGCGTCTTCGTACCCGCGTGTGTGGTTGGCCGGAGAGCATACTCCGAAGGGAGCCTGACCAGGTGTCTAGCGCTGAAGGGCCTGCCTTGCCGCAAGAATGTGAGACCACCGTGACTTGCAAGGCGTCGTTTCATCGCATCGGTGAGCTCGTCTAGATCTCTATCAAAGATGGGAACATGGTCCGGGTCTCGTGCCATTGATTTGCGCACTGCAGGAATGCCATGCCGATTGACAGCTTGCATTAGATGACAGACAAATTGATCGCCTGCGGGGCAATTGGCCGTTGTCTTGTTTGCAGGAGATTGTCTGGTAGCAGTGAGAGGAATGGGAACTGATTCGGCATCATCGCAATTCCGTTTGTGCTCGGAACCGTCGAGTAGAAGGAGCTGGCGACGCTGAACTGGACAATTGATGACAGGGTGTACGCCCTCGACAGGAGCCAGCGTGAAATGCTTGAGTGAAGTCAGAGTGGTATACTGATCGATGTAAAGGCCAATAGATTTGAGGGGTACGTCTGCCGGTGGATCTGGCATGTCGAGATAAAACAGCAAGAGGCCAGAGACAATGAAATGGTCTGTATTCAGGTAGATCGAGTAAGGGCCAAGTTCGTCCAAGAAGTCATCGACAGAGATCTTCAAGCCTGGCGGTGGTTCTCCTAGACCGGAAGGATTGACGACCAGTATGGGCCGCTGCTGGGCGACGAGATCCATTCCAAGTGTCCCCAGATGATGGGCAACTGCTTTGCAGTCTGACTTGATGCGGCAGTACTCGTCTCGGCCATATGATGGCAGGTGAGGCGGCAAGATGAAGACAAAGTCATACGTGTGCTCGCCCTTGACATGGAATTGGTTCTTGACGACTTGCAAGGTCTCCTCGAACACTGTGGCGCGTTCGGTCGCGCCTGCTCGGCAAATCAGACGTTGAGAGCGCAACAGACGAGGACATATGCTTACATCCTGGTGGATAGAGTTCTATGTCGTGAGTGAAAGTGACGTCCAGCGTGAGCTCTCTCGCTTTGGGCAGATAGACCGAGACTTGTCCGCGGAGCAGCGTCTCTTCCACCGGTCGTTGCTCGACGATTTGTACAACGGGATCTGAGGTCCGAGAGTTAGTATCGGACAGTATTTGCGGATTCTGCCGTACCTGAGGGCAGCAAGTAGACGAGCGGCGGACTAAGGCTCAGCTTGATCCGCGCAGAGTCGAAGAACATTTTCTGAGCGACCGTCATCCTGCGGACTCGCCTTTTGTAGACGGGTACGTTGGGCGGCCAGCGCCTCGGGTGACGATCTGCGAGGCTCGCTTGTTGCCTTGGACATCGGACTGGAGGTGACTCGAGCAATGTGATCGACGAGCAATGTGATCGACATCCGCTTTCCCACGTGGACAGGTTATAAACGGTGACTTCACCCGCAAGCTGCGCCGAGTCACCCGTCGATACTTGATCATGGTCTCGATGAGCGACATATGATCGTCGGAATCCCTAAGTACTACCCGCTGCAGTCGGGAGACGCCGCTGTAGACAAGTCACAGACGCCGATAGGACCGCGAAAGCAGCGTCAAGTGTACACCTACATTGCCGCGGCATCTGCAGTCCTGCTCACCGTCCTCGGGAGCTATCTTCTCTGGACGGCCGGCATGTCCAGCGCTTCATCCCCGGGAGCTCGCACTAGTCTGGAACGCTACCTTTCGCCTACAAGAGACGATGATGCCAGACATCTCGGCAATGTCACGCCCATCAATGTCTGGAGCCACAACGATGAATGGAGAGCTGATCCTCTCTTTGACGCTCTGCGACAAGGCTGTACCTTTGTCGAGGCCGATGTCTGGCTCGTTGATGGTCAAATCCTCGTCGGACACAACGCGGCTATGTTGACGCCAGGGCGCAGCCTGAGGAATCTCTATCTCGATCCTTTGCACAAGCTTGTCGCCCACATCAATGCGCGTGCAGCCCAAGGCAGCAGTGTCCAAGGTGTGTTTGCTATCGACGAGAACCAGCCGCTACATCTTTGCATCGATATTAAAGTTGGGCCCAATCAGACAGCCGGACAAGTCTTTCAGGCGCTGCAGAGTGAACTCAGATCTCTGCGAGAGGCAGGATACCTGACGACGTATGACACCCAGACGGAGACATGGTCACGGTCAGCCATCACGGTCGTAGGCACGGGCGCAACTCCAATGCAGGGCGTTCTCGAGATGACGCAGCGCGATATTTTCTTCGATGTCCCAATGAGCATGATCGCAGACAGTGCCACGATAGACAGCACTGTCAGTGTCACCTCGATCTCGGACTATCAGGAACATGTCAATTGGAACGGTCGTGAGCCTCACGGCCGTGAGAACGCAATACAAGTCGTCAAGAGTTTGATCAAAGATTCAAAGAAGAGCGGCATCCTCTCGCGCTTCTGGAACACACCCAGTTGGCCTATCGTGCGCCAGAAACCTTTTCTTGTGAGCCCTCGCTGACGCTGGGGCAGTATGCGCGCGATGCTGTCTGGCGAATGTTGCTCGACGCAGGCGTGGACGTACTGAACGCTGACGATCTTGTGGCGGCTGCTAGCTTTTGAACAGCCGCTCGACAACTGAAGTGCTCGTGTTGTCGCTGTATTCACGCTGTATGTTCAGTCGCAGAGGGCGCATCAACATGTGGTGCAGCTGTGGGGATGTGAGCACTTGAGTGTGTCTGCCCCGCGCGCCCTTGCCACACTAACATCCAAGACATGGCTCTTTCACCTCTGGGACGAGCGGTAGCACGTTCGTTCGACAAGATAGCACCACTCAGCTTAGCAGAGTCCTGGGACAATGTTGGCTGGCTTTTGCAAGCAGCAAGACCGAGAACAGGCCGGCCAGGCAGAACAGTCGTCTTGACTATCGACCTAACCACTGCAGTCTACCGCAACCTGCCTGAGGACACTGGCATCGTTGTAGCCTATCATCCTACGCTGTTCAGCAGTATCAAGCAGATTGGCATCGGCAACAATGCTCTACAAGCCAGCATCCTCGGACTCGCGCGAGACGGCATAAGCTTGTACAGTCCGCATACGTGCTTGGATGCAGCTGTCGGAGGCATCAACACATGGCTCGCGAGTGCGTTCGACAACGTCAGCGATGCCAAAGTGTGCAGGCCAGTCGCAAATCCTCCCGCACATCACGAGGGGGCAGGGCTGGGCAAGCAGGTTCAACTGAGCAGTGACGTCGAGCTCGACGAGGCAGTCAAGCGGATCAAATCGCATCTCAATCTCAAGACTGTCATGCTTGCTCGGTCAGATCAGCCCAGATCGCAGCGCGTGAGGAGTATAGCCATCTGTGCAGGAAGTGGCGGCAGCGTGATTGGCAACGCGGATGCTGATTTGCTCTGGACGGGCGAGATGTCCCATGTGCGTGTGACAGGCTGTGTCTTGTCTGTTCGCTGATTGGTGCACAGCACGAGATCCTTGCGGCTACCGCTCGTGGTACGCATGTCGTGCTTTGCAATCATTCTAACACAGTAAGTCGAGTTCGATCTGGCCAGACGTTGCTCACCTCTGGACATGGGCAGGAACGAGGCTATCTACACACTCTGAAGCGGAAGCTAGAAGAAGAGCTGTCCACAGACCCGCAAGCAGAATCAGAAGCCTGGCGCGTCATCATCGCTCAAGAAGACAGAGATCCCCTGGAGTTTGTCTGAGCTGCCTGACAATGCGCATATCGACTTGACGCTCTGTAGCGGCTGCTCGAGCGCACTACTTTGCTCGCTGCTGCTCGTCTACCCAGTGACGAAGCTGCTTCGCAGAATACTTTCAGCGTGGTCTCGTTGAGATGCTGCTCAGGAGCTCAGTCAAGTTTCGTCGACGAACCGAGGCACAAAGACAAATCAGCTTGGGGCGCTAGGGTGTCTCGTAGGCAGGGGAAGCGCGCCAGCGGAGACGGACAAAAAGCTCAAGATTGCATGTTGACATGGCACAGTCGAGTATTTCGAAGCTACATCGGTAATTGGCAAAACCGCTGCCCGATCGCGAACTTGAGTTGCTACAGGAAGGGCTAGCCTTGCGACTGAGCTCGCGTGGCTATCTGACCGTATCAGAGCGGCGCCGCCACAACAGTCTCAAGCATGAAGTAATCATGGATTGCTGAAGCTCGAGCTGCTACACTCCATGTCGATCGACTTCGGCCTGACTCGCTTCCGTTCTTGCCAAATGAGTCGACCCTCGGCCTCGAGGTGCACCTGTCCAGTGCTTTGATTGACCCGACCGTTGCCACTCATTGCGGCGACCTTGTACACGGACTGCCCGCAACCGATACCTGCCACATTGACCTAGCTGTATTGAATCGCTTCGGGGATCGCTTGTGACTGAGAAGCCTGCAGTTCTGGCATTAGACCGAAGCGGCGAGGTCGACTCTTGGTTCGGTGCCCCGAGGAAGTCCTCGATGATGCTGACAGTTGTCGCTCATTTACCGTGTCTGTATTGCTGCGTGAGCCCCATACGCACAACGTCGATCGCTATCTTTTAATCTCGTCTACAAAGTTTGTTGAGGCCGCATTGCGGGCAACTGCGAGCGATCGGATTTGTCTCGGCGCGATAGCAGCGCTTACGATGCGGCTAGATTGGAACAGAAGCATTGTGCTGAGAGTGGTTCGGACCGCGTAGGCAACGTCGTTGTATGATCCGCACAAAGACACAGCTAGCGCTGAGAGATAGCGCGGTCGCACGGAGAGGCCTCTGCGATTCGCAGGCCGAGACAGAAGCCCCAAAGCGCAGCATCAGTCGAGATCCAAAGTCCATGCTTTTAACCGATCCGATCGCATGTCACACTGTACGAGTTGCAACTATCTCGATGCCTATTTGGCAAGACAGGATGGCTGGTCGTGGAAGTAGCCCGGCCAAGCAAGCGACTTGATGTCGTCCTGCCAGATTGCGTCCTTCTGGCTAGGATCGCGTTGAGAATCGCAAGTCATGCCGTGGCTTTTCACACTAGAGCACACGTCAGCGGCGAAGACGTCGCGAGGCGCAACAGATTTACCCTACGCCGGCAATAGAGCTCGGTGCCAGGGCATAAACGAGGCGTTCGGGACACTGCCAGTGGATTCGCATGTTGACGTCAACATTATTCTTTGAGACTGATTGGGCAACAGTGTCAGTCGCTACTTTGGTTTTCCAGCTATAGACTTGCTCTGGTAGCTGTAAAAGTTGCCGCAGGTGGGGTGAAAGTTGTACGACGGGTCGATGATCCCGATTTCCTCAGTATCAACGTCGATATACATGGGTATACCGCGCGAGTCAGACTTCATCGTGAAGCCTGGATAGCGCGTCAAATGTGCTGAGTACAAGTCAAAGGGATCTACCCAGATAGAAGACCGCATCGTTGAGCAACGTCATCGCCATCACACAGTGTCTGCCTTGCCATGTGAGTCTTCATCTCTGATCACGAATGTGCTGACCAACCTGGTGAAAAAGATTTTGGGATCGCACGTTTGTGTGTTTCGGGCAAGAAGACCAAATTTAGGCTTGACGACCGCAGCTGTAGCGATGGAAGCAGACAGACACAGGCCGACCATGATGCAAACGAGACGCGCTGGGAACATCATGACTTCAGGCTGTGGAGCAGGCGCTGTTGTCGCTGCAATCTGATCGCACAAAAGGAGGCGCAAGCATGGACGCATTGATGAAGCAAGCAACGCATGGCGAGTCAAGGGACACTAGCAACGAGCTGTGAAGCGCAATAGCACCGGAACTCATTCCGCGACTATCGATTGTGCATGACTTCCAGCCTTTCGTTGGTTTCGCGATGCCAGCTGCGTATGGGCAAGCCTTTGAAGAAAGCTCTGTGCCTTAAGGCATGGATGAAGGTGCAGAATTTCAGAGCGACTGATCAGCTTTATGCAATTCGAAGGGTACTGTCGCGGCCCCGCCATCCCCGCTAGGGGCACAAGCTCCCCCTCGGAGGCCTCGCAGGCGCCAGCAAGACAGGACCGGCTGCAAGCTCAGTCAGTGTCTGACTTCGACAGCAGAAGTGCGACGCACCGACACTACAAAGCCGCTGCGCGAGACTCCGCGGACTCGAATCGCCCCAGTATTCGAGGACAGCAACATCCGAGATAGCTACTGACCCGCTCGGCATACCCGCTTCAGCTTCGCGCACCGTCTCTGTTCACTCTCTGTACGTGCCAAGATGAAGGGGCTCGGCAAGGCCATCGTGCGGTACGCGGTACATGTCCCTCGGCCGGTCACATGTGGCTAATAGCAAGGCGGTGCTTCCAGGACGCCGCACATGCTCACAAGCAAGGTGGGCATGGCAAGCAGTGAGTGTTCCAACCTTGCAGCTATCAGTACTTTCCGCTGACACAGACGCAATGCATCAGAGTCGAGCGACCCAGAGTACGTGGGCTGGTAGACCTGGCTCTTCCAAGCTGATGGGCGCTGTCCACAGATTCGATGACCTGAACAGACGCTTTACCGTCGTCGAGGGCAATGCGACTAAATTGCTCAAAGATGCGGAAGCCTATCGCTCCGCCGCAGCCTGTGCGTCGCCCCCTTGGTCGCATTCTGCTTGCCTGACGCGCAGACAGCCCTTATTGACAGCGCTGGCAACTTCTCGGGCAACTTCGCGGAGCTGTTTCAGCCCATCGGCGACGAATATGGACTTGATGCCAAATATCCAGACGGTGCGTCGCAGTCCTTGAGCGCCTTGCACGCGACTCACAATCCATAATCTCTCAGCGGTCGACACCATCAAGAACATATCAAGTTACCGTGGTGATATGGCAGCACTTAAGGAGGCAATACAACCCGAGCTCGAACTCATCGATGCTAGGATTATCATACCCGTCAAGGAGTATATTGAGCTCATAAAGAAGGCGCGAAAGGCCATCACAAAGGTACTCTCAAATCAGGCTACCAGAACGCTCGGGGCTGATGCTCCGGTGGACAGAGAGATCACAAGCTCATCGATTACGACCGGCACAACAACGCATATGTCAAGGCGCGTGACAAGAAGGAGAAATCGCTCAAGGAGGAGCAGAACCTCTTCAAGGCAGGTCGAATGCCCTAAAGGTGCTTCCATGCTGACATTGTCGCCCAGCTCGAGCAAAATCATGAGCAAGCATCGCAAGAATATGACTACCAGAACACGCTTCTCAAAACTGAATTGCCGAGGTCAGGCGCGACGAGGAGTCGGGGCTCAAGCTAATGCGTGCGCAGATTCATCGAGATCTCTTTAGCTTTCATCAAGCCTCTCTTCGAGAGTCTCTATTTCATGCAGTCAGTCGCCTTACTAAGCGAAGTGAGCGAACTCATGCGCAGACAGGCTCAACATATTCTACACGATGCACGAATCTCTGGAAGCGTACACGTCTGGCAAGATAGAGCACGTCAGCGATGTCGAGCACGCGTATACGGCCAAGCTGGGAGATGCAGGCGAAAAGGTCGCCGAGCTTTCCATAATCCGTCGAGTGGGAAGTACCCAGATGCTTCTTGCTCAACATCGGGGCGGGGCTGGTGCAGGCTCGAGCTTGAGCCCTTCAAGGTCGTCAACGCTTGCCAGTGCATCATCGACAACTTCGCCCACCCGGCCCTACGGTGCCAAACCAGTCTCGCCAGGCCTCAACAGAGCGACATCGGGCACCTACTCCGCGCCTCCTCCCTACACCGGTGGAGCGGTCGCTGCCGCCGGCAATGGAGTCGCAAAGAGGCCACCGCCACCTCCCCCGCCCAAGCCTGGCGCGCGCGTCACATACTGCACAGCGCTGTATGACTTTACAGCACAAGCTGCTGGCGATCTCTCCTTCAGTGAGCTTCTCGCTTCGAGATCGAGACGGCTGCTGATAGCTTTGCAGGTGCTGGCGATCGCATCGAGCTCGTCGAGCGCACGGCGAGCACAGAGGATTGGTGGAAAGGCAAGCTCAACGGCCAGTCGGGCAGCTTTCCAGGTGAGCCTATCTTCCTGTACTGGAGCGAGAGTCTGACCTGAGATGCGACGCAGGCAACTACGTCGAGATTGCACAGTAGAGCGTCACTGCCGTTGTACTTCTAGTCACTCATCGCGTTCTTGTCGTCTCCGGCCTTTCATTGAAACAGAGGAAGTACAACACGCTCCCACTCGTTTTCCCATTGACACCATCTTGCTTGCTCTGCTCCGTATCGTGAGTCTGTGATACCGGCTCGGAGAATGTCGAGCATCGATGGAAATTCTCTGAATTCTCGTAAAGCCGTCTGTTGGCGAGTCAGCACGGTCATCCACAGCGCCCGAGATACTGACAATGAATCTATCTGCAAGATCGAGAGCGTTGCAGGCGGTCAAGCCGTTCTTGCCATCCTGTACCAGTTCCGGCAGGCTGAATCGAGCGGGTCAATCGCCCAATATGCCGACAGGAGAGTCAGTCAGCTCACCTGTCAAAGTTCAGAGCGATGACGGGTAGTCGTGCACCGAACATATCCACCACTTTCATCGGAAGATCGAGCCCCGAGCTACTTGCGTGAAGACTGATCCCCAGATCAGCGGCGCCTGTTTACGTGTTAGCGGTCATCGTTTGCGCTGCAGATTGGCGAGCGCACCTAGTAAGAGTGGATAGTCTGAGCGCTCTAGCCAGGCTGTCTTGACGCGAACATGCCGCCAGTCTTCTTGCTTGGATTGCCGATCATATGCAAGCTCGAACGAAGCTTTGCCGGGTCCCTTGCCGGTGATGATGGCAAGCACATCCGGCAGGACTGTGACGGTCCGGTCGGTCTGTGCTTTCGAGTGCCGCACTGCTTTTTCGTAGTGAGATAGAGCATTCAGTAGCATTCCGAAATCTTCGTCTGGCGTCCAGGAGGTTGACGAGACGACAAGAGCAGGACTGCTGCCAGCCGGCAGATCTTGTAGCTCGCGCAGGACAGGCAAGCGCGAGATGAGCTGAGTATCGCGCAGCAACATACCTCAGCATTGACGACGTACCCACAAGCTCTCGGACGTACCTGTCGGCGTTCGCAAGCATCAAGCCGTTTGAATTCATCGCTCGGTCTGTCATAGAATGTCCGTTTGTCGCCCCTGCTGCGCGTTAGCAGCGATCTTGTAGCTCAGCGGCCAGCTTACTTCAGCTTCCATTGAGTGGATAAGACGGTGCGCATGTGGTCGGTCACAAAGAGATGGGCATCTGCCGATCTGCCAGCACGTGATTCGAGTGCGCCCGCTAATCTGACAATTGGGTTGCGGCTGCCCATACTCTGCGCGAGAATAGATGTCGAGGTATTGTGCCAGTCTATGCACAGCTTTGTGTTGGTCAGATAGCGAATGCATCGGACGAGCACGAGCGTGGGCAGCGATGGAGGAACTTGAACGAGCATCCATTGCTTGCACGGCACGGGCGCATTGTACTCTTGCTGATGATCTTCCTCGTCGTGCTCAGCCACCGAAAGCCGGTAGAGCTGCAGTCCAAGCTGCCAAGACAAATGCAGAACCTTGCTTGCGAGGACAAGGGCTCTAATGAGCAGATGAAGTCGCGCGAGCCTGATCACTTTGGTAGTCGTGCTTCGGGTATCGTTCAGCCAGCGGTCTGCCTTCCCCGTCTGAAGTGGTCGTAGAGGTCGCATATCCAATCTATGGGCGTATTTGGCTTGTAGCAAAGCATGATCATCCCCCAAAGGCGTGGTGTCGTAGCCGATCAAGGTAACAGCAAATTCTCGTCTCAGCAGCGAATTTGCATGGTAGGTCATCCGTGGTGATCGAGCAATATCGCCCAGAACGACAACAATGATCCTCCCCGCAGGTCTAGAAGTCCCACTGGCGGTTGTACGTGCTTGGCGAGCTGATCGAGTGCGATAGCTTGTTCGGTCAGGATAAAGGAAAGGCGAGCTTGACAGGCGACGATACAGCCATGCTAGCGAGAGCAGAGCTACGAGTGAGCAGATGGCGGCCGAGATGACTGCCATCTGCCACTGCAGCGAGCCTGAGCGGCCGGTCTTGTCGTCGACGAACGGATGACGAGCTGGCGAAGCAAGCAACGCGATTCGGCTTTGCTCGGCTTTGCGCTTGCGAATCCGAGCAAGCCAGTCAAGATGGCTTTTTTGCCGAGGCTAGCAGGTCAGTCGATCTGCATAGCACTCGAATCAGCGAATGCTGACGCTCTGGGACGACAGTGCCTGCGATCGGCGGCCTAGCACTCTTGCAGGCCTCTCTTTACGATGTACCTGGCGGTACTCGAGCGGTCATGTTCGATCGCTTCTCAGGTGTCAAAGAGACGGCAAGTCTGACAGCTCGTCACGGTGCTTACGCTCACTGACAAGCTGGACGGGTACTAGGCATCAGGAGAAGGAACACATTTCCTCGTGCCGTGGCTTCAGAGAGCGATCCTCTATGACATTCGCACCAAGCCTCGCAATATCTCTACTACGACAGGTTCCAAGGATCTTCAGATGGTCTCCTTGACCCTTCGTGTCCTCTCTCGACCCGATCTCGACAATTTGCCGACGATTTACAAGACCCTGGGTGGGTAGCATTGACGTGGCCGGCAAGAGAACTGCTGAAGGCTGCTGTCTCTCAGGCATGGATTACGATGAACGTATTCTGCCCAGCATCGGCAACGAGATCCTCAAGGCCACCGTTGCTCAATTTGATGCTGCCGAACTGATCACACAGCGAGAGGTCGTACGTCGCGCCCCTTGCTTCATCTCGACCAGGCTAACATCGAAAGCAGGTCTCGTCGAGAATAAGAGAGGACTTGCTCAAGCGTGCCTCTGAATTCAATATCGTTCTCGAAGACGTCTCTATCGTGAGTCTCTTCGCCTAAGTCACTGCTTCAAGAGCTCAGATTGGAAACTATCTCGCAGACGCACATGACATTCGGCGCAGAGTTCACAAAGGCTGTCGAGCAGAAGCAGGTCGCCCAACAAGGTCTGCCCATGTCAGTCGGCTCGCAGCCCAACCATGCTTACCATTTCTGGATCTCACAGAGGCTGAACGCGCCAAATTTGTTGTCGAACGATCAGAGCAAGAACGACAGGCTGCCGTCATCCGCAGTGAAGGCGAATCAGAGGTAAGCCATCTTCCCAAGTTTCTGTAGGTCTGGTGCTGACTTTTGCACAGGCTGCCACAATCATCTCAAAGTCGCTCGAACGCGCAGGTGAAGGCATGGTGCAGCTCCGACGCATCGAGGCTTCTAGGTAGGCTTTGCTCGCTTTGACCAATCTCTCTTGCAAACTCTGACACATCTCACAGGGACATTGCCAGCACGCTGGCCAAGTCAAGAGGCAACGTCCAATACATTCCGAGCGGAGGAGGCAATGTGCTCATTCAAGTGCCGCCCCAATAAACGACTACCCCTCGCGAACTATTGTACCGCCTATGTCATACCACTGACGCTCGAGACTTTGCGGACTGTAGGCAAAGCTGAGCAATCCTGCTATGCAGCGGCCGCCAATACCAATCATTTCTCGAATATGGCCAAGTGATTGCGTGGCAAAGAGGGGTGGCGCTAACGGGGAGTTCCGATCGCTGAATTACATAAGCTTATTTTTGCTTCTTGCCGCCAATCGTATATAAACTCTCGCGTCTGAATTTTCGCCCGGCCTTTGTGCGTGCGCGAAAATAAAGAGCACCCGGTGATGGACGTGGCAGACACGAACGGTGCGTCATACAGTGCGAAGCTCCACTGGAGCAATACTGACATGGCCAGTACATGATTGCAGGTCTGACAGCGACTACGCAAGCGGCCTCTGAGCCCGCTCCTGTCGCCGTCAACGGTCTGTCACACGACTCGGCTGCTGGGAGTATAGGAAAGCAGGAAGAGCTAGATGGGATAGCTACCAGCGACTCTGTCTCATTGGGCATCGACTCAGCCGCGGTTGATGTGAAGGCATCTGCCACGCATCAGGACACATTCAGTCCACCGCCCGTACACGAGCTCAAGGCTGATGCAATTCCACCGCCTGCTGCTATCGTCCAGCAAGGGCCGAACGGACACGATGCCGTCTTGTCTTCGGAGCTCACCGCAGAGTCAACTCCGCAAGCGACCGCGACCGAGCCACCGACGAGCAATGGGATAGCATCGCACGACTCGATCATGGCAGAGTCCAGTGCGAACAGCCAGGCAGCATTGTCGAGCGATCCAGTGTCAGCGCCGCTTGATCCTTTACCAGCAAGTGCGCCCTTGCCCTCAGCGCCAGAGCCAGGCCATGCTCCCGTGCCCGCGCCAGTCCAACCCTCCTCCGCCCCTTTGCCAGCAGCAACCGCGACAGCGCCCCCCGTACCAAGCATACCTGGCGTCGTTGTCCCAGAAACCTTTGTTGCGCCCTCTGCGATGCCAAGGACAGGAGGACCGCTTCCTCAGGCACAACACAAGTTTTGCTTGGCGACGGTACGCAATCTCAAGCGAAACAGGGAAGCGCCCGCTTTTTGCAATCCAGTCGATCCAATCGTGCTTGGGATACCAGCCTACTTTGCATACATTCGCAATCCGATGGATCTGTCCACAGTCGAGAAGCATCTCATCGCAAACGAGTATGCCTCAGTAGAGGAATTCAGGTCAGAGGTCAAGCTCGTGTTTGATAATTGCTGCGCCTTCAATCGTGAGGAATCACCAATCGGTCTGATGGCTCGCCGGCTGGAGGGGGCCTTCAATAAGACGATGCTCAAATGTCCGCCAGCTTTGCCAGCTCCTCAGCCAATCGCATCTACGTCTGCATTGCCATCGACACCAACGTCTGTCCAACCAACAGCGCTCGAGCTCGATCCCGCTGCCTATCAGACACCGGCAGCGCTCGTCGACTCGTCTGCGCCCGATTCTGCTGGCATAAAGCGCGATCGCCGCCCGTCTGTCTCTATGGTGCCTAATATTCGTCGCAACTCAGCCGATGGCCGCAGCAAACGAGAGATTCGACCGCCTTCGCAGTATGATCTTGAGGACAGTCTGACAGCTTCAGGCAAGCGCAAGGGCAAGAAGCGCAAGTTTGGCAGCAGCAGCAAGAGTATTCAGGAAGGTCTCAAGTTCTGCAAGGATATCATTCGTGACGTCCAGAAGCATCGCTACTCCGAGTTCACTTATCCATTTCTTGCACCTGTTGGTCAGTTAATCATCTCGAGACTTTTGGTCGAGGCTGATGACGGTAGGCAGACTGGCAAGCGCTCAACATTCCAGATTATCCCAACGTGGTTCAGCATCCGATGGATCTCGGCACGATGAAGCGACGTCTGGACGCCGGCTACTACAACCATGCATCGGAATTCGAAGCCGACTTCCGCTTGGTCATCGAGAATTGCTACAAGTTCAACCCAGTCGAGACGCCTGTCCATCAGATGGGTCGCAAGCTCGAGGCGTTCTTCGAAAACCGTTGGCGAGACAAGCCTGCGTCTCGGCCTGAAACAGAAGAGCCGGACTCTGATTACGAAAGCGACCCGGAAAAGCGATCAAAGATCTTGGCAATCGAACGACAAATTGCGGACTTGCAGAATACCCTGGCAGAATTGAAAGAACCTGCTAAGAAGAAGGCCAAGTCGAGTAGGCCGTCTTATGGCTCTACGAAGAAGTCGAAGAGCTACAGCAAGTCGGGTAAACCGAAGACGGGCCAGAAGGGCAAGGCTTCCGACGGGGACGACGATGGCGGAATCACGTTCGAGATGAAGCGCGAGCTTGCCAATAAGATCACGACCTTTGAGGGCGCCAAGCTCGAGCAAGCTATCGACATCATCCGCAGTGCTGAACCTCACCTCCTGGGTGTAAGTACTTTCGAAATGTCATCCCGAACTGCGCTGACTAGGTCATGTAGGACGAGTCAAAGGAAATCGAGCTCGACATTGATGCACTCGATCCGCAGACTTTGCTCAAGCTCTACCAGTTTGTCGTCAAGCCGAAGAAGACTCGTCAGCCTTCAGCACATACGGCAGCAGCACGACAGATGGACGAGGCAACAGAGAAGCGAAAGATCGAAGCACTTCAGAACAAGCTGGCAGAGATCAGTGGGGTCAAGAAGGGACCTGCCTCGTCGTCTGCTTCCGACTCGAGTGATAATGACTCGGACAGCGGAAGCGACTAATCTTGACTCATCGCGTGATGTGTTCGTCTGTAGCTCGAGCATCTCAATGCAAGCTCTTTTGCCTCATCTTCCACTTGTCTTTGCGCTTAGTGCGGGCTCCTGGTGGCGATTACATTTGACGCGTCTTGAAAGCGATGAGACAGAGCGCGAACCTTGAAAGCTTGGTCGACATCAGTCTCTCTCTCAATATGGTCAAGGCAATCGCAGTTCTCAAGGGCAAGTCGATCTCATGAGCTGCTTGTAGCTCATCTGCGCTCACGTACGAAGCCTCGCAACTCGCCCGTCTGCTGCTAGAGCGGTGGCTCTACTCCGAGGCAATATGCTGACTGGCTCGTGTCTTGTCTTGCAGGTGATAGCAAGGTTTCTGGCGTGGTCTATTTCGAGCAATCGGACGAGAACTCGCCTGTCAAGGTGACCGGCGAGATCGCAGGCAACGATGCCAATGCCGAGAGAGGATTCCACATCCAGTACGTCTCAGCCTGGACCCGCGCTCCTTATTGCTGATGACGCTATGACGACAGTGCGTTCGGCGACAACAGCAACGGTTGCGTATCGTGCGTGCACGTTCGCTGTGGGCAGGCTTCAGCGGGCTCATGAGGATGCTCGCCTGTGCAGAGCAGGACCTCACTTCAACCCGCACAATAAGAAGCATGGCGGCCCAGAGGGCTCGGAGCGCCATGTCGGTGATCTTGGCAAGTCACAGCCCCTCAGTGCGTGAGTTTTTGCTGACGCGCAGCATGGCTGGTAGGAAATGTCAAGTCGGACGGCTCTGGCGTAGTCAACGTGAGCCTCTACCGCACTATTTTGTATTCCTGGAGCTTACATCTGATGCGCAGCTGAACCTTTCAGACAAACACATCTCGCTCATTGGACCTCAGTCCATCATTGGACGCACAGTGGTCATGTGAGGCTTGTAGCATTCAGCTACCTGACATACTGACTTTTGCATTGCAGTCATGCAAGTCTGACTTGTCACTTGCCGATCCTGCCTAATTGATGCATTCACAGGCTGGCACGGATGACCTGGGCAAGGGAGGCAATGAAGAATCTTTCAAGACCGGCAATGCTGGCGGTCGTAACGCCTGCGGTGTCATCGGCATCCAAGCCAACATGTGCGTCCGATGAAGCCTCACTGGATCGCAGCTGATGTCGGGCGTAGGTGATCTGAACACAATCCACCCTGCCTGCAGTGGAATGCATATGAACTTGCTTTTCTCAAGTGCGGAGCATTTCTCGCGAGACTATGGGGAAAGTGCCCGGCGATCGCTTTTGATATTTTCGCGATGTCAAGTGGCGGTGCCCTTGTTTTTCGCGTCGCAACGCCCTACTTTTTCGGTCATTCGATAGAACAATCACAAGCAGGTCAAGGCTCGCTCAGGCACGACAGTCGTGTCGCACACTCACAACATAAGCCATCAAGATGGTCGTGGCAAGGAGATCATCGGTACAGAGGCGCAATAACAGAACTCGCTGTTGGGTCATCAGTCTACTGACGCTCGCCCTCATTGTTGCCGTCGGACTTGGCGTTGGCTTGGGCGTTGGTCTGACGAGAAACAAGAATTCTTCGACGCAGTCTATCAGCTCGGCCAACGATGCCTCTGGCGGATCATCAAGTTCATCCTCAGGCACCAGAACCTCGAGCTCGGGATCATCCTCTTCGTCCAGTGCTAGCTCGTCTGCAGCATCTGCTTCCGCCACACCTGCACATGTCGACGGTCAGCTCAACATTACGGTGCCTGACTTGGCACGATGGGACTGGCTCTCGCCGACGAACAAGATGCTTGGCGTTGCGCTTGGCAATTGGCTCGTAATGGAGAGATGGATGAATGAGCAAGCTTTCGTCAATACGTTCGGTGCCAATGCTTGGGACGAATGGGATGCCTCCCAAGTCTCCAATGCGTCTGCTATCTTCCTTGAGCACTGGAACACTTGGGTCACCGAAGACGATATCGAGACGCTGAGCCAGAACGGTATCAACACTGTATGTAGCATCATACGACTCCCGAGTGAAATCGCTGATCTCATTGATGATAGGTCCGCATTCCGGTTGGATTCTGGGCTTTGATTCCTACCGTTGCTGGCGAGCCTTACCTGTCCATGGCAGGCCAGCTTGATCAGATCAACCGCATTCTCGGATATCTATACGCACGCAAGATGTACGCCATCATTGACTTGCACGGCATGCCAGGCGCACAAACTACAGATCAGTACTCTGGCCACAACAACACCAATCCAACCTTCTGGCACCCAGACGAGCAGATCCGAGGCGATCAGACCGTTGCTGCTGCTCAGGCATTCATCATCAACAACCCCTACCGAAGCATCATCTCCGCTCTAGCAGTCTGCAATGAACCGAGACCCTATTCACAAGCCAACTTCGAGATTCTCAAGGGCTTTTACGAAAGATCCTATGCGACGCTTTCTACTGGTTCTTACCCTATTCCTATGCAATGTAGGCGCGGTTTGTCAGACGTTTGCTTGACTTGCTGACTCGTGTCGGCAGTCCACCATGGTTTCGTTGATACCGAGAATCACTTGGTCTATTGGCAGCCATTCGTCAACGGCAAAGATCCCTCACTGTTGATGCTCGAAGACCACCCATATCCGTGCGTTCCTGTAGATATCTGCTTGACCCATCTGACCCTTGATCCGGACAGTGGCAACTTCCCGTTGCAGAATGATACGACAGACATCATCGCGCAGGTCTGCAATGACGCAAAGGGCTACGTTGGCTACCCCGTCCCAGTCGCTGTGACCGAATGGTCACTCACCAGCGGGGTCACGACCAGCTCCTTCGAGACTCAATTCTACGAGGCGCAAGCCAGCGCGTGGGCTTGGTCGGGCGGGTCGGTCTTCTGGTCGTTGCGCACGGTATCGCCACAACTCGATGGTACAGACATCAGCCAATACAGCTTCCTCACCATGCTCGCAAATGGTGCGATACCCGCTGTCAATGGACAGTCGACGCAAGCGTACATAGCGTCTTTCAACGCACCTTGTGGTGCTGATCCCAACGAAGCTTGGTCGTTGGCCGGCAATCAGAACGCAACGGCAGCTGCGATTGCGGCGGCCGACCCAGGTTTGACGACCGATGCACCCGTTGTGTCTGCATCTGCCGCTGCCAAGAAGCGTCGCAGCTTCAGCTAGATCGGCGAACACGGATACCACATAGAACGTTGAGCCAGATACAAGGTGTATAGAAGTACAAGGGCAGATCGATGGACATTCGCATTTCAGCGCTAGCGCGCTCGTACTTTGTATCTTGTCACACGGGTCACATGCATTCTGTAAAATTACTTGCGGGTCATATACGGGCTGGCAACGTGTGGTGCGGCCGCTATGGTAAGCCTGATCCTGCATTGGTCGAGTTGGCGACTTGGGACGTGTTCGGCCGGTTCTCGGCGTATCGAGCGTAGGAGTCCAGGTAGAGTTTCTCGCTCGAGCAAGTGGCAAGCACGCTCTTGTGCGATAGCAGTCGATCCAGCCAGCTCTTGGCAGCGTCGTCGCAAGGCAATGTAAAGTCGCGGTAGTGCTTCATCACGTTCGTACAGCGGAACACCCCTGCGTCGAGGTCAGCTCGATCTTGATCTATACAGGCGAGCCTACAGGGTACAATATGAACATCGACGTAGCCGAGCGTGCCATTGGGTGCATAGAGACCGACTGCGCTCATGTCTGGCTTTGTCATTGCGTCTTGCTCGTCTTTGTAGGCTTTGGCGAGCATGCTCGTCAGCTTCTCGAAAGCTTCAGAGAGTGCCTTTCTGCCCTCGGTCTGCTTCTCTGGCTCTTGGGCTTGCAGTGCACGATAGAAAGCAGGTATGAAGTGCCTGTTGACTTGGTCGGCTGCAAATCTCGCCACAGAGCGCTGATAGAGCACATCGTTGATCGAGTGCGCGTTGAGTAGAGCCGGCAGCAGAGTCGGCTTGCCTGCAGCTGCCGCTGTCTCCTCAAAGTAGTCAAGAATGACTGTCGATTCGGCAATGCCACGAGGTGGTCCGTCGGGCTCGTTCAACCGTACAGCAGGTACAAGCCCTCTCGGACTGACTTGCATGAGCTCGTCCGGCTTCGCATAGACGTCGACCTCCGTCAGGTGGTACGGCAGGCCAGAGTGCTCGAGCGAGACCCAGGCACGTTGCACGAAAGGACAGAAGGGCGACGAGAAGAGGGTGATGTACTCTGCGCCAGAGTGTGATTTGGCAGTCTGAGCAGCTTGGCCGTCGGCGAATCGGTGATAGTCTACTTGGCCCTCTTTGGCGACCGAAAATCGCTGTTGCGCCGACATGCAACGCAGCTGCTGGCGATTCGCGTGGAGGAGATGGCGTGCTGAGCGAACAACCGTGCTGGCTACACCTCCACGCCCTGCCAATCATCCTGGCACGCAATTTCCCCGTTGATGGCGCGCGTAGCCTTCCGTGTCAAGTCGCTCGTGTTGCACGCCGTCTCGGAGCCAGTGTAGGCTGCATTCGCATGAGCTAGTCCGGACGCTGAGCCGACGGATCTGATCTTGGCTGTCGAGACACTCATCGACGAGGGCGCCTGGCCCTTGACGCAAGACAGGGTACCTTGCGTTGCTTGGCGACTTGTCGACCACGCTCTCTGCATTCTGTTCCTGACCGATAGCCGCGAAGCCATACGGCTAGCAGCAGGTACGAGCTCGAAGCGTAGGTCGAGGATGCAGAGCTGAGCGAGTGTCGCGACAGCAGCGGCCACGAGAGACAGCTCGAGCTGAGCTACGACCCATAGCGATGAAGCGGCATCATCCGAATGCGCAGGATGGGCAACCAGCAGCCAATGGGACAGGACCTATCTCCTCTAGTCCACTGACACGACAGCTCAGCCAGGCCACGGGATCGGGCTCCTCTGGCCTCGTGAGCCACGCTGCAGCTCAACCTAGTAGCAACGGCAGCAGTGCAGACGACTCGGCAGGCGAGAGCACGGTCTCGAGCCCGCCCCTCATGTCTGCATCCTCTTCAAAGCAAGCGATGAACGGTACGCATGCGTATGCGCAGTATTACAACGCGCACAGTGAATACGGTCATTCGGGCGAATCGCATTCGAGGGTACCATCCGGCCTGGCCAGTAGTACTTCGAGCGCTGCCAGCTCCGTCGGCGATGTATCAGGCTACGGCTCAGACGGGCGCCACAGCTTCCAGGCAGATTCTAGCCTGTTCAGCGTTGGCTCGAGCAGCAAACTCTATCCACATCAGCCGTACGGATCAAGGCCGCCCAGCCCGCCCATGGGTCACTCAGCCCTCGACGTTCCTCTTAGCTCCAGCGTATCGCGGAGCAGTCGTCACTCGATGAACGGAAGTTCACGAAAAGCTGGTTTATTGGACGATGTGGGTCCGAGAGCGAGGCTAGCGACGTCCGTCTCGAGTGCGCCAACAGGCGTTTTTGCCCTGCTCACTCGATCTCTGCATCCTTACGTTCTGCCGGCCTATATTCCTGTGCCGTTCACACAGCAACGAAGAGTTCTGAAGCTCTTGTTGCCCGCGCCACTCGCACGGGCGACGCTCCGCATGTCAGGTGGCGGAGCGCGGAAGGACAGTATGAACAAGGACTACCTGCATCATCGACCATTTGCAGCCAATGGAGGCCCCGTCTATCCTCGAACGCCTCGACAACGATTAATAGCCCGGCTGAAATCCTGGGCCTACATCATTCTGATCATCCTGCTGCTCGTCTTCTTCATCAAGCGGTTACGCTCGTCTCATCGATTCCAGAACATGAATCTGCCCTTCCAAGGCGAGCCCTCTACGCTAGTGATGGACAGGCAAGACATTGCGCGAATCTGGGCGTGGGAGATCCAGAAAGGACAATACCCTTCCAGGCGAAGGATGCCGCCTTTCGTGGCGCTTGCGCTAGCCAATACATCTGTCGTCGTTGCTGGCGCTGCTCACGCTCAGGCGCAAAGACTCACCAATCCGAGTCTGCCCCGTGTCATCAACGATGACGATGCATTCGGCTCCCGATCAAAGGACAATTCAGTGCAGACTTCAGACGTCAACAGAACACCTCAGAAGATTGTCGAGCATCACAGTATACAGCCCGTAGGCCCGACGCGCCAGTATATCGATATTGTCACCTCGGCACAAGAGAAGAAGTCTCTGTTAGCCTCGGCTTATCCGCCCAGACCTACCTTAGACAGCATCCTCGATCTCGATATCGTCATGGATTACTGTGACTTCTCAACGAATCAATACGTCCGTGACTGTCTAGAGATATTGCGGGCGGGCGGTCAACTTGATCCACACAAGCAAATACGAAGAGGTCAAGCGAAAGCATGGCGTCATATTTACACGGAAGAGGCGGATCTCGAGCAAGAGCTTACAGATGCTCTTGATGAGCATGACGATCGCGAATCGGCAGAGACGTATGAGCCGGACGATATCATGGCTTCGCTCGGTCACATTGCCCCCTTCTCGCATACCTCTATCACTCGGTTAAAGCGGCCGCTAGCCAAAGATACTGATGCGCCGGTCGAGCTACCGCGGCATCCGAAGCGACGGCGTGTTGGTTTTGGCATTGATGCGAAACCGCATCCGACGCATCCTACTGCTGACCCTATGTGTGATCCCGATAATCCGCGCATCTTTCATGCAAGTATCTGCAGACTACCTTTCTACTCCGGCTGACATTATAATCTTGATAGGTCTTCTGGGCTGGACCTTTCACAGACAAGCCTTATGCAGCACTACTGAGCTTCCTCTTCACCCAGAATCTCGGCCTTCACATACCGCATCCCTCGTCGGCAAAGTATCGCTCAGACGAAGAGAAGTATGCGCACGAGCGAGAAGACTTTTTGAGCCGAGTGTGCAGACCGCAGATGTGGATCTGGATCAATCCCGGCCCCGCTGCTTCCGTGCCCAATCCAGCTGCAAAGTCGCAAATGCTCGCTTCGTTGAAGAGCAACCCTTGGTCGGCGCCCTTCTTGCATCCGCGCTTCAGCGATGTCATCCGATTCCAGCTATGGAACACAACCGAGCAGCTTGACGGCATTCCAGAGCTGAGAAGCAGCTGGCGACGGCTTCAGCTGTTCAATTCGGGCGGCGTCAAGTATGGCTCTTCTCCCACGACGCCAGAAAAGGTCGCAGTCCAAGAAGAGGACGAGGCGGACGCAGTGATCGACGTCAAGATGAGCGATCGCGAGGATGTCCAAGAGGGGGAAGATGTCCAGGTCGAGTACAAAGACAATACGACGAGTGGTGCGAGCTCTAAGATTGCTGTCAAAAAGTCTGGCGAAGATGAGCTCTTTGAGCGATTGGGATCTGCTTCGTCGAGCGACTATGATCGTCTGACGGTCGTCTTGTCCGACATGGCTCGATTCGTGCTCTGTCATCGATTTGGCGGCGTCTATCTCGACGCCGATACGCTGCTGCTCCGCGACTGGGAGGAGATCTGGGGATGGCGAGGCAACTTTGCGTATCGATGGAGCCGGCTGGAAAAATACAATACGGCAGTGCTCAAGCTAGGGCGCAATAGCGCTTTGGGCAGCTTCTTGTTCAAGAGCGCACTTGCCAACGGACTCGATTTCCATCCAATGACGATCTCTCGCTACACAAAAGATGCAAGCGTCGAGGAGCTTTTGCTGCGTTTGCCGGACGCTCTCTTTGATCCTGCTTGGGTACGTATCGGTGGACTAGAGCAAAGATAGCTGGCTGATCGGTCGCGGGCCTTTAGCTCAACACCGAATACTTCCAGCGAGATCGACCAGTCTTTCCTTACCTCAAGCGGTTTGAGGAATTCTTCGGTGAGTCTTCCTGCTTACCTTGCATGAACGGACTGAGCAGCAGTCGCAGATCCGCCCAAGGACTCAAACGCTGCGCCAATCATCGTTGGATTCGACGGCTTCTTCAGAGGCGCCTACTCGTCACATTACCATAACTTTGTGCGTCTCATCTCCCGTCGGCTCGCATATCGCTGACATTCGAGCAGTGGTGGCTGCCGTTTGATGCTAGCAGGAATTGGCCTGATCTCGGCGCCCGCTTCCGATCGAGCGAGCGGAGCGCTCGCGAAAAAGCACTGGCAGCGAGGAAAGCATCGGTAGCAGGCCAAGATGTCAAGCCGGGCGCAGTCAACTCGAGTCTGACACCGCCGACGTTTACAGAGCAGGAGCTTTACGATGATGATGTGACCAAAGATGATCGCGATCTCAGCTGGTCGGCAGTCATCAAGCGAACGTTTGAAGCGTTCGTGAGGGGCGACAGGCCGTCTGCGTACGGCGAATACCTGAATTGGGGCGACAACGAAGATCTCGACGACGAATAATACCCTACCCTCTGTGATTAGCAGTGTACTCTACTCCTCTCGCACGCAAAATGAGGTTGTAATGCAATCGGGTACTGTCTGTGTGCAAACATTAGGCCGTCTTGCCTTGATGTTGCTGCTGCAACTGATACAGAGCTGTCGCATAGCCGGCAGCATACCATGCTTGGTTCATGGCTTGCAGATAAGGATCGACTGCAGCAGGCTGCGCTGGCGCCGGCGGCACAGGTCGTGTCGCCTCTGGCTTGGCGACCCCAGGTGAGCGTTTGCGCTTTGTGCTCGGTTGCGTCGGTGGAGTGGCAGCGCTGGGCATCTCTGATGTCGCGACACTTGTCGGCTTCGAAGTCGCAGCGTTGTCTGAATCTGACTCTGAGTCTGATGCGCTGCTGCTCAAACTGTCACTGCTGCTGCTGCTACTGCTACTGCTACTGCTACTGCTACTGCTACTGCTACCACTGTTTTCGCTGCTGCTGCTGCTGCTGCTGCTGACCGTGCCCTGCTGCTCTTGCTCTGTGGGTTTCTCTTGTTCCTGCGGGTCTTGTTCCTCGACCATCTCCTCATCCTCATACTCCTCTTCTACCTCGTCTCCCTCTTTTCTGCCAGCGTCTTCCTCTCCCCAGTAGTCTGCATCATCCCAGTCCATGTTGGCCAGATCGTCCATGATGAGCTTCATCTTGCCCTTTTCGACCGTCTTGGACTCTTTTGCAGCTTTCTCAGCTTCATCGAGCGCCTTGAGTTGCTCGAGATCGGCAGCATCCATGAACCACCTGTTCGGCTGAGTCAAGAGCACTCAAGCACAGCAGAGAAGGGGACTGACAAGGATGAGATCTGTCGTTGTTGGCTCGGTGAGAGGTTGCGCACGTCGGGCAGCTTGCTCGTCGAAGCGACAGGATGGTGAGAATGGTACTCGTCCAGCGAGGCTAGCCAGCATGCTTGGATCGAGCTCGGATCATGCTCGCGCTCCCTGACGGCGGACCACGACATCGTCGACGAGGTGCAAGACAGAGTCCTCGTCGTCGCGTAAATCTGCGGAGCGAGTCATGGCGACGATGACGTCTTCACTCCTCGTCTCGCTCGGCTCGGCTGGGCATCACATCATCGCACGAACATTCTCTCAGTAGTCGCTGATCTCGGGAAATCAGTGCCTCGACGGCTCGGCTTGTCGGCCAATGGGGACCCGCGAAAGCAACGGGAACCGCAATCGTCATGCAGTCATGGCAAGATGACTGAAACTCTTGCTCGACATTTATTCTGGAACTTCACGCACCGGCACTACATGCCTATCAGTGACGTAGTCGATCGTTGAAGCCTGCCTCTACGCCGCCTCTTATCGCGCGCCAAAGCGTGCTCCTCATCGATATCTAAATCTATCGACGCAGAACCGGTCATCGCGATCATGTTGCTGTTCGGTCTTTTCATCTCGCTGATTTTCACACGCGCTGGTGCGCCCCTTCCGAGCGATCATCAAGTCTACTTGCCAGTTTTTGAGGGTCGAGCGCGTTGCACGATCCCCTGGACTCAGAGCCACGAATTTCCTGACGGGATGTCTTATCAATTCTCCTCACATCTTACCCGAGTTCAGGTCGATCTCTCTCCAACAGCATATGCACTCGGCTGGCGATGCGTCAGTCCTTTGCTGCACTGCGCACAGTATCGTCAATCATCTCATCATCCTGAGGCAGGAACCGCTGCCCAGTGACAGACGACCGGGTACCGAAGCCAAATGTCAGCCTGTCCAGATTGTACGAACGCCCGACCGTGCAGATATCGCTTTCGATCTCATCATTCCAGGATTTCCAGAGGTCCCGCCTGGTCTGACACTGCGCGCCTGAGCGAATTCGCAGACTGAATCTATTGGCCAGCAGGCGAAGGCATGCCCGAGATGTACCAGTGCTGTAGACCTCAGGCGATCCAAGCAATCATAGTAGGCTGGCCTGATCGACTCATTACCGAAGGACCGTGTCGATATGAGTTACTATGCGAAGCCACCTCACCGCCTGGCATGCCTCCCAAGCCAGACTTTTGCGCACTATTCTACGCACCGCCAGGCAAGTCTTTCGTGTTTGCTGCTACGAATACAACGCTCACACAGGTCCGTACAGTCAGATACCGTTGCGAGAGTCAGTTGACCGATCTTGGCTTCTGTCTCTTCTCTGTCGATCGCTAGACCATCTGTCCCGTAGATCCTGCAAAGAATACATGTCCATGGCTAGGCTCATGAATGTACATCAATTCCCGACGTCGCTCGATCGATCTAGCTACTGCAGCGTGATGTGAGGCTCTTTTGTCGAAAGCATCGCCTGACCCGCCGACGAAGGATGTGACGGAACCTCGCCCAGTAAGCATCTGGCGTCTTCGGGGCTAATTACCACGCAGCGATCACTCACTGCTCGTCTGTGAGCTTCTGCAGGCAAAACAGATGGAGCCGGCGTACTCGGTAGAGGATAGTCCATATGACAGACCGGATTGATCTTGTCATTGCAGTTGACAAAAGCTTCGCAGTTCACAGCCTTGATCAGTCGCGTAGGGTAAGTCACAATGACGGTGTGATAAAACTTTGCTCTGCAACATCTTTCGTATTGCTCCATCACTGTTTGCCACCGTCAGTCGGCATCCTTATTCGCATCGGATCCGTCGGACCGATGGGCAAAGGGCGGATCGGGTTGGCGAGCACGAAAGTATACTCGACAGCATCTTTCACGACTTCTACCGTCTTGAGCGTGCAAGTCAGGCCTGGCTTCCCCCATGGTACGGTGATGCGACACTCGTAGCCTTCATCTAGACGGATAGGATCGATAATGATCGTGGCATAGCTGATGTCTGTCTCGATTCCTTGACGCTCACCAAGAGGTTGGGTGGTGCTCATGGAAGCTGGAATGGTGCAAATCGCGGTGCCTTGCCAGACGAGATTGTATTGCTGCATCGCATCACCATGGCCGAGCACAGCTAGAGCAAAGTGGACGTTGAGCAGAGCAAGAAGAATGATCATCTGGCAGGTGACGGACAAGAGGAGTTGATGGCAAATGGGCACGTGCCAACTCGACACGTGTTCAAAGAATCTCTCACGGTCTTGCATCGTCATAGCCGACGATCGAGACGCGAGCAGCTGACTCGTTCCCTCCACCAAGTCGGAACTCTACACACACAAGATGAGCACAGACACAGCCAGAGGCATCGATGCGTACGTCCAGACTGTCACAGTACGACGATGGCACTCGCTGATCGTCCTACTCGATGTACAGACAAAAGGCCACGGCCAACTTCGCCAGAGCGGCCAAGAAGGATCCTGCAGTCTACCCGCTCGCGCTGATCATCGGCGGTATCTTCTGCGTCGGTGGATACTTCGTCACGACCAAGTGGGCAGGCGAGAAGAAGCCCCCCCGCGCAGATATGGAACTCATGTCCGTCGTAACCTGACTCCTCTGTCCGATCCAGGCTCATGCATGGCTATCGACAGTAACCCGGCCAGTCGATCGTACCGACGAAACTACAAGCAAGAGACGATCGAGCAAGCCCGTGCTCGTGTCCGCCGTGAGAACGGATACGGTCCCATCATGACCACCACGCCCAAGTAAGCGAAGCCCCCGGTCGGACTTCGGACTTGATCCCTCTCTGCACGCACTGCATATATTCGCTTTCGATACAGAAGCCTAGTCTGGTCGCTACGCTAGGTCTTATGCCCGACAGGACAGGGCTGTTCCTGTACAGATCTGCATTGCATTCACCTTTAACGTCACTTTGGGCTGCTTTGCCTGCCTCCTTTACCTCGCCATGCCATGCTCGCATGCGAATGAGTTTTGTCTGTCTGCTTGCTGGCCATCGTAAGCCGATCCGGGCCTGCTTTGGCTCGTGATCATTCGAGCCATCCAGGCTGACACAATGACGCGTTGCTGCACCAGTCGATATGAGCGTCTTTGCAACTCCCAAGCCGGCCACGCAGACGACGCTGAGCTTAGAGCAAATTGGTAAAGCCAACAGAGTGCGTCAAGCCCATCCTTGCCCCTCGAAGATGCTCATGCTAGATCACAGGATGCGCAGCTCGACGGCGTGCTATGGGGCACAGGCGCCGGTTTCCTCACAGCTTTCATTGGCCTGCGAATGCTGAAGCTCTCGAGGAACTCATCGACCTTAGCAGGGCTGCTCTCGGGCGTCATGGGCGGCTGGTACATCTCCCGAACGACGCTAGTCAGCAATATAGCTGTTGCAGAGGCCAAAGAAGCAAGGTCTCGCAATCTCAGGACAGATGGCAGCAATCCTTACGAGGGAGGCTTTGGAGGGCAAGAGACTCTGCGAGATAAGTATGCATCTACCTCGGGAGAACACTAGCTACTGGCACGCTTGTTGTATTTTACGCGCTCGAGCCTATGGCGGAGCTTGCTCAACAACATCCTGAAAGTATCGACCCGCCTCGAGCGCAGTCTCCTCAAGCGTCTCCAGCTTGAAGCCGAGGACCTGTTCCGTAGCGCTGCTATCGATCTGAATGCTAGGCGCAGGCTCGTAGTCAGCCGGTAGGTGAGGAAATTGACGCTCGGGGAAGTGCTGCTTGAATGCTGCGATCCAGCGATCGGGCGAGCCAAGTGAGCCCACAACGAGTCGTTTGCCATTGACTCCAGGTCGTACAGCGGCCTGGAAATGTGCTTCTGCGGTATCCTTGACCGACACAAACGTTCGCGAAAGTGGGCTTGCAGGATCCCCATCAGTCTTGAACGAATTATTGTAGAGCATCTCATTCGTGCCCGTGATGGGTTTCTTGGGATCTGCTACCGGACTATGGGAGCGTCCAAAGACCATGCCAGGCAAGATTGCGACAGCCTCAAAGTGAGCCTTCTGCGTCTCGACGGCTTGCCAGAAAGCCTTTTCTGCGAGCGCCTTTGAAGCGGCGTAGGCAAGCATTGCGGGCATCTGAGGGTCGATTGCTTGCTCGTAGGTAGTCGGATTCCACGTCTGCGGCGAGATCCATTTCGAGGCATCGCCATAGACTGCCGGACTCTGAGATGCAGCAGTCGATCTAGCTGGGCATCAGTCAACTCTTCCCGCCGTTCAAATCGAAGGGACCTACGATGTTAGTATGAACTTTTCGACTGTCGGCTCGCCAAGAGCGGCATATAATGCATTTTGAGAGCCTTCGATGGCTGGCCGGATCAAGACGTTCTCATGGTCCGTGCTCGGCTTGGCAAAGTCTGGAATGGGTGAAGCGACATGCAAAAACACGCTGACGCCTTTGACTGCCTCTACGTAGGCCGTCTTTGCTAGCATATCAGGAACGACGGCAAGCTGGATGCGATCGCCGTATTGCTTTTGAGGCTCGAGCGACTTCCATGCTTCGCCCTTTGCCGTCGAGCGAACGGTTCCTCTGACGGTATAACCTGCTTGTAGGAAGCGTAGGGCTATCTCTGTGGCGACGAAGCCCGTCAGGCCTGTGACAAGGGCGATCTTGTTCTGTTCCGACATGTTCTTCTTGCTATCCTGTGTCAGGCACGACGAGATCGCGGAGGAAGAGCTACATAGAGGGCTTATATAGGTTGCTGCGCTCACTAAGCAGGGGAGAGGGTGAGTCAGATGGCATATGTGAAGAATAGCCGACGGTAAGTCTTCGCGCGAGACGACTCAGCGCATCGCTTCCGCGGCTGATGAGACCATCCCTCGGATATTCGGCGTCAAGTGCATAGCTGGCCAATGCACATTGCACTCATCTTGCGTGCTCGTCAGGTCCGTCCGACAGCGCCCTTCCGGTCACTTGATTATGTATGAACGCTGACAGCTGCTCTGTTGCGAGACTGACGAGATTGCATAGTTCCTCAACCGGGGCAAGGTTCTATCGCTGTATAGAGCCTACATTCGTTCGACCCGAGGCTTAGGGGATAGGCAAGCTCGCATAGAGGCAGTCCAATGGGTCAGACATGATTTCGATCGACATAGAGACGAGTCAGACATGGAAAAGGCGAAAGCCCTGCTGGCGCTCGGCAAGCGGAACTTGCGCACTTTGAGCAACGCCAGCTCGCTCATCGGGCAGCTGCCGAACGATCACAAGTTTAGAGGTCCTCTATGAAAGACTATGCAGCACGACAACAATTCACTGATCTAACCAGAACGAGTGTGCACCATCGCCTCGGCTTGCGCGTGTACCGCCTCGGCGTAAAGCAACTTGATACGCACCAATTCCTGCCGAAAAAACGCAGGTCAGACTCGCGGCTTTGAGCAGCTCGACAAGAGGGCGTACCTCTTCTACCTCTTCGCGACCCAGCTTGGCCATCACGAGCTCCTTGACGAGTTCGCAATGTTCCTCGTTGATCTGCGCCAGACTTGCTTCGAGCTTCCTGACCTGGTTCGATAGCTTGCCATTGATAGCTCGCAGCTGCTCGACTTCGATAGAATGAGCATTCTGTTGTCGCAACTGCGCTTCCCATTCGGATGCAAAAGTGTCGAGCAGATGAGGCGTGATCTTGATCTGTAGCGCCTCGCGAACAAATTCGTATGCTCTATACCTGATGGCATCATGCTCATGATTGTCGATCATCTTGGGATCCTGCTCGCGCGCGTTAGATCTCGTGACGGAAGCGTGAGATGTGACGTACCAAATAGCTCTCGAAGAGATCCGCCTTGAGGAAGTCGAGGAGCCTTTCAAAGTCAAGCTTGAGCAACTTTTCCTCGTTCTTCTTCATAAGCGCGACGGCGAAGCGGAAGATGGCTTCGACACCTTCCGCAAATACGAGATCCATGACGGAAGAGACGAGCTCGAGCGGAAAACGGTAGCCGAAGAGCGTCAGGAACCATTGCGAGGCGTACATGCTCGACTTGACGCCTTGCCGAAGCAGATGCATAAACACTGTGGGCAGCAGTTCTTCCAGTAAACGGTCGAATTGGAACAATCGCAATTGCAGACCGGGCATGTTGGGCGTAAAGTGTGATCGTAGATCATAGGACTTCATCAGTCGGACGAGAACGCAGAATGCTTCTTCGTCTGGCATCTGTCAATATCTGACGTGTCAGCGAATGCAATCGAATGGCATCTTCAGAGCTTGCCTGTAGCAGTAGAGGGCCAACGACAAAGGGTAGGCCTTGACAGTACCCGACTTCCTCGTCGTACAGACTGTACGCTTTGACGACATTGAACAGATTCTCTTGCCCGACGCCATCGACGTCTTTGAAGTACTCGTGCTGAGGAAAGGTTCGATTGAGATCTCGCATGATTGCCTTTTCGTGCGTTGATGTTTGCCGTAGGTAGTGAGCATAAGCGCGCTCCAGCTCGGGATCCTTCGAAGCAGACATGAGCTGCCATAGAAGTCCTCGAAGAGCAGGTGGAATGCCTCGTTGTATCGCCTTGGACAGCTCCCGAGGCTGATTGCGCGCAACCGATTCATAGTCCGAGGTGACGGCGCCCCAGAAATCCCAATCAATGTGCACTTCCTCGCCCCTCGGTATCGCCTCGACGTGAGCCTTTGCAAGCTTCTCTTTGATCTCTTCCGGCGGGAAGACAGTCTGGTGTTTTGCCTTGGGATCCTGATCGAGCAAAGCATTCTGCGACTCTAATCGCTGGATGAGAAAGTCATACGTCGTGCCTGGCGTCTCCAATTCTTCTCGTTGGGTAGGCGACAGCTCGTCAAAGGTCGCTTGAGTCGCTGCAGTTGTGTCGATCGAACTTCTCACGGTTTCTCGCCTGCTGAGCTTCACCTCGGATAGACCGACAGGTGTCGATTCTGCGTCTGACTGCGTTGGCCTGACGAGCACTGTCTCTATACTGACGGGCCTGGCGGACTCGCCTACACTGATAGAGCTCAGAGAGACTGCTGTCATGGGTTCGGTTGAAAAGCTCGTTGTGGGCACGGCATCTGAGGGCGTTTCGGGCTCTGCGAGGTCGAAAGCCTGGTGTGCTAGCGCTGCGTCAGCAATACCATTGGGGAGCGAATGCAGTGTGTCCGCGGCGATTGGCGGCGCAGAATCGGTGCTTTGTCTCCTTACATCTGCTTGTTTGACATGCAGTGGGTCTGTAGCTAGTCCGTCTTTCTGGCCAGATGCATCGTCAGTTGAGGCAGAGACTGACGATGCCAGCCCGCTGGCATGATGAGGAATGACAGGCAATTGATGAGCGCTGTCGCGATTCTTCACCTCCTCGCTCGAGCCTTCTTCAGCTGCCGCTACAGTCGTTGCTGCAGGTTCTGCAGGTTTGGCCGTCGACAATTCCTCCGTTAAGTGAGCTGTAGCCGGTGTGTCAACGAAAGATGTTCGGGAAGAGGGAAGTGGCGAGAGGGCAGAAGCATCTTCAAAATCGTCTTCATGTGTGACTGAACTGTTGAGCGTTTCCATCGATCGGCGCTCAGTAGGCGAAGCCATTCTCGCACTATGTGATGGTCTAGGCGTCGCTTCCGTAAGGCAAGCTGACGAGCTCGACGTGGTGAGTGTGGGAGAGATATTGAAGTTTGCGTCTAGGGGCGTGAAAGGTGGTGCGGTCGTCGTCGAGCTGGCGCGAGAGACGAGATCGGAGCCGAATAACTCTGCAGATTCGTCCTCGTCTGTACGCGCCGAATCCAATGAGGCGATCGAGCTGGTCGAGATTGAACTGCTCGTCGAGCTCCTGCGACGAGCTTGACGCGATCGATGTGGCAGAGCAGGAGGAGTCGCGCCTTCAAATTGACGCTGACCCTTTGCGACTTTGCCCTTGATGGCTTCACGCGTCGTGGCGTTCTGCCAACCGTCTCGTGCAGCGCTTGTCGACGTGGTGGGCAGACTGGTATCGGATAGGAGTATCGAAGACGGCACTCTGCGTAACTTTTGCAGGTCTGCAGGATCGAGGGGAGGGATTTGGATCTTGTTGCTGTTCGAGCTCTGTGATCGTCTGGAGAGTGACCGGGAGCGTGTCACTCCGCCGACGAGACTGACGGCGGAATCAGTACTGACGGTGCGTGAGTTCGCTCGGCTAGGTCGCTTGGGTGGGCTGTCCAAGCAGATCTTGTTGGTATGTGAAAGGAGGCGAGGCGATGTCAGGTCTGACGACGAGCTCAGATCGTTCAAACTTGTCGCACTCGATGATTGCATGCCTTTGCGTGAGCGTCAGACGGACAAGCAAGCGTCCTGCGTGCTGGTCAAGCTAGCTTCTATGCTCAGTGCATTCAGAGTTATTTGCCGTTCCTGTCTGCCTTGGCTTCCCCTTTGTGATCTCTCGCTTGTGTCTGCGCCGTCCGGCGACGTCAGCGACTCACCAGGCTCAGCCAGCGAGCGCAGTGCGAGTACGAGTGGATGGCTGAATGAGCAGCGACTGAAGCAGAGGAGGCGCGTCGTCGTCGCGTTCTCGCCGAAGATCGCCGGATCTGCAAGGCGCAGACGTGCAGACAGTGACGGCATGGCAGCAGACAGCCAGACTGCAAGGCTGCCTATAGCTCTGCATCTGAGTCAAGAAGAGCTTCCACTTGCATCCACCTCTCAGCAACCAGCTCCGACAGGCCGAGCGAGCTTCAGTGCAGCTGCAAGCGCAAGCTCCTCCACTTATCGTCCAGGTGATCATTGGGCTGGCTATGGACCACCTCAGCTCGACAGATCAACGCCTTTGCTGTCTCTGGTGAGATCCACGCTCGGTATTGCTGCAGCCGCCTCTACGAATGGAACCAACGACTTGGTGCAAGCCGACAGCAAAGCCGCAGAAAGGGATTATGACTTGATTAGCTGCGCACTTGCGAACCCCAGCTGGCGGGCCAGATGGGAGTCCATGTGTCTTTCTACGCCGTCACATTCGCTTTCTCCCGAGCTAGATAACAAGCAAAGAGCTCTACAGGCCGAGACGTGGCGGCTCGGTGGTCCGTTTCAGCGTGGCGAGGTGAACGTCACACGGGTCGAAGAGAGCAGTCACCTCATTGCACACGCTTCGGGCTTCATCGCCCTTGATTCTGTCAATGAAGGCATCCGCTTTGACGCCGAATTGGCACTCAAGCAAGAAGTGCTCTACGCCGCTCATTTGCACGTCACTTGCATCGTCTTGCCTGCGCCCTCTCTGGAACCTGCGCGGCAGAGCTATCTGACCGACTATGCTCGTTCTGTCAATGCTGTCTTGCGCGCTTCATCTTACATTGCCGTGAGCAGACCGCACTGAACAGCAGCACATGCTTATTATAAAGCAGATTGTCGTCCGAATACCACTCTTCGCCCGATTACCAGACGGCGGCAAAGTTCAGTCTCTGGACGATGCATGGTCTACATGGCACACAATCCAGTCGATTTGCGACTACTCATCACGGTTGCAGATCTGTGCGTGGTGCTCCCTCGCTTCTGATGTGCCTGGATTGATATGTGTGCAGGCTTGGATCTCTCGTACCCATTTCCAGCATCGCCTCAGACACCAGTCGAAGAGCAGATCCAGGCGCAGCAGTGGTCGAGATGGAATGCAGAGCCTGTCAAATCAATCTTTCTTCCCGCGAGCAGCTTCATTCCGAACGCCAAAGGCTACCCTGTGCTTAGCCGTGCGACGCAGAGCTTCTTGAGGAACATATTCCGCGTACGCCGTTCTCGGCCTAGCGTACTATGTCTGATGCCTCGAGCAGTACAAGCCAGTCGTCATGCTCTCACAGACCCGATCAGGTCTGCATCAGACGGGTGGACCGCAAGCGTATGCGCAATACCTGCGGTTCCTCTCGCGAAAGGTTGAGCCTCCAACTCCAGTAGAGCAATACGCAGGAGCCTACCTTGATTATCTCCAAGCGCCCCTGCAGCCTCTGCGCGATCAGCTCGAGTCCGAAACATACCTTGGCTTCGAACGAGATCCGATCAAGTACACTCGATATGAAGAGGCAGTCTATCGTGCTCTGGTGGACAGACGTTCTTCTGAGCCTGCGGTGCTCTTTGTGGTGGGAGGTAGGACGAGATGCTGATTACTCCGCAGAGCTGACGTCTCGCGCAGCCGGAAGAGGGCCGCTCGTGCATGGCTCGCTGAAAGCTGCCGATCGCGCTCGCAAGCCGATAAAGGTCATCGCCGTCGAGAAGAACGCCAACGCATTTGTCATGTAGGGTTTGAGCCTTCTGATCAGCATTCACTGACAGTCTGAGGCGCAGTCTGCAAGAGAGGAAAGCGCTCGAATGGGGCGATCGCGTCGAGCTCGTCTTTGCGGACATGCGCTCGTTCTCGCCATGCTGCAAGGCTGACATTATCGTCTCTGAGCTACTCGGCTCTTTTGGTGATAACGAACTTTCGCCAGAATGCCTCGATGGTGTCATGCGTCATCTCAAGCCGAATGGCATCTCAATCCCCGAATCGTACACGGCCTTCCTTGCGCCGGTGACGACTGCGAAACTTTGTGCAGAAGTGCTCGGCAACGAGACACGACCTGCCGAGACGCCCTACGTGGTTCAATTTTACAATTATCATGTTCTGTCGGCAGATCGTACAGAGGGCGAGAAACGACTGCAAAAGTATCAAGCAGCGTGGACATTCGCCCATCCTCAAGATGGTCTCGTACTCGATTCCTCAGGTCTCCCCTTGTCGAACACGCACAATACCAGATCAGCTCACTTGACATTCCATATACCCCAGGCGGGCGCGATGCATGGCTTCTTCGGCGCTTTTGAAGCGACGCTCTACGAAGATGTTGAGATCTCTATCAATCCAGATACGGTCGACCGCGACATGCTATCGTGGTTCCCCATCTTCTTCCCGCTCAAGGTATGCTCATCTTGTTCGTCAATGATATGCGCTAACAGGCAATGAGCAGACGGCACTGTATCTCCCTGCTGGAGCCGAAGTTGATGTCCACATCTTTAGATTGACCGACGCGACTCAGCGGAAAGTCTGGTACGAGTGGTCAGCAGAAGCATACCTCTGGCTACCTGCACCTTCTGTTCCATCAACAGAAAAGGCTAACGCCGCGACGTTGTCCCCCGTCAGCTCACCGACAGGAAGCAGGAATCTGTTGACACCAGACGCTTTCATTCACCCGCCTTCTCCTGCGGTCAGCTCGTTCAACTTACAGCGCTCTAACAGCCTGCCAGATCCTTCCGGTATTCTGGCCAGAATCAAGATAGGCAGTTCCGGTCTGCACAATCCGGGCGGCAAGGTCTCAAGCATCGCATTGTAGACGCGCAGCGTACAAATGCAAATGCCGAGAAGACACAATCTATAGCTCGTCGCGTACAGGCTCCTTGTCTGCTTCCGGCGTCGTATCGACTGGTTCTTGCGCTTGCGTAACGTTAGCTGCTTCAGGTTGCGTCTGCGTTGGCTTGGCCTTGCGCTTTTTTGCTTTTGGTTTCGGCTTGCGAAGCAGCTTCGTCAGCTCATTGTGTATCTCTTTCGTCTTGACATCAAGGTCGACTCGACGAAGCAGAGGGTCGTCATGCAACTCTAGTTTGTCTTGCTTCTCGCTCGTCTCTGATAGCCACGTCTCGGTCGTATTGAGTAGAGAGCCAATCGACGTCAGTTCGTCCGAGGTATATCGCGGCGGCGTGTCGGTCTCGGCCTCTATGATGGCGTCGGCTTCATGCACCTTGATAAACGAACGTCCTTGCGAGATGGCTGCCTGCAGATCGGCCAAAGCTCTAGGTCTCTCACGAGCGTCGTCAACGCGCGCAATAATGACCTTGTATGGTTTCCTGTGATGCCAATGTATGAGCAACACGACATGATACCAGCTGCACTCTACGTACTCGAGAGTATGGCGATGAGTCTTGAGATCTTTGAGAGATGCCGTCTCGGCTTCGTCGCTCATCCAATCTGATGTGCTCGCCAGAACCTTCGACAAGCTGTCTCTTTCGGCTTGTGTCGATCGTCTGACGAACGCTGCATCCTCGAGGTGGTCACGCACGCGGTAGACGAGCGACTCGAGCACGTTGCGGGCTTCTTCCTTTGCTTTCTTCCTCGACTCTGCCGCGTCAATTTCGCTGAGCTTTGTACGCGACTTGATTCTATCTGATGGTAGCATAGGCAGTACTGTGGCATACTTGACATCGACTGTCAGCATCGTTGGCTTCTTGGGCTTGATAGCATCTTGGAGCATCTTGGCGATCTCTGGATCATCCGTCAGGTTCTTTTCCTTGTCCTTGCCACCCAGCAATCCTTTCAGCTTTGCACCGAGAGAATCGTCAGCATTGAGCTTGATTGGCGGCATCGGCAGGAACAGCATCGCAGATGGGATGGTGACGACATTCGAGTCGCTCAGTTGCACCGTGACGCGAACAGTGCTGTTGGCAATCTCTTCTTCCGTCACATTTACCAATGCCTTTTCGAAGCCCCGAATGGTGGCGGTCATGATCTCGCCGCCAGGTTCGCCCGATGAAGACGCATAAGAATGGCCAAGCTTGATGGTGAAGGCGTCACTTGCTGCAGCAAACTCGAGTGTCTTGGTCATACCCAGCGGAGTGCCGGCAGGAAAGAGCACGTCCTTGATCTGCTCAGTGTGACCGCTTTCGTTTGGAGCAGATTGGTAGAGCGCGTAGTAGTCAAAGGGAGTAAGATCTCGCACGCGAATGTCTTTCGTCTTGAATTGACCTGATTTACCAGCTCCATAGAGAGCTGCACCCATGACTGCAGCTTCATCGGCGTTGAGATTTTGAGCAATGAGCGCTTCCGGCACGATGGACTTGACGGCAGCTTGTACGAGAGGTACTCTAGAGGTACCTCCCACGAGCACGAACGAGGTCAGATCGGCTAGTGTGATGTTGGCATTGAGCAGCGCTTGCTCGATGGGTCCAGCAAAGTGCTGGACGAGATCCTCCGACAGTGACTCGAGCTGACTTCTTTCGACGCGGGATTTGAAGTCGATGTCGTCGACGAGCCCCTCTATTCTGACCTGTGATTCGCCATTGGCACTGAGGACGTGCTTGACTCGGTTGGCTTCCTTGAGTAATTTGGCCATTGCACGATCGTTGTTGGCTACACTCGGCTTGCCAGATTGGCTATCGTCGAAGAGACCGACAAAGATGTCGCGCAAGCGGGCCTCAATCGCAAGACCGCCTGCTGATCGATCCCATCCGATGCCCCGAACATTGAGAGACGTTGCGTTGCGTGTTGTCTTTGATGTCGGGTGGTCCTTGACTGCGAGCGTCGAGAAGCCGACTACGGTTGCTCGTACAGACCCTGCACCGGCATCGTAGAATAAGTGATATTCTTCACCAACCAAAGTGTTCGAGCTTTGCACTTCCTCTTCTGTCGCGGTGGTCACAGGGAAGGTGCGTGTCATTGCAAAGTTGATCGCTACCGCCGTGCCATCGTTGATCAACCCGAGCGGTTTGAGCCTGGCTACTTCTGCGGCATCGAGCATTGCCTTGCGCTCGTACGGATTGTAATGAGCCGGCACGGTAATGACGACATCTTCGATGCGCTCCTTGTCACTCGTGATGGCCTGAGCGCTCGATTGAACGTCTTTGAGTAACATTGCCATGATCTCCTCGGGAAGCCATCCTTCGAGCTCTTCGCCTTTCTCCGCAACAGCTTGCTGCGCTTTCACAAGGGCATCCGAAGGAGTGTAGCCAAGCGTATTGCGATGCGTACTTTTGAGGCCAAGTCGAAAGAGCTTCTGGTACAGAGCGACTTGAATGTCACTTTCGCTCGTCCTGCCCAAAAGAAATTTCGTGGACGGGTAGGTATCTTTTGGAAAGCGCGTGACCTGTGCGACCGATGTCAGCGCCGCTCAGCATGCAACTGCCAAATGACTGACGAGACTCGCTGCGTCGCCTCCGACAAACCTCTCTACTTCTACTTTATTCTTTGCACCGTCGACGGTCTCTTGCTTCACACGGAGCGTAACGATGCTCGACGTCTTGCGTTTGCTATCTTTGTTCAAGACGACGTCGAAAGGAACGCCAGGCTTGATGAGGACAGCTTTTGTCGAGTCTGTTCCTGCATCGATAGCGAGGACGCCGCTGGGTGCTGCCCTCACACCGGCAAGCGTGGATAGATCTGTTACCAACAAGCAGCAGAGAAAGACGAAGCAGATGCAGCGAGACGCCGTTGACAAGGCTTTTGGTCGTCGTGAGGGCTGCCACGTCGGCGCTTCGATACGCGCCATTGGAACAGTCTGGCGAGCCCAGGGCCTGATCGGCTAGCCACAGCGAGAGATAGAGAGCCGGCCAGATGTTCTTCGAGGCCGGCGTTGCTCTGTGAGTATGGGCAGTAGGCCTTTGAGCTGCCCGGCTTCGCGTCGTTGCGCAAAGTTGCGCCGCGTCAATGAGCCACGTCATCAGGTGCCCCGGCGGAAACTGTCGAGTTCTATTTTGAGACGAGGTGCGAGGTGCGGCCTGCGCAGTGACAGGAGGGTGGCTCTGAGAGTGGGAGGGCTCACATTCCGTTGCTTCGACAGACACGATGGCGCCTCCGAACCTCACGCATGAGGACGACAACGGCGAGCACACGATGGGCGCGATTGACCAGCTCGTCGAATCATCGCACCCTTCCGCAGACCAGAGTGGCCCCACCATTCATCAGCCGACTCACGCCATTGACGAGCATCATCACGGTTGGCTGAAGAAGTTGGTGCCCGGCGTCGAGCACTTGGCAGTCAAGGAAGATTGTGGCAATTTCGTCAGGCGAAGGGATGGATCTGAGTACTTTGAGCCGATGCCTCTTTACGTGCGCTTGTCGATGCACTTGCTCTTTGTCTCTGTCGGCGGACACACGGCACTGCTCAAGACGAAACGCCTCGAGGAGAAGTTGAAGCAGCAGAGCATCAGGCAGGGAGAGCTGTACGATAGTCCAGAGGGCGCAAGGGCTGCTATCGACCATTTCGTGAAGGACTACTCGCTCGAGTCTTCGCTAGACACTTTGCTCGACCCTGATCTCGACTCGTACAAGGTCAGACAGCTACACGCTTGATACCGAGCTGGCCTGAGGTGCTCTCACAGAATTTCAATGAATTCTTTTCGCGCAAGCTCAAGCCGGATGCTAGACCCATCGCAGCCCCATCGGAGGAGAGTGTCATCACATCAGCAGCAGACTGCCGCCTCACTGTCTTTCAATCCATCACCAAAGCGAAGCAGTTCTGGGTCAAAGGACAGCAATTCGATTTTGCCAACCTTGTCGAGTCTGAGGCCATCACCTCGCTGCCTGCCTTCAAGAACGCGGACGACTTGTCGATTGCGATCTTCAGACTTGCTCCTGCAGATTATCATCGCTTCCATGCTCCCGTCTCTGCTAGCCTGGGACCGACGACAGAGATCCAAGGAGCATACTATACTGTCAATCCACAAGCAATCAAGGAGAAGTAAGGTTCCCATGAGTTGCACGATCTTGTGTGCTGACTACAGCCATAGATTCGATGTCTTTACAGCCAATAGACGCGACGGTAAGACGCGGTTTGTCATCTTGAGGAGCGAACACTCACGAATCTGTCTACAGTGGTCGTGCTGGACACGAAGAGTGCCGATGGATCGTCGACATTCCCAATCGCGTTTGTCGCTGTCGGGGCCATGCTCGTAGGCGCCATCCGTTGGTCTGCGAAAGAAGGTGAGCAGGTCAAGAAAGGCGAAGAGCTCGGATGGTTTCAATATGGGCAAGTCTCTTCAAGAAACCAAAGCAGACGTGTGCTGAAGATTCGTTGCAGAGGCTCAACCGTTATTGCTGTCTTTCCATCTGGCTCGATGAAATTCGATGATGATCTCGTCAAGAATTCTGAAGACTCGGTAGAAACAGAGGTCAAAATGGGCGAGCGGATCGGCAACAAGATCTAACATCACAAGCTTAATCGATTGTATGTGACACACCACACTTAACATGGAAGATGAATCGGAGGCCGTCCCTCAATGTGCTTCTCGGTTTGAGATCTGAGCGCGTCAGAAGTAACGCCAGCGATAGTGACACCTAGGCCAGCTCAGCTGAGCAGATTGCCAATCGGAGTATCCGTATCACGCATGCAAGAGGTACTTTCTAGCTATGCATCCCTGCTTGAGCGCTGTTGCGATCTGCTGTGATGTAGATGAGATCATCAATCTATTTGGCTCTATCTCCCTTATCACCACGCGGATCTGCAGCCGCTATTCCCTCGGGCAGTCATCCGCAAAATCCGCTCACGAGCTGGCCAAGCAAGCAAACTGGGCCGCTATGGCACCGCCCACTTTAACGCATGAGGATGCAGCCGGCGAGCACACAATGGGTGCGATCGACAAACTCGTCGAATCATCAGGAAAAGAGGGCGACCGCCTGCATGCGCCTCCCGTACACAAGCCAGTGATGGCAGTCGAGTCCCACGAGAGTCACTACTTTTGGCTTCAGCGTTTGGTCCCAGGACTGCAGTATTTGGCAGTCCGCGAGGATTGTGGCAACTTTGTGCGGAGACGAGATGGTACACAGTACTTTGAGCCGATGCCCTTGTACGTTCGGCTGTCGATGCATCTCCTCTTCGTCTCTCTCGGAAGCCGTACATCATTGCTCAAGACTCGGAGACTCGAAGACAGACTTCAGCAACAGAGCATCCGGCAAGGAGAACTCTACGACAGCCCGGAGGGCGCCAGGATGACCATCGACCACTTTGTCAGGGACTACGCGCTCGAACCTACTCTAGACACACTGCTCAAACCTGACCTGGACTCGTACAAGGTCGGCAATGGACGTAAAGCGGCTGACGCGCAATTGAAGGCGTCAAGCAGAATTTCAACGAATTCTTTTCGCGCAAACTCAAGCCGGACGCCCGGCCAATAGCAAGTCCTTCCGACGAACGCATCGTCACCTCCGCAGCAGATTGTCGTCTGACCGTTTACCCGTCAGTCGATCAAGCTAAACAGTTCTGGGTCAAAGGAGAGGAATTCAATTTTGCCAATTTAGTCGATTCTGATGCAATCACCGGCTTGCCCGGCTTCAAGGATGGAGACATCTCGATTGCAATCTTCAGACTTGCGCCTGCTGATTATCATCGATTCCATGCGCCACTTTCTGGACGGCTTGGCCCAACAACAGAGATCAAGGGAGCCTACTATACCGTCAATCCACAAGCAATCAGAGAGAAGTACGCTTTGTCTCGCTTGCGCTTGACACTACTGAGTCCTTGACGTTGACAGCTTCGATGTCTTCACCGCGAACAGACGCGATGGTGTGTCATCTTCCGTCTTCGGTTCTTGCGCTGCTTACATGTGTCATGCAGTCATGGTCATTGAGACACCCTGCCTCGATGGCGCGTCGACATTCCCGGTTGCATTCGTCGCGATAGGAGCCATGCTTGTAGGCGCAATATGCTGGTCGCGAAAAGAAGGCGATCAAGTCAAGAAAGGAGATGAGCTGGGCTGGTTCCAATACGGGTATGTCCTTATTCTGAAGAATCTGTCGTGGTCTCTGATGCGTGCAGTACAGGGGCTCGACTGTCATTGCCGCTTTCCCCTCTGCTTCGATCAAATTTGACGATGACCTCCTCATCAACTCACACGAATCAGTGGAAACCGAGATCAAGATGGGGGAGCGGATCGCTGTCAAGATCTGATGAAGCGTGTACACTAGTGCGGACCAAAGTGCATCGTTTCCTAATGTTTACAATCTACTTTTCAGACTCCTTACTTGGACAGGTCCTGCTTGCCTGCGAGCACCTCGACGAGATCGTAGATACGCAGCCACCAGGGATCCTTCGCTCTTCGTTTCTTGAGGTCTGAAGCTGCCGCCAAATCCTCCATTCCCACAAATCGCAATCGACCGCCTTTGATAGCTACTAAAGCTACGTCGTGCTTATCTCGATCGTCTGGTCTTCTTGTCATTCCTTCGACGCCCGCGGCATGATACTCGATGAAGCGAATGCAGCGAGAAGCTAATCGAGCAGCGCGAGATCGATCTCTTGGTGTCGGCGTGCCACCTTGAAGCGTGTGGCCCATCTGGACGCTTCGCGCATCAAACACTTTTTGCCCTTCTTCTGAAAGTATCTTGGTGAGGAATTCTGTTGTGTACGTCTTTGATGCTTTTTCGGACCTGCAACAGGATGAGCTCGCTGCTGAGATGGCCAAGTGAAGCATACTTGATGACCAGGCGACCTTCGCTCTTCCCCTTGACATCAGACTCATAGCGTCTCTTGAGGAAGTCAAGATCTTCTTGCACCATCTTCAAGCTCATGCCTTTCTCTGGGATATAGCAGGCCAGTCCGCCAGCCTATCTGAACATCAGCATATCGCCCATTCCTGAAGAAGAAGTGAAGACTGACAGCAAGAGCACCAAGCGTAGCGATGTAGCCACATTCGCCTCCTTGTGTCTCGATGACAAAGACACGGTTGCGACTGGCTGTTGCGCTCTGCTTGATTGCATCGCATGCCTCGACAAGCACGTTGACGCTGGTATCAGAGCCAAGTGACCATTCCGTCACGGGCACATTGTTAGAAATCTGTACCGCGAGACTCGTTCAGCAGGCAATAGCTGGATGCTACCGCACGTACAGTAGCGGGGAGCTGCACCATAGGGATCTTGAGCTCCGGATTGTCTTTGCGTGCGCTTTCGAGGAATCGCAAAGCAGCAAAAGCTTCGAAGCCGCCAATGAGAAGCAAAGCGTCGAGTTTGTGCTCCTTGAATTTGGCAGCGATGGCTTTGACATTGTCTGCATCTGGCAGGGTGCGATTAGTACCCAATTCGGAGCCACCTCGAGTGACCCAGGAATCGACGCGGAGCCAACTCGGCGTGGCGATGTTGTCCTCGAGCAGACCGAGGAAGGAGTTGTAGACTGTAATGGGCGTATGACCTCGAGCTAGGCAGGTTCTGACCGCCGTAGAGGTAGCTGCATTCATGCCGCTGGCCGGTGCGCCAATACTGTCGACATACATCCCACAGTCAGCATGGTATGCTGCTGAAATTCTTACAACTGACTGCATGATTGCAATTCGCAAACGCTTAGTCTCGGGCAGCTTCCATTTGTCATCGAGTCGCGTCGTGCAGTTGAAGACATCGAGACATTCTTCAAATTCTGGGTCGCGCAAACTCATAGCTTTGTCAAAATCCTTTGCTTCGATGGCTTTGGCGACCTGCTGAGTCAATTCGACTGCTTCAACGAGCGGCGTGCGCGTGATTTTGTTTTCTTGTATGCCAATGATAGGACTAGGTATATCTGGCGTGGAAGCAAGCAGAGCATCGATAGCTTCGCATCCCTGCAGAGTCGCAAGAACACGGTCGTAGGCGCAAGGCTTGCCGCCTCGTTGCGTGTGACCCAGCGTCGTGACGCGAGTGTCGAGCTTGAGGCGATCGGTGAGGATATCCTTGAGTTTGCTCGCGGTGATTGGATTGAGATTTTTGTCGATTGCACCTTCTGCCACGATCACGATATTCTTACGCTTGCCAAGATTGCGATGCTGTCAGCAGCTCGTGTCATTCAGCCACGATCAGATCGAGTCAAATAAGTCTGCTGACCCTCTGCAAAGTGTCGCACATCTCGGTCTCCCAGTCATCAGAGCTTGGAGGTCGCTCTGGAATGAAGAGGTAGTCTGCTCCAGCACTGTACAAGCGTGAGATCAGCTCATCCTGCTCGGCCTCGACATGTACGGCGTACCTGATGCCGGCCATCAAAGCGAGCCAGCCGCAATGTCGACCCATGACCTCGATGACAAACGCGCGGGAATGCGATGAGGCGGTAGATGAGATGGAGTCGACTGCTTCGCATATCCGATGCAATGCCGTTGATGCGCCTGCGCTTGTGAAGACCCATGAGTCCAGATCAAAACATTCAGTGTTTTGACGTGCCTATTGTCAAATCGACGCCAGCCATGTCGTTATCAATGGAACCGACGAGACCGACGATGTTGAGATGCTGATAGGTCTGCGCTTGTTCTTCGGTAATCTCCTCTACAAAGGAATGAGATCAGTCGGTCAATGCTGATGAGACGTCTTACTCGATTCGGTGAGCTCTTTGATGAAGGAAGGCCACTCGTCGCGTAACTTGTCCGCTCCGGTGAGCGATCCGTCACCACCACAGACCACCAGAGCATCGATGCCTTCTCTGACGAGATTGAGGGCAGCTTTTCGTCGGCCGTCTCTTTCTCTGAAAGCTGCCGAACGAGCCGTGCCGATCAAAGTACCGCCTTCCCCCAGGAAACCTCGAACGTCGTCCCAGCCTACTTTGATGATGAACCGTCCGCCAAGCGCTACTTCTCCCTCGCCGTGCTTGAGCAACTCGCCTTCGCCATACGTAGCTACAAACCCCTGTCCACCTCCCACGCCAGGTGAAGGTTTGCTGGACGAGATGGCGGGCAAGTCCGATTGAGCGCTCTCTCTGAGATTGTTGGTAGATGAGTTGGGCGAGGGTGAGCTGTTGCCGCGCACAAGACCCTCCCAACCCTCTCGAACGACAAAAACTTGGCAACCTTTTGCGATTCCCATCCTGACGACAGCTCGTACTGCTGCATTCATGCCTGCACTATCGCCACCTGATGTCAAGACGGCGAGCCGCTTCTGCTTGGGGACGCCATTGGTCTGTGCCATGACGGCTGGCAGCTCGTGGGCAGAGCGCGGGCGACACGGGCGATTGAAAGAGCTGACCGGGCGCGAAAGTGACGAGACCTCTCCGGCAGCGATCAATAGTTGTTTCGCTCTGCGAGCCTTTGAGGACTGTGCGTCCTCTGCTTCCGACGCAGTGACAAGGAGCCTGTCGATTTCACTGGGCAGACCAGCTGCGAGGCACGATAAGAACGCCCCAGCGGCTAATGTGCCCCTCTCGCGTGTAGAGGTTTTACCGAGTTTAACGCCTATTCTTAATCGGACGGCGAACAGCAGTGCAGCGCTCTCCGCGCCTGGTCCATCGCCTTTGCTCTCGTCTACACTGCTCGAGGCGAGCTGAGAGCTCCTCATCAGGTCAAAGCAGAGGCGAGTGATGCAATACAGCGTGACCGATATCAGCAGACGGCAAGTCGAATAGCCGGGCAACGTGTGCTCCAAATCCAGCGCGGCTAACGCCTCTCGACAGATGCAGTCGGTCTGAGAGCTCTGCAAGTCTGCTCCGAAGAGTCGAGTGCGCATCGTAGGCGCTCTCCATCCGTCCCACTACCTGTCAGCAAAGGCACGACCGTGTTATCGTACAACAGCGCGTGCTTACTCCTCACCTCCGCACAACATGAAGTGTGAGTTCACTAAGAGGGCAGTCGACCCTTCAGGGAAACTCATGCAAGCGCGTAGATCTTGACGATATGCCCGAGCTGGACGCGCTCTCCAGGGCCTTGTCCTTCACGACGCCCTCGGTCAAAGTGTCGACCCGGCTGGAAGCCTACTCGTGCAAGCCGATCCACAAAGACCGCAAGCTGCTCAAGACGCTCGAAGCAGATCTCAAATCGGATCTCGAACTTACCGCTTCGGTCTCTCCGCCGGACCAAGTAGATGGCGTGTATGCCTCACCCTTCGGTCCTCTCGACCAACGCCAATCACGCAAGACGCTCTGGCTCCTCATCTCTACCCTCAATCTCGCTTTTCCAGACCACGACTTCAGCAAAGTCAGACCGGAAGAGTTCACGAAAGAGCCAGGTTCCGGGGCGGTGTTGGCAAGTCTGGGCAATGCGCTAGATCATCTCAAGGCACCGGATAGTCTTGCCCAGCAGCGCTCTTTCTCTGCTTATCCTCCTGGCGATCTCGAGACTTTTCAGAGCTTGTTCGGTGCAGGCAGTCGCCCGTCGACGGGTCTCTCGAGTTCAGCGCCTGGCACGCTCGAAAGCATGCTCATGGCTCAGCGTCGTGCGTTTACCAACTTCAACCCGGGCGCGCCTCACCAAACGCAACCAACTACTTCAGCAGGATACGGCTTTTCGTACAATACGCCCCGTCAATTTGGTCACGCTGATCCTCATCGTGGTATGTCGCCTAGCGAGATGGCCCGACAAGATGCCGTCTTGCTCGATTCGGCTCATCCTGCTCTCAAGTCGCTCTTGGATCCCGTGATCAATCTGTCAGAGTGCGAAGTGTTTAGCTACATGCCAGATACAGATTCCGATCCGCATGCTTCGGTTTCTGACGATGAAGATGCAGAGACGACGTTTGCAGACGAGGATGATGAAGAAGACGGGATGGAGCAGACGTGGGAAATGGATGGCTTGCCACGCCCATTGCAGCCCTTGACGCCAAGAAGAGCTTCGAGAAGGAGTATGCAGGCCGCGCAGGGCAATAATGCCACACCTGCTAAGCTTGGCAGAGGCGACTCTTACCACGATGCGAGCGGCGGTCTGCTCTGGTCGAGCAATTTCTTCTGGTATAACCGAAAGCTAAAGCGGTGCGCCTTGTACCATCTCTTGACCAATGATAGCTCATCCTCGCTACAGAATCTTGTTCATTTCCATCTGGGCCAGGAGAAATCGACACGGAGGCACAGCGACGCCCCAGACGCCCTCATCTGCATCAGAATCCCACTACACTCATACGCTCGATCTGTCCAATCCGGACTCGAGAGGCAATACGCCAGCACAAGATCTCAACAGATCGAGAGCGACATCCAGTCCTATCATCGTCGGCGCACCCACAAACCCTGCTCCATCAAGCCAGTCTGCCAACTACTTGCTCGCTCAGAGAGCTCTGATCGAGAGCAAGAGGCAGAGAACGGATTCGGCTGCGGGCCTTGATACGAGCAAGAAGCTCAGAATTGCCAGTGGTGCTTAGCTCGTTCGGACAAGCTGGTACCCTGTAATGCGTTTCATCATGTTGACTGTCTCATTGTATATTGCCATCTATCGCTCTGACTTTGCAGCAGCTGTGACGCCTTGGGCTCACTACTTTAGCGCCACGTGTACACCATGAGCGCGTCTGTTGCCCTCGACAACTCGAATGGCGACACAATCTCACGGCATCTCGCTATGGCTCGTACCCTCGATCGAAGCAGATCACCACTCGACCAGCCCTACCGAACGGCTCTCCATGCTCATCGGTCGACTAGCGCATGCGAATGAGACGCCCGTCTTTGCACCCCATGTCACTTTGCATTCGCGGTTGCCCCTCGAGACAGATATCTCTTCACTTGTGGATACAATCCGAGGCGTCATCGGAACGGGTCCTGCACCATCTGAGCTCGTGTTCCGAGACGTGCGCGAAGGCGGCACTGTTTTCCAATGCGTTCTTGCAGCTATCGAACCTGACAAGTCACTGTCCGGTCTGCATGATCGTCTGAGAGCGGCCCTCCAGCCTTTCGGACTGGGCGATCAAGCCGACTACTTTCCGCATCTTTCGCTGGTCTATGGTGACCTGACGAGCGCACACAAGCTCGCGATCGTGCAAGAGATCATGGTCCAAGATGAGACCTTGGCCAGCGATGGTACCTGTCGATTGTGCGGCATGTCAAGCTTCGCTCTGGGCGAACTGCAGGTCGTAAGGACTGCCAGTTCAGATCCATCAGAATGGCAATGTCTCGCTCGTCTGGCTCTGTAGAACGATAGCATAGTGACAACAACATCATGGTGTAGACTCCTCTAGCTGAATGTACCCGAACTGAACCGACCGCCCAGGGCTTTTGCATCCATGAGCATCGTCTTGCGCTCCTTCTCGCCGAGCATCTTCCCACTCACGCCCATCATGGTGTCTCTGTCCCATATAGCAGCAGGAGGTGGCGAGGGAGACCCCCGACGACGTTTCTTTCCTTCTGCGCGGTCTTGTGCCTTTTGACTTGCACTCTTCTCGTGCATCTCCACAAGTGTCTCTGCTCGGCTCGAACGCTGATCGCGATGATGAGCGCACGAGCAGGCAGGAAGACCGCGAAAGAGGGCTCACGTTGTGTTTGTCGATGGCATTGCGCATCTCGTAATCCCGTTTGCGTTTACGCTCGGCGTCCAGCTTTTCTTCCTCTGTCTCCGTCTTTGTGTTCACGACTTTCTTGCGTATGCCCATGGTCTCCTCTTGCAATCTCTTTGCTCGCTCCCTGTCGTAAGACGCTGATGAGTCAAGGATGACGGCAGAGTCGGTAAGCTCACAGAGGAGTCTCTGTCCACATTTCAGATACGCCTCCGGTGGAAGGTTGATCTTTCGTAGACGCCTGCCTGAACCCTCTCGCCTTCATCTTTGTAGGATCGAATGCTGTTCCCCTCCAAAGCGTTCGAGCGGTGATCTCCAGGAACCAAAAGGGGAGCAGACCTGCAAGCATGGAGATCTCCTTGGGCGGAACGATCATCCATTCGTCTCTCTGCAGCTTCTTCTCCTTTCCTTCCTCCTCCAGCCTCTTGCGCTCCCTCTCCTCCCTCGCAAGAAACTCGCTCACGCCATCCGTTGCTTCTTCCTCATGCGTCATTTGATCGGAAGCAAGCGGCATGGGGCCCGCTTCATCATCATCACTACCGTCCTCTCCTTCGTCTTGTGCAAGTTCTCTGTGGAGTGCGATCGCTCGTTCTTGCGCTAGGTGAGGCGGTAAGGAGGGTCCGAGCGGTTTGCGCGTCTCTGCAGTGGCAGATGCTGTTGTGGTCGCTTTGGAGGCAAGGTGAGGCGGTAGTGCGGGCGCCCAATCATCCTCTTCTTCGTCCGAGCTCATGCTGTGATGGTCAGTCAGTCTGCCCCCAAGACTCGACTTGTTAGGGGCGGATGGATGCTGACAGGCGCGCGCGATCAGGTTGACATCTTGGCCATCGTCCACGGCCAGCCGGCGAGAGTATGCATCCACCTCTGGCGCTGCACCAACACCAAGGTACGCAAGGGATCAGACTTGCCATGCTCCCGTCTGGCTGCTGAGGGGAGTACGGACAGATTGCGCACAGGTGATCCAGGCGTTACACGCTTGCCACCAGTCGTCCCTTTGGGCGAAATATACGGGCGGATGCAACAGCCTCAAGGAGGAACTGACCCAATGCCTACGAGCAGAAGTCAAGCTAGCTTTGTCGCGACATGAGCGAGGCGCTGATCGAGCCAATACAGAGACTAGAGAGGACAACGAAGAACAGGGATGACGCTGCTCAGAGGCGGCAAAAGACCCAAGCGGTCTGGGCAGCCATCGATGCCGAGTCCTGATGGCCCTGATGAGGGCCCCACGCGACAACAGAGGGTGTGTAGGGTTGTACAAAGCTTGCATCGTCGTCATCACAGCTCCGCCCGACCGGGAAGGTAGGACTCTGCACCCCTGTAGAGATCTTGCTTCGCTTGCGAGACCGTGTCTTCTAATGCGTCGTTGAGAGAGGCCCAGCCGCCCCTGTGGCGTAGCTCGGCGAGGATGACCATGCTGCCCAGGCTGACGATCAGGACAGATAGATCGTCGAGCAGCGTGGACAGGAGCGACCAGTAGCGCAGGGAAGTGAGGATGTAGGCATTGTACGGCGCTGGAATGTAAGGCAACGCCATCGACAGGAGTCCGGACACTTTCGGTCGAGCCTGTTCCGTGCTTGCCCATCAGCGAACGAGCTAGCACTGTGTGAGTTGGGGGCGACCGACCTTGAAGAGCAGCAAGCGCGTCGTTTGGAGCAACAGCTCGACGACGACAAACATGTAGAGCATAGGCTGAAAGCGGACTTCATTCAGCTTGACCTTGCGATGATAGCAAGAGAGCCCACGACGGCAGCGATCCAGCTACCTCCCGACCAGACTTGAGCAGCAAGTCCATCGGGCGTCTTGGCAGGCGAGCGCGTTGCCAGACTTCGCCATCCCTCCCACTGGACCCTCAGGCCGCCCGAGATGCTTCCCCCGAAAGTCGTCCATCGATTGCCAGGTTCGATGATGAGGATGGCATAGCCAGCCAGCAAGACCATCGAGGCAATATGGACGACCGGGAACAACCTCTCCGGCCAAGTCTTTGGCGAGACGACTTGGAGGGGAACCTCGTTGGACTGTGCACCCATGCCTTGCAACATCTGAGCGAGAAAGGGCGGCATCGTCTCAGCGTTGGCTGATCCGTCGCCGCCGCCCATATTGGCGAGCAGTGAAGCCATATCGAACGGTTTGTCTGGATTGGGCGCATTGAGGGGGGAGGCCATCGAACGAGGCCCAAAGGCAGTCGAAGCGGGATCCCATCTCGCTGCTTCGGGTCCCGATAGCTCGTCGTCGGACTCGGCCATGAGAGCAGCAGAAGGAGGACGTGGTCCACCGGATGGACCGCCAAACATGTCCCTCATCCTCTGTGCCTGTTGTCCCTGTAGCCGCTGTCGTGCTGCAGCGTCTGTTGCGCTCAGATCGATATCAGCAGGGTCATCGTTGGCAGAGCCAGTCTGTCGCGGAGGAGCGGAGGCATGGAGGGGCTGGTGAGAGCGGTAGAGCTTCTTCGCTTCTTCCTCTCCTCTTGCCGTCGTCGTGATCTTGTTCAGCCTGTCCGTCCCACGAGAGAGGATCTTCTGCCGACGCTCTTCTGCTGTCCTCTTCCGCTTGGCATCTGCACTCTCCCCGCCGTCTGCCATCCCTTGCCCAATCTTCTTCGTCTTTGGCTGACACCTACCTGATCGATCTTGCCACGGTGCGCGTCGTCGCCGAAGGAGGAGGAGCATCGAGCCAGGAGCGACGCAGAATAGATGGTCCAGCCCTCGATCGTGATTACAACAGCATACAGACTCTGCCTCTGCGACGTAGTACTCCTGGCACGCTACCCTGCCACCCGGCAACCTGCTGGCGTCACTCGCCCACTCGCATCGATGCCCTTGTCCATCGAGCGCTGACGCGCGCAAGCAGCCATAGCCTGCACAGACGAGCAGACAGACTGCTGCGCTTGTCATCTGAGTCCCTGGGTGGACTATAGCGACCGGGTGACGAACCTACACGGGAGAGCATCACATGATGGTGCAGCAGCCGCCTTGCGCAACGGGCGCATAAGGGTCTTCATTCTTCGGTAGCGGTCCCCAGATAGACGGACACTGTAGCTCCTCCATCAGCTCAGAGCCCCCTTTGTCTCGCTTGACGTACGAGATGATCCCGCGTAGATTTGCAGTACTGTATCAATCTGTTCGTATCACCACGCCATCAGCCCCACTTGGAAAACATCAACGTGCAGGAATGCGTGAGACGAACGAGGCAGAAGCTTCCGAGACCCTCACACGGGGTCGTTCGAGGTCCTCGCGTAGACGTTGGTTGTGTTCGGTCAACCGACGAAGTTTGAGCTCAGACATGCTCTGTTTGGCCGGCGCAGCAGCAGCAACGGGTGCTGCTCCCCTGTTGGCCGACATGTTTGCTTCCTGCCGAGATCCTCTGGGCCTGGTGGGCGCGAGAGAAAGTGAGGGTATTGTCTACTTTCCGATTGTTTGCCGTCGTTCTCTTGTCCACGCGCCCCGTCGGCCTGTCGTCTGCTCCTGAGCGGGTCTGAGGTCGCACGAGGATGTGTCCTGAGGCCGCTGCACGCTCGCACAGTCTAGCCTGCCGCCCACACACCGTCGAGTCCCGAGGCACAGTGCACAGTCTCGCGGCGGTAAGGTTCAGTTCAGTTCAGTCGCGCGCTCGTCGTGAATTCGATTGGTCGCGACCAAGCTCACGAGCTCGAGCGCTCAAGCCTCAAGAGATGACACACGTCTTTGGCGCACGAGGACGTACAACAGCGCCCTTTCCGAGTTGGGCACACGAGCAGCAGGAAGGGGGTATGTTGTTGCCTTGTCCTGCGAGAGTGTGCAAGACGCTAGAGCTTGAAGGGGGAAGCGGTGTATTTGACCTGTTTGGCCGCTTCGAGATCGGTGAACCAGAAGACTTGGCCCGGTGGAGCGGGCTTGATCTTGCTGCACGGTAGCTCGCCAGGGTGATCGAGTGCCTGGGCGAGTACTTCCTGTTTCCCTGCGCCCGAGGCAACAAAAGCGACTCGGTGCGCATGTCGCAGGACGGGGAAAGTCAACGTCTGTGGTGACGGCCCGTGTCAGCCATATGACAGGAGCTGCCCAAAAAGAGGAGAGAGTGACTGACGATACGTGTCGGGGGCGGTTTGGGTGAGTCGTCCAACCAGGCTACCCATCTGAGTTCTTCGTTGAGCAGTGCGTGACCGGGAAAGAGCGAGCAAGTGTGGCCATCCGGCTGGATGCGCCGTCAGCCTGACTGTGGACGACATGAACCCAAGCAGTGACTCACGCCCATGCCGAGCAAGACGAGATCGAACCGGGGAAAGGCAACAGAGTCTTTGCCCGCAAAGGCACTAGCCGCTCCTGAGCGTCAGACACGGGGACAACGACGGTGACAGGAAAGCGTAGGCGCACGTCATGAGTTGTTTCTCGTACTCGTCAGAGAGTTCTTCCGGTTCTCGCAAGAGCTTCTCGTCGATCGTGTGGATGTACTCCCTCTTGAGCTCGGGTACCTTGCTGAACAGTTCCTCGTTGCACGTGTAGAAATTCGAGTCCTCCGAGTGGAGTGGCACCAGTCTCTCGTCCGCAAAGAAGACCCTCCTACGCTCATCAGGGTGTCTGTGAACAGGTCGTCTGGGAAGAGCGCAGGAAGACTGACCATTTGTCCCATTTGACTTCCGGTCGACCAATCAATGCGTTGAGCGTCTTTGGCAAGCTACCCCCTGCCGATGCCATCCATTTAGTCAGTCTGCTGCCGATGACAGAGACGCAGAGACAGACCAGAGATGGCCAGGCGGAAGACGCCCTTCTTGGACGAGACGGCTTCGTCTTGCGCTTTGATGATAAAGTCGGCCAAACGACTCGACAGTTGGTCGGCAGTCTCGAAGGCATACAGCACTGGCGCGAGGGGTCTGCAAATTGGATACCCTATCAGCACCGATAGCAAATCAGACGGCAGGAGCCCACTTGGTGGAAGGTGCTGACTCTGCCATGACCACCGAGCGAAAGGGTGTGGCAAGTAGATGTCTGCCTGATAGATAACGCGTCCTATTCCATTTTCCCGAGTCGAGTTGGATGAAAAGCGTGAGAGAAAGCCTCCGTTCTCATAATTTGCTTCGTGTCGACGACGAGCTCGTCCACAGGCAGGCCAGCAGGATGTCGCACAGAAAGTACGAAGCCCCACGACACGGTTCGCTCGGCTTCTTGCCTCGCAAGCGAGCAGCCCGTCACCGCGGCAAAGTCAAGGCGTTCCCGAAGGATGACCCGAAGAAACCGGTCCACCTGACTGCCTTCATGGGCTACAAGGCCGGTATGACCCACATCGTACGAGAATTGGAGCGACCGGGCAGCAAGATGCACAAGAAGGAGATCGTCGAAGCGGTCACCATCATCGAGACTCCGCCCGTCAACGTCGTCGGTGTCGTCGGCTACGTCGAGACGCCGCGAGGATTGCGTTCGCTCACCACTGTCTGGGCCGAACACCTGTCTGACGAGCTGAAGCGTCGCTTCTACAAGTCTGTCTACCTCCTTCTGCTCCACCTGCGGTGATGGCTGTTGACCCGGGGCCTGCTCCGAACAGGAACTGGTACCGAAGCAAGAAGAAGGCGTTCACCAAGTACGCAAAGAAGCACGCAGAGGGAGGCGCGTCCGTCTCGAGAGAGATGGAGAGGATCAAGAAGTACTGCACCGTCGTCCGCGTTCTCGCGCATACCCAGATCAGAAAGACGGGCCTCAAGCAGAAGAAGGCGCACCTGATGGAGATCCAGATCAACGGCGGCTCGATTGCCGACAAGGTCGACTTTGCAAAGTCTCACTTTGAGAAACCCATCGAAGTGAGCGCCGTCTTTGAGCAAGATCAGAACATCGACATCATCGGCGTCACAAAGGGCAAGGGCTTCGAGGGTGTCACTCACCGGTCAGTCCCCTCCGTGACCTGACACATCCCATCCCCAAGGCTCACATCGTCCGCAGATGGGGCACAAAGAAGCTACCGCGAAAGACGCACAAGGGTCTCCGCAAGGTCGCCTGTATCGGCGCCTGGCATCCCTCCAAGGTGATGTTCTCGGTCGCCCGTGCCGGTCAAAACGGCTACCATCACCGAACGGAGAAGAACAAGAAGATCTACCGCATCGGATCCGGCGCAGACGACAAGAACGCCTCTACGGAATACGACACGACCTCAAAGGCGATCACACCCATGGGCGGTTTCGTCAGGTACGGCGTCGTCAAGAACGACTTTGTCCTCATCAAGGGTTCCTGCGTCGGTGTCAAGAAGCGCATCCTCACCCTCAGACAGTCACTCCAGATCCACTCGTCCAGGAAGGATCTCGAGAAGGTCCAGCTGAAGATGATCGATACGAGCAGCAAGTTTGGCCACGGTCGATTCCAGACCGCTGTCGAGAAGAACGCCTTCCTCGGTCAGCGCAAGATCAAGGCCTAGACTGCCCATTGCATCTGTCCCTGTTGCGCTTGCTCCTCCCTCCCTGCCTGCCTGCCTGTCTGAAAGCGTTGAGCTGGTCTTTCTCTGAGCGGTGAGGTGGACGACGACGCGACGAGTCCGATCGATCGACTGCCAGCTCGTACGTGGTCGCCTGTCGCCTTTCAAGCAGACAAGATGAGGTTGCTGAGCAGTCTGGTCGTGCTCTGCAACGCCCTGTCGGCTGCACTGGCACGGTCAAGCTCTGGCGACAGAGTCCTCGTCGTGCTCGATGCCGCGCAAGATCAGGCGAGCTACTCCCACTTTTGGTCCTCACTGCAAGGCAAAGCACGAGCCCATCCAGCCCTGTGCACGCGCTGACTGCCATGAACTGCTCTGACAGAGCGAGGCTTCGAGCTGACGTTCAGAGGAGCCAAGGAAGGAGCGGCACTGTACGAATATGATGCGCCCATGTTCGACCACATCATCCTCTTTGCTCCCTCTGCCAAGGGTGAGCCGGCTCCATCGACCTGCCTGCCTCACGACACTGATGGGGAACGAGCAGCACTGTCTTCAGATCTGTCACCGCAGCGACTGGTCGACTTCCTCACCTCTGACTCGACCGCCAAAGCCAGCGGGATCCTCCTCGCCCTGTCCAGCGATCTCTCTGAGCTCTGGCGGGATTTCGCAAGAGAGTTCTCGCTCGAGTTTGACGATAGAGGTTCATCGCTCGTTTCCCACTCGTCCGGCAATCTCTCTGCTGTCCAGATCGACACGAGCTACAGCGTGACGACGAACGCTCACTTTGTTGCTCGCTTGCCGCCTGCTCTGCCTCTACAGTACAATGGCGTCGTACACACGTTCACCCAATTACCCCTCTTGACCAATATCGTCAGAGCACCACCGGAGAGCTACTCGAGAGATCCACAGAGAGCGAGCGATGAAGGTCCCTTCGTCTCTGGCGAACAGGCCGGCCTGATAAGCGCAATGCAAACGCTCAACAATGGCAGAATCGTCTTCAGTGGCTCGCTCGACGTCTTTGCCAACTGTGACGAGTCAGTTGCAAATTCAGCTCTGGTCGGCGACTTGTCAAGGTGGACGTTCCACGAGAAAGCAGTTCTACGGGTCCTCACGCGGTCACATCGTCGCCTCATCGACGGCGAGGGAGCCCAGCCACCTTCCGAATACCGCGTAGGAGAAGAGATGGTGCGTGCAACTCTTGCTAACACGTTCTGCCAGTAGCTGAATTTGTGAGCGTAGGCTTATTCGATTGCGCTGCAAGAGTACAACGGCAAGGACTGGGTTGCATTCGAAGCGACGGATATCCAGCTCGAAGTATCCATGCTCACGCCCCATCTTCGAATTACTCTGCCGAAGGATACCGTGCAGTCGACGAGCGACGTGGGAGTCTACAGCGCTCAGTTCGCTTTGCCCGACCAGCACGGCGTCTTCACACTTCGAGTTGACTATAGACGACCCGGTCTGACATGGACGACGATCAAAGACCAGATCTCGATCACGCCATTGAGACACAACGAGTACCCTCGCTTCATAACAGGCGCGATACCTTACTACGCAGGAGCGAGCAGCGTCTCGCTTGCCCTCATCGTCTTTGCCAGTCTGTGGCTAAGGCAATGATGTGCTAGGAAAACGAATGCATCGATGCAGGTTCTATGTGGTGTACCATCTCGCTCTCAGTGTCCTTTGCTTCAACTGTGAAGCATGCCCGTGTGAGTATGACATCATGCCTAGGCAGAGATGGCTCACAGTAGGTCGTGCAAAGCCGATACCGCCTAGTAGACCTAAGCTGGTCAAGACGAGCTGGACCTTGTTGAAGTCGGGACTGAGTATATCAAACTTGCCAGACGGACTGACAGATCCGATGCAGAGATCAAGACCGGTCGCAAGGAAGATGACCGTCGACTCTAATCTCGTTGGAACACTTTGTATCCTAGCAATGCCCAACGCTCTGAGCGATTGCGAGACGATAGACATGGGATCCGGATTCAGCAGGGAATCGTACGGTATCAGCATCGCCTCTTTGTCTGCTTTGGTAGGTACGAGTGGCCTGCGAGGATCGAGCAGTCGTGCTGCGATGGAATACACTCTACCTGTATCGGTAGCAGCAACGACATTCTTGTTCGTGATGCCTAATCGACTTTGCGTAATGCTCATCGATGCGATCCCGAAGGGAACAGCAAATGTCTTTGCTACAGAGTCGAGCGTATCGATCGTGCTGGGATGCGTATAGCTGAAGAGCTCGACGGAAGCCAGTCGAGAGGCCGAAGCCGCTTCTTCAGGTTGGTAGCTATACACCAGCCAATTCTCGGAGAGTGCAAGCGTGATCCCGCTCGATCGCGTATTTCCGTGATATGCTGACCAAGCGAGGGCGCCTGTATCCGCATCGATGATCTGAACGAGCAGTGTCGAAGTTTCAGTGCTGTAAGAGGCGATGGCTACGAGCTCCGAGGCGAGATACTTGTAGACTGAGCTGCGATCAGTCATGACCTTGCCGAGATTGGCGACAGCGCTCAGACGAGCAGAAGCGCTCGTGATGGTTCTGTAGCCCTGCGGGAGATGAAATCGCCACGCCCTCGGGCCCAACGCTTCCACTGCTGTAGCAGACACGACCAGCTGGTCGGGATCGATTCCGTCAGTCTGCTTCCCATCGACTGTATCAAGAATCTTCTTGTTATCGGCAGACCGGCCAGAGAAAGCGAGCGTCTTTGAGGTCGGTCCCTCAACTTGACTAACTTTTGCACCAGTCCAGTAGACCTCACTCTTGCTTTCTGCTGTTTCTGCGCGCCTCTGGCTGACGAGCTTCAGATACCCATCGTACGCTCGCAATGTAAACGTGTTGCCATATCGTGAAGCTGCGTAGATGGTTCCCCGCGGGACGAGCTGCTCCTTACCCGATGATACGGGAGAAGATTGGCCTTTGTTCGAACCGAACAGGCCGAGGAGCAGTTTGAACTGCCTAGCAATTCTCTGAGCAGCATTCTCAGATTGGACGGCCGCTGCTAGAGCAGTCGGAGCAGTGAGGATGGGCTCGAAATGAGTCAGGCCGCTTGAGAGAGGACCGATAGCCGAAAGACCTTCTTCTCTCTTCCAGACATGAATGAGGCCTCTTTGCCACTTTTGTATTGCACCCGATGCAGCCACTGTGATCGATTCTGTCTGAGGTAGACCGATGACGTCCAAGACCGGTCCCTGTTCTTTGGCATTGTATGCCATCTCGTACGAATTGATCTGTGGCTTGCCCGTTTGCGTCAGGCGGACGACTTCGGATCGTTCGACTTGATAACCATTTGCATAGACTGTGGTCAAAAGCAATGCGGAGGATGCAGCGTAAGCTGTCGTTCCAATGAGTGTTTCGTCTGAAGATGGCGCTGAGGATTGATGCACGAGCCGCACACCCTGTCGCGACAGATGGAGCACGGCTGGCAGAGCTGCTCTGACGAGGATCCACTCTGGTCCGTATGCCTCGAGCTTGGCTTGCGAACCTATGCTCGCTTCGATCTTGACGGGCTTGCTCAGCTTGTCGTCTACGACTTGTGCAGACCAAAGCTTGTCTGAAGGGTCGAGCCAGACGAGCCAGGCTGATCCGTCTGCGTAGCCGACCAGAAGGCTTTTGTCAGACTGTACAGCACTGATCTTGCCCGCATCAATCTCGCTGAGCGAACCGTCGTGCAGCGCTACAGTATAGGCTTTCGTATGCTTGCCTTGCCGAGAAAGCAAGAGTGCTTGGTCATACCGACTCTGCGCGAGAGAGTGAAAGTCCTCATTCGAGCTGCTCGAATCTGATGAGCGTGGATCAACCGAGACGGAGAAGGCTGACTCTATGCTTGTGCTCCATAGCTGCGCGCCGGTATCTGCTTGCCATGCGAACAGCCCGTCGTCTACTCGTCCAACGACGCATAGAGATTGCTCGTGTTGAACGAATCCAGCCACAGCACTCGGCGCAGTGCTACTGCGTTCCCAGACCAGCTTGCCAGATTGCAGCTCATAGAGTGCTATACTCTTCGAGCTCGTCACGAGGAGATAATCGTCCTTTGCTTGCAGCGCCATCACTTTAGCGCCCGTAGAGAGGCGGTGACGCCATGCGACCTGACCGTCATGGCATGCAAGCGCTGCCAATATGTCTCTGTCGGTATACAGTATCGTGGTACAGTCCGTCGAGCCGTGGATGGCCCGCTCAAGCACGAGAGGACGAGGCGCTGCGAGGGGTCGTCCGATGAGCTTGAGCTGGCTGAAATGCCCATCTTGACTGTGCTCGAGCGGCAACATTGTCGAGCGTGCCAAGACTGCGCTGAGCAGGGCTGGAAAGGCCCATCTCATGCTGGGGGAGCGAGCGTAGAGCGGCTTGTCGCCTGACGCCGAACGTACAGACGCGTCTCTCTCGTCTATCGACAATCAGGTGCGGCTCGATGACGACATTCCAGGAACGGTGGCACTTGGATCCCTCGGTCGGCATCCTCAACGTCTGCGCCTATGCTACTTCTGCCTTTGCATCGATCGCTTTCATCGTTTTCGTCAATACGACCCAAGTAAGCCGCATACCCTCTTATCATCGATGACCGCTCAAGCAGCATGACTTTCTAGCCAGCAGTACTGCAAGAAATAGTAGGCATCAAAGACAATCTAGCCAATATCAACGGCAACCTTCTCGTTGCAGATGAATTGCTCGCTCTCATCGCCGTATTGCTCTTTGGAGCCATCGCCGATAGAGTGACTCCTCGACCCGTCGCAGTCTCGGGACACTATCTCATCGCGCTATCTTTGCCCATCTTTGTGAGCAGCAAGCGTGCGTTTCCAGACATGCTCGCCGCCAGATTGGTCTACGCTCTCGGATCGGCGGCATTGACGACGATGCTAACTGCTGTTCTGGCATCGATGACCGCCGTGACGGTAGCGCAACCGATGCCAGCAGAGCGACAGCCGCTCTTGCAAGAAGAAAACGCAGTCAACAAGCTCGCTCAGGCTGTACCAGAGCCGCCCAATGCGACGCGACTGGCGGGTTGCGTGGGAATGGCCACAGGCTTGGGCGCAGTCACATCTGTCTTTGTACTCGTCAGGCTTCCCTCGCACTTTACGCAACACTCTATCGCCTCTGCAATCCGGCTCTCCTACTATATTGTGGCAATCGCTGCTCTCTGCGAGGGTACTTTCCTCATCTACGGCCTCAAGAGGAAAACAGCCTCACCCGTCAAGACTGTCGCTCGGCCTTTCAACCCCCGTCACGACCTACAGACGGGCTTCAAATTACTCGCAAGCGATGCCAACGTAGCTCTCGCCTGTCTTTCCGGCTTTGCAGCTCGGAGCCAGACCATTCTCGTCTCTGCAATGATCCCTGTTTTGATCCTACAGTACTCCCGGCAGGACGATTGTCAGCCTGCTAGCGTGCCCGGCGATAGACCAAAGTGCCCCTCTGCTCTGGTCCTGACGGCTCAGATAACAGGCACAGCTCAACTATGCGGTCTCATCGCGGCACCCCTCGTAGGTTTTCTCGGCGGTCGGCTACGACTGCGAGCGCGTCACCGTCTTCTGGCTTGCGCCTTTGCTTTGGGCGCAACAGGTCGGTCCTGCAACTTCAGCTGATCGAACGAAGCTGATCCGGTCGAGCTGTCAGGTTCGTTGTGCTTCGCGCTGATGCCCAAAGGGAATGCTCGCTATCCCAGCGTATGGCCAGGAGCAGTCCTTCTCGGTCTCTCGCAAGTCAGCGGCATCGTGCTCAGCTTGGCGCTCTGCGCATCGGCCCGATCGCATCTCAAAGCTAAAGACAACGAAGAGCTTGCTGGCCGTATCGCGGGTGTCTACTCGCTCAGTGGTGGTCTGGGGTATGTGCCAGGAATTGGCGAGTGGCATCGAGCTGAAGAGCTGCTCAGGATACTGCTCCTGTCCAAGCTGGCTGCTTCCTTTGCAGACAAGACGCCTAGCTTTCCGTTCTTCCTCATGGTCGGTATAGACTCAGTCACGGCACTGGCGGCGCTCTTTGTCTCGTTTCGCTCATAGAATGAAGTATCAACACGATAGACTAACGTTTGCTTGCTTGTTGTTCACATACAGAAGGTCTTCACGAGTTCGTCTAAGCCGTGTCCATCGCCTTTGAGCTCTCTACAAAGTCGTCTATCAAGCCCGGCCAGGCGCCATCGTCCTCGTACGACTCGCATTTTGCATCGCAAATTGATGCAAAGTCGAGGAACTGTCCTCGAGTGATTCAGTGAGATTTAGCAGATGGAGCGACAGAGCGACAAACCTGTGACCAGACATCTTTGCTGATCGGTCTGTTCTTTGTCTTCTCGGTCAGGTAAGTCGTCCAAGCTTGCAGACCTTGCGTCATGTCTGTACTCCCCTGTAGGGGTCTGAACATGGAATGCGGCTCGAAGAAGTGAGCCGGTGCGAGTGGCAGGAGTAATTGCCAGAGCTCAATTGCAGTTTCGAGCGCTGTCGCAACCTGGTACATTAAAACAAAATTGGCTGACGAGCAGGAGAACCCGAACCCATGACGCGGCCACCTTCGACCTTGGCGTAGTCGAACGTAAAGCTGTATATCCTCCGATAAAGGTGCATATCCCTAGACATCTCGTCGCGCAAGCTAGGTATGTAGGCTTTTTGCTGTGCAATCGTCTCTTTCCTATGGACGACAAACGGTCAGTCCCATGGGATCGCGCTCTGTACAAGTAGACACACCCTAGCGCTTTCCAACCCTCAAGGTAGCCTTTGCGCTCAAAGGTACCCATAGATGGCGCTGAACAAAGTTGCGCGACAGCGAGCATGATCGGATCTGTAGGATCTACTTCTAGCTTGGTGCAGTACTCTATCGTGCCGTCGTAATCTGTTAGATCGATGCCCTGACCTGCTCGCAGCTCCTTAGCGTTGCAAACACAACTTTACGTTTGTCTTACTGACCTGCAAAGGAGTCGAAGGCTTTGTTGAGATTGTTGGTCGTGGCGGTGTCGGCAGGCTTGCGAGCGTTGGCTTGAGCGACTGGATCTGACCAGAATGCGTCAACAGCATGATCCAGCACCCACCTGCTCTTGCGTCAACTCGATCGAATTTCGCACACAGCCCTTCCAACTGACTTGTGATTTTTGAGCAAGCGTTGCGCATCAATTTCACTGCCCGTCTGACGTTGTTAAGCTTGCGCGAGCTCATGAAGGCCCCACTGACGTCGCTTGCGTAAAGTCGATCAATCTCGCCGTCATGGCCGTCTTTTGCTTTTGGGTGAGCGGTGCCTGACGGTCATCTGAGCCGAGGATAGTGTTGGATACGAGTGGACATACCATCGTTAGGGACTCAGGCTCAACAAGTGCCCTGTGAGCGCTCGTGTGCGACCACCGTACCGCGATTTTATCGGTGCGCGAGGCTCGACTGCCCGCGTGGGGAAGCTTGCCCGGTTGAAGGCAGGTCGGGACCGCAAAATTCTGCCAGCCTGCAGCACTGCCCGCAATTCACCCACGCAAACTTTGGCTAGGCAGAGGTACAGAAGGCGAGAGCGACAGAGAGAGACAGTGAGATCATAAGCAAAGAAGAGCGGACCCGGTTGAGCGACAGACTGGGGGCCAGATTGAACAAAGCTGCCTGAAGTTGGCAGTGATGAGCAACCAGTTTGATCCTTTTCATGGTTATTCGGGCAATCCTTCTCAAGGGCCACCTCCCAACAATGGTCCACCGGGTGGTTATGGTCCTCCGCCGTCTCAGCAGAGAGGCATGATGCCGCCTAATAACCAATTCGTCCCTCAAGGCGGTCCTGGTGCTATGCTAGCCGGCCTGAACCCGCAACAATTGGCTGAGCTCTTCAATGCTTTCCAGCAACAGCAAGGAGGCAACAATGGATACATGAATCCTGGCTTTGCTCCTCCTCCCTCTCATCAGGGAGGCTACATGAATCAGTCGATCGGGATGCCTGGCGGTCCAGCTCATTCACCCGGTCAGATGCCTTATGGTGCTCCGCAGCATCAGATGCCATTCAATTCCGGTTATGGCGGTCCACGTGAGCCTGAGCCTTATCGAAGAGGAGACCCAATGGGTCCTCAGCCTGGCTATGGAGCCCGAGGTGGTCGAAATGAAGCGTCGATGGGCCCGGGCCCAGTCAGAAATGTTCGCGGAGGTCCTGGACTCGGACCGTCTGGCCCTTCTGGCCCCTACGATAGACGAAGATCGCTTTCACCTCCCCGCCGAGGCTATGGTCCCGGTACAGATTTTGGCCCGCCACCTACAAGAGATCGCCGAGGTGAGGTTGGTTTATTGCTTCGTGTCTCCCCCTGCCAGCGTGAGAATGCACTCATGCGCTCAATCTTGCTCTTCGAACACTCGATGAACATGCGCTGAATGAAAACTGTTCGATGAGCAGAAGGAGCTGCGCCTGCCATGTCGCCCAATGATCCCAGGAACCGAGAAAGACCCGGCCGAACGCTCTTTGTTCGCTCAGTCAAGGTATATCTGCCAGGAGCCCTCGCGCGAGGTATCAGGCTGATCTGAAGTGCAGTATGATACCAAGCCTCAGGACATCCGCGATATGTTCGAGAGATTCGGAGAGATCAGATCGTTCTACGACATCATCGGCAAGAGAGGCATGGCATTCGTTTCATACTACGATCTCAGAGCTGCCCAGATGGCCAAAGAACGATTGCAAGGTACCCAACTACAAGGCAGACCTATCGACGTTCACTTTGGCGTGCCTCGCGACGAAGATCGCAAGAAAGCTTGTCAGCGCGATGACAACCAGGGCACGCTCTTCCTCACCGTCACGGGCGCCCAACAACCTATCGACGATGCCGCTCTCGGCCAGATGTTCGGACAATTTGGTGACCTTCGAGACATCCTGCCCAGTGGCGCCAATCCTCATCAACGCTTCATCGAGTATTTTGATGCCAGAGGCGCCGAAACCGCATTCGACAAGCTCAAAGACACACCATTCCTCGGTGGCACGCTCGATCTGAAGTATGCATGGGACTACAGTGCACCTGCGCCGCCTTCAAGAATGCCAGAGACCCAAATGGGCGCTCCTCGCCCGAACGCACCTCTCCGACCTGGCGAGCACAACGGCTATAACAGTCCGCATCAGCAGGGCGCGCCCATGCCTGTCAGTCTCTTCTTCCCTAGCTCGTCGATCCTGTACTGACGTAGAAGAACAAGCAGAGTATGAATGGCCGACTCGAGCAGGCTCATAAAGTTCAGGAGCTTCTCGCGTCGCTTGCGCCAGGCGGTGCCAATGGCTTACCAGCTGGCATGCCTGCTCCACCACAACAGTCGGCTTATCAGAGCGGTCCTCCGCCTATGTCATCGCCAGTAGCGCCCGCGCCCGCACCTGCGCCTGCGCCGGCAGCGGCAGTGCCTGCACCGGCCGCGATCCCACCTGCACTGCAGGCTTTGCTCGACAAGGCTAACGGCAGTCTGAACAAGACAGCGACGCCTTCCATCACGCAAGCTACTAAGCCGCCAGCGAGCACCGCAACACCTGACGTCAACGCACTGCTGGCTATGCTCGCAAAGCGCAATTAGCTCAGCTCCGACACGCCTGTACTCTCTATTGTAATCTGGTGTGACATTCATGCATGGCCATACAATGACAGATGAGGACATCTAGGTCCGAGGGTATCTAATCGGATTAGTGGATCTGCGAAGGTTGCGAAGGCGTCGTCTAGACGCCCAGATTCAGCTTGTCTAACATATGCTGATAGCTGCGAGTCCATCCTCATGGTCAGCACAGCCTTATGCAGAAAGAGGCAAGAAGCGCACATGTATTTGTAGCCCCACAGCTGACCCTTGAGCCGACGAATGTCAACACTATAAAGACCAGAGAGATTCTTCATGCGAGTGATCTCGACCGCGAACCGACATTCGTCGCCACTGTCGGCATCGCCGTAGAACGGCAATGGCTGTGCATGCGACAGACCGTCCTTGTCTGATTCTGGCGCGCCTTCGGTTGAGATAGCGGGCGAGGCGATGCTCGGTGTGTCTGCCGGCGAGGGTTCCTTCGACTTGCCAAAGAGAGTACGGAATGCGATGCTAGGCGATGTCGTGATACCCTGAACAGACACGGAGCCTCGTCGACCAACTCCCTTTTGCGTCGTCTGGCTGGCGGCAATAGACCCGCTGCTGGCAGCATTCGTTGAGTAAAGCCCAGATTTGTCTGCAGCGCTCGCTTTCTTGCGGCTTTTGCGGACGCATTTGACTTTGAAGTCGCCTTCCGATACGACCTCGATACCCATGTCCCACAATACCTTTCGCACGTCGTCCATGACAAGCACAGGAGGGCGCGAAGTGATAGCATTTTGATCAACGGCGCCATGATGAAAGCGAAGGCGAGCTTCATTGAACGGTTCGGCAACCACGGTAGCTTCTTTGTTTTTCGCTTCGGGCTTCTTTTCACGTTCAGCAGCTTGATCAGGCTTGTTTGCGGCCGATAGCGGCGGAGTAGTTGTCGCTGTGGCGGCAACAATCGGCGAAGGCGCAGTCTTGGTCGAAGAAGCGGTGCCCTGACCGGTGGACGCTGGCACTGATGGCGTCGAAGCACGGCTTCTGTTATCGAAAGAGGCGCGAAGGCGTTCGATCTCTGGCGCGAGTGGCGGATTCTCTGTCGCGGTATCTCGAGATGTCGATCTCCATCTGAACCAGTCCATGACACGCTTGGCCTTGTTGCCAGCAGAAAAGGCGGCGTTTGCCCAAGTCGGATCACTCGGAGCCATCGTGCTCGTCTCGGCCGCAGCTGGCGCTGCTTTGCCAGTCCGAGCAGACAAGCTTGGCACGCTGCCTTGGCTAGGACTCGCTTGAGATAAGATCGGCTTAGGTGCAGGCGGAACTTCTGCCAGCTTGGAAATGGAAGAGCGGCTGCTTGATGAAGGGACCTTGGAGCTTGTTCTCGGCGCAATTGCGCTGGAGCGTTTGGCGGCACGTGAAGCTTTGCCGATAGGCTCAACGACCATGCTGATCGCCTTGCGACGGCTAGATCGACGCTTCGCTTCTTTCGCAGCTGCTTGCTCCTCTCTGGTCGGCAAGGTCGGCGGCAAAGGTTGTAAAGTATCTTCTTCGACAATTGTTGCAGGCTGAGCAATGACAATCGTAGGGGCGGCAGGCGATGTTGCTGCTGGCGCGGACTGGCCCAATCCACTTGAGGGTACAGCCGAAGTATCGTCGCTGCGTGCTTGTGCAGCCATCGTCTTTAGCTCGCTGTCGGAGGCAGCCACCGGTGTCGAGCTTGTGGCAACCTGAGGACTATTCAGCTCCTGCTCGAGCGCAGTAGCAGCGGCGGATGGGAATTTCTCGCGAATACTGTCAGACTTTGGCTTTGGACGCGAGCTTGTCCGTGCAGCGTACCGGGCCGGATCGTACTCGACTTGCACAGTGTAGCGATGCGCCTTCTTGGCGTCTGTCTTCTGCTCTACTGGAACAATCGTTTCGGTCGAGACGATTGGGACTGCCGTTGGCTCCTCTATACGAGCTGCAGGCGCAGCACCATATTCTGGCTCCGTAAGAATCTCGCTGGTCCGCATGGGCGCTGATAGAGAAGACGAAAGCGGTATCGAGGCGGGCACAGACAGGCTTGCTTCCTCTGCTGTAGCGATCGAGAGTGCCGAGCCTGAATCCGATTCGTCGGGATGCTCGACTGTAGGCACAGTAAGTGCAGACTGAGGCTGCCCCGCTCGCGTTCGGGTGGAGCGAGAAGGTCGTTCTGGTCGAGCGGACGAGCTGACTTCATCTGATCTTGCAGTCGGCGTGACCATTGCGCTCTGATGCCTTGCAGCAGCTTGACGTGACTTAGGCTTGATGCCTGCAGCTTCTTGCTGCTGAGCAAGAAGGATCTGTCGCTGTCGGTGAAGCATTGCCCTCTTCGTTGCCTCGTTCTCAAGTTCCATCTGCTCTAGCTCGTCGACCGTCCGCTCGAAGAGTGGCACGAATCGCTTGAGCCACGGATGGCGCATAACATCATCGAGAGTACATCGCTTCTTTGGATCGGAGATGAGCATTCGCAGCAGCAGATCTCGTGGCTCTGGAGTGATCCACTCGGGAAAGGAAAGCGGAGTGCTGATGATGTACTTGTACAGCAGGTTGATGTTGTCACCGTCCGGATTTGCTGGGTCGTCATCGAACGGGAGATAGCCAGCGAGCATCGCATAGAGTATGACTCCACAAGACCAGACATCGACAGCTGTACCGACATACTTGCCATCTTGCACGACCAGCTCTGGCGCGGCATAGCAAGGCGAGCCACATGATGTAGCCATAAGATCGTTATCGCGGTTCTCGAAACGATTCGCAAAGCCGAAATCTGTGATGATGATGTTGCGATTTCGATCGAGCAGCAGATTTTCGAGCTTCAGATCTCGATGCACGATCTTCTTCGCGTGCATGTAGTTGACGCCAGAGATGAGCTGCGCAAAGAGCTTGGACGCATCACGATCTTTGAGATATCGGTGAGCTAGGATGTGGTCGAAAAGCTCGCCACCTGCGAGGCTGTTTAGCTGGGCAATCTCGTAAAACCGGGTGGGCGTACCACTAGCGTAGTCGAGTACAATGCCAATATACTTCTCTGTCTCGATGACATCGTACAGTCGGACAATGTTGGGATGTTTTACAATCTGTCAGCAAAGGGACGCACATCAGCGCATGCTCGCTCAAGCTGGTGTGGAATGACTGACCCTCAGGACTTCAATCTCTCGCGCTACCTTGAGCATCCTTGCCTGCGATTCTTGCACACTGCCACGCTTGATCAACTTGATGGCGACCTCTTCGCCCCAACGATCGCCGTGCACGCCAAGCTTGACTTTGCCAAACTCGCCTTCGCCCAGCGTCTGCAAGAGCTGATATGGCCCAAAGAACACTCTCGGTCGACCATTGCTCAACGAAGCTTGAGCGGCGACCAAACTGGGAGTCATTGGCAGCAAGGCTGCGTCCGGCAGCGTGCTCGTGATTTGATGGGACGCTCGCTTTGACGCAGTCGAGGCTTGCACTGCTGCGCTCCGCTGGCTGGCTGATTGCTGCGAGAGAGGTTGCAATTGGTCCGCATTCGGCGATTCAAAGCCATGTTGGCTGTCAGAATCGATTGGCACGACTGTCGTTGTGGCAGGTCTATGCTTTTGTGCTTTCGGCTGACTTGCTTGTGTTTTCGCGGGTGCTAATCTGTCAGATATCGTTGTACCCGAATCGGCCATCGATGAGGTCGAAGCGGACATGGGCGGTGACATTGGGGGCGTCATGAGACCCGTCAAGCCGGTTGGGTAGCCCATGGTCGACAGACTAGGCAGCAAGGGCGAGGCAGTGGAGGACGCAAGCGATGCCGTGCCGCCTGATTGTTGCGAATGCTTGCCTTTCGGGTCGAACGGCGGAATGAAGAAGGCGTCCCGAGCGGCAGCAGCAGCACGGGCCTTTGCAGAACTTTCTGAGCTTGGCCCGCTCGTTTGTCGCGTGCCCTGAGTCGAGACAGACGACACAAGATCACGAGATGATCCTACGCTGCTTTGAGACCCTAGGTAGGCCATGTTTGGAGACGTGACCGGGCTTGGATACATGCTTTGGCTTGTCGGTATCGTGCCGAGTAGCAGGCTCGCGCGTTTTTCTGCGCGTTCTGCTCTTGCGGTCGCCCGCGCACGTTTCGCGGCTTCCTCGTCAATCGGGACGCCAGAGGATGCTGTCTCACCCGATGGTCCGGCCGCGCTCGTCATGATGAGCTTTTGCGCGTGATCCCAGTCGGACGGGATAGGGGCGCTGCTAAGGCCCGGTAGGCGCTACCAGGCAAGCCTGATGTGATATGCGTTCGCTCAAGGCAGAGTTAGCATTGCTGATCTTCGATGCCGTAGCTACGCTAGCCGATACTGGCAGCCGACCAGGCGTTTGGTCGCCTTGAGCGTTTGGCTTCGCGTGAGGCCAAGACGATGCTGTCCCCGCACGCACGATCTGAGCTCGTGAGGCGGATAATTGAGCGTCTGGAAGAAATGCCAATCGGATGAGTCTCGAGACTTTTCCTGCGATCTTGAATGCAAACGCACCCTCCTGACGAATGAGGCGCCGGGCGAACGTTTCAAGCTGGCCTCGCAACCCGCGCCTGCTTGCACCCTTGTTGGAGTAGCGACGCTCCTGGCACCGCGATCCTATACTACACACAGTGGCGAGCCTGCACCTGCTGCTGAGCTAAAGTTTGAATGCGCACACACAGTTTGACGACAACGACAGCGGCGGGCGGCGTGTCTCACACAGAAATGCAGTCCCGGCGACGCGTGGCGCGAGTCGCGCTGATTGGATTTTGCCTTTTGGAGTTGATCGCACGCCTGGCTCCCTCTCAATATTTTTATTCTATCGTAGAGCTCACAGAAAGTGCGGCAAGCAGTGAGCCTGGGTACTCTGCGCGTCGACTGATACGCTCGGCATGAATGCATACCGTTGGGGCTCAAGTATAAGCTTCCTTGAGCTGAGCCAACGCAGCGTGATACGACTCAACATACGGCGCGACTTGTCTTGCCTTGACTTGCAGCCGACTAACGCGTGACAGATGCTGCGCATCGGTCAGAAGAGCTTTGAAGAAATTAGCTTCTTGGGATTCGACGAGACTCCAAGCGTCGCCGGGCCTGCCTGCCCGAGCCGTTCGTCCGACGCGATGGACGTACTTGCGCATGTCGACAGGAACGTCATAGCTGATGACGTGCGCGACCGAAGGCAGATCTATGCCCCTTGCGATAATGTCGGAGCAGATCAACCTGGGTGACGTCAGGATCAGCCTGACTCGGGCAGTCTGTCGGTTGGACTGACATGTCAATCTCGCCGGCAACAAAGGCAGCCAGGATCTTCTTGCGCTGCGGTACCGGCAGCGAGCCAGAGAATTCTTTGACTTTGAAGCCTTGATTGTCTGCTCCTTCGGATCGGGACGCGTACTCTGTCTCGAAGAGCTCTACGAGCTTCGCTAGGCGTTGTGCAGACTCGACAGACTTCGTGAAACAGAGCACGTTCGAGAGTGACTTTGCATGAAGCAGATAAAACAGCATCAGCGGCTTCGAGCCTGAGGAAGTGACAAGCATGTGTTCTTTGAGCGTCGCGGGTAGAGCAAAGTTATCTTCTGTCTCCAGCTCATCCATCTGGTCGTCCCTGGCTTCTCTGACCGCAACAAAAACAGGGTTGCGCAGATTGAGCGCGGAGACCTGTCGTGGATCTCTGCTGAGCGTAGCCGAGCACAAGATCTGCTGGAGAGGCTGTATCGGGGTCTCGCTCATCGACGTAGTCGCTTGCTGCAAGGCGAGCACATGAGGCGCAGCAGAGGCGTCTCCTGCGAGCGGTAATTCGGCAGCATCTTCACTGGTAGGCGGAGGGTAGCGCAGATGAGCCTGCACGACTTGCAGCCAGTCCTGAAAAGATTGGTTTAGCAATCGGTCCGCTTCATCCATCACCAGAAAGCGCAGATGTTGGAGTGAAAGATTGGGCGATTGAGTGAGATGGTCAATCAGTCTGCCCGGAGTGGCGATGAGGATGTCAACCTTGCTAGATCCGCCCGGATAGTAGTGGGCTGAATCGCCCACGAGTATCGCCTGCTCTTTTTTGAAAGACTGTGAACCTGTTGCTGTGCCGATTCGAAGCGAGGTGCCTTTGCAGTAGATCTCAAACGTATCTTTGACCTGTGTGACGAGATCGCGTGTCGGCAAGATGATGAGAGCCCTCATACGAGTCACAATGGTAGTGCTCAGCATCTGTTGTCCCGTATGAGTAAGCGAGGCGTGGTGACGAAAGGGTACTTGACGTACCTGTACGATAGGTAAGACGTAGGCGAGGGTCTTGCCGGAACCTGTAGGTGCATTGACGCATAGATCGCGAGGTGGGTAGCGAGGGTAGAGCGAGCGAGTCTGCTCTGTGCCGAGGATGTGCTGGCAGGTAGCCATCTGAACAGCAAAGAGCGTCTCCAGCCCTTGTTCTTGCAGACGGATGAGAAGTGTCGGGCTGAGCAAAGGCGCATTCGTTGCGCTGTCGAGCAGCGACCCTGGCGAGACGGTGTCATTGGCGTTGACCATGAAGGGACGAGATAGCTCGTCTGCGATCGCTAATCGGGCAAGCAGCTCTTTAGAAGGCGGGGCAGGCTGAACAGGTCTGGGGAAGCTTTGCAGCCCAGTCGATTCGACATCCTCTCCTTCGACTTGAGCATCTCTGACTTCTGCCACTTGGAATTCGGATGATGGCTCGATTGTCTGCTTGGCAAGTGCCTTTTCGGCTTTTGCAAGCTGCCTTGCTGCCTTTCTTGCCTGACGCTCCTGCTTCGTTTCTCGCTCGGGTGCACTGTCCTCTTTTGGCGCCTTTTTTCTTTTCTTGGACGATCCTGCTATTGCCTCGTGACTATTGCCCTGGACCTCCGCACGTTTGGCTCTTCTCTCTGCCTTGCGTCTGGCTTTCGCCTCTACCTCGGTTTCGGCCGTCTCTGTCTCGTTGGAGGATGGCTGTAAGCTCAAGACTGCATCGACAGGTTGTTGCGATTCGACCGAACGAGCGTTGGCTCTCTGCTCCGCCAATCGAGCTTTGCGTCTCGAGAGCTTGCGTGTGAGGTACTTCTGCTTCGCTTTCGTTTTGGCCTTCTTGGGCGCAACGCTTTCTTTGCTCTGCGCATCATCTGAAGCCTTGACGCGTTGCGCATCCTCTGCCGGCTCGACCGAGATCCTCCGCTTCTTCTTCTTTGGCTTCTGGACGTCTCCCGCTTCTACAGGCGCGAGTGCAGGCGGCTCTATGGTCTGTGGATGCTCAGGGACGACTTGTGCGAGTCTTTTTTGACGATTCCGTTCTATTCGAGCTTGTAGCTTGGCCTTGAGGTCTGCCGGGTCGACATGATCGGCCGGAGACCCTTGTACGACGGAGTGCGGTCCTAGTGGTGATGCAGCGACCATCGTCGAGGCTGAGGCAGATGCCGCTGTCGGGCTCCACGTAGCATCGCGTCGCTTGTCGGCCTGTCGGCAGTTCCCCACTTGCTCAGCTCAGCACTTGGCAGGAGGACGGGCTAGACTTGGCAAGCGTCTCTCGGGAAGTGACACTCAGGTGCAGGCCTGCGCTGCCCGCTGTAGCCGTCTCAGCAATCGGCCAGTACGAGGCTGCTTGTCAGCTCTCGCTCGTGCACAAGCAGCGATAAAGAGGCACCTTACCGTCTGAGCGCGCTCTTAGGTGCACGGACTGTCCATCTCGCTCTCTCGCAAAGTGCTCAGCCTCACATCGCACGCATCCACAGAAGAGGAACCGCCACAGATCAGCAGCCGTTTCGCTGTCGATGAGCATATAGTGGAACAACGAGCCAAGAATGACTCGATCATGCATCATCGGCCTCCTTGCCGGCCTGATGTCGGGTTGCCGGGCATACATTCCAGCAATGTCATCCAACGATACGGCACTGACACCTCAGAATTCGGGCGATTGGATGCAGATCCAATGGCAATCGCTCGGCTCGCTCACTTCTCCCGTCTCTCTGCAACTTACTGCGGATAACTCGACGGGCGTAGCGCGAGGAGCGCTTGTCCATTTCTCTGAACAGAACGACACCCTACAGACGCCCAGTGACGCTCCCTGGATCGCTTACATCAATTGCGACACCAACGGCACTTTGGGCACCTACTCCATGGAGACTGACATCATCACGCTTTGTCGCGACAAGGCAAGCCAGCTTTGCTGCTCATCCCCCGCAGATGCTGACGGCCATCGTGTCCAGGGTGCAGTGGCAGTGATGCTGTACAGTCTGACCAGCGTCGGCTGTCTCGTCAACGAAGAGTATCTCGACAACTTTGAGAAAGTGCTCGACGTCTTTGCAACGACAGACGTGCAGAGCTCCCGCCTGATAGAATCGCAGTTCTCAAACGTTCTGCCTTCCTCCTTCCAATACAATGCCACGCTTCTCAATGCTAGCGCAGACGCAATCTGGACCACCCTGAACCATTCTGTCCTGCCCGTCGTTCCGGCTTCGGACCTCAGCACGACCTACCCCACTTCGACATCGCTCGATCCCAACGCACTGTCTAGCACAGATGTCGCTACATCTACTTCCGCTCCCGATCTCTTCGGTGACGATGGTACCACGACAGCGCTAGCAAAGCGACAGATCACCGCGGAGCACAGTACCCGGACGAGTGCAGCCGACGCATCCCGGACAGCCTCACCTGGCAGCACGCCCAGCGCTGCAGCACTCGGCAACTATCTCATCGCAATTCTTGCGACAGCAAATGCTACTGTATCTAATTCCACCTCATCCCCGGCCGGGACCATACAGGGCGGCTCAAGCGGGTCCAAAGCATCCACGAGCGTTGCCAGTAAGCACAGCCCCCAAAGCTATATCTTGTCCCATCAGCTCATGAGCATGTACAGTGATCATACTCTATGCTATCTCTGGACTCGTCACGGTTCTGTTCCTCATCGTCATCCTCTCCGGCGCCGTCAGAGCATTACGACATCCCGAGCGATACGGGCCTCGATCGGGCCACGATCCAGATCATCCAGACTGGGAAGGCGTACCTCAGACACGTGCAGGCGGCATCACCCGAGCTATCTTGGACACTTTCCCCGTGATCAAGTTTGGCTCGAGGCCATCGCCGACCCAGCCCATGCGAGGCGAGGAGGCCTACTCAAAGTCTGCAGACGATTTTGATGAGGCGGATGAGACGGGGAGCAAGTCTGAAGCTGTAGAGCTAGCAGTCATGACCGAGCTTGGTCATGATGATCCTGTCAATGCTCAAGAGGGAGGAGCATACGCAGCCGTCAGTACGGCAGATGAGAAAGAAGCAATATCGCCTATCGAAAGCGGTCAGAGGAGGAGCATGTCCAAACATGCTGTCGATCCTCGGTCGGTCGACTCTCAACAGACCTGTCCGATCTGCGTCGGCGATTTCGAAGATGGCGATGATCTTCGAATCCTGCCCTGTGCCGGTCAGCACACCTATCACCGCGATTGTATCGTTCGTGTCCTCTTGTCGTTGCTGATCAGTAATGCTGATGTCGTTCCCGTAGGATCCTTGGCTTCTGGGTGTCTCGAGCTTGTGTCCACTCTGCCGCTGGGATGTCACGCAAAGTTTACAGACAGACCAAGCGCAAGATGAGGTGCCTTCGCCAATCTTGCCAGCACAGTCGAAATTCGGACGCTATCTCCAACAGATCCGGAGCAATGCAACGCGGTCCGGTCGGGCACGAAACGCAAGAGCGGCAGCACAAGCACTATCATGAACTCACGACCTTTACTTATGGACTTTCCGTGGATCGCAAATATATCTCTCACCTTTTCACGACTGCTTGTTTGTTACGGATCTTTTGCAAATCAAGACTTTGTACTTCAGTATGCATCATGGCGGGTTTACAGATAGAGTGCCAACAACAGATGCGTCAGTGCCGGTTGCACAACGAGGAAAATGAGAGGTAACGTCCACGAACGAACGATGATCCAGTCCCTCGTCAGACTGTCTAGCACCGGTACGGCGCCAGATGGCTTGAGAGCGAAAGCGATGCAAGCTATGCTCGGTGGCGAGCAAGCTAGTGCGAAGATCGAGGCCAGCCAGCGATCTGCTGGCGATCTGGCGCTGCGTGCTCCCAACCAAGGTAGAGCAGAGACGATGGACAGCACAGCTGCCAGACTGAAGTTGAGCGTAGACGCAACGGCCAGAACCATGCCGTTGATGATGAGTCCAAAGCAGAGAAGAACGTCGCTCAGTCGCTCTGTGTGTTGTCTATTGCGCGCGAGCGCTGCAAATGGCCATGCGGCCAAGGCTGGTAATGCTGCTAGTGAGCAGAGGATATGTATCTGCGTTGAGAAGGAAATTTCAACAACCCAGTTGGAGGAAATAATAGCTGCAAAATACCTGGGTGATCAATTGCAGCTTGGCCGTTGCCAGGTAAAGCGTAGCACCTCCGAGCATGTAGCAAAGGGTGACGAGGCTCAATGCAAGCAGCACAGGTCTTGCGGGTAAAGCGTCACGACTGCCTTTGAGACGGTCCTTCCGCTTTGCAAAGATCTGACCCCATAATCCTAGTCCGCTGAGCGTCATTGCAATACTGACCAGTATCGGACCAGGCAGGTAATTGCCAACATTGACGAAAGAATGGGGAGTCGACATGAGGTAGAGGAAGAAGGATTGGTGGAACCTCTCGAGGAGGTTATTGAGCGACCGAAGGGTGGATTCGATCGTTTTGCCGAGACTGTGGAACCCATGGGGGCCCTCTGCTGGCATGGCAAAAAGCGTGATGGCATCGATACGGTATTGACCAAACACGCCTTGTGGTCCGCTGGGGGTACCGAGAGCGCAGTATCCCACTTGACGCAGAATGTTCTTGCTCGCTCTCTGGTATTCTCTAATATCGTCATGATTGAGAGCAGAGGCTAGACCAGAGTAATCCGATCGCAGGCTGTCTGTGTCTGTGTGAAGTCGCACAGGCGAGCCACCAGTCCATCGAGCTATATGCGTGACAGAGTTGATGTAGTCAAGATTAGGAAGTTGTCCGTTTGTGCCTTCAAAGTAGATACCCAGATGATCGAAAGAATGGTAAGGATAGTCAACGATGAGAGCAGCCCAGATGGCGCCACTGGTCAATCGTAGCTTGTCTGCTCGTAGATCTGCGCGACCATTGCAGAACATGAGTGATTGTACAGGCGAGCTGTTTTGTACGCACTGGACTGTGTCTGGCCGTGGTACTCTTTGAGCCATGCATGCGCGCCTTCGAGGTAGCCGTCAGATATCAAGAAGATGATGTCTTTGGACCACAAAGAGAACTCTGCAGATGCATGTCTCTGTGAGTGTCGAAATCAGCGTGGAAGCAGTCGGGCTCACTTGTGAGGTAGCGCGACAAAGCGAGCAACGTGGCTATACCGCGCACATTGACCTGCCCATTTCTACTCTTCCATGAAGCCACGAGGACGATAGCCTCGGATCCGTCCGTCTTTGGTGCGTGATAGACGGCCCAGGCATTCGTGCCCGCGACACTCTGCGAGCTTGTCAGTCTGTCGCGTCGGGGATGGCGATGAACTAACTCACTCTGTTGCCTGCGTCGTAGGAGTAGCTCTGCGTGGCAGCAGGAAGACCATTCTTGCCGAACGCTATCCTTATCTGATCTGCCTTGCTGCCGACATATGTACGGTCAGATTTGGACGCGTCTGATGTACCATGGAGGATACCTGTGACTAGGCAGCGTTGCCCATTCTGCGACTTGACCTGCATAGCGATCCGCCCACGACACTTCTGTCCAGCTCCAATACGTATTGACCTAAGTTGGCATGAGTATGATGAGGAGGTCCCGAGGCGAGAGACAGACTTGGGCAGGTTGGATCGCGTTCTCGCTGATGTAATGACCGCGATGAAGCGCTTTGTAGGGCAATGCGAGCAACCACGCATAGCCCGCCAACAGGAAGATCCAACTGAAGCATTGACTCAATCAATCTTTGTGCGAGTAGGACGATAGAGGAAGACAAAGGACCTGATGAGGGGAGTTTTATCGATGAGTCGTGTAAAGATGCGTAGCCGACGGTCGTGCCTTCGTAGCTGTACTTCCTCGGGCAGTAAGTCCTTGTCGTCCTTGCTTGACACGATGCGCTCGCCCAAGCGGCTCAGGAGGGATGCCATTGCTGGCCGAAGCCTACCAGTTTGGACAAGTCTGGGGCACCCAAATCACTTTGCTTTATGCTCGCAAGGCTTGGCGCACTGAGACGACAGATGACGAGCCTGACGAGTGCCACAAATCCCTACGCAAAGGAGACGGCAGTCGCCATCTCTGCAGTACTCAAGGCCTCCCTCGTCGCCGACAGAGTCTTTCAAAAGCTCGTCTCTACAGACTCGGTGACGAAAGATGACAAGTCTCCCGTGACGGTGGGCGACTACACCGCCCAAGCACTCGTCTCGACACTGCTCCATCATCATTTCCCGTCGTACGGGATCGTCGGCGAAGAGGACAGCAAGGATCTCAAGACAGTCCAACAGAAAGTCTTGTCAGACAAGATTGTCCACTTTGCCAACTGGGCACTCGACTCTCAAGCTGGCACAGACCAAGATCACTCGTACTGGTCTCCTATCGGCAAGGAACAGAGGACCGAGACGGAATGGCACGAAGCCATCGACAGAGGGAATGCAGAATCGGCTGCAACAGGGAGAACTTGGGCGCTCGATCCTATCGATGGGACAAAAGGCTTCCTGAGAAAGGGGCAGTATGCTGTCTGTCTTGCTCTCATCCAAGACGGCGAACCCGTCCTTGGCGTGACGGGATGTCCCAACCTGCCTATCGACTTTGAAGACAATACTTCTAGCAAAGGCACACTGTTTGTCGCCGTCAAGGGTCAAGGCGCCTATCAGGTGGGTGGCTGCCCCTATGATTGTCATGGACGTCAGCTGATGGGGGGAATGACAGCGCTCATTTGACAATGAGCAGTTGACGCCAATCCACTTTGCGCCTATCGGTTCACTCGCGGACGCATCTTTCTGCGAGTCTGTCGAAGCCGGTCACTCTGATCAATCGACGAATGCGAGGATAGCTTCGCTCCTCGGTATCACGAAGCAACCTACTCGCATGGATTCTCAAGCAAAGTACTGTTCGATCTCGCGCGGCGATGGCGATATCTATCTGCGTCTGCCCGTCAAAGCAGGCTACCAAGAGAAGATCTGGGTTCGTAGCAGAGCTATTCAAGTTCTCTACTAGCGCTGACAACAGCTGGAAGGATCATGCGAGCGGGACTGTACTTGTGGGAGAAGCCGGCGGGATCGTGACGGACATGCACGGCAAGAAGCTCGACTTTGGGCAGGGAAGGACATTGAAAGCCAACCAAGGCGTCGTTGCTGCTAACAAAGATGTACATGCCAAGGTGCTCCGAGCTGTGCAGCAGGCCTTGGCAGACAAGTAATGATGAAATGCATCATCACCTGACGTATCTGACACGTTGCTGACACGTTGCGGGCCAAGAGCCGATAGACGTGCCAAAGCAAGCGGTGTTGGAAGGGATTGCGACTCTCCTCCCTCCCTCATCGCTGCTGCTCGTGAGACGATATGAAGAGGCTATTCGGAGGCAAGAAGAGTCAGCAGAGTGACTATCCGCCCTATGTGGCCACCGAGGAAGCGCGAGCTGCAGAGTCCAGCTACCTAGCCGGCTACAATCCAGCGGGCAGTGATCGTTCACACTCGCCCCTGCCCGATAGACACTCGCCACTCCCCTCCGATGGCAGAGCCTCTGGTGCCAGACCCGCGCAGCCACAGGGAGCACATCACCCGCAATATCAGCCCGAGGAGGATACGCTCGGTCAATCTTACGTTCGTCAGGAACCTGCAGACGTTGGCGGCGGATTCGGGGGTGCACTCAGCCGACGTTGGTCTGCTCGAAGAAGGTCTGCAGGCCCCAGTCCGTCACCTTCTGCCGGCGACCCGAGACTGAACGGTGTCAATGCTCAAGCATCACCTCTGCCCGGCTCCCACTTGTCCTCCTTCCCGCCCACAAGTCCTCAGGCACAGTTCATGGCTACTTCGTACAGCAATAATGGCAGGACAAAATCGCCCAGACCGGGTGTAGGCACACGGCCGAGGCAGGATGACGAGAGAGGTTACCCACAGACAGGCACCGCTCTGCAGCCTCATCATTCACCCGCAACCATGGCAGGTTATACCGATCCCAGAGTCAACTACCCTGCGCCGACGAGCGAAGATGAAGACGATGGAGATCTCCAGTCGAGAAATCCCGCTCGTCAGTCTGCTCCGCTTTCTTCTGGCGCTGTCGGCACAGAGAGAGGTTTAGCCGGACGATTGTTCGGGAGATCCAAGCCCAAAGATCCTACGGCAGATGGAGATGACGCCGGGGCCCTTTCGCGTAGGATCTCGACGAGGAGACCCGAGGGTAGAATCATACAGGGCGGTTACGATCCTGCTCCGTTCCTTGCCAGCTCGAACAGTCAAGATCGGACTTCGGAAGCTCAGACCGAAGCTCAGAGAATGCAAATGCAGTATCAGAGAGGAGAGCCTGTCGATTACGCTCACCACAACGTGCGCGGATCTCGCAATCTGCGCGGTGGCGCACCCGCGAAGCCTTCGAGGTCCACTCAGCAGAAGGCATGGGTCACAGAGACCATAGGTGCGTCGATGGATGTGACTTGAACAATGGCTGATCGGCTCGCCAGGGTATCTGTGTGGTGCCAATTCGGATATCGACTACGGTCGCGCATTGCGGTTGTGCGATCAAGTGAGCGTATCTGCGCTTTATTCGAAAGAGGCAGCCAAGGCGCTACGGAGGGAGCTCGAGCACGGCCGGCCAGAAACGCAACAACGCGCCGTGCGCGTCATGACCATCATGACTCGCAACTCGGGCGAGCGTTTCAAACGTGCGGACCTTCTCCCCCTCTTACACCGGCTGGGGGCTCATCTGATGATACAGTGGAGATGACCAACAAGAAGTCCATCGACGTACTCGAGAAGCTGATCAAATCGCCCAAGACGGATCTCGAAGTCCGCGCCCTGCTCGCTAAATCGCTTTCCATTCTGGCCTACGAGCTCCAAGCCGACACGGACTTTTCACGCATCACAGCATTGTACAACCGTGTCAAGCAGCTCGAGGATCCCATCAACGGCGCTCCTCTCGACCCAGACGATGCCACCTTTGACCCGCCCATTCTCGAGACCACTCGTCGATCGAAACGCGAACAGGCCGCTGCAGGCTTCCAGTCGTCCCCTTCTGGCGAATACCACACCAAGAATCTCAAGAAAGAGGCCGAAGTCGCTCTTCATTCTGCAAGAATGCTGCAAGAGACGCTGCAATTCACCCAACCCGAAGACATGGACTCGAATGAGCTCATCAATGAGTTCTATGCTCAGTGCCAACAGAGGCAATTCATGTTCATCGATGCTATACCCTGGGCGACATCAGAAGCAGACCGAGCTCGTTCGGCTGCACAGGCACAGCATCTACGCGACCACGCTGCGTCCGCAACTCAGGATGAAGCTCTCGCAGCTAGTAATCCCTTTGCAGACACTGCTGCTGCTGCGATGAACGCGCCAGGTGCGGAGGAGACGCACGAGGAGAAGCTGCTCGATCTTCTGCTCTCTGCGAACAGCGAGATTGTGGAAGCATTCAGGCTGTACGAAGACATGGAGCGCGAGAAGAGGGCTCTAGAGGAACAACGTATTGTCGAAGAGCGCAGCAAAGTCGAAACGAAGATGGATCGTGCCCAGTACGATCAAGATCTAGACGGCATGAACTATCTCTCCGTGGGCAATCAACCTGTTGCAGGCTCATCTCGCTCAAATTCACCCGTTCCTCATGAAACGTCGCACGAAAATGGCTACTCGCTTGCTCAAGAAACGCTGCCCGAACCGGCACCTGCGCCCGCTCGATCGCCTCTGCCAACGAATCCTTTCCAGCGAATGTCAGATCCGACGGCGCGAGCCCGATCGAGATCGCTGCCGAAGCCTCCCGTCGCGGCGGGTACGCCGACCCCCGAGAGCGCTTTCGACTCTGGCTATCCGCCTGAGAAGGTCCCCTCGGCTATGTATGCAGGAGAAACGCATGCACTCTCCTCTGAGCCGATGCAGCTCGGCCATTCGGAACAAGAAGATTCGCTGCCGCCTCTGATCACGGATACCCCTACTTCTCGCCGGGTGGGCAGTAATCCTTTCGTCTCTTCGCCCGTCCTTGCGCCTTCCCGTAGCTCCACGATTCGGTCGCAGCTATCGAACGGGACAGACGAGACGGATACACCTGTCGACCCCGTCGAGCCCAGTGCCAAAGCTCTGGGGAAGCTAAGAAGAATGTCTGAACGGGGAGACGTGGATATATCTGAGCAACAAGCGAAACTAGAGGAGCAATTGCGATCCAAGTACCGCGCCTACGGCGAGCAGCACTAGTTCTGTACTATTACATCATGATCGTTTGGTATCTATGAGGCTTTCTGCGCTGCTCTTCGCCGCTCTCTTTGCTCGTTTGCTTTCGCTTTAGCCTGCTCGATTTCTGCGCTAAGCTGTCCTGCTTTCGCGAGCTGTTCCAACAAAGCGTGAACGAGCCCAACATGATTGTGCCTTCGTAGCGCATTGTCAAACTGTGCCAAAGTCGATCAGAGGCCCTCTGAGCAGTACACGAGACAACGTACTGCCCATCGTTGTCTCTTTGCTTGCTCATCGGACAGCTGACTCTGCAAGTGTGCGAGATCAAGCGAAGCGTCTGATCGTGACGTATCGACTGCGCTGCCTTGTACTGCCTGCAATGCATCTATACGCGACTGTAGATTAGCAAGGCGGTCTTCGCAGATCGCCATCAGGTTGAAATGGAGCTCATTTGCGGGATACTGGCTTATAGTGAGGCCAAGCTCGAGGAGAAGTCAATAGAGCTCACTGTGGCAATACGAGCTTGGATGACCTCTTTGGCCTTGTCGGTCCACCTTGAGGCATCGACTGCGCCGTGATCGAGCGGCCAGGGCTGCAACCCGTCAAGCTCATATCTGGAGCGCCAGTCAGCAGGGTGCATCTTGTCATGCAAAGCCTGCTTACAGATGACCATCGATGGGTAGGTAGACTATGAAATGATACACATCGTCGTCCTCTGTCGCCGGCCGCGCCTCGTCCAGCTGGAAAGGATCCGATCGCGCAAATGAGTTGTGCACTGTTCTGTCAGTAAGCGAGAGCAAAGTGGTCTTCACAGACGCCCCACCTTGTCTCAGCACTTCGCTGTTCGTGAGCACTTCGCCTTTGGTCTGTGGGTCAAGCTCTGCTATCCTCGTTGAGCAAGCAACGCAAGCTGATGACGCGCTGGACTGACGGGATGAGAAATCCTTCAGATTGCTCAGCTCTGGACCGAGCTGTGTCAAGTTCAAGTTCATCGTAGCATTGAGTATCGCCAGGGTACCGCAAGCATTTCTTTCGAGAGCATCAGCCAGGCCAATACGTAAGACCAAGTTGACAAACTCGATCACTTGATGGGCAAAGTAGCCCCGAAAATTGGTGTCTTGCCGCCCTGCCCGCGCCGGTGCTCGCTCGCCTCCAAGATATTTGAACAGGAAGATGAAGGCTTGGGGTCTGTATAGCGCTTATGAGGATGAAGTGCGTAGCGAAAGGAAAGCGCGGACTGTAGGTCTTCGAGCAGAGCTGCGTCTAAGCCGTATAACTCCTCTACCTCGACACCTTTGACGCCGAGCTCCCATAATATTGCACTGAATACGCTTGGATCCGATTCGGTGAGAGACCAGCCTGCCGACATGATGGAGAGAGTACGGTGCTGTACGCTGAGCGCTCAGCAGAAGGGGCACGACAACCTGCCGGCAGAGAATTCGAATGATTTCATCTGACAGATCGCCTTGCTTACAAACCTTTGCACCGGTCGCTCGAAGCCTTACCAAGAATATTGCAGGGGCAGCTGCTGTCATGTTCGATCTCGCGGGCACCGTCGTCGCACTCGACGCGGAAGGGACAAATCGACCGAGCAAGCGTCGACATATCGCTGACCATGCGGGCCCGAGCAGCTTGGCTGTTGGCTCCGATGGACTGCAACAAGTCGCCTCTCTCGCTCGAGGCCATCATCACCATCAACTCGCTCAAGATCCAATGGGCAAGCAAGCACGTGTGTGCATTGTACGCTTGGGCCTTACCCTTGTCATGCAGAGAGCGCGAACATGTTCCTGACCAACCAACACGAGCATGGCATGGATGTTCCCGTCCAAGGCGATCCCATGCGCTCAGAGTCGCAAGACTACATGCACGACGAAGTGTTTGGCGGTGCACAGTCATCGAGCACGAGGCATCGAGAGTCACCCCTCGTGGATCCGCTGGCGGACATCGATACGAGCATGCTCACGAGCTCGCTAGCAAGACGTGTCGCTGCCTTTCCTCCTCACCCCAGTGTTCCTCTTGCCCAGCGAGGACGTAAGCGGGGCTCGACGAACGCAAAGAGAGATTCGGAAGAATACGATCTCGCGCTACAACACGCAGCCGAACTGGATCATCTGGACGAGAACGGCAAACCCCTCTCTAAGACGATCAGGGACCAGCGACGAGCGGAACAGAACCGAGCAGCGCAGAAGGCATTCAGAGATCGTCGGGAGGACTATGTTCGCCAGCTGATCCGTCGATCGGATCTGCTCACGGAAGTCCAGAGATCGATCTATGAGCTGGACGAGAGGGAACGAATCGTCGACGAGAAAGAGCGTCAGGCACAGGCAGAGTCAGAGACGCCTGTCGCTAACGGTCTGGCGTCAGAAGAGACAGTAGCGTCTCTGGTGTCTCAGGTCAGTACCGCCAGGAAGACAAACGAGATCCTGCTCGCTCGCGTCATGGAAGCAGAGAATGCTCTCTCGGCGGTCAAGAAGGAGAACGAGGCGCTCAGACAGCTGCACGAGGCAGACTCTGCCGCTCTCCGCGACGAGATCATGCTCTTGCGGACTGGCCTGACCGAGTGATCACACTGAGTGCCGTGTTGTACGCTGTCTGTCCATGACGTGATCGTGTCGGTCATCCTTGATCTTGTCACGCGTTTTATAATTACAACGACAGCCGTCGTCGATCATCACGATCACCCTAGTCTGTCCGTTCACAGCACCACCGACATGGCACCAAATGAGCACGACACACCGGCGAACACCCCCGAGCAATAGCACCGACATTCAATCTCCATCACTCCCAGTCCCTGCGCCTTGAAGCGGATGCGCACGGGCCTCGAGTCGAGTCGGCGCAACCCAACGAGTGACGGGAGGCCATGGCGGTGGGTAGGCAGCGCAATGGCCACACGGGCACTGCTTCGTCCAGTGCCAAGCCACCAAGCAGGCCAGAGGTCATCAGACTGGGCGTGCTACCCTCGACGACGATCGACCAACTCGTCCGTCAAGCAAGACAGCATGCCGCATTGTCATTGACTTGGTCGTCAGATTCGCCGGAGGAGTGGGTGGGTGTGCAGTGTCAGCTTGCACGATGATGACTGACATGGTGAGTTCGGAGGTGCTTGGCGGAAGCACGGGCAAGTCATGGACATTTGAAGCGGGCAAGCAAGGCGACAGGAGTTTGTACCGACTCGACTCCTCTACCAGCGAACTCATTCGGCTAGATCAGCTCGTCCTCACTCCGGCTTCCGAAGCTGCTCCCAGCAAGCGTGCAAGCACGAACGATCTGACCGAGGAGCAGAGCGAACGACTGAGAGCCAAGACACTCGCTAGCGAACGGGACAAGTTGGCAAGACAGACTGTACTCCTCCCTCAAGCGCCCCTGCTTGTCAACGGAAAGAAGAGATCGACGTCTCTTACTCGATCGCTCGGCTCTGGTCCGTTGTTGTCGCCCTTGATGATCAAGCAGCGTCTGATTGATTGATTGATCGGACGGACAGGAAAGAGAAAGTCGAGAGGAACGAGTTCGCTGCCTTCTTCTCCTCTGCTCAGAGGCAGGCAGAGCGTCATACCTAAATCTCCACTCTCTGGAGCTGTCCGTACCCCGAGCAAGCAAGAGTACACGCCCTCCAAGTCGACGAGCACGATAGGCTTGGGGATACCGCAACTCGATCTGACTTCACCTCTGACTGCTCAGTCCATCAGAGCGCACGACAAGGAGAGGACAGATCGTCGTCACAGTGTCAAGAGAGCACTCAAGACCGCCTCGTCCAGTTCATCACGGTCTCATTCGCCCCTGCCAACGCCGAGACGATCGAATAAGTTGGAAAGGACGAGTAGCGCAGAGTCCGAGGAGGACGAGATGGCCAAGACTACAGCTAGATTGCAGCCTACGCCTCCACAAGCTCTGCCTGCTCTGCTGACGAGAGCGACCACACCTGCTGCAGAACCGCCGACGCGTCCCATGACGACTTCGCGGACTGCAGGCGGCGCGAGAATCGCACGTCCCTTTACTGCCAAGCGAAAGAAGGACACTGCTCAGCCTGATGACCAGAGCTCGCCTGAAGAGCCGGGAGATCGATCCACGCGCAGAAAAGTCGAAGCTCTGGCGAGCCTGTCTTCAGACAACACGAAAGCCTCGCCTCAAATCAGCGTAGCCAGTGAAGATCAGTACACCAAATACCAAGCCTATTTCCAACGTAGCTACAAGAGGTATACCGCCATCAGAGCGAGGCTAGAAGCCGAAGCCCAGTCGATAGAGCAAGGCAAGGGACTCGCGATGTCTCAATCCGACTTTGATTCGGCCATGCTCGAGTTCAAAGAGCTGCACGCCGAGCTCGAGCCTTTGCGGTCGACCTTGCTGACCTATCGCACGGAGAACCCGCTGTGACGCCAGCCTATTCGTACTGACGAGCTGTTGTTGGTCTGATCTACGTCATTTTGCCACGGCAAAGTCGCATTGCCAGCGCTTGCCGCCATTGAGCATTCATCCATTGAACGCGTGTCAGACGTCTGACGAGCTCGAGTTGATTGATGGGATGGATGGCCGAGATGACGTAGACAAGAGAGGCAATGCAGACATGCGAGACTGGCATGGCCTCGGTGCTTCGCCGCCTACGCCAGAGAGGACGCCTTCGCCCGGCTTGAACGATACGAGCAGTAGCGAGGAAGAGACCATGATCCTCAACCATGGTCTGCCCTCTGGACTTCTCGCTCGACGCCTACCCGCTCGCACAGCTTCTGCACCTCTCCTCTCATCGTCTTGGCTGCCAGAGCTCAGTTCACCGCCCCATGATCACGCAGATTCGTTGCTCGCAAGGTCACCCAGTCCTGGAGCAACCAGCTCCTCGAGAGGAACGAGCAGACCCAACACGCCCCTTTCAGGCTCCATGACACCGCTCATGTCCCAATCTCAGGAACTTGCTTCGCCTGTACTGAATGGCAACGGCGTGCAAAAGGCCAATGGATTCAGGATTGCCTCGGGCAGGCTACAACAGGTTCGAAGGGTGACTCGTACGACTTCTTGATCTCATATTGACGCCCTCACGACAGTTGCCCTACTCTCTGTGGGACTATTTGCGAGAGGAAATGTCAGCTACAGAGCTGGATGGTACACAAGAGGTCAAGTCGGAGCGTGTTAGCAATTTCCTCAGCGTCCCGATGGAAGTCGAAAAGGTCTCCACCCTCGTTCTGATGCTCGGTGCGCAGCCTGACTGATCGAGCAGATCATTCTGTTCGGCATCGTCATCTGCTTGGATTCGTTCCTGTACACATTCACGATCCTGCCGCTCCGGTTTGGCGTAGCACTGGCACATCTCCTTCGAGAGCCAAGCAACCTGTTCAGCACCAAACGCAAGAAGCTATCAGTCTCGCACAAATGCGATCTAGTCAAAGGCATCCTCGTGCTAGTCACTTGTATCTTCCTCAATCGCTTCACGGATGCCAGTCAGATGTATCACAGCGTACGCGGCCAAGAGACGATCAAATTGTATGTCATCTTCAACGTTTTGGAGGTAAGCACCGTCTTTCTTATCAGGTGCCAGCATGGTTGATCTGCACCAGATTGCGGATCGATTGTGTTGCTCCTTTGGTCAAGACCTGCTCGACTCACTCTTGTCGCGATCGACCTTGGGGCGACGGCAAGACGGAAGTCAACCTCACGTCCGCCCTGCATTCCTCTTTGGTCTGAGCATCATCTACAACCGTACGTCCTTTTATTGTCGCGCAGAGTGACGCTGACGCAGCAGGCAGTGGCACATACCCTTGTTCTGTTCTATCAGCTTGTGACGCTCAATGTCGCCATCAATTCATACTCAAACGCTTTGCTTACGCTGCTGCTCTCCAATCAGTTCGTCGAAATTAAGGGTGCCGTCTTCAAGAAGTTCGAAAAGGAGAATCTCTTCCAGATGACCTGTGCAGGTCAGTATCTCGGCTTTCCGTCTGGCTCGAGACTGGCTCATGAGCGAGACAGACATTGTCGAGCGATTCCAGCTCGCTCTCTTGCTGTTCATTATTGCGCTCCGAAACCTCATAGAGATATCAGGGTCGACCTTCTCCATGCTGCCGACGTCTTACATACCCATCTCGATCATTCCGTCCATGTCGGTCTTGCAGACTATCTTCTCGCCCGCCGTCATCGTCTTGATGTCCGAGATGATCGTCGACTGGCTCAAGCATGCTTTCATCACCAAATTCAATCACATCAGACCTGCAGTGTACGGTCGCTTCATCGACATCTTTTGCAAAGATCTCATCTCGGGCGGATCGTCATCCAAACCCTTTGTCGATCAATCGCCTGCTGTAGCAAGACGGTTGGGATTTGCTTCGATACCACTTGGATGTCTGGTCATTCGAGTGCTCTTCCAAGTCTTCGACATGCTGTCAGATAGCTCTCATATCGACGAATGCTCGCCTCGCGTATCGAAAGTCGCCAAGGGACGACTATCCTCACTCGCGCTGAATTGGCAGGCAACGATCGTCACATGGGCAGCACAAATCGCGGTCGCGGTCATCGTATGGGCAGCCCTTGTGTCCCTGAAGCTCCTGATAGGCATCAACCTCCGCGCTTATGCTGCATCGCGCTATGCGACGATGAATGAGCGGCAACAAGAAGATCAACTGAATGACCGCAACCGACCCGCGATCGGCGTCAACGAGACAGAACGTGCCAAGGAAGCAGAGGTGAATGCACTCATTCGGAACGGGGACTATGATGCCCCTGGCAAACCTCAAGCATTGCGGTCAGCAGTCCAAGCAACGCCTATGGACAATGTCGATAGGTGGACCATGCTGCGATCTCGACTGTATTGATACAAGAGAAGTACAAGTGTTGTTGCCTCAGTCTTGCAAAAATCCACCTCGTCCCGCTAACAGATCAGGCGTATCATTCTCATCTAGATCGAAGAAGCCCTGTGCTTGCCTCAGCTCCTCGCGTGGCTTCGGCGTTCCGTTGGCTGTCAGTATGACAGCGGTCGAGGATAGTTTGACAGGTCCTTGAGCTTCGATTGTCTCTGCCATGCTCTGTGGCATCGGTGGGAAGACAGGAATGCTGTCAACGTCGATATGTCGGCCTAAGATACTCTGCAGGCAGATCAAAGCGCCGAGCTTTGACACGACAATATTGCCTTGCGAACAACTAGCGCTCGCAACGCCTGGGATGATTCAGTCTCGCGATAAATTGGAGCAACGAGGCACATACAAGACGGGCATCCTTCTATGCACTTGCAATTGACGATCGTATCGGCGGCCATTGCAAGTAACCGATTGATGTGGTCAAACACCTTTGCACATACTCCTCCGCTTTTGCCGGATGCATCGTAGATTGTTAGTCTGTCTTTGAGATCAGCAGAGCTCTGTATTGGCACGATGAACGCACCTTGCTGGCCGCTTTCGTTTGGAAGCTTTATTCAGAAACTCTTTCTCCGGCACTTTGCACTCTGTGCGAATGTCGCCAGCTACGCTCATTACGAAGAGTGGCGTCAGACCCATCAACGCGTGTTCGGCAGCGTGTATGGCGCCGGCAATGTGCAGATTCTTCTCGGTGAGAATCTCAAGGCAAGATCGAGGGACGTCAACCCAAACGCCATTGGTATCGCGAACAAAGGGAGGAGTATCCAGATCGACGACATCGAGGATGTTGTTGCGCTTGTCCACTTTGAAGTAGCCATAGACCACCGAAGTGACCCTGACGGGGCCGTAATACGCGCGATTGACGGATCCCTTGATCTCGCGAACGCGGACGGCTTCGACGGCATCGACGTCGGTGTAATCGCGCTGCTTTGTCATCCAATCGACTTGAGCTTGGACGAGCTTAGCGATACGAGTCGTGTGGTTCACTTCGAGAGTGATAAACGTCTTGCCTTGATGAATGAACAGTGCCCCTTCGAACACTTCAAAGACAGCTCTCGACCATTCGATCTCCTCGAGAATCTTTTGTCGACCGTTCGTCGTATCGACAATGACATACGTCTCATCCTCTGTGTTACGTATTGAGACGTGACGTGACGGGAATGGTAGCATGCGAGGGTGCGCGTGATAGTAGCCCTCTTCGTCCGGCAACAGGCGCTCTTTGCAGATCTCTTTCATCATCGCACCGAAGTAGACCTCATCATCTTCCGGCTTGACGGGCATCTCCTGCGCAGCACATTGAAGGTGGCCCTCAAGCACGATCGGATTCTCGAGGTCGACACTGAGCTGTGCGTCCGGCTTTGAGAATAACTCGTCCGGATTGCGGGCGTAATGCTGATCGAGTGGCCAAGGATCGGTGACGAGCATGGCGAGCGAATCCTTGTTACGACGACCTGCTCTACCTGCCTGCTGTCGAAAGCCTGGCAGCGTATAGGGGAAGCCCACAGTCACGACAGCATCGAGACTGCCAATATCAATACCAAGCTCGAGGGCAGTGGTGGCTATGATAGCCAGCAGATGGCCATTGAACATTTCCGCTTCGATCTCTCTACGATCCGCTGCCGTGTATCCGGAGCGGTATGAGCGCACACGGGAAGCCATGTCACTTCGTCCTTCTATGGCAAGATCTGTTCTGATCTGCTTGATCACGACTTCGCAGATCTTTCGCACTTTGCAGAAGACGATGACGCGGATGCCTCGGTCCATGAGAAAGCGGACGATGCGAGAAGTCTCTGCGATCGTGCTGACGCGTCCTTGTGTGATCTGATGAGGATCTATGAAAGGTGGGTTCCAGACGAGATACTCTTTGCGACCTGTCGGCGATCCGTCTACATCGACAACCTTGACGCCAGTGATGCCAAAGATTGCTTCCATGTGCTGCGCAACACTCAGCCGCAGCATACTAGTGCAAGGCAGAATCACGCACCTCTGCCGGATTGGAGACTGTTGCGCTGCAAGAGACGAACATGACGCGATGATTGCCGACAGCGGCGCATACACGTCGCAAGCGCCGCATGATGAAGGCAACGTGGCAGCCAAAAAGGCCGTTGTACATGTGCAACTCTGTTCAACAGCCACTTCAATGGAATGTCAAGCATTAGCAGGAAGCTGCGTACCATCTACCACAACGAGCTTGAGATTCTCGAAGAATCTCCGCCATTCCTCTTCGTGTGGTAGGACTGTGATGTGGAGCATATCCGGATTGGTGAAGATGACATTTGCTCTGTCTCTGATGAAGTTTCGATCATCCTTGGGTGTATCACCATCAAAGGTGGCAATCTATTGCGCAAGGCACTTAGCTGAGCTCTTGACCCGACAGAGCGCACGAACCTTGACCTCGCTGAGATGCTCGCAGTACGACAACAGATCTGCAAGCGCTCGTTTCTGATCTTGCGCGAGCGCTTTCGTTGGGAAGATATACATGGCAGTCGCTTCTATGTCACGCTCAAACGCTGCCAGCGCTGGAACTTGATAGATCAGCGACTTTCCCGACGAGGTGGATGTAGAGACGATGACGTGACTGCCATTGATGAGATGATTGATCGCTTCGGCTTGATGAGAGTACATTGATGTTATGCCTTTGGTGGCATACAAAGCATCCATGATGCCTTGCGAGAGCTCAACATTGCCAAACTTGGCCTCGCGGGCAGAGAAAATCCTGTGACCTCCATCGACGATCTGATCCTTGTAGAAGTCTTCATCTTTGAGCTCGGCAATGACAGACTCTATGCTCGGTCGGTTGTCAGGATTGCGGAGGTAAAAGTCGAGATCTGCTCTTCTCTCGCGCAGAGGCACAATCTTATCTGCACCCTCTATTTCCGAGCTCTTCACTGGTACATGATCTTCTGTGGCAGTCAGAAGCAGGCTGACGGGATCTAGATCTTGAGCATTGCAAGCGACCAGTAGTTCATCGACTGCCGAATGGAATTTGACGTTGCGCTTCTCTATCATGCGAGTCATTGCCTCGGGCGTATATACTGCGTTTATGATGATCTCCTTGTGGGTGCCGTCTTTGTTCTTGCGCCGTCGGCTATTGAACTTCCCACCCCCTTTCTCGGCTTTGACTTCGCCATCAGTGAACTCAAAGATGAGCACTTGCTCGTCAGGATCGACTCTAGACATGTCCGGTAGCTCAAAGCTCTCGTTCTCAGCATTATCTTTGTCCTTCTTGCCAAATTTACCAGACTGGGGTTTCTGCTCTGCACCTTCCATGTGAATTTTGAGAAGCTCCGGCGCAATGTAAGCGAATCGAACGAGCTCAGGCAGAAGCGCTTTCATCTGAGCAATCTCTTGTATCTCTAGCGTGCGCCTCAACAGTCCTTCGACAGATTTCTTCATATTTGCGTAAGTAGGCGCTAGGTGCTTTCGAGCAGTACAGAATGTGTAGACTGTGTTCAGGGCTTTGAACGTCTTCTCGAGCTTGACGAAATGATCAGGCCATGGCAAAGTGGCTATAAAGTCCGGCGGATCTTTCTCCTTCTGCTTCTCTTGCGCGGTCTTTGACTTCTTGGGCGGACGGCCTTGATTGTGTTTCGCGTAGAGGATCTCAGCTTTGCGTCGTTTCTCTGACTCTGTTGCGGGAGGTGGAGCAATCTCTCCAGGCCGTACATCGAGTTGCACGACATCTTCGTCATGCTCAGATTCATGAGAGTGGTGCGATTCGAGGTCAATGTCTTCGCTGGCAACCGAACTTGCACGCTCGCGTTTGTTGCTCGTACTCAGCCCATGCGGATCTAGCTCCTCGATCTGATTGATGGCAATCAGACCGCCGCCTCTGTTGAGTGGCTTCCGCTTGCCAGATAGCCATGTCGTGTTGGACATGAGCAGCCCCGTTGACTAGACGCTGACGTCGTCGCCTGGAGATTGATCGATCGATTATGTGAACGCGTCAAAAGTTCGAAAGAGCAAAGGCTGCGTCGCGCGCGAAACCTCGCTTGGCGCCTTGGCGTCATGCTCGACCGCTTAGAAGTCATCAAGCTTTTGCACAGAGGCGACTGCGGCGAGGTACGCTGATACTTCGCTGCTGCGTCCGAACGTTCGTTGAAGAGGCAAATCTTTGCAGGTAAGGCTAGCAAGAGCGACGCGATCTAGTCAAGAGAGCCTGCTCTTTGCAGTCAAGTCTGTGAGCAGAAGCCATGCTCGCAAGCTGTCGGACGTATGCTCTCAATCTCACATACGTACTTCATGCTCAGTCTATGCGCAGCAACTGTTTCCACAACATGAGAGGCAGATTCTCCTACTGCAACTCAGCGAGCGATGTCCCGCGATTTGCAGACTGCTTGCCGCCGACTCAGACGAGCAGAACCTGTATCTGATAACGGAGTACTGTCCCGGTGGTGACCTGGGCGCTCTGCTAGACACACTTGGACCAGAAGGCGTCCAAACGAGCTGGATACGCGCTTGGCTGCACGACACGCTCGCCGCTCTCACATGGCTTCACGCCCATTCCTGGGTGCATCGCGACTTGAAGCCTAGCAACCTGCTTATCGCCATGACGGGTCAGCTACGCTTGACCGATTTCGGCTCTGCAGCTCCGCTCAATCCCGCGACTGGAAACGTCAAGCGACCGTTTGCAGAGGCTCTTGTCGGCACAGTGGATTATATATCGCCTCACATGTTGCGTGCTCACCAGGCGGCCATCAATCGCTGTCAAACCCAGGCCGACGAGCAGTCGTACGGCGCGGAAGCAGATCTGTGGAGTTTGGGCGTGATGATGTATGAGGTAAGCATCGTTGCGACAACTTCTGCATTCCCCTGACGGCTAGCGAATGGGTGCGTCAGATTATTGTGGGAGCGTGTCCATTCTATGCGGAAGATGTAGCAACGACATATGATCTGATTCTGGAGGATGTAAGCCATGCGACTCCCCCATCGCGAGTGCTGACTTCGCTTTGCAGTCGGAGATTCGATTGCCTTCGCACTGCTCGATCTCACAGGACGGTCGTGACCTCTTGCAGCTGTGAGCATCTGTCCGCGCGAAATCCGGCCAAGGCTCACTGCAGGTAGCTTGCTCACGCGACCAGGTCACGCTCCTCCGGCGCATGAGCTCGCCCGACATCCCTTTGTTCGCTTCGAAGACCCAAGGAGTCTAGACCGCTTCGTGCCGGAGCACCCTGTGATCGACATTGCGAATCTATCGGCATACCAGTCTGCCACGAAACCTTCGACTGGCATTGATTTCTCGGCATTCTTCTCTTCGCCTGGCCTGTCCATCTTGCGCATCGCGAAAGCGGACACACCTACGCAATCTGACGAGATTGAACATGCTGATTGGGCATTCGTGCCATCTGAGGATGCTTGGGAAGAAATCGGATATCGTGAGCCAGGCGAGACTGCTCTGCCCACCATTGCGCACTCGCCCGCATGGTTCGTCACTCCCGCGAGACGCTCTACCATCAGTTTGTCGTCTCTGTCTCGCTCAAAGACCACCGACAGCTCGACCACCTCGGCAACAAAGCGTCAGCGGCGCGACATGAGTGCATTCTCGGCGCGACACGAGATGGTCCAGCATGCTGTGCTATCGACTGCTCAGAAACGCAGACCCAGCACACATATGGAGCGCAATGAGAGCGCATCTCAAGACCAAGGCGCGCACATGCTACAATCAGAGGAATCCAGCATAGAGGGCACAGAACTTGACGACAGCCCTACGCGCTCTCGCTCAGCTTCGATCAGTCTGCTTTCGAAGAGCCTTGGCAGCTCAAGACACTCGAGAAGCCTGTCAGACAGATCCTTTACCCCACTTGCAGACTTTACTAACCGTTCTCGGCAAGCGAGTCAAGACCGAGAGCTTCCGGCGCAGGAGCCCGGTAAGCGTGACAAACTCTATGCTCTGGCGAGTCGTCATGCGGCTCTAACCAAAAGGATCGACCAAATCGCGGACAGGCTCGATCGCTTGCCGAATTAGCCGTTCATCCGCGTGCCTCAGTTCGGCCGAGTCTGCTCTTTAGAATTCTTGAACGCTACATTTCGATATTGGCAGTGCGGAATTTGCTGGCGATCGTCGACTGCTACGTCACCACGTCTTGGCATTTTTCACGGAGAGTTCTGCGACGCGATTGGGGCAGGTACTCCGCGACATTCTGTCATAGCTCCGAGAGCGGCTGTCTTTCCTCCGGCGGCTGATGATTTTCCTTGGCCGCTCACACGATTGGCGACGTCTTTGCACGGCATCATGGTTTGCTCCTGGCGTCTCGCGGGGATTGCTACATTGTTGACGGCACTGGCGCTTCTGTCAATTTGTCGACACAGATTAGTCATCGTCTTCTCGCTTGCGAGTGCATACACATTCGACTTGCGCACAATCAACGAAGTCGGAAGTCTCGATGACGGCTTAGCTTGCAACGGAACCTACTGCGGTTCGGCGGACTCTAAGAGTCAGCAGAATAACTATGTCATTCCGAATGTCTTCCATTCAATCCTACTTGGGCCTAGCTATGTCATGCGACCATCCTGGCAAGTATCTCTGGACAGCTGTCGTGCGTTACATCCGACGGCGGAGTTCAAAATGTGGACCGACGAGTCAGCTGCCGCATTCGTAGCAAAAGAGTACCCAGAACTGCTACGGACCTGGCTGAGCTACGGTCAGACAATACAGAGGTCCAACACCTTGCGTTACATGCTCCTGGCACGTCTCGGTGGAATCTATATGGACCTAGACCTAGCCTGTCGAGTCAATCTCGATCCGCTCCGACGGCTGACGCTCGTTACGCCACCGGCAACCCCGACAGGGCGGACGAACGCCTTTATTGCCGCCATCCCCAATCACCCGTACATGAATGCTCTTGTGTCAGCCTTGCCAGTATACAATCTCGAGTGGTTCTTTCCCTATGCGACAAATATGTTCTCGACTGGCTGTCTGTATTTCAGTGCTATTGACGTCGCGCTGCCTGCCGAAGTCAGGAGAAGCATGAAGATCCTACCGGGGAAAGCACATCGTCTCAGCGGACATACTTTTACGCCGCTCTTCGAGCATCTTGGAGCATCAACTTGGCACAGTTGGGACTCCTCTGTCATCATGGCGCTCGGACATGCCGTGAACAGCTTGATGAGTCTGTGGCTGCCCTTGGCATCTGTTGCCATCGTAGCCATATTCGGCTGGCATATGCGATCGCGTTCGACAATGCAACGACATGTGCGCTTCTTGCCATCTCCGGTGACAGAGAAGTCCGCTGCTAGACGTACAAGTAGACGTCGCCAACGGCCTATGCTTGCACTCGATTTGTCAGCTACGCGCAAGATCCAGTTCAAATGGAACGACAAAATCGTAGACCTTTCGGCTCGATCAGGTTCATCCACGCCAAGCTCATCCGGTTCAGATTCGTCGTCAATACAGGCCCAGAAGGTGTTGTTGTGACACTGATGCATCTGGGAATGGCTCAAGGCGCTATGGGAGTCTGAGGTGTCTGTGGCGAGTTGAGCACAGAAATCGTTGACTGCCTGCGGTCACTATTGCCAAAAGCTACGGGCAATGACGATGTACTAAGACTTGGCGTAGGCGCCTTTCTGAGGGCCTCTGCGGTTCTTCCATCAGTGCGCAATCTACAGAAGTGGATGACAACCAACCTCTGAAAGCCGTAGCAGCTGCTTCTGCTTCAGCAACAGAGATCGCGCCGTCTCTTGTGAGTGACGGGTAGTGAGCTAGGTTAGACGCGCTTTTTGGGGGTATCGAGCGCAAAGCATCGGCCTGCTGCGTCTGCGAGCCCTCGGGCTGAATTGGCGATTTGTAATCAGAATCTTGACCGATCGAGACGGGCGAGGCTACTGTTGCAGGGGTTGGCGAGGTATCTCGCGTCCTGAGCGCCAGAGGTTGGGTTGCAGAGGAGCGGTTCGGGTGGGCTTTTGCTATCTTCTTACGCTTGCGAAGGCACGAAATGATCATGAACAGCGTCGCAAGTCTGCTTGGTGTCGGTCAGGTTTCGGCGCTCCTCGTCTCTGAGCGAACGCACAAAAGTAAGCCGGCGAGTACGCCGACGACGGGGGGTACCCAGGGCGCTGTACCGTATGGACCAGTCGTAAGCTCACCCGAGCCATTTGGAGTAAACGTATTGGCATTGGCCGAAGCACCAACGTGGATTGCGTTGAAGGTAGGTTGAGGCTGCTCGTTACCGCTCAGAGGCATGCCGGCAGCTTGTATGAGAAAGTAGAAAGGTTCTGTCGTATTCTTGTCGGCTGGGGCATCGTCGAACCAGGTCACTTCTGGTCTGACGGTGATATGAGGCGTGGAGGGAGTGAGCAGTATGCTGACGTACTTGATCGCGATCGAGCCGGGCGTATTAGGGAGATGAGTCCAATTGGCGGCTTGCTGTTGTGATAGAGCGCCTAGCCTTCTCGCACTGCTGAGCATACGGTGCATTGGTCCGTGTTGTGAGCCGACTCACGATAGAGCTGCCATCCCGAGTCAGACCATGTTTGCTTGCAGTGCGATTGGGCGTCACTGACGTAAAGCGATACAAAGCCATCAGCGATGAAGACCGGATAGCGGGAGTTCCAAGTGACGTTGTTCCATTGGCCTTCCATCTGTCGACAGTGAGCTGACGTCTTGTAGCTCCTCCCGAACAGATTACCATCGTAGTCGAACGGGTTGGCCAACACGTCAAGACGGCATTGCCTCGATCGCTACACCAGCTGTTTGCATCAGTGCCATCGCCCTGAGCGGGTGCGATCTGCTTGAGACCATGTCCGGCGTTGTAGGGCAGAAGCATGTGCCGATGTTTGTGTGGAGAGGGAGCGACTTTGGTCATGGGCAGAGGTCGAGACGGTTTGGTCGTTCTCGACGCGAAGGAGCAACGCGCCAGGGTCCTGCCAGCCAGCACTCGAACGCACTCCTAGGTCTACAACAGTGTGACAAGTTCGTCCGACAATGCAAGTGCCTTGAGGTCCAAGCCATGGAGACTCCGCAGCTTGCTGAGTGCTGCTTTGAGTTCGAGCACTTCTAGCAATTCTCTCAGGGGCTCTTGATGCTCAGACATCCGCAGTAACAAGCCGATTGCGCCGACGAGGCGATAGGCCGTCTCTGGCGCTGTCTCGCTCGTCAGAGGATGCACAAGGGCCGACGCGAGCTCGATCTCGTCCTCCTCGGTAGCTTTGTTCATGGCCTGCCGGATTGCAAAGGCGAGTGATGCTGCAGCTGCCCTGACACCAGCATCGCTGTGTTCCAAGCCGAGCAAAGCCAGCTGCTTGAGCTGATCCTGATCAAGCTTCGCAGCGATAGTCTTTTGGCCGACGCAATTGGCAAACAAACGCAACGAAGTGAGCATCGTCAACCTTGCCTCCGCTGGGGTTTCGATCGACGTGCTCAGCAAGGTGCCAAAGAGATCGATAGATGACATGACCGCGATACCCGCCGCGATTCGCTTGTCCAGCATCGCGAAGCGGAGCAGGTCAAATATAGGAAAGAGTTGGTCGTTTGGCAGGAGCTGACTCGCGGCAGTGAATGCCTTTGCCATGGCCAATAACAGCGCAGGTTTCGGTGGCGACGCGAATTGGATGCCGACTGCTTTGCGCTCAAAGGCGATCAGGTAGGGTCGCAGGATACTGCGTATCGTCTGTGTTGTTGTTCCAGCGCGCTCGTCTTTGACGTCTTCGAAGCAAAGCGACAGTTTGCTGATGGCCGAATCGACATTGGGCACCTGCTCGAAGCGGACTACTTTGTCTTTCAACGCGTCGAGCATGGGTAATGAGATGGCCTGAGCAGCCGTTGAAGCTGACGCATGGCCGTTCGTAGCTGCAGCTCGAGTGAGAGATGCGACTGCAGCTTCTGGCTCGACATTGGAAGCGCCTCTCGGTCTGAACATCTGATCGATCATCGGGCGCATCTGCTGACCCATCGGCGTCGACAGAAACACGGCCGGTAAGTCTGCGCTTGCAATCAGCATCCCCCAAAAAGCGCAGAAACGAAACGGCATACCTAGTATATCTCGAGGCACGTGCTGGTTGACGAGGAACTCGAGCACGGTATCGCTAAAGTTGTTGCAATTGTGCTCGAGCAAATGATAATCTGCTGCTGTCCACCGATCACGCAAGCCGTCTAGGTACTCCGTAAAGGTCATCTTGTCAATCTCTGTCCTCCCCATCGAGATCTGCCGTTGGGGACGGCCATGGTGCGATGTGCCCGGCCGAACCGTTGAGATTCCTTGGCCGTAGAAGAATTCGAGACCGTACACGACGACAGAAGTGTGCCAGATGCCGTCCAGCTGTCGACCGGTCCAAGCTAGCGACATGGCCCTTGCGAGACCATTGGACAAGTCATAGACATACAGCTGGACCTCTGACATCGGTACAGAGAGTTGCGCAGCGATGACGCGGCAAGGCGGCAAGTCGCGAGATGTCAATGTCAACTTGGGGGATCGATCTGAGATACGCTACTGCTACAACATGCCTTGTCTATGGTGCGTGTGTACACCAGCGGGGTCCAAGGATACGCAGGGCCGAAATCCTGCCGACACCTCTCTTGCGCGCCGACCCATTTACAGCTCCTGCTCAGAGACCTTTTGGGTATAGAACGGGTTTGAGCATCGCCCAGGGCTCCTGCCTACGTTTGGCAGCTAGTCGCGCCTGTCGATCTTCCAGCGGTTCTCGCAAGCAGGAGATATCGCAGCCCGGCGTGCGCCAGAGATCGTAGCAAAGCTTGAGTCGTTTGTATTGCGCCGGAACGTCTCGCCAGTTAAACATTGGCGCAGTGGGCATAGCGCCTAGACTCAGCGCTACTGTACCGGCGGCATCGTACAATGGACTGTTGAGCGCATCGACGAGCTGGGTGTATGTAGGTCTCAGTTGTATGTCTAGTACGAGTGTATCGCGATGACTATTCGTGTGTGCGTGAGAGAGGTATCTCGGCTCGAGTATGTCTACATTGTACTCTTGCGATGTCTCTTCGATGGGCAACACTGCCCAGATGTCTCTGTTGCGTAGGTTCGGCTGGACGCTGGTGTTCAAGTACAATGCCGTCGGGGGCAGTAAGAGGTCACGACCAGAGTCTGCAGCAAGGCCGACTGCAATGGCGAGGAAACCTTGCAGGCCGGCTTCGGTGCCCGTCAGAGCGTCTAACGAGAGAATTTTGCGAGGTTTGCTATAGTAACTGTCTATATCTTGCGTAAAGCCATGAGTGGCAGCGAGTGTGCGTCTGATGGGGTAGTCGTCCACGCAGGTCGTATGAAGAAGGACTGCTTCTGCAGGAACGCCATAGCCTCTGTGGTATTGTACAAAGCGGAATCGGTCTAGAAAGTGGACGCCGAGACCCCAGGGCGTTGCCTTTTTGCGTTCGTGAGCACCAACGGTGTAATTGTCGTACGTCAACTCCAAGACTTTGTTGACTGCACCCTGGTCCCACTGCCCGACTCTGTTGATCATATCATCGAGTGCGCGTCGCCACAGCTCTGCAACCTTGTCATTGTCTCCGCTCGAGACGATGACGCCGATGTTGACTTCTGCTGATCCCTCGTACGGGAACGAGATGCCGAAGCCTTCATCGGTCCATTTGGGCAGGTACGGATAGGGATCGTATCGAAGCCATACATCGCCTTCGACGAACAATGTCCGATAGCCTGCCTCTGCAATCTCTTTGAACGCGAGCAGTTTGGTCATCATGAGCGGCGGTTTGCTAGGCCACTGTCTTGCAGGTTGATAGAAGCCTCCATAGCCGAAGAGGTTACGCTCATTACATAGATCGACACAGGCTTGGTCCAGGCAGATGACGAGCAGGTCTTGATGGCCGCGTGGGGAATTGTAAAGCGCCTCGTCAAAGTCGATATCGCCATCATCAATTTTGGCTCGATACATGTCTATCGAACTGACGTCGGTCGTAGGCCGTACCCGTCCGGGCGCTCGAGGAAGCGTTCCATCGCCCAAGCGTTGCAGGAACAGGGTGAGATCCGTCCCGCCTTGACGGAGGTATGTCGCGTCGAGCAGGGTGACCCAGAGATAGTCATCTTTCGGTAGCTTGCCAATGCGCTGACGGAGGAAAGTACTCAGGGATAGGCTATCGTTGATGCCCGTCGCAGTGGGCAGATGAAGATGTCTTCCCGGGCGAGCGCTGTTGTACTGCACCGTCTGAAGAGGCAGATGGTCCTCCTCCTCGTCTCTCTCGCCATGTAGGGTAAAGAGGGCGATGGCTACCACAGAGGCAAGCAGCGCTAGTCTGTACCAACCTAGCTGCCGCAAGACCATCGGTTCAGTGCATTCCTGCAAGGCTCATCGAAGATGAAGCATCAGCCATGTCGCTGCTTCATTGCTTTCATTTTCGCGCATTTGCACGTCACGCGCAGCCCACCAACCATGTCGACGACGGTGACGCCGAATGGCAAGCCAAAGCGGAAACGTCAGCGCAAGCGCAGAGCGGCATCACTTTCCTCGCTCTCTTCCTCATCCTCAGAGGGTAGCGCAGACGAATCGTCAGCAAAAGTGAGCCACCTGTCCTTACATCACCTTGGCTGATCATGCTACAGCCTGCTGCAGTCACAGATGGACCTGCAGAGTCCGAGAGCTCTGGAGAGGAGAGCACAGCGTCTTCGGCGACGTTGAGCGACTCGTCCGAAGACGAGAGCGAACGATCGGTGCCTGCAGCCGTCATTGCTCAGGATCCAGCTCGGGCAGAAAGAGCCAAGAGAGGCTACTCACTCTCACCGCCTCGCTCACCCTCACCACCCTACTGGGGCACCGGACTCGACCGCGACGGACATCCGCTCTTGTGGGGTCACGTACCCGGCGATGTCGATAGAGAAGCGAAAGACTTGACAGAGCAGGAAAAGAAAGACCAGGCCGATTACTTACGTCTGCGGGAGTTCTACATGACCGAACTTGTCACTCGTTTCGGGAACGAACTTGACACGATCAGAAAAGAGCCGGATCTGACAGAGTCGAGATTGCGAACGATGATCACCTCCCTAGCAAGCGGTGTCGACCTCTTCACGTCAGATTCACCCAAGAGCGGAGGAGCGTGGAGGTCGAGTACATCGGAGTGGCCTTCCGATCGTGCAGTATTACTACACGCACTCGACGAGAGAGACGCCGCGGCGACTCAAAAGGCGGCAGACGAGGCTATGCAGCAAGACTAGAGGCGCGGCTCAAGCTGTTGTTGTATCACTCTCGGCACTTGCAGCCTCGGCTCTTCTTCTGCCTTCGGTCTCGGACGCGCACTCCTTGCCTTTTATATGCTGGCGTGACGGGCAGAGATGACAGACAGACCCAGAGCGGTGCTGCATCGTTCGTTTCACCGAGCTGAAGCTGACCGTGCTGACTTTCAGTACAGTCGAAGCAAAGCTCAAGGCAGATTCGACGGCACGACACGAAGTCATCAAACGCATGCTTAGCACGTACCTGCTTTCCAATTACGCAACACTCGAGTCACATACAATACTCGAGCCCGGGTCTAGTGTCTCTCAGCCTCCGCCGAGTACCTCGCAAACCGAACAAGCAGACCCAACTGAGCCGAGAGCTGTTGCTCCTGCAATCGGCTGGCGAGAGATTGGCACGCTCGATGACCACCTTGAGCTCGTTCGACTCGCAGAGATAGACCGTTTCGATAATGACGACGAGGCAGACGAGCTCGAAAGCTCAGACTTGATCATGCTAGCCGAGGTAGATCTTGAGATACACATCTATCAGCTTGTCAGCATGTTCGAGGCACCGCTCAAGGCAACGCTCGATGAAGAAGATCCAGACGCATCCTGCCACGAGGAAACAGCTGCACGGGTCATCCGTCTGCCGAGCCAAGCTCACGATGGGCTCTGGTCGAGTCTGATCTTCCCGCCACGAGTCAAACGCGACTTGCTCAATTTCATGACGACGAGTGCCGAGTTTGCGCGACGGGGGGTCGACACGGATATCATCGCTTCGAACCGGCTGCTCTTACTTCACGGCCCGCCGGGAACGGGCAAGACGTCGCTCTGTATCGCTCTAGCACAGAAGCTGAGCATCCGCTTATCAGACATTTGGCCAGACACGCGGCTCATCGAGATGTGAGCAGCATGCTGCCAGTGTACTCGTGCGCACTAACATCGAAGCGACAGAAACTCCCATTCGCTCATCTCGCGTTGGTTCAGCGAGTCTGGCAAGCTCGTCCAGCGACTCTTCTCGCAAATCTTTGCATTGGCAGATACGCCGACGAATTACATCGTGGTGCTTATCGATGAAGTCGAATCGCTCACAGCTGCGCGAGCGAGTGCGCTGAACGGCAAGGAACCCAGCGATGCTCTACGCGTCTGCCGCTCTCGCCCTCTTCGCATTAATCCCATGGCTGACCTGGCGATCCAACAGGTCGTCAATGCATTGCTGACCCAGCTAGATCAGCTTCGACGAAGACGCAATGTCTTAGTTCTGGCTACCTCGAATCTCGCGCAAGCTATTGATCCTGCCTTTCTCGATCGAGCAGATATGAAGCAATATATCGATCTGCCCCATGTTGAAGCAATACACTGGATCTTACAGACGTGCTTCGTCGAGCTCATGCGTGCACAGCTTGTCGATGCTCTAGTAAATGCTTGGCATGCAAGCTCGACGGAGCTCATCGTCTCAGAGCAGGAAATGCTTACGTGGAAGCAAGTACGCATGCTCGAAGGTCTCGAATGCCAGCGTGGCGGCTCAGGCCCATCGGAGAACGCGAGCCGCTCTCTCGTCAAGCTCGCACATGCATGTCGTGTCAGTTTTGCCATGTTGCAGGTGGTCTCGCTGACGTCGCAGCGGAAGGGTTTATCCGGACGCGCACTCCGACGTTTGCCCATCCTCAGTCACGCAAAGTATCTGTCAGGCGCGAGAAAGCACAGCGTGTTCACTTGGATCGATGCAATGCATCGCGTCGCAACAGATCTACAACAAGATATACACGGCTAAGTGCTCAGCCTTTTGAATGCATTCGAAAGCTCGTGTTCGCGAAGATACTCTGCACCACATTCTCGGTAATCTGCCAGAGTGATCCCGGCCGCTTGGAAGGCATCTGTTTGCGAGAACTTGCGCAGACCTCGCCAGGCATCGTAGCGAACGTCCGCAGCTCGTTTGACCTTTAGCGGAGCACCGACAGGTAAGCAAGCCGTCAATGAGCTCGCCAATCGCTCGTCAAAATTTGGCACTAGACTGCTCCTGCCCGTCACGAATACGTTCTGCGCACTCATGTCAGCGACGATGCGTATCAGCAAGGACATGCTGTCGTACAGAGATGAGTCGCTCTCTTTCGTGGGGTTGAAAGTGTTGCAATATATTCTGGATGACTTCGAGCAAGCCGGCTTGGTCAAGACCAGCTATCGAAGGCTGATACAAGACTTCGGGCACTCGAACTCTTTCGACGTTGAGATGAAGCTGAGCAGCTTGCTCGGGATCGTCGAGTTTGAGTGAATCGACATGATCGTCTGGTGCCATGCCGCGCAGGAAAGCGTTGAAAAGTGTGTGCTTGCGGTGCTCTCTGACTTTGACAGTATGCTCATCGGTGAAAGTCGGATCGTGCAGAATGAGCTGTCCTTCGAGCTCGCGCAACCGTTCAGCATCATCCTCTTCATCTTCTGAGTCGTCCGCAGTCGTGATCTCTCTGTAGACTTGCCAGTCTTTATCGTCCATACCAAAGCCGTCGTCTGTTCCTTTGATCTTCCGCTTCTTGGTAGCAGGAGAATCGGCAGCAAGGTTGGCAATACTTTTCATCCTAGCCTGAGAAGCGATAGATTTGCGATCGTGCATCTGCGTTCGCGCTTTCTTGCGGTCCTTCATCTTGTTCACAAGCGCTTCGTATTGTGACCTCAGACCCGCAGCCCATTGCTGGGGATGTGCCAATCTGAATGCCTCTTCTTCTTTGGCTTGTTTGAGTTGCTTCTCCATCTCTGCCGCCTTCTCTGCTTTGGCGCGTATACGAGCATCAAAGCCAGCCTTCATGAGCCGCTGTTTGCGTTTCTCTCGGATGCCATCTTCGTCTAGCTGGTCGTCCGGCACATCGACGAGCGAAAAGTCAGGCGGCTCTTTGCCTTCGTCAGGATCGATGCCCATATCTTTATTTCTCGCTCGTTGCAAGGTAGCTTCTATCTTCTTGATCTCTTCATCTAGCTCTGCAGTGTCTGAGAAAGACTGGGCTTCCAATGCACGCTGGTAGTCTTTCTTTGGCATCGTTTGACCGAGCTGTCGTAATTCCAGAAAGCTAGCTAGATCCGCTTCTTTCTGGACGAGCTTCTCGAGGCGGTGCCGCGCGACCTGCTCTTGCAGCCTTTTCCCCTGGTCTTTGCGCTGCTTGGCCAGTCTTTCGAGATCCTCTGCCGACTTCTCCTCGACCGTCTCGATGACGAATGGAAACTGGATGACGCGATCGGCAGCGACGAGCTTGCTAGGGCTCGCCAGGTCTCGGATTTCTCGATTATAGTCCAACGAGAAATAGCAGTGCTCTTGAAAGAGTGACTGCTCGCCCGGTATGAGCCAATATCACGTATAGCTTTTGTATAGGCTTGCCCATGCTTGGCCGTACGATACTCGAGTCGGAAAGCCAGGATATTTGAGCTGTGTTAGTTTGAGAATGTGAGAGGCAGCGGTGGCTCCTCCCCAGGATACTCTATGAGGACATCGCTCTTTCGTCAGCACACGATGTGGTGATCGGGTGGGTGCTCCGACCTCTTGGCATGATCGAGCCGCGCATGTCCGTCGAGCACGGGTACAATCTGAGTTGATGCGTTGCCACTCGAGACGACGAGCCCGTCCCTGCTGGCCCCGGACTGGTAGAATGCAGAGAGAGAGTCGACAGCATAGGTCAGTGATGGCACATTGTAGGCCTCAAACATGATCTCAGTCACACCTGTGTCTACTGTCAGGTCTGCTGTCTTTCCGAATCGCCTTGAGCGGACCTGCGCGTGCTGCTAGCAAGTTGCACAATGGCTCTGTCATTGCAACGGGCATCTCTATCCTGTCGTTGCTCGAACTGACGCCGAGCTTGATGAAGACATGATCGAGCAGACTCTCCTGCGACAGACTCGGCTTTCAGTGGGTCTCCGTCGCTCAGTGCGAGTAGAGTCACCATGGCGTCAAAGTTGCAGACCACGTCTGTGCCTTCATGGGGTGCTTTGATGGACGTCTTTGCGAGGTTGTCTACGAACGTGGCATCTCCCGCAAGCATGACGACCTGGTTCCGTTTGCGCTCTCTGTACTTGCTGACGAGGCTCTCCACAGCGACGTAAGGGTCTTGCTGACTGGCGTAGCCTGCTCGGATCTCGCTTCCGCCTGCTCATCCGTCTATTCACGCCGCTTCGGTGACAGGGAGAGGCGACGTACCATTGTCGATAATGAGCGCATTACGAGGAATGCTCGATATGCTGCTGTAGTCTGCAAAGGGAGCTATATAGGCTGGCGTAGGCCGCTCAGGCACTTCCCAGATTCGCCTAGGCTGTGCCGGTGCTGGTGCATGCATGATGCTCGCAACTCCTTTTGCGGATTGTACGGGAATGAAGCAGTCAGATGGGCTGCCTGGCTACGCTGACATGCTTGCCCGTGGCTGCTCGACGCCGTTGTCGCGGTGCGTCGCGGTCTTTGGCCAACTTGCTCTTTCGACCCGGCTCGCCGCCTTTCAGTGGCCTATCAGCACTCAAGATGATGTCTCTGCCACGAGGACTGAGCTCCTCAGGTCAGCCGAGCGTCCAGACCAATGCAGCAGCTTCGACATCACGCACGAGCCTCGTCAATCCTCAAGTACTAGCGCTTGCAGATCCACCGACTCATCAAGTGGATGCTCGTCTCTTCGAGTACATCTCCTTCCAGGCACGGCTCTCCTGGCTTCAGCGACACTGAGCAGGCGCTGAGCTGGTGAGCTTCGGCGCAGATGGTCAGCGTGTTAGCAGAATCGTCAAAGCTCGCGACGCAAAAGAGAGTACAACGGCAGAGAAGGATAGAAGAGGACTTTGGGCTGAAGAGCAGACCGGCATCTAGCCGTACTTCGCTCGGCTCGAGCAAAAGCAAAGACAATGCCAGTGCAGACGAGATCAAGGAAAGAGACTCGCACGAGTTGCGCGTCAGACTGGAGCAAGTCGGCTTCAAGACTGGCTGGGGGCTATCTGAACGGTGAGTACACTCTGCACTCCTCCTTATATGCGTTTACACCGTATCAATATAGCTTGTGTCGGGATAGACCGCCGTTTCCGCGACAGACGAGCCCGTCAAACGCACCTAGCAACGCGCCGTCGCCGCCAGACCCACTCGAGGTCGTCAAATTCGTCTGCAAGGACGTTTGGGTTGCTGTCTTCGATAAACAGATAGACAATCTGCGCACGAACCATAGAGGCGTCTATGTACTGCAAGACAACGCATTCAAGCCCCTGCTCAGGCTCAGCGGCTCCGAGCAGCAGAATCTCTCAGACGAAGTCGTCTCTATGGGCTCAAACGTGCGCTCATCTTCGCGCATTTACACTTGTCAGGCTGATCGATCTATAGCTCTTGCCATTCCCAAGTGGGATAGTCAGAGGTGTCTTGCACAATCTGGGGCTCAAGGCGACTGTGACTGCCGAGCTAGGCGGTGCCGGTCAGTGCACATTCCAGATCAAGCTCGCAGCGAGCGCAAACGCATCATTGAGCACATCAACACCTGCCTCGCGCCCGCTCGTGTGACACTAATAAAAGAGCGCACCCGACGCGAGCGAGCGATTGCAATTGATCGATAGAATCTACGCCAGAATGAGAGCCGACGGTAAACCGAACGGTATTGTTGAAGTACCGATGCTCATCTTCATCCTTCATCAGCTCTGGCCCATCTGTGCGAGCAGTAAGAGATGGTGCATTTGTGTAGCAATCGGACCTTTGGCCCAAAGTCGCCCTATGACAGCAATCTGGCCTCTTGCTTCGACGATGTCATCCTGATACCGCTAGCAACTTGGGTGTTTCTACCGCTTTCCGTCATCGCCTTTGCCAGCGTACTCGCTTCTTCCTCCACGAGGAGCACGTCTGGTGTGTCCACTCGGAGCAAGCTGCCGCGATGGGCAGCAATACTATACGCTGTGCTAGTGGTTGCGCTGCTTGCGATGGAAATCCTAGAGATCACTCGCTTATCGCTCTCAAACAACGGTGTGGGGCTCCTGCCGTTCTCGCTCGTTGGCGTCTTGATCGCATTCGTTCTCGTTGTGCTATTGCACGTCCGCAAAGCAGATATCGCGGCGAACAAGAGGAGGACAGCTTCGACCATACTGGCGCTGTATTGGATCCTTTCGCTTGCATTCAATGCCGTCAAGCTAGCCGAGTACTCTCACATCAGCAGATTTGACCCGGGCAACACCAAGTATCCCACAAGTGATCACGTAAGCTACATGCCGACGCGTCGCGAGGTTGTGCTTATGTGGACAAGCAGGTGGTTGACGGTTCCGTCATTGTCGCACTCCTCGGTATCTTCATGATCATCGAAGCACTCCTCGTCGTGCTCGGCGGCAGACAAGACCACGATGTCGTCACAAATGATGTCGATAGCGAAAAGCCACTACATTGATCATTGGTTACGTCATGCAAGGCGCGCGCGCAAGTAATTACGTTGTACGATTATGCGTCGCAGTAGTCACAGAAAGCCATGCATTGGTCTAACCGAGTGACCAGACTTTGACTGTAGCATCGCGTGAACCTGTGGCGAGATACCTGTCCATAAAGCGCAAACGCTCGGCGGGCGATGTATGGCCGTTGACGAGCAAGGAAGTCTGCTGTAGCGTCGTGCGATTGTACACCTGTATGCCGCTGCTTCAGCGAATGCATGCTAGCTACCGAAAGCGACAAGCCCACTTTGATAGCGTTCTCGCCCGCTGCGACGACAATCTTGCGCGTATCAAACTGAAGCGCAGAGACGGCATGATCGTAGCGAAGCGTCTCTGCAACCGCGCCAGTACGCAAGTCCCAGACGCGCACCGTCTTGTCGAGACTGCCGCTGATCAGATGCAATTCGTCAAACTGAAGGCTGGTCACGGGCGCTGTATGACCGACGAGCGTCCTATGAGCTTGTCCCGTTCGCACTGTGACGCTGGTCACTATGTGTGCATGACACGCCTATGCTAGGTACTTACTGTCCCACATGCGCACGCAGCCGTCCGCGCTGCCTGAAGCCAGGGCAACGCCCCAGAACTGGCAAGCGCCGACAAAGTCTTGGTAGAGATCCCATGAACCGTCTGACATGGGCGGTATGGCCGCTGCGAACGATTGTGCATAACTGCTCTTGCGTTGATAGCTTGAAGAGAGGCCTGGCCGAGAGAGGCCTGGTTTGGCAGGACTGGTGTATGGACTCGTATACGGCGAGTGACCAGGCGTCATCGAGGGGAAAGAGCTTGTGTCCGATTGGGGAGGACTGGCAGGCGGAGACGCAGAGAGCGACTGTGAAGCGTCTGGATTGGAGATTGCCCAGAGGATGTCCATGGTGAGTACACATTGTCCTGTTTTCATGTCCCATTGTCTCAAAGTCTTATCTGAGCTGCCCGTCACCTGCTCACTTTGTGTCAGCAACATTCAGCGGTAGGCCGTGTGATAACTCACTAAACATCCGCCATCAAAGTAGAGCGATGTGACGTCTTTCGTATGACCATCGAGAACCTTGACTAAGCCTCCGCCCGCTTCTTTCTGACTCTCTATTGCATCTTCAAACGAATGATCTCCATCCATACCACCATTGCCGAATGGGATGCTGGAGCTTTTGGGGAATCCGCCCTCTGCGACCTCTTCGATTCTGTCAAGATCCCAGATGCAAACACGGCCATCCTTGCTTCCCGAGACGCAGAGATTGGATTCGACCTGAAGCGCTTTCACCACGCCTTCGAGCATACGCGGTCAGTGCACGCGCGCTGTTGCATTATGACCTGCGTACCAGAGTGACCTCCCGAAAGGGAGCCGTATTCTTCGCCTGTAGTCAGATCCCATAGCTTGACGGTTTCGTCGGCGGAAGCAGTCACGAGCGTGCCGTATGGTTCCGAGAAGTCTAGGGCGGTAATTGCACCGTGGTGTCCAGCCAGTGTCTGTGGCGAGATGTCAGCATCCGGCGCGTGTGCGCGAGGCTGATGATCACGAACCATAAACGCCACGTTGGGCGGCAGCTCATCGTGCTCAGACGGCAAGAAGGCAGGCCCTGTCCGCCGATGAGTCTGGCGTCACGACAAGAGCCAATGACTGACCTTTTCGCCGCCTTGAGGACGCGGGCGCATTCAGCGATCTGCCGTTCGCTGTAGGCGACAGTGTTTCCTGAGCTAAGCGCTCCCGTAGCCCTTCGACTGCGATGCGCAGAATATCAGATCCATGAGTCGAGCAGGTACGGCCGAGCACTGACGCTCATCGTCGAGCTCTAGCTGCTCTTCTCGTAATCCGAGCAGGCCTCTTCTCAAATCTTGCCTTACTTGATCAAGACTCGCGATTTTCCGCTCCACCTCGTCAATTTCGTGCGTCAGCAAGGACTGTATCCAAAGTCAGTGCAGTCATCGATCGCTGAAGGCGACTTACCCGTCTGACGTCGACGTTCTCCTTGTCTGCTAGGATCTCCTCCACCTCTGCTTCGAGCTCCTCTCGCGAAGGACGAGGCAGATTCGCATCTGGCAAGTTGCCCCTGCTTGCAGCGCGAAGATGACGCTGCTGGCTCCGTCGATGATGGCCCGCTCCCCGCGAAGAAGGCGAGCCGTCAAAGCTCGTCTCGCCGTCTGGCGCGGCCAGCAGACCTCTCGCCCTTTCGCCGCGCTGCTTCAAGCCCAGAGAGGATTGCGACGCGTCGGGTTGGGACAGACCGAGCTGGTACTCGATCAGGCCTGCTCGCCTCTTCCTCCGCCTCATTCGCGGTACAGAGGCCGATGGCTGGGTAGCTTGAAAGCCACGCAGGAGGCTGACGTACCCCGCCGAGACAGAAGGAACTGCGGCAGGTGCTGGTGGGATGGGTAGCGCTAAGAGCTCGTCTACTCCCTCGAGGATGCGCAGTTCGGTCGAATTGGAGGCATAAGCATACTTTGCAGCTTTCTTGCCGGACATGTTCAGTCGTGCCAGTGAATTTGCGACTGTCTGACCCGTTCGGAGAGTGAGGGCAGCCGATTGAGAGGCAGCAGAAGCCATGGCCGAGCTCGCTCCCGCCGAGTTGTTAGGCAGAGCAGCGTTGAACGAGGGCGAGTTGATGATGCGACGGGTCATCAGACGAGGAGCCAGCTCTGCAAGAAGGGCAGTGGGACCTTGTCGAGCCTCTCGCTCGCCCGCTTGACGTCCATCCTGACGAGCGTCATTCGTCGCCCGATGGTTGGAGTCTGACATCGCCACTGGTTGTCTGGCAGTGCCTACTACCAGCGACTGCTCCGACAACCCCTGCGTGGCCTCCGCCGCAGGAATCTGAGGAGCAGCTGGCCCTGCGTTGGCACCTGTCCACCACAAAACTGGCGAGTTCGCGCGGTACGGTCAAGCGGTCATCGGGATCGAATGGACAGCAATGCAGAGCATGAGCAGGTCCACTCGCTCGTCCTCGGCAGCAGAGCCTCCCAGCTCGCTCTCGTCCAGACTGAGCTTGTCCAGTCAGCTCTCGGTGCCTTGTATCCCTCCACACAAATTTCGGTCTCTACAATGACGACTGCAGGCGACAAGGACCAGTCTCAGGCATTGTATCTCATCGGAGGCAAGGCCTTGTGGACGAAGGAGCTCGAAGTGGCTTTGCTCGAGCAAGCAGTCGACGTCATCGTGCACTCACTCAAGGATATGCCCACCACTCTACCAAGAGGATGCGAGCTTGTTGCAATCATCCAACGCGAAGACCCAAGGGATTGCTTCGTAGCCAAGTCAGGTTCGCCGTACAAGAGCCTGGCAGATCTACCGGCGGGCAGCGTGGTGGGCACAAGTAGCGTAAGACGCGTCGCGCAGCTCAAGAGAGCTTTCCCAGAGCTCAAATTCGCAGACGTGCGAGGCAACTTGTGCGCTCAATTGCTATCGTCATCGCTGCAATTCTGATGTCCATCTAGGAACACACGCTTGCGGAAGCTAGATGCAGACGATTCGCCCTTTGAAGCCTTGATCTTGGCAACTGCAGGCCTGAAGCGAATTGGTCTGGGCGATCGCGTGACTGCGCCGCTCGAACGATCAGAGGCGCTGCACGCAGTTGGCCAAGGTGCTTTAGGTATCGAGATGCGCTCGCGACCCCGTGAGACTGCACAACCGGCCCTAGACGAGATGCTACCACCGCCATTGACGGCTGAACAACTCGAACGCGACCGAAAGCTGAGAAAGATGGTCAGGAGGATAGGTGACTGGCAGACGACCTGGAAGTGTGTTGCCGAGCGGGAGATGCTGAGAGTGCTCGAAGGCGGCTGCTCTGTGCCTGTGGGATGCTGGACGGAACTGACGGAACTTCCCCAGCCATCACACGTCATGCCTGCAATGCGACCCAGGATGCTCTCCTCACTCTCGACACTGTCTGTTAGCTCGTCAGGATCGACGCACAGCTCCATACCCGAATTCGAAGATTCTGACGAGGAGGAGCAAGAGGAGGCTAGGCACAGGCGCGTTCGCGTCAGCCTCCAAGGCGTCATCACCTCGCTCGACGGCCAGACACAAATCTCGACAGAGCAGAGCAAAGTGTGCACGCATATCAACGACTGTCTCTCGCTCGGTCACGATGTCGCGCTCGAGCTCATACAGAAAGGAGGCAAGGCGATACTAGAAAGTCTTGGCCGGTCGGTCAGCACGGTCGAGAAAGCTTCGCGATCGACACAGCGCAAAGAACACAAGATCAAACAAGCTGATATGACAGAGGAAGTCTTCGGGCAGCCGACGAGAGCCGATCTCGAGCCTGTTCCCCACCTTGTACACGAGATGCGACCAGATGCATAGGCTGTGCAAAATCTGCCCGCTGAACTCCGTGGAAGAGGTGACAAGCACCTGGCTCTATCCGCCCCAGCTAGATTTGCCGCTTTCGGGCCATCGCGTCATCAAACCTAACAAATTTAGCACAGAAGCCACGCGCGCTCAGTATTCAAGAATCGGTATTTGCTGCCTGCCACGCTGACGGAATTCACCAATTTGCGCGCGTGCGCAAAATGAGGCAGCCGCCCTCTCTCATTAGCCGGCGGCCCGCTCCTCTCCGACCTCAGCCCTCGGTTGCGCTTACGTGAGCCGCTAACATGAGGCTTGGGCTTTCGCGTCTGCCTCGCTGCGCATTGCATTTAGGCTCACAGAAATGAACCCTGGCATTCGATGACAGAGAGCAAGCAAGAAGTGCTCTATCATCTCGCAATAGGACGAGCGGCCAAGATTATATCTAAAGAGCACTCTTATCCACTCGGCGTTCGACTCGGCGAGCTGCTGGCTAAAGAGAGAACTGCGGCACGCAGACTGCAGCGTCGTCAGAAGAGCAGCGAGGACACAGCAGAAGACCATCTGGACATGTTCCTGTTACGCAGGGAAGTCAGAGTAGTCAGACTGCAACTCGACCGTGTGCAGAGCTTGGTTGACCGCGTGAGCTTGCCGACTGATCACTTCGACAAGCGAGCTCATGCAAGAGTCTCCGCAGATCCATGCGCAGGCTGCACCTGTTATCTCGACGCGATGACACGCACGCGCTGTCTCGAAGCCGCCGCTGCAGCCTTGGACGGTGCCTGTCCCATCAACAGCATAGCCATATGCAGCCTCGCTCGCTACTAGCGAAGGCGACCCTCGCACGACAATTTCATTGCTGCGACAACTCACGATATGATGCACATTCGGAGCCATAACCAGGGGGAGATCCATTCTTTGAAAAGAAAAAGACAACATGGGACGTATTGAATCAGATTAATGTCTTCTTGTGGTTGTAGCAAATCGACGTTTTCCTTCTGATGTGACGCTCGGCGGGGTATCTTGATGCGAGCGAGCATGTCTACTCGAGTTCGGCAGCAGCGACTTCGTCTCTGACTTCGACGAGATCGCCATAGATTGTCAGAGCGGCCACGACGGAGGAGACGAGCATTTGTACTTGAGCAAATCGATGGATGAGGTCCGAGTTCCATCCGAGAGGCGCTTGTGGCGCAATATAGCTGATGTAGTAGACAATCGCGAGCCTGACGACGGCGAAAGTAACGGGCGAAGCGCGTTCGAGACGATCGTTCGGAATAATATTGCCATCCTCATCGAGCCATTCTGGAGGCGAGGGGAAGACGATGAATTTGCTCACGATCAAGGGCGTAACGAGTGTGAGGAGTGCCCAGAGCGAAAAGAATCGTTTGAAGGTGAACTGCCAGAGCACAAGAATGTCGGGCAAGGTGACACTGAACATAAAGTTGGGTGTCAGAGGTAGCCAAGCATAGTTGTATCCTCCGAAAGAATACTGCGCTTTAATTTTTAGCCCCATACCAGGGATTGAGCGAGCCCACTCGCCTTCTTGTGCCAAGACGCAGAGCTCAGGACAAAGAATGCGACTTCGATGAGCACACCGAGCACAATGAGGATCCAAGTATTGCTCAAGCCCTGCTCTATCGTCAGGAGGACATCAATCGCTTTTGACATGGTACGCACAGTCTGCACGCGTACGGCGGATTTGGCGGCATCGTCTCCAACCTTGCCAGCGTATTTCGCGACCACGCCCGAGATGGAAGCAGCAGTGCGATCGTAATAACGTGCAACCTGACGGGTATCTGTGTCGATGGTAGCCAAAGCTTTGTCGAGTTCAGTCGAGCCTGACTCGACGACTTTGCCTGCGACACGCTGCACGGTGCTGCTCGCGTCCGCCATTGCTTTCTCGACCGACGATCCGGAGAGTGCATTCGCGGCGTCAGAGATGTAGCCGTTGACCGCCGCTGAGACTTTGTCCGCAGCATTCGACTCTGGCGGGGAGCTCCTACAGAAAGTCAGGCAGTCAGCCCCGAGCAAGTTTGAGCCTGGAAAACGACTTGCACTTCTGATTTCCTGCCCTGGCGAGAGCGTGCAGAGCCAGATTCGGTCATCGAGTCCCAGAGACCCGAGAACTGCGTCGAAGTCTGGACGTCGGTGGACGATTTGATATGCTCCCTGATGATCTGTTCCAATTCCGCCTTTGAATGCTCCCCTGCATCCAATCCGAGCGCCTCGACGATCTCTGTGACGCGACGACGACCATCGCGACAGATGAAAGTGACAGGATTCCCAAATGTGACGTACGTTGCACGGCCAGTTGAAAGTGAGGGGAGGGAACAAGGGGAGCACGTGAGCTTGTGGGGCGGCAAGAAAGCAATTGGTGCACGTACCCACGAGTTCGCCCTTGCGTTTGGGTCGCAGCGAGCCAGCATAGCTAGGGCTTGACATTGTCTACAGTGTATTCGCGCGTGCAGATCCTCCGAAGAAGCAGAAGTAGCGGCGAGTCTAGAGATGGCGCGCTAATATACTGGATCCTTGTCAAAGCAGAGTCTATGCACCTGCGAACTGTCTTTTCGCGCGTCTTGTACCCGTGTGAAAGCCGTGCCTGTCCCAGTCTGTGTCAAATTGCTGGTCTAGGCTATCGTCGACCGGCTTGCTTACCTCGTATGTCGTCTTATTCTCGCAGACAACAGTGACGGTGCTTGTCAGGCTGCTATGTGACACTTACCGACGGCGCGACCCTGGTGCTGCCAGGAGCGAGTTTTGTCGCTTCGCAGGCCGTATGACGCTGCTGCGATGCTGCCGCAACGCACTGAGACAGCTCAGACAGCCGCAAGCACTGCCAGCAAGGCAAGCTTCGACTTCGACGGGAGCTTTCTTCCCAGGCAGTCTGCCCCCAAATTCCAACGCCATCGTGACGCCTAAGCCGCCCTCAGAGTCATGGTTCACCGGACGACCCACGCTGAGTGACGCACAGATCAAGCTAGACAAGCTGCTATCCGAAGTACGGTCTGCGCTACATGAGAACGGTTTCCTGCCTCGCTACGATTCACCGGCATCCCAGGCAAAGATCGCCGTTCCTTCCAATATCGTCGATCTCGTCAATGCTGGCTACCGACGTCGGGGATCAGGTTGGGGAACTCGACCTGCATTATCTGGGCGCTTGTCTTGCAAGATCCGCCTGGCAGACTATCGAGCGATGATCTCGACATTGAGCCAATTGCGATCGTTACAACCTCTGCTCGTCTTTGCAGACTCACTCGGGACAGAGTACCTGTCGAAAGACTTGCGAAAGAGGTTCGAAGCTGCCATCGGCGCTTACAAGAGCCCACTGCCGCCTGGAGGCGAAGGGGATAGCAAGCCCGCGGTACCTGACGAGTTTGGTAGAGTGTACAGCTACGGAGCGAGGAAGAACAGTTCTGCGCGAGTCTGGCTGGTCCCGACAAGCAAGGAAGGTGCACCGGAGGATCAGCTGGGAGAGATGATTGTCAATGGCACGTCCATCTCTGAACGATTCAGGGATGTCCATCTACGCAATCTCATCTTGCGGCCGTTCGCTCTGACGGGATCACTCGGAGCCTACAACACGTTTGCTATTGCAAGAGGAGGCGGTGTGAGCGGACAAGCTCAAGCGATCCAATTGGGCATTGCGAAATGTCTGGCAACCCTGCAAGAAGGCGCCAGACGACCTTTACGTAAAGGTAGCCTCTGGTGGTCCCCGTGCACGGCTCTAGCTCATCCATGATCGCAGAGAAACTCCTGACGAGAGACCCCCGAATGGTCGAGAGGAAGAAGACGGGCAAGCCAAAGGCGCGCAAGTCGTACACTTGGGTCAAACGGTGAAGACTCTCGTTTGTCGACATGCGCATGTCTGTGACGATACGCTGCATGCATCAGGCATCACTGTATCTTCTTCTCGAATTCCTTGTCCCGGCTGAGATCCTGATATCTGCGTGTCAAGGTGTCGCGGGAAGAGGATGCTATGGACATGTGCGAATAGACCGGTCATGTTAGTCATTTTACTACGTTACTGTCAGTTCGACAGACATTCGTTGCAGCGCGACGAATCAATTTTTGAGAGACACAGAACTGATGATCGACCTTTTTCGATCACATGCATGCAAAGATCATGACCGTGCGCCTCAGCGGGAATTTGTGATATCCCATATTCCCAAAGACCCGTCCGTATGCTCTGTAGCAGTGCTTGTCCTGTTTAGCCTTACATGCAATTGGGTACGACCCAGACAACGAGAGCATGGCAGCAGAATCGACAGCTGATGGGCATGCTCGTCCTCCTCCTCACAATCTCATTAGCCGCCTATGCTCCTTACCTCGAGCATCAGCGTTCAAACGGCAGGTATCGGACATTGCAGTATAGCAGTGCTCGACCAGGACGACACACATTCTACCCGACTGCAACGAGCATCAACGATAGTACGCCCTTGAGCACCTTTCTACGTCAGCGGATAGGCAGACTGCCTCCAGATGACTTTCTCTGGGTGACTTTGCTCGATGCCAACTACCTTCGTCAGGGTGGAACGGATCTGACGCTGTTCCTTCAGCGATTGAGCGATGGCACGCTGCCTCGTGCGCCCGGTCGCGTGCAGCCTTCGACGGAGATCAGCTCTATAGATGTCTGGAGCCAACAGATCAACGACGGCGACATCGACTTTGACAGCGAGATCTATGGCAAGAGGCGCAGTCATCAAGATCTTCTCGTTATCTGCCTCGATCAGGCTTGCATTGATCTTTGCAACGAACGGGAACTCTTTGGCTACGGTGGATTCTACCAGCCTGCGCGACAGTGGCCTGACAAGCCACCTCTGATGGTGACCAAGCTACTTGCCCTCAAGGAAATCGCAGAAGCGGGCTACCGAAGTTTCTTTGTCGAAGGCGATGTCTGGCTGCGGTATGATCCTTATCCGTTTTTGCCGAAATACAGCGAGACGGGTTTCGGCGTCTCGTTCACCTACGAAGGATCTAGTGATGTCAATGTGGGCGTCATCATCAGCGATGGAAGCAGCAAAGCCGTCGAGCTCTTTCGTCGAGCATTCGACGAGCTCATCAACCGAGTCGGGCAATGGGATCAAGGCGCGATGAACCGTGTGCTCGAGATCACTTACGCCAACTATACCATCGGCGCGCACGAGCGCAAGTTCGGTACACCCTGGGGCCTCGGCGTGCACTATCTCGACCGGATCAGATTTGTGCAGTTTCACCTCAGCTACGGAATTCCTGCCGAGACTGCGTTGATCCACACGACGTGCGTCGATGATTACCCCATGAGACGCACACTGGCTGCTGCCCATGGTTTTACGCAAGATGTAGACGGATACTACAGCAGGCCACGGAGGATACTTTCCCTTGATGCGCTTGCCGGCGATGAATCGAGCATCCAGGCCACTCTCGCTGTTGCTGTCGCACTGGCAGCCCAAACTGGCAGAGACTTGCTTCTGCCGCCCACAGCAATGTACGTCAATGCGAGTCTACACCCTCATGCGCGCAATCGCGATATTTGGGCCGTACTGCCTTTTCACGAGACCGAAGACGAATTCAACATTACCGTTCTCGAACCTCGTTACCTCGCCCATCGTCCAGCGCATCTCCAACGACCCACAAGAGCGTACGAGCCGCTCACATTGACGATGCAATTCTATCGACAGTACTCGCAGATCTTAGCCGCTCTGGACAGCCCGGTCTACGAGTCCACCGAGGTCGTCTCGCTCAATCCGGGAGGAATGCCAGTGTCACCCTTTGAGCTGTTGAGTGACGTTCCCCAAACGTACAAACGACTCAAGATCTGCTACGGATTATGGTTGGTGCCAGGCTGTGAGGTGGCTTGCCTCCGAGAATCTGTCGAGGCTCGGGAGGAACGTAGAGTTGCCAGAGAACGAGGCGAAGCGTGGGCGTTCAGCAAGCCAGTGTTGTACCCTAGAATGGCTCCAGCTTGATTGCCTCTCTTGATCGCGTTCGACCATGAGTATTCGAGGACGTCTGCGGTTCATGCAGCGTCGTACCAGTGTTGCTTAGCTGCGAAGGTCCGTCATCGTACTTTGAGTTTGACGATGCCCGGCCGCTGCTTGAGGTGCTCGGGCGCTTTTCTCTTTTTGAACATCGACACTTTCTCTTCCGCCGGTGGACCTGCCGAAATGACGGGCTTCGTCTCTTCTGCCTCTGGCGTTATGTCTGTCAAATTCGGCTTGGTATCCACCAGAGCTGGCTTAGTATCTGACAATTCAGGCTTGATGTCGTCCGCATCCGGTTCGGGCTCTACCTGCTCAGTCTTGATCTCGTTCTTGATAGTGATGCGAGGCATCTTCTGATCTCTTGCGATCTGTTGAGCTTGAGCAGCAGCGACCATCCTCTCCATTTCTGCTTGTCCCGGTAGCAGAGGAATATGCTCCTGCTTCACTGCTACTTTGGCAGATTCCGTCCAAGCACCCGTGACGGGCGCCAAGGGGATCGCGTTCATTCTGTAGCGAGAGGGCGCGGGAGTGTCTCTCTTCTTGATGGTAATACTGCCCAGGTCGAATTCCTCGTCGTCGTCGTCTGTCTCCAGCCTCCTCTCCGTCAGAGTGCGATAGCTCACTCCTTCTTCCTCCTGCTCTCTTGCCGGAATCGGTCTCGGTGGACGAGCAGGTCGGGCAGAAGTAGACGCGACGGTTTGCCACTGACCGACTCTTGCTTCGCTCGCTTCTCGCATAGCCTGACTGTGCCTCTCTATCTCCTCTTGATTGACCAAGCCAAGCGAGAGAGCAGAAGAGTAACCAGCTGCGGAAGGTTTCCAAGCTTGGCTGGGTGCAGCTGGCGCGGTAGCTTGCGTGCTGCGAGGAGGAGGAGGAAGAGCAGGCATGGATGCCATGGCGGCAGACTCGATCTTTCTCATCTCCCTCTCGTTCGTGCGCTTCTCCTTTGCATCCTGCTCCGATTTCTTGTAGATCGACTTGACGTAGCGCTCCATGTTGCCCTTGTGTCGCAAGCCGGTCTCATGCTGGGTCCGAGACGGTTTGTCATCGTTGATGTGGACATTGCACACTTTGCAGTAATGCTTCTTCGTGCTGCTCCCGTCCTCGCATCAGCTCATGGCCATGCAAAGATGGACAGGATACTGACCTGACCCAGTAGTCTGCCATGTTGGTCGCTCAATCTTGTCAGACCAGCGCAGACTGAATCTGTGAGTGCCGAGGTGCCTACGTGTCACCAGAGGCTCGACCTTCGACCTCGTGACTTGCTCGAGCCCCGTGACCTCGGATCAGTCTCGTGACTGCAGCACGGGGCAGGCGAGGTGATCAGGGTCGTCAAGGCGCACTCTTCCCATCTCACCCATCACTGTCCCCAGCCTCGTCACCCTTGGCATCCCTCCCCCTCGACGGTCCCGCTCATGGCGCATCCTTCTCCGGCGGCAAGCATGTCGACCAGGTAAGCTCAACTCCATGCGTCACGCTTCGCTGCCACTGAGGAGTTTTCCGACCTCGTGCAGGTCAATACAAGAGTCACAGATTGATCCCAACATTGGCAACACGCCTCGCTCTCAGGCTGCGCTGCGCGGCACTCCCAAGGCTGAGCCAACAAACGAAGAAGTCACTCGCAGAGCGCCCAGTTCGACTCAGACTTACCCCGTCCAACCATCGTACGACGGTACACCTCCCGTTCGATCACCTGCTTCTGCTCCCCATGCTTCAGGAAGTGCAGAGTATGGCAATTATCCCGTCTCTGCGCCGGGCGAGGGATACGGCCACCATGCGCTCGTCAGTTCGCCTGCTCCTGCTCGGTTCACTCCCGGTAGAAGGCTAGAGGAAGAAGGAAAACAGGATGTCAGGGTAGCTTCGGACGGGAGCACACCTGCCAAACGACCCCGGATGAGCCGAGATGATTCTGTTGGCGAGAGAGACAACGACCGGGTTCGCAAGGATAATCATGTGAGCCTGCATTCTTGATCACTTCGAAGGAGCTGATTGGGGATCCTCGATCTGCAGAAAGAAGTAGAGCGCAAGCGACGGCTGGGGATCAATCTGGGCATAGAAGAGCTGGGCAAGATCATCCCGGGCGAGAACAAGAACAAGGGAGATATTCTGATAGCGGCGAGCGGATACATCAAGGAGCTCAAGGAGGCAGAAGCGAGCAATATCGAAAAGTGGACGCTCGAGAAGCTCATGACCGATCAGCACATACAAGAACTCCAAGCCCAGGTAGAGTCGAGCAAGAAGATGCTCGCAGAGGCAAAGAACACCCTTGTCGCAAAAGACGCAGAGATTGCTTCACTCCGTCGTTCTCCGTCCAAGTCATAGTGCGACCTTCCCTCTTGAGCTCCTGTGAGGGCATGTTGTTGCGATTGTACTCAAGAGTGTATAGCCCACCCGCGAAACGAGAGGTGGGGTGATTGCGCGGTATGATACATCGATGTGGCGAACTTTCAACAACAGGTGATGTAGATCAGACGGTCGTCTTGTCTTGTATACTTCTCGCCCAGTGTGCTCTTGGGCAACACGAATTGCGATTGCGAGAGAGATCGTCCAACCGCGGAGAGAGGATGGGTATCGTCTAGTCGTATGCTTCTTCTGCAGATCGTCTGACGAGCCTTCTCACTTTCTTCTTGTAGCTCGCATAATCTTCTCTGACTTCTTTGGCGGCGTCGATGTTGGCGGGCGAGTCTAGACTGGGTACATCGGCCGACAGCAAGGAGATGACCGAGAGGAGCTGCGAACCCATTCAGCTTTTCTGCTTGCTGGTCTTGTGGGGCGATACCTACGATCGATTCGACAGTATGTACGGGTAGCCATCTCTCGCCTGCATCTTCGTACCCGTACTGATCATCTCCCGGCGCGTGCTGTAGACGTCGCGTCAGCAGAGCGACGGCCAGATAGCAATGTGTGACTTGCGAGAATCGAGATGCACAGTTGACCGTCAGAGTAGACTGTCGCACACGTCTCCGGTCAGCTCTGGAACGCTGATGGAGAGGAGCTAGCCTGACTGTTGGGATGCCACATGGGCGTGACGAATTTGAGCTTGGGCGGCATCAAAGGGAATTCTTCAGGGAAGCTCATCCTCGCCCTCAGAAATCCTCCCTCGCTGTCAACACCATCGCCTCCTCAGTCCAAAGTCAGGCCGGACTGATCGAAGCAGGACGACTGACTAGAGTGTATCGGCGGGACCGAAAATGGTGATCTCCCATTCGTACACGTTGGCATCGTCCACCAGACCGGCAGAGAAACCATCGACAGGGTGTTTCCTGAACTCTGTCATTGCCCTCGAGCATCAGCATCCACTCGACTGGGCCTGTGCGAGCTTGTGAAGGGGGCCGACATGAGGGGTGACGGTACGTGGTACGCGCGATGGAGGTTCGGTGAGGCTGGGGCAGATGAGACTGACCGTTGAGCTGTCGTCGGAGTGCTAAGCTCGATGATGATGATGACATGCCCTGACTGGTTCGTGACGCTTTGCCTCGCTCGGGATGTGGCGAGTTGGGCGGGAGACTCGACGAGATCGCGGCGAGTGGAATTGCTTTTTGACGCGCCGACGCCTTTGCTGGTCGGAGTGGCACGACATGTCCTACTTGCTGCCACATCTGCCGGTAAGATGCTCATCTTCGAGCGAGACACCGTCTGACATTCGAACCAGAGCGGATGGCACGTCGACCAAGCTATACTAGCGGAAGAGAACAGAGTCGTCGTCATCAGGTTCGGCCACGACTATGTACTTCCTCTCCTCGCCTTTCAACCTCGTCAGTCGTGCTCAGTCAGACGAACAGGATCCAGAGTGTATGAAGATGGACGAGACGCTGTACAGTGTCCAAGAACGAGTGAAGAACTTTGCAGTCATCTATCTCGTCGATATCACCCAAGTACCCGATTTTACAAAGATGTACGAGCTCTACGATGCCGTCACCGTCATGGCAAGTGAATCTCCCCGGTACGGTGTATCTCTGGCTCATACTGCAGTCGTCTCTTGCAGACATTCTATAGAAACAAGGTGAGTTCACTTTCCTCTTTGCTCGGAATATGCGCTCATCTTTGCCCTCCAGCACATCATGATAGATTTGGGGACGGGCAACAACAACAAGATCAATTGGGCAATGGAAGACAAGCAAGAGGTCAGTCTGTCAGCGTTTGTCATGTCTTGCGCTGACCGGTCCGCTTCAGCTCATCGACATCATCGAGACAGTGTACCGTGGCGCAGCAAAAGGTCGCGGTCTCGTCGTCAGTCCAAAGGGTCAGCACTACCCTCACATCCAGCCAATCAAGCTAACAAGTCCCAGAGAGACAGACTACAGCACACGCTACAAGTACTAGAGTTGCGATTCCGCGACATCACAATGTTTTGTTGTACGAACACCTCGCTGCATTTCTACGAAAAGAAATACTGGCTTAGCTTGACCGAGCGAACGTCGAAATCACCCCGTGCAGGCACAGCAGGAAGTATATCGATGAGCGGACGTAAGGCTACCTTCCGCGAGAGCGCCGTCTGCGACTGTTCCTTCAATTCCCGTGTGCTCGTCAGCGTATCGATCGCATCTGTCACGCGTTCTCTCGTCGTTGCTTCGTCCTCGCTCATCTCGCTATCGGTGATCGATCCCGGGTCTTCTTGCGCTCTTTGATCGAGCGGTCCGTCGTCGAGCGTGTCCAGCGCTTGGGCCAGTTCGACCAGCTTGACAGCCTCCGAGGCAGAGCCAGAACTCGCTTTCGCCTGGCTTGTACCTTTGCTCGCGCTTCCCATGGGTACCACATGACCCTCATATCGCAGTAAAAACTATCACAGACGTCAGCAATGACTCTGCTAAAATCGCTCAAGATGGCATACCTCCCGGCGCAAGGATTCGAGGATATCCTGAGCGTGTAGATCGACAAAGGCTGCTCTCAGCTCGGTTGCCATCACGTCGACATCCGCAGCGTGCGTCCAGAAAGAATCGTGAACCGATGCGAATGTGAGACCGCGACGCTGTGCAGAGTCATCAGCTCAGTATCTGAGCAAACGCAGGTAGGCGTACTTTGCACCGTCCAGCGGTAAGCATGAGGTGGCTCGCATCCAGACTGTGGATGAAATTGGGAGGAAAGGCTGATGTCTGCTGACGAGAGTCGACTTGGGTAGGCGTTTGTGGATCTGAGATGAAGACGGTCTGAACGACCGTCTTCACCTGTTTGCGTTGCTGCTTCCGGTAAGGTTGCGCAACCGGCAGACCGATCGGTGTAGTCCAAACGACCGTCGTCATCTGTTCTCTAGCTAGCATGTCCTTGGACGACTGCTTCTTCTTCAGTTTATTCTGCTCAGACTTGCTTTGAGTTGCCTTGACGAGCTCATGTCGATCGCCTGGAATGGACTTCGAAATCAGACGGCCGCATGTTGTGAGCCAGAGCTGGATAGCAGCAGCGCCGGCAAAGAGTGTACCGATCGATTGTAGCGTCTTCTCTGTAAGGTACAATGCGCACTTGTGGCGGACCTCGGCATCGACATCGCCGCGATCCTTGAGCTGACGTTCGATCTGTCGACTAGCACCGATGTAGGTGACACCATAGACAGTCGTCATGACCGTCTGCTTGATGACTTTGCGCGTGATCTTGCCTTTGAGATGCAGGGCTAACTCGTTCTTGTTGGCTGCGTCTTGCTCGACTGCTCCAATCACAAGATTGCAGACGCCGGTGTAGACATCCGAGGGTGCATCACCAGCGATGAGGTTGACTTGCCCGGCACCTGCCATGTCGCCTCCTAGCGCTGCGTAGTGCTGCAGACCATTGCAGGATCCATCTTGTTGCACGGGCAAAGAGCTGCGATAGTCCTCAGGCACCGGCGAGCGTAAGGCTTTGCTCAACTCAAAGCACGTCGCCAGGCACTGCCATGGCTCTTCTGCTTTGAGCCACCATCTCGCGCCCTACAATAAGATCAGCATGCGAGCATATCCAACCCGAGCATGCGTACATCTAGAGGCTTATCGGCAGAGTCAAAGATGTCTGTAAGATGGTCCTTTGCGAATTGTTCTCTTGCTGCAAGACTGGCTTTGTCGAACCCAAACATGTTCGCCAAATGCACATGAAGCCAGCGTAAACCAGTCGCGCCAAGCCTCTTCCGTTCCGCAAAGGTAAGGAGACCACGGCACAAGTCATCGCCGATATGCGACAGATTAGGCGGTATGGGATACGCTCTACCACGGAAGTCCATGTTATGCGGAAAGTAGAAGCGCTCATTGAGGTAAGCTCTCGCAATTTCGAGCTTGTAGTTGAGATCGCAGCGAATTGAGTAATGTTGGCGTCTTTGCATCTCCGCCGCTTTGACTTCAGCGCGATGCGTATCTTGTTGCCTAGGCGAGGTGAACCCTCCTGCAGGAGGCTCTGGATCTTTGATCGCGTTGAGTGGGTCTGCAACGGGTATACCGCCGATCGTGAGACCACTATTCCAGGCGCTTGCAATGACGCCGAAGACGTCTCGATTGACGTTCCAAGCTGTACTGCCAAGATAGTCAAGGCTGGCAAAGGCTTCATCAAGTTGCCCGCTATCGGACGCTTGCTTGAGGTAAGCGGTTTGCTCCATCGAGTCTTTGATGCGAAGGACCGATACGGGATGCATCAGGTAAGCACCCTTATTGTGTGCTGTCCAAGGTCTCGGGGGAACAAGCATGGGCAAGTAGCGAGGAGTGAGCGTAGAAAGCATCGAGTCTTTGTCTAGCCGTTCAGTCACGGCAGCATTGAATTTGATGATCCCTATCTTCTGACCTGCACTGAACTGGTAAGTCTGTACAAACGCTGGCTGTATTTCGATGCTACAGTGGCTAGTCAGCATGACCAAATGGCAACCAAATGAGCTTACATCTCCTGCCCATCGATGACAGCACTCCGCTGGATCTTTGCAGTCTCGCACAGGAAGTGCAAACACATAGCGCCGATGCGGGCTCGGGTCTGATGAGACCAGAAGACCTCTCTAGACGAATCGCCTTGTCTTGCTCTGACGTCTCGCCAGATGCGTGCGACGACACGAGACTCGGTGACGCCATTTGCGGCTTCCGCTTCTCTGACAGCATGTAGAGCATCGGCCAATTCCAGCCGATGTGACTCTTGCAGCTTCATTGCATAATGCTCGACTTCGACTGCTTTGCCAATCGCCATGACGCAGCGGGTGACTTTCTGCATTGCTGCACCAGGCGTGTTATGCGAGAGCAGAACCGAGACAGTCAAGTAGGCAAGTTTGTCGGGCGGTAAGAGTAAGAAATAGATATCATCCGCAGCTCTATCGGTCGCGAAGATTTTGCATCCCTCGATGACCGTTTCTTTCGTTGTGACAGCATCAGAATCTATCAGCAGCCTCATCTGCTCTTGCACTCGTGTCAACACGACGGTGAGCTCCTCGATCCAACCCGTCATGAGTGATTGAAGTGATCTTTGCTGCATCGAAACGCGCTGGGCAACTTCAGTGTTCATCTTCTCTCGCTCGGTCTGGAATTGCACGACCGCGGCCTGCATAGCGGAATCTTCGAGTTGCCTTTGTCGCTCATATAGGTCGATGGAATGATAAGCTTCGCTTTCGACAGCTTTGAGTTGCTCTCGCAACACGTCTATCCGGAAGTGGGACTCGAGCTCATCGCCCGTCGTTTGCGCGTACGGTCTGACCGGGTGCAACAACTCTGCAGGAGGCATACGAGCCTGCTCGCTGGTCTCGCTGATCGTACCGGAATCCATAGCGGAATTGACAGGCTCGAGTGCTCGAGGATCTTGCAGATGATCGAGGATCTCGGTATCTTGCAATTCGGTCGCTGCACTGAGACACGCTTCGTAGACTGATGCGGCAGTGACGTTTCCAAGCGAGGCAGATGCTTTGAGACGAAAGAGTGGATCCGCAAGAATGTCAGAGAGGCTATAATCGGAAGCGAGAGCGATCTTCATGATCTGGACCAGCAATGCTGTGTTGTCGTATGGCGCTCGTTCGGGAGCTTGCGCTTCATTTTGTGCGAGCTGATGGGCCGTTGCGCCCTTGAGCATCGTTGCAAAAGCAGAGCGCTCTACGGATCCATAGGTTGTTCGGTCGTCTATCATAGCTAACAAATGCTGAAGAGCGAGCTGCGCATAGTCTTGCTTGTCTGTTGGAGCGCTTATTGCCCGCCGCCAGTACGCTGCCAAGAAGCTTGTATGAATATGAGGCGGTACCAGCCGCCGTACTTCATGTCGCCTCCCGGTATGCCTGGCGCCAGTCCTTGGTCGCGGATATTTTGCCAGGATGCCTTTCCAGATCAAGGTGGCTCGCTCGACAAAGTCAGAGTCGAGGCAGACGCTCAGGAGCGTCACCTGGTCAGCTTCAGAGACGTGAGGCTTCCTCTCCGGCTTTATGTCCGTAGTCAGGACGAGCGATGATCCGCCGTCTCTGGGCGGCTTCGGCGATGGCAAGACGACATAATTCGGCGGCGAACGGCGTACGCCAAAGGGCGAATAGATGCGAGACTCAAAGGGCACCTGACCACGCAGATAAGTGTTTGAACTATGATAGTCTATGCTGTCGATGGGATCTGATGCCGGCACGGCAATGTCGGGCAGAGCTGACGCTGACGACTGAGCAGAACTCGAAATCGTCCTTTTCACCGATCGCTGTGAGAGTCCAGAACTGGCTGCTTGACTGGATCGTAGCAGACCAATGGTCTGCCGGCAGCAAGCACATAGCAGACGGCCAGACGGACTTGCCAGAGCACGCATTCATCCACTTGGAGCGACGCAAAATTTCGGATCGTCGCAATGTCAATGGCGATGCACGTGACCAACACGTGTGAAGGTCAAACGTCGATGTTAAATGCGAAGTCGATTTGAAGTGCGAGTCTTGCTCAGGGTCGGTGCCATGCCAGGCGGCCAAGTGCTGCCGGCGTGGTTGAGCTACGTCAAGATCGGCTCATCGTCTGCTCTGGCCCAATTGCCGCTGACATACGACGGCGCAAGCATTCCTCTCGCCTTTCCCTACACCACGCCCTCTGACGGACCCACAGTCATCAGCATACTAGACTCAGGTACACTGGCAACCCTAGATAATCACGGACGTGTTGTACGAGCTACACTGTCAGCGAATGATGATTCCTCGCCTACAGCATCAGCGACGCCGCCCGTCAGTATGGCGACTGCGCAGACGGGCATGAATGCGGCCATGGCAATGACCACAGCAGCGCCTGCTGTTGCAAGTCAAAGCACCGGAACCCCTGCTTCGCCTGATCAAAGTGCTGGGGACGACGGCACAGACACAGATCCGAATGCAGGAATGGATGCTTCAGCAGCTGATAATGACGATGCTCCATCAACGGATACTGGCAGCGGCGACGACTCGGCGAATGCAGACACAGGCGCTCGTGCAGCATCTGTGGATGTGCAAGCGAGCACGACGAGCGCGGTAGCTGCTGCCCAGACAAGCGCTGCGGATGCAGCAGCAGTAGCTCAAGGGAGTGCAGCAGCCGCAACAGATGACGGCTCCACAGATACTCCGCCCGCTGTCGACGATGGGACAGGCACACCATCAGATCAGCCGGCGGTCATCACAGTCGCGGCGCAATCTGCTGTCGAATCGCAGGCTGCACAGGCTGCGCCTTCAGCGGCTGGCCAGGCAACGTCCACAATTGCAGCGACTTCAGTACCGGCTGCAGCGGCCAGTCAAGGTTCGAGCGTCTCGATCACTTCTCAGCTACAGTCAGTGGGTGTCCCGGCGGTGATTGTAACAAGCAGCGGAGGAGCTGCAGCGACTGTAACGGCATCTAGTACAGATAATCCAATACGGCAGTCTGCAGCTTCCGTCCTATCTGGAATCCTCTCTTCAATCTCGGCACAGTCGAGCGCATCCAGAGCAGCGAGCTCAGCAAGCCTCGCCGCTCGTACGTCTTTGATCAGCTCTTCGTCGAGTTCAGCGCGCGCTTCTGGCCAAGGAGCGAGACTATCTACGGGCGGCATAGCAGGCGTATCCGTTTCGGCTTCACTCGCACTTGTCGCCTTGTGCCTCTCACTTCTCATCTGCGCGCTGCGAAGGAAAAAACGATCTAAGCGACAACAGCGACTGAGGCAGAGTCGCGTGTATTCTGATTGGTACGATCGATACGAAGCACACAGACAAAAGACTAGCTCTGGTCCTCCTGCGAATCCTTGGCAAGAGCGCGAGATGGCTATCGCGTATAGCAACCCCGAAGATAGACTTGTGCAGCCACCGCCAAGGAGGAGCTCGCTTGACAATATGTGGCCCGAATCCGAGCTCATCTACACGCCTAGACATTCACCTGCCCCGTCACCATTCGGATCGCCTCTGTTAGGCGCAGGCAGGATCGCAGATAGATCAGAAGAAGACAGAAGGCCATCTTCGCTACCGTACGCGGCACCGAGACGTCCGATAGCTGGCAAGAGGCCTGTGAGCACGATCTACGAAGGCGACACGCCCATCGCAAGTCCAGATCCGATAGGCGATATTGCGACCTCAGACACATCGTCAGGCTCGAGCGAATATGATGACCAGCGATCGGACATCATCACACCGGAGCGAGCAAAGTCATTGTTCGCTGCTCTGGGCTTAGACGCTATCTTCCCTTCCAGATCTAATTCGCGTGCACCATCACGTTCTGGCAGCAACGAGCGACCTAGACGCTCGCCTGATCACGATCAAGATCAAGCTGCTTCGACCGCTCTTCTTCCGGCTCGACTGCCAGGGTACGCGGCCTTCCCTGTGCTGACACAAGGCTAATAGCGAGACACAGACAAGGACTAGCGCGTCGGACCGTGTCAAACGAAAACCGCCTGCAAGTGCCATCAGCACAGGGTGGACGTACTTTCTCGGAAGGCTCATCATGGCATCGAGGCATATCACACTTTCCCGAAGATCACAGACAAAACTTCATCTGAAGACTTTCATGGGCTTACACGTAGATGGCAAAGGGGCACTTTGTTACATGTTGTCACAACACTCTGGATTCTACTTGATGCCTACTGAGAGAGCTTCTTGGCAAAGTCTGTCAGTTCGCTAGCCGAGAGACCGGTCTGAGTTCCTTCTGCTCTAGCAGCTGAGAGGAGAGAAACGATCTCGGCCACCTCATGCGGCGCCAGGCCGGCGAGTGCGCGATCTACGAGCCCGTAGAGGCATCTGTACGCCTTCTCTGTAAAGTCGACATCCACTTCGCCATCGCCATCTCGCCCGGATGGCGGTGCGTCGGGTGACAGCGACTGTAGCAGAGCATGTAGAGTGCCCGACGATCGACAAGGCGCAACAAGAGCAATGGGTGTGAGCGAGTTGACAAAGAGCGAATGGATCAGAAAGACCGTCTTTCGTCTTACTGCAATGCTGGGGTCGTGCAACGCAACTCTGAGACTGAGCCAACCGTGCAGCTCGCCAAATCTGACCACCGCTTCGTCATTGTGTCGCAATGCAGCAGAGAGACAGTAGATGGCTTTTGAGCGCAGTTCGGCAGATGCAGCGGTAGAATTGATGAGCGCTACTAGCGTCGGCAGAGGTTCCTTAGCGAGAAAGGCGGCTTGTGCTTTCGGGTTGTTGTTTGTTGCCGTGCCGGCGACCCAGCAAGCTTGGATCTGTATGGCTTCTTCCTTGGCAGTCAAGCAATCTACGATCGTAGGCCACAACCCGAGTGGCTCCAAGTCGTTGGCATTGTCGATCAACTCGACAAGGCATTCTAACTCGTCCCAAGCTAGCAATCGATCGTCGAGTGGCGCATCGGTCGATATACCGAGCGCCAAACAGTCCTTCATGCGTTTGGCATCGCTCTTGCCCATGATGGCATCGAGAACATCGGTATTGAGATCAGTGCGCCTCGCAGGAGCCGAAGGCACTGTCACCGCCGTCGAGCCTGGCGCTGCTGCTTGCGTTGCTTCGTTCGTTGCAGATGCAGGCGGGCCAGAGTTCTCTACGCCCCATCGTAGCAGTGCCTCGAGATTGCGATCCATGCGTCGTCGTCGTCGTCCTCGTCGTCGAGCAGTGGCAAAAGTGTTGGTTCGACGCGCTCGAGAGCGACCAGTCACTCGGTCAGTAGACACCTCTGAGATTGATTGACACCGTCCTCTCCTGCCGTTTAGAGACTCGGAGACATGCACGTCTTTCTCTGGCTTGCGCTGATTGGTTCAGGCCATCTGGCGCGAGCACAACAGATCGTCTTCAGTGCGTCTTATGATGCGCCGATACCGTCGACGCGGCCAGTGAGGATACTGCGACACGAAGCATTGGCTGATCACCGCGTGAGACTCGTCGAACCACAGCTGACTTGCGACTTCACCCAGAAGCGTTACTCGGGCTACCTCGATGCTCCTTCACCTACAACGGGCGATGACGAGGGCAGACATCTCTTCTTTACCCTGTACGAAAGTCGCAACGATCCGTCCAATGATCCCGTCCTACTCCTCCTGAATGGCGGCCCTGCTTGCTCGACCTTTACGTACAACTTGCAAGAAGTCGGGCCTTGTCTGCTGCACAAGAATGACGCCGGTGCTTTCGCGCTCAAGTACAACCCATACTCGTGGTCGAACAATGCAACGACGATCATGCTAGATCAGCCCGTCGGGACCGGTTTCAGCTATGCCGACTCGGGTGATCGCGGTGTCTGGTCAACACCTGATGCCGCCAGAGACGTCCACGCCTTTGTGAAAATCATCATGCAAGCTATGCCGCATCTTGTCAATTCACACGGTATTCACATGATCGGCGAATCGTACGGCGGGAGATATGTACCCCTGATGGCAAAGCATTTGCTTTCTGCTGCCGATCCCATCCCACTCAAGAGCATCTCCCTGCAAAATGGCTGGACGGATCCGAAGAGACAGTACGAATCTGGCTACTATGCTTCGCTTTGCACGAACCAATCCGCTTACGGACCGATTCTCGATGCGCCAAGTTGCGAAAAGATGCTCTCAAATCTACCACAATGTCTCAAGCTCATGCAGTCGTGCTATGACCATCAGAACAACACACTCGTATGTATAGCTGCCGAAGCCTACTGCGAACGCACTCAGGTCGATCCTTTCACAAAGACCGGTCGCAATCCCTACAATGTCATGCGTCATGGCGACTATGCCGAAGACGCCTGGATCGAGGAGTACCTCAATCAAGAGACAGTCAGACACGATCTGGGCGTTGATCACGAAGCCGGCAAAGGCGTTCGCAAATTCAAAGGTTGCGGCTCAAAGACGTTTGCTCAGTTCACTGCCACGGGCGACGGCGCTAAGCCTTCATACGAAGAAGTGGTCTATACGCTGTCGCATCAAGTCCCCGTGCTGGTCTACGCTGGCGACTACGATCTCATCTGCAATGCGCTTGGCAATGAAGCTTGGACACTGGCGCTAGACTGGCCAGGCAAAGAGGCATACAACAGCTTACCGCTTACCGATTGGTTCGCTTCGCCAGATGCAAAGCAACGAGCTGGCGAGATGCGATCGTTTGGCAACCTCAGCTTTGCAACAGTCAACAAAGCGGGTCATTTCGCGCCCTACGAGCAACCTGTCAACTCGCTCGCCTTGTCTGTTGCATCTCCTCTTCCGATGACACACGCTGACCGACGAGCACAGGATACAAGCAATGACCTTGCGGGGCGCAAACGGTGTACGATCGCTCGCCAGACCTTGATAAACCGGTCTCATGTCCTGCGTGAGTGCACTCGGGGAGTTTTTGCCACTTGCCACTTGCGGTGATGCTGCGGAGTTGGTCCGAGGAGTAAGACCGCAAGGCCGACCGAGCAGGCCGATGACTCTTGGCCGGGACCCTATAAGGTCCAAGGACATGCCATCATCTGCTCAGCAGCCATGGGGGGCAAAGTCATCGTTTTGATCACCGGCGCCAATACTGGCATAGGCTACGAGACGGTCAAGCAGCTCTTGACCTCTAACAAGGCCTATCACATTATCGCTGCCGGTCGATCACTAGAGAAGATCAACACAGCAGTAGAAGAGCTCAAGAGCGGTACCCCGAAGTCTCACAGTACTCTGTCAACCGCACAGATCGATGTGGAGAGCGATGAATCGATCGCGAAAGCAGCAGAGGCTGTCGAGCGTGAATACGGCTACATCGATGTGCTCATCAACAACGCTGGCGCACAGTTCGATAAGGAGCTGCAAACCGGCACGATGACGCTTCGTCAAGTCTGGAACAGGGCCTACGACATCAACGTGACCGGCACGCACGCGATGACATTGGCTTTCGCGCCTCTTTTTCTCAAATCGAAAGAAGCCCGGGTCCTCTTCATCACTTCCGGCCTGTCGACGCTCGAGGGTGGTTCGGCCGCTTTGAAAGGTGATCTCGGGCCGTTCAAAGTACCTGCTGGTTGGCCAAAGCCGCCCGGACCGAGTTATAGTGCGTATCGCTCAAGCAAGACGGGTATGAACATGATGGTGCTAGAATGGAAACGAATTCTCAAGGAAGACGGTGTGAAGATCTTCCTCATCTCGCCCGGATTTCTTGCCACTGGCTTGGGCAACAACCGCGAGGCACTCAAGAAAGCTGGAGCGGGCGATCCGAGTGCTGGTGGTGAGATCATCGTCGCAACGGTCGAAGGCAAGAGAGATGCCGATGTGGACAAGATTGTCAATGCTTCGGGTACTCAGCCATGGTGATCGAGTAGGCAATGTCGTAAACAAGCCCATTGTATCGTATCCGAATCGTTTCCGTCTGACGCGTGTCAGCACGTCAGCTCGCCGCTGCAGCATGCTCGCTGCTGCCTGCTGCATCTCCATACTGCTCGTACCAACATTTGCCCAAGACGGTGTTCTCCGGCATCACGCCTTTGACATCTCCAGTGTCTTCTATCGAATCGCTACGAGCGCAACGTCGCGATGCGGCACCTGTCAGTTTGGTGCTCGCCCGAGGTATCTGCTTATGCCAGCCCGGCAGACGGTCCAGCCACTTTTGTTGGATCAGCAGAGACGCTCATCATGATCCGCGATGGTCACTCGCTGCGCAACAAGCAGTTCACTCGTGCGCTCTATGAATGCTCAACCTCCTCGCTGATTGCTCGACCAAAGTGGACAATGTCGCCGGGTTTCAGAGTCATCAGACAGTACGTGATGGCGATGGATCCATTGACGGAGACTTTGGGTATACAATGTGGGCAAATTCGAATCGTTGGAACAGGTACGGCCGCAATTGCTGTCGTGCTCTCGCGCGCTTCAACATCACACTCGGTGTTTCCCAAGCTTCTCTGTCCCCGCACAGCCAGGCGTCTGCGACCATCCTTTGCGGTGGCATCCATGCCAGCCGTCCTCGTATCTGCCCTACCGCCGTCCACGAAGAACCGTGCGAAACCCCTCTGCGCGTTATGACCGCGCTGCAGATCGAGCCCGCCGCCTTGCCCTCGGTTCTTGTGTATCGACCAATCTTCTCGGCATTCGGCGTTTGCTCCATCCTCGACGAAGGAGAGCTCAGACCGCCCGCATGCCAGAGCTATATTCTGGACGAAACCTTTACAATTACCATCGTCGGGCGCTGGACGCCGAATCTGTACGTCGACCCGTCGCAAGTCTTGTTCGATAGGATCCGAGCATTCGTCAAGCTGAAGCAAGTCGTACGCGGCATGAGACCTCAAGACACTTTCCTCATCTTTGGCATCCGGTATGAACTGCCCGGCACAACCCAGACAAGCTGGATGTACGATGATCAGCATTGCTGTGCTTTGACCAGCAGCATCAGACTGCTTCTCGGAGGATTCGTGCCGCAGGCGAGCTATCAGACCATCGAAGCGGATGCTGCGCTAGCTGCAGCTTGTCGACCGCATGCCCGTTCGCGCTGGGATGGGGCATGTGCACAGGTGAGCACGCCCTCCTCTCTATCAACGTGCCTGAACCCTTCGCCAGGATTACAAGCGACCTCATACGTATCCTTGCGAGCGTGTCAGCCGAACGATGCGCGTCGAGATGGACCCTGTCGCAATGCATTCATCTTGACGATGTCACCGTTGCTCTGTTGCCCTACCCTCCTCGCCGTTCTACCTTCTCCAGAGACAGCACAGTCCCCAGGCATCTTTCAGCCCTTGCGCATCCCTTTCATCGATGCACAACTTCCTTTACTGGCTCGGCTTGCTCTGCTTTGGGTTGCTCGAGCGCGGACAACAAGCGACCGGACAGGGTGTGCTGCGCACGAATGACTGGTCCGTCCACAATGTCTTCTACAAGCTAGCAGCATCAGGCAGCTTCTCCTGTTCTGACGGTACGCCACCTACGAACAAGTCGAGGACCTCTTGACGTGCTCTTCAGACAAGGGCCAAGGTGGAACAGCCAGATATGATGGCGCCCTCGAAATACTGCTGATCGTCAAAGACAAAGTCAGCATGAAGTTCCGTCTGGCAGGCCGTGCGCATCTGCTTCCCTCCTGAGCAAGCACCCGTCTCTGAGCAGCATATATCATAGAGCAGATGATCAGCAGATTCGAAGTTCTCAGCAATGCCAAAGATGAACGACAAGCAATCATCAGCTCCGATTTCACGGTCGCAGTAGAGAGCAAAGATAACCTGTGGCCGGCACATCTAGCAAGATGCTGTCGCTCGTTTGCGCGACTCAACTTCACTCTCGGTGTTGCGTCACCTGCTTTGAGTTCTAGGGTGCTCACGAATGCTTGGGCAACCTGCGGCGGAAAAGGGCTGCCTCTTGGATGTCCGCAGACAGTCACGCACCTGAGATGCTCTGTCCCAACAGTCGCGCTCCTTTCAAAGCCTGTCGTTGCGGGCGACCTGCCGAGCGTGCAAATCTATAGTCCCGAGTTCACAGGCGCAGGCTCTTGTATGGCACCGAGAGTAGGAGAGCCTCGCCCAGTTCATCTGCCTTCGATGATCGATACAGTGAACGGTCTCTTAGCGATCACAGCGCGAGGCAGTCCGTCAATGCTCAATTACATGAAACCTGACTTCTTTATCGTTCGTCTGCTCTGCAACACCCCTTGTGACGGATGAGCTGACTCGTATTCGCACGCAGCTCCATAACGCGGCAAAGATGCAGCTAGAGTTGCGCGGCTTCTCTGATTCCGCAATGACGTTTCTCGCGCGATTTCGGTGCGTCACACGACAGGCCAGATTTTCAGGGCTCACGTCAAGTATTGCAGACAATACGGGACTGAGCAGAGCTGGACGGACGAGGAGATGAAGGCTTGCTGCACAGTCTTCAGCGAGATGATCCTCAAGCTCGGCGTATCCGTGCAGATGTTTCAATGGCAGGACACTTTGCCAGACGGCATCATATTGACCGCATGCTTTCCTAGTGAGCGGTGCGCTGACTCTCCAGAGCAGCACTGTTGATCATGGTCAATAGATCCTGCAGGACCCCGTAACAAAGCTTGCAAGCCCACGGCAGCGTTTCGGCCGCCTGCCCGTTACCCTTGTTTGCATCCTCATCGGCTCTTCGAGATGCGCACTCCTCCCACTATCGCAAGTAGCTGATATTTGCAATGTACCAACGATGCTGTTGGATTGCTCTGCATGAAGAGAGATTGATCGCTATGTTTGAGCAGTAGCGGTGGGCGACGGTGGCTCGATCACATAAACCAATCGACTCGAAGTCTGACACATCCAGATATAAGGATATTCGTAGTATTGCCCTTTGCACTGATTTGCGTAGCCCTCGACATGATCTGCAAGTTTTCAGCAAGAATGCGACGCTGGCGTCTTGCAACTGACTAGGAATGCAGGTTGCATACATGTCACCGCGACCTTCCACATTTCTCCAGACAGAGCCGTATCGAAATGTCCATAGACGCAGCTCGATCTCTGAGATTGTGGAACAGCATTGACGTTCGCGTTCCGGCCATGGTTGAGACGATCCCGGTCCACCGAAGAGAAGTTTGAGGCTGACCGATTCTTCCGTGCGATCGCTAGTGACGATGTCGATTGCTATTCGTGGAGCTCCGAGCAGCTAGAAGACTGCTCAGACGCATGCGAAAAGCACCCCAAGTGACGTACAAGCAGCGCGAAAGGATCAAAACGATGAGGCGCACGACGTGTGACGACGGCAATGGTCGACAAGAGCGGTCTATAGGTACTGCGCAAGACCTGATGCCTGATGTCCATGTAGTATGGCATAGGACACATGCCAGATATAGCATAGTTGAGTCCGTATGCTTGAACAGCGGGCACATCCTCAGGAGCGGCAGGCGTAGTCTTGACAGTGCCAAATGGTTTTGCGCAGCTATGTTCCGTTGCGACATAAGAACATCCACGAGAGACCGACAGGCCACCACAAGTGAGAGTTGCGCTTGCGTCCACAACTTCAAATGACGATGTTTGCATGCCCAATGTGACCGTGAAACGCGCGGTCGCTCGACAGCAACGTTGCGCTTCTGCTGGCCAAAATGACACATCGTCGCTCGTGATAAAGAAGAAGAATGTGCCGGACTTGATCTTGCCAATGGCATAGTTTTGACTGATCCATTCGAAGCCGTACGTGTTCACAGAGTCAAAGACGACATGGTTGATCTTGCGGAGGTCCTTCGCCAATAGGTTGACGCCAAAGCTTCCTTTGAAGTAGGTTGGGCCGGCTTGTTGCCGCTCTGCTCACTGTTGGGTCAAAAGCGCAGAACAGGAAACCTCCTCGACTGACTGTCGCCGCAACCTGCTGAGGCATCGATCACGAGCTTATAGAAAGCAGATGAGACGCCAAAGTCGCTCTGTGAGATGACGCCGTCGTCGTTGATGGTTGAGGTGCAGAAGACACAAGACAGTAAGAGCAGAGAGAGCACGAGCATGGCAGGAACAAGCCGGGCAAGCAATGGCGCAGAGCGAGGAGCGCGCGAACCCAAACGCGATCGGCGACTGGCCGGGCCAAGATTTGCTCGATCGAGTTGAGAAATCGACTCCGCAAAATCGAGCAGGCCACGTCTATCGAGGACGCCTATCGAGTGTACGACACCACGAGCAGGAGGAAGGCGCAATTTGTAGAGCGCCTGCAAGCATATTGATCCCATCAGCACCGGCACGATGACGAGCTACTTGCCAGAGACGACGGACCCCACAAAAGTTGAAACGAACCGGCTAACGCCACTAGAGGTCGCTCAGCAAGTCAAGCCGCTCAATGATACCCAGCTCAAAGTGCTAGCATGCATTGCCGACACGGTCTTCGCTGCGCACAATGATGAAGAAGCCGCCTGGATCACAGCGGCGATGCCCGCGGATGCTAATGATGTGAGTCAGACCGGCAAGCTAAGCTGCTCATAGGCTGATGATATCATCGACAGTTCCAACGGAAGAATATCACAAAGTTTGCAAAGGCAAAGTACTCGGACTCGCCGACTGCGCTCGACGATCTCGTGAGGCAGATGGTCGCTTCAGTCTCTGGACCCAATATCAAGGATCTCGGCCTCATGCTCAGCGCGCTCTCGACCCGAGTGGGTACTTTTGCCATGTCCGGCAAAACCTCAGCATTCTGTGATCTATCACAAGCCGACAGAGAGACTGTCATCCGCGGCTGGGGCAATTCGCCTATCTTCCTCCTCCGAAAGGCATATGCCGCTTTCACTGCACTGACGCTCTTCGTGGTCTACAACGCTTTCGACACTGCGTCTGTCGGTATTGGTTACCCTTTCAATGGCGATCCCATGCGTCAATCGACAGACGAACGCATACAAAAGTCGTATCCTTTCAAGTTTGAGCAAATCTCAAAAGACTATCAGACATTTGACACCGAGATTCTCATCATCGGGTCGGGCGCTGGCGGTGGTGTCGTATCTGCGACGCTGTCAAAGGCAGGCTTGCAGGTCATGGTCGTCGAGAAGGGCGTCTTCGTGCCTACCGAGAGCATGAACGGTCGCGCGCTGGACGGCTACCGAAACTTATACGAAGCCGAGGGCATCATGGTCACTGATGATGGCTCAATGAACATCCTCGCCGGTAGCACATTCGGGGGAGGCACGACCGTCAACTGGTCAGCCTCACTGAAACCTCAGCACTACGTCAGAGAGGCCTGGGCGAGAAAGTATGGACTTACCTACTTTGTTTCGAACGAATTCCAGCAGTCGCTCGACTTTGTCTGCGAGCGTATGGGTGTTGATACCAAGCAGATCAAGCACAACGCTGCCAACCAAAAGCTAATCGACGGTGCAAAGAAAGTCGGCTACCATGTGGATGAGATACCACAGAATACCGGCGGCAAGGAGCACAGCTGTGGATTCTGCGGTTTCGGCTGTCCGTATGGCGAGAAGCAGGGCGGAACAGCGACGTGGCTCAGAGACGCAGCTGAGAACGGTGCCAAATTCATGCAAGGCGCTTCAGTCGAACGCATCCTCTTCTGCCCTCCTGGAGCCCTCATGCTGCCAGACGCACAGAACTACAAGGCGTTTTTCTACAACAAGACCAACACGAGAGCTGTGGGCGCTCTGTTGAAGTTCAAGGACGGCCGTCATGCTATCGTCAGGGCCCATAAGTCTGTTGTTGTCTCTGGCGGGTCACTCAACAGCCCGGTCATCCTGCAGAAGTCCGGCCTAACGAATCGCAACATCGGTCGCGGTCTCCACCTGCATCCCTGCGGCTTCGTCACAGGCTATTATGACGAGAAGATCGAGCCATACAACGGTGCTATCATGACCACCGTCTCCAATGTCGTCGAGAACGTCGATGGCGAGCACTTTGGTGCCAAGATCGAGATTATTGCTTCGTCTGCGGGCACATACGGCGCTGCCGTCGTCGGCTGGAACGGCAGCAAAGAACACAAGCGTAACGCGCTCGAGTACCCCAACTCTGTCTGCATGATCATTCTGTCACGCGATCGCGATGGCGGCAGAGTCTACACAGATGCAGAGGGCAAGTGTCGCGTCGACTACACGATCAGTCCTCACGATGCAAAGTCGATGCATGCCGGTATCAAGGCTGCCGTGCAGATGCAGCTTGCAGCAGGCGCACGACGAATTTCGACTTCGCAGCGGCTTGTGCCTGACTTCATCGTCAAGAACACTCCTGCCAGCTTGAACGATCCCGACTTTGTCGAGTGGTTTGCACAAGTCGAGAAGGCTGGCGTCAAGCCTAGCTGGAGCTCAATTGGCAGCGCTCACCAAATGGGCAGCAATCCCATGGGTACCAAGCCTACCAACGGTGCCGTCGACCCTCGCGGACGTCCTTGGTCTACGCAAGGTCTTTATGTTGCCGGTGAGTTGCCTGCGAGCTGCAACGAGCGACTGCTGACCTATACTTTTGCAGACGCTTCCGTCTTCCGTGAGGCATCCGGCGTCAACCCTATGGTCACAACAATGGGTGTATCTCACTCCATCGCCAAATTTATCATTGCCGACTTGGCTCAGTCAGGCACACAGCCTGCCTTCCAATTCAACGAAGCACCGCAACCACACTTGTAAAGCCTCTCTTGCTATCCTGATCTGCACTTGACACTACCTCGCGCTCGCGTGATCTGAGCTGAGATGAGATGAGCTTCTGCACTTGCGCAATGGTGACAACATTCCGTGACAGGCAACAGGGAGAAAGACCGCAAATTGTTTTCATGTCACTACCTCTTCGAGCACCGTTTTCGATCCTGCATGGCCAGGCTTGCCATGGATGTAGCCAGTATCTGAAGCTCCATGAGCCGCGCGCATGCCAAGATTAGCTGATGCGTAGGTCGTGCCTGATCGCCAGGCGGTGATTGCGGAATAGACCGAAGGCGCAAGGTACTCTCGCGCGACGATCTCGCCAAAGCCTGTAATTCACGTCAGCGTATTCACGACTCAGTGGACACGACTTGCCGACCATGATGCCATTGATGAATGGTAAAGCGAGATTGATACCAAGCGTCGCAAGCAAAGCGAGGATTTGTCTTCGCCAAGGCTTGATCTGACCAGTGAAGAGCGACAACGTCAACGACGGCGGCTCACGAGGTGGCTGTGATCCTCCTGAAGTCATTCCTCCTGTCTGCCGCGCCAAAGCTCCACTCTGTGCTTCTCGCGCCTCAGATGGAAGTTCCATTCCAGGCTGGTCTAAGCCGGCGAGATTTTGGATGATTGCATGCCCATTGCTCAGGCCTGTGGACGGATTCGAGGAGTCTACTGCACTTGCTGAGGCTGGCTGTTCGATGCCCGGCTGATGAAGCGAAGACAAGTCCTTGGTAAACTGCAATGCAGCTGTCCTTGCGTTCGCAGTCTCGGCGACTTCAGCACGTGCCATCGATTCGTCGGGCTCAGTGGGCTGAAGGTGATCCTCAGTGATCAGTACTGAGCTCTCCACAGCATGCACGATGCCATCTTGCGCCGTAGACGGGCTACTGATCGTATTTGACTGCTCGACCTCGCGCGAAAGTGAGTTTCCGGGACTTGCGGGGAAGCCGCTACTTGCAGCGTACTGCCCCGAGAATGCTTCATGCCTGGCGACAGCCTCGTCAAGGGCACCGTTGGTTTCCAACTTGTTGGCGTTGACTGTGCGGCATAGCGACGGCACTGGGGCGTTCTCTATAGAGTCGACAGGCTTCGCTGCTGCATCATCCTTCTCTGTGCTTTCGGCGATATCGACCGGATCCGTCAGAGTACTCACTGAACCATCAGTGGATGAGGCCGATGTCGTCGCATCATCGCCATCGCTCGATGTGACACTCTCGACTGGCTTGCTCGACATGTTCTGGAAGAACTCTGGCGATACGTGAAGGCCATCGGCAAGCGCTCGTGCAGTGTTATCGGACAGACTCAGAGGCTCTGTCATCAGCTCTTTGTCACTGTGATGTCCAGCGATCTCGTGCAGGGAAGGGTCACCTGTGGCTGTCTCGACATGGGGGGTAAGTGCAGCCATCATCGCTGATACCGCCGCAGCAGTCTGTTCGGCTTGCGGTGGGGACTGTTCTACCTCCTGAACTTCGTCAACGGGAATATGCTGGAATACCGTTGGCTCGACTCCGAGCATACCGCCTGTGATGATTGCCACTTCATCTATCAAGCCGACTTCGCTCGTGGGGAGAAGATCTGCCTTGGCTGCAATTGGCGAGAGCGAGACTGCCGAATCGGGCGTCGTCGTGACACACGGCGGCTGATCTGCAATAGTGGACGATGACTTGCAAGGCTCGCATGGCGACAAAATCGGTGGCGCAGCTGAAGACTCGTAGCTACACGACTTGATGGCGAGCACGCGAGGGGCTTGCGATTGTGTGACCGGCTTCACGACTGGCTCTTTTGGCGGCAAAATAGCGGGACACGCAAGGGAATCGTAAGTGCACGTCTTGAGAGCCAATATGCGCGAGTCGAGCTCCTTTGCCACTTTCGGTGGTGACACGCAAGACTCGAGAGGTGGAAGGATGGGCGGACAGGCAAGGGATTCGTAGGAGCACGTCTTGACTGTCGGCAGATCCGCAGTCTTGCCTTCGGAGGCTTTACTATTGGGTATGACGCAAGCGTCTAACGGCGAAAGAATGGGTGGGCAGGCAAGCGACTCGTAATTGCAAATATTGGCAACGCAAGAGGGCATTGTATATGCGATTCGAGGCTGCTGAGCGCAAGCTTGCTGTGGCGGCAGGATCATTGGACATACTAGCGACTCATAGCTACAGATCTCGCCGACAACGTGCTGCGGACTTGATGTTGGCATAGCGGCAGGCAGATTTTCAGTCGGAGGCAGAACAATGTCTGGACGGGCGAGCGAGTCAAAGTCGATCGTTCGGAACGCAAGAGCACGATGATCAATCTGGGCGTCTTCCGCAGTCATCGTGGCTCGTTCAGGTTGTTCGAAAGGCCGGGTAGGGATCGAAGCAGACTTTGGATGCTCTTCTAGACAGAGACGAAAGACCTCGGCGTAGTTCATTCGCGGCACAGCTGCTGGCGCTGCCGCCGCTGCATGCGCAGTTTCAGCCGCGTCAGGCTGCACCGATACTTCGGTGGTCTCATCGACAGCAGGAGATGTGACAAGGGCGCCTGGCAACCTAGGCGAAGGCATTGGCGACAGCGAGGGCGGTTTGACGTCGTCGCGGACCGAGCCTGTCGGGCTGGTCTGACTTGGAAAGCTAGGCTGCTCAAGAGGTGGAGAGAAGAAGACCTCGAAGGGTGAGACGGCCTGACTGGGTGGAGGTGACTGAACAGCGTCAAAGTAGCTCTGATCAGGCGAAATCGATCTCGCCGGCACGATATCGATGCTCGGCGTGAGCATGCCGTTAGTACTACCGTGCTCCATTGATTCTGCAACATCTTTTGGCGACATGTCCTCAGACATGGGCGCATCGACAGCTAGCACAGGTAGCGCAACCTTGACGGGCGATGGCAATAGCTGACCGGACAATACGACCGCACTTTCGTTTTCAGCCACAGGCACAGGCGTGTCAGCCAACTGTTCGTTTACAAGACTGCCTGTCAGGACCGATGCAGACGAGTCAAGGCTTCCGCGTGAAGGCGCACGCTCGGGCTCGTCAGGCAAGCTGACATCATCAAAGACGTCCGCTGCCGGGTTGACAGTCTCAGGCAGCGCCGGTGATGCTTCTCTGCTCGTCATGCGAGGTACGATCGTCGAGTCTGACTCCGTGCGCGTGATGGTAGCCGGTCGCGCAATGTCTGGCGACTCTGTGGCAGAGTCTGGTGACATGAGCAAGGCCGCAATGCTGTCCATGCTCGTTGTCGGTGGCAAGCCGGTGAAGCCAGCACGATGCTGCCTTTCGAGCTCTTTGGCAACCTTCCTTGCATGCCTGACACTCTTTGACCGTTTGACGCTCCTCGGAGAGCTTAACGCAGGATCGGACACGCTGGCACTTGAATTGAGACTGCTTGAGCTCGAGCTGCCCCTTCGGCTGAGCCTATGTAGCGATCCTGAGCTTTTCGAATTGCGTGATTGCATTGAGCTGGCGCTGCTTGTCGAAGTCCGTCGGCTGATGCCTTCGTAGACTGAGCTTGCTGCTGAGCTCGATTGACTGGTCTGCCGGGTGCGTCCATCGGACGATCCGCTTAACGAGCTGGAGCGGCCTGGCACAAAGACAGGCGGTAGCTCCTCTCTGCCGACCGGCTCGAAGACATCATTCGGGCGTAGTTTGCCATTTGCAACGCCATGTCCAGCTGAAAGATCGGCATAATGAGTTTTGCTCATTGTCACTGCTACATGAGTCTCATTATCGGCCAGTGTGTATGCTCCAACTACTGCATACCTGTGCTCAGCCAAGGGTGCTATCGCTTCAATTGGTGATCACCGAGTTGCGGACAAGGACAGAGAGATCTGCAACGAAATGATCGATTTTCGTCACAGACCGAGCTGGCGATCGACACGCTGCTGGCGCGCACATCTCGGACGCGCTCGGCACGGACATCGCGTCAAAGGTATCGTCATTAGGGAAAAAAAAGTTCGCAGGCTGTTGGCACAAGCTGCTAGTCCGCTACTCTCTCTGACAAATCAGAACAGCCTTGCAAGCGGCTCAAATGGTCACACCTCTCATATTCGGAGTCGGCGTCGTTGCGGCTGGCTTGGCGGCACGACAAGGCTTGCGATCGGCAGCAAGAAGTGGAACACAATTATCGCCTCTGCTGCAAAGGATAGCAGGCACTCATGGCGCTTCCGCTGTACAAGACGAGCTCGCCGGACCATGGATCAAGGGAGGATTCCAGATAAAGATGGATAGGAAGGAAGCCATCAATATACTCGGCTTGAAGCATGCGCCTCGTCATCACCGGACGGCATTTGCTGACCTATGACTTGCAGGGAGTCACACTTGACCAGCAAGAAGTTGAAAGAGCAGCATCGTAAGATCATGCTTGCCAATCATCCGGATCGAGGCGGCAGTCCGTTCTTGGCGAGCAAGATCAACGAGTACGCGTGATCGCGACCTATGTAGGACTTGCGCTGACTCTGTCGCAGAGCCAAAGATCTGCTAGACAGACAGACAAGATGAGCCTTGTCGACTGCTCGCATCTGTGTGCAAAGCATGTTGTAGTGATTATGTACCTTCGCCCACTCGGCCTACCATATCGTCACTCAGTGCTAGTCTCACCGTAACCACTCAGCGTTCCATACTATCCGCAGCTGATTGAACAGGTAAAGCAGTTTTGTATTTGGAAAATCTAACAGCGCAAGCTTACAGCTCGTCGCGATCATGCAAAGGTTCGTCAGATTCGCCGCCCGGGCCACCAGGACCACCTTGACCAGCGTAAAGCTTGGATGTGATGGGGCTGATCGCGCTCGAAGCAGCTTCTCTCTGCTCATCAAAGTCTTCGGCAGTCGCTGTCGCGCCATTCTCATCGAGCCATTCTTGACGGGTCTTGAGTTCTGCTTCGATCGTCTTGCGGTCATCACCGTCGATCTTGCCGCCGAGTCCTTCCTGATCAGCCAACTGAGACTTGAGACCAAAGATGAAGGCCTCCAATTGGTTGCGAGCTTCGACCTTCTTTCGCGCAGCCTCGTCCTGGTCGGCATATTCTTCTGCCTCCTTGACCATGCGGTCAATGTCTTCTTGAGACAGTCTGCCCTTGTCGTTGGTGATCGTGATGGTCTCCGACTTGCCAGTGCCCTTATCGGCAGCAGCAACCTTCATGATACCATTGGCGTCAATCTCGAAGCTGACCTCAATTTGAGGAACGCCACGAGGCGAAGGCGGGATTCTGTAGCTCTGCGTCAGAACTCGCCACGAAAAAAACCGAACGCAAACCTACCCGGTAAGCTCGAACTTGCCAAGCTGATGGTTGTCTCTGGTCATTGATCGCTCGCCTTCGAAGACTTGAATCAAAACGACTGGCTGGTTGTCAGCTGCGGTAGAGAAGATCTGAGACTTCTTGGTCGGGACGACGGTGTTGCGGCCGATGAGCTTAGTCATGACACCACCAGTGGTCTCGATTCCGAGCGTGAGCGGGCAGACATCGATGAGGACCATGTCGCTGAGACCTTCTTCGCCCGAGAGAATACCACCTTGAACGGCGGCACCATAAGCGACAGCCTCATCGGGGTTGATGCCCTTGGAAGGCTCCTTGCCATCGAAGTACTCCTTGAGGAGCTGCTGGACCTTTGGAATACGCGTAGAGCCGCCGACAAGAACGACATCGTCGACATCTTCCTTCTTGACATTGGCATCCTTGAGGACTTGCTCGACCGGCTTCATTGTCTTTCTGAAGAGGTCAATGTTGAGCTCCTCGAACTTGGCACGGGTGAGCGTCTCTGAAAGGTCTTCGCCTTCGAAGAAAGACTCGATTTCGAGACGAGTCGACATCTGAGACGAGAGGGTACGCTTTGCCTTTTCGACTTCACGTTTTAGCTTGCCGATCGTGCGCTGGTTCTTGGTGATATCTGCACCGTTGTGCTTGCGAGCCCATTGCTTCACAAAGTAGTCGATGACTCGGTTGTCAAAGTCTTCACCACCGAGATGGGTGTCACCTGCCGTCGCCAGAACCTCAAAGACGCCATCATCGATCGAAAGGAGGGAGACATCGAAAGTACCACCACCGAGATCGTAGACGATGATCTGACGTTCGCCACCCGTCTTGTCAAGACCGTAGGCAATTGCTGCTGCGGTGGGTTCGTTGACAATACGCATGACATTGAGGCCGGCAATGACGCCGGCGTCCTTAGTAGCTTGTCTTTGTGCGTCATTGAAGTAAGCCGGGACGGTGACGACGGCATGAGTGACTTTATGACCGAGATAGGCTTCTGCCGTCTCTTTCATCTTGCCAAGGATCATGGCTGAGATCTCTTCAGGTGTGAAGGTACGTGTCTCGCCGGCGACCTTGACTTGAATGTTGGGCTTTCCGGCCTTGTCAACAACCTTGAAAGGGTAGTGCTTCATGTCCTTTTGAACGTCCTTGTCGTTGAAAGCGCGGCCGATCAGTCGCTTCGCGTCGAAGATGGTGTTGTACGGGTTCTGTGCTGCCTGGTTCTTTGCTCCGTCGCCGACCATTCGCTCGCCAGAGTCTGCTGCGAACCCGACATACGAGGGCGTAATACGATTGCCTTGATCACTGCGCGTCGCCAGGCAGTCAGCTAACACTCTCGCAGCAGCGTCGGATCAAGGCGTGACCGAGGCAATTGCAGATAGCGCATAGCCCTAGTGCACGCCTTGTACAGACGAAGGAGGCTCACTTGGTAAGAATCTCTACACGGCCTTGCTTTTGAACACTTGTGGCGCACGCGACCACGTCAGTCCATCTCAACGGCAGTATAGGCCACGAGGCTCACCCAACGCATGAATAGGTCGTTCCGAGATCGATACCGATGACTGTGCCTATCTGTGGGACCAAGACATGGTGTTAGCGCTGCTCTGTGAGCTCACAAAGGGGTGTGACGTGGCGAGTCTGTTGTCAGGTCGTCACCGTGCTTGCGCGGGCGAGAGCCAGGCTGGAGCAGTATGAGAGCATCGCTGGAGCTGCGCTAAAGCGGAGGAGATGGTCAAGAAGTACTTACGTCTTCTTTCGCCTCTGCAGCTACGCCGCTAGGCGCTGAGATGACCAAGAGTGCGATGGCAACCGTTGTCGCCGCAGCTGCGAGCGAGGCCAGCTTGCTGACCCATCGCGAGCTTGTACGACTCGTGCTCCTGCACTGTGGCGGCCTGACTGTGACTCGCGTCATCTTGACTGTGTGAGCAGTTGATGTGAGGCGGAAGAAAAAGCGCGCACACCGTCGCGATGTCGCGAAAAAGCTCCACGTCGGCAAAAAATGGACACGGACGACGTGTTCGTGGCAAAAGGACATAGCTACATTTCATACATCACTGCTGACTAGCACCGTATGCGCGCGGGAGGTAAGCTGCCCATTCTTCTGTCGAAAGGGGTGGCATCTCTAGCCCGCTAAGATCGTTGCTGTACGAGCGTGCGTAGCCAGAATAATCATTCGCTGGCAGTGGTGAATGCATCGGTATTTGGCCATAGATGCTTTTCTGTGGATACAGACCATGCGTAGGCGTGCTTGATGGTGGCATGTTATTGTAAGAAGGGACTGATGACGGCTTTTGCATGTAATTAAATGCGACGGACGGATCGTCTGCATAGAACGAAGTGAGCAGATCCGATTGCTGCTGATCTGACATGACAGGATTAGAACCTGATGACGGTGTCTGACTTGGCATAATTTGGCTCGGTGCAGCTAGTGGCGATTGCGCGAGCACCTGCGAATACTGGGGGTGGCGCTGAGAATTGTATAAGATACTTTGCTGTTTCGCTTGTGCCACAGCATCCGCTTGGGCGTGCTGCATAGTATCGCTTGAGCCGGACGTTGGACGAGCTGCACTTCGCGAGCCCTTTGATTTGCGACGAGCTAGGTTCTCAGTCGAGCGCGACGACGTGGATGCAAATTGCTCGAGATCGGAGGTGGCTAAATCATCCGCAGTACGCTTGCGTGCTGGTGTGGCTGACGTATCTAGCGTGGCCCGAAGTGGTACAGCTTCTTCGGGATCGATGCCGCGTAGATCAACGAGGCCGTCGAGTAGCTGCAGATGACGCTGTGACGCTGCCCAGGTGATCGCCATACCTGCCATTGCTTTCATGCAACGAGCAAGACTGACTTTGGCAACATGGCCACGGTGTCCAGCGAGCGAGGCGTTGCTGACGTGAACGATGGCAGCTTGGAAAATCGGATATATTATAAAGGGCGAAGCTTGCCGCATGCCGTAATGCTTCAAGTACGACATGACGATTGCGCTGATGCTGTTAGCCGCCGTTGTACTAATCGTGTGGCTGGGTACCGAGGCAGGCGGCTGCGCCGCATTAGGACCAGGTACAAAGGGTCGGTGGAGCAGGATGAGCGCGCAGTAGAAGCTGCAATGGAGCGTCATGATGTGGGGAACCGGTACTGCTGTACTTTCGACATTGTAGCGAAGATGGGTGGGAAGCCTTGTGTACCACTTTGCAAGACTTGAGTCCAGCATGGACAGGAGCGTTTCGCTACTTTGACCGATGACCCGTATCCGGATGGCATACACATTGCCGATGATGCGGGACAGGATGACAGCAAGCGACGCCGATTCATTGAAGCATGTCAGTGCGTGCGAGACGCTCGGTTGACTTGAGACATCGGCAATCATGTTTTGCGCTGGCATTGCGTCCATCAGCGGCATCGTTGGGGCCTCGCTCAACAAGGTGCCATCGGGTCGTATTGGCTGCCAGGGACAATGTTCTTCCTCGTTAACCTCTGTGCTCGGTAAGGCGGTATCAAAATCTCGCTCGAAGATCATCATCTGGTAGCTATATATCAGCAAATCGATGTTCTTGACCCGAATGATACGCACAGGTCGGCCGATAAAGGCGGAGACATACTTGTCCATCAGTATGCATCCATACCAGACTCGTTTCCGGACGAGCTTGTCGATATGTGAGAATTTAGAAACCGGCATGAACCACCTCTCGACGTCACGAAACAGGCCGAGATCCTGTGCAATTCGAGTCGCCATTCCGACATAGAGCCAGCTCTGGGACAGACGACTGCAGCCGGCCTCGCGGAGCGAGATGAGAAGTAATGCTTGGACAGTCGTCATTCGTGTTGCAGCAGCATCGGCAACGAGGAGCGACTTTGCGTACAGCATCCAGTCATCGCCACTCGTCCAGTAAGTCTGCTGGCTCCTTGGCTCTTTGGCTGCATTCCAGTAACGATAGGTTACCGCGTAGATTGCCACCAAAAGCAATGTTGGTACTCGATCCGGACCAGCTGAAAGAGGCACAATCGCGCCGTTGCGATGATCTTGCATCGTGTTGTCAAATTGACGCTGGAAATCGTTCCGATGGAGTATGGGCATGTAAGGATGTACATATGTCCAGTAGAGCTGTAGTAATGTCCTCTGATCGGCTTCACTCGGTAGCGCTTGCTGGCATTCTGTGATTCTATCGCCGTAGTCTTGAGCGTATGTTTGAGGCACAAGAGGCGGCGGCCAGCTGCCCATCCTGGGGAACTGCCAGGTAAAGTCTTTGAAAATGCTACTCTTTGACAGCATGTACAGGCCGCTCGAACGACCATGGTATCTGATCTCTTGATGCTCGTTGACAGATAGCTGTCCGATGACATCTGCCAGCTCTGACATTTCGTCTGGACGAACCTCGCTGCCAGCAGCAGCATCATAAGTCGCCGTGCCGGTATGTAATATCCTGCCTTTGGGCGATGAGCGCGCGGCATCTGAGGGTCGCTCGTTGCCACTCTTCGGCGTCGAGCCAGCCGGTGAGTGAATAGAGTGCTTTCTGCTACCAGCCGATCCGTGCGCGGGAAGCTTGAGTTCCTCGTGAAGCTTCCTTTTGAACGTGTCCTCGTCTTCGATGTCTGACAAGTCGCCGTGATCTTGGCCAAGCATAGGCGCGTCTGCCCCTTGGCTCAGCGCAATTTGTGAACTAAACTCGGCTCTCTGCAGCCTCTGTTGAGCTGGAAGCGAGTAGGGCGGGTTGAGCTCGGCTTGGGGTATATTCCAGATCTTGCGCGGCTTCCCATCAGATCCTAGCTGCGTGGTAGCCTCGAGATCTTGCTTGAGTAAGTCGCGCGCTTCATCATCGCCGAGCAATCTGCTCGGCTGCATCAATCGTTCGTTCAGGATGTGCAATAATCGGACTCACTCTGTCAGCAGAAGCTGAGCTCGCGGGTCGGGACTTGAGACAAGGTGGCCAAGCAAAGTTTCCATTCGATGCAAGCGCGATTCGAGCAGATTGATGTAGCCTCTCGGTGGTCCTCGCTTACGTGTCGGCCCCAAGTAGGTGCATTCGGTGTTCAGTGCGATGCAGTTCTGGCATCTGCTCAGAGGCTTGCCATCAGGTCCATCTTGCCGCTGACATTTACACTTTTGGCGACGGCAGCCATCGCAAGCTTTGCTGCTTCGTCTTTTGACCTTTTGATCAGCTTTGCGCGAGCCTGGCTCTCTATCCTGATCGCTCTCGCCATCGTCTGAGCCGCTGCCCATCGCATCTCGGCCGAATTGAGCATTCGTGGCGTATGGGACTTGAGCGTAGCTTGCGTGACTGGAGATGCCTTGCGCAGGCAGACCATATACGTCCGAGGCAGGTATGCTCGAGTAGTAAGGATTCATGCTAGCCAGCGACAGAACGCTGCCGAATGGCTCGGCTCTTCGGATAATTAACCCGAAGGAGACGCGCGGGTAGCCATCACGTCACTGACTCGTATTTAATCAAGCCTTGCATCCCCCTCGTATGAACCACTTTACTCCTGAACCCTCGCCGCTGGCTCCTCTGAAACTCCGATGAAAAAGCTGTGCATTTGCAGACCGTGAAGGCGTATGATGCCGCATATATATCCGCCATCAGCCGATCCAGTCCTCACGGTTGCCACTTTCAAGCGTAGCACAAGATGAACATGACACGCAAGCTCGCCTTTGGTCTCACGCTTGTCTGCGCAGCCTTCATGATTGTGGAAGCCGGTCAGATCCAGTATGTCAGCCGGTCAGAAGTGACTCCGAGCCGATCTGACGTGGGGCGTGCCAAACAGCGGTTCACCGGCCGCATCGTGCTCAGATCAGCACTGTCTCCCTGCACATTCACCAGCAGACAGATGCTCTCCCCAGACTGGTCAGTGCGAACCTCGATGCACGCTTTGGCTGAGTATGCAACAATCGCAGGCAAATGCACCTTCAGCGGCCTCGCATGCTGCTGAGCCTGGCTCATACGCACAGTCTGTCATACGAGCTATGTGAATCGTATGCGATGATCTTGTACCATGAAGCGACTAATGCAGGTCCCTGTGGAGCATGCAGGGCGATTCTGAGGGACTGTAACGGCAAGAGCTCCAAGCCCGAAGCGCAAACGCGCAAAATCGAGATGCATTGTGTGCGGCAGCCAACGAATCAGGACACACAGAATGTTACTGAAGTTTGTGGCCATTGCAATCTGCGCGGTTCAGTTCTCTAATGCTGCAGTCATCGAGCGCCTCGTGTAAGCCGTCTCAAGCCCAATCTGGCCAGTCTCACGGGTTGGCAGGTGCTTTGAGAAGTTATGCTTCTCTAACATTGCGGATGACACATGCGATGCGGGCACTCGTAAGCGCGACAGTTTCGATTGCGCCTTGCTTGACAGTGCGTACAGAACACTGTGGAGTCAGCGGCAAAATCTGCTGCACGATCCAAGATATCAACGGCTAGCCTCAGCTTGTTGGATTCGCGCGAGAGTACTCGCGCTCGGTAGATAGAAGTCATGATGCAATCAGGCGTGGTTCCTCATTGCAGATGACCTGCGAATCAGCCATTTGGCCGAGGTGAAACGAAGGAGCGTTGCGTTGCCGATGCGCCCGACTTGCCGATTCATTGACTCGTCACCCCGTTGCTCAATCCCGGTCTGATACAAGACTTTCGCTCGTTGATCTCCTTGGGGGACCATGTTCGCAAAACCAGAGTTGACGATGCTTTGCCTCTTTGGGTTGCTTTTCGCCTTCTGTACTGCCATCCCGACAAACGTCGTCAAGGAGACCTCGCTCGAGAAACGTTTCTCGGGCTGGCATCACATCGTGTTCAGTATTGATGGCTTTGGCGTTGCGGCCGAATGGGATCTTGCTGCATATGACCCGGTATGATGTTCGATTGAGATATCTGAAAGTCGGACTGATGCGTAAGCAGCCCTGGGTTCGTGGGCCTACCTATCCGACGGTCGTGGACCACCATACGGATGCCTATGGTACACATTGGGTCGCATGGCAGGTGTGCGCCCAGCATCTTTTTCTCGACGGCGTAGAGCTGATTTTGACAAACATAGGTCAAGAGCACTTTTGGGCTTGCGAAGCTTGACATGACGATCGGTATCGCGTATAACGATTCAGGCGACTACCCCTCTCCCAACGCCTTCAATGTCTGGGAAAAGAGCACGTACGACTATGAAGGCAGCGGCAACACAACATTTTCCGTGAGTGCTTACTGGCTCGGTCACGCGCTCCGATCGCTGAAGTCGTGAGGCTAGGCTACCGGTGGTGATTGCAGTATGACCGTCGATGGCGTCAACGTCTATTGGTGGTGGTACGATCATGTATAGGCTTGCAACGAGAGCTGATTCAGACTTTCATCCTCGACGGAGCCTGACTCGTGTGACTTTTCAAGAAAGATTTGTTCAGGCCTGGCTTCTATCAATAATCCTCGATCAATCAATCGCAGTGCTCGTGGACGGGTTGTGAATGGCGCCGGAAGTGGCGTAGAGGCATGATTGCGATCAAAGGTGCACGTCAGGATATGACTGGTCGACCAATCGACGCGCGTTTCGTGCTTTCTCGTCCACGCCAGGATGGCCTGGCTTAGCAGCAATGACATCGACGTGCAAGATCTTATCCAGTTCAACACCTTCCTAGCGACCATGCTGACGCTCGTCTCGAGCTTCCCGGGGACCTCTGAAGCGCTCGACAACGTCATGTCGGGTCTCGTTGGACTTGTCGCGCTGGTCAATTCTGTCGTGGTGCCACTGTACGCCCGACGACTGCGAAAGTCGAGGAAGCAGCGCCTGCTTGATCTCTGGCATCATTCGTCGAGCGAGCAGCAGCCCGCTACCGTACCGCCCTCGCTAGGTAAGCACGGCAGCGTCGAAGAGCCCAAAAGGGCTCAAAGTGAGGCAGGCAGCGACATCTGGCTCAATGCTGCTCTGCTGACCAAGTGGCTCATCGCTATTGCTGTGCTCGTCATCTCACTCTGCATATGCGCACTTCAGATCGAGAACGCTGGCCACAAGAGGATGCTATCTGTGCTCAAGTTCTCGGTCTTGTTTCTAGCGACAATCAACGGCTATGCAATGACATGGCTCGTCAAGCGCCTCTCTACTAGACTATCACATTCATGGCTATGAACACGCACTCTGTTGTACCTCAGCTATGCTTCACGTCACGTCAATCGAGCGCGTCGGCTTGCTCCTTTGGCTTATTGACGCCTTGTTGGCGTGGAGCAGCGAGATGGCAACGCCTTTGCAGATGCCCCCTCTGCCGCGAGATGCTCTACAAGTACTAGACGTACTCGAGAGACGACTTTCTGATGTTCAAGCGACCCTACGGGAGCTTCAACCGGCGACGCAATCCGGTGACGTGCCAGACACGAGTGTCCACGACTTGCGACAGGATGTCGAGCTCGTGCAGAGAGATATAGAGGTATACGAGCTCCACTATAGCATTCATGCACGCTATAACGATCTCGCGCACAGGAGCTGTTACTCATAGCCGAAGAACAAGAGCATCCCTCGACTCGCCAAACGATACTCAGCCTGGTTGCCGAGACACAAGCGAGCGTTCAGTCATGCACCGTCGAGTTACGAGCAGTCAGTCTAGCGCAGTACAGAGCTTCCAAGAAGCCGGCCACTGCAAACAAAGCAAGAACCTCGAGGAGGCGGCGTAGCACGCTCACTCGGCCTGCTTCAAGCTTGAGCAACGACAGCGATAGGGCTGGCAAAGCTTCGTATTCTCCCTCGACCTTACGAGAAGAGGCGCCACTACTGCCACCTCGTGCCAATGGCAATGGAAGAGACGCTGGCACAAAGCAGAGCAGCTCGTCTGACGACGCCCTCATGAGCGCGACCTCAGATGTCACCGAAGGACTTCGACGAACGCTGGGTCTCATGCAGACTGAGCTCGATCGCTCTATGATATCCACGCAGCTATTAGGCAAGTCTGTTGCTCAAGTACTACAGTAAACGAGCTGACCACCCCGAGCAGAGCAATCGTCTACTACACTTACCGCGACTTCTGATCGATATTCGTCTTTCAGCGGTCTGCTCGACGTCTCGAAGCAACTCATCACCTCGTTGCAAAATTCCGATTTTCTAGACAGGCTCATCATTTTGGCTGCTCTGACGCTGTTCGGTCTTGTCTGCCTGTACATCCTCAAGCGACGCGTGCTCGACAAGGGTCTTCGTGTGGCGGGCTTGTTCGCTCGCTTGCTGCCTATTGGGCTCATCAAACGTGCACTGCCCTCACTAGATCTCAGTCGGCTCATCTCGGCCAGTAATGCATCGCTAGAAGTCACACCAGCCAGCGCAGACTCGCTGGACGTAGGCGAAGGATTAGCTAAAGTGCTGCCCACCAGTATACTGGCCGCCGTAGCATCCAGTGCAGAGGCATATCTGCAGCCCACACCGCTTGTGAGCCACGTCGACAAAGAAGAGGAGCGGCCTTTCAGACAAGGCCTCACTGTCGATCTTCAGCCAGAATTCTCGACCGAAGCACTCGAAAAGGGCGACGAGACCTTCGAGGGGTACGCCTACGATCCACACGAGCAAGATGCGTTCGCGAATAACGCTAGTACTATTGCTTTATTCGATGCTGCCGAGATTGATTACGCTCTTGCTATGGAACCCTCAGAAGCTGCCTCGGACGAGCATCTGAGCCCGCTCAGCCAAGAAAGCCTCTCTTCAGACGAGCAGGCTGGCCCGACTTCATCCGAGCAAGATGACATTACCCAGAACAGTCCAGAGATTACGCTCGCTTCCGAATCAGAGGACATGATCTCACAAGAGCATCATGCTGGCGACTCAGACACCGAGCAAGTGCTGCGACTGCCCACAGATACCCTCGCGGCCATGGAAGACGATGCACGAGACCGACTGCCTCATGCGCAACCGAGCGACGATGCACGAGACCAAGTATCCGATGCAGAGCTTAGCGAGGAGGCAGCTCTAGAATCAGAAGCGATAGCTGCGCCGCCTCTTGATCAACCGGAAGATCAGATGGCCGAGACAGCGGACGACGGTTCTCTACGACAGGAAGCTAGCAAGGGAGCCATGCCTGACGATGAAGAGCCTGCTCAGCCTTTGCCTGCCACAGCGCCCGAGCTAACGGATAGGGATGCCGCAGACGACGTCCCAGATGGCGAGCCTGCTGATCCTGCACCTCTGCCGCTTGTCAGGTCATCGAACGATGAGGATGCAGCGCCAACAGGGGAGCTCGAAGAAGGGCTGCCGACGATGGCACCATATGTCGAAACGACGCCCGATGAGAGCGCTCCAATAGCGGATACAGAGACTGGCGGCGAGGACAGTACCCGTGTCGACGCTGAGCATGCAGAGTCTACAGCACACCCTGGCGAGCTTGCGCACGATGATCTATCTGGAGCAGACTCTACGCTTGCTGAGCCCATCTACGCAGAGGAGCAGCAGTCTGTTGCGAGAGACTATGTAGACGCTGCATTTGACGAGCCGACAAGTTCGAGCAACGAGATGGGACAGGAGGCTACAGAGGTGCCTGACGCTCTCAGCGCGCATCTAGACGTGGGCGATTCATTCTCATCAAGCGTGGAGGAAGACGTCACCCTGGACCCTGAGCCTGAGGAGCAATCTAGCAATGGCGCTACTGCTGTTGATAGCGGAGATGACGCTTTAGCGCCTTCAAAGACTCTGGAAGAACAAGAGCCAGACTTCTCTTTCGATCCCGACTTCGGGAAGGACGCAAACGTTGCGACAATAAGCACTCCCGCTGCTCACGAGGACGAGGGGGAACATGACGAATTCACCCCTACGAGAACACGCGAGGAAGATCTAGGTCTCGTGGAGCTCGAGGATACTGACCAGCTCGAGGACATGGATGACGAGGCCATGGATCCTGATCAAGAATTGACGCTATCATTCGAGCTGGCTGAGCAATCCGAGGAGGTCATGTCCACTCCAAATACACACGAAGGCCCACTAGAGACTGGCAAACTGTCTCAGACCGAGAAACTTGGTGTTCGTGCCGTGCCGACTGCGGCGCGACTGCAAGATCAGCTTCATTTGGAGCTTTAAGCTCCACGCTCTCGCTTGGCAATGGCTTTCGTTGGCAAAGGAAAGTCCATGGCGGGCTATTGCCACGTGCTTTTAATCGACGGTATCGCGTTTTCCATGTGCAGAGTGGACAAACCCACGACCGTCTGTCTCCGCCTACGGTGGCCCTTTCGCCAACGATTGCTGATCAAGGCTTGTACATGATATTGGCCCGCTCGCAGATATGCAGCCAAGCGTCTGAAATCCATATTTCGAAAGGTCTCGTCCAGATTGTAGCACATGTGTGGTCGCTTTGTGTACTTCCCGATGGACGAGAAGCTTTGGAATTGATTGGGCTCAAATAGGTCCGAGTCCCTCGTACCTCTGCTTCGGCGGCAACGCCAGCATTGCAAGGGCAGAGACCTGCCAGTCTGTAGTCCGTGAGAGGTCTGCAAGGCCCGGGACACGGTGGATATACAGGGTCACCTGGAGGTCGATCTGAATTGATCGAGCCCCGCGTGGAGCAAAGTTTGGATGTCGCTCGCAGGCGCACTCACCACGACCGGTGCGACGACAAGAAGAGGTCACAGGCACCGCGAAGGTAGTGCTACGGCATCGCAAGAGTCTGACGCTCAGGTCAGACCCTATAGATCATCGACAGGACGGTCTCGACCGACGTTCTCCGCATTGACGGCAACAAAGACAGCAGGCCAGCTGGTCTCGTCGTCACAGTCCAACGGACATGAGCCAGCCAACAAGAACATCACAATGACGTCCGAGAGACTGCAACAGACCAATAGACCAGGTCTGACGCACTTCACGCCTGCACGGAGTCGACAGACTTCGTCAGGATCCACCGACACAAGTTCATTCACGTCTAGAGGTCAGCAGACGACAGCAGACATGACTTACAGCTCCTCGATGGGTGCACATCCTGCATCCATCGATATCAGCATCCGACCAGAGCCTTCGAGGCAGATGAGCAACACGTCCTGGGGTCCCAGCAGCCTCGGCGCAGCTGGTGGATTCCTAGACGACGATGAACTCTCTAGATCACTTTCACAACATCGTCAGTCAGAGGAGCTTGCTCGCTCCTACAATGCCAACATCAGACAGACCGAAGAGCTGTCGAGATCACTCTCTAGACAGCAACAGCTCCAGCAGGAACGGGACCGCTTCCTCAACACCAACTTCTCACCGCCCCCAAGCTCGATGCACGAGCGCTTGTCGGGGCCCACGTCCACCAATCTATCCAACATGTCGCCCTTCACACGAGACGGCGTGACTCTCGCCGTTGCCGGCTTCACATATCCCAACGCACCTCGAAGTACGCTCACAGCCGGTCTGGGCGCAGTTGGGTCTGGCCGAAGAAGACGCGGCGACACACTCACAGGTTTCAGAGGCAACGCACTAGACGAACACGAAGAGAATGAGCATTACGTAAACGGGAATAAGTCAGGAGCGTCTAGTCGTCGACATTCGGTGTCTGCCTTTGGCAATGGCTTCACGGTAGCAGATCCTGCTGCCAATGGCCGCAGTCAACATGGGTTTTTCTCTTCAGAACAGGAGGAAGATCTGACCAGAGGAAGATCTGGCTACGCTCGGTTACCCGCCGCTGGCTCCAATTTCTTCGGCGGCAGAGGTGGTCCGACGATAAGTGACGACGATCTGGCCTCAGATCTCAATAGCTTGCAGCTCAGCCTCGAGGATCAGGCAGCTCAGCAGCGACGCAGAGAAGGACAAACAGCCTATTCTGTCAGGCATGGCGCCCACTCGCTGCCCGGCTACTCTTCGCATGGCTACCTGCCCGCTTCGCCGCCTTTCTCATCGAGCCCGAGCAAGCCTTCAGAGACTTCTCGCTCGCCGCCCACAGAGAGCGCCAGCAGATCGACGTCGCTCTCTCACTCGCAAATGCGCTCACCTCTTGGGCTGGAGAAGGAGTTGTCCGACAATCTTAGCAATCTAGCCTCACCTCACTATGCAGCCAAAATCTCGCCCAGCTCGCGCTATGCCAATCTGCGATCAGCTCCAGGTTACGCCGAGCAACAAGACGTGCTGTCTACCTTCAACGCGCCTGTACCGATCTCGTTCTCGCAAGCAGCCGCAATGAGGCCCTACAGCTCTGCTACAACCTCACCAAACTATGGTCAACCTGTGCCTCTTCCATACACTTCATCACGTCAGCCAAGCTCTGCACAGCATCAGCAGCAAATGTCATCGCTGCAGCAGCAGCAAGCGTATCATCACACATCTCAGCTCAACATGGCCAGTAGTCTGGGCTTGGGCGGCGCGATGGCACTGCCTCATGATCCCGATTACTCTGATCTTGGCAAAGGCGTGCCATTGCATAGTGTACCGCCCAACTCGCTGCTCTACATCGTCGAGTTCAAGGCAGGCAGGACAGATCTGTTTTTCCTCGTGCCTTCTTCAAACCAACCGCCCGTCAAGAAAGGCGAGCTCGTCATCGTCGAGGCCGACAGAGGTCGAGACCTGGGCAGATGTGTTCAGACCGAGATCAGCTTGGCAGACGTGCAAGCGTTTCAGAAGAATCAAGTCGAGCAAGCGCTGGGTCAGCTCGCTTCAGCACAAGTTCCCGGTGTGTCAGCCATGTCGCCCGATTCTCAGCCGAATCCAAACACGATTGCGAGGATGACAAAGGAATTGCATCCCAAGAAGATGTTCGGCGTAGCAACGGCTGCAGACATACAACAGCTCGGCCAGAAAGCTCAAGACGAAGCGAAAGCGCTCGTTGTCGTTCGCGCCAAGGTCGGCCAGAAGGCCTTGCCCATGACCGTCAAAGATTGCGAATGGCAATGTGAGTCCCGAGTCGAAAACACTGTTGTTATGCGCGCTGACTCTAGCCGAGCAGTTGACCGCCGACGCTTGACGATCTATTTCGTTTCGGATCGACGGGTAGACTTTAGAGATCTGATCAGAGAGCTTTTCAGATTGTACAAGACCAGGTTCGTTCCCTCTCACTCCAAATTGACTCTGCATCAATGCTGATGGCGTTGGCAGGATCTGGATGTGTTCCATAACAGACCCCATCATGACACCCATCTCTGTCCAATAATCACACATCCGTCCGTGTCCGTCGGTGCCGCAATTTGCAACGTGCACACTGCATTGCGTTGGCTTTTGTACTTTCATCTCTCATACGCCTTGCCATCTGTTTTCGCAAGCTGTACGATCTTATTGCATCGCTTAGCGCATCGCTTCGAGCATTTGTTGCCTGTCGATTTCGATAGCCCAAGCTGGCAACTCTGCTTGCGGAATCGATGAAATCAATGAAACAGCCCACGGGCCTCTGCCGCCTTGTGATGAATGCAGCAGTGCGCAATCCGTACGAGCAATGACCTTATTAGCCGAGCTTAGCCTCGCGCTCCATCACGCTCGCGTCGAGCTTGACGAGCAGGACAGTCCGCCTCGGAAATGCGTCCGTAGGGACGCTATGAGCCGTCACACGAGCTTGGCAATTGCCTCCGTCGCAGATCGCTTCCACGAGGCCAGCCATGAAAGCCATGCAACTCAGTTGGCTCATGTCTTTTGGAATCTCGATACTTCGGGTCAGGATGGGATCGTTGTCGGTGATCATGTATTCGTCCTGGTTCTCCGTTGATTTCTCGAGCGCTGTGGCCGGTGCACCGAAGAGATACTTGTACACCTGGGTGTGAATGTAGAGCAGCAAAGGCAAGAGCCGTGTCTGACGTGTTGGACCGGTGGCCGTGCGAGAGGTAGAGATTGGCAGCGATTCTCGGAGCGGGAGCAGCTCTGCCAACCTGGCTCCGACTCTGTAGCCCAGTGCGCTCAACCTGGCCCTCTCATATCAGCAAAGGGAGCGCCAATCATGTATACAGGGCGAACTGACTTGCGCTCGAATTCTGCAATGCCCGTGACTCTGTTCTGAGAGTAGGAAATGATAGCGCTGAAGAGGAACTGCCAGCTGGCGAGTGCGACGAGGTGTGCATCGGCTTGTGCAGCGGCAGAAGAACGACTGGCCGAGCCAATACTGACTCCGCTGGCCAGTGAACCTAGCGTTGAAGCACGAACGGGTACAACGGATTTGTCAAGTATACTCGGTCCTCTGAGCTTCAAGACGTGCGCAGTCGAGGCTGCAGATACTGTTCTGCTGCCTGAACGGTCAGCCATTGCCAATTGCTCGAGCGCTCAAAGTCGGTAGAGGCGATGAGGAGAACGCGACGCGATGTAGATCAGGGAGATCGTCCAACAGATGCATGAATGTCTACACATGAGCAGAGCCGAAGACCTGGAAACGAGAGCAGATGGACGGTCCATACTCTTGGTAGTCGGCCTTGCTATGGCAGTATGAGTAAAAATCGGGCTGTCCGGCTGGTCAGCTGAGGCAACACGCAAGGACAGAAAAGGACTAACTGATTGGGCAAGCAGGGAGCCGCCGTACCAGACTGCATACCGTTGACGCTTGTGTGAGATGACGTTCACATCCACGCCCGTGCTCTGCAGTGCGAAAGTTCTAGTCAGCTTTTGCACAGCTGAACAAGAGCGTGTACACGCCTTCATGAGATTGCCAGAGTTGACTTCGCTTAGCGTCAATCGGGTATCGACAAGGTTCTTGAGATCGCGTTGTAATCTCCTGCCAAAGTGATCATACATCGTCGAACCGCCCGATAGGACGATATTCTTGTAGAGACCTCTTCGAACGTCAATCGGACTCGTCTGGATGACATTATCCACGACCTCTGGCAAGGGCGTCAAGAAATCTGAAGAGTATATCTCCGGATTGAAAAACACTTCGGGCACGAGGAATCTCTCGTAGCCAATGTCGACAGTATAAGGCTTGCCCGTCACCGAATGTTTGCCGTGATATTGCGCAAAGTGTTTGGCGGGATCGGAGTCGTACTTCCTGAACTCTTTGACCATGTCACCGCAGACGTATGCGTAGTCCTCCTTGATCTTTTCTGCTATCCTCAAGGACTCCTCGGGCGGTATTGCTTCGTTTCGTTCTCGTAGGAGTTGTTGTGTGAAGTAAGTCAGATCTCGTCCTGCTATGGGGATATGCTTGATCGATGAGCCGATCACGTAGCCTTCAGCCTGTCATCAGAGCGTGTAGTGAGCAAAAGGCAGTATCATATGCAGCATACCGACGGACCACCGGGATGACATGAGTCACGCCGTCGCCAGAGTCAATGACGGTGCCTGTGAGCGTCCGGTCGGTGACTTTGGAAGATGTCCAGGAGGCTGCCAGTGCGAGGACGGCTTGGACTGCGATATAGATGCCTTGCACGTTGAAAGACTCGAAGAATATCTCGGCCGTCATCTCACGATTCTCGGGTGGATTGAGAGGTGGCTCTGTCTGCTCATGTCGCACAGCGTCAGCCCATCTCAACGGGCAAGCTGGAGCAGTGAGACGTGCCAGGAGAAAGTAGTGATCCTCTGGCTCTGCTCGCAAGTACTTGAATATGCTCTGCTCGTACAGCCTCTCCATGTGATCCCAGTTCTCTACGATGCCGTGCTTGATCGGGTAATCGAGTGCATACGTCTTCGAGTGAGCAATCGCTTCATCGCCGATGTAGAAGTCGAGATCCTCTATGCCTCGCTTGCTGGCTACGTTGGACGATGAATGACTGCTCCCTCCGCCTCCTCCTGCCGAGCTAGAAGACAGTCCGCCTGGTTTGGAGGGCACGGCGGGTGCTCCTGCTCTGCCTCCGGGTGTACGAGTGGCGATACAGGTCGGAAAGACGAAGGAAGGCTCCGAGTTGCCTGCGAATCCCATCTTGGTCCATCCCGTGCCAGAGTCGCACACTGCCCGACCAAAGTCAGCCTGACCTCAGCATTCGGTATGGGGGAGAGCTGACCGATGGGCGGCAGCCTCGCCATGCTGTCGGTCTAGCTTCTTCGCTTGACACACTCGAGCTAGCTGCCTGCCTCGGCCGAGCGCAATGAGCGTGACAAGGTGGGGGTCACCCTTCAGCCGCGTCGGGACATCATCAGGCACCTGCTCGCAGCGCTGGTTCTCCAGCAGACCCACCAGCTGCCTTGACGCCTCTGCGCAGCCAGCTAGGGTCGCCGGAGCTCATCGAAGCACTCTGACGCTATGGCAGATCAGCTTGGGCATGGGGACCCTGCGAATAATCCAAATGTTGCAGTTCGACGAAGCAGCAGGAATCGCATACCCTCGCACCGGGTCACGGAGCCACTCACTGCCTCTTTGGCGCCTGCTACGACAAGCATACGGCGTGCGACGCGATCTGCTTCGGCAGCGTCTGACGAGCCTGTTGCTGGACCGAGCACGACCTCGTCGCGTCAGACGAGCACGAATAGAGCGAGAGCAAGAGCTCCTGCGCCTGCTTCCACTCTGCCCGAGCGTTCAATGTCAAGCCAGAGTACAACATCAATCACGCCCAGCGGAACGAACGGTTTCTCCCAGCGAGCGCATATGACGCGGTTGTCGGAAAGCGCGATTGCAACGCCAGAAGCGAGCACGAGTCGACGTGTACTGCCGCATGGCAATATCGGTATGGCCGGCATAGCAGGCGCAGGCCTACCTGGAACGCCTCTCTCTGTCTCTCTGGCAGGCTCGCCGTACCATGCACGGTCCAATCATGTCAGACGACCCGTGCCTGGTCCGAGCAATCTGGCTCGACAGCGGGACACAGATGATCATATCGAGCCTCGCATAAGCCGCAAAGGCAGCCTGTCGCCTACGTTCAATAAGATCAAACCGGCTGGTCTTGCCTCGCCACGAAGTCCAATCTTTCAACCGAATCCGCCTGGAAACGTCACCTTTGACGAGTCGAGCCGCGTCTCGCGAGCGCACTCTGCTTCGATCAGCCAAGGAACGCCATACAGACAGCCACAAGGAGGAGACGAGACGCCGTTCATGATGAGGTTGGAAGATCAGAATAATACCTCTACGGTGCATCTCTCGCCCGTCGTTGGACGACCACGACAAGCAGTCTCTCGTCATCCCACACGACCACGTACATCCTCGCCTCTAGCAACAAAACGGTACGAGGCGACAAACGGTCAAGACACGTATACGCCTGCGACGAGGAATCAGCCTTATCTGAACGGCCACGGAAAGCGCAAAGTCAGCGCGAAGGATGTCTTGACGCGCAGGCTCGGGCCAAGACTATCTCACGATACTTCTTCTGCCAATTCGAGCATGGCGGCAGATTTACCACCGCCGGTCAACTTCAATGGCACCACGAGCACGCCCTTTGTGAACAGGGGATCTTTCGATCGAACGAGCCCGCTCGCTACGACGATCACCTTGCCTGAAGACGCCGTCGAAGTCGCAGGCAATGTATCTAGAATCACCATCGATGAAGACACGGACGAATTGAGTTTGCTCGATCATGATGCGCTGGATGGGGTCAAGTCGGAGGCTGCTGTGCTGGACGAAGAGGAGGAAGAATACGATGAGACGATGGTCGATAGGATGCGGAGCTGGCGAAATGATGCCATGGCGCAGCATCTCTATAGCACTGCCGAGTTCTGGGGTTCCAAGGCATTAGCAATGACCTGCAATGCCAACGACGCATTCTGGCTCGCCCAAGTTCACTTTCTCACTCATCAATATGCGAGAGCAGAGAAGATCCTCTCTGCTCCTCGTGTAGCTATCATCGAAGATTCTGTCCCCGCCGCCGGGGCTTCAATGGAACTTGATGGGGCAGACGCGCCTTTGTATACTGCTCAGAAAGGCAAACAACGAGCAGATAACATAGATCATGCTACGGTCGTCTACCGGCTGACAGACAAAAGCATTGCCTGTCGATACCTGTGTGCGCAATGCCATGTCAGGTTGGGCGACTGGCAGGCAGCTCTCGACTTACTGGGCGAGGAGAACCCTTGGCGCAATAGATCAGATATCGAATCTGGTGCAAACGTCAAAGCTGACGGCGGCATCAAAGTAAGTCACTGTTACGTTCGATACGTCAAAGCTGAGCTTTCGCGCAGTTTGAAGCATCCATGTGTCACTTGCGAGGTCTCGTTCATCTACACCACAATGCGACAGATCGAGCTAAGCAGTCTTTCATGGAGGCACTTAGCCTCGACGTCAAATGCTTCGAGAGCTTCGAAGTACTCACTTCTGGCAGTATGATGACACCAGACGAGGGTGAGCCGCTGCTTCTTGTCTCATTGAGCTATTCCTCATGGATGGCATGCGCAGAGTGGGAGTTCATACAAGGCCTGTCGTATCGTGTGCAGATGGCCGAAGACGGCGACTTTGCGCGCATGATGTATACTGTGCGGCTCAAGAAGGTGCGTGCATGATCGATCCTCTCACCTGATGCTGATGCGGTCCTACGAACAGTACAAACACAAGGCGGAGATCGCTCAGTGTCGGCAACGGCTCGCACAAGAGTACGGATTGGCGGATGATCCTGACGTTCTTTTCGGTCTTGCCGATACGCTCTATGCTGCCTCCTTGTGGCAGGATTGCTACGAAGTCACTTCACGCACCCTGGACCTGCACGACAATCATGAGCCAACGATGCCGCTGCATCTGGCTTGCATGCAGCATCTCCCTCATTTGCGCAGTCGGCTTTTCATCCTCGCGCACGATCTTGTCGACCGGCTGCCTGACTCTGCCATTTCATGGTATGCTGTCGGACTGTGGTACTATGCCGGTAGACGGTGGGAAGAGAGCCGTCGATATTTCGGCAAGTCGGTCTTGCTCGACAATCGATTCGGTCCTGCTTGGCTCGCATTTGCGCATTCGTACGCACTCGAAGGCGAGCATGACCAGGCCACGACGGCATACAGCACTGCCCAGCGACACTTTCAAGGGTGAGCCGTGTGCAGTCATCGCGCCACTGATGCTGAAATCATGCCCAGCACGCACGTCCCGCTGCTCTGCATTGGGATGCAGCACCTGCAGTTAGGCAACAACGATCTCGCGGAAGAGTACTTGGACGCTGCATACGCCATGTGCAAAGACGATCCGCATCTCACTAACGAACGCGGTGTGCTTGCCTACAACAAGCAAAGGTACTTTACACTGGAGAATATCGGGTAAATCTGACGATTCGTGCAGATTCACGGTCGCCGTTGAGCTCTTTGAGGAGACGCTCCGGCTAGCCCGAGATATTCAGGGCCCGCCGAGTCTGTGGATTTCCACAGTTCTCAATTTAGGTCACGCTCACCGTATGCTCAAGTCAGCTCTACTGCCCTTCTCCTTGCTGCGCTGACTTGGTGTTGGTGGGCTATAGTCACCACGAGCAGGCTGCCAGCGCATTTCGCGAGGTCATCCAGCTCGACTCTCAGTCATCTGCGGCATGGGCCAGTCTCGGCATGGTCCAGCTCTTGCTTCACCAGCGAGACGAGAGCATCGAATCACTCCATATTGTGAGCCTAGTTCTATGTACGGCAGCACAGACTGACATCAAAACAGGCACTCTCGCTTAATCCCGCCGATCAGGTCTCCCAGAGTCTGCTAAAGATTGCACTACAAGACATGCTCGATGCGCACCCTGTCAAGGACATATCGACCCAAGTGCGCCTTCCTGGCCTGCATCCTCAGACAGGGCGCAACCTCGACAAAGAAGTTGCACAATTCGAAGAGAGGGTCGCTCAGGGTCGCTTCGAAGAAGACGAGGCGCCAGCTGAAGAGAGTCATCTTGTCATTAGCGAAAACATCCTCATGCAAGCTTGACTGCTGGTGGAAGTGAACGAATATGTGTGCGAAAGTGCGTGCATGAAGACATGATACACGAGATACGATACAAAACAGCGCGTAAAAGGGTGGCCTAGAACATCATGATCATCTCTCCGTCGTCGAGCATAGATGTGTCCTCCGAGACGGTCGAGTTGGTGATGCCGAGAATATCGCCATCAGTGCGCTTCTTGGGCTTGAACGTAAAGCCAACGAATACACCACGTCCAAAGGGCTCATCTTTCTCCTGGACCGCATCGACATTACGTGCCTTCTCGCGCACTTCGGCATATTTCGCCATATCTGCCGGATCCTCAAAGTTGTCAAAGTAGCCAGCATCGACCTCGGAGTCGAGTGCAGGAATGAAAGGAGCTGGCTTGTCGCGTAGAGTGTCCCAAGGTACGCCGGCGAAGAAGGGGAGCGATTTGAGATCGTCCATGCGGCTGACTCGTGACTTCTTGTCTGCCAGAAGAGCGGTGATAGCAGCCCATCCGTTGTCGCTAAGGTTGAAGATTTTGTCTTCTTCGCGATCGTAGTGGGGTCGACGCAGGTAGCGCGTCCAGTTGCGAAGATTATTCCAGGTCTCCTCGGGTGAAGCACCACTGAAGGGCGGGAAACCGGCCAGAAATTCGAACAAGATCGCACCGAGCGACCAATAATCGACGCTGAATGTGTAAGGCTGACCACGAAGCGTCTCCGGTGCCATGTAGTCGGGCGAGCCAACGACAGAATCGGCATAACGCGCATCAGCATTGCGAAGTGATTTGTAGATACTCTTCATCTCGATCGTGCTTCTGAAAATGAGCTCTTGATCTTGTTTGACCTCGTCAAGCTGCTTGCTCATCAGTGACACTGATCACCTCATCAAAGGATACTCACGCGGTGCTTTAGGTTCTGGATCTTGCCGGGATTGAGCGCTCCGGCGGCAAGGCCAAAGTCGGTGAGCTTGATGTGACCGGTAGAGTCGATGAGGAAGTTTTCGGGCTTGAGATCGCGATGGATGTAGCCTAACTTGTGGAGCGCATCGACTGAGCAGAACATCTCTGCAATATAGAAGCGAGCATGCTCCTCTTTGAGAACGCCGGAATTGTTGAGGAGCGTTCTGAAGTCACCGCCGGGCACGTATTCCATCGCGAGGTAGACATGCTCCGGGTCTTGGAAAGCGTAGAGCAATTTGACGAGCCAGGGAGTACGGGTAGCCGTGAGAATGTCGCGTTCGGTGAGGACGTGACGGATCTCGTCCATCTTTGCGAGGGTCTTCTTCTTCATCTTCTTGAGGGCAGCAACCTCGCCAGTGTCCTTTCGACGTGCGAGATAGACTTCACCATAGCCACCTTGACCGACTTGGCAGATGATGTGGAATTGATCGACGAGCAACTTTGTACGCCGCTTTCTCAGCAGTACGCGCTCACGACCGCAATAAGATGACCATTCGGAAGCGAGTGCGGGACCCGTCAGCTGAGCATCGCGTGAGCATCTCTTCGTTGCCTGAACTACGAAAGGCTCACGTTTCGCGAGATGACATCTTGCTTGAAGAGCGAACAACGCGATTTGCGCGCGCCGACATAGCTGATGAGGTCGAAGTAGTAGTCGAAGAAGAAGAGCTGAGCGACGTCTGACTTTCGCTTGACTTCGGGCGACTGCAAGAGCTGCTTCTCCCATGGCTTGAAGCCTTGACCCTTTCGCCAGGACATGTAATCGCCCGCTGAGCTGCTCGTGTCAATCTGACGACGAGCTACTGCTGCACCAGTCCCTTTGAGTCCGCCGTTCTGTGCTTGAGCGAGAAGTTGCGACATTGTTGGCTCGGCCGCAGGGGTAGCTGTCGACTTGGCTAGCATCGACTTGGCTTTGTCACCTGACAACTTTGTGGGCGATTTGGTCGGAGACGATGGTGCCTTGGCGCCGGCTGCTGTTATGCTGGACGACATGGCTTGTTGCATCGATCGCATGTCAAATGCACCGTTCTCCTTGTCACTCCCGCCTTTGCTCGAGGCTTTCGTAGGCGACGCGGCGCCCTTTGCGCCGGACGACATTATGGAGCTTGCAAGCATGTTGCTCTGCGGTGATGTGGGCGTCAAGACACGCTCGCCCGCTGCCATCACGCCGGCACTGACTTTGTAGCGTTACCGCGCAATGGGTCGCGACGAAAAGTAGATCCTACTCTCACGTGACCAACCCCGGAAATCCAAGGAAATGATGATGCATCTGATGCATCGCCGAACCTTTGTCTCTTTCTTGACCACTACGCCAATTGCTCTTTCCGTCTTCACTTCCTCTCCAGATGCAAGCCAGTGATACGCTTATTCATGATCTTTCCAATCGCGTCGCAACATGCGGGTGTTCGGCCACGGAACAGACTTTCTCACAGCAGCGGCTCCACTGTGTATCGCCTACACATGGTTGTAGAGCCAGTAAGTTGTATCGACGCCATCGACGAGCAGAGTCAAATCTTTGCCATCGTTCTGTATGTCACTTTAGATCTAGCAAGTAGCAACCACTTTGTCGAGACGACGTACACCAAACGGGATCGGGTCGCCTGCGCCGTACGTATATGTACTCTTGTCCCAGATATTATAGCTGTATGCACTCTGACGCGAGCCTGGTCCGACTGCAAAAGCGATTCCGATCGTCATGTCGAGCGTTGTCTGGCCGCTCACGCCGTTGAGCTGTCGGTCGTTTCTTGGTCAGCGTTGACCTCGCGGACTAAGCTCGCATACACTCCACGCGACCCAGTGTGTGCCGTAAGGATCGACGTGGTGATCTACAATCACCGGATTGGCCGGACCATCAATCGTAGGCTGGAATGCTCTCAGTATAGTCGTGGGTATACAGAAGACGGAATTGTCCCACCGGGTTGGAAGCAGTGAGATCCCATTGGGCAACGATGCCGAGCGTGTAGATGATAAACTTGATGCGGTGGGTGCCAGTGGAGAAACGCTTCTGGATCGACGTCTCCTCGACAAACTGGGTCGGCAGCGCATGACAGACTGCAAGAAGCATGGCCAGCACGAGGAATACAACCCATTGGGCTTGTGCGAGCATTTTGCTGCTAAATGGAGCAAAAGCAAGAGATCCACTTGCCTCTGCAGTTAGCTGATAGCTGATAGGGGCCGCTGGCAAAGACAAGCAGATGACACATGACACATGACTTTACGACATGACCCTGTACAACCCTCACTACCGAGACTTGACAGATGTTGTCACTTTGCACGATGTGAGCAGGCAGAGGGGAGACGCTGCGACGAAGAATGCATTGAGCAAAGCGCAGGACTCGTGTCTCTAGCGTCTTTCGACATTTTATGAGCGAGCAGTTTCGTGTTCACGTCGAGAGAAGTCTCGCTTCTAGGCCGGTGCTTTGCCCTTTGCTTTGTCCAGCATGGCGTCCAGCTCGTTCTCCTCTTCAGCATCCTTTGCTTCTTCTTCTTCGTCGCCGCCTTCGCCCAAGCCCGGGTTCTCCTGTATTTTTCGAATCAAGTCAGTATGGCGTGGAGCGAGTGAACGAATGGACAAGGAGTGACCTGCTGCATTTGTCGCATCATGGCCTGCAGTACGGGAGTCAGCCTTGTGTGAGCTTCCAATGAGCCGAGCGTACCTCAAAGTCGGGTTGCTCGCCGCCTTCACCGCCTGCGCCGCCCATACCACCGAGCGCGCTCATGTCTGGCATGCCTCCCATGCCACCCATGCCGCCCATGCCGCCCATGCCGCCCATACCGCCGCCGGCTTGCATCTGCGCCATCAGCTGTAGAGAGATAGCTATCTGATCAGCGCATGCAGGCAGAGAGAAGCGAGCAACATACTTGTTGCATGTCCATGTTGCCCGAAGGTCCTCCGTCTGGGCCGCCCTCGTCGGCATCGGCAATGTCATCCTCTGCGCAATCAGACAATACCACATCAGACAGCTCCAATCTGATAGAATGACTCTGGACTTGCGTTCGTCTTGGTCTTTCCACTGTAGAAGATGTGTTGTGATCAGCAAGTGAGTGTGCCGAGGATGCAGGGGACTGACCTTGCCAAAGTCTGTCTTGACAAAGTTGACTTTCTTGTCTTTTGTCAGTCTTGGCCAGTAGTCCTCCTTGAGCTCTGCACGTGACTCGTGAGCTCCTGACCCTGGCAGGACATGAAGCATACCTTTCTTGCGCAGGACGAGCGTGAGGCTCTTGCCCGTGAGAGTAACCTTCTTGCCCTCTTCGGGCTCGACCTCCTCAAAGAGCTCCAGCTCGAATGCATAGTGTTTCTGTGGGACGGCAGAGCTGACCGACTTGCCGGAGGATGCGGAAGAAGCCGTGTCTGCGTCAAATACGATCTTCTTGGCAGAGATGTCGAGCTTGTAGCTGCTCGAGATCTCAGGAGCGTTGATCGTTATGAGCAGGACATTCTTTTCCTCAGCGTAGTCTGAGCTCCTCTGAGCCCAGAGAACTGTCCATTGTACTCATCATCAGTCACAGCATCGCTCAGTAGCAACTCAAACGCACCCTCTGGGTGCACTTTCGTCGTCATTTCGGCTGCTGATCAGAAGAGTGACGGCGTGTGCTGAACTTCGCTTGCTTCTCCGCTGCCCCGCAGTCTCACTCTACGCCGCACGCAGGCCAGCAAGTGGACAACAGCCAACATGTCGAGTCTCGCGCTACGGCGCAGTCCGGTCTCGGCGCTACGAGCTCAGATACAAGCGACCAGTAGACAGCAGCAAGCGAGATGGGCGACGAGCACGGCCGAGGCTGCAAAGGAGAAAGCAGGGCAAGCATCCAGTAAAGCCAAAGAAGCCGCTTCTTCCGCTTCCGACCGGGCTGCTCAAGTCTCAGAGACCGCAAAGAAGTACCTCGGTCAGGCAGGCCAGAGTCTGACCAAGCTCACTGGATCTGCCGGCGAGCGAGCTTCCTCCGCTCTGGGTGGTCCGCGCCTCTTGTTTCCTCCTCGCGAGTGCCGTTGGCTGACAGAGGCACACGAGGACAGCCTACAGAGAGCCGCTGTTCTACAACGCGGCAGTAGCGAGAGAAGTACTCAAGCAGGTCTACATTGCCGAAAGACTCGCTCCTCCTTCGTCTGTCGGCGAGATCAGATCAGCCTACGAGACGCTCTTCAACCGCGCCAGAGATCCGCAGTACTGGCGTTCGACCATCGAATCCGGTGAATGGAAGCGTGTATGTCCCTCTCATCCTCAACGAGTACAAGTAGCTCAGATAGCGCGGATAGGTCGCGATATACGCTCTCGAAGCGATTGGCATCTTCACGATTGGAGAGATGATCGGCAGAAGGAAGCTCGTTGGCTATGGCAAGATCGAGTCTCACGGTCACTAGAAGGCCGCTGCGACTGGACGCAAAAGGTACGGGTGCATAGGCTCGGTTGTCAGACTGCATGCATGCGACCGGAGCGACAACAGGGTTTTATCTACAGCTACTCTCTTACAGATGGGCTCCCTCTCTTCGAGTGAATAACCCTCTTCGGCCGCCTGGATTCCTGATGGCGCACCAGAAAGCAGTACGCTGAGCAGGTCCATTCTCGGTGTAATCCTTGACCAGTGCTGGGTGCCGGCCTTCGATCCCTTTGCGCGAAGTCGGCAGGACAGCGTCCTTGTATTGCTTCGCAAAGTAAAAGACAGGCTGTCGCTTGACCTTGTTGACCTTTTCTTGCGAGTTGCCGAGAGATTGAGCTGCTTGACCGGCTGCAAAGGAAGCCTCCTTAGCCGGCTCGGCGTCCATTTCCTCCTCTTGCTTCTTTTCCTTCGAGATGATGTTCTTGTTGATTGCAGCATCTACCGTAGCTGTATCGAAAGGCTTGCATGGCAGCGTCTCCGCAAACTCGCGCATGTTATCGAGCGCCTTCTTTGATGCCTCAAAGGTACCTGTGGAAAGCTATCAGCTTAGGTGTTTTGAACAGTTGAGACACACTTACGAATCATCTGGAAGACGTGAATGGCATCCTGGTAGACCTCATGCACGACTTTATTGCCTGCTTTCGCAAGCTTATGCGCAAGCAGAGTAGACTCGTCCCGCAAGACTTCAGCGTCACCCGACTGAATGAGCAGAGGCGGCAGATCGTGCACGTCTGCAAAGAGCGGGCTCGCGTAGGGATGATAGAGATATTCTTCCTCCTTGTCACCCAGGTAGAACTTGACAGGGTTGATCGGTCCATGCGATTCTGGCTCGAGAGGGGCGACAATGTAGTCGTAGGCTCCGTTGGTATCGTGCGAGCCACTACCGTGCGAAAGGTCGAGCCAGGGTGAGAGCAGCATACCACCGGCCATTCGTGGAAGGCCAGCATCACGAAGAGCGAGCAAGGTAGCCATCGAGAGACCACCGCCGGCGGAGTCTCCTCCGACGATGATGTTCTCTGGCGGTATGCCGAGATCTTCGGTCATGTGCAGGTAGGTCGAGACAGCATCGTAGATCGCGCCTGGGAAGGGCGTTTCGGGCGCCAGCCTGTAATTGACCGCGAGGACGCGGCAGCGGAATCGACGGGAGATCTGTAAAGTGAGAGGACGATGCGTTGCTGCGCTCATGACCATGTAGGCGCCTCCATGAAGATACAGGACGACTCTCTGTGGTAATGCTTACGTCAGCACGGTTTGACATCAGTGAGAATATAGACTTGCATCGCTCAGAGCTTGACCGGGGGTGCTGCGACCGGTCCATAGACGCTCATCGACGACCCATTCGCCGGGAATGACGCGAGAGCCATCCTCGGCCTTGTCCGCTTCGGCGAGAAAGCCTTGGATGCCTCGTGTCTTGACGGGGACTTCATAAGGACTGAGTAGGAGGCCTTTCGGTGTCGGCAAGAACTTGTCTAGATCGGTGAACTTGCGCAGTCCTTTGATCGTGGGTGGCTTGGAAGGCTTATATTTGGCCGCCGTACGGACACTATTAGTGAAGAGAGCGGTAGGCAGATCCCAACTCGGCTTTTCTGGGCCCAAGATGTAATGCTTCAATGTCGTCGAGACTAGGACGAGTGCTTGGCCGGAGAGGAAGGGTATGAATCTAATCATGCGAAACGGACTGATGCGTCGCTTTGGCTTCATTGCATCGCGTGATGTCGAAGAAGGATCGCCAGCTAGCGCGTTGCTGTCTGCCATCTTGACCTCGAGCCCCGAGCTCCCGTTTGCAGCGCGGTACACTCGATCGCTTCAAGTCTAAGTCTAAGAGATCAATGTCCTGAACGGGCGCTGCAAGCGTGTTGCCAGTCTGGCGGTGCGGGTGTGAATCCTCCGGGGCGAGCGCGTGTGAGGCACGGCGATCGGCGTCTTTGAAGACCGAGAGCCGAGTGGGTTGGACCAGCCTGTCCTGATTGAATTAAACAAAGTTTGACGTCTCTGATCAGCCAGCTTATCGATATCGCTCGACCGCATGCTGGAGTTGCCCTCTTTATCGTCTGCATCCTCAGCAGCTTTCCTTACTCTCGAGAACTATGAGGACTATCCTGTGCACTGTGCTGCTTGCCCTAGCAGCTCTAGGTGATGCTAGACGCTCTCGACATCCGCGCAACGTCAGAGCAACCGCTTGGCATGATGCGCAGGCGAAAAGGAGCTCGCTAGAGCGCCGTACGGAGACGCTCGAGCTGTCGAGCTCTGGCAAAGTCGCGCCAAAGTCTGTTCAATCATTTGACCGTTCTGCAGGATGCTGATAGCTCAGCAGAGTGCTCGTGATCTCTATGTTCGCTCCAGAGGCATCAGTCTGGTTTGAACCGTATAAGCTAGTCCACAACATTACCGTCCCCGGCTTGTCGGTACTCTATCCGCAAGTGCACTGCAACAGCGCAGGCTCAGTGTGTCTCTACACGACCGGTTCGTGCCTGCTCGCGCAAACCTGTGCGATAAGCTGATATATTCCTCGCAGGCGAGTCTGAGATCAATGCTGCTAGCTCTGGCTCCGCCTTATTCCAGAGCGCGCTCTTCGACTTCACGAAGACCTACTTCTTGATCGCTGGCATTGCCGGCGTGAACCCGTATCACGGAACGCTCGGAACGGCGGCTTTTGCTGCCTTTACACTTCAGCCTACGCTTCAGTACTTCGGAGATCATACCGAACTCGCCAAGACAAAGGCGTGGGGCAACAAGTTTGAGTTCTGGGCGTTCGGCACGAACCAGACGGGTGTCTATCCATCTGAGCTTTACGGAACCGAGCTGTATCAGCAAGTCCCATCGATTCCCCATCGCGTTGCTGCTGACTAAGGCGATCGACAGGGTCAACACGAATCTGCTCAAGCGGGCTCTTTCGCTCACCAAGAACGTCAAGCTCAATGACTCGTCAACTGCCCAGGCTTACAGAAAGCGGTTCGACTATGCGCCTGCGAACCAGCCTCCGACGGTCGTGCAAGGGGACGTCCTTACTTCCGATGACTACTTTTTCGGACACTATCTAGGTAGGATATCCATGATCTCAAGCGTTCTAGGGGTCTGACTCGGAGCGTCAGGCTATGGCTTTGGCAACTATACAAAGCTGTTGACAAACGGTACGGGCACGTATGTCATGACAGCTCAGGAAGACTCGGCGACGGCCGAGGCACTCCTGCGCGCTACAGTAGCCAAAAAAGCAGACTTTTCGCGATTGATGATCCTGCGTACTGCAAGCGACATCGATCGCGCTCCGCCTGGCGTAGACGAGTACACTGCGTTCGAATACGATCAGGGTGGCTTCGAGCCGTCAATTGCTAATCTCTACCTCGCCGGTTCGCCCGTCGTCAAGTCAGTACACACGTCGTATAAGCTGAACCTCGCTGACATACACGAGTAGTGACATTCTTGCCAAGTGGAACACAACTTACGAAGCCGGCATCGCACCACAAAAAGATGGCTTCTATGGGAACATCCTTGGGACGCTTCGTTCATAAATCCAGGATCACCATCATCGACATAGACGCTCGTATGAGCATAGACGGGTCAGAGGGAAATTCTCAAGTGCACAAGCACAATGCATGCGTATCTTACATGGCATTGTCATATTGCACGCTGATGTTACTAGGATCTTGCTAGCTTGCGATCACATGGACACTATGAGGAGGGGCAACAGCTGCCTATGTGCATCCTGAGTGCCATTTGCCTGTCCCCACACTGCTCACCAGTGCTTCTCTACGTACATATAGGCAGGCTCGCAGAAACCTTTACGTCTAGCTTTAGCATGGCTTTACAGGGCACTTCCTGCTCGATGCCACCCTCTCGGAGGCCGGGCTAGACGCAGGAGCCACTAAGCTCGTCAATCACTCAGACGTATTTGTGCTTCGGGATGTAGCATCGATGTCCGTAAGGGAACACGCTAAGATCTACGTTTTTCTGGCCTCACGCGCATACATCCTCTTGAGCTTGCTGGGTCGCTTCTGTCTTTTTCTCTTGGCTAGCCTAAGATCTGAGCCAGCTAGAGCTTGTATCCGTAACCGAGGCGAAGGTAGCAATTTGTATCGTCGGGTATTCGTATTGAGAGGCCTGTCAGCGGTGAGGAGCGCCAAGGTAGGCCTCTGCCGAGTCCTCTGCACGGCTCGCTCAGTGCAACGATCTGGCCATCTGTTTGTGTACTGTTCATGTTGTAAGCTTTGAACAGTCCAAAGCCATGTGCCGTACAGGCAGAGAGCGCGCCCGATGGCGTATATGTGTTCCATCGACGGCTATGCTGGCTATGTTCCGCAGACGCTGTCGTACCAGCTTATCGTCTTCATCGTCCACATCACTGCGGCAAAGATCTGAGCACAGACACGATCACGAGGCGGCAATCGCACATGATTCGACGCGAAAGAGGAGCATCGAGCCTTTCGTCTCTTTCTAGCGTGACTTTGACCGGTTCACGCTGAGATGAGAACAGTCTGAGGCCTGAGAGGTGATGAGCTTGCGAGCGCATGCAGCGAGGGACAGGCGCACTAGGAGCAGAGACAGGTGCATCGAGGTTTTCGGAGCTACTTTGGGCGTGAGGTGTCACGATGAACGAAGAAGCCAGTCGTGGTCGTAGCAGATCATCTAGCGCAGCTCTGAGGACATCTTCGGCCTCGTCTGACATGTACAGATCACCGCCCAGTCTTTTGGCCAATGTCTGTCGCGCTTCCTGACGAACCTCGTCGACTGCCGCAAGCACAGAGACGGCCCTGCATCAGCTGCCCGGCATCTACGTACCTTCACGAGCGGCGTCACGGTGTCTCAAGTATGGACGAAGGTCCCGTACGCGACACAGCGAGAGCAATGCAAGATCTCGGTCTGGGACACTCTACAAGCAGGCAGCGCAGCGCAAGCAGAGGTCGAGTAGCCACCGAGGCTCCCGCTGGTCACACGAGGACGACGAGCAAACAGATCAACGGCACATCGTCTCGTGATGAAGCCTTGGTCAAGGAGCGAGATCAGCTCGCAAAGATGAATGATCTGCTCGAGGAGACAATTGCAGGTCTCGAGACTTCAAAGCATCACATTGCGGTCCGCACGATGGTTCATCCATGGCTTTACACAACTTATGCGGGCTTGCACCGAACGAACAGCGCCTGGAGAGCACGATCGGCACGACAGACTCGCTCCTCAGTCTTTATACCGGCTTACTCTCGCAGACCGAGCATGCAAAGAATCTCATACTCGATCAGGACTGGCAAGGGACATCGACGGTGGGGCGCACAACTCATACGGACTGACCGTACGCTGATGAAGCGACTGCCAACTGTCAGGACATTGCAACGATCAGAGCGCAAGAAGAGGCGAAAGAGCGCGAGAGACAAGAAGCATTGAGGTTAGCGACCGAGGAAGAAGCGCAAAAGAGAGCACGAGCAGAGCAAGAGCACAAGCGTACAGCTCCCGCGAGTAGCAGAGGTCCTTCTACGCGCGGTCGAGGCATCTCAACCACCGCGACTCGATCAAGAGGACAAGTCGGTATGTCACGAGGCAGAGGCACCGCAGCAAGCGCATCAGCTTCCTCCGATACTATTACCGCCACCGCGCGAAACGACGCCGGCGTAGCTAGAGGGCGCGGGACGATCCAGGTCACCGGCGTGAGAGCGCAGCGCGGGCTGCGCAGCCGAGCTCGACCAAGAGGCACTGCATCGCAAGTTTTATAGTCCCCTTCACTCAGCTGCATGAGGTCAAATCGGGTCTGAAGGCGTTGTATGGGCTGTATGCAAGCTTGTTGTTGTGCTCTGCTTGCGAGTGGCATCGCCCAGGCGCCCAGGACCTGCGCCCGTCGCGTCCATGAAATTCATCATTTCGCCGTCAACGTCGAAGCTGCGTGATCCACACACTAGTAGAAGGCCATAAGAGGAGCAGACTGCTATGGATGACTCCACTGACTTGACTGACAAAGTCGACCGACTGGAAATGTCCGTAGGATCAAAGGCTAGCGATTCGCAGACTGCAAGAGCTCAGCAGCCGACAGGGCCGCAACTGCAAGACAATATGATCGCGACTGAGCCTCGAATTGAGCAGACACCGTCTCAGTCCATGCCAATTTCCGATCCATCAGACGAGCCGGAGGCGATGTCTCTAGTGACATCTGCGCAAGCGCAGCATCAAGCGACGCGAGATGTGCCGACTTTGGCCAATGTGTCCGCGCCTGCCGAGAGCGCACCAGGACAAGTCGGGCAGCCCGTCATACGTCATGAATCACAAGATATGCGCTGGACATGCAAAGATATTCTGTTCCCTCCTCAAGCCGGCGCCATACAGCGACCAATCAAGATCGTCACACAGAATCGGAACGGACCTTGCTCACTGATCGCATTGGCCAATGTGCTCATATTACGAGGCGACCTCGTTCTGGCTCCTCCGAACAGAGAAACAATCTCGTATGCTACTTTGAGCTCGCTCGTAGCAGACTACCTCCTCCGCTTAAGCGATCGTGGGGATGGTCAAACGAAAGGACTAGATCTCACTTCTGCCTTGTCCCTCTTGCCCAAGATGCGCTACGGCCTGGATGTCAATATCAGGTTCGATGCGATTGATGGCTTCGAGACCAGCACGACGACTGGCGAGGTCGAATTATTCAAACTGGCAGGCGTCCCGCTCGTACACGGAATGCTGGCAGACCAAGATGACGAAGAGACATACGATTTATTGATGAGCAAAGCGCCAGACTACGACACTGCTCAAGGATTGGTTGCTGAGGGTGATGCGATCGCCCGCGGTATGGTTGTGGGCGCAAATGAAGCGTCAGATGAGCAGATAGAAGCAGCAGTCGATGCGCGCCAGAAGTGGACAGACGAACAGGAAGCGCTCGTCAGGCAAGGTAGCTGGTCTTCATACTCTGAAGCCCGCCATTGACATTCGCAAGCCAGCTATGCACATACGACACTTTCTCGAAGGCGCAAAGACACAGTTGACTTATCCTGGCCTCTTTGCACTCAGTTCGACATTGACGCCCGGCTCAATATCGACATTGTTCTACAACTCGCACTTGTCTGTGCTATACAGACGACCCAACGATCTCGCGCAAACGACCGATTCGGCGCTCTACCTGCTCGTGACGGATTCGAGCTTTGCTTCCGAGCCGAACGTCGTCTGGGAGACTCTTGGCGATCTTGACGGCACGGCCTCAAGCTTCTTCAACTCCGATTTGCAAGCTAGCAAGATCCGAGACGACTACGTTCAGGGTACGCAGAGGCACGGAACGCGCGCAGAAGCGTATACAGTCAATAATGATGAGGCGCTGGCCGCTTCACTGCAGCAAGAAGAATACGATATCCAGCACAGACACCAGCGAAGAGAGGATGCTCAAGCTCAGCAAGCATCTGCTGCTACGCCGTCTCAGATTCAAAGTGCAGACACAGCAGTGCGACCGCCCAAAGTAAGTAGAGCAAAGGTAAAGAAAGATTGCGTCATACAATGAGACCGCAGTGCAATTCCGCACTGTAGCTGTTGTACACTTGTTGCCATCATATTGTACAGCTGGCTCGCGTAGCGATCCAGATCGTAGCAAGCTACTGCAGTGCGCAGCGAGGAGCAGAGCGTCGGCTCTGCTCAATGTAGGACTCTATGAAGCCTGAGCGTATTCGCACGAGTGCATCATCTAGGACGAGACAGCTAGCCAGTGCGCAGGTCGCAAGCCTGTGCATGGCAATCGTCGTCCTCATCGATGAGGCGAGATAGATGACCGACTTGCTGAGAGGGTAGAATGTCGTATCTCGACGAGGCATCTAGCCAGTGGTCAGATGGCAAATCTATACCAAGGCAGCGGTCGTCTTCATCGATAGAACTTGGGCAGCAGGGGCGGAGGGACGGTGCTGCGCCTTGGACAGGACTCTAGCTTTCCAGTCAGGTTGCGAGCCTGGCCTTTAGCAATCGTCGTCTACATTGGCTGAGCGAGCAGGACTAGGAAGAGGCATAGGTGCATCATATTTCGGACACGAGACTGCTAGCCTCGAGTCAGGTTGCCGCCCTGACCTACGGCAATGGTCGTCTTCATCAATGTGACAGAGTCGAGTCGGAGTGCAAGAAAGTCGGGCGAGGGTCGCCTTCTTATACATATTTGACCGTCCTTCCCGTGTTGTGCAAGGTTTGGCTTTGGGAATGATCAACGGAACAGGATGGCGCGAAGAAGCTTAAGTCTGCGCAACGCGACTGCTTTCTTGTCAGATTGCCAGGTGTCCTGCTCTGTCCTGTCCTGTCCTATCCTCTCTGTCGCCGTCCTCGCTACCGACGAGCGAGTGCCCCGATGGGCCCAATGATCGGTGATCTGGCCTAGTCATGCGCTTGTAGCTTGATCGGAGCCCTCTCAAGTGTCGATGTGCCCTCGATGCGTCACCACCGCGACGAGACATTTCACGCCGTTTCTGCTCCTTTGTACAGCGAGCGGGCCGACATCCCAAGAAGATGAGCAAGCAGCCTATTGAGGGCCGGCCATCGTGTCATCGTGATCGATACCATCCGTACCGAGACGCAGCGGAACGTGAGCCACGAAGATCCGAGCGCGTCACGCGAGCCTACCTGCTGCATCGCTGCCGCCATCGGATTTCTCCCAATTATGATGCAATGGATCTTGATGCGATACCTGCGCTCTCCGCTCGGAAGCCTCATCGGAGCTCGGTCGAAAGCGCAGCGCTCGTTCGAACAGTCAAGGCGCCGCGTGTTGTGAGCAGGCGACCAGCCATGTGTATGGATCAACAGAGCCTTGGACTGCTCGCCTTGCCTGCCGAGCTCTTAGCAAGCATCGTCGTTCATGCTGTACGAAGCGATGCCGGTGCTCTTCTTGCGCTCAGCGAGTCCTGTCATAAGCTCAACGCCGTCGTGCTCGATCTGCGCAATCTGTCATTCACCTGCGATGTTGCTATCGGGCAGGACACACAGCGAGAAGCACGGTACAAGGCACATGCGAAGATGAGTACAATGTGCGCTGCTTGCGGCGCAAGGCAAGGGGAGCCAAAAAGCGAACTCGTCGATAACTCGTTTCCTCACGGTCGCAAGTTCATCTTCTGTGATCCATGTTACTTGGCAAGCATCAACCTCTCGCACTGGTCCGAAGAAGAGCGCGGATACTCGGCTGCCTACTGGCGTGACAGAGCAGCTAAGAGTATCGAGCATATTTGCGGCCCTCTCGAAGTCACAACAGATGCCTGGGACAAGCAAGTCGAGCTCTTCCGTCACGATCATGCACTGTTTGGTGTCACCTGGCGTCTCATCTCGGAGCTGCCTGTCCGATCGCATCACTCGCCCGCCTCGCTTGTCACCGGTCACCCACCAGATGACTCTTCTGCTGCAAGCATGGTCGAAGCGGGCGACGATACGCTGGCCAAGGTTTGTCGCTCACGGCCAACATTCAGGAGCGATCAGCAAAAGACCTCTCCCGTCGTCGCGCAACACGAAGCCAGCGACAGGCTCGTGCGACTGCAGATGTATACAGACAGATGGCTGGCCGCAGCTCGTCTGGAGCTCTGTGACGCGACAAAGGCGTATCGAGCCGATCTGGAAGACTGAAAATCATCCATCGCAGGGATGTCGCGGCAGATCGACCTGCCTGGCAAATTGGAGACGCGTAAGGATATCCAGTTTTGTGAACCCACTTGCGAGGCTAGTACCGGCACACCTTTTGCGCCTGACACGGTCATCAACGACGATCAGGAACCTGGACTCTCTGAAAGATCAGATCAGAGGGCGACGAATCCGGTGACAGATGCGCAGGATCTCACGCGCGACCGTGTTGCTGTAGTGGAGCTCATACCATTCAGTAGAGTAGGATACTGATATTAAAGTCTAGCCAAGCGCACAAGCGGCTGGCATCGCGTCTACGAACCAGTCCAGAGCCGTGCCTGACCGGACTCACAAGCGCGATCGTACACGGCGTCGACATCTATCGCCTGCTTTGTAGTACCTGATCACGATCTAGCATCGATCAGTCGCTTGATTGCATCACCCTCATATGATCCCGTTGAGTCTATGCTCGTCTTCTGCGTGCTTTAGCAGTCAGACACTTGCTGAAGCCTGCCAATGAGCGCTTCGGCCTCGGCTGCGTGTCCACAATAAAGTCGTTGCGGAGCGATCACGCTGAGCTCCTCGACCGACTCACAAGGCGCTCGACCTGCTCAAGCTCTGGCATGGGACAGGATGTTTGGTGCAACTCTGCAGACGATCTGTTTGCATGGGATGGCATCGACTTTGGTCTCTGCTTCAGACGAAGGTCCATCGGCAAACAAGAAATCTCGCTGAGCTGACCAGTTTTAGCACAGATATATCGACGGTCTGCTCCCTCTGCTTGCTCTAGTATTGTCCCTCGGCCTCCTCGTAGTACCGCCTACTCTTCGATGGAGTATCAGCAGACTCATCAGACCTCAGCTTGTCCTACCGGCAAATGACAACTCATCTCGGTTGGGCGCAACAGAGTATTCTGCCAATCCGCTCGTCACCGAAGTAGAGAACGTCGTCGTTGCTGCCGAAGCCAAGCTGGAAGGCGTTCCTGTGCCACAGGAATGGGCCACACGTGCTGCCTTTTCATCTGCCGATGCAGTAAAGAGTCACGATGCGCCGCTCAACAAGCGAGGCAGTCTGCTCAGAGGCTTACGCAAGAGCAAGTCGGCCGCTCTCGAAGTGATCCTGTCATGTATCGTTGTCATCTTGCTTGCTAGTACGCTCGTCTTGGAATCAAGACCAAACTCAGTTCAACATGGTACCGGCTGGCTCGGGACTTCCCTGCTCGTCTGGCTGTACTTCACCGGTCTGGCAGGTCGTAGATTGTACCTGCTTCTGCTCGATAGTGCCATCATTTGGAATGGTAGCGAACTTCCACAGGGACCTAGCACAGAGCTGACGAGGTTACCTGCCCATCTCGTCGCTTTCAGCATTGCTTACTTCTTCATCGTCGTGCTGGATTGGCGGTCTGTCATGCTTAAGCGAGCAAGATGGTCGACCGATACGCTCCTCATCTGTGAAAGTGCCTTACTCGGTACACTCGCTCTGCTCGTCGGAGTCCAGATCTTCACGCCTTTCAGACCGGCTTATGAAGAGCGGCGACGGGCGTTTGCTCAGCATGCAAAGGCGCAAGCCAAGGAAGAGCTCCAAGTGCAGTCCGCGGAGGAGTATGCTTCGCTCTGGTCATACGGCACTTTTGGATTCTTCGATGGTTTCATTCGCAAGTATGCCAGGACGGCACCGACGAGAAGACAAGTGCCCGATCTGCTCACTCGCGATCGCTCTGGCCCGGTCTTGCTCGCTTTTCGATCGACAACATACCCTAGCTGGCTAGGCAAATCGCCTAACCTTGCACTACGGCTCTTCTGGTTCTTTCGGTCTGATCTTATCGCTCAGCAATGCTGGGCATGGATCGCCGGTGTCCTTATGGTCCTGCCTGCTTTCTTCTTGCAAAATCTCATCGATCTCGTCGGAGACCGTGCCGCTGGGCTAGCTAGACCCGCACATGTCACTGTCCTCTTCGCGGGCGGTCTCGCACTGTCCACATTTCTCAATGCGATCGTCATGTCACAAGCGCTCTATATCGGCAGACTGATCTGTATCGATATACGCTGTATCGTCGTGGGCGAGGTCTTCGCGAAAGCGTTACGCAAGCAAGAGGTCAACTCAGGCGAACGTAAGGAGGGCGAGCAGGAAATCGCTTCTTCTGGTAAGATCAATAATCTTGTGGCCGTCGATAGTTTCAGGCTTTCAGAGATTTGCGCGTATCTTCATTTCATGTGGCCGCAAGGCCCAGTCACTCTGGTGTTGACGACTGCGTTTCTCTTCAAGGTGCTCGGTTTAGCCGCTATCGCCGGCGTCATCGTCATGTTGGCGCTCATCCCCATTCAAGTTGTTTCATCGCGATTCTACTTACGCTTCCAAGCCTCGCTGCTCAAAGCTGCCGATCGACGGTTGGAACTGGCGCAAGAGATTATCACGAGCATCAGACATATCAAGTTTTTTGCCTATGAGAGCCAATTCCTCGATCAACTTACAGATGCAAGGAACAACGAGCTGGCGGTGCTCAGGCAACGTCTCGTTGCATTCCTTGTAAGCTGTGTCACCTACTTCGTCTCACCCATCTTCATCGCATTGGCTACCTTTGCAACACACACGAAGATACTCGGCAGACCACTTGAGCCCTCGGAAGCCTTTACGGCAATCTTGCTGTTCTCGATCATGCGCGGAGCACTTGATATGCTTGCAGATCTGGTGGTCAATGTACAGCAGGCCTGGATCTCGCTTAAGCGTATAGATGTCTTCTTGCGAGAGGAGGATACAGCAAAATGGAACGACCTTCTCGATGCGGATGACTCGGAGGTCACTGAAAGGCGGATCGGCTTTTCCGACGCTACCTTTGCTTACTCGGTCGATGCAACCTGCAAGCCAGAGGGCTTCGCATTGCGCGATTTGAATTTTGATTTTGCTGATGTTGGCCTGTCCCTCGTCATCGGCACGGTGGGCGCTGGCAAATCATCGCTGCTGCAAGCTCTCCTGGGCGAGATGCGATTGGTCAGAGGCAAGCGCTTCCTGCCAAGCCCTATATCCCGCAGAGCCGACAACAGTCAACCCGAATTTGTGGAGTCGACCGCTTTCTGCGCTCAGCAACCATGGCTGCTCAGTGATACGATCAAAGAGAACATACTTTACGGTTGCGCATTCAGAGACGTGCGCTACCGCGAAGTGCTGCATGCTTGCGCATTGGATAAAGATCTAGAGCAATACGAGCAGGGCGATATGACCGAAGTCGGTGAATCGGGCACCATTCTCTCTGGAGGTCAAAAGGCGCGACTCAGCTTAGCGAGAGCACTCTATTCCCAAGCCAGAGTGCTGCTGCTAGATGACATCCTATCAGCAGTCGATAGCTCGACGCAAGTGCAGCTTTTGCATGCTCTCACCGGACCACTGATGCGTGGCAGAGCTTGCATCCTCGTCACACATGCTGTCAGCATCTGTCTGCCTAAGGCTGCCTTTGTAGTCATCATGAAGGGCGGCAAGGTAAAGGAATGTGGGCCGCCTCATACGCTCAGCTCTACTCCGACTTCTGGCTTCGCTACTCCCCTCGCTGGTAGTACATCCGCCGATGTCAAATCCGTCCTGACCAAGGCGATTGCAGAAAAGCTAGGACCAGCGCAGCCTGCGCCAACAGACAAGCCGCTCAAGAAGCTGCATGAAATCGAGACCTCGGGTCGCGGCCAGGTTTCTTGGCGAGTCTATAGCTTCTATCTCGCCGCTACTGCCGGCGTTCTCCTCTGGATTCTCATACTCGGCACATTTATCGCCGGACAAGTTGCAGATGTAGGGACGAATGCTTGGCTGCGCCAGTGGGCCGGCTCTTACAGCCCACAGGCGAAAGCTCGTGTCCTCGGGCCATACGCACTCTTCGTCCTCGATCTCAGGAAGTCAGATGATCCGACGGACTACTATCTCAAGATCTTTGTCCTCATCTCAGCCGCGTCAGTAGTGCTCTACCTCGTGCGAATGACAGTTTTTCTCTGGCGTGGGCTGACAGCTTCTCGCACAATCCACAAGCGGCTCATTGAAAGTTTGCTGGGCGCAACGGTGCGATTTTATGACACAACGCCGGTCGGTCGCATCATGAACAGACTTTCGAAAGATCTCGAAACGATCGATCAGGATATCCCGAGTCATTTGCTTTTCCTTCTGACGGAGATCATTATGACCATCGGTACCTTACTGGCCATCGCGTTCGCCGTGCCAAAATTCCTACTAGCAGGCATCGGCATCACTGCGCTCTACACTTCCATCGCATGGGCTTACCTCGGTAGCTCGCGCGAGCTTAAGCGAATGGAGTCAATCACGCGATCACCTCTCTTCTCGCTTTTCGGAGAATGCTTACAAGGAGTCGTCACAATCAGAAGCTACGGAGACTCGTCCCGCATGCTACGAAAGATCTTTACATTGCTCAACGAGACCAATCGGCCTTTCATCAATCTGTGGCGGGCCAATCGCTGGCTGTCGGTTCGAGCAGACGCTTGCGGCGCTCTCGTCAGCCTCGCGACCGCACTGTTCGTGCTGCTCAATCCCTCGATAGATGCAGCACTAGCGGGATTCGCTCTCAGCTACGCCATGTCTTTCAACGAGCGTGTCCTTTGGCTGCTGAGGTGTGTACAAGCACATTCTCGTATTCGTTGCTAACGGAGATCACTAGATACGCCGCAAATGTCGAGCTCAACTTCAACAGTGTTGAGCGTGTTCACGAATACCTCAACCTGCCGCAAGAGCCAACAGATGGACTTACGCCGTCAAGACAGTGGCCATCTCCATCTGGGTCGGGCATTGAGTTCAAAGGTCAGTACGGCCTTACAAGGCCCTGTGCTTCACTCACACTGGAGCGCAGACGTTCGAGCGCAGTATGCCGTCGATACAGAGATTGTTCTGCACGAGGTGTCGTTCAAAGTCAGGCCTGGTGAGAAAGTAGGCATCGTCGGTCGAACAGGCAAGTCTCCTGACCGCACGGCATAGTGAGCTAACCTAACCTACTGATCTCACAGGCTCCGGTAAATCGACTCTTACGAATGTTCTCTTCCGATTGATGCCTTTTGAAGGCCAAGTGATCATCGACGGCGTTGACACTCATACGATCGCATTGAAAGCACTTCGATCCCGACTTACAACCATCCCGCAGACGCCTCTTCTTTGGCAAGGCACGATACGATTCAATCTATCGCCCTTTGGACTCGATGACGACGCCTCACTTTGGTCAGTGCTGCAACGCGTCGGCCTTGTAGGCAATAGCGGCAGTCAGATCAAGCCTGAGAGCGGCATCACAGATCTTGAGCTCGAGACCCTCGTTGCGGAAGGCGGCAAGAATCTCTCGCAAGGCCAACGACAGCTACTTGCCTTTGCACGCGGTCTGCTGCAGCTGAAGCATTCAAACATTCTCGTGCTCGACGAGTCGACTGCATCGCTCGATCAAGCGGCCGATGAGAGGATACAGCAGGCTCTCAGAGAGGAGACAGACACGACCATACTGACAATTGCCCATCGTCTGGCAACCATCATTGATTTCGATCGGGTGCTGGTGCTCTCGCACGGCCGCGTGGTGGAATACGACACACCTTACAATCTGCTCGCAAAGCCTGACTCAGCCTTCTCTGAGCTATGCCGTGCAAGCGGCGAAGACGCACTCTTCAGGGATAGACTCGCAATCAATATATAGATTTGTAGTGTTTGTACAACCTGCTTGTGCTAGAGGAACCTGTTGAGCAATGCACCTATGTGAACTTGGCCACAGCGTAGACGACGCTGATGAGGACTGTCACTGCGACGACTTGCTGCTTAGTAAAATAGAGCTGATCCGACAGGATGAGCATTGCGTCGTCAGGCAGCTTCTTCTTGCCTTCCTCTGTCGTTTGCAATGTGCCGGGCGTGATGGGCGCAGTAACGTTCTTGGCTGTTTGCTTTGAAGGCAGCATAGCTGCCAAGCCGCCGGCAGCTGCTCCGCCTGCAGCGGCACCTCCTGCAGCTGCAGCAACAGCCTGCCAAGAATCTTGTCAGGTCTGTATGATGAATCCAACGAGCAGCACACCTTTTCGTTGTCGTTGGAAGAATCCTCGTCGGAAGAAGGCTTCTTGGGCTTCTTCTCTTTCTTGGGCTTCTTCTGACGGGGTGCGCCGGCAGCAGCGCCTGTCCCGGCAGGTCCATCGACAGTCTTGTCGAGCAAGTCGCCATTGAGCATGACGTCGTCTGCGCCGTTTTCGTCTGCAGGCTCGACAAAGACCTTTGCACCGTCCTTGGGGATGGAACCCCATGTGAATTCGAGCGTGCGATCGCGGCCAGAGACTTTAGCGACGTCGGCTGCATCGCTGGGCTCGACGCGAACGCTGATACCTCGTTCATACATCTTGTCGCTCCACTGGAACCAGGCCTTCTGCTCGCCTTCACCCTTGCCGTCGCCCGAGATAAAGTATGTGTTCTTGCCGTTCGCAAGATCGCCCGCGTCACCCGTCAGCTGGGCGGCGCCTTCACCCCATCGAACGAAGTAGGGTGCATAGCCGTGTTGATCGATGAACTCTTTGAGCATGCGGGGCGAAGTGCCGATGGCAGAGCTGATGAGCTTGTACAAGAAAGGTGAGATGTTCTTCTCTGCCAGATCAGTCTTGACGATATGGTAGACTGATACATCGTCACCATCTGGACTGATGTTCCAGCCCGAGATGTCGAGCTTGGCCTTGACAGATTTGGCAGGCGCGTCAACCTTGTGGTCAATCGAACGCGAGACGACATTGAGCTCCGAATTTTCCGAATTGGGATCCTGGCGGTCAACACCGTGCGCGACAACTTGATAGCGAGCCTCCATGTGAGGGAAGATGCCCTTGATCTCTTCAAGCAGGATAGCTTGCTCGAAGCCGTTACCGGACTCTGCGAGTGTGACTCTGAACGTGCGAGGATCCCAAAGCCGACGAGCGGCGAACGAGTTGATGGTAGCCAAGACCTGTTCCGTCGTGACGCCGCCACCAATTTGAGCCTCGCCACGGATTGCTGGAAGAGCTCCTTCTTTGCCTTTCTTGATGTAGATTTTAGTGCCCTTCTGATCTGTCGCATTGGTCCAGCCACCACCCTGATAGTCGTCTTCGAGCGACTGGAACTTGTCTTTGGCACTCGAGATCTCTCCAGATGACTTGTGGTCATCTGAATGTGCGACGTGAGCGATCAAGCCTGCGCCTGCGACTGCACCGGCGCCTGCTGCAGCAGCGCCACCGAGACCCGACATGGATCGTTTCGAGCGGACCGAACGACCTGACTTTGAGCGGATAGAACCAGGTCGCGAGCGAGGTGCAGCAATCGCGCCATCTGCCTCTGCAGGATCTACGCCTGCCATAGGGGGAGCGCCATTCTTCTCGAGGTAGGCTGCAATCTTGGTGATGCAAAGAGGACGACGAGCGAGGTAGCGGGTAGTGAAGACAGCGGGAACGAACGTCTTGACATTGACCTGGAGCAGGTAGGTCACCTTGGTCGAGAACTTGTCGCCCTCTTTCAGAGGTTCGAGGATCCATCCGTTGAGAGCGATGTTGGCTCTTACGCGACCAGAGACCTTTGGCACTTTGGGCGTCTCGACTGAGGTGGAGCAGAAGTAGATTGCGCCCTCTGACGTGCCCTCTGCCTTTTCGACCAGACAAAGATCACGCGTGGTTGAGCCAGTGATACCCTTCATGGACATGTAGGTAAGTGAAGTCGAATCGTTGAGATTTTCGACGAGGTTGCCTTGGTCGTACCTGCAAATGACTTGAGTTTGCAAGCATGAAGCTGTATGAGACGCACCATTCGTCCCAAAGCTTGCGAGTGCCGACGACTGCAAAGACGGCCTGAGGCGAATAGCCTGGAATGATGCCCTCGCCCTTGTAGACGGGCACCTTCTTCTTGCCGTCACTGTCTTTCTTGATGTAGACTGTTACGCCGGTCTTGTGCTTGAGAGCCCGCTTCCAGTCGGTCGCAAGATGGATCTCTTTGAGCTTGGACATGCATCGTTCAGCAGTCGCAACGTAAGTCGCATCTGAGCCGTCGGAGCTCGAGGGCGCTGCCGAGTCACCTCGCTCGCCGGCGTCATCGTCGTCGTAATACTGTTCACATACCAAGAGGGACGGACCGAGGTGAGAGCAGCAAGGAGAGCCAATCCGTCAGCTACGACCCGTTGTTCTGGCTTAACGAGCAAGGCTTACGTCGCTGTAGTCAATGTCGCCTTCCTCCTCGTACGTCGAGCGAGCATACTCTGACTTTGGTCGTGCCATGACTGTCAAGCTTAACTACCTGGTTCAATGGGCCTGTTGACGTCACAGCGAGTCGCATTAGCTTGCATGACAACGCCTGTGACGCTGCTCGCTCACCTTGACGACCGTTCGAGCTGAGATGCGTGGAGTAGGTCAATTGCCAAGCTGGGCCTCGTCGCTGTTGCTGCTGACGTCGAACCTGCGAAGCTGGAAGGCTGGCCCGGCGCCCAGCTGGCTGCAATCTGCGGAGAAGTGATCGATCGAACGGCTTCTATTGACGCACACGGCTAAGACCGCCTCCGCGCCGTTTGATGATGAACGCCGACCGACGATCCTTAGCCTAAGGCCGTACCGTCAGACGAAGATCATTGCCGTAACCCTATCGTACTTTGAAGCTGTCCAACAGTAGACAGCATGGTCTCTGCAGATGCACGCTCGGTCAAGAGCTCAAAGTCGAAAAAGTCCACTCGTAGTCGCAGAGATTCGACGACCTCCAGACGATCTTCTTCGACGGCCGTCAATGGTAACGGCGGGGGAGGCTTCCTTGTCACTCCTGGACTAGCAAGTGATGATCTCAAGGATGCCCTCAAGAAATTCCAGAGTCTCGAGTCGGATTCGAGCGGATGGTCATACGCAACTGACCAGCGAGGCACGAAGATGTACATCAAAGAATCGTCCAAAGGGGGCCTGCCCGCCATCAAGGTCACAGAAGACATACCTGTCGGAAGAGACGGTCTGACAACTGAAGGTGTCCTCGCTACCTTGCTCTCAGTTTCGGCGCGGCGTATCTGGGATCCCCGCTTTGACTCGCAAGAACTTATATCATCTGACAAAGGCCTCGACGAGGCTTCCTATACAGAGACTTTGCTGGGCCTTTACGGTCATCTTGGGTATGTGCGGTGTACGCTTGACTACATCTGGCTGATCAGACGGGAACAGCGCGCGTCAAGTTGCAGTGAGCAAAGGCATTGACCGTGCCGAGCCAGGCTCTGACAATGGAGAGATCACGCTCATCTCAACGGGCACGTCCAGCAAGTCTCGCGGTGGCACAGAAGGCAAGCTAGACGTTTCTGGCTGGCAGCTCACACCCGACGGCGACGCTATCCTCGTCACTCACGTGGTCAAGCTCGACTATAAAGACCGGAACATGCCAAAGTTTGTCTCCAAGGTCCTGACTGCAGCTCATGGCGGTGCTCCAAAGTTCTTGGCAGAATACATCAGCAAGAATGGCCCAGCGCCCATGTTTGTGCGCTGGGAAGCGGGAGAGGCGGCGTATGTCACCGACAGAGGTGATCCTCGAGAGGGTCAGGTCAAGTATACCATCGCAAAGTCTGGCGAGAAGGGATCAGGCGAGCAGAAAGCTTGGTTCCAGTGGCCTTCGCAAGCATTCGGACACGGAATCTCGTTCGAGATCAAGCCTTCTGGTGCTGCACAAGTCGCCAAAGTTGGCGGCTATGACAACATTGTTCAGTTCACTTGGAATACGTCTGACTTTGACAAGTCTGGCTGTACTGTTGCTATCGAGCCTGCGAACCTCAAGCGATCTTCAGACGTTGAGGTCAATGGCGAAAAGGTCACTCAGACTGCCGATGCCCCCTCAGGCGGCGCGGCTAAGAAGAGCAGTAAGCCGACTTCGACGAAGAAGAAGAGCTCGAGAAGCAAGGATGTCGAGGAAGGTGTAGCCGCAGGTGCAGGCGCGGCCGCTGCAGGCGCAGGTGCTGCTGCTGTTGCCTCCAAGCGCTCCCGTCGTCAACGCAGCTCGAGCGACGAATCTAGCAATCTGCCGCCTGCCATCAAGGTCAGTCTGCTCTATGGCTGTGCTGACCGTCGCTGATACCTTGCATTGCAGAACTCGAGCGGAAGCAAACGGGAGAAGGCAAGTGAATCACCGAGCGCGCCTGCTGCTGCTCCGGCGACGAACGGCTCCTCTAGTGGCTTCATACTCGCACCTTCGCTGGTTGAGAAGACGCCGGAGGGACAGAAGCTCGTCCGTCACGATGCAATGCTGATCCTCTCCGACTCACACTATTATTCGAGATCACAAGTCTACTCTGGTCTCGGTGTGGGCGCACTTGTCTATGCTATCACCAAGCTCGTGCTCTAAGCTCACGCGGCGTAATATATACCCACTTATATACACTTGTAGACCGAATGTAATCCCTTGCGCTTTGGCCTGTCTTTGCGCGCGATCGCTGCTATGACGCAATGCGCGCCGAACTTCTACCATTTTGACAAACATCGCCTTTCAGACTACAAGGCATATACGCAACAACTAATCACTTATACGCATCACACACCTGACGATGGCAGAGGGTACGTCCTGACCCTTTCCGACCGCCAGTGTGGAAGAAGCTGACGAGACTTTTGCACAGCAACTCCGACAACGGGCACAGCAGCCCCGGCCGCTACTTCAGCGCCCTCTGCTGCCGCACCTGCTGCAACGACGACATCTGCGCCCGCTGCATCTACCGCGGCGCCCACTACGGCGGCAGCGACATCGCCTACATCGCCTTCGAAGGCGACTGCCGGTCACGCCAACGGAACGGACGAAAAGCTGGCCAAGACACAGGCCAAGGAGCAGCAGAAGTTCGAAAAAGTCGTTGCAAAGGACGCCAAGGGCGATGAGAAGCGAGTCAAGTCTGCGATGAAGGATGCGGACAAGGCTACTTCTGCTGAACAGAAAGCCGGGAAGGTACGCTCAGGGCATGTCCGCTAATTTTGCCACGATGCTGATTGAGTCTGGCGCAGAATCTTGCAAAGGCCAAGAAGGATGTCGATAAGGCGACCAAGAAGGAATACAAGGCCAACAAGAAGATGATCGAGGCGAAGACGAAGCATGACAAGCTGCTCGCTGATGTCGGAAAGGCAAAGGTCGGTCCGGCTTCAGGCTCAACTGCTACAGGCTGACTCTGGGAGGATACAGGAACGTCTCGAGGCAAAGACGACCCAGTTCAACACTCAGAAGCAAATGAAGACCGAGAAGATGAACGCGCTGACTGCCGCCCGCCAGGCCAAGTCAAAGAATGACGCTACTCGTTCTGCCAAGCTCGCCGCTTGAGCGTGCTACTACCCGCTATTTTTCATACCCGGCTTTGTCAGCCATCACGCAAGTCGAGATGTCATAATACCGCAACACACAACACTTCTTCTTATTGGATGCTTGTAGTCCGTTCTCGCTCAACCTTGCGAGAAAGTGAGGGTGGTCTGCTTCAGCCCATTGACTTGCTTCTCAGTGGCTTTGGCACTTTTTGCCTTTTGCTTTGCCGCTGGCTTTGGCTTCGTCGAATCTGTTGCGCCAATGTACAGATCCCATAGCTTGAGCATAGCGCCTCCAACGTTGCTCGTCGGCAGATCAGTACGACTGACCCATCTGAGCTCCGGAATGACATCGGCTTCATCTTCTGAATTCGCTTGCTTCTTCTTACGCTTACTCGAACTTTCTTCGGGCTTTGCGCTCGGCTTGCTCGCCTTTGCAAGCCGGGGCAAAACATCCGAAGTGATCACAAGTGTGGTCAGATGATACTGCCGCGTCTGATGTGTGTAGACTTGTGTGGCCGAGCCTTTCTCCGCAATTCGTACAGCTGGCTCGACATCAGAGTCTGGCTGCGAGAGCGGCTGTTGCGACTCGAAGAATCCGGGTAAGAATCTGCCAATGGTAGGCTCTAGTAAGGCGCGTCGAGACTCTTCGTCCGATGGGGCATTGGGCTCAAGATCGATGCAGATAAATTCCCACAGCCCAGCAAGGAGACCTGGTAGCACAAATAAGCCATAGAGCACAGATGCGTTGGCGCGCGCACCTTTGTCTGGCCTTCGAACAAGCAAAACACGAGACGATCCCGGAGCAGCATTGCGATCACTTGAGCACCACTCGATGAGCAAGCAAGCTGTGTCTTCCTTGCGTACGACTTTCTTATCTTTCGCCATAGGATAGATCGTCACATCGAACGTCTTCGCGCTTCCGCTGTCCCTTTGCTTTCCTGCTGCTTTTGTAGACATTGCCTTGGGCGCAGTGAAGCTGACGAGATCTATCGGAGCGCAAAGCGGGCATGCTGCATCTGCTTCTATATCTGCGACTGCGCTGGTCTCTGTGTCTGATGAGTCTGAAGAGCTGGTGATACGAGCACGTTTACGGGCCGGTGAGAGCGAAAAGATTGACTTTTTTGGCATTGCTTGGGTGCGCGCCTCCCATCCCCGAGCCTGTGATAGCAAACACTCTTCAGTCTGGTGGAAATCGGAAGACGAACCATGCACCTCGAGATTCGCGCGGCAATACGCAGACAGGGGGCATGTATCGCACGAAGGGCTCTTCGGCGTGCAAACAGTCGCACCCAGCTCCATCAAAGCCTATCGAAAGGACGCATGAGACTTGCGCGCCGTGACTGTCTGAATGACTTGCCTGGTTCCATTCGCCGGGACGGTCATCAGGCACAAGTTCTTTGGCACGCGACCAGATTGCATTGGTGGTCGGCTTTGCCATCTGTGGTGCATGTATCGCAAAGAATCGCGCTAGAACGCGATGGATATTGCCGTCGACCATGGGAACTGCTTTGCCAAAGGCAATGCTGGCGATTGCTCCTGCGGAGTAGGGTCCTATGCCGTCGACCTGCTCAAGCTTTTTTGTCGAAGAGGGCAGGACGCCATCGAATTCGCCAACGACTTTCTTTGCACCACTTAGCAAACGAGAAGCTCTCGAATAGTATCCCAGACCGCTCCATATCGCATTGACTTGCTCGATGTCCTGCCCTTGCGCTTCAGCTCGAGCAGCATCTGACAGCACGACCTTCGTACAGCTTGTGCAAGGTCGGTCACGGTAGGGAATGCTGCCATCCATCTGTTGTAATAGGGGATGACAGTGGCGACTTGCGTTTGCTGTAGCATAATTTCAGAGACCCAAGTCTGTTCGCGCGTCAATTCAGTCGCGAGGCTCGAAAGAGAGGCTCGCTTGCTTCGTATGCGCGCTGACCCTTTTGCACAACTGTAAGCTTATCCAGCTGTTCACGAGACAATTCCTTGCGCCATGGCATCGATCGTGTTTCTTTGACGGTATCGTACCAGCTCAGAAGAGCTTCGTGCAGGAGCTTTGGCGCGCGAAAGGCCTCGAGACGATGATAGTCACTCCTGTGCACTCTCGTTGATGTCGAAAGAGCGGCATCGACCAGAGCGCGAGCTTGCGCTACTTCGCTGATGCTCATGAGTTGGCGAGCAAGGCTTAGGCGGGCGCGACGGCGGCTCGGTGACGCTCAGCGACGGCGCGTCACCCGTTTATAGTCGTCAGTTGATAATCGATATTCAGCTGATCGCGCTATCGGCGCAGCGCAAGAAAGACGATTGGCCTGCTCGATCATGGCTACTTCACCTACCAAGCCTAAGCGTGGGTCGAAGATATCTGCTCAATATACAGTGCTGACATCGCCCTGCACGCAGCCCTGCCGTTCATCTGTTAGCCACCGCTTCACTATCAATCAGCTCATTCCTCATGCTCGCTCTTGAACAGACCAATTTGCGGCGGGTGCAATAGCAGGCGTGACCGAGCTACTATGTCTTTATCCTCTAGGTAAAGCTGGGGTAGCTTTGCGTTTGTACGGTGGCTGACGCGCGAAGAGCAGACGTCGTGCGTCTCTCTGAACGATCCGTTTCAGCGATTGCTCATCCTCGTACGTAGGTCAAGACACGTATACAGCTGCAAGGAGGTAGCAAAGCAGGAGGAACGCAGTACAATGGCATGGTGGACTGCTTCCGCAAGATCATCGCAGAAGAGGGGTTCGGCGTGGCTTCCTGCACAAATAGGCCAGCGCTGAAACCTCACCTACATGACAGATTCGGGCGGTTATATAGAGGGCTGATCCCGCCCCTCATGCTCGAGGCGCCCAAGCGAGCAGTCAAATTCGCAGCGAATGATTTTTGGGGCAAAGTGGGTGTCCTCGCGCCGGGCTATCGTACAAGCCACTGAGGAGAGGCATCACAGACGTACAAGACTGCTTTTGACACGAACGAGATGACGAGAGGATTGTCTGTCTTGACGGGATGTACTGCAGGCGCGACCGAGTCCATCGTCGTCGTTCCTTTCGAGCTTGTCAAGATCAGGCTGCAAGACAAGGCATCTGCTTCACTTTACTCTGGACCGATGGACGTCGTCAGCAAGATCGTCAAGAATGAAGGTCTGCTCGGTCTCTACGGCGGTCTGGAACCGACGTTCTGGCGGCACGTCTCCTGGAGTATGCTCAGGGTGGCTTACAGCCATGCTGCCAGGCTGAGCTCGCTATGACAGATGGTGGCTACTTTGGCTGCATTCACTCGGTCAGACAGATGATGCCCAAAGCAACGGTACGTCTCTCCCTTAGGAGAGGTATGGCGCTCATCTCAAACTCTCTCAGACAAAGTCAAGCGAATGCACGTCTCGCGATAGCCATGCGCGGACTAAAAGCTGATGATTGCTTACAGTGAGAAACAACTTTATCTCGGGCTCGATTGGTGGCTTCGTAGGAACGCTCATCAACACGCCATTCGATGTCGTCAAATCACGTGTGCAAAATTCGCCCAAGGTAAGACGCCTCCACTGCAGTCTGGCGGTGGCTGATAGCAGCACAGGTGGCTGGACAAGTCCCCAAATACAATTGGACCTTCCCCGCATTGGCCACGATTGCGCGAGAAGAGGGCACGGCGGCGTTATGGTCAGGTATGCAACCCTTTGATCTCTCCACGTGTTTTGGCTCATGATTTTGCATAGGATTCGCCCCAAAGGTGCTCCGATTGGCGTACGTTTTTCTTGGTCATGCGTGGCCTTCACGCTAATATTATGGTCCAGACCGGGCGGAGGCGTCTTGCTCGTGACCGTGGAATTTTGCCTGGAAGCGTTCAGGAAGGCGCTCGGACCGCCCTACGTGTAGGCCTTGCGTTCAATGCAAAGCCATACGTGGTTCGTACGCACCCAGTGTTGAGGAAGCGAGGCCAATGAACTAATTCAACAGGAAAAAGATCTAGACTGATGTTCGGCCTTCGCCGGGGCATCGGTGACCAATGTCTTCGCGCGGCGAGTGACCGTCGATCACAGCCAGCGCGGGCGCGAAGAGGGTCACACAAAAGAAACTCTGGCCTGCAGGAATTAGGTAAAGCTGAGTTTCAGACTAGGACCGGGCACTGGAGACAGGAAGGGAATGTGGAGTGGATTCGATGAGGAGGACACGCTCGCTAGTCTGGCGGCTGAATGCTTCCGCGTGCTTGCGAGGCTCGACATGACCACCCAAGGCGAGCTTGACCCTGGGAGGAGGTAAACGCAAGCTTGGGGCCAGGCGCAGTCGAGGAGACATCACCCGTGCATCAAGTCATACACAACAGACGACCCTGACACGCTCCCGCCTGGACAAAGGCGTGGATCTGACGAGCTGCGACCTGCAATCTTGCCAGAGCGAGCGCTTGTTGCCGTGCAACGAGCGAGGAGAAAGTAGGTGACGAGAGGCAAGACAACGAGTGGAGTGAGAGGAAGCGCTCCTAGTCTATCTGCTTGACGACATCGCGAGGAGATCACACCCTGACTACACTGCACGGGACAGCAACCCAAAGGGGTCACAACCGATGACGGCGTTGACACAGCTTCAACAGAGCTACTCGCTCTTGCTCAACGCACAAAGGCTCGACTCGCCTATCGACCCATCCCGGACGCTGTCTGCGATCGGCTACATACCCACCCATAAGACGAGACCGTCTCTTGATCGACCGATACCCCTCGTCGTTGACGTGCAATCAACTGACGACGGCGACCAGACGATGGCTGTCTCGCTTCAGACGGGCTCGATTGTCACCAGTCTCATGCCGTCACCGAACGGTCAGGATGTCACTCTCCTACAGGCTGAGACGCACGTCGCCGTCCAGGATCAGCTCGACTCCAACCCGGCTGCAGGCGGTCGTACACCTCAAGAGTGAGCAGCCTTGCCAACACCGTCCTATCGTTGTCTGACTGACATCATCCAGGCTCCTTGACGCCGTCACGAAGCTCAAGTTCTTCTTGGTCAGTCTATCTCTTTCTCTGTCGTCGGTCAAAAGACTGACAGTGTCCTGTTTGGCCTTTTGCAGGCGACCGCGCCCGGCTCGTTCGACCAATCTGCCATCGACCTCAATGAGATACAGAACAACGATGCACGGCGTCTCAATCGCTTCTTGCTGCCCACCGGCGAGTTCGTCTCCTGCGTCCTCTGGAACGGTCTATACCACATCACCGGCACCGACATCGTTCGCGCGCTCCACTTTCGTTTCCTCGCCTTTGGCCGGCCTGTCCGCAACTCCAAGAAGTTCGAAGAAGGCATCTTCTCCGATCTCCGCAACCTCAAGTCTGGCACAGATGCCTGTCTAGAAGGTCCCAAGGTCAGTCTGCCGTGTCTGGCCCGCCCAGTCCGTGACTGATCGGACATGGACAGTCCGAGTTCCTCGAGCTGCTGTTCAAGTACAACTGTATCCGGACACAGAAGAAACAAAAGGTCTTCTACTGGTTCTCCGTCCCTCACGATCGTCTCTTCCTCGACGCTCTCGATCGTGACCTCAAGCGCGAAAAGCTGGGCACAGAACCAACGACAGAGGCAGTCGCCGAGCCAGCGCTCAGCTTCACCTACGATCCCACCAAGAGCTTGCATGATCAATTCATTCGCTCGCAAAAGACGCCTGATCAAGATCAGCTGCCTCTTGCTGACGATGGCGGTTCATCTGCGGAGATCAGCAGCTCCGTCACTTTACCCGCGCCATCTGTCTCTACACCTTTGCTCAACTCTGCTCGCGCGGTCACTGAAGGCTCGAGCGCTAGCCCAGCTGGCGGACAGGCTCTGTCTGTCAAGGAGGAGCCATCAGGCTCGCTCAAAGCGATACCCAATCCTGCCGTCAGCAGTGTCCTGGGCTCCTTCTCTCTCTTTGAAGGCTCGCCCAACTACAAGCAACGTCGCAAAACGGGCACGAAGCGCACTCGCGATGAACACGATCCGCATTCTGCCCGCTCATCGCCGCAAGGCCACGAGTCGCCAGACGATCGTTTCCGTCAATCGAGCTTTGAGGGATACGGTCACCAGCAGCAGCAGCAGCATCATCTTCATCAGCATCATGGACATCACCATGGCATGTCTCTACCCATGTCTTACTCGCCTGTTCCCATGGCGTCGCCCCAACTACGTGGCTACATGTATCATCACCACATGCCGCCCTACCCGTCTCCCGAAGGCGCATATGTTCCTATGCTACCCGCTCCTCCCATGACAGCGCCAGGCTACTCGCACGGGCCCGAGTTACCTCTGCTCAATACGTCCATCTCGTCGGCCTCGTGTGCATCACCCGGCTCGGCTGTGCGATCGTATGTCTGTCCGCTTCAAGCTTGCGGTCGGCTTTTCAAGCGACTCGAGCATCTCACTCGTCATGTTCGCACGCATACCCTAGAAAAGCCTTACGTCTGCACACAATGCGACAAGCGCTTCGCCAGGCAGGTCTGTTGGCATTGACAATAGATATCTGCTGATGCCCAACGCAGATCGGACAACTTGTCGATACATGCTAAAGTGCACGAAAAGGCCGAGCGGGAGAATGCTGCCGAGGTGGTCGACGAGACCCACTACGAAGGCGAGGAAACACAAGAGCAACTCCAAAAGGTCGTCGATGCTTTCGAGGGAGGTGCTCAGCGTCCGCCTAGGGACAACGAGTCTGTCGTTGACGGGCGAGATGATGCGAGCGAAGCGTCGAGCGCGCGATCGCCCGACCACCAGCGCCCACGGAAACTACTTCGTACTCAGACTGCCCCCTCATCTGGCACTTCCTACGGCCTTGGCCTACATTTTTCGGCTCCTGCATCGGCGGGACTGGGCCCATCGCTTCAACAAGCGCAAGCGGAACGCTATCAGAGCGAGCAGCCTGTCAGCTCGCCACGACAGAAAGTTGATTCCGCTACTTTTGGCAATTACCGTCAAGCCTCGATGGATCCCCAGCATGGCTTCTCGAACCTGACGCCTCTCTTCCCGGAACGCCGACATCGGTCTCTGACGCCCAATGTCAATCGACTGCCGAGCTACGGTCGCTCGCTGCTTGCCGGGGGGCCATATACGCCTTACCGCTATTCTGCCTACTCAGCGATGCCACCGCAGCCTCCGGCGTATGGTGAGCCTGTCTCGGGCTGGTCTGGCATGCCAGCATTGCCGCAGCAGCAGGAGGCCTCGCATCCCCATGCTCAGTTGCAGCGAGAGTGGCCAGCCCAGCCGCAGCAACAACTGAATAGTCCCCTCAGCAGGCAACTCACCGAATCTCAACCTGCTGCGAGCAACGAGCCAAACGGGATCATGCCACCGCCCTCGCTCGGCCGATCGACGCAGCATCCTCGATCGTTCTCTGATCATGGCAGTGCTTTCAGTTACCCGCACCAACAGCCCAGTGTCAGCATGGCAGAGATGGTGCTCTAAAAGAAGCGCAATGTGAAGCATATGCTTCTCTCTGCGCTCTCTAGCTCGGATCGATACCCGGACGTGTCCTTGTATGACAGTCAGACACAAATTGTTGTGACGATAATCAAGTAGTAGACCGAAGCTGCGCGTGTGCGGCAAGAGGGGCACAGTTCATACGCGGTCGCGTGAGAGTTTTCAATAATGCCGACTCTGATTTGAAGCGAGCGAACGGCTCGAAACACAATCGCGATTTTGAGGCTGAACGGCTGCCACACTGTGACTTTGCACGCTGTGGTCAATAGCAGCGCGTATTGCTCGACTCCCAACAAGTCTACAGCGACGAAACCACCTCGCGAGACTTAATAAGCCCCACTGCAAGTCCGCGACCAGCTCTTTGCCGGTCGTCTCTTGCTGGCCGGGCTCTACACATAAGCGAGCAAAACGCTGCTCATACACATCGCCAATCGAATAGCTCAGTGCGCAAGACCAGTTGGATGGTTTAGTCAGCTTGCGGAGAAAAAGACGGTCTGACTCAATGGGACCCTGGCCGCTCTTGCTGGGCTCTGTTGGGGCCATGGGCGGGCATTGGCTCGGCTTCGGCTCGTCAGACTCGATAGCTATAGATCAGAATGGTCTGCCGCGTACGCTGGCCTCAGACGTGGTCGCTCTCCGGAGACACTGGACGCTTTTCTTGTCTCGCTCTCTCGGTCTGTCAACTGCCAATGGCCAGTCCCAGTGGCCTGCTACGCCATACAACACTTCACGAGCGCTGTCTCAGCATACGACTGCGCTCGTCTGGCTTGTCTTTGTCGCGGTTCTCTTGCTCTTATGTGAGCTTGTGCGCTCGGACCGCTAAAGCCCGGCTGACTGTTCTTGCTGCAGGCTATCTCGGCAATCCCAAGGATGTCTCCTTCAGGATATACTTGACGGATCTATCGTTCAAGACACACTTGCACCGCCTGCGCACTCAGAGCGTCTCATCAAAAGGCAGCCCACATACGCTTGCCTTTACCAAGCGCATGATGATCAGTCTCAAAACGCCAGAATACACCCTGCGCAACTATCATCTCTTCTCGACAGTCACGTTGCATCATGATGCGCTCAGCACGGGCGCCGAAGCGACGCTTACGCAGGACAAGCCAGCCCAGACAAGCCAGGCTGCATTCGCAGACGAAGCCGGCTCAACAACCGGGTTCAATCTCGCGCAACGCCAAGCTGTCTTCTTCGGCGCTCTTGGTCATTGGTGGGCACTCGATGAACATGTCCATCACGAAGCCGAAGCCATCAAGCTAGCCACGTCCATTGCCGCCATGGAAACTGATGCGACGCCGAAATTGATCCGTGACACCAAAGGTACGCTTGCTTCGGTCTACAAGAATGTATGACTGAAGGTAGTGCAGGCCAACGAGCAGCTAAACAGGCGCAGAAGCGGGAAGAGGCAGCTCGACAAAAGGCGGCGGCAGCAGAAGCGGCTGCCAAAGCCAGGCGAACCGCACCAGCTCACCCACGACACGACGACAGGGCACGAACATCCAGCAGAACGGTCTCGGCTGCTCATACAGAGCTATTGACGCAGCTAGAGCAGGTCAAAGAGACTAGTCGAGCAACGCAGCACCAGCTCCAAGCAGATCTCGAAGAACTGAGGAATCAGAAGCGCGAAGACGATCTAGCGAGGGTGACGCTGAAGGCTCGCACTAGAGCTGCAGAGGACGCTCGTCGAGCATCGGAGCAAGGACATTTACAGACTGAGCGAAAGCTGACCATGACACGCAACGCCAAGCGAACTGCGCAAGACCACACAGCCCGCCTACGTTCAGAGCTCGGACGACTGGAGAAACGAAAGAGCGAAGCACTGGCAAAGATCGATACCCAAGCTGCTCGTGCGAGGACAGACCTGGCAAAAGTCAGATCTGACGTCGCTCGCAAGACGAGTGAAGTCAAGGATGCAGAGGCATCCATGGCAGCTGCAAGGAATCGCGTCCAAGCCAGCGAAGCCAGTCTTGAGAACCTCAAAACCCGACTGGCTCTCAAGCAGTCAGCTTTGATCAGTCGTTATTACGAGCAAGTCACGCCATCCGGCCTCACTGCCGCGCATAGGTTTTACGAAACACCCAACGAACAAGCTTACCTGCCTGCGTTGCCGCAGCCGAGACAAGAATCCACAAACTATTCACCTCTGGTCGACTCAGCCCTATCGGCGCTAGGAGGCTCGTCACACAGCCCGTGGGCAGACGCCTCTGCAATTGCCGGCTCAAAGCCGCTCCTGCCTCCTTCTAGCCTGCACCTTCATTCCGCAAGCCGGTCGCACCTGCCACACGGCATATTTGATGACGATCAGTCCGCAGTCGGTCAGCGGCAGCACGCCACCATCTGGAACGAACCGAGCGCGGCTCAGGAAATCAATCGCACTTCGGTAAGGTCGAGGCCGTTTGACCCATGGGAAGAAGATGCGTTGTTAGCCAGGCACTGAATGCATGCTCTCGTCTTGCTATACTGGCTCATCTTACAGGCGCGGCGATGTTTTCGGTCGCTACCACAAGGCCGGACTGCGCGTGAAATATGAAATTTAATGGACTGAATAACAACTTTCTTTTTTAGTGATCGTCGCTTACGCGCAATCGAGCGACTAGCCCACGAGAACCTGACCGTAGCATCAGGGTGAAACGCTCGAAAAGGCGCGGAGGATCGCATAGCCAGAAGTGCCGCTAGGAATGCATCGTGCGACACATACTGAGCCTTGGAAGTAGACCTTCTCAAGTAGCGAGTCTTGAGTCGGTAGTCGAGCATTCTCGCAGGAACAAGCAGCCATGTCGTCTGCCTTTGTATCGCAATGGACTAACTCGCAGCAAAACCTGGCAATGCCGGCTATCGGTCTTGGCTTCGACTGCTCAGATCCGCACGCAGTCTTTGGCGATATCGCTACAGGCAACACCTTTGTCGACCGAGATGGTCAGGTCGGTATGCTGTCATCGCCCTTGCTTTCGCCCAAGAAGGCCAACAAACGCAACAAGAACAAGTCACACATTCCGAGAGCGCCAAACAAATTCATCCTGTACCGGCACGAGAGACTTGCAGCAAACGATCTCGGCGACAGCGTCAAGGGAAAGGTTCTGCGTCAATCCGAGCTGAGCAAGATCATTGGAGAGTTGTGGAGGTTCGTCGCTGCTATACAAACGGTTCTTGTAGAAGTGGCTGACTTTTCATCGTTTGTGCAGAAAAGAACCGGCTGAAGTAAAGGAAAGATATGCGCAAAAGGCAGCGCAAGCAAAGCGTGAGCATGGTCAGATGTATCCGAGTCAGTTGAGCCGGTCTGCTTTTCTGGACTTCGTCTGATACATTTTGCAGATTATTGTTATCGTCCTGCAAAGCGAATAGAGATGTCTGAGCCTGCTTCTCCAAAAGCGTGTGCCAAAGTAACCAGACTGAAGGCTACTTCCTCTCGCTCGCGGACCGCATCAGCCAAGTCTGAGATGTCCTTCACGCCTCGATCTGATTCCTTCGTGTCGAGTTCGGACTGTGGCGAGTCGAGCGATTTCTACGCAAGCGACTTGTCGAGCGCATCGACCTTTAGCCAGTTCAACAGCCCGATTGAAGTCGACGAGCCATGCTTCTCGCTCCGCCAGCCAACGTTCGGTCTTCCTGAGCAATCAGGCGATATCCCCATCGGGTGCTGGTCAGAGTCGCCCAGCGCCTTTTCCGTCACATCGGCGAGCTCCGGGTTCTCGGTGGACGATGGTCTGCAGCTGTCGCCCGACATGCTGTCCTCGCTGCAAAGCAGCTACATGGATCACCGTGTCGAATCTGTCCTCGCTAGCCCAATGTCGATGACGTCGGAAGTCAAGCCGCAGCAGCCATCGTCTCTATGGGGCTGGCAGCTTCCTGCAGCGCCCGATACACCCACACCAGCGACCTGTCAATTGCAGCCGGAGCTCCAACCGGCGATGGGCGCGCCACTCAAGTCTTATTTGTACGAGTCTATGCCTGCACCTGCGATGCCTGTCAGCTACGACATGAATGCGCTGACGGATGCAATGACATACCAAGGCTGGTCCGACCGCGTGCCGGTGTCGACTTTCTACCCGACGCTTAGCAATGATCCTTGGCAAATTGCGGACGACTTTGTGCCTCAAGGCTGGTCTTGAGAAAGCTCTGTCGGTTCGGCGTCTCACTAGCATCTAGACATGTCATCAAAATAAGCATAATCAGTATAGACACTTTGCACTCTGTAGAGGCATACCTTGCATTGCACAATCTCACTCTCTTGATTGCATCGTGTCGAGTTGGTACTCCATCGTCCGAGTTGCGCCTGAGGAGCAAACAGTAATAGGAGCTTGCGATGATGCGTCAGGCTGCCAAGTCCGGACTTGATGTGACAGCGAGGAGGTCGCGCAAAGAGGCAATTCCCATGCCGCAGAGCCTCTACGAGTGATTATAGGCGCGCTCGGCGTCATACGAGGCTCTGTCCGGTCTTTGCGCGGCCCCAAAGAACGAGAGTGTAGGTGAAGAGCGGTGAAGTAACGGCGAGAGGAAAGTGGATGAAAATTTGAGCAGACAAAGGTGCTGCAAGTGAGAGCAAGCAAGGTTTGGCTAAAATCGCCAGCCGCATGCGCGGCATCTACAGCTCAACAAAAATGCGAAACATCCCAGTTTGCCTGCAAATCTTACGCAGTCGATGAATGGGCGGTGGATCGGCCTGTCGTCGCTCGGAGACAATGACAAAGCAGGCAGGCAGGCCTCTCCCGAATCGCTCGTCAATCGCAATGACGATGCCTCCTTTGTCTTGATCGCACGCGGCACGCGCACCCTGCGCACGAGCCTTTCTCTCATCGGCTTCATCAGACGGATCGAGCACTGAACCTCCCTCGAGTCTCCTGGCAGTGCTCTGCTATGCGCCGTGGCAAGAGGCTGTGCCACGTCCTCCCCTTCTTGCGCCGCACGGAATGTTGCCCATCTATAAGATCTTTGCTCGCTTCACGAGAGCCAGTCTCCGGCTACAAGCAGCAAAATGCTTACGACAGTGATCTGCCTTGCTTCAGTACTCGCGTTGCAAGTTAGCGGTCTACCCCTTGCGCCCGAAGCCCAGACGGTCCTCAGTGTGGATCCATCTCAGATCAGTACTGCGAGTGGGCGAGATGGCATGTCAGGCAAAGTCGCACCGGGTCAAAGCCCGTCTCTTACCTCGGCAAACAACTTCAGTATGTGCACAAGATGTCATATGTTGACATGAGCTTACGTGCAGAGCAGTCAACTTCTGTGGCTCAACGAACCAAGAGATCACAAACGGCCGTCAAGTCAAGACGGGCTCATGCAATCCGATCCCTATGGGCCAGCTCATGGCAGCCGACAAGGTATGTCTACTTGCCCTGGTGCTCGGACCTGTTGCTGATGCTGCCTAACAGATGCCCTCAGCTCGCTTCCAATTCCCACGCAACGGCCAAGCGCTACCAGCAGGTCAAAGCTTTCCAATCCAGCTGGCCGTCGCCAACTTCGATTCGGGCAACTTTGTCTCTGGCGAGACGGAGTATCTAGCTGCACCGTCTCGACTGGATCAGAATGGATATGTCATGGGGCACAGTCATATCGTCATTCAGCGGGTTGCTTCTGCATCAAGTACCGAAATGCTCGATCCCACTCAGTTTGCCGTCTTCAAAGCAATGGATGGCAAAGCGGTCAACGGCGTCATGTCTTTGGAACTACAAGGTGGCTTGCCGGCAGGCGAATATAGACTGGCTTCAATCTTGAGTCAGTCAAATCATCAGGCCATTACTTCACCTGTTGCAGCCCGAGGTGCCTTTGATGATGTCATCTACTTCTCGGTCGGACAAGCTCAAACCCAAGCACAATTAAGCTCATCCGCTCCGCCGGTACCCGCACAGCAGGCTCGTCAGCCCCCTCGCGCTCCGCCTCAGAGTAGCGGTCGACCCCAATCGCAATCGCAATCACAAGTTCAGACTTCGCGTGGCAATCCCCCTGCACGCCCAGCTGCATTGGCATCGAACCCTGCTCGTCCTGCATCGGCCTCGGCGCAAGGTCAACCCCGTGCAGCTGCCTCGGTGCCCAAGCCGTCATCTGAAGCGCTCAAGGAGGAAGATGCGCTCAGGAAGGCGATTGCTGCAGCATTCGCATAGCGGCATTTGTATGCAGAGTGCATAGTCGGATGCATCTCTTTGGGGGCTTTGACTTTCGCAGGCGCACGCGTATCTGCTGATGCAATCTTACCTTGCGCAACTAGTCTTCGCGCGGTCCGTGCGCACGCATACAAATCTTACATCTCGCTTCCCTTTCTCACCTCGCGCCAAGCCTTTATGATGCAGCAATCGTCTCGTGCAGTTCATCTCGCTTCCTGCTTCCGACTTGTCAGATTCAATAGACGCTGGCCGTCATGCTTTCAGTGACGCCTTTCTCCTTCGTGCTCTTGATGAGCTTTGCGCCGGCGCATCTTTATGCAGCAGACTCTCGCATGCAATTGTTACCGCGGGCTGGAAGAACCAAGACACAGAACAACGCTGCGGTCAACAAGTATGTCATGCGCTCTCAAGATCTCAGCTGGGCTTGGCTGACGCTTTGACGTAGCGCTTTACAAACCAGTCTCACTCTGGACGCATCTCAGATCGGCTCAAACATTGCACAGAACGGACAGGCAGTCGCAGAGGCTGGCCAAGTACCATCATTAACCTCGACGAACAACTTCATCAACTTTTGTGCGGGAACAAATCAGCAGATCACGAATGGTCTCCAGCAGAAGCAAGGCTCGTGCAACCCCATACCGCTCGGTCAGATCGCTGCGGCCAATCAGCTACCTTCGACCAAGTTCCAGAACCCGTTGAACAATGATCTCATCAATCCGGACGAGACGTTCACGATAAAGATGGCGATCTCCAACCTTGCCACTGGTCAGTTCGTCAATGCTGACACGAACTACTTCTCTGCGCCAGCTCAGCTCGATGCGCAAGGCATCACGCTCGGACATTCGCATGTGGTCATTCAGAAGCTCAGCTCACTGCAACAGACTACGCCAGTGGATCCTACCTCGTTCGCTTTCTTCAAGGGTCTTAACGATCAAGCGCAGAATGGCGTGCTCAGTACCGATGTCACCGGTGGACTGCCTGCCGGTGCATACAGACTAGCAAGTATCACTACGACGGCTAATCATGCAGCCTTGAACGGACCTGTAGCTCAGCGGGGTGCTTTCGACGATGTCGTCTACTTCACGGTCAAAGCACGCTCGAGTGATAATACGACGGCCGTTAATGCTCAAGATGCTGTATTGGCTGCCAAGCAAGCCGCAGCTGTTGCCGCTCAGACCACCGCCACGACGACAACGCGCAAGGCGAAGACGACGACGACGACGACGAAAAAGAAGCAGAAGGCTGCCGCAGTTGATGCACAGACGACAGGCAATACAACCGCTCAAGCGACCACTCAGGCGACGACGACGACGACAGGGAATGTCGGCACAGCAGCTCAGCAGGCGATTGCTCAAGTGCAGGGACTCTTGGGCAAATTGTTGAGGTAGCGAGCGCATTGCGTGCGAGATGCATTATTCTGCTTTTTCGTCGTGATCGGGTGAAGCGCTGAGCACAGCCTGAGAGCGAAAGCGGACAACAAGCAGACCGACTGCGAATGCTCCGTAGCATTTTGCTGGACCCAATAGCCAGTACGTAGAAGTGGCGAGCAAGGGACCGAGCGTTCGACCGAGCTGTCCTGCGCTTCGCATTCTACCGAGCGCTTCGCCCTTGGGTATGACGTCTTTCGGCTGTGCATCCTTCTGCATACTCTCGTCGCATTCGAGCGATGCGAGTGTGTTGAGCGAGTTGACGACTGTTGCGCTGGTATATGCCAGAGCTGCCGCTGCTGCATAGAGACAGAGGGCACTCGCTCGAGGTGAGGTGTCTGCCAATGCTGGCAGTAGACAGAGCAGCACCATTGCGAGGCCGGATGAGGAGATGCCTGTCTTTGCGAGATAGGCCGATCCCTTTTTGACTGCCGCCCGACGCACATAGCCGCCTTGTAGGAGCGCACTGAGAAGACCGATAAAGCCGAGCAGGCGTCCGTTCTTCGCATTCGAGTAGGCGAACAGATCGTATGCTAGGAAAGTCAGGGTATATTCGGCGCCTCTGCGGAGAAAGTTAGCAGCAGAATGCAGCGACAGTCGATGAGCACTGACGAGAAGAATAGGATGAAGCCGAGATGGGTCGATCTGAGTGCAGTCAGTCGCGCTCGCCTTTCTGTGACGGAGCGGCGAGGAGCTTGCTTGGTCGATTCGGACGAAAGATTGGCAGTAGATGTTCGAGTCTCCGGCAGGAGAGCAGCGAGCAGGAGAGTCTCTGCTATGAGGAGCCCGGTCGCCATTGCAGCCGGCATGGCATAGTAGTTGAGCGATAGGCTGGTTGACATTGCTCTAGGGGCGAGATAGGCGCCCAATGCCGGGCCAAAGGTGAAGCACAAGCTGAAAGCGAGCCCGATGAGCGCCATCGCTCTTGCTCGCTGCTGAGAAGTCGTGACGTCGGAGATGATGGCAATACTGAGCTGGACGTTACCCTCGCTCAGTCCACCAATGATTCGCGAGAGCAGGTAGGTCGAGAACGTGGTCGAGAAGAGCCAGACGAGCGAGGAGAGGATGTTGCCTGCCATCGTGGTGAGCAAGACGGCGCGGCGGCCATACTTGTCGCTCAATCTGCCCAGTGCTGGCGCGATGACGCACTGTCCCAGCGAAAAGACCGAGCCGAGCAGGCCACCTAACAGTGTGACATCCCATTTGACGTTCTGCTCTGTTGCGGTAGATACCTGAGAAAGGCCCAAGCTGTGTAGGTAGGCTCTATAGTGACGTAGACCGGCTAGCGTCGACGAGAGGAGCGTGCTACCGTGTCGTTCTTGATCGACATAGTGCTGGATCAGTCGAGGGAAGAGAGGCAGCGGGATGGTGAAGGCCAGCAAGTCCAAGATGAGCGAGACAAAGACAATGCCGACGATGGCATTTGTGCTTCTGACCATCTGTCTCCGTCATCGATCGGTCGGTGACAAGGCCGACAAGGACAAGTCGCGTCTTGCATGTCTTCAGCCTTGCAAGCTTTTCACGGCGATCTGCGCATGGCTGTCACTCCTTCCCTTGCTCCCCTTCACACCTTCAAACTGTCTCGTCAGCTGATCCGTGCTTGCTCTGAAACACAGCGACGGACCGACACTGTGCCACGTCGTCTCGTTCGCGATGGTCGTCGAGCAAGAAATTCGTAGCGCTCCCAAGATCGAAAGAGACGTACCCAAACAATGAAGCTGCTCGTCGCCACGCTCTTTACAGTCGGTCTCAGTCTGCTGGCGCAGGACGCCGCAGCAGACTACCCGCATGTGTCCAGAAGGACCTGTCGTCGTCCCGCTACCTCGTCGCCATCGCCCAAGCCCGTTCAGCATACCTCGCCCCCGCCTCCGTCTACGAAGAAGCCGATCGATCATCCGCCGCCCAAGACCCAACCGGTAGTACACCATCAGCCAAAGCCCGTGTACCACCAGAGCCCTAAGCAAGCGCCTGTGAAGCCTCCTCCTGCTCACGAGCCATCTCATAGCAACGCTCCCAAGACGGCACCTGCTAAGTCAGAGAGTCATGAGGATGCACCCCAGCATCATCATGAGGCTCAACACAAGAAAGGCAAACATCACCATGCACACAAGGGCAAGCATCATGAAGAGCCCAAGTCTCATCGTGAACATGCTGGCTACGTTGCCGACGAAGCAATGACAGCGCATGATGCTCACCTCGCACATGTCGATCATGTCGGTCATCTTGCGCATGTCGCACACCAGGCCCATTTGGACCACGAAGCCCATTTGGCTCATGAGGCACACCTGGCGCATGAGCACTCAGAGGCCAGCAAACTCGGAAAAGCTCGTCAGCCGAAAGCAGACCATGGCGATAGACCCAAAACGCAGCCCTTTGAGCCCAAGCCCAAGAAGACTCAGCCGGCTTTGCAGAAAGCTGCGCCCGAGTCAGCAGAGCACCATGCGTCTACGCCTGTCCCAGCCCCCCAACCCTCGCGACCCGCTCCCCGTGGCAAGGACGCGATCACGATGGCTGGGGCTCTGACACTGAGCGGACAATATGCCGTCAAGGAGACGCCCTGCTCTGGTATCATCCTCTCATCGAATCAATGGAACCAGTACGCCGGCCAGGGCAATCAGAAAGTCCACTTTGATGGCTGTGTCGGTCGCTCGATCGCATGGTCGACCGAATGGGAATGGTCTGGCGCCAAGGATGTCGTCAAGACGTTTGCGAATGTTCAGCGACGTACCGGCAGCAGACACGTTTCGACTTACAAGTCGCTCGTGTCGGAATGGCATTGGAGATACGAGAATGCCGATTCGGCTCGTGCGTCGTCACCTTCAGGCGCACGGTCATGCACTAACAGCGCTGATTGGAACAGATGCTGATGTGTCCTATGACATTTTCTTGTCTAGGTCTACTGAAGACGGCAAGGGCATTGCAGACTCGACCTCAACGGCCGAGATCATGGTCTGGCTATCGCGCCGAAACGTCAACCCGGCAGGCTCCAAAGTTGCCGAGGTGACCGTCAATGGCTCGCGTTGGGAGGTCTGGACGGGTACCGTACAAACTTGGGATATCGTGAGCTACGTCAACATCGATAGCGCCAACATGAACGAATACAGGGGAGATCTCCTCCCCTTTGTCCATCACGCTATCGACAACTACAAGATCGAGCCGACCAATTTGTCCGGTGTACAAGCAGGCCACGAACCTTTTGTCGGATCAGCTCGCCTTGTCACGACAAAATGGGACATCGAGATTGTCTAAGGCTTTTCTGTCCTGATGTGTCTGCGGGTCAAATGCATTCAGAAGTGCGGGCATTGCGCTTGGCTTGAAGCTGCTGTCAAGCGATGTCAGAACCTAGAGCACTCAGTCTCGTACAAGGTAGATGATGAATCTCGAAATGAAATCGAGAGGGAAGCTCAGCTTTCGGTGCTCTACAAAACGAACGCATTCTACGTGATAATGTGAAAGATAGCGCGTGGTTGTTCGTGTGTGATGCTGAAGACCGTGGTGGACGAATGTGTGCACATCGGTCCGAGTTTGCGTGCTATCAGAAGATCATGACGGACTTCGTGTGCCGAGCGTGCCTCAACAAGTGAGCATCGCCTGTTGCCTGCGTGCACACGAAGCTGCGAATGGGGATCAGGTGGAGATCTCCACTGTGTGCCGTGAATATAAATCGGGCGCGCGCGTGCTCTCCCCACAGATCTCACCCAGACGCTCTCGCTAGCTCGTCGCACAAGTCGACAAACAGAAAGTTGCGCTGACGCTCTCGCCGCCATGCTGCATCTAGTGCCCGTTATGGAGTCGATACGCGTCGCAGGTCGAGCCGAATGCGCGCGGTTGCCCTGTCTCGGAATCTCGACAAATTTGCTTCATCGCCGCTTGGCACTACTCAGCTTTGCAGCGAGTCGTTGATCGACTCTCGTGCACCTCCACCGCTTCTCAGAATGCTCAAGCTATCGCTCTTTACCGTCATCGCTGCTTGCGTGCTGGCTCATGCAAGCTCAGCTGCTCTCGCGCCCACTCGCATGGCCAAATTGCACAAACGCTTTGGCTTCATGCGTCCGGCGCTCCTCACTCTGAATGCACAGTATGCGCAGCAAGGCGATCTGTGCAATGGCTACGAGCTCTCCGTTTGTCTGGTCTCACTTGAGCAAACAGTCTCGTGCTGACGCCAAAGTCGTACGCCGCAGACCAACCAATGGGGCATGCACAGCGGCACAGGACACCAGAGTGCAGCTTTTCACGGATGCTCAGAGGACGGCGGCATTGTCTGGTCTACCGATTGGCAATGGTCAGGTAATGACGATCAGGTCAAGACCTATTCGAACGTCCAGAAGCCAACGGGCAACCGCCCGTACAAAGACTACAAGACGCTCAGCGCTGCTTGGCAGTGGCATTACGCTCAGTCCTCGGCAGTCTCGGCAGATGTCTCGTTCGATATCTTCTTTTCTACTACTTCTCAGCCTGGCCACGGCGTCGCAGATGCTCATTCCAAATGGGAGATCATGGTGAGCGATCCCCACATCTCCAAGCAAATTACGTTGACTGGTTGTCACCCTGCAGATCTGGCTATCGAAACGAGGACCAGCTCTACCTGCTGGCAAGAAAGTCGCAGAGGCCGACATCAAAGGCACGCACTGGCAAGTCTGGCTTGGCAACGTCGAGAACTGGCAAGTCCTCACTTTCCTCAACGACAACAACTCGCACATGAACGACTTCAATGCCTCACTGATGCCGTTCATCCAATACGGCATCGACAACTACAAGATCGATCCTAGCTTGATCCTGTCTGGCGTTCAAGCAGGCACAGAGCCCTTCAGAGGTAGCGCGCTCCTCTACACTTCTCGCTACCAGCTCGATATTGAGTGATCGTGGGCATACGTTCGTTTGTAATTGTCGCAGGTCGTCCGGCCCTCTGCATGCTTTTGCCCCCTCGTTGATTAATTTTGACATGTTGAACGCGACTCGGTTGCGTCGAAAGGGCGGCGAGCAACCGCCCCAGCTGCTGCGATGAGTCTGATCGATTATCTTGTGCTGCAAGTCGCTCTAGGGGGCTCACAGGGTCCGTAAAGAGCCAGCTATCTCTGCGCTCAGGTTGAGACTCAGCTTCGCAGGCACCAGCGAGTCGGCTCTTGGCGACTTTGCGAGAGTCTACTATGAGAAACACACGACAGCTTGGTCAGAGGACTCCTCGAGCAAGGCAGCTGTTGACGATGCACTCGTCAAGCTGCTTTGGCGACAGCTCTTGGCGTCTGACCGGCTTCGGCTGCTCGAGCACAGCACGAATGAGCCTGACAAACCCAGACAAGATCAGCTTGTGGCCACTGAGAACTCGCTATGGGAAAGTCTGTGCCCGTGCATCGCTCGCACCGAAGCAGCTGTAGGTCATGCACGAGTCGCAGAGCCATGCTCCTGATGCAGGGCAAGCAGGGAGGCATCAACGATGATGCTTTCCACGTGCTCTTGATCATTGCTGCCGCACGAGACAAGGGCTGCACGCTGAAGGACATCATAGCATCACAAGGAGACACTTCACATCGTGCCCTGGGATTGCTCAAGCATCACGGCCTCATGTGCGCCCCCTTGATTCTCACAAGGTATACAAGAGCTTATATATTCGAGCAGACGCGAGACCACAGTGCGCCATGATGACGGCGCCAAAGTCAATGTCTTTTCCCACTTCAGCATACGCCTCAGCGAAGAGCGTGCGGCACCCGAGCCCCCGCCTGGCCAGCAGATGGCATTGATCGCGGCTCGGACGCGCTATAATGCCCTGCCAAATCACGCTTACGAGCCAAGCACAACCTACGCGGACCGCATCAAAGCTGACATCATCGACTATCTGTGCAATTGTACTTCTCACATCGCCACGATCAAGGACGTCTTCATCAACGTGGTTCGTGTATTGCGCGTGTCGACATTGCGCTGTATAGACTGAGTAAGCTTGCAGCTCGAATCGCGAGAGCTCATCAAGTCCAAGGTCAGGCGACAGCTACTTAAGACTCTGCACGAGTTACGGCACAGTGGTCAGATCACGATTCGACGAGACGGCCGCGTGCCCAATGCAGAGCACATGGTATCTTTGACAGAAGCGAGCAGAAGTCGTGAGGCCCTTGTTCTGACTTTGCATCGTTCTGACAGAGGCTACAGAGGTACCTGCTCTTACCTCAACAGCTACAGTGCCTCGTCAGATCTTGCGCAAAGCGTCGGCAGCGCCGGCAGGTCTGCCAGATCCTGCAGAACTCTCACGCAGTCTTGCCGGCTTGGACGAAGCTTTCATCGCGCGACAGATCAAGGCGTATGGCTTCGAGCAGGCCTATCCGGATTCATCGCGTGGCTTGCGATCTGTACAGCTGCGCTCAACACATGCAGACGGATACCTCAACGGCCAGCAAGGCTCGCGGTCGCCTACGATAGGCATGCTCGTCGACGGCTCGGACGTGTCCGATAACGGCAGGACGGCCAGATTTGCTGCACTGCTAGATGATCGTTCGATGCGTGACAGCGCAAGTGCGACGCCTGTGGATCTGGACGAGCCAGAGAAGCCGAAAAGACGACGGAAGCGCAGAACAGATGCTTCCCTCGATGACACACCTCAACCGCCCAGGAAACGCAGAGCCAGAACGGCAGTCTATGCAGCAGACGAAATCCCTGTCCGTCTCACCAGGAAGCGTACTGCAGGCTTCTCAGCGCCGTCGCTACGCATTGCTTCGTACTTTGATGATCGCGTAGCCGGACAAGAACTTAGGTTGCCACCTTCGCTTGCCATAAGCCAGTCAGCTTTCAATCCTGAAGACGATGACGAAGATGAAGATGAGGACCGACCTTGGACCATGAGCGAGGATGATCTCCTGTGCTGCCTCTACGTCGTCATCGCTGCGGAGCTACACCGTGGAGACACGATCGACTGGTCAGGCGTCGAGTATATCTTCCAGCGACCGATCCGGTCTGCGGCTGAAATAGACAATCGGTTCAAAGAGCTCCGCCAAGAGCCTGATCGAAAGCGGTTCATGTCTAATCTTCGCAAGGTCTGGTCAGCTTCGCCGTACCGTGAGCATGCCGCAATGCTCAAATATGACGGGCGCATCGCTGCACTCGAATCCTACGTCGATCTTGCCGAGATGTGAGTCTGTCAATGTTACCGCATTGGCCATATTGACATGCGCGCACAGTTGGTGCATGGACAGAGCAATCATGGCAACGGCAAGCGCAGCAGAAAGCATCTATGATCGGCTGGAAAGGCAGGGCAAGCTGACAGTGCCACCAGAGTACCAGAACCGCGCAGAGCAAACATGGGATTTCTTCAGCAAAGAAAGCGCAATGGTGTACAAGCTCAACGATGCGGCCGCGCGATGCTCTAGCTTTGGTAGCTTCGGACCGATCGTAGAACACGCTCATCCCGATATAACGGCGACTGTTAGCCTGGCGACAGCTCAATTCAAGGTGAGCTCGCTGCTCACGATGGAAAGCTGGAGCTTGAATGTCTGCAGATGCTCCTGAGTCAAAACGACAGCGGCGATATCGGCAAAGACTACGAAAAGCTCGTGAAGAAGATCAGCAATCACAAGCAGGCCATAGCAGAGCTGCAGACACGAGCCATCATTGCGAAGACGCGCAGTATCGAAGCGCAATGGAGAGCGCCCAAGCTCACCGAAAAGTGGGTTGCTGCTGGAGAAAGAAGGACTCGGCTAACCTGCTGGCTGTAGATACATGTCTGCATTCGGCGGACCGATGTCGACGTTACACTCGGCAGAAGCCCAAGCGCGACTGCAAGGACCGGCAGAAATCAGCCCTTGGCCCATCTTGGCAAGTGATCATGATATGGCCGCTCTGGTCTCGAAGATCGCAAATAACGAGGCCTCACTGGAGGTCAATACGCAAGTGACGATCGAGACGCGCGATCAGCACGATCAGGGTCTGCGCAAGTTTGGTACGCTGCTCGCTTCCTTCGCTTTGAGGAGGAGACTTATCGGTTGGTAGACGATGACGAATACGAGAACGAGGTGAACGTGCGTTTCGTCCAAGGCGACAATCTAGACACTGCCACGCTGCCAGTCGAGGAGGAGGAGGCGGGCTTTCCCCATGTACCGGAAGATCTCTTGCCTAGCGAAGACCACAGCTCGAGCTGCGTCGTCTACACAGGTAATCAAGTACAGCCCTATCTGGTGTATGATGCTACGCTCGAGCAAGAGCGACTCGAGCTGGCGAAGACGACAGCAGCCTCGCGAAGCGAACAGCTAGCTCAGCTCAAGCTTGATCTCGTGCGCGCAGGCCCGGATGGCTTGGCGCTAAGGCTTTGCAATACAGACGAAGCCACTTTCGCGAATACCAAACTGCTTCTCTCTACGCAACCGCCGCTTGCCTTTGTCGAAGGAGCCAGAGAACCTCGGCTGGTCTCTTGCAAGTATCTACGCGAATGGAGTCTCGCGCTTTCCAAAGACAGAAGTCATACGTCTGCGCGATACTTTCCTCGAACCTGGCTCAACGTCGACGGAACGGTCAACCAGAGCAAGCTGAACAAATGGAAGCTCGTCGTGCGTAGCAGCATCTTCAATCTTCCGTTGGCTAGCGAGGTAAGCCTTTCATGCGTCATCTTTGAGATGGACTCACGCAGGGTTTTCAGGCCGCACTGAGGACGAATCTGCCGAGTATGACGGGCCAGGAGCTACGGGATGTGCTTGGCATGCTCCTTGAGGCAGGTCAAGTGCGATGCCGCTCCGGAAACATGTATTTGTCCGGCCTCGATCGGCTGTTGCCCGTCCATTGGGAGATTGTGTAGACCTTTTTGCTTTGTATTGTTGTACAACAGATGTCACTCAGTCTAGCGTTGCTTCGTCGCTTGGGCCATACGGCTTTGCTTTGAAGAATTCTTCGTCGAAGTGATGCACCCGGATACTGGAGTACTGGCATTAGCGCGAGCGCCTCAAGATGAGAGCAGGCGTGACTCACTAGCCATCTTCGCCGCCTATGCTGTACCCTAGACCGTGGGGATGTATTGCGATGGTGTTGCAGGGCCCGAAGCCACCCTTGACGCGAGAGATTTCTTCTTCGAAGATACGATGCCAGAACCTGATCTCGAAATGACCCTGCCGCGCGCCGGTCGTGGTGACGGACATGGCATCTTGTCCTCCACCTACGAGAATCTGGACGTCGTGACGATCAGTATATCAGCTTGAGCTGCATAGGCGCTTGATGGACGCACGTAAGGTTTGCCGGGAAGAATGCCTGCGGAGTTGAGCGGCGCGTCAGTTGCAAAGGTCTTGATGATCTTGAGATCCTGTGCGTCCAGTATCTATGTCGATTGTGAGCCAGCGCTCAGGCAACGTAAGAGTGGAAAGCTACTTTGGCAGACTTGTCCTTTGAGGAAGTAACAAACCAAGTCTTGTCTTTGCTCGTTTGCAAGTCGGTGATGGTCGCCTCGTGGACATCCTCCCTCATGTCGTACTCTTCGCCCGATTTGGGATCGTAGAGCGAGACGGAGCCGTTGTCGTGGGCGATGATGATGTTGCGGTCGAGAGCTGCCCAAGCTGCCACTGTCGCTTTGGAGAACGTCGTCTCGATCTTTGTCATAGGCTCGGTCTCTGCAGGAGACGTGCATGCTCAGCGCAAGGAGCGCAAAGTCGATGGCCATTGCGTACCTGGCTGCATATCCGGTCCGACGTAGAAGACGACGACGGAGCCCTCGTAGCCCATTCTCTTCTCGGTGACGGCGAGGAACATGGTATCGTCCTCTGACCATTGAACGCGCTTGATGGCGGTGGGGAACTCCCAGGTCTGCAAACACTTGCCCGTCTGTACTTCCCACAGCTTGATACAGTTGTCCGCTGAACCCGATAGCAGATATCTCGACGTCGCTGTGGACACGGCCAAAAAGGGTTCAGCTCTTGATCCAATGCGCGTGGCTTGCAGGCTGGCGAGAGAATGACTGACAGTCTACGTCGACGGTCCAGACTGTGCCGTTGTGGCCCGAGTAGGTCCCTAGTCGCTCGCCGTTGTGGGAGTACCAGGCGTTGATGAGGTGGTCCTTTGAGCAAGTGAACAGCAGGTCGCCATCTGCATTGTACTTGACCTGCGCACCAGCAGACTTGTCAGAGACGGTTGCGAGCGTCTGCAATGGCCTCTCCATGCCTGTGTCAGCGATCGCTCGTGCCCAGAGAGCAAGATAGGTCGCATATCGTCCAGCCAGTCGGCGCCGAAAAATGTCTTGAACCTGTCGTTTGGCGCGGCGCGATTCTCAAAAGTTGGGCAACTCGGCGCTCGACAGTCTCCGACTCACCGACTTGTTCCCCGTGCTCTCGATCGTACACACAGACGCTTGCGAACGCTCTCCGTGACGGCAACGCTCGTCCTGCCCGCAGCGCCACCTTGACGTCTCACTCAGCGCAAGAAAGGCTGTATCGACAATGAGTCGGAGCACTCGCTCGAAGCCAAAGCCACAGGCCTCTGAAGGCCAGCCGACAGCTCGTGTCGAGCCCCTCGTTCACTTGGGTCCCGAACGTGTCACGAATGCAAGTCATTCGACGCCCTTGTCTCACGTCCGTCTGGCTCACGGACTGCTGCTGGCTCTCCAGGTTGCCAGTGAAGATATGCCCAATGCGACCGCTGGCGTGGAGGATCAAGGGTGGAATGCGGAAGCTTTCAAGGCGCAGCTTGGCATCAGCATCCTCTCGCTCTCGCCGTCAGAGATCGAATTTGACATTATTGGCATCGACGCGGCGATTGCGAATGCTCTGCGACGCATCATGATTGCAGAGGCGAGTGGACACTGATTTGCGCTTTCTGGTCTATTCTCACGATGGGATCTTCTTTGCAGGTACCCACAGTCGCGATAGAGACCGTGTTCGTGTTCAATAATACGTCCATTGTACAAGACGAAGTACTCTCCCAACGACTCGGTCTCGTACCACTCAAGATCAATCCTCGTCAGATCGATTTCAAAACTCGTCAGTATTGTTCTCGGCCCCGTTCTGCTGCTACAACTGACATGGCGCGGAGCAGCGGATGAAGGGCCGACCGATCTCAATACCGTCGTCTTCTCCCTTCTTGCGAAATGCGAGCACAGACCGGGTCACGACCCAGATGAAAAGGACCCGGACGAGCTCTACATAGATTCCAATGGTGCTCAGTCCAGCTGCATACCCGCTTCAGCCGCTAATGCACGAGACAGTCTTTTCTGGCAAACTCGAATGGAAGCCACAGGGAGCCCAAGAGAGCATGTTCGATACAGACGCGACGCGACCTCGACCGGTGCAAGATGATATCCTCCTGGCCAAGCTCAGACCAGGTCAGACTATCTCTGTCGAGCTCCATTGCAACAAAGGCAATGGCAAGACGCATGCAAAATGGTCTCCCGTCGGTCAGTAGCACGCTTTTGCTGTGACTGCAGAAGCTGATAGTCCGGCTGCAGCAACGGCATCGTATAGACTCATGCCGCATATCAGAATACTCAAGCCCATCCCGGAACATCTGTGCGAGAAGTTCAAGAGCTGTTTCCAGCCGGGCGTCATTGGCATCAAGAGAGATCTAGACGGGACCAAATGCTGCAGCGTTGACGATCCTCGGAGGGATACAGTGAGCCGGGAAGTTCTTCGTCACCCCGAATTCGAAGGCTACGTCTCACTCGGCCGCGTACGAGACCATTTCATCTGTCCGTACAATTCCTCGCTCTTATGCCTTGCCAAAGCTGAAGCTCTGAGAGCAGATAATGTCGAATCGACGGGACAGTATGAGCCCGAGGATCTGCTGGAGGAAGCATGCGGTGTCATGCTGTCTAAGATCCAAGCCGTGCGCGCAAGTCTGCACGAGCTGTCCGATTCTGGCGCCAAGATGGATGTGAGCTAGCTGAGCCCATCGTCAAGCATTTTCGCATGTAGTGTATCAACGTGCATCCTGTTGTGCTTACAGAGAACTCAAGATGTGAAACTGTATGGACAAATCAACACGGCTCGTGAACTGTCTCGATCATGCTTACGTAGCGTCGAGTTGTTTCAGGTGAGGAAGCATGAGCATGAGCTTGCGCCTGTAGGTCGTACCGAGCGTCCGTTGGAATGGATTCCCTTCGAAATAGACCGTATCGAGCGCAGGATGAACCGACGCAGATAGAACTTCTTCGAGTGCTTGAAAGTCCGCAAGCTTGTTGTCATTAGCCTGTCAATCTGGTCGGTCAACATGCAGACTGGCTCAGCAAGAGACAAAGCTACCCATAGCTCTTCGAGATTAGTCAACAGCTTGACCGTGCCGATGTCAGTCAAACGGTTGCCTGCTACATCCAACGTCTTCAAGCTCGTATTCTTCTCCAGACCGGCCAGCGTTGTCAGGCCGTTGTGACTGATGTAGAGCTCTTCGAGACTCTGCAGCATCTCCAAGCCTTCTATGCGAGTCAGGCGGTTGCTCTACAAGACGACGCTGAATGAGCTCAGCCAGATCCCTCAACTCTGTCGAGTTACCTGTATGCTCAAGATTTTGAGATGGCTGAGCGTGCTTAGGTTCTCTAGCTTCGGTATCTTGTTCTTGCCCAGCCAGAGCTCGGTAAGCTGTGTGAGCTGATCTAGTCCTTCGAGTTTCTGTCGAACGACTTGATCAGCTCACGGTCTCCTCGGATGGGGCTGACATACTCGCAATCTGTTGCCGCCGAGCTCTAGGCTGGTAAGGGTCGGTTTGAGATCCTCTAGATGCTGTATCTTGCCGATCTTATTCTGGATGAAGTAGACCGTCGACAGCGCCTTGCAATCCTTGAACACTCCTTCCGGTATCTCTCTTATCAAATTGAACGATAGGTCAAGCGAGCTGACCCACACCTTGAGCGATAGACGTAGGACATCGAATGAAACCTTACGTGAGGTGAGTGAGGCCGTCCAAGCCTTCAAGTCGCGCGATGCGATTGTCGTACAAGTCCAGATCCTCGAGCTTTGGCAGAGCGGACAACGGCTGTGCTGGCTCGCCATCTTTGCTCACGAGAGAGGGTATGAGGTTCTGTCGCAGGCATAACCTCTGCGCAACGACATCAGTACGTACTTCTAGCGCGTTTAGTCAGGCTCACAGTCAGCGAGGCAAATCGTTTCAGCCGGAGCGAGCCGATGTTGCGCAATCGAGCGTGGGTGAGTTCGAGCTCCGGCGTATCTTCAGGCACATCAGAGAACGGATCTGTGTCGAGGATACGTGCCATGAGCTCTGAGGGCATAGGCTCGAATTCACTGTACATACCTGCGTCGTCTGTGTCTTGGATATCTGCCTCATGCTCTTCAGCTTCTTCGTCGTCCTCGTCATTGTCTTCATTGTTGGGACCGTTGCCGGCTTGGGCGTGCGAGCCATTCAGCGCGAAAGTGGTCGCAGAGGATGGGGAAGCCGGGGCGTCGTCTTCGTCCGTCACTCTGCCTTGCACGGAGACTGCGCCGATGCGAGTCACTGCTTGGTCAGACACCATAACGCCCACTTCAGCAGCTGGCGGTGTCGAACGAGGCGTCTAGAAAGCGAAATGAGAGGAATTCCTTAGCCTGGCTGGCGTAGTCTCGAAATCAGTTCGAAGCGCGAAGTCAACGTCAACGTGGCAAAGGCGACTGATGTGATTTCGCTCTGTACATATGCACTGACAACATCTACACTGATCTGGTATTTCTATATCTACGATGCGCCATGCTGTGCAAGCGTTCAGGGTGCACGTTTGGCTGTCGAGCCAGCCACATGACTGCTGCTAGCCGGTGAAGGTGTCGTGTCATTGCCAGACACGCCCATGTTCATAAAGTAGTCAGGCGAGTAAGCAGCGTAGGCGGGCGTTGCCATTGGACCCGGCCAGACCGCCATGAGATCCAACTCTCCAGGTGCAAAGTTTGCAGGTGGCCAGGATGATTGGTCGCCGCTTGGCTGCACTTGGTAAGGTGTCTCGCCTGAAAGCGGCATACCGTATGCGCCTGATCTTGACGCTAGCGGCGAGACAGCTGGATAAGACCCAGCGCGATAGCTCTGATAAGGCATCTGCACCGGGGGAGAATTGAGCGCTGCCATGCCCAAGAACTGGTTGAAATCGGCAGGGGCTAGTCCTCCTCCAAAGCCATCGGCATTCACTCCGTTGAAGATATCCGGAACTACAGCGAACGAAGGATCGCCGTTGAAGGCGTCGAGACTGAGTTGCTGCGTGTTAAATGGCAAGGGAGGCGCGACGACGTCAGTAGGCGAAGTCGCAAAATCTGGACGATCCCGCTTCTGCTGTGGCTCAAACCCGCTTGATCCAGCCTGCGCGCCTCTGAAGTCGGCAACGGAGGGTTGGCGGGTCCGTTTGAGAGTTTGATCGACGGAAGCGGCTTTCGCTGCTGTGAATCCGGCATCGCGCAACCTGACGAGTCCGAGATAGCAACGCTGCGCTATGGCGCTCCTGCAACAGTCCGTACCGTGGTAAGTTCCTAACTCTCTGAGCTGAGGATCCGCTGACCTTTCGCTAAGGTCGGAGAGCACGTCGAGACATTTCTGCACGTCCTGAACGGATGAGGACGAAAGGGTGCGCACGTTGGCATGACCGAGGTGATTGACGAGCAAGATGAGAGCGGCAGAGATGCTCGCGAGGGGTGCATTAAGCCAAAGCATGTCAAGCAGACCAGCACGCTTGACGCCTGCGAGCAGATGCGAGAGCGAACGTGCGGCATTGGTGCAGATTGCAAGCGAGGGAAATCCAAGCATGCTCTGCTGTTCCGGTGTGAGAAAGTCTCTGTGGACGAGAATTTGGACTTCGTAGTACGACATGAGACATTCTGCTGATTGCACGCCATACTGAGGGTGGGGATCCTCTGCGTTCCATTTGAGATGGGCAGGTAGCTGCTCGAGCCATTGATTGAGCGCCGAATCGAGCTCGGCTGCAGTGCGTTGCTCCCAAAGAGGCAGCTTGTCGCGTCTGACATCGTCACGCTTGATTGCGTATATCGTCCGCAGGGCCTTGCCGAGGATCTTTGCGAGTCTGACGTGACAGTTGAAGCCCATGATCAAGTTTGGCTTGGTCGAAGGCATGGCAGGTACTTCCTCTGCCGTGCGCGCCGTGTTCAGGTCAGCTAGCGTTTCGTCGTCTACCTCGAGTGGCAAGTCAAGATCGACATCCTCATCTTGGATCGCTAGCGGTCTGCCGAGACCGGCCGATAGCTTTCGATCGAGCGAGTAGAGCGTCCACCAAACTCTCTTTCTGAGTTGATCGCGCAACAAGCTCGTTCGCCATATCTGATTTCGCTGACGGTGACAGCCGAGATCCTGAGCGCGTCTTATGGCCATACCGAGCGCGAGCCAAGCCGAGATGGGCGTGCTGGCTCCCATGAGGTAGAGACAAGAGAGGCAGAGACTCTGGAGATCGTAAAGTGATGCAGCAGAGGAGACGGGTGTCTGGAGCCGCCAGGCCGCAAACCAGTACATGTAGCCTCGCGCCTCGCCAGAGGGCGGACCTTCTAGCTTCGATTTGAGGCCGGATCCGGTCTCGTCGAGCACACGGGGATCGTCAGAGAAGCGAGAAGCGATAGCTAGGACGGAGAAGAGCAGGCCTCTGAATGCAGGATGGGCGTCGTGCTTCTTCTTGTTGTAGTCCGACATGAAGGACGGCTTGTGCACGACGGGGTAAGTGGGAGCAATCTTGTCAAAGAAGAGAGCGATCAGTGTTTCGACGAGATCGTCATCGGGCAAGGGGTTGAGCTTGATGCCCGTGCGCGATTCTGCCTCCATTCGACGCTCATGGAAGCACTGGTTCTCGGCTTTGACGACAGATTTCGAGGTACCTGCGACAGGGGAAACAGATTGACGCTCATGGCGAACATAGCAGATGTCGTCCTTGTCTCTGATGCTACCCCAAGCGCGATCAGCCTGATAGGGTGCCGGTCCAACGGGTGATGAGGTATTCGACGAGCTCGCTAAGCCGTTCGTGCCGGAGCCAGAAACGCCATTGGTGCGAGTATATGACGTGATGGTATGGGCCAAAGTCAGGCCCGAACTGCGACCTATGTAGCGACCGGCCTCGAGACTCATCTGATCGATATCGTTCGCCAGTGATGCATCGAGTTCTTGGCCTATGAGCGTATTCGAAGCTTCATCGGGTCCAAAGGTGATGAAGCTTCGGCCGGTCGACGCGACTGAAAATTGTGTAGGCGCTTCCGTTCCTTGGACGTATTCTGGCGCTGAGAAGGGGGCGAGGATGATGCCCTCTGGACGGTCATCGTAGACGGTCGAGCTGTCGGTCGGAGAGGCGCTCGCATCTGGCGGTTGGAAAGAGCTGTCTGATTGATCGGCGGTCATGACGCCCTCTGTGCCGGGAGGTAGGGTGAGATTGAGCGAGGCGAGGAAGGTCTCCATGGTCTCGAGACGTCTCTCGAGCTGTTCGACGTAGCCTTTGGGTGGATTCCGCTTCTTTGCGTTCTCGTCAAACGTGCAATCACGTCGAGCCGTTCGACAGTTCGAGCAAGGATCGTCCAGCGAGCCTCCATCGCAGCGGATCTTCTTCTTCCGACATGTATCGCACGCACGTCCTCCTCGGGGCCGCTGGACACCATCGCCTGGATCGGGTGTGTACATCGTATCTGGCCAAGCTTACCGCCGGCTGTCTGTACAGAGCTGGCCAACTGGGGTCGTTGCTATTTGACGAGTGCCTAGCGACAAGGCTGTACAGCTGGATTGATCAGCAGCTCTATCACCAGGACCGGGGGCTTGTGGGGCCGTGACAGGATGATCTCTGCCTGCAGGAGGCCAGACAGGATGTCCACCTCCTCTGGACGCTGACGACCGTTTCGGACGTTTCGGCCGACTCTGACAAAATCGATAAAATTCAGACAAAACCTCGAGCTTTTGGCCTTCATTGCATCGCCAAACTCTCTCTCGAGTCGATTCGGCCAACCGTCGTCGAGATGCACTCGACAGCGATTGTGCAGTCGGGCATGCCCACGGGCAAGAGCTATCTGAGCTACTGGGGCGAGGCCAAGATGAAGCAGAAGGGCGTCATCCAATATGGTCATTTCCTCCTTTGCCCTCAAGGGTGGCCTCCTCAACTCTGGCTAAATTCCGCGCTTGGGTTGGCACAGGTATCTCACCCTATAGGCAGGCACCCATGAGAGGTGCAGTGACACATGCGCTCTTCTCCGGCGTAGGACGGATCAGGCGATACGCTTTCTGGCCGACCCTCGCAGGCATCGCAGGCACGCGCTTCACTCATTCAGGGCTGTCACGTAGTGCTGACCTGAGGTGCGACGCTGCGTGCAGTCTACAGCACCTTGTCATGGGCGACCGAAAAGAATCACTATCTCAAGTATGTCACCCTCGCGCGGCTAGGGCGGACGAGAGACTGACTCCTACGGGATTTGCAGCTCAAAGGAGGGACACAGGCATGGCGATCATGCGGGTTGAGCCAGGACGATTACAGCCTTTGCCTTGATGTCCTTTTATGCCATTGCATTCAGTCTGGCACGGACGCACAGCAGAGTCAACATCGCGATTGCGCCTCTGCTCCTTCGTGACGCTCCGCCCTGCGTCTCGAGCACAATATGAGATGAGGAAGCGATATCGAGGCTTCAGGAATGCGGGACAGAGTCAACGGATCTTCCAGAATGATACAACAATGAAGCGACCCCTAAGGCGCAAAATCTGAGTGAACAGGTGGATTTGCGTCGGTGAGGCCTGCACAAGCTCTTTCCAGGTCAGTGATCTGCTTCGGCACTAATTCTGTGGGGATGAGCGAGAGGAAAGGATGAGGGCTCAGGTGTTTCAGTGTTTTTGTTCGTCTTCAACGAGCGCTCTTGCGAGACGCTCTGCGGAAAGACTAATCGATTTGAGTTGTTCGTCATTGCCACGTCTGACGAATGAGAGGTGCTGCTTGCGTTGCGAGCCCGCAGAGATGGCTTACCTTGCTATGAAGTAGCCCCTTCGACGAGTCAGCAGAGCGCCGAACGAGCAAAATCTCGCGCGCGTCACTGTCGACGACACGATCGCCTGAGTAGCTGCCTATCGTTGGCTTTGATGGACGTGCTCAAGCGTCCCAGAGCGCCATCGAGCACGTCAGTCGAAGCAGGCGCGCCTTCGAGCAAACTCACAGCACTCGGCGCTATGCCCAGACGCATCATCTTTCGACCGACTCGCTCACAGGAACCCACTTGGTCATTGGCCCCGAGAGCCAAAGATCTACCCATTCGGAGCGATGATGCCTCGGGACAACGCATTCGGCTCAATACTAGCCAATGTCAGTCAAATCGTGAGCTCGACTACCTTGGCTGAAGCTGCTTTGACGTTCAGCCCGACCGGATAATGCGTTCTATCAGCGAGCGATTTCGAGGCTCGTTCAGGCTGCTCGTGCCATTCTCAATCGACAGGTGACAAGCGAATCGCTGCAATCCCTCTACCAGCTTTGTCGTGGGCTCGTCTCGACGGGTCCAGAGGCCTGCCAGACACTGTACGATCGATTGAGGATAGAGATCGAACGAGCAGCTGGCGACCTCCGCAAGGCTTCCATTGAAGACATCCAAGCCGCACAATCGCACGATGGTCCTTCCTGGCTCACTTCATTCGAATCACGATGGAAGGAATATCTCGGCACAATCGTGCGCTTGATCGGGGTTGACGCATTGCACGAGCTGACGCGACTACAGACACTGCTTCGAGACTTGTTTCTCTATCTCGACCGCGCCTACCTGGCTGATCAGCCAGGCTTGCTGTGGATGTGGTCAGCTTCACTCTCTAGCTTTTTGCGGGGCGCAGACTGAATCTGCCTTGCTAGGGAACTCGGACAAGAGACTTTCAATCGCCAAGTGCTCGAGCATCCGGATATCGTACAAGCACTGCAGCGCTCCCTCATCGATAACGTCAACGACGAGCGGTATGCATGCCTTGTGTTTTCCTGTATCCCAGATGATCTAAAGGTGTGATACAGCTCTGGCAAAGAGATCTCTCGCCGTCTCGTTGCCTCCGTCATCACACTGCTGCAGACTCACAGTCCAGATGCTCACCGTGCGACATTCGTGATGCCTTTTCTCGAAAGCAGTACCGCGTTCTATCGGGAGCAGGCTGCAGGTGCCATCGCCCAACTCTCGCCTGCTGCTTATCTTGCCAAGGCTGTTCTCATCCTGGATGCCGAACAAGATCGTGCAGACAATGTTGTCGGATCGGAGCTCAAGGCTCAGATGGTCGCCATTATCGAGGAAGTCGTTCTGCGCGACCATCTCGATGCTCTCATTGCTAACGGTGCGTCCTCTCTGCGCGATAACGAGCTCTCGCTGAAAGTGACCATAGGCCTGGCTACTCTGATCGAGGCCAATGACACTGTCAGCCTAGGCACACTTTACAGCATAGCTGTGCGTGTGCGAGGACTCGACACCCTCAGAGCTGCCTGGCTCGCCTACATCAAAGTGAGCAAAACCTTCTCTTTCGAACTTGTGCAGATGCTGACTCGACATCCAGTCCGCTGGCTTTGCGACCCTATCTGATCCCGAACAAGACGAAGGGATGATCACGCGCCTGCTCGGCTTCCGCACACGCATCAACGATATTGTCGCCGGCCCCTTTACCTCCGATCTTCGCTTCTCGCAAGCGGCAAGAGACGGCTTTGAGGAATTTGTCAATAAACGTCAGAACAAGCCTGCAGAGATGATTGCTAAATTCATCGATGCAAAGATGCGATCCGGCTCGAAAGCAGCCAGTGATGATTCGCTCGAGGAGCAGTTCGACCAAGTGCTCGATATCTTCCGATTCACGCAAGGCAAGGATATCTTCGAAGCCTTTTACAAGCGCGACTTTGCCAAGCGTTTGCTGCTCAATCGGAGTGCATCGTCTGACATCGAAAAGAGCCTCTTAGCGAAGCTCAAGAATCGTAAGCCCTCTGATGAGCTGAATCGTCTGCGTGAGCTCATGTCGGTCGTACAGATTGTGGTGCTGGCTTCACGGCAAGTTTGGAAACGATGGCTCGCGATATCGACATCTCATCAGATCTCATGAAGGCCTGGAAGATGCACGGCGAGCAACAAGGACGGTCGAAAGGCGACCTCGAACTATCCGTCAACGTACTCACTTCAGGCAATTGGCCCTCCTTCCTGGCTGCGCCTGTCAGAATTGACGGAAGGATGGCGCACTTGCTCGATATCTTCAAGCAGTTTTACGCCGGCAAACATGGTGGACGCACGCTGAGCTGGCAGCATTCCCTCGATCAGTGTACTCTCACGGCCACCTTCCCACAGTGTGGCAAGCGCGAGCTGCTCGTCAGTCTGTTCCAGGCTATCGTCCTGTTGCAGTTCAACGAGGTCGCAAGCGCAGCGAAGCTATCGTACGAGGAGCTCGTCTCGCGTACCGGACTAGAGAAGAAAGAAGCTGCACGGGTATTGCAATCACTGGCATGCGGCAAGTCTAGAGTACTGGTCAAGTTCCCAAAAGGCAAAGACGTCAATGCAGGCGATCAGTTCGCTTTCAACGAGGCTTTCAAGGACGACCACTACCGGATCAAGATCAACCAGATCCAGATGAAGGAGACTGCAGAGGAGAACCAGTCGACGACGACGCGGGTCTTCTTGGATCGACAATCGCATTTGCAACTCTGTATCGTACGCTTGATGAAATCTCGCAAGACGATCAAGCACGCAGAGCTCATCATGGATGTCGTCAACGAGCTCAAGGATCGCTTCAAGGTGGAAACGCAAGAGATCAAGAAGGCCATCGATTCTCTCATCGAGCGAGAGTACATGGAACGTGTCGAGGGAAGTCGGAACACGTATTCGTATGTTGCCTAGATCGATGCATGCCTTTCTCAGCCGAACAACCCGTCCGGTATCGCTTCTGTTCCGTACAAACCCCTATGCCAGCTCTTTGGCTCTTGCCATTCTGGCGTACCGAGCGGCAAGACCTCGAGTTCTGGATACTCGTGTCAGCGAATATTACATCCAATGCAAAGGGGACTCACTCTGAAGAACCACAGAGGTCATCTCGGCCATTGCGCAAGCGTCGCCACGATTGTCGCCTTCGGCAACATAGAGCAATATTGCGGCCGTCTCGACTGCTTTGAGCGCTTCTAGATACCTTCGTGTGAGCCCAGCCGAAGGGAGAAGGGGTATCGCTGCATCGCGAGACGGTATCCTCGCGCAGAGCGCTTGAAGTGTCAATGCTGCTGAGGACGATGTGAGGCTGAAGTAGCGGAACGGCGAGGCTCTGCAGAGGTCTGTGAGCTTGTTGCCGTTGCTCAGTGAGCTACTGACTGTGAGGCAAGCTCTGCGTCTCGCCGCGCGCCTGCACTCAGGCTGGACAGGATGACGACCCGTTTGAAGCGTGATGCCACAATCCAATCGCACAGCTCATACACAAAGTGCTCTTTCCTCGACTGCAATCTATGCTCAGCGCTTTTGCTACTGGTCATCCACGGCAGGCCGTACCTTGAGGACTGGCGAGCGCTGCTGGAGGGTAACGAGAGAGTGATCTGCCGTGGCATAGACTGTCATATCTGACCATCAGTCAGCTGTGCTTCCAGAGAGCGTCAAGCCTACCCTCGAGCGCTGTTGCCAAGCCTCGCCTGGGTGCAGCCGCAGTGGGCAGATAGTCGGCAGAGCCCAGGACAGGGACGAGATCTCTCGCAGAGAGCGTTCCTATCTTTTGGAGGGCATGCGAATGGATGAGTAGATCTGTCGCTAGCTGAGGCACATTGCCGATTGACACAGCTGGCAGGAGTAGTGTCGACTGATCGAACGAAGCCGGCGAGCCACGAAAGAATGGCATGGTCTGCTGCAGTGAGCTTGTCGTCATCCGCGCGTAAACTCAGCTCGTAAGCGCGTTTTATCATCGACATCGACCGTGACGGAGCCTCCCTCTTCCGCACCAGGTCGCTATCGCATGCAGCTCAGCAAGCTACTGCTCAGTGAGCAAGATGCGCAAGAGCACGGCTTCTTGGGCACGCGCAGCTGGGCAAAGACTGCCTGGACGCCAGCACAGCAAAACGCCAACAGCGGTCTTGTCGCGTCGTTGCCGAGTACAGAGCAGGCTGCCGAGGCGCGGGTAGGAGTAGTGCCGGCGAGTACGGCCTGTGTACAAGATGCGAGCCGCATGGACTCGATCGATCACGCGTCGACGGGCCTCGCTCAACGGTCGAGGCTCGAGCAGAGTGTCCAAATCGAGCCCGTCATCACTTTGACGAGCAAGACGGGTCGCAAGCGAGGTCTGACCGAGCTCGAACGGCTTCAGTATGATTACTTCGCCGTCAGAGAGGGGATCCAACTCAAGGACGCCTTCACGAACGTCTGCGATCGAGCAAAAGCGGCCTCGAGAGCGAGACAGGCGCCCTCCAGGGTGCCCGTCACGCTGACTGCACACCTCCCGCTTAAGCAGAAGGCACAGATGAAGTTAGTCGCAAGCGCGTCGGTGCCTGTACTTGATGCCGAGACGCTGGAGCAACTCACAATTCGCAAAAAGTCACCATCGCCGGTCGTCCACACAACAAGTCCAGTCGTGGTCACAGCAGTCGCAAAGCCTGTGTCGGCGAGCACGACGGCAAGCTCTATGGGATCGCTTAAGCCGCACAAGATATCAGCGAGCAGGAAAGCCAGCCATGGCATAGCAAAAGTGGCAAGTCGCAAGAAAGGCCGACGGAAGCCATTCAATAGCGCGAATGACCGCAATGATTATGATGATGATGATTCAGCGGTCGACACTGCCATCAGGGGAAGGAGCAAGCTGGCTGCATCTCTTCGGCGAAGCTGTAGCCCAACGAGCTCGATTGCTAGTTCTGCCATGTCGACAAATTCGTTCCGATCGGGCTTTTCCAGCAGACCTGCCCCTCGAAAGCGGGCTCGCGCGTTCTGGGGGCGACCGGGCTCAGACTTTGACGACGACGTGCTGACGACAACGACACCGGCAAGCAGAGCAAGAACCCCGCTGACATCTGCCCACCCCTCCGATGATGAAGCTGCAAGGCGTAGCGCGACGCCTGGCATACTCGTCAAACGACCCGTAGCTGCGCTCGAGGACTACTGCTCGATCGATGCCGACTTGTGGCACAGCAAGCGACTCGTCGATAGTCACTCCCATCTATATACCCAAAGTGAGCCAGCCTTGACCAAGCTTGAGCGTCGCTCATGCCACATGTCGGTCGCAGATCTGCAAGACCCACAGAATCCGAGGGCACCCGTTTTCAGCTGGTTCGGTGCCGAGCGGCCTGTCGTCAGACTAGAATACCCTGCACGAGGAGCAAGCGAAGAGTTTGTGCTCGTGCCACCTAAGCGTGACGGTGAGGAGTACTCACCGCTCGTCGATCTTGTCGAAGTTATCGAGTTGGTGCTCAAATACTACCTGACTCCCGACCAAGCTGTCGACGCCTTCTATATCGAGCCGGTGCGAATCGGTGATAGTGTCGAACTTGTGAGCAGATCAGAGACTCCTCCGCCTTTGTCAGATGCTCTCGAGACAGAGACGATCCTGCCTCGTCGCGAGAGTTTCGCAGAGAAGCTCCGCAATGCGGAAGAGCGACGTGATGGACCGGCTTTGCTCGGGCTCATCGGAGAGTACAATCGAGCGCTTGTGGAGCTCAAGCAGGACGGACATCTTCGCAAGCAGATCATGGGCATGCAAGGTGTAGAGTACGAGCTTTGCTGTAAGATCAGCGATCAGTGCTACGAGCGAAGAGTCGGGCCAGAATCACATACCCTACGGAGAGCGCTCGGCTTTTCGTCGTATACGTACGATCTCGACGCCTCAACTTCGAATCAAGCTGACATTCGGTCACAGCTATGGAGAACTTCATGCACCCGTTCTCCGTGACATCTTTGCTGTAACGGATTTGGGACCTGGTCAGGTCTTTGTCGATCTAGGTTCGGGTGTCGGCAATACGCTCATCCAGTCTGCCATCTCGTACGTTCAAGCGTTCACTGATATGCCTCGGCTCAAGTGACGCCGCCGAGCAGGACGGGCTGTGATGCATATGGCTTCGAATATGTGGAGAATACGGCCAGATTGGCAAAAGGCAATGTTGAGGAAGCACTTCGACGGATTCCCATGTGGGGTCTGCGGGCAGGCCAGATCAAGACCTACAAGGCCGACATTCGACAGAATGACCTGATAGAAGATCCCAGCATCGAAGGTGGCCAACTGCGCATCTCGGACATATTGCAGAGAGCCGATGTCATCGTACGTTCCTCTGATTTTCTGCCGGGCGGGGTCAGGCTCATTCGTCTGCAGCTTGTGAACAACTACATTTTCTCGGCAGAGCTCAACGACACGCTCAAGCTCCGCTTTTTGGAACTCAAGGATGGTGCTCAGATCGTCTCGCTCAAGCCGTTTGTCAGCGCAGACTTTGTCATCAGCGACCGCAACAACGGGAGCCCGGAAGCCATACTCAGATGGACGGGCGAATATGCCTACAACGCCGACAATGTCTCTTGGTAGGCTGTTCGAAAGCTCGGCACAGAGCTATGCTGATGCAGAAGCGTGCAGGGCGGGCAGCCAGGGTACTTTTACCGTTGCCAAAGTCGATCGAGGTCCAGTGCAAGCGTTTAATGCGCGACAACCCAAGCGCGCCTCTCGCAAGCCGGGCTTCTCGTCGCCGCTTGTCGCTGCAGGGTCACGTACGCCTGTGCCCAACAGCAGCAAGCTGAAGCCGAGTTCGACGGATCATGCAGAAGGCTTAGGGCAGAAGATGGTGGAACTGACAGATGATGATGCTGTACAACAGCTTGCTACATGACATGATGACATGCAGAGGACCCTTGTTGCTATCTGGGAATGCTGATGGCCGTCAGACGGCGGCCTCTTGCGGTTGCGGTTGAGCGGTCTGCGGCTTGGGTGAGATGGCTTGGGTATCGTGAGATTCTTTGCGATTGACTTCTTCGAGAAAGCGAGCATTGGCAGCATTGGCTTCATCGTTCATCTTGTCGAGCCATCGCTTGAGCAGAGCAGCGTTGTCTCTACTCAGGGCGTCATTGCGTTTCTCGAGCTGACTGTACTCGAGTTGCAATGTGGCGAGCTCATCTTGCAAGAACTGGATGTTCTTCTCGCGCTCCTTCGTGACGCCGCGGGCTTCTTCTGCCTTGCGCTTCAGTCGATCTCCGTCGGCCTTGAGCGTCCTCACTCTCTCTTCTGCCTCTTTGCCTGTATCCTCTTTCTCGCGCAAGTTCTCGGTGAGGGTGAGCAGTCGCTGAGCGTTCTGGGACTGTATCTTGTACAGTGACGACAGTTCCTCGCGCAAGGTGGCGATCTGATTCTCGAGCGAGGCAGTGTAAGCCTTTGAGATGGCGCCCTCTTCATGGGATTGCCCGCCACTGCTGGCATTGCTCGACATGGATGTCGTCCTTTGTCCCACGATGGGCACCGCGTGAGAGACGACGGTAGGACCGAGATTGGCAGACCGGAGCAGACTGGCATGTCTGTCCTTGCAGGCGAGTGCTTGCTGGATCCATCTCTGGTCTGATTTGCGGCGTCTTGGTCAGCGCACGCGTGGAGGAGGAGGAGGGGCTGCATGCTGGCCAGGGCAACGACTCACTGTGCTCGATCAACTTTGCAAGCGCCTTCTCACCCCTGTCTCGCTCCTTCAGGCTCGACAGGACCTCGTCTTGCCAACCCATCGCCATTGAGCCAGTGGGTCGAGCACCGAAGAACAAATCCCGCAGCGGAAAGAACAAAATACCGAGGTGGCGTCTGGAGAGACGTCCGAAAGCTGTGATAGCGACGCCTCGACGGCTATGTCGTACCGGTTCACGAGCCCGGCAGAGGCAGCAGAGCTCCTCAAGAGCGACACAAAGACAGCGATCATCGATGTGCGCGATTCAGATTACATCGGCGGTCACATCACTGGATGTATCCATTCACCCTCGGGTTCCTTTGAGAGTGACGTGGACAAACTGGTGAAGAAGCTCAAGGACGTGCCTGTCGTCATCGTGCATTGTGCATTGTCACAACAGAGAGGACCGAGCTGTGCGCGTCGGTATGCTGCTGCTCGTGAGGCTACAGATAGCAAGAGCGATCAGGACATCCTCGTCCTTCGCGGCGGCTTCACTGCCTTTCAAGCCCAGTACAAGGTAGATCGGCCCCGCTTGAGTCAATCGATGATGAGCTGGCACTGATGCTCTTGTGACGACAGGATGACCCTGCGCTCGTCGAAGGCTGGTCCAAGGAGATCTGGCAGTCGACCTATTGAGTTTCGGCAGATCATCGCAGACCATAGTCGACTCTGTCGGCAGTCTCGCCCTGGCCATCAACTTGGGCCGCACTCTCGCCCGCAACCACAGGCGTCTCAGTCTTGCCTACGCCAGCGCCAGAAGTCGTTGTCGCAGCCCATTCTGCTCAAACAAAGGCATCAGCATGGAGCGGAGCTCGAAAGCGAAAGGGGTGACGCACTCTTGCCCTTTGATGCATGCTTGAATGCCTCTCGAGCAGCTTGTATCCGCTGGCCTTCTGCCTTTCTAGATCGATTGCAAGTTTCCCAGGATGTCAGGCTGGCAAAGCCAAAGGTGGCCACTGCCCAATTTGTCGATGACCACACTCCTTCACCGTTTTGTTTGCTCAGCGTCAGTCAAACGCCAAGGCTACCTGAGGGCGAGTGGAGAACAAACGTTGCGAGCCTAAGAACCGGATGGCACCTACTGCCGTGCCGCCGCCAATGCCGATCAAGAGTGCATTGCGGGCGCAAGGATGTTGCAGCAGTCGAGTGAGATCCTCCCTCGGTCTGATCGATCTCAGTGCGATCATGAATTGGTTCGTGCTGCTCCTGTCCTGCCCTGGCAAGGCGGGTGCAGACATTCTTGACCACTCTCTCTGACAAAATTTATATTTTGAAGTCGATCTCGTCTCGACGTCGGCCGACCTGACTGCGAGCGACAGACGACAGACGACAGGGCAGACATGAAGCGAGTCACGAGGATAGCTCAGCTCGCAGCAAGGAGCACACAGCGACCTCTGATCAGGCCAAGTCTAGCGTACCAGCAACACGCTCAGACCAGACCGACATGGCAGCAAGATCTCCTGACGTCAAGACGATGTCAATCGACTTCGACCGCTTCGGAACAGCAGGATCCTTCCGTCAGCGCCAAGCCAGACGATGCAAAGGCTCAGCGAGCGAGCGACGCTGCACAAGCTTCACCTGAGGCGTTGGCGTCTGTAGAAAAGGACAAAGAGATCGCACGACTCAAGGTAGGCTTGTCCCCTTGATCGAGCTCCTGTTTGCGCGCGCGCAGAGCTCATGCGATGGCCGCACGTAGGACTCCCTCTTGCGCTCACTGGCAGACTATGAGAACTTGCAAAAGATCACGACACGAGAAAAGGCAGCGGCGAGAGACTTTGCCGTCCAGAAGCTCGCCACCGATCTCGTCGCCAATACTTACGACATCCTCTCCCTCGCTCTCAAGTCTGTGCCCGAAGCCAAGCGGACAGACAAGGCCAACTCGGCAGAGCTCGTGGATCTCTACACGGGCGTCTCGCTCACCCAGACAGAACTCGAAAAGGCACTCAGGAGGGTCGGCGTCGAGCAATTTGATCCGACAGGCGAGAAATTCGACCCCAACTTTCACGAGGCGATGTATCAGGCTCCCGTGCCTGGCAAGCAGCCGGGCACAGTACTAGAGTGTCAGAGAAAGGGCTGGACCATCAAAGGTCGTCTGCTGAGACCCGCTCAAGTCGGCGTTGTGCTCGATAGCGAACAATAGAGCGCCAGCAGATAATGCATTACCACTCGCAGCTTCATGTGCAGCTCGGCTAGCTTCTCAGCTCGCCACAGAAGCAGGTGGAGACCGGAACTGACTCGCGTCTGACCTGCCTCTTGTGCTGCCCCTGGCGCCGTGTCCGTGGCCAGAAGGCCTGCCACGTCGGGCGGGACTGACCGGCGGCGCTTGTCGATTGATGATTTGCTGAGGTCCGCCGTTCGTGTGACCTCTGCCTCGAGGCGCACCTCCGCGTGCAGGGTGACCTCCCCTGCCGTTGGGGTGTGACAACGCAGCTGGAGGTGGCACGGAGTTGTATGCTTGTGCTGCTGGCTGGCGTGCAATACCCAGAGCTGCTTCGAGTGGATTCTGTACTGGCAAGTAAGCCTGGCTGGACTCTTGTCGTGCTGCAGCCTGGTAGTTGCCAGAGAAGTCGCCTCGACCCCTGCCACCACGTACTGACGTGCCTCGTGTCATGACGGATACCGATGCGCCTCTGTAGCTGCGTGTATCAGCGTGGTTTACCAGACTCTACCAGTAATGATCTCACCTTGCTGCTCCACGCTGCGCAGGCGTGTAGAAATTGTCGCGAGCACTTCGCTGAGCAGTCGTGGGTGCGCGGGCAGGTTGAGCAGGCTGCGTTGGCCTTGTCGAGACAGCAAACTGTTGCTGCGTCAAGTTGAGGACGGTCGTGGGCTCTACAGAAAGTCCTCTGTATTCTGAGCACCGTCCATTGAGCGTATGGCCACCCATGAAGGGTACGTCGACGACAATATCGATCAATTTGACTTGGACGCCGACGACAGTGCCCTTTGCTGCGAGAGGGACGTGACCGATATCACTCACAAAGATGATGCGATCGCCGGTCGTAAACGTCTGCTTCTGCAGGCGTGTGCCAGTATGAGAAGGTCGGAGCAAGCTGCTGCGCGGCAGTCCACGGAAGACTTTACGCTTGAACTCGGTTTGGCTGCGCAGATTCTGCAGCTCGTCCGCTTTCGCTTCGAGTATTTGCACTTGCGCCTGTCAGCCTGCATCGTTAGCGCCCTCAAAAACGCTCAACACGTCAAGAAACTGACCTTTTCCAATTGATCGGCATTCAAAGGAACGCGCTCAAAGTCCTGCGTATGCTCAGTGGTCCAGGCTTTGATCTCCTTTGCCTTGGCTTCGAGCATTTGCGCAGGATAGATATCGCTCAAGCTCTGTATATCGTGCTTGTTGCCATCGAGCGCTTGCACGATCTCCGGAAATTTGGCCTTATATGAGGTCAAGAGTTTGAGTGCACGGCTGCTGTACTCCCATCCAAAATCATTTCGGCGCGTATAGCCCAGAACTTTCTGCGCTTTTGCTTCGAACTTCAGATTGAGACCAGCATTGATTTTCTGCTCTTTGTATGCGAGCAGTAGCGATGATGTTAACTTTGACAGCGTTAAAGCAGACATCTTGAGCCGACGAGATACCGCCGGGGAAGGCAGGTAATTGGCCTGTGGCAGAGACTGGTAAAGACTGCGGAAGATCTCGCGCTCCTTCGCATCCAGCGCGCAAGTGAACGTCTGGATTGCAGCCGTATTGCCCTCGTGGCCGACGACCTTGGCAGGGGCGCCGTACTCGCCAACGCCAAGGAAAAAGATATTCGTGTTTTCGGGGAAGTCGACGTTTATCGGCGCCGCGGCTTGTTCTAGATATCGCGCATCGACAGAAGAGACGTCCTGTACGATCGTCTGCAGGGCCTGCTCGTTCTCGTTGACCTCCCATTCCTTGATGAGTGCGCCATCGTCGAGTCGCTTCAGACCCTTGAGAAGCTTGACATGAACGAGCGTCTCGACGCCCCCGATGATGACACCAAAACGCTTAGAGTACGTCTCTTCGATGCGATCAGCTGCCTTGCGCCAGCCTCGGATGAGTTCAGGCCGATGAGGAATACTATCGATTCTGCCAGGCGCGACGGGCGATGCCTCATAGCGGAATAAGTCATTCGAGATGGCGACGACGAGTGCTTCGCGTAGATAAGGCCAGCCGACGTATATGCGCTGTCCAATGAGCTGTTGCGCAATCTCTTCCGGCTTGCCATCTTCTATCGCATCATCTAGCGTGACGACGATAGATTCATTCTTTGAGTCGAATTGGAATACGTTGACGGAGTGATAGCCTAGTTGCGCGGTGAATTGCACCGTATGTAAAGATGGAAAGCCAGCCACGGCGTCTTTGCCAATCAGAGCGCCTTCGCAAAGACCCTTGACAAAGTCAAGGTGCTCCACTGTCGGCAGGTGGTACGGCAGCATCTTTGTCTGACAATTCTGTAAATCGGGGAAAAAACCCGGCAACGAGCTCGGGTAGGTAGCAAAGTGTGCAGCATCGTAAGTGAAGATGTAGCTATCGCCCCAGGTGTTCCTTTGCTGCTCGTCTGGCGTCAAGCGCGCACTCCGACCTTCCATCGCGTGCAACAGCCTCGCTTGGTCGATAAAGGGAATCTTGACCACTGCTTCCCAATCTTGCTTCTTGCCATTCAAGTCTAGCTTGAAATCACGGGGGTAGAAGTCCTTGATGGGCGATTCCGGGCTGGTGAGCAAGTCTCTGTAAGCTTCCGGCAGAATGGTTGCGCTGAGATCGGGCAAGACGCCCATGAGCTGCTCGAATGGCTTGAAAGGTCGGCCGAGATCAAAGACAAACTCCATGTGATCTACGTTCTGTAGATCTGTAAGAATGTCACGTCAGCGCCCGTGAGCTGACAGTTGCACAGGTTGCTTGCCTGAAATCTTCGGGGCATAGTGATAGTCATAGAACCAGCCCCAAGAGGCTACGCCGTCGTAATAGTAATGCAGGACCCATTGTAGCCCTTCGATATATCGGAATGCAAGCTGATGTAAAGCTGGCTTGTCTGTGAATTCAAATTCCAATTTGTCCTGTGGCACAAATGTCAGCGCTATCCTATGACATCGACAGTACGCAACAGACTCTGTAGTAGTCGGTCTTCCACGCAGACATTTTCTGCTCAAGTTTCTGAGCGTAAGAGTCCTCAAAGTCTGCTTCGTTGAAGTCGGGCAACGTCTGTGCTTTGTCGTACTTGGCAAGGATGCGTGAGATGGCCTCCTTCCATTCGTCGTCTTCGTGCGGAGAGGATGATGCCTCCTCGTCTTGCCACGCGGGATCGTCAGCGTCATCGTCGAGATGTGTAGCTGCGAGCTTGGATGAAACCGAACCGTCTGCTGCTGCTAGGCTGAGCATTTCTTCGTCGAAACGAAGCGCTATGACGGGCTTGTCGTCCTCGTCAAACTCGTCAAAGGTGATGAAGAGCCTTAATTCGTTCGCAAGATCTGACAGAAACCTTCTATCTCGTGCAGGATATTTTGCAGGCAGCGTCATGACTGCATCGCTTGTGGGTGCATCGAGATGGGAAAGGAGCCAAGTTTTGACTTTTCTGAAGAGCGTGCGTTGCTCCTTGGTCAGGACGAGCTTGGATCTTGCGCGAGCCTGCTCCATGGCTTCGATGTAGTTCTGTTGCTTGCCTTTGAACCAATTGCTGTCTGCGTATTCTTTCTCAAAGTTATCGCTCTCGAAAGATTGTAGCTCTTCGAGGATGAGAGATAAGCGGTGCGTGTTGAGCTGACCGTGTTCGTTGATGTAGCCGCCCGCTTTGGGCAAGACGCGCTTGTAGATCTCGAACAGGAGCGTGAGCGCGCCTTCGTTGATGTGTAGTCCCGGAAGATGCGGCAAGAAATCGTTACCGACAAAGATGGCAAGCAATATAAAGTCATCGATGATACGTTCGAGGTCGTATTGGAACCCTAGCGTTGGATCGGCGGCGAGTGACTGGAATTCTAGATCGAGATATTCTCGAAAGAGCGAAAGATGGAGCAGGTAAAAATTCTTGGTCTCTAGACTCTGAGAGGTCTTGCGTGCCTTGCCGAAGACGACCTCTTCTCGCAGGAGACAGAAGTGAGGATCGTGACTGAGCAAGCCAAGCATGATGAGATCGGCGTCCAGGCCGTACAGACAATGTCTGACGTTGGGGTTGTATCCCGGCTGAGCTTTGGAATGGCGGATGAACTGCATAATCTTGTGCTCGCCCTCTCCGGGGACTTCGTGGCCGCTGAGGATGACTTGGATGCCCTGCCAATCGGCATCCTCTGATACTTTCTTGTTGACAAAGTAGCGTAGCTGGGCAGACAGACGGGTCATGAAGGGCGTGCCTGGCGTGATGGCATTGCTGTCGAAGGGATCCTCCTTGGGAAGTTCTTCTCCTTTGCGGATGGCGGCATCGCGAGCCTCTTTGGCCTCCTTGGCTGTTCTGAATCGTCTCGACCGTTGCTGGTTCATCTTTGCACGCGGTGCTACGCCGTCGATGGCCATGACTGTCACCCGGGAAAGCAGTGAATGAGCATACGGCTGAGCTCGAGGATGCTGCGAGACGGACAAAAGGTCTGCTTGGGTCTGATCTTGCTAAAGAGGAGTTCGATGTAGGTGAAGATGGCGAGGAACATCTGCTCTTCGGTCACCCGATGGTGGACATCTCCGCCATCCTTGTGGGAGCAGTTGTGGATGATGCCGTTCATGTCGAGGTAGAGGTTGTCGAACTCGGGTTGCTGGCCCTCTTGGATCAGCTGTGAGATCATCGGGTATCGCTCCGAGACCCATCGGAAGAACTTGGGAACCCTGTCAGGCAAAGGCAGTGCTCAGACTGGCGACGCAGCACGATGAGCCGGATGACTGACCCCATCTTTGCCTCACTCTGACTTGCACTGGCAGTGGGCGATCGTCACTTGAATCTGTGAGGAGAAGGCGCGTATGTTGGGGCTATTTGATTTCCTGCGTGCCGCTCACTCGCTCCGACTTGTGCAGCAGCCTGCCGCAGTCAGTTGCCAGTCAGACTGCTGTCTCTCCGCTCTGCTGACCAAGCGCATTCGTCCTCAGGCTCGACAGGAGACATGTCGTTGCGACTGGCGACGCGAGCAAGTTGGACAGGCCGAGCGATACCGCAACTCAGACGAACCTACGCTGCCCGAGGCTCCGTGCTACAGCATTCCATCGAGAACGCGGAGAAGCAAGATGCGCAAGGGCCGCCGATGATCGTACCGACGTCTGAAGAAGTCGAGAATGACCCTCAGCTCGCCGGACTGGGATACCCTCAATTCAAGGGAACGAGCAGGCAGTGGAGGAAACCCTATGGCTGGTGGGACCCACAAGAACGGTGCGCTCGCCCTTGTTCGTCAGGGGAACTGTAGCTGACGCCATGGCTCGTGCGCAGGGTCAACTTTGGCGAAACGGTGAGTCTCGGTCACGTGTAATCTTGGCTCACAGCACCAGCGCTCATGCTCTTGCGATCCGCAGCGACACCAGTCTGACGAGACGCTGTCCATGTGGGGACCTGATGTCCATTCGACACCAGGTCCCTATGCTCTCAGAGCATTCGCCATCGCCGTCGCCGGATTCGCGTCTTTTGGCACGCTGATCTACTACAGCATGTCACCTCGACCCATCGCTGCTCGTACATACCCCTACGGCGGGCTCGTACAAGAGCTGTCCGGCACGACCGATGCTCAGTATGCAGTAGGTCTCACTCCTTCCGTGGCACTCAGGCCCGAAGCTCACGAGGCGGTCGTCGACAGGCGAGGACGCCGAGCGAGGGAGAAGACGAAGAAGAGGAATGAGCTTGTGATCCTCTGCATCGTGCTCTCTGTCTCGTGCTGCTGTGGGGATGAGTCAATGAGATGACGTGTAGTCAACTTGCCTCGCGTGTCGAACGAGCACACGCGTCTTTCGCCTAGCAGGCCAGCAGGCTCCACACAGGATGTCGAGAGCAGAGCTCGTACAGTCTGCCGTCTCCTTCCTGAGGGATCCTAGCGTCGCACAATCACCGATAGCCAACAGGATCTCCTTCCTCACCGCCAAGGGACTCACTCAGAGCGAGATCGATGAAGCCATGCGACAAGCCAATGCTACTGGCTATGCCGGTCCCTCATCGAACAACGCTTATGCTAGCCAGCCGCGGTACGGTCAGATGAGTGTCATCCCACAAGATCAGGGCCGAGATTGGCGGGACTGGTTCATCATGACCGTCATTGGCGGTTCGGTCGGCTATCTCACTATTGCCCTGGCGAGGGTAAGCGACGTACCTGGGCCCTCTTGTCAGACATGGTCTGAACAAACAGCGTGCGAACAGAAGTACCTGTTCCCGGCATTACAGCCGCCGACCTCGTCTGCGCTCACAGAGGCACAGGATGCACTGACTGCAAAATACGATGAAGCCGCTGCTGTTCTGTCCTCGCTCGAAGCGGACACCGAAGCGCTCAAGTCGGCCTTTGACGAACAATCTGCAAAGCTGGATGTGACCGTCAAGGAAGTCACTGTCGCGGTCAAGGCCATCAAGGAGAAAGAGGAAGAGCGAGAGGATGACATGAGGCAGATCAGAGACGAGATTGACGCCATCAAGGATATGATCCCCCGCGTCAGTCACTGCACCGACCGCTCATCCAGGTTGTACTGATATGGCCATTCGCAGATGCTCGAGAAGAACAAGGATGCTCAGAGTACCGCTCTGACAGATCTGCAACAGGAGCTCAAATCACTCAAGTCACTCCTCATCGCCCGGCGGCCAGGCGCAGTCTCCGGCTCAGAAGCAGCACCCTCGGCCAGCGAACCTGGTTCGCTACCCTCTGTACCCGCTAGCTCGCCCGGTATGCCCTTTGCAGGCAACAGATTCGGCTATGCCACCGGCAATAGCGCCTCTGTCCCCGGCACTGCCTCCTCTTCCTTTGCAGGTCTGACCTCCCGACCTCCAGGCATTCCCGCCTGGCAGCTTGCCTCGACGCCTTCGTTGAGTCCCGGCGCAAATGCAAACGCCCAAGCACCAGAGTCAGCAGACAGCAAAGAGGTGGCAGCGCCCGCTGCGCCTGCACCCACTCCGGCACCTGCCACTGCTTCAGCCGAGCCCGCGTCGTGATGTGTTGTACTATACGCTCTCGGTCGTGAATAACATGCAAGAAACATACATACACAACAAAATACGCATTGCTACCATCAACGCTTGCATTAGCTCGATCGGCCTCTTGCTGCTATATCCCGCTGGTTGCGTCGTAGTTCCTCTGGATGTAAGAAAGGCTCCACAAAGGCTGGCTCTGATCCCAGTGTGGCATGATCAAGCGCGGCAGTGTATGCACTGTCTGGCTCGGCAGGCGGTGTGATGGCAATGTCGATCGCGGGGGGCAAACTCGGTTGCGTCATCTCGCCCATCTCGAGATCGTCCGCACGTGCGCCGCTGGGTGTCGTCGTGTCCGTGTGACCCGAGCTTGGCACGGCAGGGCGTTCGCCTTCCTCGTACTTGGGCGCGTCGGGTCCCGCATAGGCTGGAGGAGCGTTGTGCACAGATCGTGCATCGCTGACGTCTGTAGCGTGCCTGTTGAGTCTGGGCCGGATGTGTAGGGCGGCAGGTAGACTGGGGAAGTGGAAATGAAAGTGCGAGTGCTGCGCGGCGGGCGAGACCGGGTTGCCGTTGACATCGACATCCTCTGCGAGTACGTGTGCGTTGGCATCGACGCCTGTGGCCGGTAGGGGCTGGGTGCCTGCGAGGTTGTGTGTCGTCTCGCGATAGGTAGGCAGACCGTCTGCTTCGCCACGTCGTGATTGGTCTATCCGCTCGAGGTTGATGTCCCGCCTCGTTCGAGCGCGCACTTTACGCGCGTAGATTATCCTCGATGCGATGGTGATGGCGGCGATGACAAAGACAGCGACGGCGACGGCCTGTTTATGTACGATGTCAGAGTCAGAAATGATCTGGCGGCGGCGGACATAGCGGGACATACACCATAGTACACGGCTGCAGAGAGGCCATTGCCATTGCCTGGCAGCTGATTAGGGAGCGTGCTATTGTTGATCCCGGGAAAGGAGCTATTGGTCGACATGTGTGCGAGTGGAGTGTGTCGCAAGTGAGAGCACCCGGAGTGCCTGCAATACTATCGAGACGTTCTGACTGGACTGGCGCAGACGTAGATCGGAAGCGTTTGCTGCTGCGATCACGACCAATCTGGACTCTTTGCACAGACCCTCGACGGTGTGACAACCCTGTACTGACTGTGCCCGGCCAATCACACAGTATCGAGATCGACGGATCGCAGAGCGGCAATGTGGACGTGGACGATTCGCTAACGCGGCCGGTCGCTCATCGGCTTCCCCGCCAGCAAACGAGCTTTATGCGCGCGAGACAGTCTCGATCAAAAGTGTGAACACCCTCAAGCGGCCAGGCAATGCCTGTTCCAACGCCGACGAGGTTCTCGCTGCACTCACGAAGAAGTTAGACGAAGCATCATGTCAGACGGTAGGTCATCACGCTTTCGGTCTCTTCGTCTCCATCCGGCACAACTGTCGAGCTTGACGCAGTCGAAGTAGCCACACTTCGCCTTCGCCTGCCTCTTTTTCCTTTCCCCTCTTTTTCCGCTTCAGCCGTGCCCGTCCAGCGAGGTGGGACGTAGCGAGCAGTGAGACTGACTGGGACTCCCGCGTTCGCATGTGCTCCCTTTGCTCCCTGTCCGCTCCTCCGATCGATCTGACGCCATCGTGACCCTCGCCTCGATATTCTTGGCTTGGCCTCTATCTTGTCTCGCTACTCGCCCGACATCCACCACCATCACAGAATACGGACAGAATGGCGGTCCTGGAGCAGGTCATGACAATGCCTACACAGGTGGAAGAACACCCTCGCCTCGCCGAGACCGCTCTCGCTCGCCCGCTCGGGCTGCCTATCGGTCAGTCTCTCCACACGAGCTCTTGTTCGCGGACAAGTCTCACATCCTACACAACGGTCAGTCCCATGCCCGCCCAGGCTGGTGGCGGCGAGAATCCAGGCAACAACCTTCACGTCTCTGGCCTCAGCAATCGCACAGAGGACCGTGACCTTGAGGATTGCTTCGCCAAGTTCGGCAGAGTGCGTCGATAGCCTCACACGCTCCGATCGTCGACCTGACCGTTCACGCGCTCGCTCAGGTTCAGAAGTCGGCCATCATGCGTGATCCGCACACCAAGGAATCCCGTGGCTTTGCTTTCGTCACCATGGAGTCTGCCGACGAGGCTGCTGCTGCCATCGACGGCATGAACGCCACCGAGCTCCACGGCCGCATGATCTCCGTTGCACTCGCCCGTCGTGGCCGTGCACGTACCCGTCAGTCCTCTTGATTGGGCTTTTGACAAGCTGGATGCTGAAGCATACGCTGACCAGCCACGCCTGGCGCCTATCATGGACCTCCCAAGCGTGATGTAAGCGTCCAAGGCGGTTACGGCGACCCCTACTACGGTGGTGGTGGCTATCATGACCGGTAAGTTGCGTTTGGACACCATCGCTTACAATGTGCTTTTCTCCTCCTTTCACCCCACTGTGTCGAAACGGTCCCTCTTCCTTATCTGACCCTCTTCTTCTTCTTCGTCACTCTTGCTCGCTCCATCGATCCTTCCACGTTGCGTTTTTGCTCGATAGGATATTAATGGCGCTCCTCCTCCCGCAAGGTACGATGACCGACGCGGCTACGATGACCGCCGAGGCTACGACGACCGTCGTGGCTACGATGACCGTCGTGGCTACCGCGATGATGCGCGCTCGTACGCTGCACCCATGCGCGATGACCGCTATGATCGTCGCGACGACCGCCGCGCACCAGCGCCCTATGACGACCGCCGCCGCTACGATGAGCGTGCTGCTCCTCGCTACTAGGCGCATCGTCGATGCGAAAGTATGTGATACCCAGTCTTGCCCCGTCAGACATGCTCAGACGGCGCTTTGCTCAGATGGCAACTTAAACTGCGATCACAAAAGAATGAAGAAGCACTATCGAGGTGACTGGCCAGGTTTACAACAAGAGCGAGCAGCGCAGTATCGAGCAGATCAGAGCGAGAAATGAAAAAGACTCGGAGATCAATCTATGTGACTACTACTACTACTTTACTTCTCTACCACGCTACCGCGCGCGTCCCGTTTTTACTGCTATCCCAACGACTCTCGTCATTGCACAATGAAGGGAGCCCACATCGTCGTCGTCATTTTCTGACCACCGCATTCGTCCGCTAAGCTAGTTCGGTCCGAAAATGCGCTGCTGTTGATCAGCCCGAAGCGGCCCACTGATTCGTCGCGCACCTTTTTGCTGCATCTCGTTGGATTCGCCTCGAGCCTCAACTCAGGTACGATGGACCGCAATCTGCTTAGCAACTTCTGCTCGTCGCGGCAATGCGTGAACGGCTTTGCAAACTCGAGCGAGTCGTCCATCGCGTACAGTCTAGTCTGTCCCCGCCTCGCCGCGCTGCGCTGCACTGATCAATGAACCTGCTCACGCTCACTGCTCTCGCGCCACTTCGCACAAGGTGCGTCATGCTCTCTGGTGTGATAGCCCACAGAGTTTTCACAATGCAGATCGTTCCTCAATGAGTGTCGTCTTTCCTGAACTGAATTGCCGATGTCAGCCTGGCGTGATCTTCGCTGATCACGAGTGACCTCGACGCCACCTTTCCTGATCGAGCTTTGGCTCTTTCTTAAGAACGAAGATGTGCCGTGGAACCGCTCACTCTCATCATTGCGTGTGCTCACAGAGATCGTCGAGGGCGAAGCAGTGACACGCACGGTACACCGAACATGCCTGCACCGGCCAGATTCCCTGTGAGTGACGAGAAGCCAGCTTGCACGAGTCGCAGACTGAAAGTGGCGAGTGACAGGATGGCAGCATCAACTACGCAGTCATATTGCGCAGCGACAGCTACAATGACGACGGAGATACATCGTCTTCCTTCAGCAGCGAAGAGGAAAGACCCGTCAGCAAGAGCAGCCCAAAGAAGAAGCCAACTGCTCGCAAGCTGAATGGCGTTTCACCTAAGAAGTCTCCCGCCAAGTCAAAGACAAAGGCTCCTGCGGCTGTCTATGATACCCCCAGCGAAGGTCCAAGTGACGATGAGGCCGGTCCAAGCGAGCCCAGGTCACCCTCACCAGAGCCAGAACCAGTCGTATCGACGCCCAAATCAGGAAAGAAAGCGGTCAGGTCTGCCCGCAAGGAGGACCGTATTGATGCGCCTCGAGAGCGAAAGGCTGCAAAGAGGAATGTCAAAGCCAACAAGGGCAAGACGAACAAGACCAAGCTTGCGCCCGCCATTGCACCCGTCGTCCCGAACGGCAAGCATGACGACGATAGCGATGACGATTCGTCTGACCGGTCAAGTGCTGTTGAGACCGAGGCCCTCAGCGAACGCTCGCTTGCAGTGACGAGCACGAAGAGTAGCAAGAGTCGGGCCAGTGGATTCTTCACGCGCGATATCAAAGTCGACAAGCAGGCCGATCAACGATCATCCGTCACTTCGCTCACTCGGGTGGAGAGACACTATCTCGCCAAGGCCCTCTGTGATCTGCAGATGCAGCGCGAGTTCTCTGCGCTCTCACAAGTCGGCGAGCTTGCGCTCTATGGCGCGCCATTTGCAGATCACGCGACCGGTCCCCTTTCCAAACCCAAGTCGGCAAAGAAAGGGCTCCTCGGCTTCGGCGGCGGTGCGAAGAAGGACGACGTAGATTTACAGAATTGGGATGTGCCATTGGATCCGCCTATATTGCGCTACCTCTTCTGGCGCTTCCTCTATCACTTTCCCGCGCTCCGAGAGGCAAAGGCATCATACTGGTACGGCCAGATACAGCCCTTCTTCGATGGCTTCGCCGAAAAGACCTTTTCGACGACCAGCGAGCGTTCAGAGCTCACCAAGCGACGCATACTCAGCTTCGGCTTGACGCGCATCCTAGGTACCTACTTTAGTACTTGCGTCACCGCTCTCGGCGACGTCGCGCCTGCTCGCCCGGACACGACACTCATGCGCAAGGTCGATCTGCTGTTCCCAGGCACGATGGATGAGATGGTCCTCACCCTCTATGGATCTCGAGAGAAAGAGCCCGGGTTTGGGTACAATGCCTGGGTCGCCATTCCCGAGAGTAAAGACGGTTATGGGGCGAAGCAGGCTTTCGTACTGTCTACACGTCTCACCGTCACGCCTGGCACGCCACTTTTCTTCGTCTCACGGACTTGGGCTGAGTTCAAGACGTTCTCGCGCGATCTCGAGATGCTCAACGATGACGACCGACTGAACATCCCCGTACTGCCGATGGGTCGCTCGTTCAGAGACGCTCCCGATCGACTCACGCTACAGCGCTACATTCGTACAGCAGTCATTGCGCTCTCCAATCCTTCGCCCTCGGTCAAGAAATCGCCTCGACTACAGAAAGCACGCACAAGACTAGAGCAATTCCTGCTCGACAAGCCTATGGACGTCTCTGAAAGAAGGCGGCGTGAATACATCACCAACAGCGATCGCGATGATCGCAGGCTGACTGAGCAGAGAGATCTCTGGCTCAGCTACGGCAAGCGCGCGCGCAAGCTAAGAACGTGAGTCTTCGTCATTTTAGTTGCGACGCAAATCTTATATGCGCACAGAACATACAATATGTACCGCGATGCTCTCATCAGCGCCAACGAGCTTCAACGGTCCTTTGATTTGCTCTACAAGCATAGCAAGATCACACAGCTTCCGCCCGTCTATCGCGAGACCGAAGAATTCGTCCGCATCTGGGCGGCTTACTTGCTGCATTACCTATTCGTGTCATCACCCAACGCCGCGGAACTTTGCCACCTGCTCAAGAGCTTTCACGATCTCATTCCATATGCACTCATCAAGGGCTTCTTGCGTATCGCCAACCCGACGCTAATGATCAAGGCGCTCGTCAACTTCATTCTTGGGCAGCCTTTTGGACAGACCAGCTTGTTCCAGCGCATCTTTAGCATCGTCTGCAACTCTGACATCAAGACTCGCACCAAAGACATCGAGCAGCTTCGCCGCCGCATCGGTCAAGATCAGATCAGTAACATCCTCCGCGACTATGTCAACCAGACAGACGAGTTACGCGAGGAGAGTCGCAAGATCAGTCAAGAAACAGGGCAGGACATCGTTTACATCATCCTGAAGAACAACAACCTAGACGACGCGAAACTCCACCAGGTCAAGGCTTGGCGTGACGCCTTTGCCTACATGCGCTGGACAAGCGCGGACGTCAGCACAGAGCTGCGCGCTTCTCGCACGGATGAGGAAGCTCTGGCAAATAAGTACAAGGAGCTCAAGAAGCTATTGCGAGCGTACTCGACCAGAAGAGACCGTCAGAAGGTTGTCGACATCGTCATGGAGTCCAACACGGCCACTATGCTCAAGAGCAGCATTTCTGTCTTCTATGGCGCTATCTACAAGATCGCGCAAGCCGCCAATCTTGCTGACCGGCTGGGTGACTTGCAAGCTTTCATCACAGACTTGCTAGCGACCGCGATGCAAAGCAAGAAGCCCAGCATAGCCGCCTTCATCAAGCTCGCCCAACGTCACGAGCAATCACTCTACTTCTTCTTACATGAGCTGCATCACAAGTACGTTCTACTGCTTCACTGAAACTCATATTGACCATCAAGCAGTGGTGGCGATCTCACCAAACCCATTATTGCATGGTCGCGAGGCGGGCTGAATTTCATCAAGAATGGCATACCGGAGTCACCGGGTGGATCTGGCGGCAAAGGGCAACGGCGATATGGCGTCGACGTCGATGGCCTGCTCGAAGGCGTCAGCAGCCGCGGGCAGGCCAAAATCTTGGCCGAAGTGCAGAGTGTTGCGTTATACACGAAGCAGAAGAAATGCGAAGCCGACATCATGCTGCGCTGCGACCTGCTAGAGGCATACGAAGGCATCAAACTGAATGCGGCGGATCTCTATTCGACGCTGGTCTCGGAAGACCGTGATGTTGCGGCCTACTCTGCTCGTGTAGGACGCAAGAGCACGCGAGACGAGTATCAGGTCGATTGGGCTTGGTTCGCTCATAGTGATCTGCTCAACAATCCAGGCGGTAAGATAAAGACGCGTTCTTCTGGGTCGAGTAGTGGCGGCTCGTCGCGCGGTGGTAGCGGTGGACCATCGCCTGCTAAGCGTCGTGTCCTTCCACCTGGCGAAGACGACAGCGATGATGATACGTATGCAGCTCATCCTACCGCTAGCTTGCCTCCGCCGCCGCCCTTGTTCGAGACCAGTAAGCTATTACCGCCGTATCTTGACAGCTTGACTGCCGTCCTCAAAGCGGCACGCAATGCGGACATTAAGTGACTGTGTAATCCAGTACTACTTGCACTGTTGTATGTTCGCACCTTGCATTCATTATTCGACAGACGCTTCCTCTCAGTAAGGGTCATAGTCATCATGCACATCGTAAATACAGGTGTCATACCACAGAGTAGCCCTCTGTACTGAGCAGAGATTCTGTGGAGTGCACCATTGGCTCGCCCGTGCTGGCTTGTGTGACTGACAAGACCTGTACATCACACAATTCAGGTCTTGCAAGAACGGATCCAGACCAAAACGCACCTCTACGCCACATAAGCCCTTTTCTGCGATAAAGTCGACGTCGATCGGGAACAGGCTGTCAGCGTCATCGCTCGGTAGACTGAATTCGAAAGCGCCCGAGCTATTATCCTGGTCGACGAGTGCAAGCTCCCAGTCGAGCGTATGATTTGTGGGGTTAACCGCATACGTTGCATCGTCCGAGGTCACGGTTGGGTACGCGCCAGCACTGCTCGGCGAGGATTAGCAGAGGTCGGCATGCTACTTGGATGTGCTCACGGCAAGGGTATCGAGATAATGACATTGTGCAAGGCCATCTCTGTATTTTGCAGCTCGTATTCGATCGTCACATCCAGTGAGCCATGATCGGTCGGCGATGGCCAGCAATTCACTGATGGTCCGGTCTCATCAGCCAACCCACTCGCAGACGGATGAAGCTCGCACTGACCGGTGAGTGGCACGATACTTTCGTCTTTGGTCGTCATTCGCCACCTGAGCACGCCCAGACCCTGCCCGACAGGGAAGCTTTTCTTTGCATCGCGCAAGGCGAGCTTCTTCGAGTCACTCCACGCTTTCTTATCAACGTTGGGGTGCGTGCGGAATTGCAAGTCACTGCCAAAGCCTTCAAGATAGCCAAGTCCTACGGCGATGCGAGCATGCTCGGGATCAGTGATGCGCAAGTCGAGATCTCCCTTGAGCTCGAAGGAGTTCAAGCCGCCATCTCTATTGACCTCCATGGTGACCTTCTCTTTGATGGCCAGATGTATCCTTATCATTGTCATCAGCAAGAGTCTACGTCCTTTCTGCGTCAAGGCTCACGTCTCTATAGTGTCTGGCGCGAAAGGGTTGTCCGCCTTGGCAGGCGGAGCAGGCGCTGGGATGGCATGCGCGGGCGCCGCGCTGACTGCAGATTGAGGAGAAGGCTGGCCATATGCAGCCGAGGCAGAGACGGGAGAAGGTGCCTCTGCTACCTCGCCTCCAAGGGCATCAATGAGATCGGCATTCTTACGGGCGCCCATCTTGCTTGAGGCGCCGAGCTGCATCCCTTTGTTCTTGACGGGACGTTGGGCAGAAGGGACCGGTCTGACCGTCGTGCCGCGTAATCAGTACGAATACATGGGAGCAAATGCGGCAAACTTGCGAAGAAGAGTAATCTTGTCGCTGTACAGGCGGAAGCGTTGGTGGGATATAAGCTCGGTCGTAGCCCCCACCGGAGCCATTTGACATGCTGATCATCAGACATCGTCATCACTGTGCTCAGGACAGCAAAGGGAGCGAGCCTACCCTTGGGCGCCATAGGGCGTCTGACCGCGTTTGGCCATCTCGCGTCTTTGCATTTCGAGCTGCTTTGCGCGTCTTTTGAGCTCTTCCTTGGCCTCTTGCTCCTTGTTCTGCAGTCTCGTGTATGAGCAGCCGCGACGAGGAGCAGGTGATGGCGCGTACCCTAGCAATCATCTCTTGCAGGCGCTCTTCGTGAGATTCCATCTCCATTGCCGCTCTGACTTCTTGCATGCCCACACGTTCGCGGTAGCCGAGCGAGACGACCTCATCAAAGCTACTGAGGAGCTCGAAAGCACAGCGAGAGACGTCGCTCTCCGTGACGGAGCCTCTGCCGCTGAGCGAACATATCTCGCTCACGATCCTGCTGACGAGCCGGAGTGTCTCGAGGTCTTGCAAGATGTTGGAGAGCGGAGGTGTGATGAGGAGTATATAGAGCTCTTCCTGATATCGGCCAAGCCAGGTCAGCATTGACCTTGCTCGAGCTCGCCGACGCACTAATGGCATGTAGACATAGCGCACGCTCTTGTCCGAGCTGAGCAGCGTCGTGTGTTGTACGCCTGGGGGGATCAGCTTGGGAAAGGAGAGCAGGAGTGATTCTATCCGAGACCGAGAGAGCGATGGATTGAACTGCCTCGACACGAGCGCTGTGACAGTCAAGGCAGGGCGTGAGTGAGGAAGAAAGGTGGTTGGCGCGAACGAGAGCATGATGTGGAAGTCGGTCAGCAAGTGCGCGACGCGGGAGGCAGATAGACGCACGTTTGCCGCCTTTGGTGACGATGGAGCAAGCGAGGATGACCTGACGAGGCACCCGTTGCGCTCAGCTTGGATACGCGCTGATGCCTGCCAAAGAGCTCACCATCACGGCTGGGCGCGCCTCGCTTCGTGCTCGTGTCGCCGGTCTAGCTCTCTGAGCGCTGCGGCCACAAGTAGCGGAGCCTGGGTAGACCACAGGGTGCGTCGGGCATGCGACGCCAACACGTCGCCAGTCGAATTATTCAAGTTTCGCGCTTGAAAAGTGGCCACAGTTTTGCCGTTGGCGCCGGCTTGAGGAAGGAAGAAGTCTCCTCAACGATGCAGATCTTCGTGAAGACCCTGACGGGTGCGCTCTGTCGATGCGACGGGTCGGCAACATGGGACTAACGTCTTCTCTGACAGGCAAGACGATCACGCTCGAGGTCGAGTCCTCGGACACGATCGACAATGTCAAGGCCAAGATCCAGGACAAGGAGGGTATCCCGCCTGATCAACAGCGACTGATCTTCGCTGGCAAGCAACTCGAAGATGGCCGTACTCTGTCAGACTACAACATCCAGAAGGAGTCCACCCTTCATCTCGTACTTCGGTCGGTCATCTCGCTCATTGGCGTCACGCAAGCGGGCTCATGTAGCGTGGCTGGCACAGTCTCCGAGGTGGTATCATCGAGCCCTCGCTCAAGGCGTTGGCCTCCAAGACCAACGTTGAAAAGATGATCTGCCGAAAGTGCTACGCTCGTCTCTCTGTGCGCGCGACCCAGTGCCGCAAGCGATCTGTGAGCCTCGGTCCCACCCACAAGCCGAACGACACTGACTAGGGTCTAATCTCAGTGTGGACACTCTACTCAGCTCCGACCCAAGAAGAGTGAGCACCAGCAGCAAACACTGGCCAGACAATGCTGACTCTACCTGTCGCACAGAGCTGAAGTAGTGGTCTTCATTCGGCCGCCCTTTTCGTTGTATGAGCATGCAAGCATGGCTCTCTCACCGGATCGTATGCGTGCATGATACAACAAGACACCTGGGCATGAACTCTACAGCCGCATGAACGGCGACGGTCGGTCTGTCAGGCTAGACGTGCTCGAGTTGCTGACCGACCTGACGCCTGCGCCGAGTCCGCTCAGATGTGCTCGTCGTGAGAAGCCGGGGTCGGCATCGGGTACGGGCAGCTCAAAATCGGCAGGAAGCTCGGCAGCATCTTGGCCGGTTGCTCGCGGCAGTCGCCTCGCAGATTCGATGCCGAGCACTTTCTGGGCTTTGGAAGCGACGGCAGAGCTTGGCAAATCCATGATAGGCCGATCGCCCTCATCTTGAGTAGCATATAGTGGCCCATGAGCCTGTCGACGGCCGCCGAACGCGGTAGCGATTGAGAATCGATGTCTGTTCCTTTTCGCCTCGTCCCTCTGTGAAGCGAGCGCGGCAGAAGGCAGTACTTCATCTTCTGCGCCTTCCTCGACCGACTCGCCCAGCTCGGCATCACCTCGCAGCCTGATCTGGCCCTCTTGCTGCAAGCCGAGCGATCTCAGTCTGGCAGCGTCGCGCAATTGAGCTTGGTGTCTTGATGGCCAACGGCAAGCAAAACTCACGCGTATTGGGTCGAGGAGATGAGGATCTGAGTCCGACGGAGGGCGAGGAAGAGCGAGAGGAGTACGATGAGTGAGACGAGGCCTGCGCAGGGTCATCAGTTTGCGCTGAAAGACGTGAGCGGCGAGCGAGGTACACATCCATAGCGCGACGGGCAGAGGTGCATGAGTGCCCGGACCGGCTCGCACTGGCGGATCTGTTGAGTCCTGGATGAGTGCTAGCCCTGAGCAAGCTTGAAGGGGGGAAGAAATACCTTCGTCCATGCTGTGCCCGCCGAAAGTTGAGCGAGCGAGCGAGTCGGCGGCGGCGGCGGCGGCGACAATGTCAATCGTGATCGACCGCGCATCAGCAAACCGACGACATCGGCTCGACATGGCAGACGCTCAGTCGGACGCAGACAAGGTCAGTCGGCCTTGCAGGATCAGCGGAGACATGCTGAGGTACGCTCGTGGGCGATAGATCCGGCTGAAGCGCATCGAACGCTTGGCCGCCCTTGCTGCAAAAGCGCCTTCAGACGATGCAGCACCTTCATCCTCCCCCACCAGTCAGAATGGAGCGAGCAAGCCAGCTGATCCTGCAGGCACGCTCAAGCGCATCAGACCCGACAGTCAAGCTTCAGTCAGGACGCCAGCGGGGTCCGCGAAACCGACGGATGCGCCAGTCGCATCAACCAGCAAGCTGGCTACGAGCGAGCCTGCCATCGTACAAAGGCCGAGTGAAAGCACGACCGTCAGCTTTCCTGAGCCGTTTGATAGCTGGCAATCCGCTGCACTCGCACGCATACTCAACGTCACACTCGATATCGCCACGGCAGAGAAGAGCAACTGGGAGATCGTGTACCTCAAACAACTCAGGACCGAGCTCATCGAGGAGGACTCCCGGCAACGTGACCCGGCGCTGTACGTCGTAGCTCCGAGCGAGCAGATGACAGACGGCGATTCAGAGAACGGCAATGCCGAACGCGCCATCCTTGCCCGACTTGCCTTGGATCCCACCGACATGTCTGACGATCCAGAGGAGATCACCGTCCTGGCTGGAATGAGCCAGATCAGCCCGTTTGAGTACCTCGTCGGTGCTTGGCAACGATCGAATGAGGAACGAGCAAAGATTGCGAATGGTGTCCGTGGCAAAGTCTTTGATCCCACAGAGACTTCAAAGCGCCTTCACGTCCTCGAACGCATTCGCCAGCTTCTGATAAGCTATATCGGACTCGATCTGCAGGAGACCTCGATCTTCGTACAACCTGACGGGTTTGTTATCTCGAAGGCTCACCACGGACACGAGCTGACACTCGGAAATTCCCTCACAGCCAGGATGTGGGCGACATAGAGCTATTCAATTTGATGCTCAATAAGCATCAGAGCCTCAGACTTACGCCCGGCCAGCTGACGGTGCTACTCGGCGAACTCGCCAAGCGCTTCGAAGACGACGGGCTCGAGGATCTCATCGGTGCAGTAGCCAGGCGGCTGTCCCTGAATATGTTCCAGAATCGCAAAGTCTACAGCCTCGGGAACATGGATGCTCCTGGCGCATGGCAGCAGAGCTTCGCGGCTCTTCGACTACTCACATCGAACAAAACGATTGCTTCCACTTTTGCCTCCCTGCCACAATTCGATCCAGATGCCGAGCCTCGATTTATGCAGATGACCTCTCTGCTCGGTCCTTTTGATCAGATCAGCGTCTTTCCAGACGATGCGCCAGAAGTCGCAAACGAATTCTTCAACAATGAGGAGGCCGCCGATCTCGAGGACAACGAGACACACGACGGACAGTCGGGCTCACTGCGACGCATGCTTGCATCAGTGCAGTCTGAACTATTCTCGGTCTACAACGATCTCATTCGATCGAGTCCCAAGGCAAGAGAGAACGTACTCAACCATTGGGCCCATATCGCCAACCAGAATGCAAAGCGAAGTGCCATACAGCAGGACAAGATGAGGATCGCATCCGACGGCGTCATGATCAATCTGCAGACCGTCCTCACGCAGTTTGCAGAGCCTTTCATGGATGCCTCGTATTCAAAGGCGAGCTGGGCTCGCTCGGCAAGCGAAATGTACTGATCGCGCGAGGTACTCCACAGATGGACAAGATTGACATTGAATACTACCTCAAATGCCGTAGATTGGACATCCGCGAGGAGACCAAGATCAACGCAACCCAACAAGAGGCAGACGACTATTATGCGCTCGCAGACGGGCAGCCGGCACCAGGCGCCAACTTCATCTCAGACATCTTTTTCCTTTCGGCCGCGTACCTCCACCTGGGCCTCATGAGTGCACTGAGCCAGCACAAGCGCAGCATCAAGGACTATGGTCGATTCAAGGATCATCTGGCTGAATTGCGAGAAGCAGCAGAATCGCACAGAAGTGTAAGCGCGCACGGCTGCCTAGTCCCTTGCCGGCGCTGATCCCTTGGAGCCAGAATGCGCCTCTGTATGCTCGCTATCAAGCAGCCATAGAGAAGCTACGGCATCAAATGCGCGGCATCTCTGCGTCTCAGTGCCAACTACACAGCCCTGCATTCCTCAATTCGCAAGCGACCTTCTGCAACTTTATGACAGTCTGGCTCGTACGCGCGATGGATCCACAGCACAAGCACCCTCAGACGGCGATCACACTGCCTTTGCCTACCGAGCCTCCCATCAGCTTCAAGATGCTGCCAGAATACCTCGTTGACGACGTGACCGAGTTCTTCACTTATGTCTCCCGATACCGCCCAGACGTGATGTCTCAGCTCCGTCTCGATGATCTAGTGACGTTCATCATTGTGGTCTTGTCGACCCCTTACGTGAAGAACCCTTTCCTCAAGTCAAAGTTCGTCGAGATCTTGTTCTACAATACCCGTCGGCAGACTCGTCGCGATGGGCATGATGGCGTCCTGGGACCGATCATCAATACGCATCCTCTAGCGCTCAGCAACCTCATGGGCGCTCTCATTCATACCTACGTCGAAATCGAATCGACTGGATCCCATACGCAGTTCTACGACAAATTCAACACGCGGTTCTATATTTCCCTTATCTTCAGAGTCGTCTGGCACAATGCCGAACACCGCGAAGCACTCAAGAGGGAAGCCGGTGATACGAAGCGGTTTGTGCGCTTCTGCAACCTCTTATTGAACGATACAACATTTTTGCTCGACGAATCTCTTGGCAAATTCAGCCTGATCAAGGAACTGGATAAGCTCATGGCTGACTCTGCTGCTTGGTCAGCGCTCACTGAGGAGGAGCGCAAGGCAAAATCTAAGGAGAAAGCCGATTACGAAGGGCAAGCACAAAGCTATCTACAGCTGGTCTACGAATCTGTAGGTCTGCTCCGCGTCTTCACCGAAGAGACGACGGCGCCTTTTGTTCGGGGCGAGATCGTCGATCGTCTCGCTGCAATGCTGGACAACAACCTCGACGTCCTCGCAGGGCCAAGGTGCAAGGATCTCAAGATTGCCAACGCCGACAAGATCAAGTTCAGGCCGAGGGAGCTACTCGCCGACATTCTACAAGTCATCATGAATCTCAGCAGACGTGTCGAGTTTGCTACTGCCGTAGCGAGGGATGGGCGCAGCTATAGCAGGGAGCTCTACTATCGCGCAGCGGGCATTGCCGTCCGCGCTGCGCTCAAAACGGAACAAGAGATGGACGAATTGCGCAAATTCGTCGATCAAGTCGAACAGATTGCTGCCGATGATAGAGATGATGAAGCAGGCGAGGATGTGCCTGAGGAGTTCATGGGTAGGTGTCCTGACTCTTCACTGCGCGATTTGCTCAACGCTGTGGCCACGCCGCACAGATCCGCTGACCTATACGATCATGCGCGATCCTGTGCTGATACCGAAATCGAACAACATCCTCGATCGCACGAGCATCTCCCAGCATCTGCTCTCGGAAGCGACAGACCCGTTCACTCGGCAACCTTTGACGATTGAAGAATGCGTACCGGCTGTGGACCTCAAGAGCCGCATCGACGCATTCCTGCAAGCCAAACGCGACGCTCGAGCGCTCGGCCACGCTACGACATAGATCACGCGGCCCTGCGAAGGCGATTGTTATATCCGACGGGCATTTGCAAGCAGTACAACATAGCAATGCGTCCTCACGGAATCTTGGCAAACTTTTCCAGACGCGCCCTCGATATCGCAGGATCAACTTCTTTATAGTAGAGATGCGGCCTCGTCTTTGTCTTTGTGAAATGCTTGTCGGGATCGTCGCGCGGTCGAGGCACGACGATAGGTTCTGGCGGTGGCCTGGCACGTATGGAGGGCGGTGCAGGCCGGGTTGCATTTGGCATGAGATCAGCTGGGAGCGCAGAGGCGAGGCCCCTGACTTGTAGTCTGGGCGCACTCTTGACGATCCGTGCTGCGAGATTGCCGGACCCGAAGGGGACGAGCTTGTACGACCATTCATCGTCTTCGCTGGCGATCAAAAGCTCGAGTCTGCCGGACCGCTTTGCTTTCGCTTCCTCTTCTTGGCCGATCAGACTGGGAATCTTCTGCGCAGGGACGTAGGATAGGTAGAGCTCCTTGCCTGTGCCTGCTGGCCATTGCAGACCTTGCAACGCTTGCATGGCGGCTTTCGACGCGTCTAGGCTAGCGTACTAAGTGAGACCCATCAGCAGCGCACGATCGCACGGAGAAGAACATACGACGATGTACGCGTGAGACTTGACAGCGTCTAGCCAGAAAGTTTGCAGCTCGCCGTGTTCGCTGAGCAGCTCCTTGAGCTGAGGTGGGGTAAAGGGCCTCACTAGGTTGGCGAGATATAGACCGGCAGAAGGCGGTGGTCCATCGTCTTCCTCGCTCGGCTGGGGCTTGCTCTGTTCAGGAGTAGGTGGATTCGACGTCTGCCTCTCTTGGCCGAGGGCAGATCGAGCGAGCAGGCTTGGTCCATCGTGTGCACCAAGGTCAGCCTTGACGCGTTTGCTAGCAGGCTCTTCGGCCTTTGAATCCTCAGTTGCGGGCACCATGACAGAGTCCTCAGACTCATCGACTGGCTTGGCGTCTCCCTCTGTATGCTCGTGCTTGCGCTTTGGGGCACCCTGACTCGCAAGCTCGGCCGTTGTCTCAGGCATAGGCTTGCCGGTTCCTTCTATCTTGCCTTCGACGCCCGCCTCGCCTTCCGCGGATGAGAAGGCTAGACCAGAGTTGCGTTCGATGGGATCCTGTGCAGCTATGGCAGGCTCTGCGATGACGGGCACAGGCTCTGCTTCGAGTTGAACGTCCTGAGCTGTCGTGGCCGGCTGATCTTCAATCATTTGCTCGTTGGCTCGGTCTTGAGGGTCAGTCACGGCTTCGGACGGCTCAATCGCTTCTTGCATGCCTTCGTCTGGCTCCGTGACGGGCACAGCAGGCATCTCTTCAGGCAGACTTGCGTCGACGTCAACGGCTACTGACGGTGCCTCGGCAGTTGTCACGCCGGTCGAATCGGCCGCGTTGACTCCTGTCGGGACGGAAGCTGGCGGTAGGACACCTTGCTCGATCGCAGCATCGCCCAACACGGGAGCGACGTCTTGAGCGTCTTTTTGTTCGGTAGACGCATTGCCGGTACTGTCGGCCTCGAGAGCCGTCTGTAAGCGTGTCACTAGCTCAGCTTTGAGGCCTTTGCTCGGCAGACCTCGCTTGCTGAGCTCTTCTCTGAGCTCGGCAACTTTGAGCTTCGCCGGCTCGACCATTGGGCCTCAACGATTGATGAACAGTGAAGCCTCTGAGGTTTCGAGTGTCTGCTCGCGTAATTCTTCCGCTGCTCTGTTGATTCGCCTCATTCCACGTTTGCGAGCAGAGACGATAGACAAAGGGCTTCATATTCGCACAGGACTGTGTCTCCAAGGATTGACTGCCATCTGGACTCACAAGCCTCTGCGGATAGCAACCTGCCGCCTCATCACTCCACACGCAGAATTTTCTATCCTCCCCCTTATTCGCTTGCTCGTCCTTCTTCAGTGGACGCAATGAGCTGCTATTGGGCTATGCTCGAGTAACGATCGAGCTGGAAAGACGAAAATGCCAATCATTTCGACTTTCAGCGACGCTCATCTGGAGCAAGGCCACGCTGGAGGCCTTACGAGGTTGCGCGACAAGTTTCTTCTTCGAGTTGCACTGATTGCTGCCACTGATGACCCTGCAACGCTGTTACAACAAGCATTGTACGATTCATTGAAAGACTTTGACGATGCCAGAGCGGTCGCCTGAGATGACGCAGGAGAAGGGCAGTTCTGCCGTCGCGAGTGCAGTGATGGCATCCTGGTGTCCTTTGAGCAGCGTTTGCTGATACTGTGCGATTAGCGTGGCGCGATGCATACGCGAAGGCGTCCGTCGTGACGGGTCTGGCCGCTCCTCGTGCTGCAGCAGATTTCCTTTGCGCTCCGATCTGTCCTCGCTATGTTAGCCAGAGATACACGCACAATTGCACGGACAAGATTGACATACACATAGATCGGTTTGAGCATGTCAGGGTCACCTCCGCTCACGATGTACGAATCTTGCATGTCATGTGTCGACCAGGACCGCAGCCTGCGATCGTCGCCTGCAGTCAAATACAGTCCTGCCGGTGGTGTGCTGACACTGTCAAGAGTCCTATCTGATACGTTTGCAAGAGCATCGTTCGCAGTTTGAGGGTCTCCTCGAGATATTGCGAGCACGCCGGGCTCGGCGGCCTCGGCTCGAGCAATAAAGGTGAGCGTTGAGGCTACTGCCCGCTTTAGCTGATCTGGCGGGTCCGATCGAGCCATCTCGAGCCATCTCGCAATTGCGTCTTCCGTCGTGCTCTGGCCAGCGAGTCCCGATGAAGCTGGTATTGAATCGTCGCTCTTGCTGGAAGCGACTGCCAATACTTCTGAGCGCTCGAAAGTGGCGAGATCCCAGGTGGTCAATGCAGGAACCGGCGAGCTCGCGTCGCTTTCGGCTGCAACATGAAGCCAGCGAGAGCTGTGTGCGTGCGCCTGCAAGCGTGTAACCCTACCCGCTGTAGTCACTTGCCATGCACGGATCAGCAAGCCAAAGCGCATGTCCCACAAACACACGAATCCGCGTGCGGTCCCGATAGCGAGCCAGACGTGCTCGTGATCAAGGCAGATGGTTGTTGGTGGTCCATAATGATTGGGATTCTGCCATGTTTGTAACGGTCGCATCATGGTAGCGTCCATGCGCGTGATTTGACCCGAAGCGGTGCAGAATACCAGATGTGTGCCAGAGTCGGTCTGCAAGCTGACCACGTCGGTTGCGTAATCATTCTCAGGCTCAATACGGTATGATCGTATGAGCGTGGGCCTGCTATAGCGCGGCAGCGGGATACCAGTATTGACGTCGATGCGATGAATCAAGAGTGTACCGTGAGTTGATACAGAAGCGATGCAGTGCGTGCCGTCGATGACTACAGCGCTTTCAATGCGCCCTCCTTGCTTGATAGTGTATTTCGATTTGCTGGAGACGTTACGCTCGATAGAAGTGGTGTCCCACACCTTTAGTGTACCGTCGTCTGATGCTGTGCAGAAGAAGATATGATCTGGCGAGACAGCGATAGAGTTGATGCTGCCGGTGTGCTCGCCGAGATGAGCTACGACGTTGTCTGGATTGCGCTTCTGATGGCGATCTCGGTTTGCGACTACCAAGCGCGTCAGGCGACGACGAGGAACGCCAGGCCTGACTGGCGCGCCAAATTCGGGCACAGCTTGTTTGAAGCTGCTCCTGTATAGCTCTTCCAGCAGATGCTTGATGCTCTGATCGTTCCCCTCTGAGTGCCGCTGGATCAGTTGCGCGCAGGCAGATGAACGAGGACCGACCATAGGAAGTTACGAGTCGGTAACCAGCACCAAGGCCGACTTGACCATGCAGGGTGCTCGGAGCCAGGCCGGATACTATTGTTGCATCGTCTGCGCCGCCTTGCAGCTGACCATCAGCAGACGCATCATCCCTGGCCGAAGCCGGCTGCCCGTGCCCCAATTCTATGCCATTCGATGTCAGTCGTTTCGGAGTCGGACTTGCTTCCGATGTGCCAGCTGTGGACGAGGCCGCGGTGATGTTGGTGGCAGCGGTATAAGTCGTACTAGTTGCGGAGGCTGAAGACGCTACGCGAGCACCAGAACGCAGATCAATTACAGATGGTGATGAGGCATTTTTGACTTGCTTCTCATTTTCACCTATAGGTGAGAGTCGCTTCGGGTTGGTCTGACCGACATGCTTGGCGATACTGGTGATACGACGCTTGTCTGCACCGCTCGCAGACGCCTCCGGCTGAATGCAAGGCTGCGTAGAGAAGAAGATCGTCTGCGGTGTGATGCCTAGAGCTTGCAGTTGCAAATGAGCTGCGTAGGGGATGTCGCCGCTGTTTTGCCTTGCCGTTGTGAGTTTGCTGATGTGATCTCGCAGAGCAAGTAGCTTGATCTCGTCGTTCGGCCCCATCCCGAGCTGTCTAAGCTTGTCGAGCTGAGCCGAGTCTTGATCAGCCGAGGCGATGAGACGTTTTTGAAGAGCATCCAACTTGTTCTTCGATCGCCAAAAGTCGGATCGAGGTAGTCGTGCTGCCCACGTGATAGCGGCTTCGAAGACAGCTCGCGACAGAGGCTCACCCAATGCTGTCAATATGGCGACTTCTGACATATCAGCAATATCGGATCTGAGCAGCTGTCGAACGCGCGGGTAGAGCCCGCACCAGGCTTCTGTCGTTGGCAGAAGCTGAGCTAGCGAAGCGATGAGTGACGCAGCATGCAAGCGCAGCCAATCGTTTGGGTGGCACAGAAAACAGAGGGTCGCGCCCACAACTTCATTCAGCCTTTCGCGGGATATCAGATCGAGCTCGATCATAGTCTTGAGCGAAGCGAGTGACCGCGCAATCACGAATTCTTCAGAGTCTGATGTGGCTTGTATGAAAAACGGCAGCAAATAGCGGTCCACGCTCGTGCTGCCGGCGCAGGTCGCCACGCCTACCGTCGACTCGAAGAAGGCAGCGCGCAGCTGCCAATTGTAGTCATTGAGATAAGTCATCATGTGGCTCAGGAGAACATCGTTGGTGCGGTGTCGCTCGAAGAAGAGGCAAAGGGATGGCATGCTACCCAGCAAAGCGCGCTTGACGTTCGCCGACGAATCGCTGAGCAGCTCCGTGACTTCGCTTTGAATCAAGCTATGTAATTCGGCCATGGCGCCATCGTAGGACGCTTCAGGCGCTTGCGCATCTTGCTGCAGTGTGGCAAGCTTGAATTGTGTGTGAATTCGCATGGCCTGTGCCATCTCGACGTGTCTTGCGCCTTGCTCCGCAAGGACAGGGAGACAAAGCGCGTACATGCATCTGACAGACTCTTCCGGATCGACAGAGAAGAGTCTGATATGAGGCATGATATATTCGGTAAATACGCTGGCGTTGGCAGGCGTGATAGTCGTGATGAGCAGTAATGCCTGCGTGACCGAACGCAGAGCAGCAGACCGGACTGTGCCTACCTCGTCCTCTAGCAGCGAGATTAAGTACGGCACGGCGCGGTCAAGTATGGCTTGGTCGCTGAGATGCTGACAGAGCAAGATCATCATGTCCATCGCATGTAACACGGCGGCTTGTCGGGTCGTGTTGCGCAGATTCGCGCAGATCAAGTTGAGGACGACGAGCGCAAGTGGATCGTCGTGTTGCTGCACGCTGGCCGACATGCTCGTCCTCAGAGCATCCTCGTAGCCTGGTATATCTAATCGCAGGGGAAAAGTATCTATAGTTCCAGGGATGGTCGCAATGAGCGACGAATAGCGAGCTTTGTCGGTCAAGTTATCGATGACAGCAGCAAAATCTTCCCAGATTCTCTCGAGGCGGGTATCTGAATCTGTCCGGAGGGGAAGCACCCGCTGATTGCCCGCCATCGCGTCTCGCTTGTCTGACGTCCCGTCCGGCAGGGCGGTCACGTCGAGCACAAAATCGTAAAGAAAGGTGTAGAAGCTCTCCGGAAACGCGGCGCCACGAGCGCTGGACAGGCACTGCGTGAACGTCGGGCGCGCGCTCGGCTCGGACGCTGTCATGGATCGCACAAGCGAACGCACGTCAGTGTTCTCGATCTCGGCAAAGCACACTTCGGGGTCGTAGTCGTTGCTCTTGAATTGGAAGAGCTGGCTCAGTGTAAAGGGAGAAGCGCCATCCGAGTACAGTTCGGCGATGACGCAGCCTGCTGCAAAGACGTCCATGGGTTCTGTCACCAGAGAGCGCTCTCGGCCTGACTTTCGACGCTCGGCTATGTCACTGCCTGCCGAGTAGAAGCGCTCGGGCGCGAGATAGCACGTGCGTCGGCCAGACGAGTCAAAGTAGTACGAGAACTCTGACGGATCGTCCTCCGGAAGATAGACTGGCTTGTAAGGCGCGAAATCGGTTATGTAGACCCACTGGTACGACGTCAAGAGAATATTCTCAAGCTTGAGATCGCCATGAGCGATGCCGCGCTCGCGAGCGTCGCGCATTCCCTTCAAGACCTGGAAAGCCATCCAAGCCTTCTCGACGTCTGCAAGAAACGGGCGTGTGCTGAGATTGAGATGTCTCAGCGTACCAACGGGCTGGCATCGGTGCGCAGCTTACCTGATGCGGTCATAGAGACTGCTTGAGAGCCACTGTCGCGTGAGGTAGGCGCCCTTCTCTGTCTCGAGCAGGCGAAGATAGTGAAGGACATTGGGGACGTCGGCAAGCTGCTCTCGGTCAGCTGGTGTACGAGCTGGCATGAGCCTGACCGAGCGGCTGACGAGCAGAGGAGCACGTGCCTCTGAGCTTCTTGACATGGCTGCGCAGTGAAAGAGCGGGATCGAGCTTGACGAAGACCTTGACGACGATTGGTCCATGCTGATGTCTCGCCCTCATCGTCTTGAGACATCTCGCCGAGCCCATGCTGATGGCATCCTATGGTTGAGCATAAAGCTAACGTGTACGTTTGATGGAGCTGACCTCCGTTCGTAAGTCACATCACCTAATTCCGACAGATCTGAAGGACTGAGGACGGGCAAGCCCGGGACAGGCCGTATCGAGCTAGGCGAATTGCCCATGTCTGGTGGCCACTGGATGATGACCGGGTGCCCCGGGAGCTGGAGTGGAGCGTAGAAGCAGCGACGACGCGTCGATCATCATTGATCATTCATTCGTTGGCGACTGCACCGAGCACGAGAGCTATTCAATGTTCCCGCGAGCGGGCCTCCGTCTCATGGGGTAGATTCCCTGTGAGCTGGCTCAATCGGATGGATGCGCTTGCGCCTCAACATACAATCCTTCTGGTGCTCGCTTGCGAAAGCCAGCTCACAGCGCAGCTAGTACTCCTTGACAGACATGCCTGGGCGCAGGCAGTCTTGCCATCATCGCAGACGGGTTTCCAGATGCGAGTGCTGCTAGGTGGCCTGATCCGCGGCCGCAAGCGCGCTTGCAAGTCGCAATTGATCACCCTGCCGATTACGAGCGTGTGATCGGCCTTGCTGGATTGGTGGCTCGACTGGATACGTCCCATGCGATGCAACCGATTGATACGCGTGATTGTGCTATGCGCACCTCGAAAGTTCTCGAGGGTTACATAACCCAACGTTTGCGTTTACCTGCGCCGCCCGATTCGTCAAAGAGTTGCTGTTGTCGTCTTGCTGCTGCATAGTTGATGATGGCCACTTCTGAGGCTAGACCGAGATGCTCTGCAGAATGAAGCGATGTCTGCCGAGTGCCGGCTGTGATGCGTAGTAAGTTTTGGAGCGATCGCTCAGCTTGACGGTTGCTCTCCAGCCGGCGGCTAAGCTGGGCAGCCCTTACTTCACGAGATGAAGATGGCAAGATTGTTTCCGGATCGGCCGAGTATATCTGCGCAGAGAGCACTCGCGCTGAGTGACTGGTCAAAGCACACGGAGCGAACAACCGACGGGTGTATGTCGATACGTATACGACGGCGGCAGAGGCGGCAGATTATCCGGAATGACTGCAGCTAGCTCTTGCGCAGGCTGGAAATCTTGCTTGAGCCGATGTCCTAGGGACAATTTGCTCGGATCGCTCTGCTCGACGTCGAGCGGCAACGGCGCTCGCGGTCCGTCGAAGCATTCATACAGCGGTGCATCTATTGTCCTCGAGAGACGAAAGGTCAGCCTATCCTTCGAGATGTCTGCAGTCTCCCACCTTGAGCACATGCGTCGAGGTTGAGCTGTCGCTGCTGTCTGAGACTGGCCAGAGTGATGGATTGGTCGTGGCAGGCACTGTAGACATCCTTCGCATTCGGTCTGCTGCGATTGCAAGCTGCAGCAAAGTCGTGCGACAGGTGCGACAGGCCTCCCAAGACTGCAAAATGAGGCCCAGATCAGCTATGCGGCCTGGCTCGACACATTGCACGGTTGACTTGCGCCTCAGCGTTTGATCTTGCAGCTCGGCTAGCGCATCCTCTGAGCTGGCCGTGAAGCCAGATTGACAGAGCGTGACCGCTATCAGGCGTCGAAGAGCATACTCTGCGCTCTCCGCAGTCACGCCAGGCTGCATGTGACTCGCCTCTACTTCAAGCTCGTCGTCGCGCGTCGTCGTCGTCGATTTCTCTCCTCCTTAGTCGAGCTGATCAAACGCCCAGCATGAGCCATTCACACGACCACTCTCATGACATTGGCAGCGCTGGTGAGCATGGACACACGCACGAGCACCTGGACAGCGCTGGCAAATATAGCGACAGAGATCTGCCCGACTACTCTCACCGCGACTTTGAAGAAAGAGCCTTTACTATCGGCATAGGCGGGTGCGCTCCAGCTCCATGCGAGCAGTCATCACTCGAACAAGCTGACCTCACGCCTCTTCGCAGTCCCGTAGGCAGCGGCAAGACTGCACTCACGCTGGCGTTATGCAGGCACTTTCGAGACAAGCTCAATATCGGCGAGTGCTATCCGAGGAGAGTTAGCTCAAAAACACACTGGCTTACGCAGGTACTTTGCGAGCAGCTGTGGTGACGAATGACATCTTCACACGAGAGGATCAAGAATTTCTGATTCGGAATGACGCGCTGCCCGACAAAGGACGCATACGAGCCATTGAGACCGGCGGTTGCCCGCACGCCGCCATCAGGTACGTCACATCACACTAGCTTGAAGCGGCGGTGCTCACCCCTCTGATGGGCCCAGAGAAGACATCTCTGCCAACCTGAACGCACTTGAGCAGTTACAAGCCGACTATGGCTGCGAGCTCCTCTTTGTAGAGTCTGGCGGCGATAATCTTGCGGCCAACTACTCTCGCGAGCTCGCCGACTATATTATCTACGTCATCGACGTCTCCGGAGGTGACAAGATACCGCGCAAGGGTGGCCCAGGAATATCACAGTCAGACCTGCTTATCATCAACAAAATCGATCTGGCCGAATATGTCGGCGCTTCGCTCGAGGTCATGCGACGAGATTCTGCGAAGATGCGAGACTCCGGGCCAACTCTCTTCACAAGTGTCAAGCACAACCAGGGCGTGGAGGGTGTTGCCGAGCTCATTCTCAGCGCATGGCAAGTCAGCGGCGCCAAGACGGCATGACGACAATCGGTATCCTCAGTCAGACGCAGCCAGGCGCATGCAGTCCGAGCAGCGCTGATCCGATCAGGCTACATGTGTTGCATCAGTAATGCATGCTTAGGGACGGACAGCATAGGATGGCGTCCATGAGCCATCCATCGAGACCTAATTTTTATGGTGCTCTGTACCGGGAGGGATTTGTAAATTAATCTGATTTATCTACGTGTCCGTCCTCGAGCTGCCCATGCTAGCCAGTAAAATTTCAGCTGACGGCTTTTTACTTGAGGTTCTGCTGAGGTTGTGACGTGGATCTGCGGCATAGCCACGTGGCAAGCGCCTCATGGAGGTCGGGGTGACGTGGCATATAGGTGACGTGGCGCTCCCAGTGCAACGAACTTGCCACGTGACTACCGTCCTGTCACACGTGACCAATCCTTACGATCATCATGAATGACTCTGAAACGTTGCTGACCGTCATGGCAATAGACTTGAGGCTGGCCGCGAGTGATCTGAGCTTATTGGAAGCGATTTTGCATAAAAGTGTCTGTATCAGCGAGAGCGCCTATAACGAGCGCACCCACTCCGTGAAGCAAAATTGCCCCAAACTTTGCCAAGAAGCTAGTCTAGCCATGCAATGGCCCTGCTGTAATTTTGTGACCTCGGTGACCTGGAATCAGGTGACCCGTCTTTCTCATCACGTAAAATACTTTTGACACGACATGCCGACGCATCTTCACAGAATGCAGTCGAAGACAGCCTTGCCTTCGAGTCAGGCATTGACAGACCCTCCAGTGTCAGGCGATTAGCCGTGCAGAATTCTCAGGCTCGATCGACCACGTGCCCGCCTGTAATCTCAGCGATTGGGTCGTTTGCAATTCAGTCATTACAATGCTCGCTCGTTCGCTACCTTGCACCTGCAAAGGTATAGCGGCCGCGCGATGGCGGGCAGCACGCAACCATTCGCTAAGACGATCATGCAAAAGGTCGATGCCGGCCACAGTGGTAGATGCCATGAAGCCAAAATGCGATGGCATGCCGGCATCCTCAATGGCCACCCAGGCGACTGCACGCTTCAAGCCTATCGAGCAGCATATTCGACTAGAGGGCCAGAAATTTGTCAGAGACGATTGGACTAATGTGCCAGAGTCCATCTTGTCTCGCATAGGCAAGCGCCTTTATCACAAACCCGATCATCCGTTAGGCATTCTCTGCCAGCTGATCATGCAATACCTACCAGCGCACGATTGGCTGCCATATCTGTCTCCTATCACTACGCCTCAGCACAACTTCGACGATCTCGGCTTTCCAGTTGGACATCCCGGGCGTTCCAAGAACGATAGCTACTACATCAATGCCGGCACGATGCTGCGGACTCATACCTCGGCACATGAAGTCGCTGCCTTTGGCGATGGTCACGAGCGATGGCTTCTGGCAGCAGACGTCTATCGACGAGACGAAATAGATGCGACGCACTACCCAATCTTTCATCAGTGCGAGGGCGCGTTCATCATCAAAGATGGCACTGCAGCGACTTTGCTGCCTGCAATAGAGCAGATTGAGATGGAAATCGCAGGGCATCGCGCGCTCGTAGACGATCAGAGCACTATCAACGAAGCTATCAACTGGTATCAGCCACATCATGAACGTGCCGAAGTCGACTTGCTAGTCAGACATCTCAAGGCGACACTCAACTTACTCATCCTGAAGCTTTTCAAGCGAGATGGCCAGACGCTACAGATTAGATGGTTAGATGATGTCTTTCCGTTTACGAGTCCGAGCTTTCAGGTGGAAGTCTTCTTCGGGGGCAAGTGGCTCGAGCTGCTCGGGTGTGGTATCGTGCTTCAACGCACGCTCGACCGCGCCAATGTACCCGGCAAGCTCGGCTGGGCATTTGGTCTTGGGCTCGAGCGGATAGCAATGGTCCTCTTTGGCATTCCAGACATACGGCTCTTCTGGTCAAACGATGCACGCTTCCTGTCGCAATTCGAGACGGGCAAGATCAATCAGTTTGTGCCCTATTCGAAATATCCGGCGTGCTACAAGGACTTCAGCTTCTGGGCGCCGCCCGAATTTCACGAGAACGATCTCTGTGATCTGATACGCTCGGTAGCGGGGGACCTTGTGGAGGACGTCAAGCTTGTGCGGTTGCGTTATGCTCTAGTGCGCCTACAATTGCTGAAGCGATGAGACAGATTGACAACTTTGTGCATCCCAAGACGGGAAGAACAAGCAAGTGCTATCGTACCAATTATCGCTCGATGGATCGCTCATTGTCGAATGAGGAGATCAATGACCTGCAGAAACAGGTGGTCGCCAAAGCACTCGAGCTCGGCCTGGAAGCACGCTGACTGGCGGACAAGCAGCCATCAGTTGTTCGTCGAGTACTTGTAGGCGCAGCGCGGGCAGGTGTAGAAGACAGTGCTGCCTTCGTCGGCAGATCTCATCTGGAGCGTACTGAATTCCATCTGCTTGCTGTCGCACTTGGGACATCTTTCGTCGATCTGGGTACACAAATTGCATCAGCCCAATTGGTCGATGCATGCCCATCAGGACGACTGACGAGCTGCTTGCTCGACGACACTTGATCGGTCGGCTGTACGAGTGTACGTTTTTGCCGCAAGCTCGAGGGGAACGCGCTCTCTCGAGTGTGGGTGGTGACCTTGATGCTGTGAAAGGCTGTCGAGCGTGATCGAGCGTCAATACACATCTCCGCACACTTCCGCTAAGGATGACTTGCTCGAGACAGGCTCTCTGTAGCCACAGATTTCGCATAATACGTGTGACTCGCCGGGCGCGGGGTTGTTGAGCAGATTGCCGCAAGGCCCGCAGAACACGAGTGTGCCGATGACATCTGGCAGAGTGTCGTCCATCAAGGTCTAGCCTTGTATGAGGTGATCGATGATGTCGACGGCACTTTGAAATTTCGCGACAAAGACGAGACGACGACGAGGCCTCCGCACTGATTAGCGCTGAGCCCAGCGAGCGGCCTGGGCGTAGTCGAAGGCGAGCCAATGGAGGACCCGCTAGAGGATGAAGAGACTGGACTGGGTCATGTCAGGCATCAGACGATCGATCAGCCCAAGACTTATCTCGTCGGCGTTTGCATGCTGCTCTGCGTCATCTGCCTCTGGGTGCTCAGCAACTTCATCATGTCATGGCAGTTCCTCAGCCAGTCGTACGACAAGCCATTTGCGATCACATGGATCTGCACGTCTACGTTCAGCCTGTATCTCGTTCCGGAAGCGATACGCTGCTGTCACCGACGGCGCAATAGCGAGCTGTCGCCATCAGATCTACACAGCTCACCCGTCCTAGAGCGGCGGAGAGGCAGCAGTTCCAGCGAGGCAAGGCGGCGTACCAAGTTGCTTCCTGATGGCACACAGTATGCTCAAGTAGATCAGCAACCGCGGCCTGATAGAGCTGCACGATCGGTCAGCCTGACGAGGAGCGACAAGACCGTCGAGGAAGCCCACAATGACAAGTTGTCTGTCAGAGAGACAGCTCAGCTCGCTGCGTTTTTCTGCGTAGTCTGGCTGGCGGCCAATTGGGCATCCAACAGCGCTCTCGCTTTCACCTCGGTCTCCTCTGCCGCCATCCTCAGCTCCACGTCGGGTCCGCCAAGTTCTCAAGCTGCTTGCCTTTGTCGCGCTGACCTGCTATGATTGTTCAGGCTTCTTCACACTTGCTCTCGCGGCCTGGATTGGCCTGGAGCGATTCAATCTCGGCAGGCTTGCGGCGGTGACTGTCAGCGTGATCGGCGTCATGCTTGTCACAAAGGGTGATAAGGATCTCACGACCGACACGCTCGGCGCTACACCGGAGCCGAAGCATCCACTTATCGGCGACGGCATGATACTCGTCAGCGCCATGCTCTATGCCGTCTACACGATCCTGCTCAAGGCCAGAATAAAGGATGAATCCCGGATCAATATGATGCTCTTCTTCGGCTTCGTGGGCGCATTCAACGTCGTCTGCTTGTGGCCCATCGGTGTCTTGCTCCACTTCTCCGGCTTGGAGACATTCGCGCTCCCCTCTGGCGGCAAGCTCATTGCGTCTATCGTCGTCAATGCGGCCATCACATTTGTCTCTGACTTGCTTTTCATGCGAGCCATGCTCAAGACGTCGCCTCTCGTTGCCACTCTGGGCCTGTCACTGACGATCCCGTTCAGTCTGCTGGGGGACGCCTATCTCGACAATCGAACTGGCGGCAAACTCGCTCTCTTTGGCGCAGCACTCGTGCTCACGAGCTTTGGGCTGCTCGCAAGAGCAGACTCACAACAGCAGCAGCAGCAACATCTTGCTGAAGAACAAGATACCTAGCATTCTGTCGACCACTTGCTTGTTGTACCAATTCGCCCCACCGGTGATCATTATGAACAGCCGACTAGACGCATCGACCATCTTGATCTTTGAACCGCTCTGTGCCGTCGCGTACAGTCGAGCACCGCGTAACGCCGCCCGGCCCCGTTCGGCTGAGACGCATCTTGATGAGAGTGAGGAGAGCAGTCACGTCACGCGCTCTCCTGAAGCGCCTGTCCTGCGATGGACAGGATCACTCAAGCACAGGATGCCGTCGACGAGCTAGGCGACATCATGCGCAAGAGCTTGCTCTATCTCTCCACCAAATCTGGCTTCGCTCAGAGCAACGCTTCCATTCCTGTGACCGTTAGCTTGAGCACGGTCGACACAGCAGAAGTGCTTGCCGGTGAGCACCTTGGCGAAAGCATAAGGCATTCTGCTGATAATCTTCTGCCACAGAGAACAGGGAGCTGCTTGTGGACGAGCTCGTGACAAAGGCAAAGCAGCTCAAGATCCTCATCGCTTCATTACCGGATCCTGTCATGATCGACGTGTCAGACGATCAACTGGCGGCTTTGAGTACAGAGGCAGAGCAAGTGAACGCCGACTTTGACGGAGCGCTTCGCGAATGCGGTAAGCCAGATGTTCTGATAACCCGGAAGCGGCTCATAGGCATGCAGAACAAGTCGAGCGCGAGTTGGAGGATGTGCTCGAGCGGATGATCGAGCAGAGAAGCATGCTCCGCTCGAATTAGCCTTTGGCATACAACAGACCGTCCGGCAGGCGCTTGATCAGGCGATCATATAGCCTCCTCCAGGCGAGAGGATCGCCTTTGGACCGCGTCAAGACTACGACGACGACGAGCTCTTCGACTTGGCTGTCGCTCGACTCGTAGAACAGGCTCGCCTTGCCCTGCAGTAACTGCTGTCGCTCGTCACGAACGCCGAGCCCAAGCACGACTTCGAGATGCTCGTCAGAAGCGACTGGCGGCGGCATGCCTGCTATCAAGTCCTTCCCGCGCTCGCATTGCCATTGCACGCTCGTCTCGCTGAGGCACCTGCATACTGCTTGCGCGACGTCGCCAAGGGGCCACACTGAGACAAAGCGAGTCAGATTTGGATTTGTGCGTTGTGATGGCGCCAGTGCAGAACAGCGAGACTATCTTGCCCACTTCAGTCGTGAGACAGCACGCGAGTGCGAGGAAACCCACGAGATTAGTGAGCGTAGCACCAAAGGCTTGCGTGCGGTCTGCCTGTGCCAGAGATGGTCTAGGTAAAGTACTTGACGGAAGTGGCATGCCAGAGGCCTGCTGACTACAGAGTGACGGAAGGTCAAAACTCGCTCGCAATGGCTTACATCGACTGACCTGGCTTGCGAAGGCCCGCGGGAGGCTTGTGTAGGCACGTCGAATGCGCCTGATTGGTTGAGCTTCTCCATGAGCCAAGAGGCGAGCTTCGCTGGATCCAGACACATTCCATCTCGGTCGACGAGTGGATTGCGTCTGTTGGAACTTATTGAGATTTGCCATCCTAGACAAGCTCATGTGCACGTACCGAGTGATCCAAGGATGCTGCTCGAGCTGTGAGATTGTCGGCCGTTTGTGCGGCTCGACGGTGAGCATGCTCAATAGAAGAGCTGTCGTGTGGCACTCAGCCGAACCTGGAACAGTTCGCGAACGAAGGCTTACATAGAGGCTGCGGCGGTATCCGAGTCCAGGGATCATATGTGAGCAAGTCGCCGGTGAGAAAGGCGCGATATTCTGCGCTAGACTCGGTTGGTTGATCCCATGGCGTGTCTGCGAAGGCGTCAGTCGCTGCTCGGTGCTCGTCCAGAGCATGACTGACTGCCAACAAGAAGTGTGAAGAGCAAGACGCCAAAGCTCCATATATCGATAGGTGCTGCCGAGTATGCTTTGCCATGAGCCAGCTGCAGTCGGGCATCAGTCGTCAGCAGACTGTCTGAAGAATGTGTGAGAACCTCGGGCGCAGCATAAGGCGGGCTGCCACATGCATCTTGCAGCAATCGAACCTGTCCTTTGTAGGAGTAGACGCTGGACAGGCCGAAGTCTGAGACCTTCAGATTGCCTGTTCTCAAGCAGTTTGTACTGGGTGAGGTCGATCAAGGTGCAAGCTGACCTGCGCCGTCGAGAAGTATATTCTCTGGCTTAATATCTCGGTGACATATCCCCACAGAATGGATGTATTTCTGCAGCAATGGCGTCAGAATGAACGACAACCGAACGAGTCGACGACTGACGATGGCAGACAGCAATTGGCGGCAATAAAAGTTAGCGATATCATCCGGCAAGCCTACATCGGGCGCGATCTTGTCAAACAGATCCCCACCCGCTGCATAGTCCAAGATGATGTAGAAGGCAGGCCGGCCAAGCGTGGAGCCCGTCGCGTCCGAGTGAGAAGCCAAGAGCGCAAGCACATTGGCATGCTTGAGCGCGCCGTGGATTCTGACTTCTTTGACGAGCTTCTTGTCAAGCTGGCCGGACAGCACGGGGATGACCTTGACTGCGACGAGCTTGTCATCTTTGCGAGCACGATAGACTCTGTCCACGGGCGTTTCAGTCTTGCTTCCGTACTACGAGCGAGCGGCGCACTTTGAGAAGCCACCGCCGCCAATCTGCTCGCGGATCTGGTAGCCTAGCACCTTGTTACGCTCGCTGGCGCCCATCAGGTGCGTGATGAGCGTCGAACGCGTGTCGCCTTGTCGTCGTTGTCACGCTCCATGCATCGGCCGAGCTCGGCACGGCGGCGACGGCACGGTCGCGGCGTTTCGATCGCACGTCGCAGCGCAGCAGCAAAGCAGTGGATTTGACGACGTGCGGGAGTGGCAGAGCACTCGATAGCAGTCGATAGCTACGCAGAGGTCTGTGCCCATCTTGCGTCCATGCAGATCTGTCGAGGTCCGAGCTGACAGCGGAATGGGTGTGCTCCTGCTTCGTCTCCCTCCCAGATGAAAGCCTAGCTAGCTTGTCGTGAGCCGACTACCTGGCAAAGCCGACCTGGCAACTTGCCGGAGCTGCGCGACTCGCTCGCCCTCACCGCAGGTGTCTAGGCGGCTCGCGCACGACGTCCCCCGCCCGCGCACAGCAAAGGCGTGAAAGTCCTTTGGCGAGCGCATCCTCGGCGAATTTGATCAAGTCGGGCGCATTCGCTCCGCCATTCCTAACATCGAGCGCATGGCAGCCCTGCCCATGAGCTCGCCACAGGGCAGTGTAGCTAGCGGCGCCTTGCAGACGGCACACGAACGCGAGCCTTTGTCCGCATCTCATCAGATCCCCCTCGGCAATTTTGATCAGCTCATGCCTGACTTCGAGCCCTTCGATGCCAAGCCACTCAAGCTGTCGATGCCTGGCGTGTATGCGTCTGATCACAGCACAGCCGACGCAATCAAGGCCCGCGAAATCGGTCAGAGCGACGTCAGATCGCGCAGCATATCAAGCACCCCAAGCGTACCCGAACGCAGCCACTCTCGTCTGCCGCTGTCACGATCCCAGCCAGCAGGACTGGTGGTGACGACGTCAACACCTCCTCAGCCGGAAGGCGGCGCTCGCCCGACGTCTGCAATGAACGATCATGCAATTCGCGACTACGACCCACGGCCGCAGACCTCGCATTCGACGCCCTTGGCCCCAACAAGCAACGGACAGTCTCTGCAGTATCAGTCCAGGCACCATGCAACGTCTCTATCCAGCCAAATTCCCTTCCCATCGGGGCAAGCTTTGCGAGGGCACATCGTACGGCCACATTCTGTGGCTGTCGATGTCGATCTGACAAAGCTACGCATACAAGACGCCGGCTACCATCCTTACCGACGAGGAGCGCCCGGAGCGCGTGGTTCTGGCCATCCTGATAGCCCTCTGGCGAGCCCAGACCGGACTCAACTACGCAAGATCACTGCGACTGCACCCCTTCTGACCAGCCAGACCTCTCCTGGCGGCACGTCACCCTCGCGCCAGACTTCCTCCGCGCCTCGGCCCTCTATCGACACATCGGCTTTGATGTTGCAGTCCACCAGACCGGCAAGCATCTCGACAGCCTCGATCGAGACGCCCAATATGAGCTATCCGAGCGCGCTTTCTGATCGCTCGGGAAGAAGCACGCCGACCGCTGCAGAGCGAGATATCATGACGCCCACACCACCAGGCGGTTCGCGATCGGCCTCTGCCCCAAGTCCAGAATACTTTTCTGCGACGGAATCGAGCGCTCAAGGCAGTCAGGGCTACGCAGGCATCACTGACTCTGTCTCACGAGGATCGAGCGATACTCCGCCTGGCCCGTCAATATCGACAGACCATCCATCCATCGTATCGTATGCGACACCTCGGGATCCTACCCGCCAGCCCGTCCAGCCCAGGGGCAAACTTGGACTGAAAGGCCTTCGCAAGGCGCTCAACCGTTCAGCCACACCTGTCACGGATCATGAATCTCACTCATCCGAAACGCCTTCATCTTCTGGCGTTCAAAGCACCTCGTCGAGCGGGTATAGCAGCAGGTCAACCAGCCCGCCTTCGACACCGCCAAGCGGCTATGATCTACTGAGTGAGCTCGATAGCGCTGTTCCAGGCCAAGCAACGCATTTGAACGGTAAGCAGAGCGGCCGCAGGTCGTCTATCTTCAATTCGCGCCTGGGAAACGCTTCGACAGACAACATCTCGATTTCGTCTACTATGTCATCAGCGTCCATGATCATGCGCAAGATTGGCGGCTTTGGCGGCAAGTTGACGAAGCGACATTCAATCAGCGGTCTCACGCATATCTTCAGAGACAAGAGCAGGAGCGAGCCCGCCGTCTCATTTGACGCGCCAAGATCGGACAAGGGCAAAACGACGGCGGCGCGCGTAGCCCATGTCACTGTCGAGCAGGACGGTAATGTAGCCAGTCCTTCTAGGGCAGGCATGACGCCTGCAGAAGCGCTGGTCAAGCAGCACCAGCTAGAATATGCACAGCGTCAGGCCGCTGCAGATGCCGCGGCAGGATCAAGCAAGCTGCGTCAGCTGGCCCCGCCCACAGATCGACGCATCGAGATGCTGGAGCGCGAGAAGATGCGAGCAAGAGAGCAGCGCAAAGGACGCAAGTGGGGTCTTGACCTACTAAGCAAGAACAACACTTCACGTAGCTCGCTTGTACCCGGTCCTGAACCGATCACTGATCGGCAAGCATATGATTCGCCTCTCGCTGGTCCTTCGACGGAGCGATACATGCAGCCGAGTAAGCAGGCATCGCCTTCGCTCGACGATTCACCCGCCTCACCGCCAATGGAGATGCCAAGAGCAAAGCATCGCGACTACCAGGGACCCATCAAAGGCATCCTCAAAGGTACGTCTTTCCGCGCCGCGTTGTATGAGCAAGCCTGATGAGCGCTATGCGGTAGCACATCCAACAGATCGGCAGGACATGACGATACGCGGCATACGAGCGCTGAGAGATCGCAGCCATTCCTACGATAGTCCCCATCAGAAGTCCCCACCGAATCGACCTGGCACCGGTGCTGCCTTGGTGCAGATCATCCCCTCGGAGCAGCAAATTGATGGCATCATCTCGGATGGCACTGGGTCGACCCATCGGCGTGACACTATCGCTCCAAGCTCGGTCGAAAGCGGAGGCCACATGCCTTATATGCATGCTTCTCACAACGTCTCTGCGCCAGCCCTATCAAAGACGTGGAGCGCGACGCCGCCGACTCTTGCAGAAGCGCTCACTCGAAGGCCGGCATCGATGCTGCCATCCGATCATGCTTCCCTCAGGCGGCTCCACTTTGCGCCGAATCTATCAGTCCACACGACCTGGCCAGCTGAAGTCTACGACCGACGTGGCGAGCCTGCAACATGCAATCGCCTGACGCCAACGCTCGCACAACGGATCAAAGAGGAGCTCAACGCCTATAAGATGGAAGAGATGTCAGTGCATCCGACATCAAGGGTCTATACGCACTTCTTTCTGTGATGCTACTCCGTCGATCCTTAGATGCATGTTCTGTCAGCGATCGAAGAAGCGGATAATGAATGGAGCGAACGGTCCAGTTCTAGACTCGCATGTGGCGAAGTGGGTAGACTTAATTTCTGCCGGCCTGTCGCGCTAAGTGCCGAGACACGCGAGCGCTTCATGCAAGCCGAGCGGCAAGCGCGGCAGATCTACAAGTTCGCCGCGATTTGGAGGGGCCGAAGATCGACGCATCTATCTTTTGGCGACTAGTTGCGAGGCTAGCGTGTCTGCTGCGTAGCCAAGGCGAAAGGCTGGGCCAGCCATGCTCGGACGAAAACAAATAGCCAGCGGAACTAGTCGCCCATGGCTTCCGGCCGACAGGCGTGTTCGTGGCCTCTCCTCGCACGAGATAGTGCTGTCTCGGATTCAAAGACGAGCTATGCTGAGGGCTTGGCCTGGCTGACAAGCGCCGCCACTTCATCTCTTCAGGACTGCTCGAGGCCATCGTCGTCTTCGGTCATTGGCGCACAGAGGATGCTAGGTGCACTGCGGATGCATAGTCTGGCCGATCTGATCACCACCGAACGGCATCCGCTTGACCGACGGGCGTCTCTGCCCGGCAGGCTGAAGCAGCAGTACGACCACGGCCTTCCTCGGACGACGGCAGTCATGGCAGACAGCCATCCGAAGCCATCGAGTGATGCGGCGCAGGCTTTGAACCGCTCTGGCACACCGCCGAATTACGCCGAAATAAGTGACAGTGCGCCGCTGCTTGCCGCCAATCTGCAAGCTTCCTCCTCGACGGGTGCAGCGTCAGCAGAGCAGGAGACGCTCGAGCAGCAGCGAGCGGGCAGCATTGGCAAAGCACCGTCATCTACAGCATCCTCGGATCGTCGCGAGAGCCTGAGAGCTTCGGCATCGTCCAGCGGATCGACATCCAAGCGCAGTCGCACTCTTACCACGCCGCAGCAGACCGCTGTGCTGAACGCTCTGCTTGAGCAGGTATGTAGTTAGCACATCGGCGCGTACTCTGGGCTCATATGGTAAGCAGACTCGCTTCCCCACGACCGCTACACGTGAGAGAGTAGCTGAGGAGCTCGGCATGACACCTCGACGAGTTCAGATCTGGTTCCAAAATCGCCGCCAGAACGAGAAGCGCTTACGCGGGCAAGGCTTGCTCGATCGCTCGCCTTCTCCTCCACCGCCGAGACGAGCACTTCCTCAGTACGCTTGGCGAGTGCAATCGGACGAACACCAGAGATACAGGCCCGCCTCCCTTCCGCTGCCCATACCCACTAGAGGCGGAATGCCTACACCATACCCACAGCAGCATCTGCAGCCCCCGTCACCAGATCTGTCGGCTAATCACGGTTCGATGAGCTATCCGCCCATGCCTGCATCTAGTGGATCATACGCGAGAGTGGATAGCAGCCGAGCGATGGTGCATTCGCCTTCGCCCATGCTAGCCCGTGCGAGCACTCCGTTGACCCACAACAGGCAGCAGAGCGATAGCGCTGTCGCATCGCCTGCCAACGGCTTTCCCGTTCGACCGTCATCGCCTGACCGCTATACGCTGCAGCCCATGAAGCGAGGGCCGTCTGATCCCGCTGCCTGGTCGTTAAGTAGTCAGAGCAGTCGGTCGAGCGAACGACTGCCGCGCTATCCCGAAGAGTCGGAACAGCACCAATAGAGACTCAGAGAGCTGTTGTTGATGTAGCTAATAGTCAAAATGGCCGCCAGGCTTGTTCTCTCACAGAACCTCTTTTGACGCAAAGGACTTGTTGAAAGAGAGCATGGAGTTCAAGTCGCTGATCCAGCCATCACGGGGTGTAGCGTGCGCGTCAGGCTCCAACCGACCACAAGAGTGTTGCAGGTCTGATTCTCGTGAGGTGTCACTAGCAAGATCGGCCGTATCGATACACGGCAGAGGGCAATCTGACATTGAGATGGCCAGATATTCGCCGGGCGTGATGAGCTTGACGTCTCTGCCATCTAGCGAGAGCTCGGCTGGCGAACGGGACTTGGGCGAAATCTATTGCTGCTTCAACAGGCTAACGCACGACAAGAGAGGTTAGACTGACCCTGAGTTGCACACAGGATTTGGCGGGAAGAAGCACGCTTCTGAAGCTGAGACTGCGCGGGCAGATCGGCGTCAAGAGCATGGACTGGACGTGAGGATGGACAATGGGGCCACCAGCCGAGAGCGAGTAGGCCGTTGAGCCTGTCGGCGTCGCGACGATCAATCCGTCTGCCTGTACATCGAGTCAGCTCTACTCGTGTGAGCTCGTGTGCTGCGCCTACGACAGCTTCTGTGAGATGTTGTCCGTCAACGAAGCTATCTATGATTGTCAGGTGTGGATGTCTGCCCCTATGCAGTACGACTTCATTCATGGCAAGTGATCCTACTCAATTGGGTCAGGCCTGTCACCCCGGTGAGAACGCAGATACTCGCCCAAGCCATGCAAACGATCTGTACGCCGGCCTGAAGCGTCGAAAACGTCGCAGCGCAGCCGCATACGAGGTAGCAGGCGAAATCTGTCGGCAATGATGTTGTCGAGCATCCGTTCGAGCTTGCCAACGCTATGCGGCATGAGGAAGCCCAGCGTGCCGAGCGAGACAGCCAACACTGGCGGTGCACGCCCCTCGGCGAATAAGCTTGAAACATGCAGCAAGGTGCCATCGCCGCCCAAGGCTACCACCAAATCTGGCATCTCGCCAGCTCTGTGGAGCTTCAATGTGCCATGCGCGCTCTGTGTGCCAGAGGCTGATGCCTCCTCTTCTATAGATACGCTCGTCTGAGGATATTTGTGCTGCAAGTAAGTGATGAGGGCGTCTGAAGCCGCCAGGGTTTTGTCATCGTTCCTCTTTTTGACGATGAGGACCGACTCTGGCCGATGCAGCCTCGCCGAGCTTTGCAAGGCTCGACGGTGCGCTTGGGGCTTGTGCAGTTGCTGAGCATGAGCGAAGAGCCTGAACATGCTCGGAAGCTGTCGTGGCAGGCCATAAGGCATCTGTTTGGCCTCGGTTTGCGCGTGAGTACTCGCTCGACATGACGCGCTCCGAGCTTGGCTTTAATGACATGTCAATAGATAGATAGGCACAATAGTGTTAAGGCTACAGCGTGGACAAGGCGGATGACTACAAGCCCTTGAAGGCGCTCACGAACTTGGAGAGCTTGCCTTTACTTTTGCGGCTGCTCGGCACGACAGGCATCTGTACAGATGGCGAAGGTGGTTTCGCAGGCTGGGGCGGGAGTGCTGGAGCGACAGAGTGCGCAATGGAATGTTCTGACGTGCGTGTCACCGTCGGAGTGATGCTCAGCATGGACGGTGGCTTTTGCTGTCTTGGGGTCGGCTGCTTCGGCGCTGAGACGGCTGAAGATGCGGGTGACGTTTTGGGCGAAGACGTGCCTGTCGAGGAGGATGTCAAGACAGTGATGCGAGTGTCCTTTGTCTGCATCGCCGGGTGTCCCAGAGAGGGTATCCGGTTTTGTCTGCCGGTGCGCAGGCTAGGAGCAGGTGGCGCAAGTCGATCTAGATCGATGCTATGATTCCGCCAGCTGGGCGGTCCTTTCTCACGCGATCGCGGCGTGACGTTGCTTGGCTCGCTGCGTCTCGTCGAGGCTGCGCTGCTCGAGATGGCATCTTGATTCTGGATGTGAGTCGACAGCGCGACCTTGTGACCCAGTGAGGGCTGCACAGCGGCCACAGATGGCGCTGGCGAGCTAGCCCGCAGAGGCGAAGGCCCTGTAGCAATCAGTCAGCTAGGACACACTTACCGAAACGCGCGGAGACTTGCCTGCTGGGAGAGTGAGAGAAGCCGTCGGCTTACGCCGCCTGTCGAGAGGCTGAGCCAGCGCGGCTGCTGTGACCACGCGATCGTTCACGGGACCATCGGCTTTCCGCTCGCCTTGTGTAAGCACGGTCGGTGTAGAGGTGCCGACTTTGTCTAGAGTCTCGTAGCGCACTTCTGTGCTTTTGGGAACTAGGCCGCTCGGGCCGGCACGCTTGTTGGCCTCTGCTTCTGCCTTGAACTTCTTGGCAGCTGCCAAAGTGTCCGAATAGGCTGCCAGCTGCTGGGCCAGCGTTTGCGCCGGCCGGTTCTGACTCGGACTGAACTTGAGCAAAGCCTGTTCTGCTTCTTGCGCTTGCGTTTGCGCATGATGCGCCCGGTGGGCACTCGTTGTCGCGCTGTCTGCTTTGCGGCCGAGCAGTCCACCTGCCGTCTCATAGACGGGCGGCAGATGAGGTGACGTAGGCGGTTGACTGGTCGCGTTGGTCGAGGCCGCAGAGGTCGGGTAGAGCGAGGCTGCATTGGAGAAGTAGGACGACGCGGGCGAAGAGGAAGTGTGCGTGCTCGTTCTTGCGATATGACGGGCTTGACTGTTGGTCGATGTCGAGCTACTGCGTGTACGATTGCCTTCAGAGACAGTGTAGGGGGCAAAGCTTTGTCGCGAGAGAGTGCCTGCTGCAATCATGACGCGCTCGGCAGAAGCAGTGTTGCCAGCGACGCCATAGATCGCTTGCGGTCTACGAGAGACAGAAGATGATGTCGAGGCTATGCTATCGTGGCGTGATCTAGCAGATGCACTTTTGAGAGGACTGGTTTCGAGCGGCGTCGGCGACTCATCGCTGTCGACCGATCTGCGCTCTTCGTCATCGACGTTGATGACGATCCGGCCGCCGATTGTTGAGACACGCTCGGCACCTTCGGAGAGCAAGAGATCCAGTCCAAAATCAGGCGAGCCTATCGTGGGCGAGGTAGGCGTTGCATCATCCGAGCTTCCTGTACGTCTCAATTTCTGCTGAAACAGATTGGGTCTGCGTATGCTTGACATCGACAGGCGGCTTGTCGAGCTGCGAGAGTGCGCTCGGACTAGTCCCTCTGTAGAGCGCGAGTAGTCCGATGCCGCGCTTTGTCGGCGCAGCGATCCTTGCGGAGGCCGGCTGCCCTCGAGAGACGAGCGGCTGCCGGGCGAGGTCATCGAGCCGCTGGCGACGGAAGTGAGCGGCGTCAGAGGCTCGTCGTCACCGTCTGTTTGTGCGTGCACAGAGGCAGATAAATCCGAAGGTTGACCGGCGCTTGACGTGTCGGACCCGGTCGCAACAGCGGCGGGCAAAGACGATAGCGTGAGACCGGCAGGACGTTCGCTGATTGATGTCGAGGGTGGGACAGGTCGTAGTGGGCTACTGCCATGCTTCGGTTCGTGATTGGAATTGCTGACCAGTCGTAAAGGCTTGGGCTCTTTTCCCAGCCGAGAGGCGAGGTTCTCTTTTGCAAGTTCGTTGTTCAGTGCAAGATTTCGTAGACTCGTATGTGATTGACGGTGTCCGAGCCTGACTTGGGAGTTTCTCCTGCGCACAAGCAGGTTCATCGCCGAGGAATTTGTATTTGCGCGGTTAAGCTTGATAGGCGAAGCTTCGGCCGGTCCAAAGGCGTCCTCCCAATTCCTCAACACCTCTACGACATTCTCATGACCTTGCTGCATCGCCAGGTCGGCGGGCGAGAGGCCGTTCTTCTCGAGCATGTCAGGCCTGGCGCCGTGAGCAAGCAAGAGCTCGGCAACGGCAGCATGACCATTCGACGCAGCAAAGTGGAGCGGCGTCGAGCCTGTCGTACCGATCGCCTCCTTTGCGCGCTGCTTCTTATCGCCGACATCCTTGTGAGACAATCTGTAGAACAGGTCCGTCTCGCTTCAGCCCGCTAAAGGTGGACGAGCCGAGGATGTACGGTACCTTATCGCGTTGACGTCGGCACCGTGCTCGATGAGCATGAGCACGACGGCCTGGTTGCCATGAGCAGCGGCTGCGTGGATGGGCAAGATGCCGTTGAGCAAGCTATTGACAGGCTGTCCGTTCGTGAGCGCGAATGTGACGAGACCTGCAATTCGAGTGCATCAGCCCACCTGGTGCCACTCGATGATCGTGTCACTGACCGATGTTACCTCTTGCCGCGGCAGAATGCAGGTTGAGGTTCTTGAAGTCTGTGACGACGCCGTACCTTGAGGAGGCTTTGCTGTGGGCAATCGAGGCGACATTGACGGGCCCGACCATGCTGACTCGTGTCTGCCCTTTGCCTCGGTATGTTCAGGCGACGCTGTCTAGTGCTTGGCTAGCTGACTGCGAGAAGCCATGACCTGTTGGCTATCTCCCTCAATGTCCGTATCCTGCCCGGCCGGACCGGTCTGGCTGTTTCCGGGCGTCTCTATCGTCGTCAGTGCTTCCTCGTCAAGCTGGCCTCGTCCGGCAGACCAGCTGTCATGGGTCCACTCTGTCTATCGTCTCTTGCAGGCTGAGCACTTCGCAATGGCGGAACCTTGAGGCCGAGACCTTCGAAGCACGATGTTGCCCCCTACAGGGACCGTGCGGAGATCGTCGATCTTGCATGTTCACCAACAATCTCGCCGCCGGCGCGACGGTTTCAGCTTCGAGGCGCTCGGGCGACGACATCGATGCTACAGGAGAGCTTCGTGTCCCTGGTCGGTCATGATCTTGCGCAGGCGCAGGTCACTCGCGAGAGACAGGAGACTCAGACCTGGCTCGCCTACTTTGCCAGCTTCTTCGTCCCCGCTCGAGCGCCCAGGGAGCGAACACCGATCATCATGCTCAGTGACAAGACAGGCATTGCCGGTCGGGATGCACAGATGCTGCTCAATGAAGCAAGACGGATTCAGTGGTCTGAGAGCCAGGCTACATTCCACAGGTCGGCGAGATACGCAGGCGTACTCAGCTTTGTCTGCTTGGCCTTCTTGCTCTGGATGTGGATAGAAGATCTCGCGTCACTAACTCGACTGCTATCTACCCCTCGGGACGCACTGCGGTTGCAACTCTGCCAGGCTGGCCTCATCATTCGGACATGTACACTGCTCGACCTCTTGCTCATCATGGTCTGTCTCAGATGGGTATGTACGCGCCCGGCTCGGCAAAGACAGTACTGACAGAGTCTACAATAGGTTCGACGAGCTTCACGGGCCGTTGTAGCCATCATCCTCACTTCCGGCCTGCTGCTCGCCGCCAATATACTCCTTGCGGTCATCAACCTCGGCTTGACGTTCACTTGGGCTGGCATGAATGTCGACGGGAGAGATATCACACTACGGTGTTACTGGTCCGTCGATGCGGTATGGCAAGTCGGTCCTTCTGGCAGAACATGTGTCTCATCCGACGCTGCCTCCTCTCGGTCCTGGCAAATCGCTGCTGGCGTCAGACTCGTCATTACACTCTGTCTCGGCATGACGTGGCTCCTCTCGCTCGTGCGACATCGCGTTCTGATGCAACTGTTGCGCAATCCCAGCAAGCTAGACTTGATGACGCCCTCTGCTGAGGCCAATAAGCTCCTACTCGGCAAATCTGCTCGTGTCGTCTCGCTGCAGAGATCGGTGGCGACACCGCTAAGCTCAGATGAGGAGCAAGGATTGCCACCTATGCCTGAGCATCACCCGCGTCAGCTCATCAGCGATAGCGAACCCAGTACTTGGGCAAAGACAATACTGGCTGGCTTTGCCTGGCTGACCGGATCTGCGCGACGTTCGGCCGGAGTGGATACCTTGCAAAGCGCGATAGAATATGCGCCGGTCACGGATCTGGACGACACTGTTCATAGATTAGGCGCACCCGTACCCTCGCGTGCACCGCAAGGAAGAGAGCGTATCCAAGACGTTTGGCCACCCCGCGGGCCTGCGTATGACCAACCACCTATGGACAGACATATCGATCGCGAGACGACCTTTTCACGCTGGTTTGGGAGCTGGCGATGATAGGATTGCATCTTATTTGTTTACGCCCAGCCGCTCGGCCAGAGCTATACAAGCTGCTATCGTACCGGGCTCGGCGGGCAGTATTCCCGAAGCATGCGATCTCTGATGTATGACACTGATCCCCATGCCTAACCCCGCGTTGATCAAGAGTGCCAAAGCGAGTGCATATGCAGCCGCTGGTGATACTATCAAGCGTGTTTGCGCGCCCGTCCAGTCCGCAATGCTTTGGGTGGCGGGCATTTGATCACTCATGTATGCCCGTGTTGCTGCTATGCTGAGGTACAGAGTGTAGATTGAGTTTGCGAGCGCCGTCATGCCTGAGCCACCGTGCACAGCTTCTGCGCCCAGTGGAGAGCGTAGAGCGCTTTGGTATATAGCCACAGGCAGGGCAGCGCGCGATACGTTGACGCGAGGTGAGATATAAGGATCGCTTGTCGCGTTGAAGTAGATCCCATTGCTGACGGTTACGTTTGTGGTTGATGTGGACGAGCCGAGTGGCACGATCGAAAGAAGACGAGAAGTCGAGTAATCGACTGTGGCCATCACTGTCCGTTGCAGCATGTAAGGCCGGCAAAAGGCAACACTCGCCTGGGCTGTCGAATTCAGTGTCGCTGCTTGAACGACCAGAAAGGCCACTGGCCAATGCGTCTGACCTAAGGAAGTGCTGTCACATCCGACTTCGGTGGCTTGGATGATGACAGAGCTTGCAGATTGGAAGAGCGGCTGATACAGACTGCAATCACCCCCGGTGGCCGAAAGCGAAGAGCCTCCTTCTGAGGCAGATAGCACCACTTGATCGGCAATAGAACAATTCGCTTGAGATTGGATTGCTGTTGTCTCGTATGTGATCGCACCGCTATCGTTGAAGGCTGCGATTAATGGCCACTGAGCGGTGGGTAGAGCCCATTCGCCGAGCACAAAGGCAGGCGGTGACACAGCAAAGCTGGAGGCTGATTCGATGTAGCCGGCAGCTGCTACGTATGCAAGCAAGTCTGCTGACGTCTGTGTGATGCTCGTAGCTTGCTTCACCGTGATGGCCAATGCGCCACGAGTGACCGAGACATCCTTTACGAGGAGCAGCGCAGATGCGAGTGGTTGAAACGACAAAGCGACGAGGCAAGCCAGCGTGGAGAAGGTTGCAGCAAAGTGTCGGTTACGTAGCGTGTCGATCCAGACGATGAACCGGCTTGTCTCTAGGTAATTGAGAGCGAAGCTTTGCTCGCGTGTGGCCGAGCACATTGCTAGATCGAGGAAAGGTTGAATTTTCTTGACTTGATAGTCGATCATTGCCCACATGGCAACGAGGGGCACAGAAAGCAGCACGGGTGGTACGCTGTACAGGAAACGTGAGTTGACGCCTTTGACGCTAGCCGACAGCGCAGGCCAGCCGCTAGAGACGGCGTTGAGCTTGAGCATCAAAAGGAGACAAGCCGCGAGGAGTAGGTGAGCCGCGCTGACAAGGTTCATCATGCGCAGGATCCAGGGGAACCATGTCTTGTCGCTTGTCTGGTCGAGCGGCGGCACCGTGTGGCGTTTGGGGTGCTTGCTGAACGAATCAAGCTCGTACTCGTTTGCTTGCGCGATGTCGCATTCTATGAGCAGCGTCTCGTCACTGTCTCTTCTCATCTCGCAAGGCCACGGAGCAGGAAAGGATGCGCAAAGGTGTTGATAGGACAGAACGGGACAGCAGGACAAAGGCGAGCAGCGCGTGCATTTTCTGCCGTGAGCCGGATGTCTCTGATCTATGATCGACTGATCGATAGGGTGATCTTGCCGCTTATCGCCCGCGCAACTGCCGTCCGCGGTTTTTCAGTTGGCTCTGCAGCTCTAAGCGGCAAGCAGGCACCGATCATCGCATCCCTATAGTCGACCTCACGGCATCATGGCGAATACCAATCCCGTTCTCGGCGTCCTCGTCATGGCGCGACATGGCGACAGGTACGTCTTTCTGTGCTCACAGGGCCTTGACACTGACCGGCTGATATAGGCAGGGCTTCTATCAGTCGCCGATCACATACACAGCCAGCAATACAGAGATCACACCGCTCGGCGAAGTAGAAGCCTACAATCTCGGCGTCGCGCTTCGTGAGCAGTACTTGACCGAAGGAGCTGCAGATGCCATTCAGGGATTGCCGTCATATACCCTCGTGCCTAATGCTGCCATCGACTTCAAAGCAGACGCAGGCGGCGAAGGTTCGGTCATCTACGACTCTGCTGTCGCGGTCACGCAGGGTCTCTGGCCAGCGACGGCTCTCTCGAACACAACGCTCGCCAACGGCACACTCGTCGTGTCGCCGCTGGGTGGCTACCAATATGTCGGCATCGGGACTGTTGAGCCGTCGGACTATACGCTCGAAGGGTTCACCTCGTGCAACACTTTCTCAAACTTCACAAGCGAGACATACAATTCGTCTGCGTTCGAGCAAGTCGCTTCGGACAATGCCGTGACGCTGAACAATTTGGCTACGCTCGCGCAGCGCAACGTGACGCTTCCGACGATGTATAACGTCTTTGATTATGTCAACGTTCAGTCGATCCACAACGCGAGCTTTCTGGAGCGATTGAACACCGAGGGATCCTACCTGCTCCCACAGGCACGCTACCTTGCCAACTATCACGAAAATACGCTCTTTGGCTCACCGAATCTGACTTCGATCGCCAACATCGCTGGTCGGACTGTGCTGCCCGACATCCTCGGTGCAGTACAGGGCTATACGAACGCGACGGAGCCCGTCCGCTTCTCATTCCTGGCAGTCTCATACAAGCCCTTCATCTCGCTCTTTAGCATGCTCGGGGTCACCGAGCAATTTCCAGACGTCTATGGTATCGGTGAGCTGGCTTGACTGCAGATAATCACGAGGAAGAGCTGACGCGAGTGTCAGTCAACTATGCTGCCGCTATGACGCTCGAGGTCCGCCAGTCTGCCACGAACACGAGTGGCTACGTCGTCCGGTTCTCCTTCAACAATCAAACAGGCAGCGGATTCACGAGCTACCCCATGTTCGGCGGCAGCGACATCGACTATCCTGTCGATCAGTTTGTCAGCAATCTCGACTCGTCCTCAATCAAGACCCTGTCCGAATGGTGCACGGTCTGCAGTCAGACGACCCTGCGGGGTTGCGACGTCATCACTGCCGCCAACAGCTCGGACGGCATGGATCGACAAGGTTCCGTGACGACCACCTATGGCGATCATGCTACCTCACCCCTTGCGTCCGGCTTCATTGGCGCTGCAGTCATGCTCGCCCTTGTCGCCATCATCCTCGCCGCTCTAGCTGCTGCCGGTATCGTCAGTCTCGGCAGGCGCTCGCGTGCGCGCAAGTACGATCACTACGTACGTGCTTAACAGCTAGTATACAGCTCTGTGCTGAGCAAAGAGCCACAGGAGAGCGATCATGTCGGTCTCAAGCCGACGGGATCCCCTGGTTCCAATTAGCACCACGATCTCGCAGAAGACTTCGCAGGCTCTCGCGTTATGGGCACGCGCAAGGAAGCCATCTAGATTTTTATCATTCACCGCACATTGAAGGATTGCACATCGTTACGACACTTGAAGCAAAGCTCTGTCACGCTGTGAATGTCTTTGCGCAACGCTGAGCCATGCTCCGCGTTCGCTTCATCGAGCTCAGTATCGCTAAAGGCATTGCCCACTTGCTCGGCATTGAGAAGCACTCTCCATGCAAAAGAAGCGTGGAAAATGGGCGGATCGTAGAAGAGCGGCAGGCGAAGCTTCCGGAGGACGACATGCAGCTCTGCAAGGATGGCGGTCAGATTCTCTGCGCCCGCAGCAACGCGACGGGCCAGAAAGGAGCGCGTCTTGTCCTCATTCGTCAATCTGATGAGCTTGTCAAAGGAGATCTCGAAGCTGTCGCTGGCATGAGCACTCGTCCAACATGGACCCAGTCGCGGAGCTCGCCTGCTGATCTTTGCCGCTATAGAACGCACGGCATCTCTCACTTTGTCGGTCTCGTGTGCGCGCAGATAGAGTGTCTTTGAGAGGCTCAGTCGCAAGGAAGGACCATCTGTTGCTCGGACATCGGGATGCGCGGCTTGACACTGCTGAACGATACTAGCAAGGATGGCTCGAGTCGCACGCCGGGGGGTGACTGCGCGAGAGGGATCAGCTCATTGCCATCTCTTTTATTGATCGCATGATTGCCCGCCTTCGATGTAGACTTGTGAGGGGAAGATGCCGTCGACATGAGGCACTGTCCTGACCCGGCCTTGATGGGCAGCAGCATCTTCCTTGCGCTGGTCTGCCACCGTGTGAGCTCCACTGCTCAAGGACTGCTCAAGACGAGCGTGTCGCTCACTTTGCGCAACGAGAGGTTGCAGCTTCCTGCGGACCCCTTCATGAGCCAGCTTTGAGCAACACGTGTCCGCCTTGCCTGCGCTTAGCTGTGGGTCCAGAGCTGTCGTTCATTCACGAGCACAAGCTCTGAGCTCAGGCAAACCATTCACAATCCATCGCGGCTCTGTTGATATCTTGATCGTCGACTGTTTGCATGAGCGATGGCCATGGCAGCGCACCCGACTTCGCTGCTCGGCTGAGAAGCGTGCAGCACATCTGTCGATGGTGCATGGCCGGCAGCAGACGTGTCACAGACAGCATCGCCCTCAACCTCACACTGACTGAGCTGGGCATCAAGTGAGCTCGCACGACGCTGGTATGCTGGCTCACTGATAGGTATTGGCAGGTCGGCATACCTCCTGGACGAGATCGTGCTCAGCCTGCAACAATGCACTGCGCTCCTGCAAGCTCTTGGCCCAGATAGGAGGACGTTGAAACTGCTCTACGACCCTGACACCCAGACCGCTCTGTTCTGCAACACCATTCTCCTCCAAGATATGCAGGGCAAGCTTGACAAGATCTTGTACGTCAATGCAAGCAAGTCGTACAAGCCCACACGGTGCGAACGACCGGAGTGGCTGACTTCGTGCGCCGTTACATCGCTCGAGCGCGATTTTGGGATTGTGCGGAGCTCCTCAACGGCTATCCAGTACCGTCGCCGACTCGTCACACTGGTCGGCGTCCTGCTCGGCTACCCTTACGTTTACTGTTTCGACGATGAAGACTTGGGCGAGATGAACAACCTCGGGAGTGAACCGCTCTGCGTCATCAGTGCCTGGCTCTCGGCGGACCTAGCAGATCATGCTGACAGGCGAGTCTCTGCTCCTGTCCTCCCATCCTGCTTCTGACCAAGCCTCGGTAGCTCACGGAAGAAGCAGCTACGCCACAAAGTTTTGTCCTTCTCTGTTCCGGTCTGCCTGCGAGCCAACAATGAAGAGCTCGCTGCTGCTGTCCTCGCAACCCTAAGGGCTCGCTTGACTGATTGCCCATTGCAGCATCAGATCGACATAACCGTGACTCATGGCATCAGCACACTCGATCGTGTAGCTCTATGATTAGCTTTCCCTTCATCGTTCGTATAACTTCGCATGGGGCGGCATTACCTTGCTGTGCCCTCTGCGCTTTAAGCGAACGACAGACCGAGCGCACCCGTCACGACAAGCATGCTCTCCTCTGTAGTCGCATTGCATCATGACATGTGCCGACACGTCACTATCGCGGACAAGCTATGTAACAGCCCGTGCCAGGAGGCGTCCCTTCGATCACTGATAACGAAGATAAACGAGCTTTGCCGGCAAGGGCTCTGCGTGGCTCTGCGTGGCGAGACCATTGAATGCTGATCTCTTCACGCTGACTCCTCTCTCTCGTGCACATGCTTGTGCCGCAGAGGATCTGTTGACGACCATCACATAGCTGAGCACGTCCACGCCTTGACGCCCTAGGACGGCCTGTGCACACTCGGCCGCCACGGCAAAAGAGGGCGATGCTTTGCTAGCCTTGCGCACAGACGCTTCTGGTGTATATAGCCCATGGCAGATCCCCATGCTCCCATGGCTGCCGGTGTCGTCACGCCTGCCAGCGATTCGGGCGTCAGCGGGCTCGCAGACAGTCGGCCGACTGATAGCAAGCCTGCAAAGCCCGCGATGGTCAAAAGACGGTCGACCTACAGCCCAGATGCGCCTGGAACAGCTACAGACCTCCTCCTCAACAGCGGAGGTCATACCGAGCGGGCAAAGGCGAGTATCGAAGTCTCAACCCTAGCTGCGCGCAGTCGAAGTACTTCACGCGCACCTAGCCTGCACCTGACTACGCCCTCGCTGTCCCGTCAGCCGAGCCAAGATCTCATCTCGACTGCGACAAGTGCTTCGTCAGAGACCGGTCAGGCCGATCAGGATCGAATCGGCAGACGACGCGTCCGTCAGATAGCACGCGAGCATGATGCCGACAGTACACCTCGAGTCGCTTCGAGAGCATCGACGCCTGCACGCCCCAAAGCCACACTCGCTCAATCGCTGCCCGCGACCTTGTCATACGTCAATGAGCCGCTCAAGATCGAAGAGGCAATAAGGCTCCAAGTGAGAGAGGAGCCAAGGCTGGTCAAGACACTGGACGAATCAATATTGCCCGAGGGTATTGGAGACTATACCTTTGTGCCCGCCAATCAAGGCGGCGTGCTCGGCAAAGGCAAGTTCAGCAGCGTCCACATTGCGCTCAAAGGTCACAAGAAGGTGAGATTTGTTTCCCTGTATCACAGAACCGGCTGACGTGCTTTCAGTATGCTGTCAAGCATACGGCGCTTTACCCACACCATCCACTGATTGCCTCTCGACTGTTACGAGAGCCCGCTATTCTTGCTGAACTGCCACACCATCCCAACCTGATTCGCGTCTTCGAAACCATCAGGACGCCTGGTCATTTCTATCTCGTTGGTGCGCTGTTTCATCGCGCATGCAGATCTGAGCTGACGCCAGCATCTCTGCAGAGGAATACTTGCAGGGCTACATCAATCTCGAAGAATACGTCGTCACGTTTCCAGATCACAAGCTACCACTGTCAGTTGCAACCTCTGTCCTCAATCAGCTCGTTTCCGTCGTTCGAACCGGTCTTCACTCGCGCATACAAGTCTGCCATCGTGATATCAAGCCAGAGAATGTCTTGATCAACCCGTCAAGCTTGCACGTTGTCCTGTGAGGCTTTGTTAGGTACTCCTCACGATTCAAAGGCTAATACATGCCAACAGATTCGACTTTGGTCTTTCAACTCACTATTCAGACTCAGAGGCGAAGCTCACGACGTGCTGTGGCAGTCCTGCTTACCACTCACCGGAGCTCTTCCTGAGTTTGAAGCGACCGCCTGGCAGCGTTCGATACCACGGACCTGAGATCGATATATGGTGCATCGGAGTCACGCTACTGAGATGCCTGACCGGTCAAAAGTATCCTCTCGGAATCAGCTCGAATTCACTCCGGCACATGTCAGACAAGAGTATAGATGCGCTGCTTTCGGTCGAGTATAGGGGTCTACGTCGAGTCCTTGCCGGCTTTCTCGATATGGACGGACCAACACGTATGCAAGCATTTGCACAGTACACGCTAGAAGGTCTAGACGAACCACAACAGTCCGGCGAGGCCGCACGAGACGGTAATGACAGCCTTTCGGTCAAGGTCAAGTTCAAGAGCACGACATTCGTCAAGTGTGACGCCACGCATACATTGTACTTGCCTATCGTTTTCGCGCCAACAGGAAGCCCCTCGGACTCGCCTCAGCTTGACAGCAAGGATGCCTCTGGATTCTCGGCCAGCTTCGAGGAGGTCGAGCGTGGCCGCCGCCCATCGAGACAAGATTCACCGCCGGCCCTGCCGGCGATCAGTGACATGCAGGCGAATTTGCAGACCTCTGGCCTGAATGCCGACCAAGCATGTCTGACTCTGGATAATCCTACGGCTCAGCCATTCGACAGGACGGTATCGTTTCTTAAGTATGCCTTGCGTTGCGCTGGCATACTCTATCATGTCGTCAGTCACGGCACAACTGTGAGTGGAGCCAGCTCTCCATCAGCCTCACCGTATTCTTCCGTCGACCTCGAGCAGCGGCAATCTTATGCGATGACGCCGCTCGTTGCATCTGCACAAGGCGACACTGTCCATTTGCGCTGCGTCATCGAGCTGGACGAATCAACGTACCAGCGTCTGTCAATCAAGTCACAAGCTACTAGCGCACTCCAAGCCGCGCTGAAGCGGCCAGCATTGCAAAGAGCCATGACAAGCCATCGCTCATCATCCACACCGCCCTTGCGCGACAAAGCAAGCAAAGAGTCTGACAAGACTTCCAGATCACCCAGAGTCTACTGCATCGCATTTTGGTTGTCCTTCTCTGGCGTCATGACTCTGCCTACCACGCCAGCACGCGTGAAGCAGCCCCGAAGTCGCAAGTCGAGCAATGCACCTGACACCAGCTCGTCTGCTCCCAGTCAGATCGTTGTACGCGCATCCGACACTCGCATCATAGAACACGTACAGAGCGCCCTGTCCATCGGTTCGCGGCTGTCAACAGCATCCCACTCACCAACGCTTGCTTATCGGCCGAGCAAGACGCGAGCAAGTCATCGTCAGAGCCTCGTCATCGAGACCAAGGCAAGACCCGCTCACACGCGATCTGTATCGGTCGACGTGCTCGCACAGCGTCTTGCAAGCGAGGATGCTCCCACCACGCCGTCGCTCGCACCGAGCCCAGAGGAGGTTGGTGCGATAGGACCGCTCGGTCGCATTCTCAACTTCGCACGCGGCGCCATACCTACGAGGCAAGTTGCTGGCAGTACAAAGCTTGCAGAGGCAGAAGGTGCTCGTCTGCAATCGACTGCCGAGCAATTATCTCATGCGCGACACGCGGCTCGTGGAGAGCCGGATGCGAGTCCAACTGGAACAGATGCTAGCAAGGCCGCAAGCGCTATCCTGGCGCAAGATGTGCAGTCAGCCTAAACTTGTCAGTTCTTGCTTGTTGTGTCATTGTAGCATCTGTCATGACACGGCTGGGCTGCACGCGTCGTCTTTGCGCTTTTTCCTTCGCTCAGCGACGAGGCAACGCCCTGCCATGCTTCTCCGTGCCATCCTCGCGCTAGCATCGCATGCTATTCTTCTTGTCCTCGCAATCCCCACCGCGAATCAACATGACCAACTTGGAGAGGACACCGCAATCAGCAAGGCCGCGCTGACTACAAAACTTTTCAACGCAATCGAGGATGTCGCTGCCATCAATCATGACGGTCGTGACTTCGAAGACACAGAATCGTTGAACTCTTATGATGCGGGCAAGGCTGCATTGGCTCTCCATGACTATGCTTTCGGGATGGAAAAGGCGCCACGCCCTCGGCCGAGATACCAGCTCTTGAGCAAATCGCCGTGCTTGTTTGCCCCTCGAACGAAGGCTAAACATCGTCTGCAGTCGTTTTCGAGGCGATCTGCACCATTCCGGTCAACCGGCAGCCGCCTCTGAGCATCAAGACCGTCGGCGAAGGCTCGCTATACTTTCTCACCAAAGGCAGGGAGGGCATCAAGCTTGTGCGAAGCCTTTTGACCTATGCAGCTATCACTTGACCGATATGCTGGGAACAGAATTGGCAAACACCCACGATCATCAAGACAGAGCTCGGAGGTCCCGAGGGCGACAAGCAGTCTGACGCCAACTATCTCCTCGAGCTCATTCTACTCGGCGCATATCCCCCAGGACACAAAGATCGTGCGCACGTACCTCATCACAGTCGAGCCTCACAGACGCATAGAGCAGACATCAACTGTTGCGACGTTCGTTTCAAAGTGATCGTCAGGTTTGGGTTCGTCGAAACGTTTGTCCGCGGCAAGTTGGTCTACTTGGCTACCTTTCTCGCCTGAACGTGCAATACAGCCGTGATACAGGAGGCTTGGCTCGAGTGCAAATCATGGCCAGCTGGCTGTGGTGCCTACTTCGAGACAAGTCCGTATCTCTGCGTCGAGATCGCAGGGTTACTGATGAGCGGTGGTCAGAGAGATACGATTGCGTTGTGTCGCTGCCCGCCTCCTATGTGGCCAATCAGGATTCGGCGGTCTGAGTCCCTGTTGGGGAATGGCGCTCGACAAGACTGGAATGCAAATACATGCCACAAGCAGAGATACATCCCAGACCAAGGTGCAGACCTCAGAGACTTGCTTGAGCGAAGGAACCATGGAAACCCAGGCCGACGCAAGCATTGATGTCGGCAGATGCGATTTCTGTCATTGTGGTCGCATCAAGTACGACGAGGTGAGACATGCCATCCTGGAAAACGACGACAAGCAAAACGCCATCGTCTTCCGTCTTGCCGCCCGGTCGTGGCAAGAAGATAGGCTCGCCTGGACTCCCCTTGTCGGGCGCAACCCAGTGAATCGACCTCCCTGTGGCGAGATCAAGCTTGAGAATGCTACCGCTTAGGATCGTGTCGACCGCGCCTTCTCGGGAGATGCCGTAAGCGAATCGATATGGCAAATGACGGACTGCGGGAGCAGTGACGGGCAGCTCGAAGTAAATCCCCTTGCCGCATGGATGAGAGATCTCGGCATTGGGAGGAGCAGTCTCGGAGCCGATGCCTCTCAGGGTGTATCGTCTGAGACCATCTGGCTTTGCCTTGTTGAGCAGCTTGGCATGCTTTTCGAGGTTCTCCATGTTTTCGATGCTGAGGGCTTCGAGCATTGCGTTTGTATCATAGGCGGACACATCGCAGTGCAGCGTGCCTTCTTCGGACGGATCGTCAAAAGCATTGACCGAATGGAAAGCGAAGAAGGCGGGTGCTTTGCGCTTTGCAACAACTCCTTTGGCAGCTCGATCGATGACATAGAAGTAGGCAGAGCGATGCTTATCCCAGCCTCTGAAGGAATTGATGACATTCTTGTGCCAGAGCACTGGCAGGCCCAGGGCTGCAAAGTCACATTGCCAGACGCACAGGACGACATACTTCTTCGTCAGGAAGAAGGAATGTATGTATGCCATCGGTGCATCTGTGATGGTGGCGAGGATGGTCGCCTTGCCGGAGCCATCGATCTTGAAGACCTTGTAGCCAGCCTTGGGGCCAAATTTGGAAACGTATGAGAAATAGTCATCGCCGTCCTGGTGAGAATGCGCGGGCGCGAGCTCTCCATCAAGCTTGGCGTCCACGCGGCTGTAGTCGAATGCGGTTCTGGGCTCGAGCGTCTCGGGGTCGATGACCATGAGCGAGTTGGAGTCTGTCTTGACGACGATGCCAGACAAGTCGTCTTTTGCCCAAGGAACATCTGGCGCGATCGTCACGCCCACGTTGACACTGGATGGATCCGGAGAGCGTTCGTCCGATCGAAAGACTGTAAAGAGCTTGCTAAATACTGCGCGAGGTTGTTGTCAGCCCTAGACCATATGACAGACAGTCGCGCTACTTACGACGCCGGCAAGGCTCGATCTCGCCAAACGAGACCGAAGGATAACGACCGAGCGACTCGATGGACTTTTTGAGAGCGTCGGTCGAGTAGCGGCTTCGATAGGTGACCTTGCCATCTTTGATAGTGAAGGCCGAATTGATGGAGAGGCCGTCAAACCAGTGCTTCATCTTGACCGTACCGCCGCTCGTCTTTGAGTCGACTTCATACTGTCCCGGACCGGTGCGCAGAAGTGTGCCACTTGAGCGGACATCAGCAAAGCGTCAGGCTGATAGGCCGGGGCAGTTGCTCACTTGATCCAGGTGGGCAGATCACCCTTGACATCAAGCTGAACAGGCTGCCTGACTTCCGAGAGCACGGTGAAGGAGGTCATCGCAAGTCACTGCAGAGCTTGCTCGGGTCTTTGGCGGCCATGCCAACGAGTACGCCTCTTTATAACAAGCTCCATGGCTATCCACCCTTTTCGACCGAAGTCGAGCGAGGTGAGCCGCAGACAGATATTACCTGGTCGAGCTCGCACACGCGGCGGAACTCATGCGGACTCCGCTCGAGAGGGCAGGGCAGGACAGCACTGCATTGCAACCGCATCACTTGCCGAGGCTAGTCGCTGATCTCGGATGGCTGAGCTAGATGGGCGTCTGGCCTACCGAAGCTCAGAGGGCTAATTGAGGGGCGACTAGGGATCCTCTCTGGCTCATGCGGAGACGTCAAGCTCGCCGCTTGCGCTTCTGCGACGGAAAGAATAGCTGCTGCCAGGTCGAGAGGGGTGGGCATGCTCACCTTGGGTTTATTCGACCAGAAGCGAGCCTCTTAAGCCTGACGCGTTTCCCTCCGTCGTCGATGAGTGTGACGAGTCTGCTCTGGCGGGAACAGATCCTTTCACATTTCTGAGCGATGCGCGAGTGCGCTCGAGCTCCAAGTCTTGCGACTTGAGCAGTTTACAGGCCAGGTTGAGTGGAAGGATCTTAAAGATGATGACGAGGAGCATATGCAACTTCTCTCAGATGCGTTGGCCGGTCCGCAAGTACAGTGTGTCGGTCTCCATTGAGGCATGCATAGGTTCCTGGAAAAATTCGAGATCAGTCGATCACCATGCTTTCGCAGAGTGGTCGGTGGGAGGATTCCGGCGAATCTACAAAGAGTCGCGATCGCAGCGTAACAGAGCTTGCTGCTAACCATGGCAGATCTCTCTGGCTTGTTCGGCCGCTCAGCTAGCAATGCTCCTCGTGCGTCTGTCTATCATCGGCACAGTCCCCAGGCTGACGAGCTCCCGCAGCACAAGATCCGCAAGTGCGAAAGCAGCAGATCATGAACGAAGTCTCTAACCAAATGGGTTCGTGAACGCTTCGGGCGAGTCGAGTCGTTGACTCAAGCATGCATGAAACTACAGCCATGGCCAATGCGCAAGAGCTCGTCAACGTCAGTGCTGCTGCAGAGCGGTAGAGTCGGAGCTGACGATGCACCCGACAGAAACTGAACGAAAAGTGCTACGAAAAGTGCATCACACGACCGTCGACGAGCCTATCGAGCAGCGAAGAGACTTGTCTCGCTCGGTGTATGGACCGCTTCCTCGAATCCTGTACGTCTATGCCTTTTCACTCGATCGCCGCACTCGCTCATGACGCCCGAACCAGTCAACGTCGTCTCGAGAACCTATGTGGCGAGGATGGCGAGAGAGAGGGACGCTCAGCAACTCGCGGCCGGATCGGTAGATGACTCAAAGTTCCTGTAGTGCCACTCTGTACAGACTGCATGCTCGCAGCGTACGAGCGACGTATGTACAGAGAATGAGTACAAGAGTGCGATATAGCAACAGGCGCGCCAGAGGCTAGACGTGACATGAGACTGAGCAGGAGAGTCGACTAGCATGCGCAAGAGTCGAGTGGTCCCTTGGCGGACGTGTCCAGGTCGACTCTGCCCCTTCCGGGCTGAGCAGCCGCACGATCCAACGGCATCTTTGTTGCTGCACATCGACATCAGCAAAGGCTGGCAGCATGATACACGTCGACGTACCTAGCTCTTTGAAGAGCTCGGTCACATTGGTAGCTTCCTTGGCGGAGGTCTCGAAGAAGAGCAAGCCTTCCTCTTGGGCATACTTCTCCGCTGTCTGCAAGACACGAACCTCGCAAATGAGAGATGAGTCTGATCCGGCAAGGTGTGCTTGCCTCTCTCGGAATTGCCCTTCGCGTCTCCGCCAGATCCACTTTATTGCCCGCGAGCGCAATGACGATAGAGGGATCTGCCTGGCGTTGTAACTCTTTGACCCACGCTTTCGCCTTGTCGAGCGTGCCCTATGACCCAGACTCAGACATTGCAGCCATTCAGACGATGGAGCTCGCCTCGCTCGTGATGTCATAGACGACGACAGCAGCCTGTGCGCCTCTGTGACAAGTTCCCGTCTGCGCGTCAGACCGATGTAGGCAGCGCGTGACTCGGCGTCGTACCTGTAATACATGGGCGCGAGCGAGCGATACCTCTCCTGGCCAGCGGTATCCCATATCTGCTTCCCGCCCCTGATCAGACATTGCCTACGCATGATGTAGCTGCCCGCGTGCCTCAAACTTGATCGTCGTGTTCTCGTCCAGTGACACGATCTGAGTCAGAAAGGCCGCCCCAATCGTCGATTCTCTGTACTCCGAGAATTCCTCTGGGTCATGAGGACGTCGTAAGCCGGTGACACAGCGCGCGCAAGAGTGAACAGCCTCACGCTTGACGAATTGAAGCACGAGCGAGGACTTGCCGCATGCTGATTCGCCGAGCAGCACCACTGTGACAACGTTGCATCACTCGTCAGTCCTTTTGGGGTCCATAGAAGCGTCTGTCGCACATTTGAAGCTGGATCTCGCCGCCATTGTCGCTGTTGTCGTGCCGCTTGACGCCCTATCTACGTCGATAGCCAGTAAAGACCGGAAAGTTCGACGTCACGAAGAAGAAGCACCGCGTCGACCCGAGGCGGATAGCGAACAGAGACGTGCCACGTTGTGCATACTCGATTTCGTCAGCAGCAGAGCAAGGACGCCATCATGTCGGCTCAACCGAAGCGAACGATGCGAGTCGTTCACTCGACGCTCTCGACTCCACGCTCACGTTCCTTCTAGGCTGCATTTAGGCAACCTGCCACCGAAGCAGAAGGACTTTTCACTCGAATTTCCCGTCACGTACGTTCATCTGGTCATCAGGTTGAGGACTTTGGCTCACAGGACATCGCCCGCTTGCCTGCAGTCCCGGTCGAGTCAATCCCAATCAGGTGAGCTAAAAGAGCTTCAACTGATAGGCACGCGCTGACATGAGCCGCCTACAGCCACCCTGGCCAGCGTACCGTGGGCACGTCATCCCTGATACGCGCTTTGTTCGCGTGTCTCATATTACCGTGACGCTGGCGCAGATACCATGAATACAGTTTTGCGCATGCGACCATGGGCGTTCGTCTGCCCACCATTCTCGGCAAGGCCATCGATGATACCGTCAAGACGCTCAACGAACGCGTCGGTCGTGCTCTGTCTCTTCTTCGACGCGCTCGCTGACCGTGATTGCTGCAGTACAACGAAGACGAGATCGTCGACTTGGTCTCTTGCATCGAACGAATGGAGGACCTCATGGACGACTTGCACCAAAACAGTGCGCTCGCCGCCTCTCAGGACCACAGCAAGTCTGACACATATAATGTCCAGGCAAACTGCGCCCCATTGTCGACGATGGCGAGGGAGACGTCGCGCTCTGGAATAAGGAAATTGCAAAGTACTTCAGAGGCAAGGATTTCATGAACGCACCTTGGCTCTTTGCAGAGGCCTACAAATACCGAAGGTAGGCACACCGCTTTCGCTCTGTGTTTTATGCTGATCACGGCTGGCAGATTGCACGAGTGCTTCAGTGTTTCCAAATATTGGAAGAATTACGACGTCTTCTTCCGACAAAAGGTAGATCCACTGCGCCCGCAGCTTGCCGTTGCTCAGCCTCTCCGCAGTGTGATACCTTTTCCCGATCAAGTCAGGCCGTCTTTGAGCTCTCGACGCGATTCGCAGACGATTTCAAGTACGCCACCGGTATCGACGAAGCCGGACAAGCCAAAGCCCGTCAGCTCATCTTCCATGAGCTCACCCAAGTCTGCCTCTGGGGAAACTCGACAGATCTCTCGCTCTTGATCAACATGACCGAGGAAGACATCAAGAAGCTTCAGTCGACCGGTGGCGACCACTTGGCCGATACAGAGAAGAACATCCTTGGCAATCACATGGACCGACTCTGGCAGCTCGTCAGTCAGATCAAAGATGGCCGAATCGACTTTGTGCTCGACAATGCCGGCTTTGAGCTCTACTGCGACTGCGTCTATGCCGACTTTCTGATCCAGTGTGGGATCGCGAAAGAAGTCAGATTCCACGGCAAGCGATTTGCCTGGTTCGTTTCTGACGTCACACGAAACGATTGGAACTGGCTGCTCAACTCGATGGTCTACGGTCATCTGTTCACCGGTGTCAGCGACGAGGAGCTCGCCAGTCTGAAGAAGATGGGTCAGAGATGGAAGAAATACGAAAAGGCCGGACAATGGAAGTACCAGGAGCATCCGTTCTGGTGCACAGGCTACACCTTTGTCAGTCCCACTGCCTTAAAACTGAAGCTAAGCTAAGTAGACTGCGACAGTGGGATCTCAAGAGCGAAGCACCCGATCTTTTCCTCGATCTAAGCGAATCTGATCTCGTCATGTTCAAAGGCGATCTCAACCACCGCAAACTCACCTATGATGTCCGTATCTCACTCTCTGAGCATCAGGAGAGACACTGAATTGCGCGAGGCTCACCAGTGTCACGCACCCCCAAGCACGCCATTCGACATTGCCATCGGACCCCTTGCCTCTGAATCTGGCGCACCCCCAGTAGTATCACTCCGAACGATCAAATCAGATGTCGTTGTTGGCATCAAGGCAGGCGAAGCAGAAAGATTGGACAAGGAAGAGCCAGGCTGGAAGATCTCGGGCAAGTATGCAGTCATCCTGCTCAGCGAGGGCGACAAGGGCGGAAAGGTCATGTTCACTTGAGCAGCACTCATCTTAGCTTCAGTTCCTCTCGAGCATGCAAACAGCTGCACATGACGAAAAGCTATCCACATGTATATGAATCAAATGGAGCTCTTAGATGGCTCTTTGCTTGAGATGTCTTTGGACTCGGTGGGCTCCACCCGCACCGCCAGTCTGTCAATTCGCGTCGCGGTGGCAAACTGCTCCTCGAGCCAGCCAGCCATGGAACGGAGGGCTTCTACTTGGGCTGGACTGCCTAGCGAGCTATGGGATGCAGTTCTCTCTCAGCTGAGCCGGTCAGACGCGGGCCCGACGGCACTGTCTCTGTCAAGAGCGCTGCCGAGAACGTCCATCTCGACGTCACACCTCTGGCAGCATGTCGAGCTGACGACAGCGCAACAGATCCGAGCTCTGTCGCGGGTCATCCACAAGGATTCCGAGCGAATGGATCAGCTCAGGCAGTCTACTTGCTCGCTGCGGTCTCGCGTCTGGCTACTCGATCCCCATGTCCTCTGCAATGTCAGTCCCAATGAAGCCTGCCGTTGTCGAGCTGACAAGCCACGCAGGCCGTCGCACGATTCACAGAGCTCAAAGAGCTCGAGATGAGCATAGGACCCGCCTTTCCGCCGACGCCGCTCATCGAGCTCATGCAGCAAACCCACCAATTCACTTCGTTGACGTCGCTCAAGCTCATCTTCAATATTTACTTGGTCGAAAGGAGCTACTATCGCTTCCTGGCGGGCATCTACTTTGATGGCGTGCTCAAGGAGCTAGCAAAGTGGCCAGGCACAGTGCCGCTCAAACGGCTTTCACTCATTCAGACCATGCCCAGAATGACGCACGAGTTGCGCGACGGATCAGAGGACTTGAAGCCTCTGAGCGGCGCACCTCGCACACGCTTCGCACAGCCTATCGTATTCTTTGATCTACGCTGTGTTGCTGCGCTATGCCGCAACGAGCAGCTCACGCATCTCACTATCCGCATCCCGCGCCGGCGGGTCTTAGCAGTATTGAGCGACAATGACCCGCTCGACAAGCCGTTGCTACCCCAGTTGCGCTGTCTCGATGTCAGCACGACGCTTGTCGATTCTTCGGCCGGTATGTGGCAGCTCCTCGCTCGCTTCCCACGCTTGGAGCACCTCGTCCTCGACGAGACGAATCTCGTCACGCGCTCGACTTCAGACGAGGAGCTACATGCCATCGGCAAAAACTGTGCGCTTACCGGTCTGCTGCGAATGAAGCGACTGCAGAAGCTCGTCAAGGTCTCTTATAATGCCTTTGTGGCTGCATCGCCATTCGACGTGCCAGAGCGGTTTATCCTGCTGCCGCCTGCACCATGCTTGCGAAGCATTTGCGCAGGTTGCGAGGGATTAGACGATGCAGCGGGTCTGCAGAAGAGCTTCCACAAAGGCTGGCGAGAAGGCGCCAATCTCGTCAGAGATGCTGTCAGAGACAGGCTATCTGATCTCGATATCGCATCCCGCAAGCAAAAGACGTTTGCATTTCTCGAGTTTGCCAATACGGATGCAATCAGTGACGCCGTCTACAAGAAGCCTGTGTCGATCTGGCAGAGCTTCCTCGATACCTGGCAGCTCGTGCCGTCGACGATCGAACGAGCAAGATCGCTTGACGAACGATGGGCGACGGCAGCCTGTGTGCTCTGTCTGACGTCCGATTGCGCACCCTCTGGCATGTCTGCATACGACACTGACGGCTACGATTGCAGTCCTGATTGGACGCGACCTCCATCATCTGCACATGCACCCGGCTGCGCTCACTTGCAATCTCACGACGAGCGATGAGCTTTCTCAGAGATAGTGATCGAGCTGGTACAAGAGTGTCTTGCCTCTTGTGTTGCCGATAGCCAGCAGCTTGCTATCGGCTCTGAAGCTCATGCCTGTCACATGTGCCAGTGGTGTTTGGCTGGTAGGCCAGTTCGAGCAGACGGTTCTTGAATCTGTATGTATCTGTGCTTGTTGTCAGCACCACCTCGAGTCTCTTATTGCATGGACCTCACCAGTCGCAGAGCGTGGTCAGATTGACGAGAGGCGATAGCCAGCAGCTCGCTTGAGCTGTTGAAGGTCATTGCAGAGATTGACGTCGTCAGTTGATCAAATGTCTTTGCTGCCTTGGCCTGCTCTGTAAAGCCGAGCGCAGCGGTAGCAGAATGTTTGCTCGTTGCTTGATGGATGTCTTCTCTCGCATAGAGATTGACAATGCCCGAAGTCGAGCCGATTGCCAACAGCCGTTCGGAAGGGTCGGTCGACAGTCCCGTCGTACCGAATCCGCCTGCATCTTTCCATCGTGCCATACATCGCCGAGTGCCGACATCCCAGATGTACACCTCTGCATCGCTGCCGAGCACGATGAGCTCCTTGCCTTGCTTCTGCCAGGCAAGTCCTTTGACGGGTGAGCTCGTCTTGACCGTTCCTACTACTTGGCCACCTGCTCCGAAGCTGGAGGTATAGTCGATGAGGTGCACCATACCGGATCTGCCAGCGACAGCCAGCATGCTCGAGGCTGACGATGGAGTGGAATTGGCAAATTTGAAGAGCTCCATGCCGCCTCCCTCCGAGCCTGCGGCCTGATGGCTCCACATGCCACGAGGAGATCGAACGGCACGACCGGATTGTAAGTCGTAGCTGTACCAGAACGGTCGATTGCCGGTGAGCAAGATAGAGTTGCCCGTAGGATCAAAGGCTGCACTGCTGATGGGTAGTTCTGGCAGATGGACCGACTGCAAGAGCGTGTTCTGCAGACCGTCAATCTGGAAGAGCTTGAGTCGTCTGTCTGATGAGGCAGTGAACAGAATCGAGGCAGACGGGTGGAATGACAGGGCTTGAATGCCCGATTTTGCTTTGGACTGAAAGTTGGCATCTTTCAATCGTGTCATTCGGATTTCGCCCTTCTTGAGCCGTTTACCGCGCTTGAGTATACCGGCAGACGTGGTAGAGAGGAGATCGTCTTGCTGCTGCGTTGCCCGTGTCTGTCGAGCGCTCGTTGCCCAAGCCGGCGTGGGATGCATTTTTTCATACTGCTGCCGGAGCCGTTGTTCATAGTCCTGGACGCCGACGATGCTAGTCTCATCCCGCGCTCGCTTGAGCTTCTTGAGACGTGATCGGTTGAGGGGTATGACCATCTCGCCCGCGTCAGTCGTCGCCTGATCTGCCGGATCATTCCAGAGAGCTTTCTTCCGTGCTCGGACTGGCTGCACGTCTTGTGTCTCCTCATCGCTGTCAGATGCAAACGCCTCTCGACTTGTGCTGTCGTCGTCGCTGTCGCTGTCGCTGGCATCGTCATCGTCCTCGTCTGAGGCGCGTTGCTTGCCTCTCGCAGTCGGAGAGGGTAGACTGTCGTCCATCTGGAACAGCTGCAGACGAGCAGACTGCTATCAGACACGTTCATATGGGAAGTCAGGACACCTGCCTGATCATCTGCAACGTGGGTGGCGGCCTGCTTGCTCGAGCGGTCCACACGCAGATCTGAAGTGCTAGCATGACTGCCGCCGAAGAGAGCAGCCTCTAGCTCCAACTCCTCCCGTGTCTTGCCTTGCCCTTCTTCATCGTCATCTGCTCCGAGTATGGCTCCCGCATGATCCTCTGCAGCCTCCCCTTGGCTATCATCATCATCATCAAATTTAGCTTTTGTAGGTTTGTTGGCGGGCTTCGAGCTTGTGATGCGCCTTCTCTTCTGCCTGTTGCTACGCTGGGCTAGTCTACGGGCATCGCTGGGTGGCAAGAGAGAGAGCGAGTCTGCCATGGCCGGCATACCCCTCAGAGAGACGAGGACAGCGAATTTTGCAGCAGCCTTCAACTTCTTTCAAGTCGCGCGCGCTTCCGTCGTCGCCACGTTGCTGGGCCGGCCCGATTGTGCGACGTCCCTCGAGCGGCGATGGCCAGCTCGACGCCATGGCATGTGCTTGGAGGAGATGACGAAGATGTCGAGGGCGGCGACGTGGGCAGAGCGCTCGACGGGCCTTCCGAGCCGCCAAAGCCATCCTCACGCACGCGAACGGTCTCCTTCCCTCCCGAGACATACGGCGAAGAGCAGGGACTCCAACAGACCGAGAAAGGCGAGGAGGCTCACCTGCTCGGCCATGCCGAACCATCCAAGACGCGGAGGTCTCGCCGGCAGAGGAGAGAACAGGCTGAAGCGTTCAGAGCTCGCGCAAAGGGCACCGATGCACTTTTGTGCGGCTTGAGACCGGGCAGAGCGCTCCTCATCGGCGTACCCGGCGTACTCCTGCTTCTCTTCCTCGTCAACCATTTCCCGTCGCTCAGTCGTCCCAATCGCTCCCAGCAGGTGGATGCCTACGCCAAAGGCAGGCAGGAATCTCCCGTCGCGGACGGGCCCTGGGCTTCAGTCGGTACTGCGTTCGGCACCAACGAGGCTTACAACGAAGACGAGCATGATACTCGTCCTGCGCCTTACTCCAACGGGACTGCAAAGTTCAGAAAGACGGTCATCATCGTCTCGCTCGATGGCGTGAGGCCAGACTATCTAGAGCGCAGCCTCACGCCCAATCTTGTCGATATCAGCGAAAAAGGTCTCAAGGCGGAGTACATGAAGCCCGTCTTCCCATCGCTCACCTTTCCCAACCATTGGGCGCTTGCAACCGGCGTACGTGACCTCTCTGCGTCGCATCATAGACCGGCAACTGACCCGCCTGCAGCTATATGCCGAATCACATGGCATCGTCGCAAACGATTTCTACGATCCGAGCGACGACACAGAGTTTGTCTATACGGACAGTAGCAAATCTTGGGCGTCCAAGTGGTGGGGCGGCGAGCCCATCTGGTCTACTGCTGTCAAGGCTGGCATCAAGACCGCCAATCTCATGTGGCCCGGTCCACCCATGTAAGCTGCTTGCCCTCTCCAGCCTCGCACGCTAAAGCTGCAGCACACAGGATGAAGGACGGCACGCGACCGACGTACTTCCACGCATTCGAAAACAACTATCACTGGTCGAAGAAGCTAGACGTCATCACAAGATGGATCGATATGCCGCTTCGCTCTCGGCCTCAACTCATCATGGCCTACCTGCCCGAGGTCGATCAAGAGGGCCACCGCACAGGTCCTGATAGTGACAAGCTGCAGGAGAAGCTCACCTATGTCGATGACTTTGCAAAGGCCTTGCACGACAGTATGAAAGATCGCAACCTACACGATCTCGTAGATATCATATTTGTTTCCGACCATGGCATGACCGATACCAATAACGAGAGACTCGTCCTGCTCGACGAAGTCTTGGGCGAGCAAGGTCATGCCGCCATATTGCACAAGGAAGGCTGGCCATCCTGCGGTCTCCGGTTCAACGAGTCACTCGTCGACACCGACGACATGCTCAAAACGCTACGCGAAGCAGCAAAGAAGAGCGACGGTGGCTTTGCAGTCTATACTCACCAGGACATGCCCGAACGATGGCACTTCAGTGGCAATCCTCGCATAGCTCCCATCTATGTCGTCCCAGAAACAGGTTGGGTCATAACAGACAAGAATGAATTCTACGTAGACATGAATGGCGATTATCATCCCAAGGGCAATCACGGCTACGATCCGGACGACGAGCCTATGCATGCTATCTTCGTTGCTCACGGTCCCATGGCAGAGCACATCAAGACAAAGCGCAGGAGGACAAAACGAGCTGATCAGGCTCTGACGGTCATCGAGCCTTTTCACAACCTTGAGATCTACAACCTACTTGCAACGCTGCTCCAGATCGAGAAGACCGCTCCCAACAATGGTACAGTCGGGTTCTGGTCGACTCACCTAGACTTATGAATGCTATATGTTGTCTTATCTCATTGTACCATGCTGTTGAACCCCAACCGCGATACATGTGTCTTGGCCGACGCTACAGATGAAGTGGAAAAGCAAGCAAGCAAGCAAGCAAGCCAGCCAGCCAGCCAGCCAGCCAGCCAGCCAGCCAGCCAGCTAGAAGACAACGAGGCTGCTAGCGATGTCCCAGCCTAACCGTGTGAGGCCCTTCTTCGCGCCTTCTATCATGCCCTCCTGCGGACTCAACTCGGTCAGCACGTACTTGATGGGGCACACCGGTCGACGTACAGGTCCACAGATGAGGATCAGCGCGTCATCCGAAGGCTGCGGTAGGTGAAGCTTGAGCATGTTGTCATCAATACGGCCTTTGCTGTATGACCAGCCCGCGGGATGCTTGTCCGTCGTGAGCGTATGGTGCAATCGGTATCGATGACTGTGCGCTGCAGCCAATTCTTCGAGCTCCTCATTGCACAAAATGTCTTCGAATTGCCGGTTGCCGTCGAGCAGCCACAGATGTGTGTCATTATCTTCCTTGTCGTGCAGCACACCCCGCAGCACTTGCTGCAGAATCGTCTGCATTAGCGAGAAGTGCGATAATCGAGTTCGCAGACTTACCAAAATGGGTGTGATGCCACTTCCACCGCATATCATGCCAAGATTCTTGACTTTGCGCTGATTGCCTTTCCATCTGGCCATGCCTTTGCCTTCCCAGACGAAAGAGCCCAGAGGTCCCTTCATTTCGATCTCGTCGCCTATCGAAAGCGCATGGAATGCAGTCGTCGCCTTTCCGCCAGTCGGATAAGACTCGCTGGGGAAGTAGATTTTGATGAGCAAATCGATAAAACCTTTGGCGTCTTGCGTCGATACGGGTGTATAGGCTCGCTGCACTAGCTCCCCTTCCCCTTCGACGATCGCGTCGCTCTCCCCTGCATTTGTCTTCACTTTCCGTCGTAAACGGACATAGACGTGTTGCCCGCATGGAAGACCCAGATCTTGGTCCTCGCGGTGCAAGCGGAATCGATACAGCTTTGAATCGTACGAGACATCTGTGACGGCTTCCAGCTTGACTCTCTTCCACTTGCTCTTGTGGAGGAATATCGGCGCTTGTTCGTCCTGATCGTCTTCAGCCTTGGCTACGGCGCTTTGTCCATCATCCTCGATGACGCCGATATGGAAAGCGGCAAGCCTGAGCTTCGCATCTGCAGAGTGTATCGCCATAAAGTCCTCTGATGCATCCTCGCCAGATACGAGCGTGATCGATTCTGGTCCGCCGGGATGCTCTGGCAAGAAGTCCTTGCCAGCGTATACATGCCCGTTGACAACGAACAGAGGGTCAGCTTCTGTGCTAAGCTCGGCTACCTCTGCCAAAGTCATCTTGCGCGTCACATCGTCCTTGGTCATCTTGATCTCTTTCTTAGGCTCCTTTTTGACTTCTTGCTTGACCTTGGACGTCGACTGATCTGTCCTGAACTCGGGATACTTGGGATCCAACCCCTCTTCTTTGAGCCTTTGCATCCAACCGCCTTTCGCGACGCCTGCGAGTGTCGGATGTTCGAAGCGGATGTTGCTTTCGCTCTTGTGCAGCACGACCCGGAACCACCAACTGGGAGACTGTCAGCTCGTTCGATGTGCAGACTCACGAGACACGTACTTGTTCATCATGCCAGTGGCATTGACGTACATATCGCGTTGTTGAAGAGCGAGCGACTCGTCCATCCCTCGTACGGATATAGAAGCGCTCTGCTTAAGCTTGCCGACCGGCACGTCGTATGACCAGAAGCACCAACAGAAGCACGTATCTCGCTCTGTGAGATCGAGCGAGCCGTAGACGGGATCCGAGTAACAAACTGCACGGTAGAGATCCTCGGGATATGAGATCTGGGAGAGTTCCCACGTCTCGCCATCGTCAAGTGATAGCTCGACGCGTGTGACTCGTCGGCCGCCGCCGGCGTACGCATAGCCGCGCACGGTGTATACCTCTTCATCAGGAGATTGTGTGATGTTGAGTATTTCTTCGTGATCCGGTTTAGCTATAGCAGAATTGATGTTGAGATCGTTGATGAGATACCGAGGGTCTTTCCACCAGTGCTTCTCGTTTCTAGCTTGATCGGGCGATACTTCTGTGGGCAGCAATCGATTGTCAAAGAAATGTAGGTAGTGCTGTGATTCTTCGTGTGAGATCTCGATTTCTTTGAGCCATTTGACAGAGCGGCCGCCGATCTGGCCTGGTACGACAAGCCGCAAAGGGTAGCCATGATCAGGTTCGAGAGGTAGACCGTTCATTGCCCAAGCGATGAGCATGCCCTTGGTCTTGTCCGCTGCCCTGTTGAGGAGCTGCGAAGTGCCGTAGGGACCGTTCGGTAGCTTATCGCCGCCTTCAAAGATGACATGACGGGCTCTGAGTATCTCGGTCTCGCCCTCAGGCACCTCTTCGCCTTCGAATGTTGGAAGTCTCTGAACCCTTTTACCCTTTGTACACGGCTTGACGTATGCCAGGATATCCGCTAGATAGACACCCGTGAAGAGAGCTGTAGACACGCCTCCTGCGCCCCAATTGAAGCCGAGGGATTTCTGGACTTCGTTCTGCTCCTTGCGACGATTGCCTGCGCAGACGAGCGTGACAGGGAGCGTGACGGTCGGGAACTTATCCTTGAGCTCTTTAAGTGTCAGCGTCAGCTCACGTTTGACCAAGCTACCCATGCCAGTCAGTAATACCATACAGACGGAAAGCGCGGACATACCCATGAATGCGAATGGTCCAGTCATCGGCCATCTGCTGATCAACTTTGGGTACCGCGCCATGGTTGCGAACGTAGAAGAGATTACTTGAGGTGAGGAAACCTTGCTCGAACAAGGTACCGATCTTTGCTTCGCAGTTGAAGGGATGCTTGCCAGTCAGTCGGACGAGGCGTTCGTCTCGTGGTACCCAATTATCTGGCGTGGCCGCGTCCTGACTGTCTATTGTCTTTGTCTGGGCTAATCGTGGCAAAGCTGGCAAATTATACTTGGCCGGTATAGCTCGTGGAAGGCCATCGCTCTTGCTTTGCGCGTCCAAGGAAGCAGGATAGAATGGCTGTGGTAGGTCTGTCGCTATTGGCTCTGGCTCATCATCACTGTCATAGGATGCGTCTGGCAAGCCTGCGATGGCACCAGAAGTCCCATCAAGGCGAGCCTTGTCGATATGCTTGACCCCCTCATCTGCACCGCCAAGGATGACTTTGGGCGGCGATTCTTTTGATGAGCGCGAGGATCGACGCGACAGTGACGGTGAAGTATCGTCTGTGGACGAATGTTCCGAGCCTTCTGCGGACGAATCGGTTCTCGATGTGGTAGCAGTCGACTCCGATGGCTCACTGCCACTCGCGGTACTTTCTTGGCCTTCCGGCGGTGTGGGCGCGCGGCCTGCGGAAGCTTGCGAGCCAGTAGATGAGCTTGTCTTGTAGTCCGGTCGACCGCTCGAAGCTTTGTTTGCCGCCTCGATGGATGTCATACTCACTCAAGCCGATCTCAAAGTCGAAGCAGCGCAGGACGCGGGAAGCCGAGATTGTGTGGTGTAGCAGTGACAGGCTTGACTGATAAGCGCCTGTTGAGGCCGGACGAGCCCAAAGCGTCACTCAGGCTTCACGACCAGCTGCTATATGTGCCGGCGGACGAATCCCTACCGGTCTGATGTGTTCTCCAGGTTAGATGGGCTGGGCCAGAGGGGCGAATGAGCTGCGTGGCAGCGGCAGATTGTGAAAAAAAGATTAGCGGCTCGATTGAAAGTGATCGGCGGCATTTGCCAATTGGCGATAAGCGCAAACGGTCGAAGCTGATAGGCCAAGTGCTCCTCGAGGCTTGCCCGACAGAGGCCAGGGAGTGACCAACAGACAGTATGGCACCGGTGGCTGTCGAGGCTAAGCAGAACGGCGAGCCAAAGGGCGAGCCAAAGGTCATTCCGACCGATCCGCCTGCTCTAGATACAGAGGGCCTATCTGCCACCGAGAAAGAAGCTCTCGTGCCACAAGATGAGCGAAAGGTCATCTTTGTCGTCGGCCTTGGCATGGTTGGCATCGGTAGGATCCTCTCTTGCCGGCCTGGTAGCCACAGCTGACGGTCTAGCCGGCAGCTTTCATCGAAAAGATGCTCAACCTCGATACCGAGGGCAAATACTTCATCGTCACCTGTGGAGAGGAGCAACATCTCGCTTACAACCGAGTCGGCCTGACAGAGTACTTTGGTGAGTCATGCTCGCCTTTGTGCCGGTATGCGACTGGCTGATCGACACGCGCAGAGCATCGCAATGTCGACGATCTCTTGCTCAATCCGCCTTCGTGGTATGCCAAGCATTCGCCCTCCCGCTTTGCCTATCATCTCGGCGAGACCGTCCTCAAGATCGATCCAGAGGCTCATACTGTCCACACCGACAAGAATCACATCTTCAAATACGACTACTGTGTCCTCGCCACCGGCTCAGGTGCAGGCTTGCCGCCCTTTGTGAGCGAGGAGCAAGCCAGAGAGACCGCAGGCGTCTTCGTCTATCGCAACATCGCCGATCTAGAGAAGATCATCGACTATGGCGACAAGGACGACGTCACGCGAGCTGTCGTCGTTGGCGGCGGTCTGCTCGGTCTCGAGGCGGCAAAAGCTGTCTACGATCTCCCGACCGTACCTGACGTGAGCATCATCAACCGACAAGCATTTCCGCTGTCACGTCAGCTCGATGCAGACGCAGGCGAGATGGTCCTGCGAAAGATCGAGGCTATGGGTGTCAGTGTGCTCACCAATGTCGCACCGACGGAGATGGTCACCGAGTCAGATCCAGAGACCGGCAAGCCTGTCTTCAAAGGCTTCAAGATGACAGATGGCACCGTTCACGACGCGGACCTCGTCATCTTTTCGATCGGCATCAAACCCCGAGATGAACTCGCTCGTCAGTCTGGCATCGAATGCCACAAGCGCGGCGGTGTCGTTGTCCATGAGGATCTTCAAACTTCTGCCAAGGACGTCTACGCTCTCGGAGAAGTTGCCAATTGGAAAGGCAACACTTATGGACTTATCTCACCCGGCATAGAGATGGCCGATATCCTCTCATTCAATCTTACACAGACAGGCGGGCATGCGCCTCGAAAGATGAATGATCCTGATCTAAGTACCAAGCTCAAGCTCATGGGCGTCGACGTGGCATCCTTTGGCGACTTCTTCGCAGATCAGTCGCCTTATGAGAAGCAATTACAAAAGGTAGACCAAGCCCGCCACCAATCCCAAGAGGCCCAAGAAGCTGCGAAGCCCAATGGTGACGGCAAGAAAGCCATGAATGGCGAATCTCACGCGACCGTCACCGTCGAACTCGATGAGGACAAGAAGACCCAGAATGGTACGCTTCAGCAGCCGATGGACAAGCAGAACAAGCCTTCTGGCACGTCACTTGACAACCCTCCGGAAGACGGTTCCAAGGGCGACAACCAGACTGCAGAGAAGCCCGACTCAAAGACCGTCAGCTTACCGAAAGTGTCACATAGCAGCAAATCTGCCCGTAAAGATGAGCCCATCAAATGTCTGACCTACAAGGATCCGTTCGGGAGTATCTACAAGAAGTATATCTTCTCTGCAGATGGCAAATATCTGCTGGGTGGCATGATGATAGGCGACGTGAGCGACTATGTCAAGCTCGTCTCGATCGTCAAGAAACGCAAGCCGCTCGACATGCCGCCTTCTCAATTCATCATCGGCGCCAAATCAGGCGGCGAAGATGATGGTGGCGACCTAGACGACGACGTGCAAGTCTGTTCGTGTCACAATGTCGTCAAAGGGCAGATCGCATCTTGCGTCAAAGACGGCTGTACTTCTCTCGGCGATCTCAAAACGTCAACCAAAGCGGGCACGGGCTGTGGAGGCTGCATGCCGCTCATCACTGGCATCTTCAACGCCGAGATGAAGAAGGCAGGCGTGGAAGCCAACACGGATCTTTGCCCTCACTTTGCAATGTCGCGCCAGGATCTCTTCATGACTGTCAAGGTGAAAGAGCTCAAGACACTCCAAGAAATAATGACCACACTTGGCAACGAACCTGAATCGATTGGCTGTGAGATCTGCAAGCCGGCCATTGGCAGCATCCTGTCAAGTATCTATAACGAGCATATCATGAAGCCCGCGCATATTGGCAACCAAGACTCGAATGACAAGTATCTTGCCAACATCCAGCGCAACGGTACCTTCTCAGTCATCCCTCGCATGGCGGGCGGCGAGGTCAAGCCAGAAGGTCTTATTGTCATCGGCGAGGTCGCCAGAGATTACGGACTGTATACAAAGATTACCGGCGGTGTCCGTATAGGTGCGCAGTCTTAATTTATTTCACGATTGTGCTTATGAGCACAACAGACATGTTTGGCGCTAAGCGTGCAGACTTGCCTGACATATGGGAGCGACTCATCAAGGCTGGTTTCGAGAGCGGCCACGCCTACGGCAAGTCCTTGCGAACGGTCAAGTCTTGCGTCGGAACGACATGGTGCCGTTATGGCATCGGAGACTCAGTCGGCCTCGCAATTCAGCTCGAAAACCGTTATCGAGGCGTCCGATCTCCGCATAAGTTCAAAGGCGGCGTATCTGGATGCATTCGAGAGTGCGCAGAGGCGCAAGGCAAGGACTTTGGTCTTATTGCGACCGACAAGGGATGGAATATCTTTGTCGGTGGTAATGGTGGCTCGACGCCTCGACATGCAACGCTCTTTGCGACAGATGTGCCACCCAGCAAGGTCATCAAGATCCTCGATCGGTTCCTGATGTTCTACATTCGCACGGCCGATCGGTTGCAGCGAACAGCTAGATGGGTCGAAAGCTTCGATGGCGGCATCGAGAAGCTGAAGAAGATCATTCTGCAAGATGAACTGGGCATTTGCGGCGATCTGGAGCGCGAGATGGAGAAGCTCGTCGGCACTTACGAATGCGAGTGGAAGAAAGCAGTCGAAACGCCAGAAATCCGCAAGCAATTCAGACAATTCATCAACACGGACGAGCGGGTCGACCAGGCTGAGCTCATCACCGAGCGTGGGCAAAAACGACCGGCAGATTGGCCGAAGAACTATGAAGGCATCAAGATGTCAACTTCGCAGATCTCGACGCCGAAGGAGCAATGGAAGTGGATTAAAGTAGCTCACGTTGATGATCTCAGGCCGAACGAGGAGAACACGAGCCACGCCGCCCTCAAATATGGCGAGTCACAGCTAGCGCTCTATCACGTCCCGCGCAAAGGCTATTTTGCGACCCAGCAAATGTGCCCCCACAAACGTGCTTTCGTCCTCGATCATGGCATCGTCGGCGATGGGCCAAAGGGCCTCTATGTCGCTTGTCCTCTACACAAGCGTGGCTTCCAGCTGGAGACGGGCGAGTGTCTCAATGATGAGCAATTTTCAATCATGAGCTTCGAAGCTCGCGAGGATGCAGACGGCACGGGCGACATCGAAGTATTGCTGCCACCAAAGGACGCGCTTGACGCCGTCCTGGGTACAGACAAGTGGCTTGTCAAACAAGCTCAATCAGAAGCTCTTGGGCTCAATGCAGCGACTCAGATCAAGATTGTCGGCCCAGAAGGAGCACGAGAAGATGAGCCTGAAAAGGCTGAAGGTGGTGGTGGTTGCGGCAGCAACAAGCTAGAGTGGTAGAAATCCACAGCACGATTCACGCAATCTATTCTATCCCTTGTCTTGTAATGCATCACAATGTCAACAACAAGTTGGAACCGTCTAGAGTGAGGCTTCGAAGACGTCCGACCATCGAGCTGGTAGGCCCTCGCGAACAATAGCCGTTTCGCCGGCAAGCCAACGGTCGATGCGCGCCCGATCAGCAGCTTCAATAGCTGCATCACGTTGCAATCGGTCGAGCGATTCGTCCTCTTGCAAGGCTTCCATATCATCCAGCATGCTTATATCGCCCTCGCCGTCCAGTGAGAGGACCGCCCACCCAATGACCATCATACCGGGCGGTCGCTGTGGTTCACCATGCCGTTGTAGAGCTGCTACGATACGATCGAGCGTCGAGGCGATGACGCGCTGGTCCGAGCTCGAAGCTCGCTCTATGATGGCAATGGGCAGGTACGGCGGATAAGGTGTGCCGGACCGAGTACGTTTGCCTTCGTACAGGAGTGACTCGCCCGTTGGCTCTAGTGCTGCAGGCGGGGCGGCAGGATCGCTCGCCAACTGTGTGAGTGTTTCGACGACAGAGACGAGACGAGCGACACCCATAAGGATCGACAGCGTCCTTGTACGTTCGTAGCCGGGCAGAACGACACCTTTGCCTCTTCGTCCGACACCAGTGCAGATCGTGAGCGTATCTGCCACTCCTCGCTGAGTGACCGGTATGCCTGCCATTGTAGGACCGTCAAGGGATGAGCTGACACCCGGCACGACGAGACACTCGTAACCGTGCTTGCGGAAATGCAAGACTTCCTCACCTCCTCGTCCGTAGAGGTAAGGGGAGCCTTGTTTTAGTCTGACGACAGTATGGCCCTGGCCTGCGTATTCGAGCGCGAGTCGCATGAGCTCTTCTTGCGCAGACTCGGCATTGCCAGGGAATTTGCGAGCGATGATGAGCTTGGTCGATTTCGGCACGAGCGCGAGAACGGCCTCAGGCACGATCTTGTCGCTGAGGACGACGGTAGCCATTTGCGTGAGCGCACGGTGAGCTGCGACTGTCAGAAGGGAAGGCGAGCCTGTGCCCGATCCGACGAGGAGAATGAGACCTTTGGACCGCAACGGCGATGCGACGAGGGAGGCAACGGCCGAATCGTGGTGTCTAAGTGTGCTCGACGGAGTGTCGACATGAGAGTGATCTCTTGCTGAGCTGGTAGAGATCGCCGAGCTGCTTTCTGGATGGTTTCCGGAATGCAGGCCCAGCAGACGCGTTGTCTCTTCGGCGTCGAGTTGCGCCAGTCGCTCGATTGGCCAATATTCGGCTAGAACGATCTGGCATCAGTGATCACTGCGGGTCAGCTGACGAGGGAACGTACATATCTGAGAGATGAATCTCATTCGCGTTTCTGTGTTGAGACCGATGAACTGAGTGTCTAGCTGTGGCGTCAAGACGCAAGCTTTGCCTGTCCGATTGGGGGAAGTGCATCGACTGGGTCGAGGTGAACTGACGGCCATCTGTCGCACCGGCATATTGAGCGGTTGACTGGAGAAGCCTTCCTCCACTTCTTCATACTGGTCGAGCACAGCATGCTTGACCTCGCAAGATCTGACCTGTTGCCTCAGCTTGCCAATTCTGACAACAGCCTGGCCTGCATCGCGAGGCAAGGCAGTGACGAGCATCCTCTTGAGCCGGGATGCGAGCTTGCAAGCATGTTGGTTTGTGGTGAGTGCCATCTGGAGGGGGGAGTCGTCTCCCCATCGATGGCTGGCAGGGAAAGCAAAGTCTGATAAGCTCGGTTGATCTGCAATATTGACGGGGATCCGTCTCTCGTAGCAGGCCTCTCTCATCGACCGAGCAGAATCAAGTGACCTCATGGATGATGCTCGAGCGTAGAGCGTGTCCGTGACGATGACCATTGCCAGATCTTGGTACTGCGATTGAGACAGATTGCCGTCTAGCCAGCCGTCAAAGTCATCGTGCGCGTTCAGTGACAGCGCCGCCACTTCGTTGCAGGCTATACGGTGTGACAGCTCTGCATCGAGGCTCTGGGCAGCATCACAAGCAAGCAGGACGGAGTAGCCTGCTTCGAGAAAGGCGAAAGATCGAATTGCCGCCAATCGTCCAGAGCCGATGACGAGCACCGTCCGCCTGCGCTTGTTCCTTGGCTCGCTCGTCTCGCTGGATCCTGCCGAGCACGCGAGCAGGACAGATGCGCCTGCGTACACCTTTGGCCACGACATGTCACTGCTATCGACAGCGACCCGACAGGAGCCAGCCGATAAGCAGAAAAATCGCGTCAGGGCCAGCGAGAAAGTGCTGGGCGCTGATCGACGACGAGGCCCGGATCGGCAATGGCAGCGACGTCCAGCCCGTCTGCGTATCGATCTGCACCGCGACAGTTCGTGTCTAATGCGCCAGAGTGCGCGCGATGTGGCAAGGTGTGTGTGAACCCACAATGCGCTCAGGCCCGCTCGCTGACTGTCTCATCCACGCGACTAGCGAGTCTACTTTGCCGAACAGGTCCTCGGACCAGCCTCAAGACCGTACCATCGACCCTGTCTATCATGCCTCGGCTGCAAGAAGACGCTTCAGCCAGGCGCGCTCGTTGATCATGAAGGCGACGTGCGCTCCACATGACTTGGTGTCCAACACCGTACTCTTGAGCTGACCCCGCGACGCGACAGCCCTACTGCAAGCATTGTCATTCGCGAGCATTCGGTCCCAAAGGTTTGCCTTGGGCCAAAGTCTGACACGATCACGCGGCTCAGTATCGAGAGCAGGCGTTGGGTTTGGGAGCGCGATGCTCGCTCAGTACGAAACGAAATCGGGTCAGAGCAGTCCGGTCCCTTCGCCCAAGATCGATGCAATCAGCAGACCCACGTTCGGCTTCGATGACATTCGTGACGATCGTCGAGCGCCACTCGCTTCCGGTTCACCCTCAGCCTACGCGCCTGGTTCACCTTCCAATCTCGCGCCCCAACTGACTTCACAGTCCCGTTCGCCCTCGCCTTTGCCCAAATCCTCCCCTGGTCCTGCACCGACCCGCGTGCTCGGCGCGCCAGAACAGTGTTCTCGCTGTGGATCGACAGTCTACTTTGCAGAACGAACACTCGCTGTTGGCAAGGTCTGGCATAAACGGTGCCTGCGATGCGCGGGCGACAAGTGTGGCAAGGCTCTAGACAGTCATCTTCTCGAGAGCAATGGTCTCCCGTACGTGGCCTCTCCCACACGGCCTTCCTAGCTCACACGATGGCAGATACTGCAAAAGCTGTCATTCTCGCCTCGAAGGTGGCGTACAGCAGCAAGGCTTCGTCCGTCGGTTTTGAGATTCACCGCATGATGTATGTATGCACGGCTGTTCCACTATCCCTCAAGGCTCGCTAGTCGCGATTGCGCTCTGACCCTCGCTCGGCCAAGTCTCACGCTTGCTTACTTCGTCTAGCTGCTACGCTGATCGCTCAAGATGCTCTTTGCAAGCTCACTCTCACCTTGATTCACAGCGATGGCAACGCCAGATAGAGCAGGACGGATTCGTCCGCCATCGCCCACGCCGAGCATGCTCGAAACGCTCGACCGTCGGCCTGACCGAATTTCTGTGCGCTTGCCACGAACACCAGCACCAGCTGCGGCTTTCCGATGGCGAGACTTGAGCGTCAGAACAGGTCTGTACCATCATCAGAGCAGACCGAGCCAGCGCGATCTCGGTCGCAATAGTGTGAGAGCGAGACAGCGTCGGATCGCCTTTTGCACATTGAGAGCTATCCTCATCTTGCTCATTCTTGCTGGCACTATTGCCTCGTATATCATCTCAGCCAGCTTGATCGCTCAGGAGCTCGACGAGCAGCGTAGAGACCTCGACAGACCTCTCATCGTCATCAACGAGGGCATCAATGGAGCTAGCTCGGCTGGCTTCATGATCAACCCTGTCAGCCTGGTCTTCCTTCACATCATCTTCATCGTCATCATCCTCGTGGAGACCTATATCGCTTGGGCATTCACGCGCGCACTGGCTTGGATGTGGATGCCTGCTAAGCCAAGATCGACGCCACAAGCCAACTCAGCAGAGGCAAAGATGTGCTCCGCTAGTAAGCTCAAACGGGGTGGTCTGCGCATACTCGTCGCAATATATGGTCATCCGCCCGTGTCAGCTCGTCGCAAACCTAGATTGCCCACATACGACGTTGCGCTCCGTCAGCCTGTCAATCACGCAAGACGCATTCGCAGGGATACTCGTGCGCTGCAAATGAGAGGCATCGATATAGAAGACGATTTGCCAGAAGATACACGCACTCTGCCAGGCGATCTCGGTACGGGCGATTGTGAGGATCTCGAGCTAGAGAGGCTACGACGCATGGGCGGTGTGCCGCCTGCTTATCATACGCGCGAGAACAGACATTCGACCCTGCTTCTAGCCGGACCACAGGATCCTCGTCTCAGCGGATGGCGTCACTCGCTGCTGTCCATCTTCAGCATTCCCACTGACCGCGAAGAGGATCATGATCACGCGACACAGCAGATCGAACAGCAAAGCTCGCATGGTACACCCATCGCGTCGACAGTCAATTCGTGCCCTACTGCCTTATATCAGCAGGTGCGCGCATCGGCGTCAACACTCGTTATCGCTGTGCAAGGACGACGCACTTCGACCGAGCCAAACGACGAAGAGGCGGTTCTGAGATCGACGCCAAGCACGAACAACGGCATGCAGAACCCTGTCGATACTACAGCTCCATCTGTCATCGCGTAGCTGTACACAGAACGTGTCGCATGCTCAAATCGAGAGTGTGCACGGACTTCGACGGCTGCAAACATGTGCGCTCTGACCCTCTGCGATCTGCATGGAAGCTCGACGCTAAGCACAGCTCAACCGTACAAATACTCTTCAGTCAATTCAGCGCCCATCTTTGCTAGCCGCCCCAAGCGAGAGGATAGATCAGCGCACACCACAGTCTCTACGACACCTACCACGCTCTTTACACCCAGTGAACCGAACCCATCTCGTCGCCCGCAACCCCATTGCAATGGCTAGCCGCATAATCAAGCTCACAGTCCTCGCATTGGCCGTCGCCTCGTTCGTCAACGCTCAGGCGCTTAATGTGACAAGCGAAGGCTTGAAACTGCAAGTCCGCGGCACGACGCCAGAGGACTGCGACGAGTCAAAGATGCCCACCGTTGCACCTGCATCCGGCCATGGCAAAGTACCGCTGACGCCGGTCCATGGCTCAGTACCTCACAAGTCATCCGAGCACATACCGATGCCGCATGTCCCTACTAAGCCGAAGTGGCAACCCGAGTCTGCTCCTCATCACGAGCCGGCTATCGCTCATAGTCCGATGCCGAAGGCCGTCCACAAGCCAGCTTCAGCGCCCATTCACAAGCCAGCTTCAGTGCACATGCCCGCCCACAAGCCTCTGCCACAGATCGCGCCTGCACCTGCGAAGAAGCCGCACCACATGGCGCCCAGAGAAGCACACCACACTCACAAGGTGCACAAGCCCGCGCATCAATCATCCAAGCCTCATGTGCCTCTTCCTCTGCCGAGCCACATTCCCGGTCACAAGAATGCATGCGACATGCCCATGCACTGCCCTCAACGCGTTCCTGCTCACGCTATGCCAGTCTGCAACAAGGACAACGACGGCTGTGGCTCTTGTGGCTGGGTCAGTCTGATCCTCTCCGGGGGCGAGCATGGTCTGACACGCTGGTACCGATGACAGAAATGCTCAACTGGCTACAAACGCGTCGGCAATGCTTGCAAGGCGGTCAGCCCGGAGTGCGCAGACTCTTGTGGACCCAAGATGGTCACCTGCCCTCGGCCTTATGGTCATATGGGCAAGCCTGTCTGCGTCAGCGGCCAGTGCGCAATCGAGTGCCCAAAGGGACATGTCGTCGCCCACGCCAATGGCCTCACCTACTGCAAATAAGCAGTCTCCTCGGTGTATAGCTGCATTAGACCATGTACAACGATGCGACTGTACCTTCAGCTCCGTAGCCTTGCGTTTGACGCCTGAGATCGAACTTGAGTCTCGAGTTGTGTCGGTGACGCGCGAGAGCGACAGGCAAGGAACAAGCTCGCTCTCTCCCGGCTTAGCGGCGGCAAGAGCTCGAGCGCGAGCGCCTAGTCCATCATGGCGAGTGCAGAGGATGGCAAGTCGCTGGCGGATGCATTGGCGGTCGTCCAAGCGCAGTCGGTGCTGATGCGACGAACGCTCACCTCGGACGGCTTGATGCCTGGCCTCAAGGCAGCTTCGACGATGCTGGCCGAACTCAGGACATCATCACTCAGCCCGAAAGCCTACTACGAGCTCTATGTGGCTTGCGACTTGCGCCATCTGTCCTCTTACCTGTTCGACTCGCACACGAGCGGCAAGCATCATCTCGCAGACTTGTACGAGCTCGTCCAATATGCCGGCAACATCGTGCCTGTACGTCATACTGACACCCGAGCTCGGGCAAGCTGAGGGTTGGTCTGTTCGGCACGCAGAGGCTCTATCTCATGATCACCGTCGGCTCAGTATACATGAGCATTCCTGACGCACCCGTCAAAGAGATCATGAAGGATATGATGGAGATGACCCGAGGCGTGCAACATCCCACCCGAGGTCTCTTCCTACGCAACTACCTGAGCGCAATGACGCGTGATCATCTGCCCGTCGGCGACAGCGATGGGTGAGCTATCTCATCCACTGCGAGTCTCGCCAGCTCACGCGCTGCTCTCGTAGGCCAGGAGGCAACCTGCAGGATTCTATCGGTTTTGTGCTGACCAACTTCATCGAAATGAACAAGTTGTGGGTCAGGCTGCAACATCAGGGCCTTTCGCGCGATCGTGACCGTCGCGAGCTAGAACGCAAAGAACTCCGCATACTCGTCGGCACGAATCTCGTCAGGTTGAGCCAGCTCGACGGCGTAGATCTGGAGATGTACCAGCGTATCATCTTGCCCAGCGTGCTCGAGCAGGTCGTCAATTGCAAGGACGTTATCGCACAAGAATACCTCATGGAAGTCGTCATCCAGGTGCGTCAGCCTCGAGATCCTTGCTGAGCTGCAATGACGGAGCCCTCCCAGGTCTTCACGGACGATTTCCACATCCGCACTTTGGGGCCATTCTTATCGGCGACAGCACAGCTGCACCCCAAGGTCAACATCAAAGCCATCGTCATTGCGCTCATCGATCGGTTGGCAGCACACGCTGCCCGAGAAGCCGAGAACGAGTCGCCAGAGGAGTTCAAACGGCAGAAGGACGAGGAAGCACGCAGGCTAGCGCTCAAGATCAAGGAGCAAAAGGCAAAACGCGCAGCCGTGACCTATGACGACGAGGACGAGCCATCGCAGCCGCCCGTCGATACCATGCTGGCGCCAGAAGTAGCAGGATTTGCAGATGCTGCAGACGCGAAGCCACGGGAGCCAGAGCCCATACCAGATGCTGCCTCGCCGGCCACGAGTAGCCTTGTAGCCCCGCCCAAAGACGAGACCGCGCCGACATCTCCCAGAAAATTCAGAGGCATACCCGAGGACGTGCGGCTGTTCGAAGTCTTCTGGCACCAGATTGTCGAGCTGGTCAAAGCCCGGCCAGATTTAGGCCTCAATGACATCACCGCTTTGCTCGTTTCGCTCACCAATCTGTCGCTTTCGTGCTATCCAGACAGGCTCGAGTACATTGACCAGATATTCGACTATACCCAACGCAAAGTCTCTGAATTTGCTGATAGCCCAGATCTCCATCACCCTTTGACGATCGCCAATCTCCTGTCGCTCTTGCTCAGCCCAATCAACTCATACACAAGCATTTTGACTATCCTCGCCCTGCCTTGCTTCAATGCGCTGCTCGCTATACAGCCTCACGCGACACGGCGGTCGATCGCACATGCTGTCGTTGCTTCTATTCTCAAGAATGAGACTTTGCTCGAAACGCCCGAAGACGTCAAGGGCGTACTGGATCTCTGTCAGGTCCTGATCAAAGATCAGCGGGATGCGCAGATGCCGAATGGCGGACGACAGTTCGCTGGCATGCCTCGCGCACCTCAATATGATCCAGAAGAGATGGCGGAAGAGCAGGGCTGGCTCGCACGGATGCTGCATCTCTTCTATTCTGACAATGTAGAGACGCAATACAAGCTGCTACAGAGTGAGTCGTCTGCAATGCCCAGTTAGTCCGGCTAATGCTCCTACTAGCTGCGCGCAAGGAGCTTTCAGAAGGCGGCGACAGGATAAGATGGACGTTTCCACCCCTCATTGTCGCGTCCATTAAGCTCGCGCGGCGCTACAAATATAAGGAGCACGAACTCGCAGATTATTCACACAAGACTGCGACGCTCTTCAAATTCATTCATCAGGTCATCAACTCGCTGTATATCAAGGTCGAGTCTTCGGAGATCTGTCTCCGATTATACCTGCTAGCCTTGCAAGCTGCCGACGAGGCGGATAACGAGAATTTGGCCTACGAATTTGCTGTCCGGAGTACGTGCACCGCAATTAGGCCAGCTAGCGCTCACCACCAGTGACAGGCTTCGAGATTTACGAAGATGGCATTTCAGACAGCAAAGCGCAGCTTCAAGCGATCGTCTTGATCATTGGCACCTTGCAGCAGATGCGAGTCTTTGCCACGGACAATTACGACACGCTCATCACGAAAGCTGCTCTACATGGAGCCAAGCTGCTCAAGAAGGGTCACCAAGCCACGGCTGTCGCGCTGGCGAGTCATCTATGGTGGCAAACTGACACGCCGCACAAGAAGACGCCTGCCGACAAGGTCAGTCCAACCGCCGCTTGCAAGTGCTTTTCTGACCATGTAGCTACAGCAACTGTTGCAAGATGGAAAGCGAGTACTCGAATGCCTACAGAAAGCACTGCGGATAGCGACGTCGTGCATCGATGAGCTCACTACAGTCCAAATCTACGTCGATACGCTTGACCAATATATCTACTACTATGAGAGACAAGTAGAAGCGGTGAGCGCAGCCGGATGTCAGCTGACCTTGCTGATATTCCGCTACGTTTTCAGATAAGTATCAAGCACATCAACAGCCTCATCGAGCTCATAACTGCAAACATCGATACGCTGCATGCAACAGACGTTCATCCGACTTCGCTTGGCTCTGCATCAGGTCTGGTAGAAGGTAATGGCAGCCCAGAGGGTATTGTTAAGCATTTCAGGAGCACGCTAGTCTATCTCGCATCACGGAGAGATACCGAGGACGACAAACGATGGCAGGCAGTCGAGCTAGCTGGCCCAATGCTCAAATTAGGCCTTTCATGAGAGACACGACGCAACGTTGTAAGCGCAGATGCATTGTAGAATCCGGTCGCTAGGCCATGACCCATCGCGATCCTTCTTTACGCTGCGTCGCTTGCATCGCTGGTAGCTCCAGGCCAAGGCCGGTATGCGCTGGACCTTCACCTGACAGCAAACCGGCGCCGAAGCGTGGCACAACCTCGCACACTCTAGTCTTGCCATCAGCGGATGCTTTCGCAACCGTCTCCAGCGTCTTTGAGTATGTGCAGTAAGGCCGACATAGCACAGATATCCACGCGGAGTTGACCTTGGTCAGGCCTTTGAGCCATGTCTGATTTGTCGTGAAGACCTCTTGGTAGCAGAGAAATTCTGGGGGCGGGCGCGAATAAAGCACAGACGTCGGATGCACATAGACATCTTCGTTGATGCCCAGCGCTCGATACGCGATGCCCCGACACGACTCCGTCGTCGCCTTTACGGAGCCGGCAGATGAAGACAGCAGGTCTTTGCGCACGGCGATCTGATCGACGAAGGAGACCGTGAGCAATTGGCGAAGCGCTTTAATCTGCGCTGTTGAGGGCGGTGCTAGCTTCACTGAGTCGACCGAGTCTGCGCCAGTGTATGCACTGACAATACGATTGATCTGCTGTCGCAATTGATCAATCTCTTGCATCGCCTTTGCCCGCAGAAAGTGCTTCTCGCAAAAGCTTGCGCTCTTCTCTGCATAATCGAATGCTCCGACAGCACTGATCACACGAAAGACATCACTGGTCCCAGCGCCCAGGGCAGCGAATTGCTCTAGTGATCTGAAGTAGGCCGACCGCTTCGCTTTGAGCTCCTCCTTGCGGCGTATCCCCGGATCTCGGATGATAGCAAACTCAGTAGCTGGCATATGACCTTGGATATTGCTTGTCTCGTCAAGATCGTCGCCGAGCGACTGTTCGTGCAGGAAGGGGTCTCCGACAGACATAGCAGCGACAGCGGTGATAACGTATGGCAGACACCCTTCTTGCTGGCCAATGACGAGCATCTTTGCGAATCTCGGCGCAAGAGGGTAACGCGCCATACTCCGACCGAGCTCTGTAACGTGCGCATCCAGCTTCTTGCTGCCCAGACCGGCTTGCTGTTGCTCTAAGGCGCCCAGACCGATCAACATCCTCTCAGCTTTCGCAAGCATCGGCCTTTCTGGCGGTGTCGGAAATGGGAAATTGACGACGGCGTCGATGTTCATGGCCTTCATCTGAAGTACGACACCTTCGATAGGCGTTCTAGCGATCTCCGGTGCAGTATGATCAGTGAAGAAGCTCTCGAAGACGGCAGACGAGTAAAGGCGGTAACAGTGACCGGGCCCTGTTCGACCAGCTCGACCTGCGCGTTGAGCAGCCGAGGCTTTCGATATCCAGTCGATCTTGAAGGATTGCACGCCCGAGGAAGGATCGAACTGCTTCTCTTTGGCTCGCCCGCAGTCAATGACATACGAAATATGGGGAATCGTTAGCGACGTTTCTGCGACGTTTGTAGCGACGACGACGAGTCGAGTTCCTGCTGGTGGAGCATCGAAGACTTGCATCTGTCGATGAGACGGCAGCAGCGAATAGAACGGCAGAATATGCATTGGAACTGCATAGAAAGTCAGCGCGGTTGAGCACGCAGCGAACGATTGCGGACCATCGCTTTGCTCAACATTGACATCACTCATCTCTTCACTTTCGCTCTCGAGAGCTTCCTCGTCATCAAAGTCGACCGTATCGTCGAGCGCCTCTAGCTCTTCGATCGTGTTGCGACCAGCATCTGTTGCAGGCATAGCCTCGGGCTCATCGGCCATGCTGACGTCGAATATAGGCAGCTCTTCTGCCGCTTGCTGTGCTCCCTCTCTAAGCTTCTGCCTCTGAGCAATCTGCGCGCGCTTCGCACGTCGGTCTGCTATTGCTGCGCGGCCATATTGCGACTCGAGCCGTCGACAGAGCGTAGTGATCTCGTTCTGACCCGTGAGAAAGATTAGCAATCCGCCCATGGGAAGTCGAGCGTGAACGCGGCACGCCTTTTTGAAGGCCTCGTCGAGATAGTCAGGCTTAGTGCGTCTGCTGAAATGCGTGGTCACCGCAAACTGCCGCGCTTTGATCTCCACGATAGGCGGCGGCGTATCGAAGAGCGTGGCATTGGAGCGAAAGTCTTCGACTCGCAACGTGGCAGACATGATGATCAATCGGAGTGGCTTCGCCCCTTCAAGCTTTTCTCGCCATCGCTTTTCGCGCAGTCTGACAATGCGACTGAGTGTGCCGATCAAGACGTCTGTGTTGACCGTCCTCTCATGAGCTTCGTCGATGATGATGACACTGTATCGAGTGAGTAGGAAGTCAAGTGCTAGCTCACGGAGCAGTACGCCGTCGGTCATAAACTTGATGAGGGTCTGCGCAGAAGTAGTCGAATCGAACCTGACCTGATGAGACACTCGTTCCGGTCCAAGTCTTAGCTCGTGAGCGACCCGAGAAGCCATAGACGTCGCTGCGACTCTTCGAGGTTGAGTGATGCCTATCATGCCCGGGTTATCGCCTTGTGGGCTGCCAAAACCTGCTTCGTAGAGGAACTGAGGGATTTGCGTCGTTTTGCCACTGCCTGTCTCTCCACAAACGAGGACGACGGGGTGCAAGAGGATGGTCTCGACGATGTTTGCCTCTTCGGCCAGGATAGGCAGTCTGAGTCGCGCTTCTTGCAGCTCTGTACTTCTGCTGACTCTCACGGGCGTTGACTTGATTGGCGCCTTTAGATCGAGCAGGGATTGAGTTGGCAGTATGGTCATCTCGCCCATCGGTCCCCTGCCTTGCTCTACATGTACGATATGCTTCGCTGGTGGCTCTGAATGGGATGTACGAGAAGAGGGCTGCGACGGATCGGCGAGCGCGATCTGCTCAGACGCCCATGCCTTGAAGTCGGTCTTTGCTTGTGCAGGCTGATCAGCCTGTAGTCGCACTGGCTCTACAGCGAGCGCACCATGCTGAGGTCCCATCGTTTCTATACCTTGCCATTCTTCGTTCTCATCGAAATCCGAAGCAACCTCTGTTTCGTCGTCCGCATCGCTGATATTGTTAGAATCGTCATCGCTACTGCTGCCAAAAGCAGGATCGTCAGTGTGATCGCTGCCATCCTCTTCGTCTGCTCGTCGGCGCAAAGTCTCGAGTTGCTTGGGATCGAGACCTCTTTCAGCTAGCAAAGCAAGCGCAGCACCCAACACGGGATCTTCTCCCTCTTCGTCTGCATCAGAGACATCCGATTGTCCAAGCTCGCCGTGGGAGGACGAAACCTCGTCAGAGTCAGAGAGACCGCCAGTCTCTTCTATTGCCCTCAGATGCGGCTTGACGGCTTCATGACGCGATCTGAGTAGAGCGGCTGCAGAAGGACGCTTCTCTCTGGGCGGTCGAGAGACGATCTGAACGCCAGAAGCAAGCGCGCTGCCGAGTCCATTTGACGATGACGCGTTGCCATCTGCTAAGTTTGGGGTCGACGGTACTGGCTTGCCATTTGTCCGGGCAGGCGCTTTAGGTTCTGATGCTGCTTGGTCCGCAGACCGTTCAGAGGAAGAAGATGAGCTCGAGTCGGAATGATAGCCTGCTCGACGGTTTTGCGATTTGGCTCTTTGCTTTTCGCGTTTGCGTGCAGAGAGGGCTTGCGTCTTTTCGAGCTGGTCAGACGTCGAGCTGAATGTCCTCGAGCCGAGCGTGGAAGATGTCATGAGATTGAGCGGCTTGTCGACCGAGCTTTGCGAAACGCTGTCATCCCTTATACGCCATGAGTACATCAAGCCCCACAGCGAGACGGCAGACTGACGCGAGCGAGTCGAGCAACTCTGAGCGTTGTGATTTGCGGAGCTTCTTGGAGATGTACTGCTCCTGCAGTCGCTTGCGCTTCTTGCTAATCCCCTTTTGCTCTTGTGCCTCTTTCGCTTGAGCTGCTTTGCGCTCCATCTTTTCCTTCTGTCGCTGGGCTTGGGACTTGGTAGGCAGCATGTCAAGCTGGCTATGGTCTGACATGCTAGCTGAGCAGACGGCTGTCACTGATGGCAGTCGATGCCAACTTTGACTTGCATCCCAATTTTCTCGCCAAAAAGTCGCCGAGTCGATCAATCCGAGGCCATGAACAGGCTGAGGGACCGGCTATGGGTCGGCTTCCAGCAGCTGCGAAGAAGTCCTCCGGGCCAGCTATCAGCCTTCCTCACCAGCTTGACGGTCCAAGTCATCCAAGTCGGCTGCCTCGTCCATCTCGTCATGAACAGGGTCGTCTCTGTTGGCCAAGTCAGCGGATCATGGAGCATCTGCAGCTCGCCTTGCTCATGCTACTGATGACAGTGCTCGGGACCATCAATGTACCCTACTCTCAGCCACAAGCATACCCTCGTCTTGCTCGATCATTGGTCGATACTCGGCCTCAGGCTGAGGAAGAAAGCTCCCAGTATAGCCAGAGGGGACATAGTCGTACTCAACTCGCCCGTCGATGTAGACGGTGTAGTCTGCAAGCGTGTCATCGGGCTAGAAGGCGACAAGATCTGCTTTGATCCCTCGGGTGAATGGGGAGAGACGGCCAAGGATGACTATGTCATCGTACCAAGCGGTCATGTATGGCTACAAGGCGACAATGCTGCCATCTCGCGCGACTCGAGAAACTATGGACCTGTGTCCAACGCTATGCTGAGGGCCAAAGTCATCGCAACGGTACGTTCTCCCCGCTGCTCTCGCGCAAACCCAAGTGATGATTCTCACGGGCAGCTGTACCCACGCCCGAGATGGCTGCGCAATCAACCAGGCGTGCAAAGTACATAGACCGCTATGCTGGTCATCGAAACAACGACAGCCGCGAGCCTCCGAACGCGATAGCGCAACTTGCCAGGCCTACCGATCCCGCTTCATGCTATCTGTCTCCTCCAGATCAGCAGACTCGACTTCTAGCGCCCAGGCCAGTCGAATCGGACGATAGACAAGGGGGAGCTCATCAGGCCAGCGATGCCGTGACTGGCTGCACCGTCGAGCAAACATGGCTAGAGGAGCAGTCTGACGGTGAGAACCAGCGAGAGTCAAGAAAATGATTGGATTCGAGTGACAGTAGGAATCAATGCAAACATGCATTTCGAGAACAGCGCAAATTATCATGCAAAGTGGATGCGTGGCCTGCACTAGCGGCCATCAGTCTTTTTCGGTGCTGTCAACGAGCGCAGGACTCATTAAAGCGCCATGCGAGGGAGAACGAGCGCCTGCTATCGCTCGAACGCTCACGCTCCCCCCGCCTTGTGCACTCTCGGTGCATCTCGTTACGTTTCCCCCCTCAAGCGAGGGGCGAGATCTTGTACCTGGCTTGCTGAGGAAGGATAGCTTGCCTGTTGCGCTGCTCGAGAGGCCACGGTATTCTCCACGCATGCAAACACCCTGCGCTTCATTGAGAGGCTCCAAGCAGGTGTCCTACTTCTGGAACGACTGGAAGATGGGATGCATAGAATGGACAGGCCTTCTTATAGCCTTGCGAGATGGCAGGCAGACAGTTTGCGCACAGCTAAATTGGCCTGCCTGGTGTAGAGATCACTTCAAGTCGCGATATAACGCGCCTTTCGTCTTACCGCCCACGCCTGAACGCAGTATACTCTTAAGTGCATGTTTGCATTAGTTATTATTGTCACTCCTGCCCCGAGTCTCGTGTGCTCGTATTGCCAGACTGCTACTGCACAGTCGTGATTGCATGGTGCTCCTGCCTTTCCCGGCGTCTCAGGCTAGCTGCTGCTGTCCCAGCCTGTGCGCATCCGCCTCGCCCGGTTGAAGCATTGATATACGTTGATATCGTTGATATCGCGTGGTCAAGTAAATCACTTGACAAGTTTACCATCGCTATCAGATCTGATCAGTCGCCAACACATATGGCACACACAAACGTAGCACAGTAAACGGTCCAATGCAGAGCTCGGCGCCCGGCCGTCCAGCTGACACGCAGGAACGCAAGACAGACGATCATACATCAGCTATCTAGACATTCCAGAATTGTCTGCCCGGCGCGCCTGGCTCGGCCGCACCGACGAGCTGCAAATCGAGACCACGCGATGACTGCTCGTCCTCTGAGAGACCTTGGCCACGCTTCTGTGCTTCGTCGACTGATAGTACCTCGATGGTGTCGTAGCCGAGGACTCGTCGCAGATAGGGCAAAATGTTCTCCAGCGTTGCTTGCTGGTTGTAAGCGAGGCTACGGTCGAGCGCGGCCTTGATGCCTCGCTCGCTGACCTTTTTCTGTGCTTGCGCATTAGCACATGATTCCGGATGTGTGATAGCGACGCTAACCTTGAGCGCTTGCACGAACGGCATCACTCGCTTGTCCTTGATCCTGCCATTTGCTGTGAGCATTGCCTTGAGCTTGGCATCATCAATCTGGCCCGAGGCGTCATGACAGTCTCCGAAAAGTTGCAAGACATCCTCCTGCCATTGCGGAAAATTGTTCGCGACGAAGAGGTGCAGACGCTTCGGCTTTGCCGGATCGAATAAGACTGCTTTGCCTTTTGCCTTCTTCTTCGTCGCTTGCGTCTCGCCACTTCGCACAGACGCCAACGTCTGCTTAACAAACGCATTGGCTTCCAGTACGCTATCGTCTTCTGCAGCGTTTGGCTCTGGGAAGCGAGCAAGTTGCACAGATGACGGCTCTTGCAGGCAAGCTGTCCATACGTGCTCGGCAAAGTGAGGCGCAATGGGCAAGATGAGTAGGGCTTGGACTCGGAGGTATTTTTCTACTAGCTCGCCATGCATACCCTCGTCGGCACACGCGTCTCTGTAGGCATCTCTTGCCAGCAGAAATTCGTAAAAGCCAGCTTTCAACGCATCGCGATACGCCGCGTTCTCATAACTCTTGCGCGTCGCCTTGATAGTCTGCACAATCTCTTGTTCAAATACGTGATCAAAGAAGTTCTTGTCGCCTTTCCGTAGCCCGCCTGCGCGGAGCTTGGCGGTTTCTTCCTCGGCAAACAGAGACAAAGCATGCAAGCGGAGGATGTTCGCATTCGCTGTAAGCTCTTCAAAGTTGGCATCATCCATACTATCTCCTGCATCGGCAAGCGTCAACCGAGTCGAGTCAGCGCCGAACTTATCTATTGCGTTTGCAAGCGTGAGTGAGTTGCCGGTCGACTTGCTCATCTTCTTTCCATTAAGCATCAGATGCCCATTGGAGCGCATGCTTCTCGGCCAATGCTTTTCCGGGAACAACGCGGCGTGGACATAAATGCAAAAGGTAAGATGGTTCGCGATCAAATCCTTGCCAGACGATCGGATGTCGAGCGGATAGAAGTAGGTGAATTCGCGACGCAATGCGTCTGCCTTCTCTTTGGGCAGAGGCGAGTTTGCCGGTAAGTCTGCGCTGCCGAGGAGATGATCCCAGACTTCATCTGTGAGCTGGTCAGCCGTGACACCAAGCGGACCAGGCTGGCTTCCGTCGATGACGCCGCCCTGCAGGAGATGGGCGATGGTGTAGAAGGCCATATAGATCGTCGAGTCCGATAAGCTTTCGACAAGAAATTGGGGATCCCATGGCAGCTTTGTGCCAAGTCCATAGCTTCTTGCACAGGCCCACTTGTTGAGCCACGCGAGGACGCCTTCGAAAGCTTTGCGTGTATCCGCCGAGTAGGTCTCCATCTGACTGAGCAGCTTTTCTGCCTTGGCTCGCCATTGAGCTTCGCCATAGTCGAGATACCACTGATCCATGAGTGCAACGACACACTCGTCCGCCGAACGACTGATGATCTGACTTTCTGGTTCTGCGTATGCGAAGGCATTGCCAGCCTCGATCAGATCGTGTTTGACTTTCTCCTTGGCCTTTTCAACTGCTTCGCCCACGTATTTGCCCGTGACCATTGTGCCTTTGTAAAACCCTTCGCGATAAGCGAGCTCTTTCGCCTCTGCCAACTGCTTGATGTCTTTCTGCGAATTGATTTTAAGCTGCTTGACGAGCGTCACTGCAGTCAGGTTGCCGTAGCTTGCGGTCTCAATGACCGGGTGGGGCTCATTTGCCGCCCATTCGGCTTTGATCTTGTAGTACTCGGGCTTCTTGCGAAGGTCCATGAGAGTCGCATAGTCATCCGGGGAATCTGAAGGCACAGATGTGACGACACCTGTACCTTTGTTGGGCGACACGCCATCCATAGGCAAGACGTAGACCTTTTCGTACACACTCATCGGCGCATGGATCGTCGTTCCAATGAGGTCTGCGCCCTGAATCGAGACCAAGCAGGTGACTTTCCCAGCTTCGCGCAACAATCCTTGGAAAGCCATGTTGCGCGCTGATCGCTCGGTGATGAGATACGCTGACTGCTCATCTTTTGCTGCGTAAACGCCGTATTTGATGTTATTGCCCACAAAGCAATTGGTCTGACCATACATAGTCTCTGGACGTAGCGTAGCAGCGACCATGTAGACTGTTTTTCCCTTCAGCTGAGCTGCAATGTGCTCGCTTGCAGGGCTCCATTGAACGACGCGCAGCTTCAGCCCAGTATATTCTTGCGGCCCGACAGCTTCCCCGCTCGCACGATCGTGGTCCATGCAGGGCTGTTGGTCTTTAGGCGAGTATATAGTATACCGCTCGCCGAATTTGACGTGCTGTAAGTCTCGCAGACGATTGAGTTGCCAGCGCACGAAAGAGTCGTAGTAAGGGTTGATGTCAGTCGTGATGAATGATCGTCGCCAGTCTACCCGTGCCCCCAGACGGATCAGATCTCGTTTAGCTATCGGCGGAAAGTATTTCGTCCAATAGTGAGGGTCGGCGAACTTCTTGATCTCTTTGCGTGGAACATCTATGCTTTCCATGATCTGAAACTGGTATTGAAGGCCTGTAGACTTGGCCTGCAGCTTGCCTTTGGTCGCCTTGCCGACGTTTGAGGTTGTTGTAGATGCCGAAGGACCAGTTGCGTCGGCGCCAGACTGCGGTGGTGGTGCGACAGGCGGCGCGCCTGCAACCTCGTTGTCCCCATCGCCTGGCTCAGAGTAGCCTTCAAAATCGGGCCCGAATTCTTCCATCTCGCGGACAAGCTTGTCGGCAGCCGACTGTCAAGCGGGTGTGAGCAAAAAGCTGACGACTAGGAGATGAGATAGCTAACCTTGATCGGCATGCCTGTGCAATGGAAAGCGACCGGAAAGAGCGCCCGCTTGCCCAGCATACGTTCGAATCCGATAGCGAATTCAATCTTGGAAATGGTGAAGCCATGGCCGAGATGTAGAGAGCCATTCATGTAAGGATAGGGGAATCTGTTTGCCCGCTCACGATGAGCTTGACGACGTGACGAGCGTTGCAGAGGCCAACGTACGTCCCGAAGAACTTGGGGTACTTCTGCTGGAGCTCTTCTGATGACAAGTGTGCTAGCTCTGGACTCTCTGACGAGGGAGCGTTGACTTCGAAAAGATTTGCGTCTTGCCATCGTTGCTGACATTTGCGCTCAAGCTCAACGAGGTAGTCTCGCTTCGATGTGTTGCCGAGCTCCATGGTAGCTGCTGCTTGCGTCGCCTTGAGCCTTTCGGCCGCGCTGGAGGTAGCCATAGTGCGTTGCTGGCCCGACCTACAGCACCCTAGCGTTTGCTGTGGATCTGACGCGCGAAAGCTTGCGAGAGCAGAGATACAGCGCAAGCTTGCTGCTCGACTGCTGCTCACGAGAGCCGTCCTGCCTGCTCGACTGTGTAGCACTGCCGTGCTTTGTGTCTGATCTGCTTCGGCAGTGGCGCCCGGACGTCGCTGCAAAGATTTGATGACTCTCTGGCTTTCAACCTCAAGCGCGCACGCCGACGCTTTGACAAAATCGAAGGCGCGTCAAACGTACTGAGGCCCCTGCCGTCGAGGCTGGGCGACGGGCCTGCTGCGGTGCTAGGGCAAGTCCTTGAAGCTTGTGCGCGACTCGATCTGAAAGCTTCTGGCTTCGATGACGCTGCAGCCCTCCCTTTCTCTCCTGTCCTGAACCTTCATCACACGCCATCAACCCTCATAAGCAGTCGTATCTCGTGGAGCGTTGTACAAGCTCGGCTTACAGGCCCTCGTCGGACCCTTCACCGATGCTCGTCACGACTCGCAATGCCTCAGCAACAGACTTCTTTGCAGAAAGTGAGGAGATCACACCGATGGCCTTGCTTACGATACGCGCAGACGGCTTTGCCACGCCGGCAGTGCAAAGCAATCGGTTACTTCCACCGGATCGCTCTGTACACATCTCGCCATTGAGCGCGCCGCAGTCTACACGGCCATCTCCAAGGCAGCAGACCAGATGCTGAACCGCCGTCACATGGTCTCCCGTCTCTGTCACCTTAGTCGGCCACATCCGAGCGAATGGCATCTAAATTTGCATTACACCGCATACATCCTCGTCTTCGCCATCGCAAAGTCTTCGCCCTTGTTAGGTATCACCGGTCTGACCGCGTACATCTTCGTCTTGACGGGTATCTCAAACCCACTTGAGCCCTCACTGAGCAGGACAGACTCTGTCGCCTGTGCTGGTGCAATCTCTGGCAAGACTGTTCGAGCAGAAGGCGTTTTCACTTGCTTGTCTTGTGAGGTGGCGCCAGCCTGCGTCGATGGGTGGCCGGCTTGATAGCGCAAGCTGACCGTGCTTAGTCGGCCATCAGGAATGAAGATCATCTCGATCAAGTCTTTGCCCGCTTCGCCATCGATGACAGATGCTTCCCCAAGCGGCTTATCGACGATGAAATAGCCCTTGCGTTCGAGCTGTAGCATATCGCCACGTTTCAGTGAGACGACATTAGGATCTGCGATCGCCTCTTCTATGGATTCTGATTCGGGATTGATGAAATTCTCCCAGTTGTCGTCCTCTTCGAGCTTCTTCTTCGTTATAATGTAATCGTAAGTGATCAATCGAACATTGATCAGAGGCTCCGACGATGTTGCAGGCAACCAGTTGATTTTCTTCTCGGTCTTTTTGAAGTCTCCTTCGAGGTGCAGCTCGCCCGCCAAAGCTGTGACTGTCGAGCCTGAAGTTGTCTTCTGTCGAACGAAAGCGTTACCCCAGTCCATGAGGGTGATCTCCTCATTCTCCGCAAAGGAGTCTGCATCGGTTTGATCAATGTAGATATCCGATGAGTAATAAGTCGTTTTGTTGCCCAGATCGAGATTTTTCTTATGCTTGGGCATTGCACTCGTCCAAGGCGCAGAGGGCGCGCCGGTCAGCGTGAGCTTGACGAGGTCCTTCTTGCTGAGAGCCCAGTAGCGTGGAACGATAGGATCGATAATCTTCTTATTGAGTGTCCAGATGATATCCCACTCCATATTCGTTGTGGCTTGGGAAGGGCCTTGAAGCAGCATAAATTGACGCAAGGCTTCCACAGTAAGACCACGACGGTGGATGCCTCGTATCGTTGGCATTCTTGGATCTTGCCATGAGCGCACGATCGCCTTGTCGTCAACCATCGCTTTTAGCTTGCGCTTCGAAAGCAGAGTATAGCTGAAGTTCAATCTTCTGTGAGTAAGGCGACACAAGCGACGTCAGTCTTGCAAAGCGATGATGGCGGTCAAACGCACGCATAGTCCCAAATGTGAACATGGCGCAATCCGGTCGCTTCGAGCATCCAGTGATATTGCGCATTTCGATCGCGGTATTCGTTGGTTCGTAGCGCATGTGTGACGCCTTGCAAGCTATCGACGACAGGACAGGCAAAGTCATAGCCGGGATAGGCTTTCCACTGGGTTCCCGTTCGATGGTGTGGCACGGCATTGCAGCGGTAGATGACGGGATCGCGCATGGCCTTATTGGGATTGTCGACTGACATCCTGGCGCGGATACACCATCTAGCGCCCTCCTCTGTGCCCGCCATCATCTGTGCAAAATGCTCGAGTGTCTTTTCGACCGTCATATCGCGATGAACAGACGCAATACCGTCCATGCGCTCTGCGCGCATCTGTCATAGCAGGGCCATGAATTTCAGCATTGTTGACAACGATGAGAAGTTACGAACCTTTTCTTGCAGCGTATCGTCTGCGTAGGCCTTGCCATTCTTGATGAGTTCGATCGCATACTTGTAGATCTCGTCAAAGTAATCAGACGTGTAGCTGACCGCTTCGCCCTTGACCTCCATCAGAGCGAGATCCGCAATGATGCTCTCTTCGAACTCGGCTTTCTCTTTCGAGGGATTGGTATCGTCAAACCGTATGAGCAGTCGACCGTGATAGTGTTGAGCAAAGTAGGCGTTGAGCATGGCCGCTTTCGCATGACCAATGTGGAGATAGCCGGAAGGCTCAGGTGGAAATCGAGTGACGACTTGTCCATCTATCGCATGCTCGAGCCCGAGCTCGAAAGTGGCATTTGCTGCACCTTTCTTGGGCTGTTCACAGATTCGTCATCAGCCTGCGAGCTAGATAGAACGTGACAGTACAGACCTTTGCTTTGGACGCTTCTACGAAAGTACGAACGGCAGATTCGACAGGCTCGAGCGAGGCGATATGAGCATGCCAACGCGTGAGATGAGGATGCAAGCCCTTTTTGAGGATGCCCATCGCAGGACTGTTGGACTTCATGGCTCCCCATACGGCCAGATCTGCTGCAGTGACACGATAGCCCACGAGGAATGATCTGAGCGTCAGGCGTTGGTCGAGCTGGTCGAGCAGTGGAGCCAATCTGGCGAATTCCGTCGTTCCTGCGACCTGACTCGACAGAGCGATCAGTCCGTCCACCTGTTCCACGCCCGCGGATGAGCTCAAAAGAGCTGAGACGCGGCAGTGGACGAACCTCTGCTGACTCTCCGGCGTCTTTGCCAAGCCATCCTTGTGAGGCGAGTGAGTTTGCTAAACTCCTGATTACAGCAGCCGCCTGATCACATTGCTGGCTGTCCGAAGCCCGTGAAGCGCATCAGATAGCTGACCCGGTGAGCGTCACGTGGCTGACTGACCCTGCAGATGTGAGGAGACAGGCTATCCCCTTTGCGCCAGTTTGCTCAAAGGATGTGCTGATCAGACCTTGACTACCGTGTGCAGAGCTGAGGCAGCTCGCCAGTATGAGAGGTCCCCATGCTATGGGTGCATCGAGGGGCTTGAAGTAGACTTTGAGCTCTGTCGACACTGCTGAGCTCATGTCGGCCGACCGTCGTCGCTGTCGTTGATCTTTTGCAAGTCGCGTAAACTCACAAAAGTTGCTGACGCAGCTCGCTTACGACGTCCATCATCACCTCTTTAGCCCGCGCCCGCGCCCACGCCTCGTCGATCGGCGTTGCACTGCGAGATGGTACGAGCAGCAAATGAGCTCGATCGTGCGCAGGTCAAGGCAAAAGAGCTTGCATCACAACCGCCCGTCGATCACAATCACCCCGTCGGTCAAGTCAAGCGCATCACTGTCCTCACCGCAAGCCAATATGAGCGCAAAGACGAAGCGATGGCACTGCTCAAGAAGCTCGCTACTGTGCGCTCTCGCTTCGACGCATGCACATTGAGGCTGATGCAGTTGAATAGCTGGTGGCGCCTATCATGCGAAAGCACGATTGGACTCTACCTACGCTTGCCGAGTTCTTTCCAGACCAAAAAAACCTACTCGGCATGAACATCAATGGAGGACAGAAAATTCTGATCCGTTTACGTCAGCGTACGTATTCCTACACGGCCTTGAGCGCGGATCGAATTAAACGGCGTTGCAGCCCATTCGCCCAATGCCTTCTTCGATCTAGAGTCGCAGCTTATCGAGACCATGCTTCACGAACTCACACACAACGGTCAGTTGCCTCTTTGCAAGCTAGGTCTAGCTTATGTGAGACGCGCCGATCAGTCCATGGGCCGCACGATGACAAATTCTACGCGTTTCTCGACAAGCTCAAAGACGAATATCATGCATTGCGACAATCGGGATACTCTGGCGAAGGATTCCTAGGCGATGGCAAGCGATTGTCAGGCTCAGTCACCGTTCCGCTTTGGAAAGCCAAGGAACGCGCTCTAGCTGCAGCAGAAGCGCGTGCTGCTACCGGTCGCCTCATGGGCGCACCGGGCGGTCAAAAGCTAGGCGGCGCTCAGAGACCCTACAAGCCTCTCAATGAGATACTCGCAGAAGTTCGTAGACTTTTCGCGAACGATTGCGCTTGCTGACTCAGTACGGGATGGCAGGCTGCAGAAAGACGATTGAGAGACAAGGTCGCTTGCGGCCATGGCGATATGACTGAAGAAGACATGAAGCGAGTCGAAGCGCAAGCCAGTGCCGAATCTGAGGTGATCTGGATCGAGCCTCCCACTGCCCGTGAGGCTGCAGAGACTAGAGTCGAACAGAGGACGGCAGACGCCATATTGCTGTCCAGTGATGACGAAGCCGAGCCGGCGCCTTCCGTATCCAGCCCACCAGCTAAGCCGCCAGCAGAACGCGGCCAGTGGACTTGCGAGAAATGTACCTTCATCAATCCGCCCTCAGCGAAATGCGAAATATGCGATGCTCCAGGCCCGCCTACCCTTCTGCCCGGGAAAAGCAGGTCTGCCACCCTTTCGCGACCAGTGGACCTCAAGAGAATAGACCCAAAGAAACTCTTACCCCGCGAGCGCTTCATACCAGTCGCGGTCAAAGATCCGAATATTTATGGGCAAGACGGCAGATGGGCTTGTCACATCTGCGCAGAGATGAACCCTTCCGAGCTATGGTGCTGCGCTGCTTGTATGACCGTCAAACTCAATTCATAAGCCTCTCTTGTCGTTGTATCATCTTCACATGCAATTGTCTTCAGCGTGACAGAAAGCTCATGCCTGACCAGCTACGACCGTGACTTGTAAGAGGAACAGGCAGGGGCGGCAAGCTGATCGTTGTGATTTCGCTCTGCTGATCCCAGAACGTCGCAGGTGCATGCTGTGACTCTGCAGGACTCGACTGATCGCACCAGCGAGGGTGACAAGACAGGCGGCTGAGCACAGGCACGATGCGGGGTGCTGATACGGTTCTTGCAAGGCTGGCAGCATTGGAGACGAGAGTGATTTGTGAAGACGCATGCGAGCTTGCATACTTTGGCTGACAAGCATCGCGCTTTGTTTGTCGCGCATGTGTGACCAGGATCACCAGAAGAGCACCGAAGAGAAGGGCAAGCCAGATCGCGATGAAGAGGTAGCAAGCGCCTCTTTCATGTTTTAGAGACTCAATGGAAGAATCGATCAGCTTGTCGACGAAGCCGTCGCTGTCATCGCTTGCAGCTGACGCGACGCTAGCCGTCGTATTACCGGACGGCAAGAGGACGTCACTCTGCACGGTTGGCAAGCTGACGCGAGCGTGGTCGTAAACGAAAGTCAGACCCTCTTCGATCGCATTCACTTTCGAGCCGAGCAAACAGCCTATCACACCAAGCGCAGCATCTGCAAAGATGGTGCCATCAAACGTGGTGTTGATGATACCCGTGAGGTCGCTGTAGAACGTATTGAGCGTTGTATTGAGGTTGAGACCGGTCGTGTCGATCCAGCCAAAGACGTGCGTGTTCAGCGAAGTTTCTGTGGTCTGCAAGACCGAGTTGACGCTGGCTGCATACTGCGTACTCGCATCCTGTAGCCGCGCTTCGAGGGCCGTACTTGCGTTCTGGGTGAGGATTGCCGTTCCTGCTGCAGCTTGCTGGGTGGCAGGACCCCGAAAATCGTTCAGCATCGCAATCTGAATCTCGATTGAGATGAGGCCGACGAGTCCCAGTGCAAGCACGAGCAGTGCAGTTGGGTGACAAATGAATGACAATAGCCAAGACAGCGAGTCGCGTGCTGATGAAGATCGTCGCAAAGCAGGCACTTTCGCTTCGCAAGCAAGCACGCTCTTGTGCAGCAATGGGAACTGCGCATCGTGCAGGAACACCCTCAAGCTGCGTGTTGACAGCAGGTCGCCCGATGTCTGTCGAGAATCAAGGGAAAAGCGTTTGCTCATTTGCTGTTGCTTTAGCCAGATCTCTTTTGCAGACTCGATTGTTTCGATTTCCCGATCGCATCGCCAACATTCCCAAAGACACAGCACGCCAATGATGACGAGAGCGAGTAAGCAGCAAGCGACAATGCCTTCTTTCATGACGTTCTGGACTCCCTTTCCGATTTCGTCGACAAAGCCAAGGTCAAGGTCTGAGCAGTACTCGACATTGTCAAGAGCAGGCACTGGCAGGACGCTTTGATCAAACGCGAATGCGCCCAGCGTGCCATTGACGTCTTGCCGCAGCGCGATGAAAGGCGTCGAGATAATGTCGTCGAGCGAGGCCTTGAGATCGTCCAACGTCGGCAGCGAATCGTTGAGCGATATAAGGCGATTCCAAAAATCGCTTGGAACTGTTACGTTTTCAAGGCTGGTCAACTGTGGTACATCGAAAGATGGCGCGGTGAAATCGACACTGCATACAGAATGAGCATCGCCGTTTAGGATAGAGATGAGATAGCAGCATGCCCAGGCAACAGATTGATCTTATCAACGATCGCCGATATGGCAGTATCGAGATCTTGCACGCCATCTTGTATATCTGTTCTGATCGCTGCGGTCGTTGAGTTGAGCAACGACGAGAACTCTTCAGTCGCACTGATTGCCAAGTCCATTGCACCGTGTACGGTCAGACTGATCAAGCAGAGGTAAAGCGAGCGATAGGTGTCAACGATAAAGAGCACAATTGCTTGAAGACCTTGCACGACCAGGCTCAGGACATCGCCTAGACCATGCACAAGATCTTCTGTGCCACTAGCAAGCATCGTATTGACGCCTTGAGCAGTGTAGTGTGGTGCGGAAGCGAGCAGAGAAGCCACGCGTTCGCTGGAGGCGCAACTCTTTGCAATATCGTTCTTTGCTGCAGCGACTGCTGACGGCACGCCGGCCAATGAAGTCCATAGCTTTTGTAGTATCAGTAGCAGCACGATGACGGGGTAAGCAGTGACGGTGAGAACGCATCGCGCCCTTTTGCCTAGAAACGGGCCCAGGTGATCGTCAGAGCTTGGGTACCTCGTCCGAGAAGCTGCCATTTGCTGCTCCTTCCCCATGTCGCCTTCGCTGTGGACTCCTGACACTTATGTGTATACCAGGCATATGGCTGAGGTGAGGCATTGTAACTCGAGGACAATTGAACAATGGCAGCTCGTACAATGGCGGCGCGCCTCGCGTCTACTGGCTTCTGTCAATGCACAAAGGCGCGCAAGACCACAGATCGACGAGTACTCCTTATCTGTGACGTGGCTTTGGCTCTCTGAGCCCCACTGAGAGAATTGAAGTGCTACGAAGTATCGCTGAGCAGATCGTTGAGGTATTGCGAGACTTTGAGCGCCTTTTCTCGCGTTGACTGCTGTTCGTTCGAGGGCAGTATGTGTAACCATCTACTGAAGCGATCGGGATGGAATATACGCTGAGAAGATCGAACGATTCGTTTGTGCTGGTCCTCTGGCTCGCCATCGAGCAGAAAATAGCGCAATGCATCGAGGGTGATGCGCGTAGGGAGCACAGGCCAGGATATGTCGTCAGCCCTACGGAGCGCCGTTTCGCCGGAAAGTAGCGACGCCCAAGCTTCTGCATAGGCAGCACGAGCTTGTCTGAGCTTCTTCTGATCGACTTTGCTCGTCTCTGCGCGCAATTTCGCCATTCGTTTTGCTTCTTCGCTCTGGAAAGCCTGCCGAGCCCGTTGACGTTCTGCATGTTGCTGCGCTCGACGGCGTTGACCTTCTTCGGCCCTTGCGATGTCCTCTTTGTGCGATCGCTCCCATATGCCTCGTCTGATATAGTCTGCATATTCGTCATCCGTCATCTGTGCGAGCCAGAACATCGATAAGCATGCGCCAGCTCGAATGTCAGCAGCATACAGTGTGAATAGTCGTAGAATTCGGGTCTTGCGGTTCTGGTCCGGAGTACTGAGCGTCCCAGAGCCAAGGGTCGACACCTTCATCCTCTCCGAGCGCGTCAAAGATCTTTTGCTTGTACGCCCTTTCTTCATCTTCTTGAGCAGCGTTGTCATCGATCAGATGCGCGAGATGCTCAGACAAGTAAGCATCTTCGTCTACGTCTTCTCTGTCGGGAACGAGACGCTTCGCTCGTGCTGCCGCCTCGCGTGAACGGCTTGCTGCTTGAGCTGCAGCAACGGCATCCAGAGGAGAGATGTGTGGCGACGGCGAGCGTTCTCGACGATGCTTGCGCTTCTTCGAGGATCGTCTGTCCCTGTCATAGTCTCTCGAGCGTCGTGAGTCTCGGTGAGATTCGCTACGAGATGTATGGCGTGTTGGCGAGCGTGAGCGTCTTTCGCGACGGTCTCGTCGGGGAGAAGGCGACCTCATCGTCTTAGCTCCATGAGCGATAGTTCAGAAAGGCTCGTTAGGCGACGAGCAACGGCGTAAGGGGCGAGCAAGCGAATTGATTTCGTTGCTTTTGACATCTCGCGTTCGACGTTGGTCGACCGACAGGCGCATGACAGCTTTGCGTGCCTTTGCAGAGCTACGAAGTGCCCTGATCGCTGCTCCCCGAGCTCAGTCGCTCAGGACGCCCAGCAGAAAGCGGTTGTGCGTTCGTTGTGCTTCGAGCGACACACAACAAGCACAAGCTCCTCGACTCAGATTTGCGCCCTCGCCCACTGGTTTCCTCCATCTGGGTGGCCTCAGATCTGCACTGTTCAATCATCTGCTAGCAAGAAAGCTAGGCGGGGCTTGGATTCTGCGAATAGAAGACACGGATAGAGTGCGACTTTCTCAAAACGCTCCGATTCAGGCGCTTAGCTCTTTCGAGCAGAATAGATTCGTGGAAGGCGCAGCAGACAGCTTGACTGAGATCCTACAATGGGCGAGGCTCGACTATGACGAGGGCAGGTGCTCCTGACAAGCCTCATATCACCCGAGTCTGAATGTCAAATGCAGGACCGTCACGCGGAGGCCCCCACGCGCCTTATACTCAAGTCCGCCAATCTGCGTCTTCCCCAGCTGCCACTGACAGCGTGTGCAGTCAGAAAGGAAGCAGATCTACGCTCGATACGCTGAAGAGCTCGTCTCGGTCAGTCATGATTGAGAGCCAGATCCAACATCTTTGAATATATCGTTATAGGCCGGTCACGCGTATGCTTGTTTTTGCGACCCACCCATAGCGTCTGCGCAGAGCAAGCATGCTCCACCTAATGTGTGCTCTGGCGAGTGCGCGCAGCTTTCGTCAGACGCTCTTGCAGCAAAGAGCAGCTGCAAAGCGCCAGCGGCCATACGCTTAAAAGTGAGCACGATCCAAATTGACACCGATAAAAGCTCAGTAATTTGAACAGATTGGTCCAGAGGGCTTGCCGAGGTCGTTTGAAGATCTCGTGTATGGCAAGATCAATCTTCCTGCCAAAGCCGGGCAAGATCGCGACTTTGTCATTATCAAGCGAGATGGCTTTCCGACATACCACTTTGCCAACGTTATTGACGATCATCTCATGCAGATCACTCACGTCCTACGAGGCGAGGTCAGCGGGCTCGACATCGTTGCTGTGTCGATACGTTCTGACACTGAGATGCTGCAGGAATGGATACCGTCGACGAGCAAGCACCTTGCTATATACGATGCTTTCGGTTGGCAAGCACCTAGATATGCGCATATGCCAATACTTGTCACTTCGGAAGGCAAAAAGCTCAGCAAGCGATCCGGTCATGTGCGCGTTGAAGATTACAGAGTCAGCTCTCAGCTCGTTCTGTCCGGAACTCTACTGACATGGCTCGCGAAGGCGGAAGGGTATGAGCCTGAAGCAGTACTCAACGCTGTTGCTCTGCTCGGTGCATCTTGGCAAGACGCCCCGCCCGAAAGTCGCTACGGGCTCCAAACGAGCGACATCATGACGATGCAAGAGATGATCTCAAAGGCTCGTTTGTTTCCTCTCAATCGTTCTCATGGCTTACTGTAAGGTGACCGGCAGTTTGCCATCGAGAACGTCAACAAGCATCGTTCGGCCTTTTCGCCCGGCCAACTCGACTTTCTGAACAGACATCATCTGATCCTGAAGTGCGCGTCTGACGGGACACTGACTGAGATGGCCGAGCGACTCCTACCGGACTTGCAAGAAGCTTTTCCCTCTAGGTCCGCTGTCACCGGTGCACCAGGCTCGATCTGCCTAATGCGTTGAACAGTCCGCTGATGGAAATCGCCTACATCAAGGACGTCATCGTTGCTTTGAAGGCAGGCCCAGAAGTTCCCTTATTGACTCTGCTGATGTTCTTAACAGGAAAGGATTAACCGACTCAAAGATGTCGCCATCATGGGCCCCTATTTCTTCTCCGAGCCAGACTACACCGTTCCTGCAGCCAAAGCGATGCTACGCAAGACATCAGAAGAGCACTACAGCGCGTGCTCCCTTTTGTGAGCTTGCTTTCTACAAGCTGAGAGGAGAGCAAGTGCAGGATCGGCATGCGAAGCTACATATGAGAGGCTATCCTCGATGACGCCAGCTGAGTGGACGGCAGATCGACTTAGTGCAGCTCTGGCTGCAGTGACCCAGGACGAGCCAGGCCTGCAGATCGGGTTGCCTCTCAGACACGCGCTCACTGCAGCAAAGATCGGTCCGCCTGTCGCCATCGTAATGGCAACATTAGGTCAAGAGACTAGTCTGGCAAGGCTAGAGCGAGCAGCGCATACAAAGTGGACAACGCCAGCCGAGGATCGTCTAGCTCAGATCCTCGCATCGTGAATACAGAGTATTGCATCGATGGCGAGGCACATGGTTTTCAGATGCGATACAAAACAAGCTAAGGGTGTCCAAAAAAAAGTCCATGTCCTGCGCGCGAGAGGTCCATAATGATGATGCTGATGATCTAGTAGCCTTTCGTAGGCGGGTATCCGTGACCTGAGCCACCGCCATAAGAGCTATCGTCCCAGTTCTCCTTGTAGTCCTTGAGCTCCCAGACTGCAGTCTTGCTGCCCACTGAGAACTCGAGATCTTCTTTCGTGATGGAGTCCCAGTCTGTGCTCTTTGGTCAGCCCACGCCTTTGTTACGATGTGTAGTGGAACGCACATTTGTAGACCATCATGACGGCAAGGAGCGTACACGTTGTCGATGCGAATAAGCCATCAAGGTCTGCAAGATGGATCAGCTCAGTCTTCTACGAGCTCGCTCCAGCGCGTACAGTGCTTGACGGCGTCGCAGATGGTGACGCTAAAGGCATACAGGACGACTTGGCCGATAGCAAAGAATGCGGTGCCAAAGAGAATATCCCCGATCGGCCACCGGTCATCTAGCGTCCTGAAGACGAGAATGAGTTGTAGCACGATGTAGATGACGACGCAGGCGCCATTGAAGATGTATGTGAACACCCATAGTACCGCCGTTTTGGTCGGGCTCAGTCCTGCTATTGATTTGAAGGTCGCGACGGCCACAAAGAAGACGATCGCAAAGACTGCCGCACAACTGCCTCGCAGAGACTGTTCGCGCAACCGAGCTCAGCTACAGTAGCTGGCTGAACAGAGCATCACGGACCCATAGACTGAGGGGCGTGCCGTCCTCTGCAAATTGGAACCCGACAAAGCCATTGACGAGCAAGCACCAGAACGTGGCTGATATTATGCCAGTATGGACTGCCGCAAACCACTGCAGATCTCATGAGACATGTCACAAGCACGCGTGTCTCTGGGAACATACCAGGTAGGCAGATGAGCTCGTCGGGATGATCGCGGTGTCGAGAAAAATAGACAGCAATTCGACGACGGCGTAGAGATAGAAGAAGAGCACAATCTCCTTCCTTCCGACGGCGGTATACTTTGATCGGATGTGAAAGACCATGATGGCAACCATCAAAAGCGCGATGATATGAATGAAGGCCGTTGCTATTCCGTTCCAACTCGTCTATGAGCATCACAGAGACACGCAGACCTGAGCAGAACGTGCCTGGCTGGAAGATAAGCGTGTTGCCGATCTCAACATTGCGGCTATAGCAGACAGGCTCGATGCCATCTTGGCCTCCCAGCAGGGGACAGACAATGAGGGCTGCTGTGTTGCATATCGAGTCGAAGCTTCCGAAGCTGAATCCCATCGCGGGCAAGCTTCAGTCAGGCTGTCCGACGAGCCGCCGTTCTGTCGGCCTAGAGGTGAACGAAGGACACGGATCTGCGGTGACAGTCTCGCTCGCAAACACGGCTGAGGCGCGCTCTTTTCAAGAGGTTAGCTTCCCAGCTACGGTGGACTTCTGCGCCCCTTTCAGCTCGATCACACTGAGAATCCGTATTCGAAAAGTAGAGCAGATTCAGCTCCTCGAGCAAGCAAAGGGCCGCGCACGTCGTGCTGCCGCACGTCAGTGAGCTTTCTCTCCCTATCCTCGGTCGGCCCGTCGCCTGCTAGCTCACGAAAGGGTTGAAGCGCGGTGCACCCCAACGAGCTCTCCGCAACGCAAGATGATCCGCTCAGATGTCATCCTTATCCTGACGCTAAGAAGTGGGCTATGCTGCATTCCATGCTCAAGTAGCGCTTGTCTTAAGGGCGACGCGTGAACAAGCATGTATGCCAGCTAGGATGTCCTCCTCTGCGAAATGCTGCCAATTCAGCCATAAACTCTGACATCTCTACCTCTACCTGTCCGGCTCCCTCGCGAGCACTCCAAGCATGTATATGGACAGAGCGCTGACGGATGTTTATGCCGAGCAGGTCGGTTGCGATGGAGACGAGGCATCGTCAGTCGGGCGAACTGATGCATCATCCCCATCCGCCGCAGCTCTACGATGCCAGCTTTGCCCATGCTGAGCTCGTGCCGCGACCATACTCGGCAGACGATATGCATGCGCATCATCATCTATACGCCCAGCGGTTACAGCAGCCGATGATGCAACCCGACTTGCTCGACTATGACGCATCGCAGGATGCCAATCGGATGGCTTATCATGCGGCCGGGCTTGCGTATACTACCCCTCTGTGAGTTCCGTCCCTTTCATCCTCCCTTCTCTTCCCTCAACGCCTTTCCTATCGGGCGAGCAATGCCGACGCAGACGACAGACACGGCGAACTTGTGAAACTTGGGCAGAGCCTGGCGCGGCTGCTCTGTATGCAGCAGCTACGGTCCCATCGCGAGCAAACTTTGCTTCAAGACGGACTAGCAAAGCTTCGTCTGGTCAGCTCCGAAGCTTAGCGCGTCATCATTGTCATCTCCAGTCCTCAGCGCGATGCTCGAAAGCCACCGCGGGCAAATTCTGCGATCGGCGGCTCTGGAACCGAGATTGTTCCGCGTCAGAATAAGTGCACTTTGTTGCGACGAGGCGCTGTCCTTCACGATCAACGGGATCGATCAACAAGCTCTGCGGACCAGCATTGGAGGAGGACCCTGTCGAGTGCGCATCATTGCCTACTTTGCATGCTCGTCGGTTGCAAGCGACGCAGCTGCTTGGCGCAGGCCATTGACGGCACGATGATGTACTGCACCCTATGGAATGGCTTCTCGAATGCTCTATTGCGTTCCGGTCCTTCTGCCGAGCGAACAAAGAGAAAGACGGACCGGAATTCATTCGTGCGAGACGCCAAACTGTTCATACAGCTGTCGAGAAACAAACCCGACATTGCGGCGGCAACATCCTCGCACTGCGCATGTGCCCGAGTCTGAATATATGAGCTGACGTTTCTTTACTGTTCCCTTTTTGCTTTCTCATTCGTCTCCACCACCCTGCTGTCAACTCTGACGGATACGTCTTTCTTGCGACGTGATCTTCTACTGCTTGCTGCAGAGGGCATGCAACACTCGACCTGGCAACGAGCTACGATCCAAATATATTGCCGCTCGCGTCGACATCATCATCGAGTAACATGATAGCTGCTGCCTCAACTCGCTCTCCTAGTCCGCCTGCTCTGCCAGCGATAACCAAAGGTCAAGCGTTTGTCGAGAAGCTCTACAAGTGCGCTCCTCCATCTCTTCCCAGGCCGAGCTTATGTCTCCGCCTGCAGCATGGTAGCAGACACTAGCATACAGAGCTTGATCAGTTGGACAGATGCTGGCGACGCGTTCACAGTGCACACGCCTACAACATTCTCCAAAGAGGTTTTGCCACAATACTACAAGCACAACAACTGGCAAAGTTTCGTCCGGCAACTCAACATGTACGGCTTCCACAAAGTCAACGAAGTCTACAACGCCGAGAGTCGGTCAGCCGCCAATCCACCTCATTCGACAGGTTCACCCCTTGATCGTGCATGGATGTTCCAGCACCCATACTTTCGCCGAGACCGGAAAGACTGGCTTGGGCACATCAAGCGAAAGCCAGTCAAGTCTGCCAGTGCCAACAAGAAGGCACTGGCAGACAGGTCACTGCCCAGTCAAAGCTCATCCGGTACTCCGCGTCAGTATGTAGAAGATCTGGCCAGCTCGAGCAGCATGGCAATGTCGCACTACGGGCCGGAATACCAACCGTACCAGCGAGCGCCTAGAGAACATGCTGTCGATCATACAAGAGCATATCGACCTGCTCCACAACACACCTTACCACCCATTCAGTACGGTGGGCATGCACGCGCCCCCATGGCGATGGGCGGGCACCAATCTCACTATCCCATCCTGCCGACGCCTACCGGCTACCCAGCCAATGCGGCGCATATACTGCAAGAGCCGCATCACGCTTCGTCTACTCCTAGATTCGTAGAAAGCGCGAGGTCATCTGGGAGTGATCCTGCTGCTCGAGACGGGGACAGCCCAGCCATGCAACGACTCGAAGCGAAATTACAAGCGATAGAGCAAGACGGTCATAGAAAGCATGATCAAATCGTCGCCATACTCAACATGATGTCAGAATTCATGCACAACGTCAAAGATCAGCTAGGCGACAAGCTACAGTCGGACTGTGCGTTGGAGACCAACTTATGGTCAGACTCAGCTGACCTGCCATGACAGTGACTGCTCTGCAAAGTGCTGTGACGGAGATGACAGATGACTATGGCTCACCACAGCAAAGCTCGGCACGATCTGTGGATGCTATGCGAGACGAAGAAAGACGGCATTACGAGGCCCGGTTAGATGGGCAAGGCGACAGAGCCACATCGCCAGCAAGATCTCCGTTAGCATCTCGACAGAGCAGTGCGCCTGTTCGGGAAGAGCCAATCTTCGAAACGCGGGATCATCTCAAGCGAACACTGCACCCGGTCTCAAGCATGTCAAGAGGCTCGTACCCCGAAAGCGAACAGTTTGACAAGCGTCAGCGCCAGCAATAGATATCCTTATGGACCCTTTCAGTGCGAATCTTGCAGATGTTGTTGCTGTGCATGATGCAATACTTCGCATCTGTGAACAATAGCCGCTGCTAGCTAGATCGAGACTGTCTTGCCGCCCGAACGCAGTCGCTCTTCGAATTTCTCAAATTCGCTAAGAGAGACCTTCTCCTCCTCGCCTAACACTTGCTCGACTGCTTTGACCTGTGCTCGTGTCAGTGCGGAATCCGTTGAATGAGAGGTTGCGAACGCGTACCTCTGGAATATAATGAGTGAGCATACGTTCGATGCCCGACTTGAGCGTGACGGTACTCGAGTCGCAGCCTCTGCAGCTTCCTTTGAGGCTGACGTTGACGATGCCAGTGTCCTCAATGAAGCCTCTATACTCAATATCCCCTCCGTCCTCCTGGATGGCCGGTCTGACTCGCGTGTCTAGTAATTCCTTGATCATGGCGACCGTCTCGCTATCGTCAGGCAGGATCCTCGTATCTTCCGGTCCGAGACCTTGTGATTCGGCTGAACCGGATCGGAAGAGATCCGTACCGGCAGTAAAGTGTTCCATGAGAAAGCTAAAGATCTCAGGCTTCATGAGTGCCCAGGAAGCTTCTGGCTCCTTGTTGATGGTGACAAAGTCAGGTCCGTAGAAGACCGACTTGACGCCATTGATACTGAACAACGAGACGGCTAGGGGGGAGACGAGAGCAGAAGTAGGCGTGGTGAACTCGTGAGTTGATCCGTTGGTCGTTACTGGCACGCCAGGAACAAACTTGATCGAGTCTTCGTTGGGCGTGTTCTCGGTCTGTACAAAGAGACTGCGTCGCTGTGGCCGGCCAAGCTTGGATGGACGGTAGCGTCGAATTGATCGCAAGGGCGACAGAGTCGATGTGGCAATTGGCCGTCGAGCAGGCTGAACTTGAGAGGTGCTCGCTACCGGTGCACGGTGTGACACGAGGGACATGGCCACTCTCGTCGGTGTGCATGCTCGACAGGCTGCTCGGCTCGGTGCTGCCAACATTGTCGATGATTTGCCGTCGCCCGTCAGCCAAATCGACTTGATGTCATTTCGAATTCGCTTTTCTCACGCGTCCACCACCAGGTCATCGTCACTTGGCGGCCTCGTGCATCCCCGGACTGTCTGCCGAGGGCTTCATGCCATCATGAGCACATAGGGCGGGGCATTCAGGAGGTCCTGCTCGACGTAGCAGTCAAGAGACTCGATCGTCATGGCAAGAGCACGGCAGCGAGGTCTGGCTGGTTTCTTGCTCGTCTCGCTATTGTTTGTGATCCAGCTGGTCTGTTTGCGCTCGCATGAGGCACTTCGTCCGAGTACTCGTCAATTATCGAGACTAGATGTGCAGTCCCCTCACCACTCGGAGCTCCACAAGTCACACGACACCGCATCATCGCGCTTGCTCTTCAAGCGAGACAGCCTGTCATTCGACGAGCAGAAGCACACGATACATGAGCCCGCAGAGGACAGTCCATCGTGGATTGACTATCTGGCGGTCTACGATCGGATCACCGACAAGACGGCAAAAGGATTCGCATTCATCGGTCTCATCGTCTGGCTTGTCTTTCTGTTCGCATTCGTCGGCATCGTCGCTGCAGACTTCTTCTGTCCCAACCTGAGCACCATATCAGCTCACTTGGGCTTGTCAGAATCTGTCGCAGGCTGCTCACTTCTCGCTTTCGGCAATGGCTCGCCGGATGTGTTCTCGACTTATTCGGCTCTGAACCATGGCTCGGGCTCCCTTGCCATCGGCGAACTGATCGGAGCAGCTTCCTTCATCGTTTCCGTCGTCGCGGGATCGATGGCAATCGTCAAGCCGTTCAAAGTAGCCCGGCATAGCTTCCTCCGTGACGTCGGATTCTTCACAATGGCCATCATCTTCACCATGTTCATATTAGCAGACGGCCAGCTCAAACCTTTCGAAGCAGCACTCATGATCGTTCTCTACGTCATCTACGTCATCACTGTCGCTGTCGGATCTTGGTGGCTGACCAGACGCGCTCGTCAGCGCGAACTCTTGCGCAAAGTCAGAGACGAATACGCTCAAGAGACCCTGCCAGATCTCTCGCAATCGAATGGTGGGTGTCTTTCATCCCGTCTGGATGCTTCCTGAGCCGTCAGCAGGTGACGTTGCCGAGGCACCGCCCCATACCTCTCCCGCAGGTATGAACAACTCGACAAGATCGACAAGCTCTTCTCCCGCGCACCCTTATGATATCCTCGACCTGGATGACGAGGATGCTCTGCTATCTATCACAGACAGAGGCACGCCCGTCACGCTCAGTCGAAATCGATCTATCAATCGACCGAGATCAGCTTCGACGGCCACCGTACCTTATCATCCTTCCCATGGATCAGCGCGAAGGACGAGAACCAAGATGGCAGTCCGATCCAGTCTGCTCAGTGCAATTGAGTTTAGGGACGTTGTCAACAGTCTCCAAGCAGACTCGACAGCTCGCACGCTCGCAGTCTTTGGGCAGGCTGGCCTGCCCGATACGCCTCACTTTCACGGTGTGCAGACAGGTCCCGCGCGAATAGGTCACGGCCGCTCGCGATCGCATGCCGGACTGGATACAGAGCGTCAGGCATCGCGACAACGGCATGCTAGACACCTGTCAGATCTCAACTCGCCCAGGTCGGCAGTATCCCCACTGCCCACCAGCGCAATGTCTTCTGAGGAAGCTGGCGATCCCTTTGCCGAAGTATTCGGGCAAGTGACTGCAGGCCGACTCACACCACGCGATCTCATGGCGAAAAAGACGTCTCAATCGTCCCGTCGGTCCGAAGAAACAGTGGGTACTCCGCCGCTGATAGAGGTCGATGACCCCTGGAGGAGTACGACGCCCGAAAGGCCTAGCAAACTCCGTCTGCAGATTCCTACAGGCTCTGCTATCGTGACGGAGTCGCCCGTCCAAGAGCTTCCGTCCATCCTCGTCACCACAGATCAAGGCAAGCCGCTGCGAGTTGGCTCACAGAGCAGCCTGAAGCGATACGCTACCTTTGAGCATTACGGCGGCAGGGCCAAAGTAAAGAAGATCTTCCGCACAATTATTGCTAGCTACTTTCCCAGCTTGCAAGATATCAAGTCAAAATCGATCGTCGGCACTGTCGTTGCGATCGTCTGCGCGCCTGCTCTGCTTGTGCTCAACTTGACCTTGCCGGTTGTAGACGAAGAGGACGACGAATGCTGCGAGGTTCTGCCTGAGCCAGATCTGTTGCCCGACGATGCAGAGGCGCCCGAGCTACGGGTAGAGACCCCGACGACGGCGAGTCAGACGGAAGAGAGCGATCCCGAAGAAGCGCTCGTTAGATCACAGCAAGCAGTGTGGCGAAGGCGCGATCAAGATATTGCACATGTGCTACATGCTCAAGCTGTACATCATCATAGTCCTGCGCTGCATCCGATGCACAGGGCAGACGACTCGGCATACATCGAAGGCAATTCGCTCATCGATCACGCTATATTAAGCAAGGGGGAAGAGCAGCAACAGCAGAGCGAGTCTGATCTGCAAGTTGATGGTCTGACGCACTTCCAGCTCTGGCGAGCAATGACGACCTTACAATGCTTCTTTGCGCCCATCTTCGTTGTCGTCGCTCTCCTTGGCGATGATCTCAGGATCTGGTACTTGCCTACTGCCATCGGTGTCGGCTTACTGCTTGCAATCGGTGCATACAAGCTGTTCAACAGAGAGCGACACCCTCTCCGGCTTGGCCTTTGCTTCGTGGGATTCATCGTTGCGATGGTCTGGATCTTGACCATCGTCAATGAAGTCGTCGGTGTCCTACGAGTACGCTCCTACTAGCTTCTCACTGCTGACCGGATCGCTGACAAAGAAAGCCCAACAGGCCATCGGACACATCTTTGGGCTCTCGGACGCAATACTCGGGCTGACAATCTTTGCGATGGGCGCCTCACTCGGCGATCTCGTCACCAACGTCACTGTCGCTCGCATGGGCTTCCCGCTCATGGCCATGTCTGCCTGCACGGCCGGTCCTATGCTTAACATCCTCCTCGGTGTAGGCATCTCTGGCTCGATCATCATGGCACAGACAGGCGAAAATTATACCTTTGAGATTTCACCCACACTCATCGTATCGGGCGTCGGCTTACTGGTCGTTCTCGTCTCGACCCTCATCGTCGTGCCGCTCAATGGGTTCTGGATGACGAGAAGATGGGGCGGATTTCTCATTGCGGCATATCTCGTCACGCTCACTGTGAACGTCACTGTAGAGGTCCTCGAAACAAAAGGAAAATTGTAGGAATCTGTGCAAGCCCTGTACTGTTGTATTCTAAGACTCTGCACACGCTGCTTGTGGTGACATGCATTGAAGGATCAGATCATCGCAGTCCCAATACTAGCGAGCACCGTCGCGCCGATGACCGAATAACCTGCGACATACGACTCCTTGAGGCCCAAGACTATTTGACCGCAATCAGCTCGTCATCGCGCTTGTTGACGCTCATAGACGTACCGAAACCCATGTCCCACGACAAGTGGCGAAGACCATTGAAGTTGTGGAACCAGAAGGGTATGCCGATGGTGAACTTACCGGCAATCTTGGCCCTGCGAGATGTCAGAACGTCAATATTTTCGATGAGCTGCAAAGGTCTTTCGCGCACCATTCGGGCAACGAGTGAACAATCTCGACTAGACTGGCAGAATCGAACGGCATGCCGACGGCAGGCAGAGCGATGTATGCCAGTGCAAAGGCGTAGAAGCCGCCCGATAGCGCGCTGCCCGTCACGCGGTTGGCGATTGAAGAGAGCCAGGTCAACTGAGGCTCCTGCAAGGTCAATCAGCCTATGTTCGAAAGCATGACTGGAAGCAGACGTACATAGATGGTGAAATGAGGCGAAGTGGGACGTGCGACTCGCTGCTTGTTGAGCATCTGCAAGTTCTCCTCTTGCGAGAGCGCCTGAGTCGAAGCCGATCTGATCAAGTACAGCTTCAGTAGACATCAAGACCTCCTATGTGCTCGCCACGAACCTCTTCTGCTGTACTTGGCGTGCCTGTCGCTGCTGCTGAACGAGCTTCATGGCCATAGCGGCCGGCGCGATCTGTTGCTCTGCATCGACCATGTAAGCATGGTTGCGGAAGCTTCTGAGGTGCTCGACACGGACCATGAAGGGTACTGAGACGTCGGAGAGCGCTCGTCTGCTTCGCTAGGGTGCGACTCATGTTTGGGCTTTACTTGACGGTGGTGCTGCTTGCAGACTGCTCCGGCGATCCGGACCGGAGAGCTGGCCGGCTGGCTCAGAATTCTCGGGCGATCCCGCGGGCGATAGATCACGCGTGCTGATCAGTTTCGCGCGAGCGAGTGACCTCGGCCTATTCACACGCCTGATCTGTGCCAGTCGCAGCTAAGTGGGCGCAGCTCATACGTCCGCCGACAGACGGCTTGGCTCAGGTACAGTCAGGCCAAACTACTCTGCCAACTCCATACCGAAGACGGCAAAAGACTCGCCGTCGGATCCCAGTCCACTGGTTGCTGCGTGCGCTGACTACTCCGCACGATCGGGCAATCCATTCACTTTCGAATCGGCTTTCTGGCGCGACAGCAAAGCCTGAACGGTACCTTGCACGCTATCAACGCTGAGCTCGAGCCTGCCCTTGCTCCAGATCCGAGTGCAATTGCCGCTTGTGTGACTCACTTCGACAGTTGACAAGTCGACCGGCAGAAAAGCATGATCAGAGAGCCTGACTAGTCAGGCAATACTCTCTTTGCTCCCCCTCTGGATCCGCTGCGAAGCACACAGAGGCATCCATTGAACCTCTGCGCAAAGCTGACCGAGCCATAATGGCGATGCTGCCTGAAACCAAGGCAGTTTTGCCTCAGCCTGCGACGATCGGCACAGCCTTGGATCTCAGCGCGCAACGCAACCAAGCTACAATCCACCGTGGGACGCCGTGCAAGACGCCAGCCATGGATCGACAAAAGCCCAGGAGAAACGTGCCCGAAGCGCCTGTCCTCTCGCTCGTCTTTGACAATATCGCAAAGATGGAAGAACTCGAGCTTGGCTCAATGTGGAATGGCGGGTCGCTCTCAGATCAGCGGAGACTCGTTGGCTTACCATTGAGATGCTTTGCAGTGTTCTCCAAATGCAAGGATACCCTCGAGAATGGCAGACGGCTCGAGAACCTCAGCTGGCGCCTGTGGTATGCATCCTGCTTCGACAAACAGGATCACCCACAGCCTGTCGAGTACGGGCCGCATATATGGAGAGAAACACTAGAGCTGACCACAACATGCAGGGTTGATCACCACCTGTCAGACCTGAGTGATCCCGAGTCGGGCGACTGGTCTGATGACGATGACGCGACGCCGCAGCAACCTGTACAGCCACAGCCAACAGAGGAATTCTTGCACTCGGAAGTCCTCGATTCCGAAACAACCGCGACGCTGCCCTCGAGGGATGAATCTGCTTCCGCCGAGCCAGTCAAAAGCGGGCCTTTTGTTGTCAGACAAGCGCCTGCTGGGCGCTATTCGCAAGTTGCAACGACCAATCAGACGAGACGTTATTCTACGAGCAGACTGCGGCAAAGTCCTCAGCTCACGCCGACCAATTTCCAGCGCATATTGACTACTTTGTTGCCCATGAACCTCACCAGTCCCGCTTTGCCTGTGTCTGCGAAGCATCAGCAAGCAGCGAACACGGCCAGCACGAGCCGTCGCGCCCAGAGCTTCGGTGGTGTGACCTCACCGCCAGTAGGCTTGTCGCCCGCCGACGTTAGACCGGTCGCAGCCCCACTTCAGCCCATACGCTCGCCAGGCAGCGCTCGGTCCCCAGCCCGCAGTGAGGCGTCACCGACACAACGCTGGAGTGCACCTGTACCTTTGACCTTGCCTACAGAGAGGATGGAAGCTAGCAATGCTAGCCTAGCAGCGCCGCAATTCGATAACAAGCTCGTGACGACTCCAACCATTTTTGAGACTGAAAGTGCAGTCCAATCACCGGAAAGGAGCGCTGGTGGTACGAGTCAGCTGAGGACGCAGTCGGATGGACCTGCCGCGTCAACGAGCAAGGCGCAGATGCGACCAGCGTTGGCTGGTTCACGACTTCGCAAGTCCTCTGATACCAAGCTGCCTCGCGTAGGCAGTGCCAAGTCTGTCAGGATTTCAGACTCGTCTGTGTCCCGACCTAGGCCAACGAATGATCGCGTCTCTTCCGGCAGCACGGTGGGATCTTCGAGCAATTCGCGCGCCTCTGGTCTCAATGCGAAGCGATCTGCTGATGCGCTCACGCCAGCAAAAGTGATTGTGACTCCTTCGCAGTCGCTCAAGGGGTCAACGTCTTCCGATCAACCCAGCCTTACTCAAAGTGTCAACATATCCTCTCAGAGCGTGACGTCGCCACGAGATATGCCAAGAGCGCCCCCGCCTACGCCTCAGACAGTGACGCCAGCCTCGATAGCAGTGACACGGACGCCGCCGTCGACGCCATATACAAGCAAGATATCTGTGCTTAGTCCCATGCAAAGATCGAAGCAAGCGATGCCAGTCGCGCCTCTCGCAACCGAGAAGAAGCGCAATATGTTTTTCTTCTCGAGTCCGCACTCTCATGAAGACTCGGACGAGCCAGACTCGCCTGCTTCGTCCAAACGATCCGACAGACTAGCGCAGAGAGCGCAAACACAGCAAAGGCAGCTGCAGTATGACGATGTCGACCTCGACGCTGACGACGAGGATCGAGAGACTTCCTCTGGCTGGGGCTCTGACTACTCCACCGAGGAGGACGAGTCGCCCTCGCAAGCTGATCGCCGGGTCGAGGCTATCAAAGCTCAAGAGGCAGAAGAGGAGCGTCAGAGGTCCATGTTCGCAAAGCGACCAACACGTTCTCAGGTGCAGCTCTCGCAGCGAGGCAGCGGACTGCTGTCGCAGCTCTTCCATATAAGCCCGGATCGCGAGGACTATGGTTATGCGATGCGCAATCGGTCAGCGCTCGAGCTCTCACGTCGGAGATCGAATATTTCGGACAGCACGCCGATGGCGCGATCACCGCCGCATTCGAATCTACGTCCGCCAGTCAGCGTTCGGCCTCCTCAAGTCTCGAAATCCGCAGTCGCGCTGCCTGCAATGAGCTTGACGACCTCTGCCGCTGCGGAACTGTCCGAGCCACCGAGACGCAATCCCTCTAGATTGCGAGGTCCACCGAAACACGTCGAGCTTGAGCCAGAATCGTACGACGAAGCTGCGCATAGCTCCGAAGAGGACCATACAGAAAGGACGGCTGCTATTGATGCCGCCATCGCTCGACATCATAGCCGAAATGCTTTGCGCGAGCAAGCCACGCTTGCTCCGCCTCAGACACCGCGGACTACTCGGCGGAACATGCTTGCTGCCGAGCTCAGCGAGTCAATGCGACGCAATTTGCTATGGGAGCGGCAGATTCGCAATCGAGCTTTCGGTATTGCTGGACCGAACGGCATGGGTCAGAGACGCTCAACTCAGCCGCAGAGTCAGCAGGCTGCCACAGCAACGGCACAAGCGCCAAGAAGGCATGAAGGTTTCCCGGCCGTTGGCGAGCCCGCGGAAGTGCGCAGAGCCAAAACCGCGACGGGCGCTCTGACAGAATACGCCCGAGCGGACAATCAGTATTTCGACAACGCCAGCTTCCATCAGAGGTGAATTGCATCATTCTCATGACATCGGTGATGTGCTCACAATCTTCACGCAGGGGCTGGTAATCTGTGCCGTCTTGTAGTATGTGCTTGTCGTGTGATATCATGCAATATCATGCAATGAACTATGACGGCAGTAGCTTCTCTAGATCTGCTAGCGCTGTGCCTTCAAGCCTCATGGTGTCCCAATCCTTCATGGTCGTTGCGCCTAGCGCCTCGTAGAATTTGATGGATGGCTCGTTCCACTGTGTGGGGGATCAGCTCGATCAGCCAATCGATGCAGATAGGCTCACTTTCAGGACAACCCATTCGAGGCGAGCGCAGTCTAATTCTCGGCACTTCTTGCCTAGCCAGCCGAAGAGTGCCTTGCCTAATCCGTGCTTTCTTGCCTCGGGCTGGACGTATAAATCCTCTAGATAGAGAGAAGGTTTGCCAGTCCAAGTCGAGAAAGTGGTAGTCCAGAGGGCCATACCGACCACTCTGCTTGCATTACGTGTGTCTACAGCGACAACGGCAGAGCCAAAGTGACGCTCAAAGATATTTCTCTGGAGTAGCTCTGGAGTAGCTTTGACCATCTCTGGCATACGCTCATACTCTGCTAACTCTCTAATCAGGCCCAGCAATGCAGGTATATCCCTCGGCTCGGCCTCCCGAAGCTCGAACCGTCCCATCTTGCGCAGTGAACGGTGAGCGGTGACTCGTGATAGATTGACGGAATGGAGCCAGCGCTGGTGCTCCGACTGAATGACGTGTCATTAGGTGCCAAAGATGGTGTCTGTGCTCTCACCGATATCGGCATCGTGGTCTTGTGGACAAATACACTTTCGGACAGGCCGTCCACACTGCTGCTCGAGGGAAGGTCTACGTTCGAGATGGTCATAAGGTCTGCGCCAGCGATCGCAACCCGTGAGCCGTAAAAAGGCTTCCATACTTGTGCGCAGCCAGGGATGCGTCCGGACAAAGCCGATGCCTTTAGAACCAGCATTCCGATAATCCCCTTCTGCACACTTGTCGATTGCAATTTCGGTCTGGAGAGTTTCGCGATCTGCGGCATAGACGAACACTGCAGCGATTTGCTCGCCGGATAGAGCTGAAGCCGAAGGTGCGACTGTCGTCTGCATGCCGGCACCTAGCGTCTGTGCAAGCGCTAGACCCAGCTTGGGATCCCTTTCGGGGTACTCGTAGGCAGCATCGATGAGAATCCTGCGCTGCAATTCTTCCGGCAAGCCTCGAAAGTCAAAGGTGCCCGGTGGATTGACAGAGGCGGCGTCAGGTTCGCCGAGACAGATGCGAGCGAGGCAGAGAAGCTGTCTGGCCATACTTTGACAAGCTCGTGTGGAGCGATCATCGAGACGCTCGAGTGCAGATGCCCAGCGACGATGTTCGGCTGTGACTTTTGCTGTGACACCGAAAGCAAGGAGGCCTAGCGCAACGAGATCCTTGACGCTGTTGCCAAGCGGCATGGCACTCGTCTGGATGTCGTCTGGCCAGTCACCTATCTCTTCGAGCACTCGCTGATGATTGCTAGCATCATTGCCGGCAAATTCGATCCGGTCAAGATCAAAGTCTCCAGAGATGATCATCTCGGCCAGCATGCGTATGGAGCTCAGATCGAGCGAGCACATGTTGAGATGGAGTTCCTTGAGATTGGCTGAACGAGCATGGGCCATCGTTTTTTGAAAGCCGCCATTGCTCAGTTGATTGTTGCTCAGTACGAGGACGACAAGGGGACTTGTCGGTCTTGTCAGTGCTTCGTAGAGCGCCAGTTGCAGCGTTGGCATCTGAAGACGGATGCCGTTGTTGGGTACGACGAGTTCTCTCAGCCGACTCCCCATGGGTCGCAAGAGGCGCATGATGATCGTCAACAGTCCGGCGTCCTCCAGGTTGGTATCGGTCAGTCTCAAGGCTCTGAGGGTGAAGCCAGGGGAAGTGACCCAATCATAGGCATTGGCGAGATTGATGGTATGCTTCAGACTTGCAGCCAGTTCGCTTGCGCCTTGGGCACAGAGATGATAGTGGGATACATCGAGCTCAAAGTCGTAGATTGCTTGGAGATGCATGGCTTCATCAATCGCTTCACCCAGCTTGCTGCCGTCATCAGGGTCGATCTTTCTGACTGTCGTCTCATGTCTCGTCCTTGCTCTGACGAGGTTGCCTGTTGCACCGAGCCGCTCAAAGGTCAGCAGTCCAGGCTGTTCTGCCGCCATCGCTGGCAGCAGTGCCCACAAAGAGCCAGCCAATCCGAGTGAGCGTGACTCGACTCGACGACGCGTTTCTCTCTCGCCTCCCAAAAAAAAGCTGAGACGACACTTTTTCTTCGGCCTGTGGCTCGACCATGAGGCGACATGCACAGCGCAAGGTCTTTGCGGGATCGCCCAGAGGTCTGGCAACGCATGCAAGCGCACAGCATGTTCGTATCCCGCGTAAGAATTTCCCATCTATCACGCCGCCCTATGAAGCCATGCTGGCCAAGCTAGCTCAAGTCAGGCAGCACATCAAACGACCACTCACACTGAGCGAGAAGATCGTCTACTCTCATCTCGTCAACGTCGAGGAAGCTCTCTCTGGGTCGGGTGAGATCAGAGGGGAGAGATACCTGAAGCTCAGACCGGATCGCGTGGCCATGCAAGATGCTTCTGCTCAGATGGCCCTCCTTCAATTTGCCACCTGTGGCTCAGCTTCGACTTCTGTCCCTACTTCTATTCACTGCGATCATCTCATACAGGCCAGATCGGGCGCAGAAGCAGATCTCGAACGGTCTATCACGACCAATTCAGAGGTCTTTGATTTCCTGGAGAGCGCCGCCAGAAAGTATGGCATAGAGTTCTGGGGGCCAGGCAGCGGGATCATACACCAGATCGTGCTCGAGAACTACTCTGCGCCCGGCCTACTCATGCTGGGTACAGACTCGCACACGCCCAACGCAGGAGGATTGGGTGCGATCGCAATCGGCGTGGGAGGTGCAGACGCGGTCGATGCCATGACGGATACGCCTTGGGAGCTCAAAGCGCCCAAAGTGATCGGTGTCGAGCTCAAGGGCAAGCTCAATGGATGGGCGACTCCCAAAGATCTCATACTCAACATTGTCGGACAACTGACCGTCAGAGGCGGCACGGGTCACATCATCGAATACTATGGCGAGGGCGTCGAGAACCAGTCTGCCACTGGCTTGGCGACGATTTGCAACATGGGTGCCGAGATGGGCGCCACAACGTCTCTATTTCCCTACACCAGTTCGATGCGCGCATATCTTCATGCGACAGGCCGGGGGCCAGTAGCAGACGCAGCAGACCAAGCGCAAGGGAAAGCGCAGCTATTGCAAGCTGATGCAGGCGCGTCGTACGATCAACACGTGTCCGTCGATCTCAACACCCTCGAGCCACACCTGAACGGGCCCTTCACGCCCGATCTCTCTACGCCATTGAGCAAATTTGCAGACGTCGTCAAAGCGAACGGTTGGAAAGACGAGATCTCTGCCAGCCTGATCGGCTCTTGTACCAATTCGAGCTACGAAGATATGTCTCGCGTTGCTTCTATTGCTCGCCAGGCCGCAGACAAGGGCTTGAGAGCCAAGACGCCGTTCATGGTCACGCCGGGCAGCGAGCTCGTCAATGCCACCATCGAACGTGACGGCCTCAAGGCACAACTCGAAGACGTGGGCGCTGTCGTCCTTGCAAACGCTTGCGGGCCTTGTATTGGTCAATGGGACAGATCAGAGCTCAAAGGTCAAGAGAACACAATCCTTACTTCATTCAACCGCAACTTCAAAGCGCGCAACGATGGCAACAGACTCACTCGCAACTTTCTTGCCTCTCCCGATCTCGTGACGGCAATGTCGTTCGCCGGTCGCTTATCGTTCAACCCCTTGCACGACGAGCTCATCGGTGCTGACGGAAAACCTTTTAAATTTGATCCTCCTACTGGCGAAGAGCTGCCTTCGAAAGGCTTCACACCCGGCAATGCCTCTTATCTCCCCGAACCATGCCCTGAACCAGTGCCAGAAGTAGCGATTGCCATCTCGCCTTCTTCGACTCGGTTAGAGCTGCTGGCCCCCTTTGCACCTCACTTCACACCGGAGCAAATCGCAGACAAGAACCACAAGCTCGAGTTTGAGAATCTGCGATGTCTCGTTCGGCTGGTCGGCAAAACCACCACGGACGAGATCAGTGCAGCAGGTGCCTGGCTCAAATACAAGGGTACATCATCTTTCCTTGGTCTGTGCCATCCCGGCTGACGAGCCGGGCAGGTCATCTGAGCAATATCTCGGAAAACACTCTCATTGGCGCTACGAATGACGAGAACGGCAAGATCAATTCTGCAGTCGATTACGAGCCTGGTCAGCCTGAAGGAACGATCCCGGAAATGGCCAAGCGATGGCGAGAACGAGGCCAACCATGGATGATCGTAGCCGATTCCAATTATGGCGAAGGTAGTGCCAGAGAGCATGCTAGTCTGCAGCCGCGCTTCCTTGGCTGTCGTGTCATTCTCTCAAAGAGCTTCGCTCGCATTCACGAAACGAATCTCAAAGTAAGCTGTGCGCCTCTGCTCGGTGCTTCGGCTGACGTGTGTGCGCTCAGAAACAAGCTGTCTTGCCGCTTACGTTCGCCAATGCCGGCGATCATGCAAAGATAGGGTGCGCATCATATTTTCATCAGTGTGCAACTGGCTGAGCACTTTTGTGATCGTGACAGAGGTGGGGATATCGTCTCGACGATTGGGCTTGACGCTCTGCTTCGTGGCAATGAGCAAGCCAAGCTACACGTTTCAGTCAAAAAGGCCGATGGCACCGAGCTGCACTTGCCCGTCGAGCATACTATGAGCGCAGACCAGGTGGGGTCTACTTTGTCCCTGAATCATCGCATAGCTGACGCTTTGCGTAGATCGGCTGGTTCCTTGCTGGTAGCGCGCTCAATCTAATCAGACAGAGCAGGAGCACTCAGTAGAGCAGTAGGACAGAGTGCATCGAGATTAGCAGGCTGGAGGCGGCCGGCACGCCTTTTACAGACACATCGCAGTTGTGACAATGGAGAAGGATGAGCGTTGTTGGTATCTAAGGGGCAAGTGGCACTGAGGGTATATTTCTGCGAGATTGCTTTGTTGAGATGATGCGCCATTTGCTTCGCGGAGCGCATCTACGCCGAGTCGAGCTTCTTCTCCATCGAGTCGACAACTGACCCGTGGGACAATCCGCCGTCGAGCACGCCGCGAACATCGTCGACTTGCTGCAGATCCGTAAGGAAGGGCACAAGATCGCTGTAAGTCGGGTCAGCCATTGCATGAAGCTCCTTTGGCCGAGATACTCACGTAAGCTCGGTATCGTGGGGATCGTTGAACCAAGAAGACACTGGCACGGCGTTATTCGGATGGAAGATGTAGGATGCCGGAGAGTTGTCAATGATGATCGTTTCGCCGATCGGCCTGCCGAGCTGAGAAAGATCCTTCGTAGATAATCAGTATCGCACCGATTGCGGACGCAGCGAGCTAAGCCTACTTTGACGTAATTTCCGTTATGGTTGTAGCAGCTCTCCCTGAACAGTCGGTGTCGAACGACGCGATGTATATCGAGTATGTCGAGCACCGGATCCGCATACTACAACATCCAAGTCAGCAGGGGTACAGCTTAAGCCCAAGAAGAGGCTGACCTTTGAGAGCGAAGCAGTAAAGACGACGACTTCGTAGAGCTCTCCCATCTTCTGCAAGAAATGGTCCACGCCCGGGCGCTTGATCACGTAGACGTTGTGCACTTGATTCTCGATCTCGACGGGCACGATAAAGTCGGCTTGATGTATCATCTGCTCTTCAACTTAGCTTAGCGCGGGTAAGTTGGCAAATAACGCACTTTGAAGCTGCTGTGCACCAGGGTCTCGTCCAGATCGAGCACAAGACATTTGCGTCCCTTGTCTATCTCGCCCAGCTCGCTCAACAGTGGGTGTAGGTTCCCATCCTGCGCTTGTTGTTAGCTTCACACGCACAAAATGAGCACCAACTCACGGAATCCATAGGTATGCCCATGCCGCCCAAGAGTAGTAATCTATCATCTTCGATCTCTTCGTCATCATCATCGTCAATCTCCTCGTCCTCGTCAGAAGTGAGCTGATCCGAAGTCTCTTCTTCCGCCTTGTGAGACGATTCCGCTTCGCTATCTGAGCCTGCGAGCGCGCCCGCAACATTGTCTCTGCTGGAACGCGCAGAGGCACCCTTCCGCTTCTTTTTCCGTAGACTCGCTCGATCCGGTGTACCGTCCGAGCCGGGGGACTGTACTGCGCCAGACAAGACACCTTCTGTTTCGTCTCGTGGAAGTTGAACGCCTTGGGGTGAGTTAGCGGCCACAATTTCTGGCTGCATACTTTCGCCCAGATGCTTCTGCGTCGACTCTGTGCTCGATTGTTTTGAGTCGGTGGATGCATTCGGATCCTTCTCTACTACGTAGGGCGTCGGAGGCGTTGCCATATCGCGCGAGGGAGGACCTGGCTTTTCTCTAGTTTGGGTTGCTGGCTTGTCCTTTGCTTGCCTGGCTTTGCTTTCCTTTTCTGCGCCAATGGAGACGCAGGGTACGACCGCTGCAAGTATGACGACCCAGATCGATCGCTTCTTCTTCTTTCCTTTGGTCGCTTTCTCCGATGTTGCGGGCAAGGCTCTCGCTTTGCCTTTCTCACTTGACACTTGCGCGCGCGGCGCTCCTACGGGCGGTGGTTGAGGTGCTGCACTGGCTGCTTGCACCGGCTTATCCAGTGACCGCCTGATGGGCTCCTCGTGGCCTTCAGCAGTCTTGTCATCGTCTGTCTTTTCAATTGGCTCTGGCTTGCCGGGCTCAAGCGATGTCGTGGCGGGCGAGATGACAGTAGCCTGACTATCACCAGCGGTAGACACTAGGGCGGGCGCAGCAGAAGTATCGCCCGATTTGGAGGGCGCTTTCTTCTTTGCCTTCGCCGCATCTTGGTCTGTTCGTTTGACCTTGCGCACCGGACGAGCTCCGGATCGTGTGCCCACTGGTGGAGGAGCGCCCTGCTGGACCTGCGTCATGAGAGAAGCGATGGCCTATACGCGCGATACCGTGAGCTGAGCCAAAAGGGTAGAGATAAGCGCAGCTCACCGCTTCTGACGGTCCAGACGAGGCTGCGGCTGCCGGAGCAGCCTGAGCGCTTGTTGACGGCTCTGGCTGCGCCATGGCTCACGCCGTCGATGGCCGTTCGCTGGCTGCAGTCCGATAGTCTGCGATTGTGGGCCGCAAAGTGATTGGGCTCAGACGGTTGCGTGGGCTCAGTCAAGCTAGGGTGACAGATGCAGCGATGGCGTCTACAAGAGCTGTTGCAGCGGTGTACGATCTGACGGCAGAGCGACGCAGGGCAGCGTCTTCAGCTTTTGGCGTTCTGGACTGGCCGTTGAAACAGACAAAACTGAGCTCGCGCAAGCCTACACCCTCCAGTCGGACAGGGATGTCCGTCAACTGTCCAATACAGACCGTTCAATGGCGTCTCTATCGTTGAGATGGCTTCGAAGGGAGTCGTATGCGGCCGCCAGAGCGTAGAGCAGCGGTGATTGTCGGCAAGCTGCTCACGAGATCGCACGTGGCTGCAGGCGCGGCAGCAAGCTCGCTGTTGTCCAACAGACGATCGTCTGACGCCGGACTTGCTAGCTACTTGCTCGCAGGGCTGGCTGTAGCAGCAAGCACCAGGGACTTTCAGCCGTGTGTTGTCTTCGCGCGAGTAGCAGAGGAGGCGTCAAGCCAGAACGGGCCAATGTCGCGCCGGACCCACAAGCGACCTGCGCCTACGTGGTTCCTCTCAGAAATCAGGCACATGCCTGCGGCACGATATGCATCGAGATACACTTGCATTGAGCACGATGGCTCAGTTGGACAGATAGCGATGAACATCGACGTTGTAACTGCCCACCACGAATCAGTCCTCACGAGCGCGAACGAGGGTGTGAGGACGGACAGGGGCGGGATACCAGTGTAAACGCATTTGTTGAAGAAGCCAGCGCCTCCCAGGTTGACAAAGACGGGTGCACAGCTCTTGCCCGTGCTGTCTTTGGCGGTGTCCGAGCACGAGAGCTGGACGCCGTCACCGGGTGCCTTGCTGGCCCAACCGTCCGGGGCGAGGTAGAAGGCAGCAAAAGCGTATCCGGTGCAGCAGCCTGCAGGAACGCCATCGAAGGTCTGATCGATGCGCGCGTTGACGAGCCAAGCGCCCTGGGCCGGAACCCAGCTGTAGAAGAAGTTTGTGCAAGGTCCAGCCTGTTCATTGCTCAGCTTGGAATCTGCCAAGTATTGCGCTGGTCGACTCACGACGCAAGTCGGCTGGTTGACGCTGTCGATGACACGAACTGTTGCCATTGACTTGGGTGAAGTCGTCACATACGGGCCTACATAGCACCATCAGCAACAGCAGGGTGGCCAGTCACGCTGCAGCATGCCACTGACCAACAGCACTGTTGAGTTGATTGATACTGCATTGGGCAGAGAAAGTCATCGAGATTACGTAGTCGTAACCAGCCACCATCTGACGCTTCCCGAGCTCCGCAAACGTCGATCTCGGCTTCATGGTCTCATCATGAGCTGAGCCACCCAGCGCGAGCAGAGGCAACGCCACAAGAACGAGTGAAGCCAGCATGTTTGCGTTGTCGGGCCAAGCAGGGAATGAAGAGGGAGCTCAACTCGACAGCCAGAGGGGCTTACATCCCTCTTCTGTTGCCACTTGCGACCAATCACGAACAAGCGCGTCACGTTCGACTCCGACAACGCTACGTCTCCGGCATCTCATTCGAGCGAGAGCTCCTCCGAAGCAACGTTGCCGACCGGTGCGCTGGTGAAAACGCATTTATCGCCAATGCTGCTGCCACCCGTATCTGCAAGCACATCCGCACACTGCTTGCCACTCGAGCTCAAGCCGGCAGCAAGACAGATTTCTGTGAACTGCGCGAAGATGATATCTAGCTCGGCGTGCTAGATCCTTTTGTTGCGTACCTCGGACCTATCGCGCATCTGATTCCACGAACCGTCCGATGCGCTCAGAGAGTATGCCGTCGAAAAAGCGCCATGACAGCTGCGCCACATCAGCGGTCTGCTTCTCCAGCGGTGATGTCCTCACCAGCCATCGAATTTGTCTGACCAGACCATCGAGCCGTCAAAGAGAGTCACTGTCCATGCGTTCTGCTCGGCACTCCAAACCGAGTACAAGTTGACCTTGTTGCAATTCGTCTGCGCGACGACCCGTCAAAACTGATGTAAAGTGAATGCATCTACCGACCGACTTGACAGATCGGATGCGTGTGCTCATCGATGACTCGTATAGTCACCGAATTTGAAAACGTCGTGTTCATGACATGATTTGGCGACACTGCCCTGCTGATCAGGACTGGCTTTCATGCCGCTGTGTCTTACTATCGATCGAGTTGATTGCGCTGACTGGGCACGTAGCAGCAGCGCCGTAAGAGATGAAGAAATCGTAACCAGGCGTGTTAGTACGCTCGACGACGAGATGACCTTCCACGACCGAATTTGGTGTGCGCTCGACCAAATCGGCGATGGAAGAAGCAGGCAACAGGTAGTTGATGGGCGTCGCAAGTGTCATCGAAACGAGCAGGGCAAACCAGATCATATTGGCGAACATTTGCATGATGAGGAATCCGGACAAGCCAAACGCGCGAGAGCGGAGAGCAACGCTGCATTCCTCACACGCGTCGAATATCGCCGTCTGCTGGTGGGAACCCGCTCCCGTCAATGCGTTGCGGAGTTCCAATAAGGCTTTGACTCGATGCTATATCTGCAAGTGCGGCCAAGATATTGAGATGAGGGTGATGCCGTGACACAAACGAGCTCACCCAGCCGTCCATACTTCGATACAGTTCCTGAGAAACGTTGTGCCGAATGGCAGCACGTCTTTGCAAGATTGACCGGAGCCAGATGTGCCCTTGGTATCGCAATAGCCCCAGAAACCTGCAATCTTGTCGTCCCTCCATCCTCCGCCATTGTGCGGGTTCAGGTGCAAGTCGGTGCCGTAGTATAGCTGACAGCTGTTGGAAGCGATCAGTGTATGAAGTTGCTCAGCATGGCAAGAGATACCAGCCTGCATAGTCACCCCCTGCGCTGTCGTAGACAATGCTCCGGTCCAGGATATTGACAGCCCAAGCAGCCGTAGATTTGTCATAGGAGCCCATTACATCGACGGTATCGCAAGGCCCATCGATGCAGCTCGGTGTCTCGTGCCAGTCCTCTGGCGCTTTGACGGTGATCTCCTGAAGAACGCGGGAGTTGACCCGATGGACTGCGAGGCTAGTCGATAAGACTCGTCATGGCAAGGCTCTCGCTCGCATACCATCCTTTCGATCGCGCTGGTTGAGTGAGCAGTAGCCTGCCGATGTGTAACGTATGGTGAAGAGGTATCCATCTGGACGTTCCTCTTCTGTCTTGTCGATCTGAGATGGACTGGCAGTCGCTTGTTGCGAGATGACGCTAGCTCTGATCGCGAGCGTGTATGCCGCTATAGTCAACAGTGAGGACGAGAGCATTGCAAAGCTGCGAGATGAGATGCAATCGTGGGATAGTGATGGGTCAGAGGGTCAAAGGCAGGAGTGTTCGCAACGATTCCGCAACGCGCGACGCGACTAGGAGCTGCACTGACGCCTGCTTAACCACATACATACACTGCCGCTACTCATAGTATGGCGTCGCAGTGATGGAAGGACTGATGACTACCATGAGCTGCTTGTGAAGATGGCTATGCGGAAAGCTCACCGAAGGCCGGTCTTGTAGCATTTATCGAATCGGATGAATGGCTGCGTCGGTTTATCCAGCACATCATAGCATGACTGGCCATTGTCCGTGGAGGTTCCATCGGTATGGCAGTATCCGAAGAAGGTGCCCGGAGCCTCGGGGTCAACGACCGACTTGCCGTTGTGTGGATTCAGAAAGAGATCGAGAGCGTAGTCCATCGAGCAGCTGTATCTCTGTTATCACTTCTATGATCTGAGAGTCAGGAGCAAAGGGGGCTGACCATCCTGCATAGTTGCCACCGTCGAATTTGGCGGTGTGGTCGATCAGCGGAAGCGAATAGAATCCAGGTGAGGGTGGCGGCTTTCTAGCAGCGGGAGTGTAAGTGACATGCTCGCAGCTGCCGCTCATGCACGTAGGTCGCTGCTTCTCATCGGCGGGAACCTTGAAAGTCACGTCGGTAGATACCCATGCGCCTACTCTGAGATCCAAGACTGTCCGTCGTCGATGAGAGAGCATCCATGCGCGTAGCCATGATGCACATACTGCTGTACTTGTTGCCAGGAGCATGACAGAGGCCGACGCCGGTCCACTTGAGGTTGAAGATATGTCCCAAGGGCGTATCGCCGTCACGGACCTGCAAAGGTGCCTCGCCCGAAGTAAGAGTAGCTTCAACTGCATGGCCGAGGGCGAGCGTTGAACACAAAATCTTCAACAGCATCTTTGCTCGGCTTTTCGATGGCGTGCAGGAGCAGGAGAAACGAGATGCGGAAGTGGTTTGGCAGGGGCACGGAAAGCGACGGTCGCCCGCGACGCAAAGGAGACTGGGCCATAAGGGGCGGCAATGCTGCATCTACAGCACATTGTCTCGCACGCAGGTCATCAAGAGTAATACGCCAAAGCATGGATTACCGGCCTGCGATTGATCGTCAGCTCTTTGTATCGGGTAGAAGTAGCTCGCTCACAGCTTTGCGCGCGTCTGGATGCAATCATCGGGCATTATGTAGACATGGTCCTCTGCTGGACGACCGAGAACGTCGTAGCAGTCCTTGCCATCGAGCGATTTGCCGCCTGCGTGACAGACGGCCCAGAACTTGCCTGGCTTCTCCGGATCACCAACCCCGAAACCGTGGACCGGATCGAGGTAAAAGCCGATTGAAAAGTCAATCGTGCAGCTGTAGTCACACAGTCGCGTCATGAGTGCTGCTGCTACATGAGCGCGGAACGCTCTGCTTACCAGCCAGCGTAGCTTCTTCCGGTGACTTTGGGTGTAAAATCAGCGATAGGCATGGAGATGTAAGCTTTGCCCGGAGGATTCGTGCCTCGAGCGTCCTCGTCACCATCGAGTAAGTCAATCTTTTCACAATCGCCTCGCACGCAAGTAGGACGCTGAGCTGTATCGATGGGCACTTTGATCATCATATTCGTTGTGACCGACGTGATGAATCGATGGAAGACTGTTGGCGAGCATTCAGCTCATTGGTGCGTGGATGTCGCAAGACGCACTGTCGAACTTCTTGTCCGATACCTTGCAAACGGCGGCTGATGACCAGCTGAGATCGAACACATAGCCCAAAGGCTTAGCACGTTTGTCTAGATCGATCGCTGTCTCATTCGAGATTGGTGTTGCCCTTGCAAGGGCAGCCAAAGACAAGCCAGCGAGGAGTGTCCTAGCGAGCATCCTCGGTTCGTTTCTGAGCTTACTTGCCGAAGACGCAGAGGGACAAGGAGGGTTGGCGCAACGACAGGAAGGGGCAGCAAAACCTGGGAGGAGCTCAACGACGTGTCGCAGCAACACGCGAGACGAAGTTAGGGAGGACAGTAGCTGCGCAATCCACGTCGACGCACGATTGCAAGCCGGTCACGTTGATCGCATAGGCGAAAGGAGCTCCGCGAGCTATGGTGTCGGCGTGATGCACGCACACAGAGGTCACACGGACTGATACGGTACAGTGGTCCAACACGCGCGAACGGCTCCTTGACGCTCGTGTCTGAGATATGTGGACGAGCAAGGACGAGTCTCGTTATGACCAGCCGGTTGGTCGCGATGGCCGCTGGGGGGTTCTTGCAGCACTGATCATCGACATCTGACGCGACGAAGTCAATCTCGGCAATTGTCAACGGCTAGGATGGGCTCCCTGGTAGACTATCAGCCGAAGCTCTTCATTGTCGACTTTCCTTCAGACGGTGTGCTCGTGCTGTCCATGAACAGAGGACCGTAAGCAACTTTGTCGTTCAACAAGACGATGCTCATCCTTGCCAAGAGTCAATGCCTTCAATCAAGCATTCTGGGAAGAGCTACACCGTCTGTTCGACCTAGCTTCCAACGATCCGGATGTGCGAGTCGTCGTGCTCGCATCGAAGCTTGACAAGCTCTATACTGCCGGTCTTGATCTGACAGACACGGGCGCGCTTACGGATCAAAGCGAGAGTGATTCTGCTCGGATGGCCTGGAAGATGAGAAGGCACATCCTCGACTTTCAGGCGGCCATATCTGCTATTGAGGAATGCAAGAAACCCGTCATTGCGGCCGTCCATGGCATATGCATCGGTCTGGGCGTCGATATCACATCAGCCGCCGACATACGTATGGCTGCGTCTTCAGCTCAATTTGGCATCAAAGTGAGGCTTCTCTATGGCGCGCTAGGATACGAGAGATCACTTTGTGCTACAGGAAGTGACAATCGGTCTAGCTGCTGATATTGGCTCTCTGCAACGGTTTCCGCTGAAAGTCGCGAATGACTCTTGGACGCGCGAGCTTGTCTATACTGGCCGGAACTTTGACGCCGCGGAAGCACATCAGCATGGCTTTGTCAGCAACGTCGTGCAAGGAGGCCGCAGCGAAGTTCTGGCAGCCGCCATCGAACTAGCGAAGGATATCTCCAGTAAGCGCAATTACTATTCGCCACGCCCTGCTAACACGAATACAGACAAATCGCCGATTGCAGTGCAAGGCAGCAAGCATCTACTCGATTACTCTCGGGATCATTCAGTTCAGGATGGTCTGGCCTACACTGCAACTTGGAACATGAGTCAACTTCAAGCTTCGGATCTGGTCGAAGCTGTGGGAGCTTTCATGACGAAGAAGCCACCGCGCTTTGCAAAGTTGTAGCATCACATGCATTGAGACGATACTGTGTGCCAACATCATCATTGCAGCTCCGTGGTAGGCTTTCCATGCGCAAGTTCGGTCAGAGCTCGATCGATAGCATGTTGTCCTCTGCTGACCACGTTTCCTCATAG